ATCATTTACGTATCAAAATGTGCCATAGATCCCGTATTATACACATTCATTATTCGTAGTTATCGATGGCAAGTTAAGAGGTTGTTTTATAAAGTTGCCAAGGCGTTTGCAGAGATATTATTTACCAGCAATGGCGCGGGAAACGTCCAGTATACGAATTAGTTCCACTATGACGTAGTATACGATTGCATTGACTCACTACAGTGGTGGTTGTATTGTTAAATAAAGAATATATTGTATAATTGCAAATGATCATTTAAAAATTGGATACTGTACTTACCTAACAAGTTGTTATCATTGTTTACTGTCAAAGTCGCGATGGCCAATCAGAACACATGAATATGAATACCGAAAGAAGCCGAATTAGAGCTTGAAGAAATTGTGAGCGCGATTTCCGTTTTTGCATCTGACTGCTTGAGACCGTGAAGTAGCTTTCTGGATCCTCGACTGTCTCAATTGCTCTGTATATTCGGGCATGCCACTTTTGAAGGGCCTCGCCTATATAAAATCGTCACTTTGCTAAAGTACTATTGGCTACTTTACGTCACGTGGTACAAAACAACCGAACAGTTATCTCGCAAGATACCCCACTTCGATATTTGTCCTCTGATTATTTTCGTCGAAAAGAAACAAAGCCAGCGGAAAAAAGCCAACTTAATGGTCTCGCTTTTTCATGTTTATTATTTTTACATGGACGTAAAACAAACTCGTTATTTTTAGGGTTCATTGGTAGTAACATTAAAAAAATTAACTCAAATGCTTCTCCAGAAAGTACAAGAAATGGTACCAAAAGTTTGCTGTCAACACGCGATACGATAATTAATGGGAGGGTTATAAAGTAAATAAACCCACTTCTGGCTTTCTGGTATGTTGGCTGATGATGTTCTTGGCTGATAGATTGCCCGCAAAATTTCACATTTGCCCTCAAAGTATCGCTTCTTGGGCAAATATCAATTTTTCAGCAGCGGACACTATCAGCCAATAAACCAACCGCCTAAAGGAGTTCATTTACTAAATAACTATACTCCAGAGCAGAGTGAAACAAAGTTAACGATCGAAAATTCAGAGCGAATGCTGTAAGCTAACTTTCAACTAAGATTATTATCATTATCTCGTTTGTTTGTACATTGAATAATTTATTACACCCATTTTGAAATCACTGCTGGTCCCTGTAATCTGATTGGCTCTAATTGGTGCGATTTATTCACGAATCGCACCACTTTTTGTTTTAAATCGCATCTTTTTCCTAGCCAATGAGGAGGCTACACTAAAGTAAAACAACCAATCAGATTTCAAGGCTTGTTTAAAGTAACTAATCAAATTGCAGGAAAATAAAAGACAGTGTATGATGTAGCAAATTTTGCAACTTTTGTTTCCAAAACTCCTACCCCCCCCCCCTCAAAATGGATAAATTTAATTTTAAGCCGGCTCAGTGCTGCATCAGTAAAATATTTGAACTGACCAAGTCCTGTATTTGTCGATTTCAAAAGGGATGTAATAAAGTGGTAATTGAACCTCGTGTCGTGCAATTTTGGTCTGAAATCATATTTGTGATTTCAAATCGAACGAGCACGCAGCGTGAGTTCGATTTTGAAATCACGCGCATGATTTCAGCCCAAATTGCACTCCACTCAGTTCAATTACCATTTTAAATCAATGGCGATACCCCAAAATGATCTGCCCAACAGACAAAGGAAAAATGTCTTCCATCAACAACTACGAGATTCTGCAATTATTTTTCAAATGAAAGAAAATATATATTTCAGTTATAGCAACATTCTACTCAATACCTTAATGACATTTAATGCTATGAAACTAAATTGATTACAAAGTTACGAATATTATCGGGCGTAGAAGCCTTCTTCAAATATGTTATTATAAACTATGAAATTAATTTAATATCGAAATTCATTTTGTCAATGGGGAAGAATCCTTTTATTTGATTATGACAGGTTCTCTTGAAAAAAATATATAATTAATCTTCTAAGTTTTGACATTGATGGATTCTTCAGACTTTATCATCGTTGCCAAGTTGTTTTTATTATTTTGATTAAATATTATAGTTGCAGCTGAATGATTCTCAAAGGAAAAGTAAAACAGAATTTGCAACTCTTTCCAAACGTATACGTAACATGCAAATAGATAAGTGAACCTAACGATGTCAATAGCTTCGAAAAAGGAGTTATTCTCTCTTTCGCTTGCATTATATTTGCTAACAGTGCCTGTATTGTCTGCAAAGGAAAATCGGACCTTTCCTGGCGCAATTTGGACAAAGTTTAACTCTAGATTAAAAGGATTTACCTTTAGGTCCTGGGAAACTCCCAGTCAGATTTTCTGCAGTCAATCTTGCCTCTCAAGTTCAAGATGTCATTCGATAAACTTTAAAGAAATATCATCGCTTCAACGCCGAGGCTTATGCGAGCTGAACGATGAGCATTTGATGGATTCTGTGGGTATAGAGAACAATCTGATACACGAAGAGGGATTTGTCTTTTCCCGTTTTCCCAAAGATAATAAGGTAAGCAACACCAACTAAACGCCATAGCAGAATATAACAGCCAAGTTTCTCTTCGTTTCTCCCTTATTGCCAGGTTTGATATCGAATGGAAAGCCAATTCCCCTCTGTACCTATTTAACACTAATGGTAATTTGAAGAAAACCCGACACACATGAAAATGAAGATGAAAATGGCTACCGGTAAGGTGAACAAATGAAGATGAAAATCGCGCTGAGATTTGTTCCAAATTCAGTCTAGTATACTGACTTTAGATGGGAAATCCAGAATTTTTGAGTAACAAATTTTGGGCTTATTTACTGAAGCAAGAGCTCTTACAAGATATGTTTCGATATTTTTAGCCGTTTTTTCGTTTTATAGCAATAGCGAAAGACTCACAGTTACCATGTTTTTTCAAATAAGGTTGGAAATTCACTTCTCCGAATGAAAGTATATCATAAGTATATGTTTCGGAATAACAGAACCTAGGCCTCATTGTATTTAATAGAAACCCCTGAGTGGAGAATACTGCAGGATTTAATAACTAAAACTGATAACACAAGAAACTCCGCATTAGAGCTTCCTGAAGAGAACAATGCGGTGGAAAAGAACGTGATACAGAACACTGAAGTTGTAACATCAGTGAATTAAACTTCAAGAATGAATGCAACCCAGCTAAAAAAAAAAATTTGGAGTTTTCTGATGAACACTACATTTAGTTATTCAGTTTATTAAAAATTGTACTCCGTTGTTTTTAGCGCGCGCAGCACTTCGCACAGTAATTTGCATTTCTTTTTTCTATCTTTCTTTATTTTTAATCTAGGGTGGACAAGGCATTTGCATATATGTTTCATTTGGCTGACAAGGGGCCTAAATTTTTTACGGAAATGTCTTTTGTACTCCGCAATTTAATATAGTCCAAGGATGAAAACAAAATTGCAATAGCTTGTCTGTCTGACAAGCTAAAATTACCTTTAAAAACCTCCATATTTGAATATCCGGCACCCTACCCTCTCAGACGCAAATTAGTTATCACCGTCTTTTCACGGGGCCTTAATTGAAGTATAATTGTCTGAATCACTTGACGATAAGGCATCAGATTGATGAGTTTCTTGACAAAGCGGCTCACATAGTTTTTACAATGGTCAATAAGTTGCCGGCTTCCAATGAATTTAAGTCCAATCGCCGTTTGAACTAAGCGGGTAAGCTGTTGTGATAAAATAATGAAAAAATATGTGGCTGTCAAAAAGTTCGAATTAAAAAAGAGAAAAAAAGGAAACGATTGAATAACAAGAGCTTTGTTTGATAACTCTCGTCATTTCTAATAAACTAGTGGAGCTGAGTACAAGTTATTTTAAAATGAATGCTAGAGTCTCATAATATTTGGACAACACTACCAAAGTTGACTCAAATAATTACGCTACCCTATCGAGGAAATGATTGACAATAGAGATTCCCACGTATGGTAAACGTGAGTCTTTGCATTTCTTGGGAAAGTAAATATTTTGTGATACAATAAGACAATTTCAAAACTAATCTAAAAAAAATAGTCGCTGTGGAAATTGACATGGTTTTATTTCTCTACGCTCTTACAATTTATCTACAAAACTCACACCACCTTCTCAGCCAATAAAAATTAAAAGTGAAACTTTTCCTCGTCTCTTTGTTTTCCTCTCATTCATGGTACGAGCGAAAAATATATAAAACGATAAATTAAGGAAGAAAAAACCTCGCTGATTATTGTACCACTGCTGGCACCGTGTGGGTTGAAAAGTCACACTAAGCGGAAGTATCTCCAACAGTCTGTATAACTATTCTTCAGACCAATCACATCAGCCTGGTCCTATGTCTACATATTTAGATTTCGGAAAATTCTGCATTTTACATAGGTAACGCCAACATCAATTACATTCTGTGCATGCAAGAAAATTCTGAGCCACCGGTGAAAACCTCGAAATGGTTCTTTTGAATTGCTTCAGTCATCTTAATGGCCGCATGTGTTCGATTGACAGAGGATTATTTTTTCTTTTCCGGTTGCCATGTCCTACTAAACTATCAGTTAGAAGCCGAGTCAATCAACTTGATAACTGTATTGACATAAGCCTCCTGGGGTGTGCTGATTGGATCAGCATACCCTAGGGGTACTCTATATGTATGAGTGTAGGATATTACATGAACGCAAGAGCATCCAATGATTTATAGATATGGGTGATGTTTTGAAAGTTTTCGTCACTGCACGAACCAACAGCGAAATTAAAACAATTTGTAACCCTATCGAAATATCAAGAGCTGGCATGAATTCGTAAAAATTATTTTTGCGCATCTTAACATTATCCTCAGCAAAATCACTTACAAGAGGGTTTTGATGGGGAGATGAGTTTTACGGCTAACGATTAAATTCACTCTTTTGTGATTAAAAAAAAAATTTTTGCTGTTCACCTTAGTTACAACTAGTGATTGATATTTGTCGATTTCTACGCCTAATGGCCTTGTACGTCATCGGTGTTTCCTATTTGCCTTTCAGGATGATTGTCAATGGCGAAGTTGTCAAAATAATGGCGTCTGTGTATTCATTAAGCAACATTATGCATGCTCTTGTGATGTACCATGGACGGGGAGCTTCTGTGAAACAAAGATTGGTAAGTTTTTTCAATGTTTTGTTTCTCCCAAAGAAAAGCCAAGATCTGAATAGTTTTCCACTCACCTTCAGCCGCGCAAATTTGTGGAAGCAAAAGAAATAACTATATATGTGAAAAATCTCACAAGTTGCTTGATTGAAAAATGGGTGCAGTTTATTGTGTAATTACACCAATTTGGTCGCTGTGATGTCATGTGACAACGCTCTCATCTCGTGCCCAGGTACTACCGAGTTTAACTGTAGCTGCTTGGAACTGAAAGGGCACGAGACTGAAAACGCTTCACATACCAATTCAAAGAGAAACTATACGGTAGCGCTTCATCCACGGTGACTTGTTCTTACGGGGGGCCTCTCCTTTTCTAACCTTCGACAACTGAACAGGCTTTTGATGATTTTATTTCTAATCGTGAGAATAAATAAAATTTTCTTAGTGTATAAAGCACTTATACGGTAGATTGTTATCAAATAAATTGATTATATTTCTGTTAGTCTGGTACAATTTTACATCGCTGGGTGCGAACGGAAGAAATGGCCCTGACAGCAACGCCGGTTATAAAGGAACTGGACTCAGGGACGTGCAAGTGAACAATGGAAAACAAGAATGGATTGTACCATTTACTGGCAGATTTCAAGTGGAGGCATGTGGAGCGTCCGGTGGGGAAGGGCTTGCTCACTCAATGGTTGTAAATGGAGGTAGAGGGGCTAAAATTAATGGTACTGTTATGTTAGAAAAAGGAGTCAAACTTGTCATACTTGTTGGACAAAAAGGCTTGTCTTCAGGTGGGAATTACCCAGGGAGTGGTGGTGGGGGATCCTTTGTTGTTTATTCTCCTCAGATGAGGCCTCTTCTCGTAGCTGGTGGGGGAGGGGGTGGTCATTCTCTAGATGGTCTTCCTGGTAATAATCAAGTCAATGGGAGCGGCAACGCTTCCGGCAGTAACGGAGAAGGTGGCCTAATTTGTGCAGATAGTAGCGAGGGAGATACTCTCGACTCTGGATCGGGAGCTGGGATTAACGGAAGTGGAGGATGTTTTAAAAGACCAGATGCGCCTGCTGGAGAGGTGTGCTCAAGGAAAGACTGTAACGAAGGAGGAAAATCCTTTTTTACAGGAGGTAACGGGGGGTGGGCAGCAGGTTGTGATGGTGGCTTTGGTGGAGGAGGAGCCTGTACTTTCTTCGCTGGGGGAGGGGGTGGATATTCAGGAGGTGGAATCGATTATGATGCGGCGAAGGGAGGGGGAGGAGGGTCCTATGTGGAAAACGCAACTTGGAGTATCACTAAGGGAGGTTGCAATGAGGGGGATGGTTATGTTTCATTTCACAATGTAGACTGAATCCATGATACTCACTAAGCCACTTCAGTATAGTCATGGCTCAGGTGATTTTAAAGTTGCACGCGCTCTGATAATCATCTCGCGCGAGGTGATTATAGCATAAAAGCTATACTTATACTAAAACAATTATTCGCCTCAGGTTCATTAAATATTGTTCACTGATGCCCTCGACTTCATCTCAGGGATTTTTCAACGATATTCATTTCGCCCTCGACGAATAAATGCTAATCAAAAATCCAAGAAGACATGATAGTCATTCCTGGCTGGTTAAACTGCCGTAAGTTGTTGTATCGAATTGACAAGAAGATGTGACATAATTAAGCCACTTAGTCGATCAAATTTATTTTGGCGAAGTTTATATCCAATTTTTTTTTACTTTTAATATGTTCTAAACTTTACTACGATATTTCTCTGTTAAGGTTATCGTAAGGATAAAGTTAGGCTCATTAAAAGACCATCCTCTACAAAAGAATGTCAAGAGACTACCGCCAAAGCATATTGAAACTTCACTAAAACGTATAAGAGTTAACAAGTCTCAGGTGTATTGTCGGCATAAACTCGGATAAATCTAAGGCTAACATTAAAAAATTAAAAAATTAACAAGCGGCAGCGCCCACATATTATTACCCACGTCTATCCTTTTGCATCTTAAGCATTTTATCGCTGACTACTCTTACTATATAACATAGTTTTCAGAGGTGGAACGGAGGCAGTATCAGTCCTTGCCAACAAAGGGGGGGGGGGGTCTATAGAAAATTGGCTGCCGATGAGGGGGAAGGGGGAAAGGAATTCAAAAGAATGGCACAGCCTCACATGGGATCAGTTAAATTTTATTGTGACAAAATAAGAATTCTGCAACCCACGCCCCCCCCTCCCCCGCAGATGTTAAAAAATGACCGGCTTCTTAAGTATCTTCATGCTTCAACCCTTTATACCCCCAACATCAGAATGCATATTCTCCATACTGTTCTCTATACATTTCCTTAGGTGCTAATGAGGAGAATTTGTTTAACAATCAAGAGCTCCTTCAGTTGATGATCATTTTCTCTTTTCTTGTGACCTGAATATTTGACCCAGGGGTGATAATGAAAGGAGAAATTAGATTCTGGTCACTCTTAAGGGGTCAAAGGGTTAAAAACACGCGAAGAGGTGAGTAGGAGTGAGTCTGGAGCGAGTCAGGTACTCTAGCCCCACCCCCCTCCCCCCTCAACATATCAACTCTGAAATCTTTTTTCCAAATTGCATTTTCTGCAACCTGCTAAAAAAAAACATAAGTTCGATTCTTGCATCTCAATATTCTGGAGACAAAACTGCCAATAGACAAAAAAGTAAGTTTCACTCCGGTGGTATGACTCTTAAGTGACATAAAACACTATTATTTATTAGTCCAAATTAAAGCAAAAGATTCAAAGACACTAAATATTTTTCACGAGTGTGTTCTTAATCACTATCATTTCAATCTTATCCATTTAATTCATTTACCAATTTATCTGAGTTTTAAATTCGTACCGAATGTGTTCGAAAATTAATTATTATCAAACCCAACGAAGACTTACGAAGGTCATTAAGTCGTAAACGTTCGGTTTGTATATCAAGACCTAAAATGAAGGTACTGGACAAAGAGAATCGAGTAATGGTGGAGCCTTTATCCATTGGACACTTTCAAGATATGGAAATGTGTTTCCCTGAATGAAGGCTTCACCTTAGTGAAGGACACCAATACAACGGTTACGGGAAATTTTTTTTTTTTTTTTTTTCACTTGGAGTCAAAATTTGCATCCCGTTGTTTTGAAGAAAGGTGCTCCAAAACAGAGGTTTCTTCAGCGAAAGGACAACAATATCAAAGTTACAGGAACATTTTTTTTTTCATTCGGAGTCAAAATTTGCATCCCGTTGTTTTGAACAAAGGTGCTCCAAAGCAGAGGTTCCTTCAGCGAAAAAGTTGCAGGAACATTTTTCTTTTTCATTTGAAGCCAATATTTGTGTCCTTGTTTTTTAAACGCAGGTGTCCCAAAGGAGACGTACTCCTGTTCTAACTGACCTATTCATTACCACCGTGGGCTCACGTATGTGGGATAACATGATGAACAGAGTATAGCTTTCACTGCGTTCCGAAACTTATCGTATCTCAATGCATAAATTACGGGGTTCAGCATGGAATTCAGTAGTCCTAAAAACCTGGCCCAGTCTATGACTCTTTTGAGCTCATCTCTTATGTTATTACTTTTGTTGACGTAACCGAAGAAAAGGATATTTTCCATGACAAAACAGGGAGCCCAGCACAAGAAAAAGACACCGACAAAGAGGAACACGGATACAGCCACCTCTCTTTCTCGCCTGTCAATGCCCACAAACAATTGCGGCATATTTCGCACCAGGCTCACGCGACTACCAGTACTTTCTTCGAAATCTTGACGAATGCATCTTCGGACCAAGTAAAATATTCGTTGGTATAAAAGAATCATGAAAATCATGGTTGGAATACCAATTGCATCTGTAACGATTAATCGAAACTCTGTTGTGTTGCCATTGTTAAGCAGTGAAAGCAGCGCGACAGTCGCAGCAATGAGCCAAATATAGGCTATAGCCAGTTTTGGATGAGAGTATATGAGGTAATCTTTGCTATGAAGTGGCGCTGCTACCACTATGTAACGTTCAAACGCCAGGGTCAAAATAGTCAGGGCAGACGCCACCATGGAGAAATACATCAGAGTATACACAGCCAGATGGAAGTGTTCGTATTCCTGGAAAGCAAAGTAATGAAGAAGGCCTAGCAACAGCTCACACGGAATGCCCACGATAAGGTCACATACCGCTAGATTCAGGATTAAGTAGTTTGGGATGGTTCTCAGTTCTCTGAATGGATCCTTTGCTATTGCGACAACCACTAAACCGTTTCCCAGTACGGTTAAGAAGGACATTGTAAAGGCTGTATAGGCCTCGGGAAGAGTCATGTCGGAAGCAGTAGAGCTATTGGTTAAGTTGGGGCAATTACTCATTTCGTCTTCCCAGAAGCCTGGAAAAAAAGAGAAAACAAACAGGAATAAATTCCCAAATGTTTCTTCGTGTAATGAACATTGTCTCTAAAACCTCAGTCTACTTATTTTAGTTTCCCTTGTTTATATGAACAAACGAGACAAGCGTATTTCATTACATTAGTTCGAATGTATAATTTTCATCTTAGTTAGAATAGCCAAAATAATCATCAGCTTGTTTTAAATGTCCGAACCAGTGAATTTTTCATGAAAGAAAATGTACAAAGCACTAATATCAAAAGAGTACGCGTTCGAAAAGAACAAGAAAGTGTCAGAATATCCCTTGTAAGTGAGGCTTGAGGGTGCATAATTGTGCACGAGGGCTACTAAAATGTGTCGATACTTAGGATTCACTAAAGAAAACCAGTAAACTTTTGTTTTGTTTTTGTTTCTTGGTGTTTTTTCCTTTTCCTTTTTCTTCTACTTCACCGTTCCTTGAAATTGTCACGCAACCTCCCACCCCCCCCCAGCAAGTTATCAGGGAAGGGTTATGTTACAAGCCATAAGGTAAAATTTGTTATGCAAACTATGGCTCTTAATAAGCTGTCACGCTTCTGCATTTTGACCTTGAAGTTGAAACAAAAGACAGCTTAAAAATGAATTAGTTAGGTTTCCTTTAAGGCTTGTATGTTAATTTGTCTGGTTTTGATCTTTGTTGCTAAAAGAAAGACAGTCGAGCGTGGCTGAATTATTTACCAAATATCTAAAACAAACGTGCCAAGCCGGTTATGATCCACATTCCTTCACTGTATGTTACAATGTGAAACTATCCAGTGTTTCATGAAAAACCCGGCGGTTTTCTAAAATGGATTACTTCAATGAATCGAGAAAGAGAGATTGCAAATGAAATTCGAAGTTTTAATTGCTACGCAAAAGAAAATGTCACGATGAAAAGCATGTAATCAAAGCTGGTAACAAGGGTGGTTAATCAATCGATCTGCTTAAAGAACCGTATCGAACATATCATTTACGCAACCCCTATAATAATCTTTTAACAGCCAGGAGCTGAGCTCCTACTTTGAGGCTCAAAGCCAAACGGATTGATCCAAATGAAAGCCCAGAAGCACCGATATTGCTCACCCTGGAAGAGCTTATTTACTGCACATCAGTGGCGTGTTCATCAACACTGCCTCTCGACAGGCCACACGATATCCTTAAATCGATCTAACCCGTTGAAGCACGCATAGCTTCGAGAAGAGAAAGAGCAGCACTTTACAGTGACTAAATGCGGAATTAATAGACACTGTTTCCACCTGGACTGAGATCTACTATGCCGGAAAAACAGCCAAGCTTCACTTCATTTTACATGATCCTGAACGAATCAGTTTTCCATGATGGCGCCAACTGATCCCTCGACTTCTTACCCTGCTTTGACACGTCGACGACTAAACTCAACGAAGCTGAACAAAGGTAAATAGACCCTAACGATCTTACCTGAATTTTCCATTGCCAAATGAAAGATCTTCGGTCCAACTTTTCCTACAAATGCACACCGAAATGTCGACGATTGAGGTTTGAACTCTGCAACTTTCCTAGCCTCCTGATCATCACGTGATCTTCACTGTGATCGCTTCTGGGAAAAAACGGAACAGGAAGCAAACGTCTTTACGATGATATTAAGCCTCACTACAATAGCTTTTGTTTCGCTGGGTCAGTTCAAGGAACATTCAGCTAACTTTCTGTCTTTCTCAGTCTTTTGTCCGTGTATTGCTATGTTTCATTTGTTTGCTATTCGGAAAGGAACCCACTGCCAAATTAGGCCTATTTCAATCCGTTCACTTGCATAAGTTTTCAGTCAGCGCTTTGTGACATGGATTCCTTGGGGCTCAACATGAGATGAGAGACTTCAAGTCTATGCACGACTCAGTGTTGGGCATTGTTATTAATCTTAATCACTAATTAGGTTGCCTGAGAGAGCAGGGTCCTGCCTCGATCATGACTTTCTGCTTCACGCGTATGAATAAAAAAATCGAAAGCCGAAATGAGCATCAGCTCTCTGATAATTCGTTATTTAAAATTATGCGGACTTCATCGCGATCTTACGACAACGTTTCTATTCTCCTTATGCAAAGTTGGACATTTATTGAGTCATTTACGTGATGTGTTCACTTTGAATTTCGATAGTCACGCAAATGTAGATAATCCTGACTCACGCGTGACACTTAGCAATTACACTGTGTATCCACAGGCATTCCAAGCTCACGTCTCTAGAAAATAGGCAGTAAAGACTGCAAATGGCTACTGATATAGCGCAATTTTTTATGGCATTGAAAAATCCAGGGTTGTATTGCTTGCTTTGCCATCACTGTTATTCCTGTTATAAGACGTTCGGCGTTAAGATAACGGTGAAATTCGTAATTTCGTTCGTCTACACATACCACCATTTCATGAAGCCTCTAAGTTTCTCGGATGGTTTATATCATTACCGACCATAAAAAAGTCGGTAACGTAATTACTTACTGGCTACAACATTTGCGTCAGTATAATAGGAAATTCTAAGATAGCCAGTGACACAATGACTTAACGGCTACATTTTCGTAATATATAGGTTAAAATTCTTCCGACTTAGCTGGAGGCTGTTCAAATTTTACATATATAGACCAAAACAACAACGAGATTTGTGATTAACATAATTCCCTAAACTCATCACTGACAGGAGCTTATGATACGCTCCTGTCACTTATACGTAAATTTAATTTAAACAGAAATAAACCCATTGAAGGAAGAGGCTGTAAGGTTTTTGAGAGAATTTATTCAGGCTATCATTTCGAGGGATTCAATCGCATTCACTCACATAGCAGAAAGTTCCAAAGTTGCCTTTAGGTTGTTGACGACCTCATATTCTTTTTTATTGATTGAGCAAAAAAATTTCCTAGTACAATTTATCTCAAGCTATGAAACCAACATTTCGTTGGAAAACATTGGAATGTTTCCGTTCATCTTCGCATTTGGCGCACTTCAGTAAACCCTTTGACCCTCTAAGAGTGACCAGCATCTAATTTCTCCTTACAATATCACCTCTGAATCACGGATCACAAATAATTACCAACGAAGAAAGCTCTTAATTACAAGTACAGTATGGAGAATATGCACTCCGATAGCAGAATGTAAGCCGGGGTTTTAAAAAAGCGTTGTAAACAGGGTTTACGCCCTCGTCTGCGTAGCTGGCGGTTTTGTGCGATGAGCAGTCGAGTGGTCCAGTCGGGAGGGGTCAACCATTTTTTCTCACAAGCCTCTCGCGACTCACCGTTCGCAAAAACAAAACCGCCAGCCAATAGATTATCGTGAAAGGCAACTATTCCACATTTTTACGTCATTTCCATCGGAACATACTAGAAGTGTAAGATACGCGGTAATCCTGCAGTACAACGTGCGAGGATTCCACATCGGAAGGTAGCCAAGATGCTTTCTTGGAAAAACTTTCTCAAAATGGGCTTTGTTGCTCATGAGCTGGCTTTTTTCCATTCCGGAGATAATACATTTTTTCAAGCAGCATACAGTCAGAATGTTGAGGAAGGCTAGCAAAATGCTTTTAGTTAAAGTAAATAAGCAAGCCTAGAACTGACTGATTGCAGCTGAGCGGAACAGAGAGAGCGGATGTGTTATTCGATTACAACAAAAACATAAAGATATGAAGCTGAATTTCGAAAATGGCAGGATTAAAATCTTCAAATTTTGGCCTCATTACATAAAGATCCTGAAATTAAGCCCTTTGCTAAAAATCTGCGAGACTATTATTTCTTAGGTACTTTCTGATCAAGTTTGTTCACTATTTATTTCGTTTAATTCTGAGATCATGTATCTTTTTTTTCTTTTTTTTTTTTTGTATTTCTATATATCTGTAATCAAGCAGGGCTTTGTTTGTAAATGGAATTACGAGCAGACCATCGGAGTAAAGTAAACGAAAAGGAACGTTTGGTGAAGAAAGAAAAAAACTGAAGTGTTAAAAGTCAAACAAGTCAACTGATTCATAAAAAAAAAAGATTTTTATTAGAGTGTTGGCGCAAAAAAAAACCTCATCGAATATTTCCGCGAAAAATTCAAAATGAAACTAAACCAAACAAAAAACTGAACTTGCCGATCCCTTTTCTTTTGTAAGTGTTCCTGTGAAGAATCCTTAGAATTTTAAACTTTTTACTAAGTTCAGTGTTGATGAAGTTCACTTTCAGTTGCGCATTCTGATCGCAATCACAACGTGTTTTTGTTTACGTTTTTCTTTTCTCCCTTTTTTTCTTTCTTTCCCTCTTTCTCCTTTCTCATGAATTATTTTTTCCTTATTCATTTCTCCTTTGTAAGCTTATTCGCTTTGCTAGTGAATTCGAATGTTTGTACCAGGTTATCAGTGAATGCAAACAGCATGACTGTAATCAAGCTGTCCTCTTGAATTGGACAGAATTTTAAATTTGATCAGGGCATCATCGCGTCAAAGCAAACGGGTAATTAGAATAGAATGAATAAACCAGGTGTAAGTCATAGGCGTGCATAGGAAATGACTTATTAAAACAACACTTTCTATTTGTTTTTCAATAACACGACCCTTGCTGGGTAAAAGATGAATTCACCGACAGCGAGTTGTATTTGTAAGTTGTAAAGACTCCATCAAGTTCATAATCCGCACAAATACTCGATCATTATTGATCCTTTCGTCGTTGTACAAAAACCTTCCGTGACGGAGAGGATTAACATATAGCTGCAGCTCTAAGAACGATGAAGAAAATAAAAAGTAATTCCACTGTGTCGAAACTCGGAGAAAGCGCCTACAATGCATTGGTTTTAACTAATCAGGTTAGTGGAGACGACAAACGCATTCTGCAGTACAGCTACAATCTGGTGAGCGACACGGAAAAAGGTGAATTTTCGAGGTCGTTCGACGATTACAGTTGCGGGAAATTGAAAAGAAATAGTTCGATGTTTCGATCAGAACGAACGATACCAAACTCGCCAAGCAACGAAGGAAAGCAACTCCCAGAGAAGAAGAAAGTCTTCCGCAGTATCAGTAACCCAATAACGGGTCGACGCACTTATGGCATCGAGGCAGAGAAAGTTTCAGAACGATATAAAGTTAAGGAACGATTCCCTAGCGATGGGGCGACGCCAGGCGTTGGCGAAGAGGATTCCTCATCACGCGTTTTGGAGGCAACGATCACGGAAAATCCCGAAACGATAAAGAACGATTCTCGGGTGCTCTCACGCGAAACTCACGCGCGTAAAATAGGGCTCGGCGAAACAACAAACACTTCCATCATGAGTCACAAGCTCAGAAAAAAAGGTGTCTGCGATACTACAGATAATTCACATTATCAAAGGCAGTTTTTGCGGGTCTTAAACAAGCGATTCTAGAGGTGTACTTCGTAGTAAAAAGTCATCTGGAAGGTTTGTTAGACACGAGCATTCAGTACATTACCGATATAACGTCTTGCCTCGTCCGGTTATGAATATGTGTATATAGCTTATTAGCGCGACTAAAAATAGCAAAAGCTTCTGCGAATGATATATATGTCATGCTCGTATACAGCTACATAGATAAACATTAACGACGAATTCAAATATCTTATAATGAAGATATCCTAATTATAAATACAACATCCCTGAAACTTCTTGTGGAGTCACAATCATATACATGAGGATTAACTCGTAGATATATTTGTCTTTCGCCGTCCTTGCAGAATATGCGCATTCAACAATAAATGTAACTGAAGCAAAACTCAAACTTTAATGTTTTTTTTTCCGTTGTAGATGAATTAGAAAAATGAGAAAAGATTGAAACACAGTCACAAGCAGTGTTATCGAAACCGAGATCCGATTCAGTTAAAAAAATATCGTCTCAAAATGCAAATTCATGTTCTGTTTACAGATGTCGGGAAATCGTCCTCAGCCATTTACAATTGAAATCTTAACTTACAAAACGAAACCTTGAAAAATACAGGTGGCTTTCTTAAAAACAAACAATTTTCATTTTTATGTGTCATTCACTTATGCGCGAAAACAATCTCCGCGGTTATAAGAAATTGAAAAGTCGTAAGAGTTTTCAAAGGTGACATTTGGCGTTTGCAGATTATAATATGCCTTGTGTTTGATCCAAATTGAAAAGAGGAAATTTGATCTTCTACCAAAAGTTATTAACGCTGAGAAATATGGAAAAAAAAATTTTGCGAAGTCACATGAATAAATAATAAACATTATTGTTCATAAACACAGTTCGAGACTATGGAAATTTAGTTCTTAAAAACTCTCTGAAAAACAAATTTCCTCTGACCTTGCAGAATTTTCTACACACTTTCTACTCGCAATTGTGTTTCATTATCTGCGTTTGGAAATCATCAGGAGAAAAAAATTAAATTTCAATTTTATAAACGCATAACGCTTTTCATCCGAGTTTTCGATGGAGAGTTCTTTAACCCTTTAACTCCAAGATCTGGTCGTTAACTCTCCTCTCTAGCTGTTAAACATTCCCAGTAAATAAGTAACAAGAGTTTGGCGTTAGATCAAGATAACAACTTCTCCCTGATAAGTTTGAGTATTCTCATAACCTTTATGCTGGATGATGTCTAGATATAATATGGAGAAATTACATGTTAATCACCTGTGGGAGTTTAAAGGGTTGACCCCTCAACCTCGTGGAGTGACTAGCATCTAATTTTTGCTTACAGCATCTAACATTTGCTTACAGCATCACCACGGATTCAAACATTAAGGTCATGAGAGGTAAGTGGATCATCGCTTACTATAATAGCTATTGGTTTTTAAATAGTTTCTCCTAGACAGTACCAGAGCAAATGTATACAGAACACCATACCATGACAATAACGCAAAGTGAGGAGAATGGTATTGCGTTTTCTTTTGTTGGTTTTTTTTCCTTATTTAATTCTTCCTCGTAGCATTAATTACAATATATTAAATATTATCGTAAAGGAACCCTATGCACCTGTCATTTCTGTAAATTAAAGCTTTCCGTAGGATTATTCATGAAATCTACTATGACAGAGAAATTGTGCATTTTATTAAGACACCCTTTAGGACCCGATTTCAAATAATGATTTTTCAGTATCTTCGTGTCAACATCGATCTCTTAGAGAATCCGAGTGCAAAAAAAAAGACTCGATCCAGAATTCTAAGTCTGTTTCCCACATCACGTACATGGATATTTTTTTCCTCCTTCAACACTGACGGCAGCTCTTCTTGCACGAAGCCAACATAAAGCCTGGATTCTTCCGACATTCACCATATCGGGCCCACCATCTGCAGTTTCGGTTTTTATCAACGCAGTTTCCTGCAAAAACCAAAAAAGAAGTTTGTTGTTCTTTTCGTTCGAGAAAGGGATATTGTATAATCTCTTTCATTTCAACTCAGGGAGATCGTTTCGCATGCAATGTCTAAGTCTTGATGTTTTTAAAAATATACATGTAGATATATTCCCTCGAGGGTTGCCTAACGGTCAGTGCACTGGACTTCGGCTAAATAGGTCTGGGTTCGAGACCTTGCCGGGTCCATGTGTCGTGTTCAAGGACAAAACACTTTACTCTCCCAGTGTTTCTCTCAACTCAGGAGTATAACTGCTGAGGGGTAACCCTGCAATGGACCAGCATCCCAATCAAGGGGTAGTAGCCATACTCCTAGTCAATTCATGCTGTGGAAATAGGAATAAGCTGTGGCTGGGAGAGTCAGGTGACTCGAGTACTTACTTGACCTTACCTTAAAAGTTTAGAGCTAATTCACCCGCTCCCATACAACCTCAGCCTTTAATTGGGCCTGTCTTGGAATTCTTAGAGCACCAGGTACGTCTTACAAAAAAGTCAAGTTATTACTAAGGAAAACTGTTACTTTGTCAAGATGTGATGCAAGTCTATCCTAAGTTTCCTCATTTGATTTCGCCAGCTTTTCCGTAAAGTCTGTCGATACTCATTAACTGTATATGGTTTGAACTCAGGGGTAACATGTGGTCGTGAAGTCCGATCGTCCGGGTGAGGGTAGCCCTGAGAAGGACTGTTGTCGGTAGTAGCAATTGACTCTCAGGTTGTCGAAAGGTCAGTCACCAATACCGACGACAGTCCTTCCCAGGACTACTCACTCGATCAGACTACGCGCTCGATACACATTTCATACGCATGAGTAGCACAATCGATCCCGAGACCAAGACGATTATCATAATGGTTTATGGTTGGTAAAAGACAATACTTACCTCCTCCACCTCCACTGCACTTGTTGCAACTTTTCATACAGTTCTTTAACATGTATCCTGGGTTGCGTGTGCATTCGCCTCTCCTTGCCCAAGAAGGGCAGCTAAAATGGAGATCTTTGCAATTCACTGTAAAAACGAGACATTTAAGTCTTTATTTATCTCTTAAAGATGTTTTACAGCTCGGTATAGTGACGCCAACACGATCAAAGGCCAAAAATATAGAACGAACAGACGAAACTACTCCCACACACAATGCACCCTTGTGGGTTTTCAATTGATTTCAGCTCTAACTTACTCTCGCAGATAAAAACACGAGATAAATTTTTCTTCTGTCATTTTTTCCTCTCTAAGATTGACACCACATGACGGTGCAATTTGGTAGTCAGGTCCTTAAAGTAGTATTTGTTCTCAAATGAAGCATCTATATCTCAATCATAATATATCATAATTTGCACACGGAGCGACTAAAAAACACATGACCTTGCTCACCTGGTGGTCGAGGAGTTTGAGGTTTTGGTGGGGGAGGGGTATTTGGGGCAGGTGGGGTGTTTGGGTGGGGAGATGTTTTAGGGGGTGGAGGGGTGTTAGGAGCTGGGGGAGTATTGGGAGCCGGAGGAGGAGTGGTGTTGGGCGGGGATGCCGTTGGTGGTTTCGATCCTACAGGTCGCTTCGTATGAAAATCCATCAGGGTTCCTCTGCCACCTAAGAAATGAAGATGATATATAATGAATTGATGTGGGGATGATGATCGTGATATTTGACAAAAGCAAAAAAACAATATTTGACACGTGTTTGAAAATTAAAGGGGACTGATGTAGGATGTGGCAGGAAGATTCAAAAGGGGAAGGTATCGAGAATATACAAAATAAGGGCTGTAAAATATTCGAGACAGATTTCTTTAGCGCAAGCGATCTTTAATGGACAGATGCTGTGCCTCACTGCAAATAAATAATTAAATAAATTTTAAAAAAAAAATTTTAAAAAACAAACAAACAAGCAAATGAAGAGATACCTAATTACTAGCTCCATAAATGAATAAGTTAAAGAAACTTACTTCTGTCACAGTTCATTTTGAAGCGAACTTGCCTATTTCCTAAGAACAAATCCATCAAAGTCTATGTTAGAAAACGGACACGTTTGGAGAAAGTATATATATCACAGGTATCGCGAGTTTCTTTTCAGAGGTAGTTTTAACACAATAAGCCACTTAGATGCAAGTAAATTTCTGATGCCTCTCTGTCATTATCGAAAATGATACAAAGCCACCCAGGCAAGAAAGAAAAATCAAGGTGTCGATTGACCACCCTGAAACACTTTTCCGTTGGCAAACTACAGTTACCTTCATGGAAGACTCTTTGGCAACACGTGCACTAAACATACACAAACACACCTCATCCCTGGTATCGACGTGGCCCATAGAAACGTACATCAGTGTTGTCAATCAACACCAAGCAACGTATGAAACTCAATCCTATTTAACGCAATTTACAGCATAAACCAACAGATAAAACGCAATACTGGAAGCAAGAAGCACATAGGTCTTACACACCTACTACCGCTTTTCTGCAGAAGCTTATCGCAATTTCATCTACATGCGGCGAATAGAGTATGGTTATGACGGAATACTAGTCTGTCTGCTAGACTAGACTAACACCTCGGTCTATAGAGGAAACTTTCATTCGCAAAGAAACAAAATTGAACACTAAAATCAGTGATCAGTTGCCTAAGGATTATCAGGTTTGAAAGTTCTATGAACAGTTCAGCAGCACAGTTTTCTCTGTTTTTTTGCACGGTCTTATGGCTTATTCGAGGCCCATTCTCGTTATTTCACAAAAGGTTTATTTAAAAGAAAGCTGTTACAATTTATAATTTATGAGAAATTGTAACTCACCCCTTCGCCAATCGCATCGCTTTACATATTTGTTCCGACAAGGGAAAATCTCCAGGAGAAATCCATAAAGTACTGGATCGTAACTCGCCAACTCTATCCTGGTGTTGACGTGGTTGTGGATTCCGTTTGTTGGAATCTGTTCATCGTTGCAATCAAAAAAACTCTGGGCACCTTCGGCGAGATACTCCCGGTCAGTAGACATAGCGTAGGTATTTCTCCATCTCGCGCCTGTCTGTCTCAGGTAGTTGTATCGCTGGCGCAGCCTGCCATCGAAGTTTGGAATTGCACCGTTTGAGGCTATTCCTAAGTTATGTAGTCCGTGAATAAACTCGTGAAGGAAAATGTCCTCTCTGGGATAGCGGTCTCTCCTTCTGTCGCAAAGAAGGTTTTCTTCTCCACCTGGAATGAAACCAAAGCCTCACATTAATAATACAATGTCGGAATGATTCTAACGGAATATTTCTTTCGAATAAAAGAAAAACCCTCCAACCTCATTGCAGAGTTCGTTGGCTTCACATTTTCAATACATCATCCAGCAAAGAAGTAATATAATTTTCACGCGGAGCTAATCAGCTTAAGCTTTAGGGCAGTATCCCCGTATAAAACCAAAAGAAAAAAAACAAAGACGATTCTGTGATACATAATTACATGGAGTAGCTACGATCAGAAATTTAACCCCTGGTATTGGATCAACTTATAATCCCCTAACTGATATTTTTCTTTTTTCTCATCACTTTCCTGCCTTATATTGTCTTGATACTGTAAGGAGAAATTCTGTCTTAGTCACTCATAGGATTTAAAGGGTTGAAGGAATATTTATCACCAGCTGCCTAAAGGTAACTGCGCTTTCTCTACATAGCATGGGTTGAAAAATGGTCTCTTGCTCGATTGTACATAATACGATAGAGCAGGGTTATAGAGTGCCTTTCTGACAATCTAGACTAAATTTTATGTCACAAATTCTTAACAAGTTTCTTAAGAGAGCATGTTCTTACCTGTAGATATTGGATGTCTAATGGTCGCCCCTAATCCCCTTGCCCGTTGGTTCCACCAGCTTCCGAGCCACGAGTGCTCAGGAATACTCGTGACACCTTCACTGTAGGCAATCACACCTGCACGTCCATAACGCTTGTAAAACCACGAGCGAATATCTTGGCGGTCGGCGAATAGAAATACAACAACGTAGCATGCTCTCTTTAGTGCATCATTCTGAACTCTATTGGAACTTATGACAGGTATACCGAATGCGTGCAAGTACTTCTGGTAGAAGGTGCTTAAACGATATCCACGTTGAACATGCGAAGGGACTCTCGTTACTCGTTCACATTCCCAAGTGACCGATGGCCGCCCTAGCCTTGCTCGGGAGCCTAGATAGAAAAATGAAATGTTTATCAAACATGTTTGATCCACAACGTCACCTACACAATTCAGGAAAGTTAGAGAATTTCATGTTCCTTGAATAAGTCAGGTTTTTTCATGTTTCCCCTCGGAAAAAATAAGTTACCTCACGCAAGATGTCCACTCTAACACTGAACCTAACCATCAGACAGGTCTTCTTTGATGAAATGGTCACGTCACGCAACGTTCTTGTCAACAATCTTCCCTTTTCACCGTTTCAAAGGTCGATTCAGACCTCTTGCCATTGAGGGGTAGGGCAAGCGCTATTAAATGCGCATAAAGCCACGGCGAGGTAGCCTGCAGTGCAAGCGTCTTATTAGGGCAAGCTAATGTTATAAGCTCGCTTTGGAGTTAGAGTGAACGGTGGAGGTAGGGGGAGGGGGAAGGCGAGAAGACGCCTGCTCGAAGAAGCTGTTGAGAAGCAAAACACCCCATGACTAATCTTCACTCCCTCTCCTTAATTTTGACCGTCGACCGCCCCCTTGGTATAAATTTCTTTCTCTCCCCAGCCTTCTGCTGCCACTAAAATAAAAAGTGGCGGCCATAATTTTCCTTAAAAAAATACTGAGCACTCCCTCGCCAAAACCACGCCTCGCCAAAATAACGGCGAGGCGGCACGTCACCTCGCGGGACCGCAGGATCATTTTAAATAAACTTGGCATGACGCAGGGGTAAAACCCTCCGCGAAAAGCAGAATTTCAAACCTATAGTAGTGCCGTTTTTTTTTTTTAATTCAAAGATCGACATAAAGTTATAGAATAAACTTCTATACATACCTAGTCTAGAATTATCTTCATCGATTTCAGCAGACAACTTCATGTACGCGGTAAAGTTTGCTGGAGTGTAATCTATCAAGTGTTGAAAAGGGAAAATCAATTTCCCATCCCATGCCGAAAGCAAATATCGTAACTCTTAAGGGTGAGACATTGAGGTCATGTGGGTAAAATCGAAGGAATTGCGAAACGAATAAGTTTGTGAAAATCAAAAAAGGCGTGGCGAATGACGCTTAAGAAAAATATTTATAGATCATCAAAAATTTGTAAATGGTTAATCTCAAATTGTCAGCGCTCAAAAGTTGACACTAACTACTTCGGTTTGAAGAAATCCTTACTGGCAATAATATCCCACGGTCTGCATCTTCACTGGCAAACAAGGCTTGCAAGGATGTTTAGAGGGAACGCCCTGGTTATTTGCCCCATTTATGATTTTAAAATAAACTAATGCAAAAAATGTACGATACTAGATAAATATTTCACGATCTGATCATAAGATATGAGCAGGAGAAATTTTTAAACCTGAATGCTGTCTTGGTTTCGTAATACTAAAAACGTTCGATCATTCCCGATCTTTTCAGCGCCGACTTTTATGAATAAACAAATAGCTGGTACTCGAAATGTTCTTAATTGACTCTAATAAATCGAAAGCACTAACGAATTAGAACTGTTCCTAAATTTGGCCAGTGTTGCGTAGCTGACTCACCTTTTCCGTGGGACCATTTTCCAGCCAAAAGGATGAAATATGCACTGAGAAGGAGCTTGTCAAGCATCGTAGACTGCAGCTAACGTTATTTGATTATCCCCTCTTCTTCTTCTCAGTCCTGTGTTAAGAAGAAACTGCTCTGAAAACTCGAATTTATTTACATGGATAGGTCGTAACGTCCCACGTTTGACGCATATGAAGACCAGATAACATTACATATAGGAAATGCGCCCTAATGTCTGACGGAAATAACGCATTAACTAAATTTGATCCTCCCTGTCGACACAAAAGAACTTTACAGCTGAGTATGCTTGCATGAATAACCCTCGACTAGTCTATTTTATTCTGTTTATTTCCGTGTCTGTAAATTGTCCTTTTATGGTCTACCGAATCATTTTGTCCTCACTTTAAACAAATATCAAAGCACACGTATTTGAGTCATCTGCGTTTTTCGCATCACCGTTGCGCAATATCTTCACGGAAGAATTGGAACTGAATCAAGAGGGGGTCGTATTGATTTGTTGGGGTCACTAGCTTGCACGACGCGTGGCTCCTAAATTACAAATTACAGTGGCTCTTCTTTGTTCTCAGATCTATCATCAGTCATTCGTCGGAAGACCTCTCACTTTGCCTCGCTTCAGTTTTCAGTGTCTCAAAATTGCGAGAGGTGACTGAAGGTTACGTGCCTGTCTGTGTTATCACTATGCTTTCATTACGACATAGTGTTCCTCCTCCAGTTCACGCCTTCGTCACGAGACGGACAAGTTCGTTTCATGATTTTCCCTGTTTTGGTCAAAGATTGTATATTCTTAGCTAATTTAATTAGTCGCGCAGATTTATCTCTCAAATCATATACCCTTACAAATACCGAATTAAGAAGAAATGTGTTGTAAAATAGTTCATACAGAAGTAAGGAGACAGCGAATGCAGAAGTATTTACAAGGAAATATATATAACGGCGTAATTATTTACAGTATTTCTGTTACTCAAGACCTATACTCATTGTGCCTCATTTCCAGTACTCTGCTTGCACAAATCTATTAATATAAATACGGTAGAGTATAGAGTAGCATCTTTCACGCAGCAGGGAATATGGCTCTATTTCAACAGTGAGCCTGGCACTAGTAGGTTCTGCATATACTGGCTTCTTAGCCAGACTCCGTCTAGTAATTCAACAACTACAACAAATAGACAGACGCGTCAATCAAATCCTGAATTTATAGACTAGAAAAATGCATTAAATGAAATGGTGAAATCCCAAGGTGTTAAATATATATATATATTTTTTTAATTTAAGAAGAGATCCAGAGGAGTTGGAAAACAAATTTTCTCACTCGCCTATAGCTAATCAATTGCGCAACGCAGCATTAGAATTTTTAGCCTTGCTGACCCATTTATCTTTAAGGGTGACTAACATCTAGTTTCTCCTTACAATATCACCCCCGAATCAAACATTGAGGTCACGAGAACGAATGAAACGACCTGCACCAAATATAGAAGTTCTTGATTATTTTAAAACAGTTCTCCTTGTCAGCACCATGGAAAATGTATAGAGAATACGCATATTGATGTTAGGGTGTAAAGGGCAAAGACTGAAAGGTTTCGCAAGGTATTCCAGTTAGCTCAAACGGACTGGCGTTCTCCAGGCAAAGAGAACAGACCAATTACCAAAGCTCTGTTGTGTCTGGTCGTGTTTAATTAACCGCCTACAAAGAAAAAATAAGACTGCAAATTTACATCGTGTAAGTCAAAATCAACTTCATTTGCGAGCTTTTCCGAAAAGTTCAGTAATCTCAAAAAATTATGTTAATCCCATTTTGTCCATTTTGGTTAAAATGATAAGCACATTTAAGCCATCAGAGTCTGGTGACAATAAATTTTCACATATTTCGATTTCCTAAGATTTTAATTTTGTACTTTTATGTAAATGATATGTTGGATAGCAAAATTAGCTCGAAGATGATTTAACGTTTGGACCGAAATGTCAGCCTCTAAAGGTTCTCTCGGGACTGTATTCCTTTCGAAATTCTGTGATTGACAGGAGCAGGTCAAATTGTTGTCATAATTCGTGACGTGAAGGAAATTAAGCGCTCAATAGTAGACAATAGTTTGCACCTAACATGCAAATGAATGTCAACAAGAGCGTTTTACTTGTAATTAGAATTACTGACATTTAATATTCCGGTTTGGTTCTTTCCGCGCTTTTAGAGGTGAATTGATCATGAAGATAGAAGGTGCTGTGGCCTTAATTACCGGTGGGGCTTCAGGAATCGGCAAAGCAGTCTGCGAGAAACTTTTACAAGATGGAGCGAAGGTTAGTTAATTCGAGAGCTGCTTGCCAAACAGCGGTTCCCTCGATTTCACATACAGCCTAAGCACAAAGCCTTATTGACGATATTAGGAGGACAATTTTTTTTGTAAAGAGTAAGACTACATATGTATTTGAGCCATTTTCAGGGGAGCTTAGATGGGTTTTCATCCCCTTGAAACTATTATTATAAATCTTTACAGAGAAGGAATTCTTGAGAATTGTTTGTTTACCATCGAAGGTTTATTGTACACTGACAAGGTGTTACAATGACTGCAAACATAATATATTGGCTCGGTAAAAATTGTTTATCATATACTTGTCAGTAAAGAAGTGAAAAGTAAAAAACGAATCGATTTTGTAGAAGTTGAAGAAGCCTTGACTCGCAAAAACTACAAATCAAAAAGCTATCAGATTTCACGTTTTTTGTGGTCGTTTGCAACAGATTTATCAGTTCAACACTATTGTTTAGAGTACAATGCAATAGAAAAACCTCAAGTTTTGAAAGATGCCACCTTTTAATAAGATCTATAGCTTTTACATATTCCGATTTTAAAGCTACACTCTGAAGAGGTTTATAGTCGCTACTTGACCCGATTTAGTAGCAAAAAAATTCCCTAAAAATATTTCTCTAAATAGTCTTTCGCATCAGGTCCCAGATGCAGTTTACCTTAGTTACCAAGGAATTTATTGTCTCGCGATCATTTAAAACCACTGGATTTGTTTATTTTAAAATTCATAATTCAGCATAGAAAACTCTGGCTGCGTGTGAAAGACCTACAGCCAGAGAGGCTTTTATTCGCTATTATTATTTTTTTTTATCAATATTCCACGGGGAAGTTTGTTAGTAGTGACGACTAACCTGTAATTAAAGGCAAACAGCATGAATTGGACTTCTTCCTGTCTACTTTCGGCCAAATTTGAAGTATTTCATTCTGCTTTGTTATGTTTTCGTCTTTTTTCGTTTGCCTTTTTTCAATATTTTGAAAGCGTTGAGGTATAAGGATTACACGAAAAGGAGGTAAAATCATAATACATTTTTGCTGTATCGCGTTGCCGAATACGACTGAGGTCGTTATTAAAAAATCTCAACAATCTCACTTATGTTTTCACTTAACTGGCACGCTATGGCAGAAGAGCCTTACGTTTCCTTAAATATCTTTGTTTTCGGCCGGATCGAAAGCCGTTTCCACTTTCTTTATTTCTCGAACGGTCTTACCCAGTCTTTCAGTCTTTCAATTTATTGACATGACTTTTTTTGCAAAGTATAATCGTTATGTCGGAAATAAGACTAATGAGTCTGCTATGTTCCGAAACTTCACGTTTTATTTTATAAAATAAACTTGATCTCCCTCTCTCTCACACTGTTCTTTGTCTCACGCTCTGGTCTCTCTCGTTTTAAATATGTAATATGATCCTATTGTTAAATCACCTGTCACTTATCGCAAAAAATCAACCGGAAATCAATTAACGCTGAATAATCTCTCACAGTGACAACGAGGATTTTCACATGAGCTCGTCGTAATATTCTCATTTATGTTTTAGTCAGCGAACAAATAATTATATTTAATTGTATTCCTCCATTAAATGCTAATTTATTAATAAAGCCGATGAAAAATAATTATTTACAAATGCTTTGTTTTCTGTATTTAATGTATGATTTCCACAAAGGTTCAGTTCCTTGACATCAACAAAACAACCGGTGAAGCAACACTGAAGAGTTACACCAGCCAACACGCTAACGGGCATGCCAAATTTATATGCTGTGACGTCACTTCTCATGATCAATTAGACGGTTAGTGTATGTCAGTGTATGCGACGTTAATTAATGCAAACTGAACAAGGAAATAACGCCTGACTGGGTAAAACAAATAGTTGTAAACAAAGCTCTCCTTTGCTGTGCAATTGGCACTTTAGACGCCTCCTCAGAAATTTCATATAAATACATAGTCGAATGTCAGACTGATGTATGTTAAAGAGTCAGACATAAAAATCAAAAAGCAAACAGACAGACCAACAGAAGAGTGGAAACAGTCTTTCTGGCTCTCTTAAAAACTCCGAACGAAAAAAGAGACGACTTGCGAACCTGAATTGCGCTACCCTGACTGTCGCGGATTTCTGGGATTGGAAATCTTCCCCCTTTTTTTTCCTCAGCTGCATTTAGAGCCACAGTGAAAGAACATGGCAGACTTGATATATTAGTCAATAACGCAGCAATAATGGACGAACAGGATTGGGAGAAAACCCTCAACGTGAATCTGGTAAAACACATTTTTTTCTTTTGTGAGAAAACCTTTTTTGGCTGTGATCATGAATGAATGAAATGATTGACTTTTTCGGATCTATACGACCCCTTTCCACAGCATGCTGTCATTCGCAGTACTTTTCTTGGAATTGAGCTCATGAAGAATGGCGTTATCATAAATATGTCGTCTACCGGAGGTAAGCTTTAGACTATTATAAAAAAAATAATAGTATTAGCGCACTGCGATAATATCTGGAAGTAAGGCATACGGAAATTAGAGTTCCGCCTGGCGCGCTTGCATCGTTTTTTTTCGCTGATTTTTGAAAACTTGAGCGATGGACTCCGTCAAAAGCAGAGACTGCTCGTTGTCTGGATTAATTAAGAAGAACAAAATGGAGTACAAATGACAAGGCAAAAAATACGAGCTGATTCGTTTAAGATGTACATGATATTGCGGAAAATATTAAATACAGGAGAATAAAAATTTTCCTTATCGCTTAACCATTTATCTGCTTGCGATCTTTATCTTTTACAGGTATCCATCCAGTTTCGTTTTTACCTGCTTACTGTGCTTCAAAGTTTGGTATCGTAGGATTCACAAGAAGTGTCGCTCCGGTACGTGCGCGACTCATAATTCATAGCAAAATACCATACAGATAAACTAGTTACTGTACAGCAGTCCATAAATTGATTTTCCATAACTTGAAGCGTCGGGGAATGAAAGTAGGTTGGGAATGTTTCAATTTAACTTTCCTTGGTAGATACTGTTGCTTATTTAAGACCACTCTCGGTCGCCTAGATAATGTTCCTCTCAGGATGTCGTGCAATGACGTCAGGTTCGTCCAATTGCCCACCCCTCTAATGCTTTTTCCTTTCAATGACAGGCAGCCTTTAGAAAAAAAGGTATACGCGTGAACTGTGTATGTCCAGGAAGTACAGACACGGATATCTACAAGACAGTGGGCAACTTGGAGCTTACTAAGGAGCAACAGGAACTCTTAGTTAGCACGCATAAACAGAAGTGAGCTTTGTACTTTTATATGAATCAGTGGTTACAACTTTGAACATCGAGTCACAAACCGATCTTGGTCATCTCCTTCAGGCGTGGTTACTTACAGCAGTTCCTTCAACTCACAGGTTACTGATATCTGTGTTAACCTTTTATTGTCGCAGACCAGAGGCCGTAGCGGAATGCGTAGTTGATTTGATCAAAGACGAATCGACGGAAGCTGGGCAAGTGGTGAAAGTAACTTACGAAGATGGTGTGGAATATCTTAACTTTAATGACGTACGTATAATGTCGCCAGACATCAGCCTTTATTGGCTCTCGAAAATAAAGGAGTGATAATGAATGAATGCAAAGATGGATGAATGGATGGATGGATGAGTAAAGGAATGAATGAATGAATACATGAATGAATACATGAACAGATTGACGGGTGGATGAGTGAATCTATGAGTTAATGTATTTATGGATAAACGACTGACTTACTGACTGAATAAATGAGAGAATGAAGGAATGAAAGAATGACAGAATGGAAGAATGAATGAATAAATGGGGGAATAAATGAAAGAATGAAAGAGTGAAAGAGTAATTAAGTGATAGAATGAAAGACTAAATAGATGAAATTAATTGATAAGGGAATAGATGAATGAATGATTATATGGTTGGATATATGAATGGATCAATCAATCAATGAGTGGATAGAAGGATGTATAAAAGGAAAAATGGTGAATGATTTGATGGAAACATTGTTTCTTTGTTTCTCTTAGATCGTTATATGACATCATCTGACAAACCAACCAGCGAGCCTGGAGCATTCTGCACCCCATCATAAGATATGCATCTATCATCTTTAAACAATTAATTGATATCAATAGCCCATTACCTATAATGGGCTCCTGTTGATATAGATAATAGATATAGATGAGAGTCAGTAGATTCAACACCCCATGGAGGACTGAGGAAAAAAATGTCATCGTAAGTTTATTGATAGAGTACAATGGTTTGAAAGGTCAGATTAGCGAAATAAATTATCTATTATCGAGAGATAAATCCAACCTTTTCATCATTAATGCCTAATGTCTCCACTTGTACTCCTCTGGTACGTATTAAACCTGGTTCACGTTTCCAAATATCGTTTTATCATCATTTTCTTCTTTTCCGAATCGGAAATCGCTACAAGTTGGCTTCCCAACAAGAATATTGCTGCCATGACCGTTTAAGTTTTTTGAAAAAAGTGTCTTTCTCGCGAGCGCGGCCCCCTGATCACACGAGTAACGTTGTGCACACAGGATAGACAGTGCAATAGAGGACTTCAGGCTCCCCTCCCTGAAGTACTCTTTCTTGACTATCTGTTCGTGACTTGCTCGGCTGGGCCCTAAGTTAGAGCCCAGTCTACTGTGAGGTGGGAGAGAGAAAAACAAATATGGCAGTTCAAAAAAGCAACAGTTGTAACTACTAAGGCGAAACAATTTTAAAACAATGAAGATTTCGGGCCGTGTTGCTTTTGTTACTGGTGGAGCTTCTGGGATAGGACGAGGGATTTGCGAGACTTTGCTGCAATTCGATGCCAAGGTGAGTCCTTCCTGCATATTGTTTCTGAATGCTTCCCGCTTTGGTTGATTAATTGTGATATAAATTCAATTATTCGGCGAGAGGATAGTTATGTTTAAGTGTGTTACTGTTATTTTTGTTACATAAATTTCACCCGAAGTTTACGGAGAAATTTCTCGATAAAATTTTGCATAGCCTTTCCCGCTTTAGGCTATCTCCATTCATCCCTAAGTACTAGCTCAGCCATCAAAATTAAATAGACTTGACAGGTTTTATTCATACCAAATGCACTAATTTCACCCCTATTAGACTTCCAATATTTAATAAATACTAAGATAGTCCACTCTGATGCATTGAACCTTCCTGTTCCTCCAAATCTCCAGTCTATGTATCTTTCCATCCACTCTTCTGCTTGCCTCCATCCAACCATAAAATCACTCTTCATTCATGCATTTACTGGTTGTTATTCATCTATAATATTCCTTCTGTCCTTCCTTCCTTCCTTCCTTCCTTCCTTTCTCCCTTCCTTCCTTCCTGCCTTCTTTTCTTCATTCCTGAATTCATTCATTTATTCATTTACTCTTTCTTTCTTTCTATATAATTTAACAATTAGATTCCACGTTGCTGTGCATCTGTTCAAGGACAAAAAAGTGGCACGTCAGGGGCAGCCGAGTGAGTCACTGATGTTCTTACTACATATTGATATCTTCTGTGATCTATTACTGAACTGACCCACGGCAACTTGGAATCTATTTGTAATACATAATAAAGAAGGAAAAAATTTCAAGTGGTGACACCATCTATGCATCTGTCCTTCAGTAGATCATAAGTAAGAACCAATCAAACTGCCTGTGTAATTCAGTTTTTAATAATTTTAATCATAATATTTTTTCATTCATTTGTTTTTTCTCTCACTCATTTATCTATCATTCCTTAAACTGATAAGTGGAGTAATAAAGTTTCATGAGAGAATTAAACAACATTCATTGATTTTGTTGAACACCATGTCAGGTTGCTGTAATTGACATAAATGACGAAAGAGGGAGAGAGGTGGAGAAAACATTGGGAGAGAAGTATGGAACTGGATCAATAACTTTCATCAGATGTGATGTTTCTGTTGAGAGCAGTTTGAAAGGTTGATATTTCTGTTTATGATAATGTGATATTCTCAAAATGTTTGCTACAGTACCTGTAGTTTTCAGTACTGCAGTTTAGAGGGTCCTCTCTGGTATTACATTTTGGCTTCACACCAATTGTAAAACAAAAATGTCTTGAATAGAAACAATTACATTATTGTTTTTGTTTTAGAGGCATTTTCAAGTGTTCTTTCTTTGTGGGGTTGCATTGACATTGTTTGCAACAATGCTGCTGTTCTGGATGAAGACAATTGGAACAAAACTCTGAATACTAACCTGGTAGGCTTTTGGAATTACTGAGATAAAAATCTTATCAATGTTTTACTTGTCTTTGGTTAACCCCTAACTCCCATGAGTGCCCAAGACAGAATTTCTCCTTACGATCCAATATCAAGCAGACAAGGGATGAGAATAAAGAAAAATCTTAATTAGGGGATTATTAGTTAATGCAATACAGAAGTCTCAGAACCAACATCACAAGAATTGTATGGCATACAGTAAGGAGAAATGCTATTGAGATCTTGAGAATAAAAGGGTTAATATGATTATCATAGAAAATTGAAACAACGAATGAATAAACATTAAAAAATTGATGAGTCTATAAACAAACAAAACATCTTATTTCTAGGAGTTGGATATCCCTGTTATTAGCCCCTCTCCCACAAACACATACATGTAAATCCTTTTCTGTCAGTCCAGTTGGACATTTATATAATTATTTCTGCATTTGGTAATGGACTAGAGCAACTCAATGCACCCTTTTGACAGACTGGTCTCAGTTTCTGAGCATACCAATTGAAAATTTTATCAGGGGATTTGAGAAATTCATTTTGATTGAATATCAAATTTTATGAAACATAATATTTTTCAGGGAGGAGTCATCCATGGAACTCTTCTTGCTCTTGATAATATGAAAAGTGGTTCAGTTATTATCAACACATCATCCACTGCTGGTAGGTGATTGACACTTCAACTCCCTAGATCTCTTTTTAGGTGATTTTCTATATTGTCTGCTATAATGTTGGTTTGGAGAATTTGGTGTTGGATCAACTAAAAATTCCCCAATTGATATTTTGTCTTACTCTGTCACTCGTCTGCTTGATATTGTTTTAATATTGTAAGGAGAAATTCTGTCTTGATCTCTCTGGTAGTTAAAAGTTGATTATTCAGAAGCTGCAACTGACCCCATACTGTTGTTGCTGCTATGATTATCATATTAATTGCCTCTTGAATAGGGTCACTTATTCTATAGTTTAAAAGTTTACTGGAATTTGGTAGATTTTGTTGTCTTTAGTTAATTTTTATTTGTTTATTTTTCCCTCATGTCTAAGGCTTGGTGCCATGGAAACTTGCTCCTGTCTATTGTGCCACAAAACATGGAGTCATTGCTTTCACTCGAAGTATTGCAAATGTGAGTAATGTGGGAGCCCAAATAAACAATACAGGTTGGGGATACAGGGTAGATCATTGCTCAATTTAGAAAGGGGGGCAGCCATTACAATTATTATGATAGGAATTTTTGTCTGACTTCTTCAAATTTTATAAAATGTTATGAAACATAATTTTTTTAAAATGGATAAGCAAACCATTTAAATGTTTTTGCTACAGCGTTAAAGGAATGCAAATTTCTTTAAACAGATGCAAATTTTTTTAAACAGATGAGCAAACTGCTTAAACATTTTACCAAAAGCGTTAAACAGATGCAAATTTTTTTAAACAGATAAGCGAACTGCTTAAACATTTTAGCTAAAATTTTTTTAAACAGATGAGCAAACCATTTAAATTCTTTCATGAACCATTTAAACAGATTTAAACGGATAGTGAAAGGTTTTGCAATTTAAACAAAAAAGCATTGTCGTCCATTTTCTCATGGACTGGGTCACATATTATCTGACAGCTTTGAAACATGGTATTACATTTTGCATGAGGTTTAATATTTTTCCTCTCAGGCTTTCAAATATTTATATTTTATTGGTACTTAACATGTAAGTGACCTTATGAGAACAAAAATGTGATTGGGATATATTCACAAACCAAGAGTTGGTGAAAGAAATAGAAATGAAATTGCACAAACAAAAACTGCAATAAGTATATATTTCAGCGAATAAATAATCCTGATTGATACCAGCTTGTCTTGCAACAATTTCAAGTTAACATATTATCATTTTGTTTCAAGCTGTCATCTGTTTTGAGAAGCCATAATCCATTTGTGCTGTTCAACCCTCAAATATTTCTTTCTTTGTTGCTACTTTTGAACTGAAGGCAGCCATCAGAGATACAGGAATCCGTGTTAACTGTATATGTCCTGGAAGAACAGACACAGAAATGGACTTTCCTAGACACAGATTGACAAAGCAGGAAATTGAAGCTCAGGATAGCCTGCCCAAGCAACCGTAAGAATTTAACTTACATGGGATGGTGATCATGTGCTGTTTACATGGCCTTCTAGTGACCCACATCCACCTACATGTAATAAGTAAACACCTTCCCTGTCATTATGCAGTCCGACTGGCTGTGGTTTATTTCTTTTTGCCTCATTTTGTAGTATATTCCCCTGACCTATGGCAGTCAGTCATACAGACAGACAGTTAAGCAGACATGTGCAGAGAGATAGTCACAGACGGTGGAATGGACAGAAATGCCGATAGACAGATACGGACTAAGAGTCTGACAGACACCAAAACAGATAGAGATACAGTCGGACAGTCAGAAAGATAAACAGATAGACAGGCAGACAGACAGACATCCAGACACACTGTCTCGGACTGACTCATACCAATATTTCCTATTTTCCAACAGAGTTGTGGATGTGGCAAAGGGGGTTGTAGAATTGATTGAAGATGACTCAAAAATTGGCGAGGTCTTAGTCATATGTGTTACAGATGGAACAAAATACAAAAAATTTGTGGATAAGGTTGGTTTAGTGGTCAACTCGTGTCTTAGTCGCATTTTGTATATCTTGTACACTGCATTTTAGTAACATTTAACGGTTTATTGTTGTAAATTTAACATTGAGTGGGTTTACTCAGTCAGCCTAAAGATAAAAATCATTCTTTCCAATCTTAATGGGTTGGTCAAACAACCCTATAGAGATATAAACCCCTGTGGACCGAAGGTCTGAGGTTCGAGTACTCATGGGAACTCAGAACTTTTCCTGTCCCACGCTCGTGAAAAGACGATAAACATCTTTCTCTAACTCCATAGATAGTTTTTTACATGACGTCACGGCGGCCGTGTTGGGGTGTGGGTCATTCCTGTTGGATCGACTCTCTCTTTTTAGATGTAAGGTTAAAGCTTTTCTGTTCCATTTAATTTACGTAGCTGCTCAGCACGTGATTGCAAACGTCCTATAACAACGGAGGTATATATTTAATACAGATCGATCTGCGTGGCAACTAAACAAGGCGCGAGTGTTTAAATCAATACGCGCGAGCAAGACGACTACGCACGAGTCGGTAGTTAGAGTCAGTTTTGGGGGTATTGTGAGTCTGCTCTGTGCCGCACCTGCGCATTGCTTTTTCTCAGAGAGCTTATTCCCATGCAGGCCAAAAAAACGTAGTAATTCAACTTCCCTTAAAGGGGTAAACCTGTAAAAGAAATTGAAAAAAGTAAAAATTTATTTCCAGTTTTCAAAAATTAAGAATTTGATCTTAGAATTTCCATTAATTTTTGTATTTAGATCTAAAGTATGCCAGCTGAGAAGTTACCCACAGTGACACAGTGAACCTTCTGAAAAGTACTCTACTTCCAAACTTCAAAGCGTGGCATCGTCGCTCAGTTGCTAGAGGCGCCCAGCTGTTATCTGGAAGGCCTGGGTTCGAATCCGGTCTAAGCCTGAATTTTTTCCCGGCTTCTTTTCTGCGATTTCCTAATTTCTGTTCACCTGCGAGGATTATTGCTTTTCTTGAGTTAGATGTTGTTTACAGTACTGAGGGTTTTAGTTTTCCGTAAGAGAATATTTAGGGCCATGGAGGGAAATGAAAGCGTCGTCGTTTGAAGAATTTACCTTAGAGAACATTAATTTGTGTTAACTTCACTGAACAATATGCATGCATTTTGCATTTTGTCAAACTGCAAAAGTATTAGCTGTTGTAACTGGTTTGTTTTAAAGCGAAGCAAGTGTTCTTCGACACAGTTATTTGAAATACTTTTCGTTTTTCCGCCAAACAAGGGTTGTCATTTCTAGAGCACAGATTAACAAAGGTCAGTTACCTGAAATTAAATTTTAATGAACATGTGGGCTAAGAGACAATTCATTCAGCCGCACTTTCTTTATCTGGAGCTCAGAAATATGATTAGATAACTACTTCACGGAAGCTTTGTAAATAACTAGTTAAAAACGAAAATATATTTTTTTAAAATTTGAGCAGCAGTCGTTGTTTAATCTAACAAGCTTCTTACTCGCATTCACAAGCATCAAAGAATTTGAATATAGCGTTTAGATATGTCACCAGTAGATGTTTCTGTGTTGGGATATTTTGACACGTAAATAAAGTTCATGCAAAATCCAGTCATTCAGTTAAAAATTTCAGATGTATTTTTATCCATACCAGTGTTTCTTAGACTGAAATAGCACTTCTCAAAGAATTTAGCAATTTTAAGCTACTTTTTCTGATATTGGCTTTAGTTTATTCACTCTCTCGGCAACCAGATCACATCCGCATCTCCTTACAGCTGCTACCGACGCAACAGAGAAGACTGAAATAATTTAAAAGTTATTATTGTTAATCTTACTGATATTTCTTTTAGAACACAATTAAAACCATTGTCTCACCAGTAATTATGACGAGAAGACTGACCTCCTGTAGGAGGGGGTGGATATTCCGTTGGTAGAGTAGATTTTAGCGTAGGTCGATAGGCGGGAGGCGGCGGAGGGTGCTTTGTGGAGAACCCAACCTGGGTTTTTATGAAAGGAGGCTGAGACGAAGGGGATGGGTATGTTTCTTTCACCAAGGAAGATTAAATTAAAAGAAAAAATAAAGTAGTACTCGTCAGGAGACATTAAATATTGATTTCTTTACTAGTGAGCACAAAACCTCAGGGCTGAACATAGGATGGCATAAGGTGGCATTCGATAGATAGATAGATGGTTTTATTAAAATTACCCTTGCAGCCCGAGGGCTGAATTACGATAATTTTTACAAATGTAAAACGTAAATTAATTATAACTATAAATTATATAATGATAAATTAAGAAAGTTAATTCATAAGAATTCAACAATAATAAAGCTTATCATTATGTAAACAATAAATTAATTAAGATACAATTAAAAATTATACGAAATCAGATCAATTAATATATATGAGTTGTACAAGGACGTGCTATCGGCAATGGCTTACTATAAAACTGTCTCTAAGACGATTGGTTTTAAAACGCGGGACTTGGAACTTGTGATTTTTCCATGTTCGCAACGTGCCAAGGTAAGGTGGCGGAAGTAGTGAATAAAGCTTGTGATTGTTGTTATTACTTATCTCTTGAAACGTTGAGTTACCAATCGCCTCTCTCCTGTCATACAAGGTAGGTATGTTAAAAACTTCTATAGCCTGTCTATAAGATAAATCATTAGTGCTTATTATGCGTAGTGCTCGCTTCTGCAGGCGTTTGTGCATTGCACGAACTGTTAGACATTTAAAAGATCTGCAGGCAACGCAGCGTAAAATTATCAAACATTTCTTTGACTACCTGTTGGAGGTTTGGTATCATGAGTGTTTACACTGAAATTGATGGCAGAATTTAAAAGAATAAGTAAAGAGAAGAAGTTTTGGAGAAGCAAATAAAATTTGTTGAAAAAGAATAGCACAGTCGTATGCTTTTAATCATATCAAAGGAAGGTAACCCAAAGCCAATGCTCCGACAAAGAGGAGAATAACGTTGTGGAGCTACACGAATCGAGAGTTTCTCTCTCTGCAAAGGTATCTTAACCGTTCAAATTTCATACATAATATTGTCAGGCTAAAGAGGTCAAGTTAAATCTGACCAGCAAGACTGAACTGAGTTAAGAAGTTTACCAAAACCTTTTACTCAAAGCAGGTTGAACATAACTGGTACGCCTACTGAGTAGAAGGACTCCTTTTAAGTAAGCTATTGCAAGGTTATCCACCACATAGCCATAGAATCCCTCCCTTGTAAGCCCTCATAGATTGTGCCAGCAAAAGTTGCATATTATGTTGCTAGCATATTATTTCATTAATCTTCTTTTTCACGTTCCACGCTGTAAGTTACAGAACCACGCTTTTCCCGCTCGGATTTCGAACTCGTTTAGTAAGAGGTATCTATCTGGAATCTTTGTTTATACTTATTTATGGCTTATTTCATGAATAAAATAAGAAAAACCAACGGAAATTCCTCAGGAAAACAGGCAAACTGCTTGAAACGCGGGAAAACGCGAGTGATCACATTCCATGTGGTATCGAAGGAAAGTCCTATCCAGATTTTAATTTTCCATTTACTGTCCTGAATAAGCTACCCAGACTACCGCGCGAGGTTCAGAAAATAAACATGGCGGATATACTAAAGCGCGATCAATGGGATCGAGACCACAAACTAAATTTATAATAGTTGAAATGTGAGATTCCACCAGTGATGCAGTGATGGATGAAGAAGAAAGGAGAGAAAAACTTGATATTTATTATCAGCGAGGTAAATTGTTCTCCTTTGAAAAAATTATGACTATCGGTTGCGTAATGACATTTCAAATATCCGTTTATAGTCAGCCTTACTTGTAACTAATTCCTTTTTTTTTTTGTTTGTTTGTGGTTTTTTTTACCATACTAAGCAGTTAATAATAGATGAGCTTAGGCTAAAATTCGAAAGTGTACTTGCATCAACTTACATATATATGTAGCTCCTGACATGCCATCTAATTCAAAGTTTTATAATAACAAGGAACACAGATGTTATTTCAAAATTATACATTGTAGATGTACACATACATGTCTATGTTACTTCACTCATTAGTTGAGTCAATTTCTTTCAGTAACAAGACAAATCCTTCAGTATCAAAGTGCAAGCATTGGACTGCTTCCTATGCATACAGCTAATGTTCATAATGAAGAGAGTCATGTGCGAGATAATATTTACTGTGCCATGGGTGTGTGGGCTCTGGCACTTGCCTACAGGTGTGTAATGTTGAATACAAAGCCTGCAATTCAGTCTGTACAACTGACTACTTGCAATGTGTTTGGAACAAAGTTAACCCTTTAAATCCTAGATCAAATTTGTAATTCTCTTTACTGTCAACCACACAATTCTCATAATTTTCCTTCAGAGAATTTAGTATTGGATCAACTAATTATCCCCAAATTGATATTTTTCTTTACTCTCATCACTTATCTGGTTGATATTGTATTGATTTTGTGAGGAGAAATTCTGTCTTGGTCACTCATGGGAGTTAAAGGGTTAAAGAATTGAACTATTTGCCATATTTTTTTCATAATCTTAAGACTACTCTGTAACTCTGATTGAGCTATTGAATTCCATCAAGCAGGTATGGATTACAAATGAAAGCCATGATTTTTGCTGTCAAATTTCTCTCTTAGACATATGGATGACAGCAAAGGACGTGCATATGAACTTCAGCAGGCTGCTGTGAAATGCATGAGAGGAATCCTGTTCTGTTACATGAGGCAGGCTGACAAGGTTACTGAAACACTTGGAATTTTTTTTTAGTATCCTAAAATATTTTGACTAGGTTCAATATGAATTTTTTCAAAGTATTATCAGTCTATAGTCAATGACTGTGGTGTGAAACATTGGATCATTAGGAATTTTGAAAATGATGAAAAAAATGATTTATTGTACAATTACATATCACTCTTGCATCTTCAACCAAACAAGTAGTCAGTCAGTCAGTCAGTTGTTTAACCATTATCATTCTGTTCTTCACTCACTCTCTAAATCAGTGGCATAGTTGGCCCTTTCACTTTCAAGATCTCATTTAGCTATTCTCCTTATTGTTTGTAATTACAATTCTTATGATGTTAGTGCAGAAAATTGGATATTGGATTTACTAATAATCCTTAATCAATATTTTTCTTTGTTCTTTAGCACTTGTCTTCTTGATATTGTATGGATACTATAGGGAAAAATTATTATATCTTGGTCCCTCATGGGAGCATTAAAGCATTTCAACCTTAGAATGTGTCTTCTCTATTTTTTTTAGAATGTTTCATTAACTGAATAAATGCATTTATATTTTTGTTTTGCTGCTAGGTGGAACAATTCAAAAAGAACCAGTCAGCACAGAATTCCCTTCATGTCAAATTTAACGTGAACACTGGGGACACAATTGCATCAGATTCCGATTGGGCACATTTACAGGTTTGAAGCTAACTTTGATTGTATCAGTCTTTTTCTTCCATTTTATATTCAAGCTTAATTAAGTACGCTTTATCTCTCTTTATTTACAAGGGGCCTAAAATCTAAGAGTAAATACAGGTCATGAAATCTGTAGGAAGGCAATTTAAGAGTGGGGGTTTTATTATATCGAGATAATGCTGTTATTACAATTTTGTGTTTTGATAAGCTCTCCATCTCTTTTTTTTGTGATGTTTCAGATGGATGCTGTATCTCTGTACCTTTTAACCCTGGTCCAAATGACTGCATCAGGACTACAGGTAAATAGTGGAACTTAAGTGTCATTCGATCATGCAATGGTTTGAGGTCAAGAGAAAAAGTATATTGTTCAAAGTGAAACTCTAACCTCACCTAGCTGGTAAATATGATTAATCAAATGCTTTATGATTATTTTAGATTATTTACACAAGTGATGAGGTTAACTTTGTTCAGAATCTTGTGTATTACATCGAGCGAGCTTACAGAACTCCAGATTATGGTATGTGGGAGAGAGGGAGTAAAGAAAACATAGGGCACAAGGAGCTAAATGCCAGGTGAGTGATCACCCTTTGACGACATTCTCCTGTAATCATTGAATCAATAACTGTTCTGTGAGAAGTGTCAGAAAACCTAGAGAACAGTGATGTCTAATGCAATAACAGTGGCCTACCTTCATTAACCCTTTAAGCCTTTAGAGCGACGAGCATGTAATGTCTCCTTGCAGCAGTACAGCTGAATCATTCATCAAGATAATGAGTATAAAGGAAATGATTCCTAACCTAAGAAGCTTTGATTGTTAAACAAATTCTCCTTGTCAGTGCTAAAGGAAATGTATAGAGAGGAGTGTGGAGAATATGGATACTGATGTTAAGGTGTTAAAGCTCAATTGGAGGGCTCAGAGCAAGAACGATCCCTTGATTTTTCGGCCATTTTTGAAAGTGTTCAGAAGTAGTTGAATTTTGGCATGTGGACACTTTAAAAAATGGCTGAAAAATCAAGGGATCATTCTTGCTCTGAGCCCTCCAATTAAACTAGGGTGCAAATAAATACAACTAGGTACATGACATAAAAGGGTCATGTTTGAAGAATAAGCCCTTTATTAGAGTGCAGGAAGGTAGTTTGTCTTACTATCTTTGGTGATGTTTTCTGCTGGTAGATAATCAACTAAATATGGGTGCCATGGAATAAAGATTTTTAATTTCTTGCAATGTTTTCTAGGAAAGAATTCTCTGATTTGTAGAATGTGCAATTCTTCTTCAAAAAAGCTTTTCATAATTAAACTAATCAATTGGAAATCCTTATTTGTATCAATAAACAGCTTATTGATTCAACTTTGAAATGAGAAACCAGTGGTGCAATGTAGCTACATTAAATTTTTAAAGAAATAATCTAGTGTGTTGGTAAATATGGCTTCTTATTTTTAATGAATTTGTTTAAGAGTATGATTTTAATTTTTGTTAATAAGTCTGTGGCTAATATGACATTGATCATTGGATTTTCCTCTGTTTGTTTTTACAGTTCTATTGGGATGGCAAAGGCAGCCCTAGAGGCTATAAATGGATTTAATATTTATGGAATGCAGGTTCGAATAATCTTGGAGATAATGCTGTGCAATAACACAGACTTTGTAATGACCATTAGATTAATTTATAGATGACAGTAGGCATTAGTTGATGCTGACCAATGGTAAAACTTTCATGACTTTTCAATGGTGACTTATCAGTCAATGACTTTTCGATAATTGAGGTTAATTTCATTGGCAAAACGCTTTCTTTTGGAAATTATAATGCTTGGATGGCTCGTTGATTGATGATTAATTGATGATTAGTTGATTGATTAATGAATTGTATGCTATGGATGAAGTAATTTTGAGTTTATTGGTGCTTCTCCTTCCCATTCCAAGGCTTTTTTGTTCTCTTTCCTCCATGAAAAGCAGCCCTTCAATTAATCATATTAGCCAATAAGAGCAAACAAGAAAGAAGTCAAAACTTGGGTAATGTGAGGGAGTACCAGTAGGTGGTAATGGGTTTTACATTTTCATCTGATCGGTTGTGACAGTGGCATGGGATTTCTGGACCAATTGCAGGCATGATAAGGCAACGCCAATTGTAAATGCAGATCATTTTCAACACTCAATCAGTACGTACCTCAATACAAATCAAGTTGTGAAACAGTAACACCAGATTATTTACAATCTTAGGGAACCTCATCATCAGTGATCTATGTTGATCCAGATGCTCATAACAGAAACTACACCATCATGAATTCTATGCTGCCAGTAGCATCCTCATCTAAGGTTAGAGACACAGTTTTTTCTTTTTTCCACATTAAAGGTGTATGGATTGTGGCTGCTTGAGTCTTTATTAAATTCTAAATTCTATGAGATTAACTATTATGCAGGTGAGCCCACCAACTTTAACCAATCTCCTCATAGGCCAGTTTCCATGAAAATTTTGGCCAAATACATAAATTTATGAAGGGGTTGCCAGTTATCTCCCCCCCCCTCCTTGTTTCTTAGAAAAAAAATAATAAAAGAAAGAAAAATGATGCTGTCAATCATTTTTGGATGTTCAAGGGACATCTAAACAAGAATAAATAGGCAAATTTTTATGACCAAAAATGACCTGACATCAATTATAAATTTTTAAAAATCCAGTGTTACTTTAGAACATCAAAATTAACTCGCTAGTACTCTTAACGTCGAGTCGACCGAAACCGTGGTTGCTTGCAGCTGAAAACTTTTAGTTTGGGAGGGGCACGTCGACAGTTAGACGTCTTAATACTTCGACCTGCAACTGTCTGTCCTGGAATCTAGAGTAACAACCTCTGGACAATCATATATCTTACTGATAATATTATTAAATTCGTGTACGTAGACAGTGTTCGAATTGTTTTCGTGAAATGTTTCTTTGTGATCAGGTGACAGATGCATCCATGTTAACAATCACTGGTTTTCCTGCATTTGCTGTCGGCGATGATTCCTTGCGCAATCTAACAAAAGAAATGGTTTTGGAATCTTTGGAGGTAATCATCGAAAACCTTTCCAGTCTTGTTTCTTTATCGTTTGGCAACACCAGACTTCATTTAAGGGTCAACTGAAAATGACATTTCATGTTATGAGATAAGATGAAGTTTTTATTTTTGTTACAGAGGAAGATAGCCTGTCAGCCTTAGTTGGGTTAGGGGGGCTATTTTTGGCTCCGTTATTTTTGTTAAATTATTTTTGGTTTAATTTATTTTTATTTCTGCAAAAAAAGTAGAGGGGGGGGCGGGCTAAAGCCCCCCCCCCCAGTCCCTCCCGCTGCGCGGTCCCTGTTGATGCAATGAAGTTGGGGAAAAGAACGTAAATATGATACTATTTCTGCTCATAACTTTCCTTTTTCTACCTTGCAACTGAAAAATTGAAAATAACTGAAGATACTGCTTTCTTTGTTATACACGTTCTCAAGAAGTTCCTGTTCTGTTAACGTTTTTCAGGCATCGAAGGAAAACTAGTTCACGCAATTCTCCACTTTTTTTTTCTTCTTTTGCAGGGAAACTATGGATTAAAGCGGTTCTTGCGTGATGGTTACAAAACTGTTATGGAAGACAAGAATCGCAAATATTACGAGCAGAGAGAATTACAGGTACAACATGCGTGCCTTGCGATTAGCTTTAAGTGAAAACGAATGATGTGTTTGGAACAGTGTTATGAATTAATTGATTTATCTATTTATTTTGCCAATCTTAGCCGTATTATGTCATTGTAACAATTTTAGTCAGGTTATTGAAATATTTACAGCACGAGGAATAAAGTTTCCTGCCCTCAAGATAGTGATTTACCGATTCTTATGTGTCACATATTAATTTGATGCATTTTGGTATAAATTTATGAGGTGGCTGCCCTTTATACTTATTTTGTTAGTTAGAGTTTTGAGCTCGTGTAATGGAGGTTCAACTCTGCCCAGTTATCATATTCTATTACATTATATTGAATCCAACGCGTGTGTATTAAACTGAAACGTTTTCCTCTCTTCTGATATTTGACAGATATTTGATGGTATTGAAAGTGAATGGCCAATCTTCTTCATCTACCTCGCTCTGGACGGTACTGTATTCCTAAAATTTTTGTTGTATGGGTTACGTTAAATACTATTTTAGAGATTTTGCTCAAGACCTTGATCTAAAGTACAGAGTTAAATTTATCTTGAGCCTGCTTTTAAACGAGTAATTCCGATTGTGTTTATACTTTTTGTACATTGTAACATTGATTTCCAGCCCTATCCGTTGACCTTCTCTCCATTTTGTCCCGTTTCTAATGCTCCATATCACCCATGTCACAGCCCTGTTTAAGAATGAGAAGGAAACTGCAGAGAAGTATATCAGGAAACTGCAAGATGAGTTACTGATAACCACCGACACTGGTAAGCAATATTTTTCCAGCTTTTTGTGTGGCTATTTATCCCAAAATGAACTCCATAGTACACTGGTATGAACTTTCTTTTTATTTCAAGGTTTTTCTACTAGAGCGACAAACACGCAGCAAATAAACTACCAAAACTTTATCTTACAAAAGTTTTAACCGTTCAAGCCATTTAAAACTCACCCCTTTTTCAGTCGTTTTTAATCAAATGATATGCTTGTTTTTTAATCAAATCTGGCCTGTTTATTCGTCTAGTGTGGTGGAAATGCAAGAATTGACTTATAAATTCCACAATTGACCTACGAGGTTGTAAACTTTTCTCTTTCTTTTATATTTTTTGTCTCCATAGACGAATTTATCCCACATTGTTACTATGTGCCGAAAATGTACCTTGAAGAGGAACGGAAAAAACCACATTCTAAAGTTCGACTGCCAAGTCACAACGATGGAGATCTCTTTCTCTGGGGACAGTCGCTTCTGATCATATTGAATCTGTTAAGTAAGACTGGAAGTGTTGTATCAAAATCAAATAACTAAAGGTTATTCCACGAGTGTGCTTTTGCCATGAAGTTTCTGACAAGAAATTCAATCATCTAACACATTAACGGGAGGGAATCAAATGATCGGTCAGAAAATGTCAGAAAATATCAGAAAAATTTGCTAAATGTAATTCAATTTTCAGTTCCTCGCCGTCATAGTTGCTATGCGTCAACAAGATCGTGAGGTTAAAAAAAAACGAAACTATCGCAATAATAGATAAAAAAGGGGATGTACAAGGCACACCTAGAACCTCAAAACGTACAAAAATGATAATTTTCAGTTCGGAATAGTGACTATAGGAGGCTTAATTTGAGATGAAGCACATCAATACAACTGATTCCCGGTTTGTACGTGGTGTATGACTCATGTGACTCACATAAAGGTCAGGCCAAGCCAAGTGAAACAGTATTGGTGAATCATAAGATGACCCACTAGAAATGATTCATTTGTTTTTGAAGCAAAGAGAATGAATGTCGTTCAAAGAAAGGAAACATGGAGCAAGCACGAATAGAACACTCTTGATGTGCTTTTTGTTATTATGCGATTATTATCCTTACTATTGATGATATTTGTGTCGTTATTGTTATTATTATTATTATTATTATCATCATCATTATTATTATCATCATCATTTGCGTTTTTCCTGTAGATGATGGCCTTCTGGATGTGAACGAGATCGATCCCATAGGGAGGCATTTGTCTCACTCGGCTAAAAATCGCTACGGTCACAGCAGTTATAGGTATTCATCATTTAAGGTATGTTTTCGTACAATGTTTGATATTACAAATGTCGTTAAACCTGACCTATCTAATCGTACAATGCTGAGGAAAATATCAATGGTTATAGCTATGAAAATGTGCGTGCAACTACATGTATGAGTTAAACTTTTGCTTAAACAATTTTCCAATTTTGGCAAGCACGACAAACTGAGCATTAGGAAAATAGTGTATTTGTTCTGGTGCATTCAGAAAAAAAAAAAGTTTTTCGCGTATTTTTTTTTGGCTACTTTCCTTCTTCTAACTCTTATATGTCTTTTCAAGGTTGCTGACTCGGATCTGGTTGTTCAAGTCTCCCTGATTGCGGAAAGCAGAAAGTAAGAATTTTTCAAACTTTCTTGATTCTCTAAGATTTACCATCTCCTTCTACATCATCAGCGCGCAACAGCATCACATATCGATATTCTTATCATGACAGTATGAAGGAAGTTTGCTGTCACTGACCTAGTTAAACGATCTAGCCTACCACGGGTAGCGTTTAGCTCTGTGGTAGAGCATCCGAAGTACTCATTGGAAGGTCGTTTGTACGACTCCTGTAGGGAGCACTTGGAATTCTTTTTTCCGAGTATGCCCTCGGAAATCACTGAAAAACATTATCGTTCACTTCTTGATGGTTTTTAATCTTAACAAATTTTACTTGGCATCAGACCAGAAACAGCCGACTGGCTTTGGTGTTTGTTAAATGGACACCGTGTAGTTCTGTAATAGTCAGTCTAATCTTTGTTTCAACTCCCTTACGGTGCGATGCAAAGTTAAAAACTCTGTTTTCAAATCCTTGCTAGCGGTTTGTGTTTCTGTTTCAAAATCGAACATCTAAACGGTCTAAGCAAGAGAAGAGAGTTTGCGTAAAATTCGGTGATTTTTAAGATTTCTTTTTCCTGACATTTTAGCTTACAAGCTTCTTTGGCAACATTTGGTATTGAGACGCAGACACCACAACAGATTGAGCCAATACAGATCTGGCCGCCATCAGAACTGGTGAAGGTAAAAAGACATGTTCAATTATTACTAGCCCTAGGTTACATTGGCTGATCGAGCCAATACAGATATGGCCGCCATCAGAACTGGTGATGGTAAAAAGACGTGTTAAATCAATACTAGCCCTAGATTACATTGGCTCCTCTTTTTTTTAAAGAAATTCAGGACAAAATAATACCCAGGTAAAGCACAATTTTATTGGTGACTCACTTACGACAAAACGTTTTGGATGATTTATTTGAGATATATCGACAGGTTGGCCCATTTCAGCTTTAAAGCTGGTTTACTTGGGGGCCTCTATAAACAATGACAAAGCCAGACCACAACACTGGGAGCTGGGTTTGCTACTATTTAAGAGATGTGTGGGTTCTTTAACTTCCCCTGCTAACAATATCCTTAATAGTATATTTATGGAGAAATTTAGAAGACAGCTGACCGCAGCGAACTTGTAGCTGTGTATGTAACGTGTAGCAGCCAGTGAAAACAAGTGATGTCTCGTGTCAGTTGTGAATTTTTTTTTCCCTGTAGGCGTACAAACGCCTTGGTGTCAATCGTAAACTTGGTTTGACTGGTCGACCGACGAGACCCATAGGAAGTCTGGGAACTAGTAAGGTATGAGTACACCTCAACTTGCATCCTTTGAATTTAATACCTCTAAACCAAGCGTCACGTTAAAGGCCCGTGAGTATGTCTCCACAAAAATGCCTTTAAATGCCCGGAAAAAAAAAGTGACTTTTCGAAACGTCTGAAAATAACAACAGGGATGATGATGAACCAAGAAGGAACTGATGATGTAACACTGTATCTTATGGCCACAGATCTACCGCATCATGGGCAAAACAGTGGTAACATACCCTAAGCTTCTGGACGAAACTGATTTTTATATGGCTCTGGACATGTCTCTTCTCATCGACGAAATAAAGGTAACCAGAGGAAAGAACTTCAAGTGTATAGAGCTTATTAAAAGTACTTCTTATTATACTAGTATGCTTTGTAGTCGGTATCGTGGCAAAACTATTTGACAAAGAGTGGTCTTTTTTGTAGTAGATTTATCGAATAGTTTGATTGAGGAAGATGACTTCCTTTTATCTCGAGCGTGGGACATAGTTGTAACTCTGACTTGCTGATTCCGCGCTGTGACTCATTTCTATGTTTATGTTAGTGTCCTTTTTATTGTTTTCACGAACATGACGGTTTCCGTCGCCCTATTTTCAGACGAATTTAGCCTTGGTGCGGAACAATTGGAACATGAAAGGAAGACCAACGCTGTGCCTTTTACTGCGAGAAAAGAACTTACGGTAAGGAAAGTAGCATCAACAACAACAACAATGAGTTGTAACTCCCAATAAAAAAGGCAAAAGAGGATGAAAGGGAGGAACTTTCTTGTCCCTATTTGAGCGCGCTTAGGGTGCTTCATCTTTTCTCTTCATATTAACATTATTGTTCAACATTAAAGTCAATAGAATAATTTATACAACATAAAAGGATGAAAAAAGTTTAAACCTTTACGAATCTATTCTCTTCATTTATACACAGATGTTCAACATCTGACTGAAACAAAAAAAAACAAAAAATTTAAATCAGTTTATACACTGCTTGAGAAAAAACTTCTTCGGCCTAAAACTGTCCGAAAAATGTTTGACTTGTGAATCATTGTTTTTCTTTTGTAATTTTATTCAGGGGCAAGCAATTTCAGGAGACTCTTGAGCTGTTAGCTTCATTTAAAAGAGGATATTGTGGAGGAGTGAAAATCAAACTTGGCAGACTTCAGGTGCGACAATTTTTTAAGTTCAATCGTTTCAAGGTTAATTTTAAAAACGGTTGATTCAAATGTGGTCTTGTGCTTTATACAGACTATGGTGTCTACAGCTGCTATTGATCATCTGGACTTTCTTCAAGCTGAAAGCGATGTCAGCAGGTATTTATGTTATTTTCTCTAGACAATTAGTTCGGTTGAAATAGAGAAAAAAAAAAGAATCACGCCATTTATCACGTGGTTGTACTGCGAATCACCCAGTAAAATCACGTCGGCCTATCCTCCAGCTTTATCGGGCTCAAAGAAGTTTGCAAACAGTCTTTCACGTCACTGAAACCCTGCTCTTTCTATTTTTCACTCGGCTATAGTGAATGCTTTTGAAATGCGGTTAAATGGTTTAGATTACAGTGGAGAAGTCGTTTATGTGTCTATATTCTGGAAAAGTAAAATTATATGGGCGGTTTTTTTCTAGGTTAGTTCAGAGCCTTTCAGACCATTTAGGTTTTTCAACTGAAAAATGTGCCGTTTATATGGCTCTACATAAATGTTTAGTTCTTGTTTTTTATTCTTTCTACAATTATTTTTTCGCTTATTTTCAGTGAACTGGACGATACCGATGGAGGTTTGGACCAAGCGCGTGTCAAGGAGAAGGAAAGCGTAGATTCCAATCCCCCTACACCCGGTTCGTCCGAGGGGCATAGACTAAGTCATACCGTGCGGATGAGTCGCTCCATGACAGTGAGTGTCGAGGATGAAGATCATCAAGTTGATGAGGCGGACGGAAAGTAAGTCTCTTCTGTTCATGCTCTCATCAGGAACATTATGAGGAAGTGTTTTCAATGTGGAGGGTCGAGAGAGAAGTTTAAGAATTGCACCTCGCCCTCTAATTAGTTCCGCCCTTTTTGTAGCTCCAGAGATCTGGTGACGAAATCACGGGAATCGCTGCTGGCCGAACTGCAAGACAAGCCAAGCGTCGACAGGCAGATGATGATATTACAAGAGCTGGTGAAACGAGAAGGGGAGGATTTCCAAACCCCTGATGGTTCACTCAAAGACATGGTCGACCTTCTCTATCAGAAGGCTGCTTACGATCGTAAATGGTCAGCGGTGAGACGGGGAGCTGGAGTGCTCAAAAAATTAGTGGACAGTCTTGCGCCCGGGATCACCACAATACTTGTCAGCGGTAAAGTGGTAAGATTACATCATCATGTAACCAAGCTCGCGCTGGTAGAGAATGAGAAGGGTCATATGATACAATCGAGCACAACGAGGTCCAAATGATAACCTCCTTTTGAAGTTTGCTGTGGGTTGTTTTCGCATTTCTCGACGTCTTGGAATCGAGCTTTGCGGCCAAAACGATTGTGAGAATTTAAATATCTATCTATCAGGAAATACGCCACTAGGCACATATACCGAGTTTGAAAGGAATGCTCGCTCGAACCAGAAATGTATGGTCTCATTTGACTCGTGTGGAGTGCATGTAAAATAAGGTTGCTTGCTCCCGAAGGAAAATGACATGGTTGTCTTCATTTTGTGCTAATTTTCTTTTTATCTCGTTCACGCCAGGTGACCATCGGTGTGTTCGGACACGAGGAGAAAGTCATATACGAACCACTCACACCTGCAGCTATTCAGGTAAACAATTGGCTCAGAATTTAGTAGACCATCCTCCATCCTCCATTTTTACTGAAAGTAGGCTATCGATAGTGAGAAAAAATTGCTAATTCAGCGTAGACAAATTTTGGCCTAGAGAAGCAACTACCTTGGGGGTGCCTGCGTAACAACACTAAGATAGTTTGTGGGGATTCTCAACAGTAGAGGTTAAATTTCCACTTCTTACGACAAAATGCCTTATTAGCTGATGTAAGGAGTTCTCTCTCTTCTCTTTTCAACAGAAAATCTTGTATTCCTTCTGTTCTCCTCATGATGTCAGAGAGGCAGTACTACAGCAAGAGGTCAGCGAGAAGCAAGTTGTTTTCGTTTCCAGGGTTCACATCTCTTGCAAAGTTGAGAGTGTGCCATGGAACTACAATCATTGACAAATTATTGAAACAACCTCGTCATGGTTGTGTTTAGATCCCTTCCTTTCACTAACTACGAATTACGTTTTCAGAACAGAGCACTGTCTTTCTTTGGTTCGTTGAGCCAACGAAAGGGGATGGGAATGATGTCCGTTCGACTTTTGTAACTGATTGTGAGTTGGAGGATGTGAAATTTTTTCTTTATTCATATAGTTTGTTCTTCCTTCAGATGGTTCTCTATTTGGCTGCATTTGTAGCCACTATGCCGAATGTTTTTGAAGGAATGTTAAAGATAAGAATAGGGTAGGTAACTTTATTTTCCCTGTGCTGTAGAAAAGGTAATTCAAACGCTAAGTACCATGTATTACAGAAGACAACCTGATTTGTCCAGTAACTTTGTTAACTCCATAACGCCTAGGATCTATATCAAAATTCTCCTTTTCATCTGTTATACCTTTCACTGGATAAGGTATCAGCATTTCAAGGTGTTGGTTTTGTGGAATTCACTTCTGTAAACATAGGGTTTGAGACATCGTGTAAACTTAGTTTATCACGTTGTGGTTGTGTCCTTGCCGTATCTGTGACCTGTGTATTCACGGCGTGTTCTTGTGACATCTCTGTTTTGATGTAAAAGATACCTAATCTTTCGACTCGACTTTCCTTTGTCTACACATAAGTCTTCAGCGATTCTTTCAACTATTTGGTGAGTTAATAGAGTACAAATTTTGGGGGGACTGGGGTCTAATGGCGGACACACGCACCGTCATTAGGCTCTTCGTATTTCTTATTCTTCTAGCCCATCTAGCGGAGCCTAGGTTCACCAGCTTGATTTACAGGACGGCTAAAGATACTAACCTGCCAGTCGGACCATCTCTCAAACTGGAACTGGTTAAATTTCGCCGGAAACATCGAGTTAAGTTCGCTGTTCAGAAGACTACTAAACATGGGCCTGTTATGATATGTCTGCCCGAAGCAGCGTTTGTCCTACGGCCCGTCGGACTAGAAAACATCATTAGAAGTGGTGACGTTCACCCTCTACCAGGACCCTGTTTAATTCAAGACCAGCAAAGGACTTCTGACCGAACCCGACCAACAATTGCGTATTCTCCTTCGGCTTTGCGTAATTTGGCTGCCTCTATTAATAGCGTCTCTTTGCGTCCTGAATTAAAACACCGACTCCAAGACCTGGGCATTCTACGCTTTCGGAATACCTTCACTCAAAAACACATGCCGATTCCTGTGATTTCAAGACCCTGTCAATCCAGGAATATTTACAACTCAAGATCAAGAAATTTAAATAATTGTGTCTCCATCTTTACTGGTGATTATGTTAATTCTCGTAGCTGTCCCTTTGTTCCGCGAACAATAGGAGAGGACGCACGATCGATTCCGGTCAGGATCACACCTCGTAGCGCAGTGCGTGGACCCAGTAAACCAGTAAATCGTCAACGAGCAGTGAAAGTAATCAATCTAACTAAGATTACTTCTCAAAAACGCCCCAATTACAGCTTCCCAAGTTTCTACATGGCAAATGCTCGATCGGTCAGGGACAAACTGGACGAGTTGACTGCTCAGCTTTTAAAGTTTCACATGGATATTGCAATTATTACGGAGACTTGGCTGCATGACTACATCGATAATAACATCCTTACCATTCCAGGTTACAACATCGCGAGACGTGACCGCCACAACCGAATAGGGGGTGGCGTGTGCGCGTTCGTGTCTTCAGAGATACCTTTCAAGCGTAGATCTGACTTGGAGTCTCCAGAACACGAGTGTTTGTGGCTATGGCTACGCCCTCATCGTCTACCACGCCCACTATCTGGTATTATATGTGGGGTGGTGTATTTTCCTGTGGCCTCTGCGCAAGTGCAGCGAGATCGCACAATGTACATCATAGAAACACTAGACTCCGTAAAGACTTCTTATCCAGACTGTGGTGTAGTGTTATTAGGCGATTTTAACACCCAGGACATCTCAGACATGTTAGCCAATCATAACCTAAAACAAGTAGTTATCAGACCCACTCGGGGCAATAGCATACTAGACCTTATTTTAACGGATTTTAGTGAATACTATAGCGAACCAATTGTCAGCGCACAATTAGGGTCTTCGGACCATAGCTCTGTTCACTGGAATCCGCTTTCAATGAACCAACTAAACCCGCTGTGCGTTGAAAAGAAAAGGATCCCGATGCGTCGCTTTCCTCAGTCGGCAATAAACGCTTTTGGGAGGTGGGCGTGTTCACACCGTTGGTTCAGTGATTTAGAAGTAGACGGTGACTCACCATCAGTTAACTCTCTCACTGACTCATTTACTAAGGATCTTTCATCAGCCAGCGATATCTACTTTCCGTCCAAATACGTGAAGATTCATCCAATGGACAAGCCTTGGATGTCACCTGAGATTAAGGCTCTCATATTAGAGCGCCAACGCGCCTATCTAAATGGCCCGGAGGAGAAATGGCGTCGCCTTAGAAATAAGGTCAGAGAGGTTATCACCCGCCGGAAATGCGAGTTCTATAAAAACAAAGTTAATAACCTCAAGAGCACTGACCCGAGGAAATGGTGGAGTATGGTGAATAAGCTTGCAGGGAAGGCTAGCAGCCCTAACGAACTCAGTTATACTGACGAGGAAGGCAGAATTATCTCTGGCGCGACTCTCGCAACACGCCTTAATGAGTTTTTTGTATCTGTAATATCTGACATTAAGCCACTTGATACAAGTGCACTGCCCTGCTACTTACCATCCCCTCAACCGCCCGTAATCGAGACACAAAGGGTCTACAAAAGCTACTTGCCATCAGCGCCTTTAAGGCCCCTGGGCCTGATGGGATTCCGACTCGTATTTGGAAAGAATATGCTGCTGAGCTCGCTGAGCCGATCACGCGAATATTCAACACTCTATTGCATCAGGCTCCTTCCCTACTGCATGGAAAGACTCTAATGTCACACCGGTACCCAAGGTTACGCCCATAACCGGTAGGGAAGATTTAAGACCTATCTCCCTAACTGCAATCGTCTCTAAAGTCCTGGAGGATTTCGTAGTTGAATGGCTAATTGAGGATGTTGTGCACCTCATCGATTTCAGCCAATTCGGCTGCCTCAAAGGAACTTCAACCATCTATTGCCTGTTGGATATGATGCACAACTGGTTGTCCTCTATTGACAAACCAGGTATGTTCTTAAGGGCCTGCTTCCTGGATTTTAGTAAGGCTTTTGACCATATTGACCACACTATCTTAGTCAATAAACTCATCCACCTTGGGGTCCGTGGTTTTATTATCCGTTGGATTTGCAGTTTTCTTTATGGCCGTCGCCAAGCTGTTAAGATTAAGAACATTGTATCCCCTTGGTTGCCCGTGCACGCTGGAGTCCCGCAGGGCACTAAGCTTGGCCCCATCCTGTTCCTCCTGATGATTAACGATCTCGCGATTGAAACTCCATTACTATCGAGCCACTGGAAATATGTAGATGACCTAACAATATCCGAGGTCATCCCATCAGGCGGTACATCGTCCCTTCAGAAAGATCTTGACGCCATTGCACAGTGGTCGTCGCGCAATAATATGAACCTCAACCCAAAGAAGTGCAAGGAACTTGTGATTTGTTCGCTTAGAACACGGCCAGATCTTGGCCCTTTGTGCGTCAATGGACGTCCCTTAGAACGGGTCTCCTCACACAAGGTCCTTGGAGTCACTATCAGCGACACTCTTGGGTGGAATGAGCACGTGCGTGAGATTGTCTCCAAAGCCTCAAAACGTCTTTACATCTTAAGAGTGCTCAAGCGGTCCGGAATTCCACCCGAAGACCTTATTAACATATTTTATGCCTTGGTACGATCGGTCCTCGAATACGCCTGCGTCACTTGGTCTACTAGCCTACCAATTTACCTCAAGGACATGATCGAAAGAGTTCAGAAAAGAGCTCTGCGTATATTATTTCCGGCGTTGAGCTACAAAGACGCCATTGTGGCTGCAAACTCCACTCGCTTAAATGTGAGAAGAGACGAACTCTGCAAGAAAGTTTGGGACGGTATCTGTGTGCCTGGGTCACGGCTGTACCACCTTATTCCACCAAAGCGCGCCGATTGCCACGTTTATGAGTTGCGCAACAAAAAACCATGTATCACTCTTTAAATGCCGGACCGAAAGATTTAAAAATCTTTCTTTCCAACAATGGCGTCTAACGCCCAGTTCTTGTAGTCAAGCAAACCTAAGCGTTTTTTATTGGTATATAACTACTGACTCTTGTAATTCCCAGTCCCCTTAGACTTTTAATTTTAAAGTCAAATGTAAGATTGTCGTATTTTTTAAATATTTAAAGTATACTTGTAAATTCACATGTATTTCACCACTGGGGTGCTATTTTTGAATACTTTTAATAAACCCTTATTATTATTATTATAAATTTAGCAACATCAACCTGTTTTTGAAATAACTTTCCTTGTCATCCTCAGTTGGATTATCGAAGCAATGAAACAAAGGTTAGCCAGCAGAGGACTTGGGGTAAGAATGATTACTGCTGATTGAATTAGCTTCGGGTCCATTGTGAAGGAACGTTGTTCCTTTGCCTAGAGGTTATTATTTTGTACTCCTGCTCGAAAGGGTTTTGATTCAAGCCCTTCCCAAATTATTGTGTTTTCTTTGTGGGCAAAGTCTTTACTCTTACAGTACTTCTCTTCAGCCTGAGGTACTCGTGGTTACCGAAACCTTGTATGGACTGGCATCGTCCTGGAGGTTGAGGGAGGGCGGGGGAAGGGGAAAAGTACTTCTCTCAGTCGCTTCTTGCTACTGATACCAAGGAAACTTCCTGTTCAAAGGGTGGATATTCATCCAGCGCTATGCGCTGGATGAATATCTATCCGATGGATGAATATCTATCCGATGGATGAATAGTGCCGTAAGTTTTGTCAACGCATCCGCTGGATAGCGATGTATCCGTTGCAGGATAAGTCTCTTGGCTTAATAGCTTACTTCACCTTAAACTTGTTACACTTATTGTGCAGAAAAGCTTTTTTCCAGTTGTAATGGTTCAAATATGTTCTCTTTGGTTTTCAGTCTCTATACGCTAAGTCTCCAAGCGATGTGAAGGAACTGCTCAAGATTGTCCTTACTTCTAAAGGAAAACTCCACGGACAAGACATTGCACCGAGGTATATCTCCTCATAACTTTCAACATTTCTCAATTAGTATATAATCTGGGCCGCTTCTCTATCTTTTACTAATGAAAAAGAAACCGATCGAGTGGTTTTCGCTTCGGAACTGAAGATTCGGATTTGAGCTTTCGCCGATGTCATTGTGATGCGTTCCCGAGAACGGAGCTTTTCTCAGTGTGCCATGTAATTTGAGTTAAGATCCGGTGCGAGCTATAAGGTGAATGTGATGACTTTACTTCTCTTATTTGTCATAGGACTCCCTTACAGAATCGTCAGCTGGATGGTGCCGTGCATCGAGTACCACCTGGGTTTTATGACAAAGGTAAGAACTCAGTAGAAGTGTAAATTTTTGTTCGCTTCGACTTCCGCTTTTCGACATCTTGTAGTAAGGTTGATAACAAAATTATATATGTTTATTATTGTATCTGGAAAAATATAAAATGACTAATGACGATATTTTTCGCTATCTAGTATGGAGTGTACTGTTCAAGGCTCCCGAGGGAATCAAAGTGTCTAACCATACCCTATTACAAGTGAGTGACTCTCTTCTTTCATTTTTCCACCTAAGGAGAGTTTGGCACAAGCTATGGACACATTCACTTGTACTGTTACATTACCAAAAACTCACCGAAAACCAAAAATGGAAGTATTGGCACACATCCTAAAGGAATTTGACATTTACTATGTATTCATTCTGTTGCGAAACAATTTTTACCAAAACAGCCGTAAACCAGTGGCTTTATTGGTATTGATGTTAGAGTACTAACTTTCTCTTCAAAATGTTCTGCTCTCTTGCGATGGACGTTGGCAACAGCTTGTTACTTACGGTGAATGATGGAAACTATCCTGGCAAGCTTTCGATCCCTTTAAGGAAATAATGTCGATTAGAAAAATTATCCTTTTGGCAGTAAAAATGAGAAAAGTAAATCGCAGTCATGGTTAATGTGCGAAACTGTTTTCGGGTCAAATTTTCAAGGTGAAAACGTTTTTTTTTTTTCAAATAAAATGAGGTTAAGGTTGTTAACTTATTGGTTCATTAAGGAAAGTACAGGATACCGCTGACCTTTTCCTGTATAAATTTGTCTTGCAGCTTCCCACAATATCAGATATGACTAAACGTGAAAGGAATTTTCAGCTGAAGGTGGAAGAACTTTTGAGCGACATATCAAACCCGGAATACAGACAGACAGTCGTCGAGGTATCATTTTTTATATTCATACTTCAATTGAGGGATATACGGTAACTTCTATTAGTGAATAAGTTGGACTCCAGGTTGATAGGTCTAGGTTCGAGTCCTCGCCGGATAATTATTTCGTGCATGCTCTTTGTATCTCTCGTAACTCACAGAGTGTCCCTTCCCACCAAGAAGTATGGATGGGCACCAGAACCCTGCCAGGGAAACTTAATGAACTGTTAGGGTGGGGTGGCACTGTGCGGTGGTCTCAACAACTTGTTCGAGAAGGGGAATAATTCTTCCAGCTGCATTCTGCTAAAAAACCGGGATAAACTCAGGCAGCAATAGGCCATGAGGTCCGTAAGACTAAGCACTATTACATCGGGAGTTGTTAATGGTAAATGAAATTTAAAGTGACACGTTTTGGTATTGAGCTCATTTGCAGTCATTTTATCTCTTCAGCTACTTGTCGTGCTTGCTACAATCCTTGAACGAAACCCTGAGGTGGAGTTGAGTCAGTGCATCAATTTAGACGAGGTAACCTGTCTTAGTAAGAGTGGCGCGATTTGAACGGAAGGGAACAAACAAAAATGAAAGAGAAATGAGACGAAAGAACCATTCAAATGAACGAAAAAATACATTTAGCGATCCAATTGCTAAATACTAGTAAATACCATCGGTAGTAGACTATTTCACGAGCTTGAAAGTGTCTTGAAATCAAAAAAGTCAGTCTCTCTTGTTTGATGTATTGAATATTCCAGTCGGGACATTGTTAACGAGAAGTGAGATGAAGTTTCATAAACCTGTTTGAGACAAGTTCTTCAGTTTGCTTGACGATTTATATGTAAGTTTAAGAATCCCCTACAGTCTTTAGTTTGGATATATTTACATATTCCCATCTGACCTATCTATCACACAGCTTGTGGACGAAGCTCTTGAACTTTTTGCGAGTGAATTGGGTTCAGAAAATGATCAGGTAGGTTGGATTCAATACAAATTAATCTGTTTTTGTACCACTTCTTACTGAATCCCTCGAATTCAATGAAATTTTAGAATTTGAATTGTATTTCACACAATTTTGTTCGCCTTCTTACTCCGTAATGCGAAGAAAACCAGAGACCAATTTTACAACACACCACGTGACGGACAAGGAGGCACCACGACTTACCTGACAAGGGCCGTCGTCAACAAACTCCTGAAAGGGAACGCGTGTGTATCATCGAACTGCTATGTGAGCTAATGGATGAAGGCCCCACAAGTGTCCTGTAACAAAGGTTTGGTTGGATCAATTGGGGCCCAAGGCAGATAAGGTGACTTTCGCCTTACATGACATGGCAACCTTCCGACACGCGGAAGGTCGAATTCTTTCTAATATACCAACAGAGCGGAAGTGTATCATTCTCAAGGTGTTGATATTTGCTGATGAAAAATCAACTTCGTGTTGGGGAATAAACAAAGGGGCACATCGAAATACTGAATCCTTTATGTCAACTTTTTTCCAAATGTCAAGGGTCTCGTCGTGTTTTGCCTAGTAAAAGATGAAAAATAAGAGTTTTCGCATGGAACGCCGCATGGGAAAATTGGAATTCACTGTAAGTTAGATCAGTCTAACTCTTTTTGTGAATCTCCCAATACGGAAGAGATCGAAAATAGCTTCAAAGTGATTCCCGTTAGGGTGCGGCCTTTGGGTCTACATTTGGTTCTGCAGGTGTGAGTTGGGAGCTGGAGAGCTGTATTTTTAATTCAACTCCCTCTAGTTACTATGTATAAGTTTCTCAGAAAGGACGTGACCAATTGGGATGGAAATTACTTCATGTTTTAATGTAAGTTCCCTTTATACGAAAAGGAACATACGAATGGAAACTTAAGAAGGAAAATGTTTTTGTTGTCTTCGTTGCATACATCAGCAAATATAAGGATTTGGTAAGAAGTGCCACTGTTTTGTTTTATAGAAGATCAAGACATCTCATCATTAACTTTAAAAAAAGTTACGAGACAATAGGCTTATTTTATTGACACAGAATTAATACATAGGAACAAACATTTTATATTAATTTTCTTCTGATCAATAGTATAAACTGAACAGTAGCGAAATAAAGCAATGATTTCACAGCTGTTTCTTTATCAAGTCGTTTGCGCTGCTGATTTCCTTTTCGTTTCAAACTCTATTACCTGACAACAGAAAAAAAAATTAAATTTGAACAAAGAGAATGCTTGAATGAAGATTATCCTCATATCCTTTCCGAAAGAGACTCCCCAATTTCTGCCCGAAATACTTTACTGAAGTGTTTCGAACGTCGTTCTCAGAGCGTCCTCCCGAAAGGCGATCCCAAAGAGGAACACGAGGTGCCATCTTAGAATAAATTCCGAACAAGGCATCTAAGGTGTGTCCCAGATTGCGCGTCCAAACTGGTCTTGCCAATGCGATATAAAATTACCTCCAGAAATTTATTTCCCAAAGGTGCTCAATTTCCTCACCAGGGCGTTCCCAACAAGTGATTCAGAATTGCTTGCTCAAAGGAAATCAAATGTTTTAAGGATTGCGCTGGAACTCAAGTAAAGCTACACTGAAGCTCATACAAAACTTGTAACTGTCTGCGCCCGACTGTGAGGACTGAGCTCACATTGCGGGCATTTAAATAAATGAATGTTCCCTTCTATGTTAATACCTGTTGGACGTTACTCTTGGCTAGTCTTTTCATTTCGTCGTTTAGACCATGAGACGAACGGAGATCCTGTACGAATAAAAAATCCTTTGAGTTTCTTTTCTTTGAAAATTAATCATTTGAAAAGTCCACCCTCTATACTTCTTCGCTCCTTATCTACAAATTGTAACGTGCAAATGTTCAATTATGACTCAACTAGTATTGAGTACTTTTTTGTTTTGTTTTGCCTTTTTTTTTTGGAGAGGGGGTGCATGAAGGTTATCATAGCAACACAACAGCCTATGAGGGACACCCCCTCCCCCCTCCAATCTTCGCTTAGAGCACTATTCGAAGTAGTGTCGTACAACCAAAACCAAAGTAACTTCTCTAACAATTGACTTGCATGGCTTTATTGGCAGGTTACAATTCTGTCGTTAACAGCAAGTTGAAGCCTTATTACTGTCCACATGTGTAATAAAGGATAAATCGGTGTGTACCTTTAGCAAACCTTTTTTCCTTACCATCGGTATTCCTTACCATCGGTATGCCTTACCTTGAGGAAACTTTTACACAGGGAATATAATCTTCCTGTACATGATTCGTAGAATGGGTGACTAGAATCGATTCCGTTGCCTTCAAGCGTATTTTGGACCACTTGCCGGAGGCGCTACAAAAGAAGCACAACCAAAAGGTCAAAATATCTTTTTTTTTCTTCTATGGTTACTTTTATAAAATTTCATTTTTCTTGGGAGCGGGGTTCTACTGAGGATGACAATTTTTTGAGTATGTAGCGGATTTTGACTCAGTAGTTCCAAAGGCTAGACGCAAAAAAATCGCGAGATAAAGAAGAAAGAAAAAAGAGAAGAGAAAAAATAAAACGAGGAGGGAAATTTAGATGACATTTGAACCGCTCCTTATTCAAAACTGGCGTCCGTTCCGAGTCTCTCAGTATACCAGAGGATGATGCGTCACAACGGAGACAGGAATATTATTCAGTTTATCAATGCAAACTTCAAATTCCCCACGTGAACCTTATTTTATTTTTTTACTTACTCTCTTATGTCTCTCTGAACGAGTTTCTTTCTTCTTGACATCATTTTCATCACTGGCTTTACCCTCTACAGAACAAAAACGGAGAGGAAGAAATTAACAATAAAATACATACGAAGCAACGCAATGTGAGAAACAATAATACTACTTACCCCCCTCCCCTCACCTTTTCACCCCCCCCCGGCTGTTGTTTCCGCTGTTTTTTCACATTTTTATTAACCCTTTGCGCCTCAAGTGACAAAAAAATCATGTTAACCCCAATCATGACCAAAAGTCCTTAGACGGAAAGAAACATCTATATTTAAAATTCATGATTCTTCGGAATTTTTTAATTCTGTCTCTCCTTTCCTCCAACGTAATGTTGAAATTATTGTAGCTTTGATACCTAAACGGAGCCGTTGGAGGGATAGTCGTTGAACCTTTGATAACCAGACAATAAGATAGTAGAGAGACTTAAGGCTGGATGAACTGAAGACTTAACAAAATACCCTCCACATTTGCATCCTCCCTTTTTCTTTTCTTTGCAACTGTTGGCGCTTTTACAATGACTGGTGACTTCTTCTTCAGTGACCTCGAGGAACTAGAATGAAGCGGGAACAAACAAAGCTGATTCAAAACCACAACGATTAGTTCAGCACGCACTTTATTTATCAAATATATTCCATGTTCTCGCACTTCTATCCAGTAGTAGATCACAGATGACGTCAAAAATGTAGTAAAAACAAGAGGCACACGAAGAACAGGCGAGTGTGTCACTGAATGTTATTACCACATTTTGACGTATTCTGTGATGTCTCTAAACAAACCCACGGCAACACGGAATCTATTCGTTTCATATGACAAAGAAGCATAAAAAGTGTTAGTGGTTACGTCATCTACGCGTCTGTCACCCAATAGATCATAGCACCTCTTAAAGACCATGATCTAACCTTCCAATCAAAGCAGCAGGTTTCTTTCCATTTCTTATAGTCGCTGTTCGACTCAGAGGTACAGTGAGCTTCGCCAAACTAGCTTTGCTGCCCTTTTTCGCTGCATTGGTAACAGCCCGAGTGCAGCGGGTTTCCCGTGTCTTGTGTTCTGTTAGCACACACGATGAGAATGTCTCGTTTTTCACGAGCGAGGACTGAAGACGTGAAAGCTGCAGGTCTTTGGATATGGCTTCACGGACATCCAGGCAATATCTGGCATGAACATGTAAACAACAATTACAATAACAAAGAAAGTTATTTTATCTCCAAGCTTCAAAATATGTCGAAACGGACAAATGCTCAAGACATTTACAAAAACTGCAACCTGGTCGTTGCAATGGCCTTTTCCGTTCAATTGAATTTTTCCTTCAATGCTGCGTCTAACCTTTTTACACGCTAACATCAATATGCATATTCTCCAAACTGTTCTCCATACATTTCTCATGGTGCTGACGAGGAGAATTTGTTTAACCATCAGTTTACATATTCTCCATACTGTTCTTCATACATTTCCTAAGTCACTGACAAGGAGAATTTGTTTAACCATCAGTTTACATATTCTCCATACTGTTCTTCATACATTTCTCATGGTGCTGATAAGGAGAATTCATCCAATAATCAAGAACTCCTCTAGTTGGTGATCATTCTCTTTATTCTCATGACCTTAATGTTTGATTCAGGGGTGATATTGTAGGGAGAAATTAGATGCTAGTCACTCTTAGAGGTAAAAAGGTTAAGGAAACCTACTCAATGCCGTGGTATGATGCCTCAAGGGCTTCTGGGTAACATTTTCCCCTCACTTCTTCAATACCTGTGGAACACATGTGAAATTTAATCAATTACCACCATGCTACCTTCTCGTTCATTGTGTAGAAATCCATCTTTCCCTCTTTAGGCGGACCATTTTCATTTAACGCTCTCTTACGAAGGGAAAGAAACTGTACCGCTGTTCACATGTAATTGCTTTCCCATCACATATGCGGGAACTGCAGGTGACACAATACGACTGTATCCTGTTCTGTTCGCGCACAACACCATTAAGGCGTTTATCCCTTCAAAGAATTTACGATCATGAGCGATGGACTTGATAATCCATAAAGCGGAATTACTACTTCAACTGTGGAGCGGTGGTTTCAATTAAGCGTCTAACGTAATCCGGGATTGTTTTGGTTTTGCTTTGGCTTTACTTTGCTTTGTGATTGGTCATCAAAACTCTCGTCACATTTTCCACCAATCAGATTCAAAACTAACACTAATCGCGTCTTAATCCCGTGCTTTAGAAAATTCGCATGTTCAAACTTTGAGTTTCATTGGCTACTTGTGATAATTTCCTTCGTTCTGATTGGCTGTTGTGATCACTTTGGTTTTAGTTTTAACGTCACTCAATCGAAATATGCATTAAATAGACACTTCTTAGTCAAAGACAGCCCAATAAGGCAAAACGATTACACGAAAAAACAAAATAACAAACGAACTAAACACGTTGCAAAGACTTACTTCCTCTTTCTATTTGGACGTGCCTACCACTTGAGCTCTGCTCCTAATACACAGAGTTGTAACAATTGTTATTGAAATTTACATTAATTAGATTAGTTAACTGCAGAAGAGAGAATTGATAACAAGGGGTAACACAGCCCTTCCATGGCGGTAAGTCATGCCGCATACCTGAACGTTGCCTTTCCAATTTACGTTGAGATGCCATTTCATTAACTTAGCACGTTAACCTTGATTTCAGGGCTTTTCCCTCCGCAGTTGAAGGATGAAGCGCTAGGGGGATTAGGTTGCCATTGTTTTTGTTTTGATTCTTTAACATCCCACACACGAAAAAAAAGTCACAAATATCTCTAATTTACAAAAAATGCTCATTTTTCCATATCACAAACGGCTAAGGGGCAGACAGCACATATATTTCTATTTGCCATTCGCGTCGAGGTATTTTTAACACTCCCTATGTTATCTTATCATCTTACCCTGGGCTCAAGACGAACAAGATCACTTCTCGCGGGTGTTCCATCCCTACGAAACTTCTCCAAAATGTCTGAAATGCTCAGCGATGACACTAAAAACCACATGAGAAATGTAATAGAAAAATGTGTAAAAGAAGTGTCAAGGTGGACGAGCGTGTTAGGAAAATTCAATTGGTAAAAATAAGTTAAAAATACAAAAAAGTAAAAAATATATCGTTTGCACGCACTTCTTCATGCAATCGGTTGAAAGCAGCTTTAAACAGTCTAACGATTGAAATGATTTTTGATTAATCTTGCAACTTTTCTTAGCATTACGTTCAAATTAAAGTTATTATTGTTCCCTGATATTCTTAAAAGCTCTTATAGATAGAGAAAGATGTTTTTCGTCTTTTCACGAGCGTGGGACAAAGAAAACAATCTCCATGAGGAATCGAACCTCAGACCTTCGGATTCCGCACTCCGATGCTCTACCACTGAGCCACAGAGACTCTACGGTGATCGCACTCACACAATTTTAGTTAAGGGTAAGAGAGACAAGGCCACAATAATGACCTACCTGATGCTAACAACGGATAATTTTTAGTTGACTCGTCCGCGACGGAATCGTTTACCCTATACAATGACACAAACATAGGATAAAGTCTTTTGACAAGGGTACATCAAAATTATTCTGAAAGCTGTTGAAAGAGAAATACGCTCCAGACACCATATACATCTTTAAATTAAAAAAAAAAGTCCAAAATCGGTAAGAACGGTAAGAACGGCAAGGATGAGTTGCCAGTGAGATGCACATTGTATGATATAATTTTCATTAAAGTTACCTTGCATTCGGATCATTTTTGACAAGCCAAGCTCTCTCAGGCCATTTGCTTGGAGACAACGATAATTCTATGAAAGTGACACAAAAATATAATGACAACTATTGAGAGCAAGCCAATTTCCCACGACAAGAATAAAACAAAACATTCAGATTCATACAAATCAGCAAACAAAGCTTTAAGCTGGTTTAGTGAAACACAGGGTGGATGTTGACATGACAGTAAGGTATGAGTAGTCTGAGTGTTACATAGTGTGGTCCCTCCCGTCGTTTGAAAAATGCTAGCTATGCCCTTGGAAAGTGCACGCTCAAGCAATAACCGAGAAACGATCAAGCTAAGACTAAATCCTCCATAAAAGACCTTACTCCTCAAGGAATATTGTTTAATTCAGTGCAGATTACCTCTTTTTTAGGAGACCCAATAAGAATTTAGTCCTTTCAGTTCCCAATCCCTTGTTATAAATCCCGCTTACGCGGATATCACATGTGGCGTCTTTGCGTTCATTCTCCACAGACAGAAACCTTCACGAAACTCGCAAAAAAAACATTGGTCTAAAATAACTTGAGAGGGTAACCCTGCGAATAACGCTTACGCGAGGAGTTCAGGCTCATAGCTTCATCCTCTCTTGTCAGAACTAAACACAACATTTTGAGCGACGGAAACAAATGAAGTCACTTTTCACCTGAGACGTCTAGAGGCAAAACATTTCTATCGACAGGTTCCAGTTCATGTTCTTTCCAACCCAGTCTGCAATACCACAACATAATAACCTTGTTGACCTAACTAGATAACTGGTCGAAATAAATTATGGCTTACTTCTTCTTGCTTTGCAGTGATCATGTATCACATACATTGAGGAGCAAAGGATGCAAATCCAAATACTTTAGATAGACTTTGGGCTCAAATTAGCATTTCGAATTGGAATCCAATTAAGGAAAACTGTCAAACAGAGATAAAACAGAACTAGAGTTTTAAGGCAACTTGTTTGGAAAAGGACTACACGAAGCCCTTGATAAAGGAATGTGGCATGACAGCTTCAAAATTACAGCTGCATGTGTAGCCAGTGTAGGAAGACAAGACGAGACTCGAATATCTCAGCTGCGCAGGTGAGAGTATCGCATGGTACAGTCACCTTTTAAACATAATGTTATCTACACTAATACATCGGTTACCTTTTCTCCTTTAAGAACTGCCGCTTAGTCGAAGTTGTTTTATCAACGATGTTACACCCTGAGTGAGTCGAAAACAGATCATCTGAATTTTCTGCCAAAAAAAAGAATAAATGTTATTATATGTTTATATTATTCGTTTAAAATGAATTTCACGTCAAAATTATTTCACACCAGTTTGATTTGGTTATTCCGTCGTTCCAAGAAAATAATAGGGGTACCGACATAACGAAAATTACAAATCAAGGAAGTTTGCGATCACTTTAAACCTGAAACATAAACTTCCACTCACTGGTCGAGGGATGATCTTATCAGCGTATTACTTGATGATAGCTTCCTAAAAAGACCGTCGGAGATAAAGGACTTCAATTTATCACAGTCCTACGTGACCCTTTTCATAAAGGCTAAAGTGAGAGTAAGCTCTAACTTTTAGGCGTTCTCATGAAGAAGATTTGAGGCAGCACATTCTTCGCTCTATTCTGCTTTGTGAGGCCTGACCCTTCAGACACTTACGCAACTCCTTTTGCAGCTCTTGCAAGAGAACTTCAGTCAAGTTTTGTTCCGTTTCAATGAAACTCTCTGACAGTTCTGGAAATTTTAAGGGCCCGCCAACTACAAAAAAGATGAAATTGATACAACAAAAGCCACTTAAATTAGTATTCACCCTGGGAAAGAGTCTCTCTTCTAATTAATTGGAATTAAAAGAAAACGCGAGTGGAGCAAGTTAGTACGTTAGCTCGTTCTAAGAGTACAGGACTACCGGGCGGAAAGCCGAGAGTTCAATCCTTAGACCAGACCAACACTCAGGGTCCATCAATACTCAGGTGAACCATCCTAGATCCTTCTCGGTTTATTTCCTCAGTTTCAAAAATAATATTCTGAATTTGGTTCTGCACGGCACAAAAAAAAGAACACAATATGGTTCCTAAGCTACACAAAATGAAAGAGAGGCAAAACACGTTGATTCTGTTTTGCGATGTTTCCAACAACAGTTAAGCCACAAAAACCAACAAACAAAGAACAACTGTTACTTCAAATTATTCTAGGTACTTGAAGGACATGTTTCCACATATCTTACCCTTTTGATCATTAGAGATGAGGAATGAAGATTGGATTGAGGACAGCTCCTTATGGATCCAGCCATTTAGATCTTCTGGTCTTCTCAGAACATATAAGCTCAATTCTTTTTCAGCAGAACCGCATACGAGACACAACCGCCTGCAAGACTCTGTCAGATCTTCATCTCCAGTATTACCATCAAGTCTGTTGGTAACTGAAGCTAATACAGAAAAAGCAGTGGATTCAGACTGGTGGTTGGTGTCTTTCTGAGTGGCGCACAGTTCCTTCAAGGGTATTTGAGATAAAGAGTCGAAAGTAATCGAGGATTGCATTAGTTTGCTTCACTGCGCTCAGTTACAGGTCGATAAAACATGGGCCAACCTTGAGACCAGTCAAATAGAAGACGGAAGGCCTGGTCAAACACACGCATTATTTCAACCCAACATCTTACATATTGCGCACAACGTTTTATACGCGTTTGGCGTATATGTAAATGACACACATGTTACCAGATATCAGATGGTGTGGAATCTAGTTTGAAAATGGTCAATTTTTTGTTGCAATAGTTTTGGGAGTTGCAAGATGTTGCGCACGTGAGGCCAGCTCTTGACAACACGATCTAACAATGTTGCAAGATGTTGCCTTAAAATGCTGCATGTGTTTCGCTTGGTCAAACGCGTTTTCCCGCGCTTAAGGTATATTAAATTGATACATACTGAACTTCCATTGGCTGGCTGTGATAAATTTCTAGGTGAAAATCAACCGGTGTGTCTACTTTTGGTGGTATGAATTCAATCGAACGTTTTCTATGCTTAAAGACATACCTGTAGGGTTGTGAGATTTGACATAGTTAAACCAAGCTTCTCTATTCTTTCTTTGCGTGCAGTGTTTGTACGACGTAACAAGCTGTAATGATCCAACTAAGGCAATATTCTGAAAAAAAAGGAAAGTTTTTATCTGTATGTATTGCTTGGAGTCGTGTTTCTAAAAAGAATGCAAGTAAGCGCGAGTCCGATTTGAAATTACAGCTATAACTTTGGACCAAAATTGTACGACGCAAATATAAATTGCCACTTAATTATATCCAATTTGAAATCGCACAATTTGTCGTTTTAATACAGATTTTTGGCCATAAGAGCAAAAATAGTGCGATTGGTCAATAAATCGCATTGCTGAGAGCTAATCGGATTGGCAAGATGGCCTGTGATTGCAGAAAGGAAGTCAACGACAACTCTTTGCTCTTTTCATCAGTACATAGCGCACAGTGAGCGCATCGTGACGACGTTATATCGGTACGATTATTGCCAAACAATGATACGAACCTTATTTTCTTCAAATGATAGCCATTCCACAAGTCTTAATGATAGCTTAGTAGAAGATTGATTGACGCTTCTGCATGCGCAACCAACACAACAAACCAGTAAAGGAAAAACTTGGGAAGTTCTCAAAATCACATAACATGAGGTGAAATCAACATTTTTGTCAAATTTTCATCAGAACTTATTCCATTTTCCGAATGAGATCATGATCACCGAACAATAAGGGAATTTTTAAGTCAGTTTTTAGTTTTAGTATTTCCACGGCCTTTGGAGATGGAGATCAAATACAGGTTATTTAAGCAGTGACAAATCAAAAGTTACTCCCTATCTAAGGCTTGGATGCGAAGGGAGAAAAATGGCAAAGTTAACATTTGCACTACATTTGACTGCAATTTGATGAAATAAAGGATACAATCCCAGTCTTACTGGCAGAAACATGTGAAATGGAACTGTATGCTTCTGAACTCTACAGAGAATAGTTATATCTGGTGCAATGCAGAGACGTTTCCCAATATCCATGGGATTTTTCTTCTTCCTATGAACAAGGTAACAAAATGTAAAAAAAAAATAATTAAATGAACGAGCGAGCGAACGTACGAAAAACGAACGCACGAACGCACGAAACTACGAGGATGCACGAACGCACGAACGCACAAACGTATGAGCGAACGAACACACGTACTAACAAACGAAAGCACGTACGACCGCAAGAACGCACGAACGCATAAGAACATGGACGCACAAACCGAAAAATACTACTAATCACGGAGTACCGGCTGAAAGGCAAATTTATGAGTCAAAAAAAGACCAGCACAAAGAAATCCAAACAACTGGCCTTGAAATTTAATCACTAAGCAATAAATGGAGAGTACTCAAACCTTTTTGGCTGAATTCGGGAAGAACCAAAGTTAATTTCGGTCTCGCTCCTATCACAACTCAAATTGAATCCTGGTAAGATGGTTCTTGATTGATTCTAGCGTAATTATGAAAGATAAGAACTAAAAACATGAACATGGAAAAGAAAACTGTTAAATAAAAACTGAAATGAAGAGAGTATGGCATGTTAAAAAAAAAAAAACAGTCCACGCAGAAAACTAATTACAAAACAATGTACCTCATTGAAGACCAAAGAACCTTGCCAAACAACAGCACCACTAAATATTTTGGACAATACATCACTTTTGTTGAGAGGTGTGACGGACAACTTCAGACCCTTTTGCCACGACGTCAAAAATGAACTCCTTCAAAAATAAACAAATTCATCATTTTACATTAATTTCATTACTACACACAGAGTATGAAGTAACAACCTTTGTTGAGTTCCTTTATAAAGAGAACCCTGCACAGTCTCAGTTCCTGCAAACAGTTTTCAATTGAATGGCAAGTGTAATTCTGGTTTTCCTTAGATTGCTTTTTTCCATTCATTGATCTATAAAGCTAGTGTCACCCTCTTAATTAATCAGATGTCAAAATGAAACTGAATCATATCCATATGAGCAAAACAGAAAGAGAAACTTACATGTCAAACTTGTTGCTATGAAGAACAGTGATGTTGGCATTGTGCCACAGTTGAAGTCGTTTTAAAGCTCCAAACAGATGCATATGGGATCTGAAGCATAAAATAATAACATACATTTCGAAGACTTTGATGAAAAGAACATATTCAGCATACAGCACTCAGTTTTATTATAAAAAACAATATCTGATCACAAGTTAATTTTATCATTAAATAATTACTAAGGAGAGTTGTGAGAAGTAAATGTTGCTATCTATCTGTAAAGTAACCATTTACCTTATGATCTCAGGTGGCTAAGAATTATTTGCCTTGCTGCAAAGTCAGTGACCCACTACAATAACAAAGCTGCTTCACAACTTTTTAGCTAGCACTGGGAATGATGCAATTCATAAGAGTTGCAGTAGTACACAAATGTAGTTATAGTAGACAATATACATTACCTGACAGGGAGGGCATCTCTCCCACAAATAAACCAGAAGACATCAACAGGGACCCCTGCTAAAATACCGCAAAAGAAACCATTTAAAAAACAACACTGTTGTACAGTGTAAAACCCCACGAGTCCTTTTGTGTCTACTGAGTACACATCAATCATGCTAACTAAAAAATTAGTACCACTTTGCAACATAATTTAGCTTTTTGTTCACAACACAACCAATGTTCTTCTTGTTCTCTTGTCCCATTCATTCTTTAATTTTGCTCACTGTCTATCTCTCTGTCTATCTACCTGTCTATCAGTGCCTGTATATCAGTCTGTCTGTCTGTCTGTCTGCCTCTCTGTCTGTCTCTCTGTCTGAATGACTGACTCTATCATTCCTTTGTTGCCTTTGTGTAACTCATATCTATTCCTAGCCAAAACAGTCAATGTACCTTGTGGTAAGCCATCAGCAAGACTGTGAAGTCGTTCTGAAATTTCAACATCCTTATCTAGAGAACTCCTTTACAAAAAAAAAGCAACAGTAACTACAATTGTAACAAAGCTAAATCCAACAATGATAATGAATGAGGGCAGAGAAAGTTAGGTTTAACAAAATATACAAGCCACAGAATATGTAAAGGTTACAAGATCAAAGAAAATACAGCACAATAATTATTAAAGTTGAAATCTCCAGCAGATACCTAATTATGGTTGAAATTTTGAGCATATCAGACTTTCCAAGCCACAGCAAAACTTCCTTAAGATTTTCCTCTCCATGCCACTTTGAATAAGTCTAAAATAAATAGACAATAAGGTAAGTCATATCAGATCAGCCATAAATCAGATCTACCATTGAAAACCATACAATAAGATCACATACATCAGATTAGAAATAGATCTGATTAAGCAAATCATCTTACAATTTCATACAAACCAACCAAAGAAATTCTTCAGTGTTGAAAAAATTCTACCTGTCAGCAACTTAAGAAATGTATAGAGAACAGCATGTAGGATAGGATGGATGTAAAGAGTTACTGGATTAAACTAAGGGTGCTTGCCTTTAATCAGAACAAACCAACCATGCTGGTCACTTTAAAAATGAATGCTGGGCCTTATGTTAAAGGTTTCCCCAAAACCCTTAAGATCACAATTGCAATTTTAGCCTGTAAGCTACTTTTTCATCAACTTAACCTCCATTTGGTCTATGAATGGCCTGTCCTCAATGATGCTGAAATGAACTGTGGGGTTGAAGTTCTTGAGAGCTAAAAGAGGATCTAAAGTAAAGAGAGAGACTCCAGTTGTCATCATGGCCTCATTCATTAAAATTCCTAAAATCAACTCACAGGTAATTGTTATGTCTTGAGAAATTTTCAACTTAGAGTTAAAAAAATGAAGAATTGCATTAGATTTGCTTCAGTACACTCTATGCATATGATCCACATATGAAATTCTTGCTAGTCTCTCTATCAATCAAAAGTAAAACTCTTAACCAATCCTGACTCAGCCTTCAACCTTTTTCAGGCTTCAGGTGGATTGCTTTTTTTTATTTCACATTCTCATCAGCACCCTACAACATTTTTCTCTCTTCTCATTAGTTGCTGTGATTGTTTTTATTTTAGTTTTACAACACACAATCATCATATTATCATATAATCTTTTTCCATATCATTAATAACACTCACCAATCAATGTCCACTGGATACTTTCAATATCTTTCAGAGATTTTTTATTCTTGTCACAAACCACAATAAGATCTTCGACCACACCCTGAACAGCAGGGGCCACATCCTCATTACAATGGGCACATACTAATACAAAAGAATGAGAGGCACAACATCATTATTTCTTCAAGGTTGTGTACGAACTGGGGAAACCTTGGGGAAACCTTTTATGGAGTTCTTTTGCATTCATGCAGAAATAGGACAATAAGGGTATTACGTACATCATAGGTAGCCTTCAGGCATGACTTGTCAATGAATGAAATGGGTAAGTTTCCAAAGAAACTGTGGTGCTGCATCTTTAGAAGTGTATAACAAGGTAACTTAGTATTATCAACTGAGTTGATATCGTAAATTGGCCACTATAAAGAGTTTTCTCTGATGAAGGGCTAACACTCGAAATGTCACCTTTTAAACTCTCTACGGTGGAGAAATTTTCGTTAACAACTCAGTTGGTATTACTAAATTACCCTAGTCAATTTATGGACTGATGTTTCGCCCATCAATTAACCCATAAAACAATTAGTAGCCGGAAGATGGCAGACAGATCTAGTGACAGTCAACCAGAAGGTAACCAATAGTCAGCCCCTGTATTGTGGAAGATATGATTACATATTTCACTGATATCTCATGAAAGATGGCTGCAGATTATCACATCATCTAGTCCACTGACAACTGATGACAGACAGGTTGATGAGGAACAAATACAAGCGATCAATTCATCTTCATAAGTTAATTGTGGTTGATTTCATTCCAGAAAGGAAGACTGAAAAAATTGTAGCCTCTAAGATTAGAGGCATGTTTCCCAGACACTAATTACACACCTCTACTGACTGAACCATATGGTACCACATTTTAGGAGTGAGGCCAATTTCAGTGAATTTTTCGTTCTTCTTAAAGGAATCTGATCTTGCCTTCGATGTTACTAGTCTGTTGTAACTAGAGATAAATGCACAGCTGTAAACAACAAAAGCTTAGATGTAGATGGGTAGATAATTAGCTCTGGCTAAAGCTCAAGATCGATCGCTTATTATTACATGTGTATGATTTCCGATATATTGGGGCATAAAATATGGCATATTAGCTCGTTGCCAGTGAATGAAATCTAAATATATCTCACCCTCATGATCTGCTGAGGAATCATCATGCACTATAAGAAATACCAAAAATCTATCCATGTTTACATCGGTAATCATTCCAGAATCTTGCGTAGCGAAGAGGATGTATCGATCCAAGAGTTCGCGGGCTTTATACAAACCGCTGACCGGTAAATAACGCAACGGCCAAACATGCATGACGATCAAAGGTAAGCATTACAAAGAAAAATTCATAGATCGAGTGTCTTTTTCCAAAAGCAGCTTTCTGCATCGAAATGAAATTCTGATACTATAAGGAAATTTTGTTCACTGCTTTTCCCTTCAGCTTTTGAATTGCGTACATGTATTAAAGCATTCTACTTAGAATTCCAAAACGCCCTCGCAACTAAGATATACCCAGAATTTCCGAGCGAAATGACCGAGTGTGAGCTGGGTACGATTTGCGTCCCTTTCGTGTGGCCTACAAATATTTTGTCATTTTACCGTAAAGATGGTGGAAACAACACTTATCTTCTCCGCTGCTAAAACTTCATTTGATCCTCAAGTGCAAGGATGTTTGATCATCGGGAAACCGCGAAACCTTCAGACTGTTACATTTGACAATTTAGCGGAAAAACTTTCGCCACGAGTTGACGCTGCGGTACGGCACTTTTTTTTATTTTATTCAATTAAAATTTATGTTTACAATAATTGATTCTATTTTCAATTTGAATAGCTTTTATTCAAACAGCTTATCTCAAATTGTGTCGTATGGTTTATGTCAGTGTTACATCGTGATGTAGCAAATGGTCATTCCTGATGATCGAAAAATAAACGTTTCACGGAACAAAATATGATAACTCGTGTAATATTCGACTAGACTGGATTGCGGAAAATAAATGCTATTGGAGCAATATCCTCCGTTTATTCTATGGTTACATTTATCCAATACAATTATTTTATTAACTGTCGTCAACGCCACATTTAGGAAGCGAAATTTTGAGGCAGCGCTATCACACGACTTTTGTTCTTAGAACCTAAAACCATTAAAAAAAAGAGCGAAGGAAAATGATGAAGAGCACCAAATGGTTAAAAAAAAACATGCTGAAACAGTTTTCATATTATTTTTATTTATCCTTCAGTTGGATTTAGTGATGATATACATATGATACTAAAATTTGGTGATTCACATGCTCTTTTAGAAGAATCTTTTAGTTTCATACCAAACCGATTGCAGTACTCGATTAACTTGTATTCCAAGTATTCAGAAATTTCATTTTCAGTTAACTCTTTAGGTCGTCTGTTAATCTCCAACTGGTTAAATTTATAGAGGTTCAGGGTGACTTATGAGGACTTCATTTAGTTATTGTATGTTACGATTTTGCTATGGTATTTGTATATATATATTTTTTTTCATTATTAATAATTCCTTGGACCATGAACATTTGACTAAGAGGTTCACACAGCTAATATTTTCAGTTTCAGAGGATCAAACTTTTTGGTTTTGAGTTGAGACATGAATCAAATCTGAAAAGCTGATACGGTAGCATTACTGACCGATTCTGTTCAAAAAACACTGAGCAGAGAAAAGATGCTATCAAATGTCTAAAGAGATGACTTGGAACCTTCACTTGTGCTGAACAGATTTGTAACTGTTAAATCATCCATCTCACATACATCCCTTTGATTTCATGGACTTTCTCAACCATTACATCTATCCAAGATGATTGTAGTAATTGTGTCCTTGCAAATGTTATTCTCTCTGTTTAAAGAGAATACTCTGCTCCTTCCCCTCAAATATCCCTTCATATATAAATTATCATGCAGCAAGTAACGAGAAGTCAAAAACCTATCAGCCCAAAGGGTGTTTTGGCAGAGTTCACGAGTCATTTGAGTGTACAGAATTTACCAGCTAGGCAAAATTTGTACGTTTAATGATAATCTCAGATTAAAAATGAGCTTTTCCTTTATTTCTCTTGAAATAAAGTGTACATTAGGGCTTAGATGTTTTGTGGGGGGTTACCTTAGCATAACAAGATAATCATAGCAAGATAAAACTGCAGGAAACAATATTTTTATTTATTGAAACTTTTTATAAAGCAACAAAGCTAGGTCAGAAATTGTTTGCTAACACTGGCTTAACTCAAAACAATGTGGAACTGAGCAATTTTTTATGATCGCTCTTTCAGGTTAATCTTCTGTAACTTTCTTGCTCTTTCATTTTTTGGTCAATGAAACTCTTGTTTCATTTTTTAACTTCCTGCTCACCTAATTGATATAAGGAAGACTGTAATGAGCTTTAAGAGAGACTTGCTAATCAGGTAATGGTAGTTTAAAGGTTAAAGACATGGTTTTTGGATTATCTTTTAGACATTTAACCTTGTGCTTCACACCATGGCTGGTTCAGATGCTTGTCCAGTTTGGTTAAATCAAGTGGTTATTGGTGCTCTTCCTACTACAGCAAGTCGTCATAACTCCTCAGCCAGTCCTCACTTCCTTAACAAGCTTGTCTGCAGCCATCTTCCTGGAGGGGATGCTTGTATTGTGGTATGCAGATGGTTATATTGTCGTTTAATTTTATCCTTAGTTCAAATTTTATTTTCTTTTACTCCTGGGTATTGTAATGTATAATAATGAGTTTGAAACAAAAGAAAATAAAATTTAAACCAAGGATAAAATTGAGCCATAACAATTGCATTTTACAACATTTTAGTACTTCTTGTAATTGTAAACCTAACTTTGCTACTTTCTTTTCATCATGATATAGCTTTTCTCACCTTTCAGGGCTTTAGAGATTTGACAGAGTTCATAACCTGGGCCCTAAAATGAAACACAATGCAGCTGATCTGGTGATCAGTCATGAAATTCCAAACTAACAGTCATTTTAAGGAAGACTTCTCCATAATTTATCATGGAAATTTCAGACTATTCTGATGACTAGCATAACAAGTAAAAGACTTTATTAATTATATTCCCTCTGTTTTTGTTTTGTTTTGTTTTGTTTGGGTTTTTTTGCCTCCCAGGTTGTCTGTGAAAGACATGATGCTTTTGCTTCAGCTTGTGCTATTTCAAGGGCTTTCCCAACTTATTCAAGAAAGACCTCTAAAGCTGCAAAATTGTTATCAAGAACTGTAACTGTAGAGTTCATTCTTGTTGGAAACAATGATTCTCCAATCTCAAGTGAAGATGCAGCTTGTATGAATGTAGTTGCAGACAGCATCCGTCTGAGTGCTCGCCTGGTAGATATGCCATGTGGAGATTTGCACACCACTGCATTTGTTCAGGTGTGAGCTGATACTTAATATGTATATCTTCACCACATCTAAAAACCAATGATCCATTGGAAAATGACTAGAATGCTCTGTACTGGTTTTAGTGCTAATAACTCACAAAGTTATAGATATAGAGTCTTGTTATCATTCTTTATCACAACTAGGGTGTTTAATGTAGAAGGAAAAAAAAGGTTATTTTCAGAAAAGAAAAGCCCAGGAAAGTTTCTACCATTTATTTTAGAAATAATTGTAGTTTTTCTTGAATTTTTTAACTGAACAGGATAATATAATTTGATCAGGTTACATGGCCCAGCATCTCTGCACCCTGTAGAGGTCTTGTTCTAAATGTGTTTTTCTGCCTTCTTTTGTCTCTTCATGTCCTTTTTTGTCCAGGAAATTACTAAAGTTGGTGAAGAATTAGGTATTGTTCCTGTTGTGATCAAAGGAGAAGAACTTGATCAAAAAGGTTTTGGAGGTAAGATGAGCTGCAATATTTGTAAAGGGATAATCCTTTACTATGAATGCAAGTAGTACTGTATTGAGCCTGATGTCCTTTTAAGGAATGCCATCATATCATAGGCCATAATAATAGCTGACATGGAGCTGGGGGTCAAACGATTTTTTACCAGCCATCTCCATGTTACAATTATGTAAATGGTAGATATCGGGGGAAGCCAGCAAAAAATCATCACAGGGCAAGCAAAAAAAGGAGCCTGCAAGGAAAGAGGAAAAGAGTTCCCCTCAAGAATACATGGAGAAGACACATGGAGTCAGAAAAGATTGAACTACACATGGCACAAGCTAGAAATGGTAACCTCTGAAAGAAGCATATGGGGAACAGAAATCATCAATGGCCTATGGTCCACCAGGGAGCCAAGGGATCGCACTAAATTAGATATCAAATATTTATCCTTTCATTACTTGTAACCATAGGATTTTAGGTAGCCTAAGAATCAGTGCACTGTATTCTGGATTGAAAAGTCTAGGTTTAAGCCTCACCCTGGGTGTTTTCCTATTACCTAGAGGGCAATTCTTCTTGCCCGACCAGGAGTATAATTGGGTGCTCATAAACTGTCAGGGAACCTCAGAAAATATTGGAGGGCTGGGTACAAGAGCAAACACTAGCGTCCCATCCCATGAGCATTTCAACTGAAGCAGCAAAACACCTACTCACTTCATGCTACAATAACTGATTGTAATAAGCTCCTGTTGGCAATTGATTCAGACTCATTTTTCCTGATTAATGTTCCCTTTAGGGTTGTATGGAGTAGGAAAAGCAGCAGTGAACCCTCCAGCCTTAGTAGTATTGAGTCATACACCTATGTCAGCTACACGGACCATAGCCTGGTGTGGAAAAGGCATAGTGTATGACACCGGAGGACTGTGTATCAAGGCTAAGGTACGATGAAAAAAAAAAAAACATCAAAGACACCAGGTAGATGGCCAACGCACACGTAAAACCTTCGCGCGTTTCTCGCGTTCTGCGCCAAAAAAAAACCTACGAAGGTTAATTTTGTGACCTGACTGTTCATTTCACTTTTTCACCAACACAGAGTGCATTTAGTGATGCGGGGAAACCACTATTGTGCAATCGCCCTCTTATAGTAGCCACAAAGAGAATTATTCAATCAAATATGTGGAGGTAAAGAGTTAAAACTAATTCATTTTGCAGACCTCTATGCTTGGGATGAAAAGAGACTGTGGAGGGGCAGCTGGTATTCTAGGAGCTTTTAGAGCAGCAGTAAAACAGGTCAGTAAGTTGCTGTAATTAAAAACTTTCCTGTCTCCCACAACTTTCGTCCAAAACGTATATGCTTCAAACTTCTTCCCTTCACATTTGCCCTTCATAGTAATGACTCTCACTGCCTTTAACGGAGAGTCGTACCACCATGGCTTCTCTAACATCCCCTTCGCATGGGCGGATCTAGGGAAGAGGTACAGGGGGTGCACACCTTGGTCCACCACCCCCCTCCCTCCTCCGTTGTCCCGCTCTGTGGCTCTAGCCATCGGTCAACTTCCTTCTCGATGCTCCTGTGCGATATCAAATGCCCAAATGCCACAATTTACCAACGGCTATGTATAAAGTTTGAAAATTAATGATAATAATGATTCAGTTTATGATCCTTACACAGGGCTTTACTGAGAATCTTCATGCTGTGTTCTGCATGGCAGAAAATGCTGTTGGTCCTGACGCTACTAGACCTGATGACATTTTGACGTTATACTCAGGAAAGTAAGTTTCATCTGAATATCGTAAACTGATTACATTGCAGTGAGGTAGTAAGTTGTGTATAGAGTCACGTCGTATCGACTGTAGAGCAACTCCACTGTAAGGTCGAAAGTAATGTGGGTCTCACCTTTCTTCACTCCGTGATTGGTCGAGAAATTTCTCACCATCCTCTCAACCAATAAGATGTCAAGATGCCAAACGTAACTCATTTCTGACCAGGCCACTCGCTTTTTTCCGTGCTCCAAGCATTTTTCTTGTATCTTTTTTTACTTCTCATCGGCTCACTGTGATATTTTTCCTGTGATTGGCTGTTTTTACTATGTCGGTTTAGTTTTACAATACGCAATCGAAATGCGCTTTAAGCGTAAAGAACTTTGCATCAGACCCCAACGTAGTTTGGAAGCTTTTCATTGAGAATGATAAAAACTACATCTGTTCAACGAGCATTTAGACTTGTTTATACAGTTTTTTCAGTCAAAAGTACTAATTACCGACGGCCGAGGCGAATAAGAATAAAAAGCCGTTTACTAGATGCAGTCACCAGTTTGTTCTTTTTTGAATTGGATTTATAGATTTCACATAATAATTTATTTCACAATCGACCTTTCCGGATTTGATTACTGGCTGTAATCAACGTGTACGTGTACGTGTAGGCTTGAAAAAAGGGAGACTGTAACATCACCATCTGTGTATCACATACATGTGCTTGCCGTCACAAATAGATAATTAAGTTAAAGCATGACAATCGTGACGCTGTTCTTTGAGGTTTTTCTCTGTCCTTTGAAACCCAAAGCAACATTGTGAAACACGAAAAGGAGTCAGAAAGAAAGGAAAACTTTCGGGTCACCTTGCAATGTTAAATTTGTCTTTTTATTCAATCTGGTGTAGAACTGTCGAGGTGAACAATACAGATGCTGAAGGCCGCCTAGTTCTTGGAGATGGGGTAAGACCTGTTTACATGCAGAACATTTTCATTTTAGTGGTTGACCATGGTTCTATGACCAACCGCCGTTCAGAGACGATGGAGGACCGTGCATGAGAAATCGTGATGTTACTTGTGAATACCTTACATCAAAAACGCATCACAGAAAGTCAAGACGGACGAAATTTATTGCAGCGCGCGCGCTATTTGTAATTTGCACTCGTTACAACTCTGCACCCGTGTTACAGGAGAAATATTCCCGTTTTCAGCCAATCAGACGCGCGTAATTTTGTTATGTATATTGTTAATAGCGTTCCATGATTGCAGGGTCATTGTGGTATGCCGTAGATCTGTTCACTTTTCAGTAACCAAACTGCTACTTGTATGATGGAGTTTACCTTTCTCTTTTATTCTCAGGTGGCGTATGCCAAGAAGGATCTCCGTGCCGACGTTGTCCTTGACATGGCCACCTTGACTGGTGCCCAGGGTATTGCAACGGGACGCTACCACGCGTCACTTTTGACCAACAAAGAAGTGTGGGAACCAGCTTGTGCTGCGGCGGGAAGAGCAAGTGGGGACTTGGTTGTGAGTAGTTAATTGTGATATGTCAACCTTTCAGTGAATCAGTTTTGACATCCTTGACTTCATTATAGAGAACACTGTTAAACAAAAAGTCTCCGCTTGTGATGAAGGTTAAAAGGACTTTTTCAATCGACGACTGCGCTAAAGATTTTGAAATTTATCTCCTTTTTTAGTCTGTTTACACACACTACGCTTTCGACAGCGCTTATCTTGGCAGTAACCAGATCGCTTGCCACTTTTGAATTGCATGTAATTTTGTAAAAAAGCTCGCCTAGCACATTTCTGTAGCGCAAGAGGTGAAGTAACCGATGTTTACAACCGTTTACAATCGATCATGATATTGGCAGGTCCAAAGTTCCAATCTTTGTGGAGGTCGCACATTTTTTCTTTCTCCTTTCAGGCTCATCTCTGGCGTGGAATTTCTCATTTTATTCTTATGATATTGTTTAACAGTGTTCCACATTGTTCATCTGTTTCTCGTCTACGATATCGACTTAAAAATCTGCTCAGTTTTAAACCTATTTCCACTCTCTTAATTGTTCGTTGCACTTTTTTTAATTCTTTCAGTTTCCCATTCCATATTGCCCAGAACTTCATTTCTCAGAATTTTCAAGTGCATTAGCAGATATGAAAAATTCAGTACAAGTAAGTTATTTAATGTATAATTTGTCTTGCCATAGCATTTGGTAATCACAATTTACCATAGGAATAAGCAGAGCAAAGCATGGAAAATAATTCCCCTTATTTTTAGGCACGTCGCTTACTGAGAGTCGAAAGTAATCCATGACTGCTCAAGTTTGCATGGCTACGCCTTGCGATTGGTCGAGAAAACTTACGCAACGTTCTCAACCAATCAGAGGCAAAAATTAAAGCCAGTCGTGATTACGTCACCCAAGTTTGCCCTCGCTTGAAGTGAGCTACCGTAGCTTCTTGTTTTAGTTCGCTCCTTATTATATTTTACTTTCAAACGTCTAGCGTTTGAGTGGAAAGCAAGAGAATACAAACTTAGCTATGAGGGACTAATAGCTACGAAACTCACTTCCATATGACGTAAATACATGTCAGTTTAAGGGATACATCATAAAACCTTTTGTTTTACGCAGAATCGTGATAATGCTCAAGTGTCCTGTGCTGGCCTTTTCATTGGTATGTAATTTATGGAGGATTTTTGGGATTACTGTAGAAACTTTGTGCATTAACCGACAACAATAGACGAAACATCGCTCAGCAGATTCAATCACGTATAACGTAAAAAGAATTGTTTATGTCACTCTGTTTCTAAGAAGATTTTTTTCATATTGCACTTTTGCAGCCTGTATAGTTTGACTTATAAAGAAAGCCTCACCTTGGTGATATGGGATGCTTTTTTTTCCTTTTTTTTCCTTTATTAAGCGAACTTTTTGCAGAAGATAACTTGACCTTACACTTGAACTTGAATTATTTCTATTTATAGGTTCCCACTTAGGATTTGATTTCCCTGGAAGCTGGTTACATATTGATATGGCTGCTCCAGCTCATATGGTGAGCAAACTCATGAGCGTGTAACAACAACTAGTCAAATTTTGCCTCTAGCCATGCTAAACTACTCTAATATTTCGCGTAAAACTTGAATTCAAATCTCGAGCTTGTAGAGCAGCTCGTCCCAGACTCTCAAGGTCTCTGCAGAATTGACGAGCGTCTTTGCTATTGCAGGGTGAAAGGGCAACAGGTTACGGAGTGGCTCTCTTGGTCACCTTATTTGGAAAAGCGTCCTCGTCGAAACTCCTTCAGAGTATCGCACCAGAACTGCCGGCAAAGGACTCTGGGTTTGGCTATTGAAGATGATTATGGTGTCGTCGGGCCGAACAAAATGGCTGATTGAATAGGGAAGACTTGAAGACTTGAATAAGACTTGAATAGGGAAGAAATGTTTTGACTGAAATTTGAACTTAGACTTACGGTTTTGAATTTTGACCACGTAGAGATTCTGATGCACATTCCATAGTTCTCCCTTTTAATTTACCCTTCTCCAATCTACTTAATACAACTCATACCGTTTAAACACTCATGCCGTCAAAAATTAAATTTTATTTTTCCTCTGCACATGTGGTACTTGATGATTTTCCTTGTCAGAGAAGGACGTTGAGTGTGAAAGGTAAAATCAATTGAAATAAAAATAGAATCAATTTTCCCTGTCATTGGCGTGAGTTTTTTGTTTTCCTTTTTTTTTATTATAATTATTTCCGTTTCCTTGACGCCTCGTCTTTTTTGAGTGCCTCAGATGGAGCAATCGTTACAGTAACAAAATAACACCGTAATTACGACGGATGACTGACAATAGGCTATAAACAGTTTGTAATCTCTTGTGTCTGACTAATTCTCCGCGGCTAGTCCGTTTCTCAGCTAACATCCCAGCTTTTGATTCTCCAAAGACATTTCTCACACAAAAACTCAGGTTTTACATCAGTGAATTCGCGTCGTCAGTTGAAATGGAATACAACAGTCCTGGTTACAATCAAACAACGTTGTAAATTTCAATCAAGACTGGATATTACATGTAAGAAATGGTATGCAGTATAATCAATACGTCGAGCACTTTTGGAGACGGTCAGCAGTAACCAGAGCAGACCATTGCGGAAAAGAAAAGAAAATAAAGAGTTTACTTTGTAATAAGACTGCACTTTTTACACATTGTGACGGCGCCTATTTCGTCGTTGTTGTTGTTCTGCTTATTTTTTTCTTCTTCTTCACAACCTTATTCAGTAGATCGAAAATAATCCATGAAATATGATGACAATACGAGTCCTAAAACAAATTTCTTCGCAGGATAAGTCCGCTAAACTTGAAGGGCTGGATCGTCACTTTTTCCCAGACCTCCTTTAAAAATATTTGGTTTTGGGTAATTACCGCTGACCAATTAAAGTTTTCTGTTTTCGACCGCCATGTTGTCGAGTCTGAGAACTTTGTCAAGATCATTCTCGCTTATTCGTGCTGTTGGCAAGGTGAGGAGATAATCAAGGTGTAGAATAACTACTCAACTATGTTTCTTCCACTTTTTTGGAGAGAAGTTCATAAATTCATGCAAAGAAATGATTCTAATCGTAGGCCAGTCAACAAGCAGTATCCATCCATCCCTCAAGATGTTTTCATCGGGCAATACCCGTCTTGTCAGATAAGCTTTTCGTGGTAAGTGTGCACAATAAGATTAACATCAAATCCAATTTGCAGCCGTGACTCATAAGAGAAATCATCAGAAGAAAGATTTTCCACGTTTCCAATACCCAGCGAAGCTAAGTGGTGCGTTTGCTTACTTTGCTTTGCTGTTACATAACGACCCAACTTAAACTTTAGAGTTGCATTGGATTCATTTCTTAAAAAAAAAAGAAGGTACGTTGAACAGCTCTTGACAATTATGCAATGTACTTACAAAAGTAGTCTCCTACTTGTATAATTTGGCTGTGAGATGATGATATATGTATCATACTTCCAATATTATTTACAAGTAGATGATCTTGAATACCAAAATTGTGATCAGGCTGTATTCAATTTGAAGGGAAACTGAACCAAACTGATACATGACTTTGAATTTGTTCACAGCACAGGGATACTCCAGAAAATAATCCAGACATTCCATTTGAACTGACTGCTAAAAACCTGGAGGTGAGCAACAAAATAGGGAATCAAACCAATATCACTCTCTTAACCCTTAAACTCCCAATAATAATAAACATGCAACTTCTCCCTAAAATATCTGTAAATTGTTCACCAAACACATTACAAGAATGTTCAAGCTTATCAGGTGGAATTTGTTGTATAGATCTTGCACAAAATTCTCATAATTAATTTACAAGGAATGTGTAGCAGTTGGAGGGGAGAATGAACAGTCAGATCTTGGGAGTTAAAGGGTTTAAAAAAATTTAATGATTTGTTTATGGCCTGACAGCTTAAGCCATGAAGGAAAAATGATCTTGTTTTTTAAAATGAGGATATGATCCTAACATCAATGCTGGCTTCATGGGGTTTTCCTTCATGACATTAGTGTTTTAATTACTGACTCTGTGAAGCTCTAACATGAGAATTTGGTACAATCCCACTTATTTATAGCAGCCATTTTCATTTCTCAATTCATCGTGGTAATGGGGATGAGTGAAATCCAATTTAGTCTGTAGACATAAGGGTAATTTACAAAAAAAAAATGAGGAGTATAGTTACAGATGGAAACAGAGGACACAAATTGACCAAGTCCTGTTTCCAATTTATTAAAACTTTAACAAAACTTGTGAAACATATCTATTGTTAAAAAGTCTATTCAAACATTTAAAGCCTCTAGTTCATTTGGGTGTTCCATGAAACTTAATGTGTAATTTAAGATTCTCACTCTTTAACTGTCCAATACATGCTCAAATTGGGCTAAAACTCAATTTTTTATGATTTAATTAATACTCAACTCCCCTGATCTGTTTGTTAATTCTCCCCTCTTGCATTTCCTTGTAGACTAGTTAGGAGAATTTGTTAAGATTGAGTATTCTCATTACTTGTTTGCTGGATAATGTACAGATATTAAGCAAGAAGTTACTTGTTAATCCTTGTGGGAGTTAAAGGATTAAATCCTTAAATAGATGATGGTGCAGTGAAGTGACACTATACCACCAATATCAACCAAACACTTTTGTCTACCACACTGAATGCAGTGATGAGCATTTAAGCTACACACTCATCATAATTGTTCTAAGAGTTGACAATTTGTTGTTTTCTTAGAGAGCGAAAACAATCATAAACAACTACCCTGATGGACACAAAGCAGCTGCTGTCATACCTGTACTGGATCTGGCACAAAGACAACATGGTATGCAGTGGAATTATAACGTGCTGTTTTCACAGAAAAAAAAAATTTGCATACAGGTTTGGTAGAAGTCAGATCTTAATTGAAAGAAACCTCTCCACCACTTATCAAGGATGAAAAGACTTACTTAGTGCAAAGCTTCATGCTCAACTCTTTTCAAAGTTGTCATATGGTGACTTAAAGTCACAAAGTGGTCCCCAAAATAAAATGCCAGCTTTCAAGCTAATGTGTATCTCACTTCAACTGATGGCCATAAGCAGCAAGTTATAAAAAGTTCCCTATTGGCCATGACAATTAAAGTAGTGACAGCCTTGAGCTACGTCATAGGCAAGTAACTTACCGGTAAGTTATTCTTGATAGTATCGCGCCTATTACAGCATGAAAGTTTTTATTTCTCTTTTAGGTTGGCTACCAATTTCTGCAATGAATTATGTTGCTGATTTGTTGGAAATGCCAAGAATGAGAGTTTATGAAGTGGCAACATTCTACACCATGTATAACAGGTTTGTTTAGCAGCTTGCCATCTTAAGAAAAAATAAAGGTGCAAAAGTGACAAAATGTCCTCTCTCTTACCATTTTAAGCTTACAATCTTTTTTAAAAGACTCTCTCACCTGGTTCTTATCCTCATATCTCTTTATGGAGCTGATAACCTGATAAGAAATGAATTTTTCTCTCCAAGGGAACCTGTTGGAAAATATCACATTCAAGTCTGCACCACAACGCCTTGTCAACTGAGAGACTCAGACATGGTAGTAGAAGTTATTTCCAAGAAATTAGGTTGGTTAACTCAGCCCACATGCCAAGTAGTATAAATAACTAGAACTTCTATTGGTTCCCCTTGTTTGAATTAATACCAAGGAACCTTCTTTTTACATGACATTTTCACTCCTGAAACTGCAACGTATTCCAAAAGTGGTTGTTTCTTTTCACGAGCTCTTGAGTTATTTAATCAAAAGGTTTTTGACCAATCAGGTTGCATGTCAAAACTTAGCTGTTTTATAAATCTTCATAAATTGTCAAGGTGAAATGTCCATAATTTGATGTTTTAAGGTATCAAGATTGGCGAATCAACAAAAGATGGCTTGTTTACCATGAGTTCAGTAGAATGCCTTGGAGCTTGTGTGAATGCCCCAATGATGCAGATTAACGACAACTACTATGTGAGAACAGTTTCCTTTTTTTCACCTTACCATGCAGTAATAACATACCGTTTATTTGTTGCACTGATAAGCTCACCTAGAGTCATAAGAAAACTGACCTGGTTACGCACAGGGGAACGGGAAGGAAGATGTTTAAAATGTTAGTACTCATCAAAAGTACTAAAACAGGGAATTACTTTTTGACGAAATGAGCAGAATGTCGTAATTAACGATAAATTAACTGGTGGTAATTATTTGCGGGACACTTGGTGGGTACCAGGCTATTGGAAACAAAGGGAAAATGCGTCGACTAATAACATCATTCCTTCATAAAACGGAAGCGTCCCGGGCGTTAAGTATAAAGTAGGAAAAGAATTCTGCCTTATTAATTCATAGGTACGATTCCGACAATTTGTTTAGGAAAGCCGTTACTCTGTCATTAATGTAGTAAAAGGCTAGTCCTAACGACTGTGACTCAACCCACTTTTTCTTATTGTGTATCAAATCTCTCCAGGAGGACCTCGCAGCCAACGACGTAGAAGAAATCATTGACGATCTGATTGCTGGAAAAACACCAAAAGCGGGACCCAGGTATGCCTCTTACATTTACACCTTTTATTCATTAGCTGGCTGGCATGCCCTCATTTTCAGTGCAGTACGAGCGGCGAAACGGCGAGATTCGAACCGATGAGCGAGACGAGCGAGCGAGAGGTACGAGCGAAAGGTTGACGAGGGGTCTGGGCTTGGACCCTCACGAACCTTCCGCACGCTCACATCGGTTGGAAAAGCGTGGGCCTCACCGCTAAGAGAGCGCCCCCGCAGGCGATTGTGCAGGTGATGTTCTTCACTATTTTCTTTTCATTTTCTCTCATGTGGGCTTGCTTTCTCTTCCAGGAGTGGTCGATTTTGTTGTGAGCCCGCCGGAGGACTGACGTCATTAACAGAGCCTCCCAAAGGGCCAGGCTTTGGTGTGCGATCTGACCTTTAAACCGTTTGCTCACTGATAATACTGTTATTGAACCTTGTAAAATAGAAATTAAACTTTGTGTAATCTTGTTTGAGATGCGATAAATAAATTTGGTTTTTAACCTGTTTTGATTGGAGGTTGATTTCACTCTGATATCTTATCTTTTCCGTCACTCTCATCTTATTACAGAAACTTAGAACCACGCACATTTTAGCGAGAGGTAAACGGCTTTTATTTCCCTAACAGAGTCTACGTATTTCGAGACGAATACGACAAATCGATGCATGATTTAGTGTACTTTATTTTACATTTTCTATGATAATAACTAAACAAACTTTACTTTGATGGAAGTCGAGCAAACTCAACACATTAGAGATGAGGAAATAAACGAATTATGGAGACCATTTCCAGCCTAACTTATATGATGGCAGCATTGTGAGGTTCACTTAACGCCTCATAGTTAACAATCTAGCTCGTGAAATAACTCTACACTGAATTTAACTAAATTTTCTCTCTGGATATGATAACGGTAGCACCGCATGGTTTCACTAGTTTCACGGTGCCCTGACTATGTGCAACTTTGAAGGGATGTTTAACCCTTTATACCCTAACATCAATAAGCATATTCTCCATACTAACCTCAGACGTTTCCTAAGTTGCTGACAAGGAGAACTTGTTTAAAATCAACAGCTTCTTTGGTTGGTGATCATTTCGTGACCTTAATGTGTTACTCAAAGGTGACATTATAGAAAGAAAGAAACTGTGAGTCACTCGTAGGGGTTAAAGGGTTAATGTCACCAACATAAATCATACTCCTTCTTCCGTGAAGAATAATCATATGAATTCAAACTGTGATTTAACATAACATATTCTAACAGATTCTAATGATGAAGCACCTTTCTAAAGTACAAAGCGTCTCGTACAGAAGCTACCACAAGGGCAGTTCCTATTATGGACAGCTTGATCGGGAACAAGCGTGGATTCTCAATCTCACTAATGCGGACAATAATTTCCTCCGTTTCCTTTAAAATGAGGAAAAATTTGACCTTAATTCGTCAATTTTCAATGGCAATCTGATGATGGCAGCATGCCAAGGTTAACCAAATGTCTCATGGTGGGCCGGCCATGAGGACAATTCCACGGATGTTGAATCTCACCCATATGACAGACAATCTTCTTCATCTGGGCTTGATCCAATGCTGTTCCAACCATGATAGACATACGGCATGCACGGCTCGCAAACATCTTCCTAACTCTTGAAGGTCTGCACATAATGCCGGGAGAATCACTCAACATGAAAATCAGTTCTTCGATATCCTCCACGCCGAAGGTCCAATTCTTGCTCATTGGAAGCGTAACTAGTTTGACCTTCCTCATCGCTTCAGCATTTACGTCAATTTCAAATTCGAACCCATTCTTTCGAAATATATCTACATTGTCCATGAGGATGGCTTCGTTAGCAGCAGTTAGTTCAAGTTTCTGTGGAACAATGAGCCGTTGTGACCTGATTGTGGTATTGCGCTGCTGATCTTCAAAGTTATACTTCTCATCCGATGCATGCTGATCGATTATAAACAAATCATTGTCCAGTTTAGCGACGATGAAACCCAAATTGAACTGACCTAGAATTTCCATCCGTTTAAACATGTCTTTGCTAATATTCTTTCTCAGCTCTGACTCTGCACTAGAATTGCTCTCTGGAGCAATCTTGGCTCTGAACAAGCGAGCTTCAACAGCCCTTGTTTTTTCTCGCTGCGGTTTCTTGACGTTAGTTATCAGATTATCCATACTAAAGTTAACTGTGCTTTCCTTCCGGTCTCTAAATGAACCGGAAGCAACTTGTTTTGTACTTGAAGCATTCGGACGTTTAGGAGTTACAAGTAACGACTTCATGGCGTAATCTCTGCCATCCACATTTTTATAAGAGCATTGATTTTCATTCACAGGCTCTGGATCATTTTGGCTGTTTTCTCCGGATTCGTTTACAAAACTAAAACTTTGGGAAGAAGCAGGACATCTTGAACTACTCTCCTCAACAGAATTATCATCTGAAACAGTCGCTCCGCAAGGTGTGTCCCTTACCTCACTCACTCTTAATACACTGTCGCTTTCACGCTGTACTGTGCAGTCCTCGTTACTATAATCAAGGACATACTTCTCTTTCACAAAGTTCTTCGTATCTAATTCGTCCTGAACTTCAATAACATGTTCTTTACTTCTGCCATCTTCCCTGAGTTCTTCATCATCTCCGTGGCCGTTAATTACGGTTGTATGTTTCCTGTCAGATCGTAATCCCACGTTGTGGCTTCGATTTGACAAACCACCAACCCGAGAAAACATAGAAGTAAGCCTTGCTTGCTTACTACAGGGTTCTTTTGATTTGTTCCTAACATATCCATCAACAGCTGAGAATTTCCTCTTAAAACTACTGAGGGAAGGGAACCTCATTCTCTCTTCAGACACACCAGGTCTGGATATCAACATAGGCTCTACAGACTGTGATACTTTAGCATCTTTATTGACTGTAGAGCCCGTACCTTTCTGATTACGAAGTTGCTCGTTATTGGGGAAAGTCACATTGTTAGCCTCTTTTGCTGAGAAAGATTCGGCCAGTGTTATTTGCATCAGAGGTTTTTGATTGACATCAAATGAAGCTGTACAAGGGTCAAACATTCTCTTCAAGGATGATTTCATTGTGGCCAGGAGCACCTTCTCCTCCTGAACAAAAACCTGTCGTTTGTCTGGAGTCACATTCACGTCCACTCCATCTGTCAGAAGAATCCATAAAAACATATATTTCAGCTTGCGAGCAGGCTTTCATTAATATTAACGCAGCAGCATGCGCGGCAAAGCCCACGAATTTCGAGCTAACGAACGGAACAAGCGCGCGAGAGGTCTGTGTAGTGCCCGGCACGAGAAATATGACACGCGAGCTTCGCTGCTCGTGCCGTGGCAACAAAGTGAGCCTGCTCACAGTTAATATAATTTCAATGAACGTTATTATGTGATCAACCCTTTAGCTCCCAAGATCTCATCAGTGATTCTCCTTACTGTCTGCCAAACGATCTCATTATGTTAGTTTGGAGAATTTGGTATCGGATCAATTAGTAATCCCATAATTGATATTTTTCTTAATTCTCATCTCTTTTCTACATGATATGGTAGAAATATGGTGAGAAAAATTTCTGTTTTTGTCACCACGGAAGTTAAAGGGTTAATTGACTGACAAAACAAACAAACAAAAAGGTCAGTTTTAAGATTTTATTACGTAACAATTCGAAAAGAAATAGCTTTAATTTGACCTGCGGATGAAATGATCCCCGCAGGCGAACTGCCATTTCAGCAATTACAGAAAAGAGGCCTAAAAAAATCAGGTGTCGACGGGATTCGAACCAGTGCCTCCCATATTCTAGTTGGGCACTGCCACCATTGATTTTTTACGACCTCAACATTGCACAGGTTCTGTATTGAACGGATGCGAAGCGAGGGTCTCTTGGGGTGTCAGGTAAAAATAAGTTTCACTGTATTGTATGTGCTTGGTACATAACAATAATCTTTGTAATCAGAACTCACCTCTTGCTAAGGTAATATCTAGCATCACAAAAGGATATTGATGTCTGTTGTAAGTGTGATAAACCTCATTTATGACTCTGAGCACTTTGGATAGTTCACAAGGTCTTTTGTTAATGTATAAAAACTGACGATCAGCACTACTACGTCCCATGCCGTGATCTGGTTTTGAAATATAGCCCGTGATATGGAAGGGATTGTTCTGTAGGTCAGTTTTCGCTGCATCAAGGCCGATTTCATTGCAATCCTCTTCGTTTGGCGCTGATTGTTCAAAAGCCATTATAGTTTGTACCTAAAGAAATAAAAATTACATCTTCAAGTTAACGCGAAGGACGGCAATACAGGACTGTGGTGTTTTTGCTTCCCTAAAGTTTTTGATTGGTGCCCAAAACAAAACCTCGCACCTTCTCCTCAACCAATCGGAAGCAAAACTGGAATCAACCAGAACTTGAACATTCAATTTTTCTGGAATGCGAGGCTGGTTTTCTTTGTGTCATTTGATTTAGCACTAATTCCCGAGGTGTTCCTCTGTTCTGATCAGCTGCCGTGATTTCGTATTTGGGATTTCAGTTTAACAAAATTAAATCAAAAAGCACTTTGAGAAGGCAACAACATGGGGTCGCAGAGGGTTATCAATCCACAAAAAAGAAATAAGATATAATTACATGATAACTGCCTGAGTAGGTGTGAGAACTTATAGAATTACAGATCTACAAGAACTCGCTAGTTTGAATAAACCAAAATGTCATGGTTTCAAGGAAAAATAAAATCATGACTGGGTGTGAAGGTATCTGAGCAAAAGGGTTGGCAACTGGAGGGAGCGTGAGAGCACCTGAATAAGTAGTTTAAGGGCTTCTGAGAGTGGAGCCTACAGGAACTTGCTGGTTTTAATGAATCAAAATCTTGTGGCACCAAGGTGAAATAAAACCACCCCTGGGTGTGAAGGTATCAAGGCAGGACAGTTAGCCACTTAAGAGTATGTAAGAGCACCTGGCTGTACATTTAGGGAACTCCTCTTGAGGCATCAAGAGTACTCAAGGAAGCCTTAGTCAATGTATCAGATAGCAAGACAGTCAATTGTCTGTCAATACAGAGTTATCTTTCAAACGTCATTTTATGTTATCGTAGAGAGAAGAGTGTCACAAATAAACACCACATAGAGTTAAACTGGGTAAAACTGAACTGTACTCAACCAGATATTTCATGCTGAAACAGCTGGTGTATAGGCTCACTAATAACTGTTTATCGTTCATGATGTCACTGTAATAACAAGATAGCAAGTTGGTTAATAGTCAGTCAGAGGTTGGCAAAGGCCTCCTGCAGTACACTGTCATGATGTATTTCAGGAGGGTGCATCATGGTCATAAGAAAATTAAAACAATGGGCCCCGAGAGTGAAATTCACCCTGGTTTGCAATCGCATGTGAGAAAAGTGAATATGAAGTCCAATTACTGCATTGATGTTCAAAGTCAAGTCAGGGGTGCAGTACCCAAAGGCAGAAAAAATTTTGTGATGGCACCACAGTATCTCAGTGTCAAACTCTAAGTTAGGAGTTTTATTTGAGGAGATACCACAGGGTACCTACTAGCTTTTTTAACAACCTTGTACTATACCAGTCAGGGAAATACACACTTCACATACCTGCTTTGGTCCAAAGACACAGGTTATGTTATCCTTCACCTGATCACTTCCATTTGTTGACACAATTGTTGTCTTCTTTCCCTTTTCCACTTGATTACTGCACATTATCCTCACACCTGTACTTACAAGACAGTATCCTTGAAGGACATGTGCTAGTTTTGAGAACTCCCTTTTGATGTTCCTGAGAAACTCTCTATGGCGTACAGGTAAAGTTGAAAAAAGGTTTTCTAATGACACTGTGGTGCCAACAGCCCTGGCACAAGGGTTCTTGGAAAGCAGTTTTCCATTGTGATCATATTCCAGTCTTGTTGCCACAGTCTGGGACGAGTGATGTGTCACTATTATAAGTTTGCTGTGGAGAGAGAGAAGAATACATCAGGCGAATTGAATGGCTTGTGGTTCCTAAAAATGTGGTATCGTTTTCTCATTACCCAGTTCATGAACCCCAATAGCATGTAAAATGACTTGTTTCTGTGACCTTTTTGCTGTTCTTTCAATTGAGCACTACAATACAAGAAGCCCCATACCAAGTTGGTTGAGGCACTAGTCATAATAAAACTATGAGATCAAAAGATCCTACCAAGCCATACTCCTCCCCCCCACCCCATTCCCAACCCCCTCCCCTATTCCTCTTGACTACACCCCGACCTTCCATTGTTAGCACAATCACCCTCACTCTCTTAGCTAAAGATTTGGTCATTGACCTGTCAAATGGTTCTAGTGACGAATTTACAGATATATTGCAAGCTATCAACAACATTCAGCCGTAAGGGACGTTAAATAACCAATTTAGTTTCCCGCCAACACCAAATAGCGTCCCCTTCACAAATACCTCAGCGCACAAAGGGAGCTTAGTGCCTCCCCTCTGAAACCAAACGTTTCCACGCTTGCGAGATCGGAGAAATCTTTTAGCTTCGAGGTATGGTGCTTTAAAGTCAACGCTTCGAAATTGTGGGGTTCTACCCCACAGCCATTATCGATAACCTCTAAAACGTCAGCGCCATGATTTCGTAGTTTGATTTCGATGTTGGTGGCTCCAGCATCCAAGCTATTTTCAACAAGCTCTTTCATTGCAGTTGCAATACTTAAAACAACCTGACCAGAGCAAATCTGGTGAATAGATTTCTGATCGATCGCTTGGACAACTGGAGATGATGATATAGCCGCCATTTTGTTCGAACTCGTTCCGAAAACTTTTCCGGAAATCTTCGGACTAGATCGTGGATATCGGTAAGCCCAGTAACGTTGATCATGGCGGGAATGTTGGAGGAACAGCCCCCGGGAAGGTCGATCTTTTTGGACGTATGTGTTCAGTTTACAATTTTCTCGTTCCACATATCTATTGATATTAAATCAGAGCTTTGTATTTTCTCCTGCAGGTGTTTCGAAGAGCAGATAAAACTGGTGAGTGGTCCTATTTTTCATACTAATATTTGTGCGAAAATTTGCGAAATTATTGTCGATAAATATGATGTTGGAGGTCACTTCCGGTCGATTTAACAATTTCGGGAGCTAGCTGATCTAGTTATACACATTTACAGACAATTAATCTGTTACCGATTCGTTTAAAAAACAGATGATGGTGCTCTATCTCTGGAGGAATTCAAGGCATTCTTCAGCGATGGAATCTTGTCGAACGAAGATTTGGAAAAATTATTCCACGACATCGATACACACAACACAAAGTACGTAAGGGCGTGATTGTAGATGAGAAATTAAATAGGTGTTTATAGAACTTTAAAGGCTCCTTGTAGCGCATGATTAAGTTCAGGACACGATCTGATTAAGGATTCACTATGATAAATACACATCACGCCCTGTGCAATATATCAATGTCCAAAAATATGCAAATGAGGGCTGGAACAATTACCTTCCTTCATTGCAAACCACTGTTCATTTAAGAATTACATCAAAGCCAATCATTACATATAAGCAAAAAAGCTGTAGAAATTGCAAGGTCTCTGAAACCCAAATGCTTACATAAGAAGTACTCAGTAAACTGCTATATTTTCTTTTTCTTTTTGTTGTTCTCTTCTGTAAGTAAACATCATCTGCTCTCTGGAAATTCTGCTTGTGCTTCATAGTTTCTTTAGAAATTCGACTTAATCCTTTATACTGAACCCCACTCTTCCTTAGGAATTTCTTGTGACCTTCCTTAGAGCATGGCAGCTGTATTACCATCATAATGTAAACTGAGAAGTGTCCAAATTGCTCAATTCTGTTACAATTCTATTTTAAAATAAAGCATTTTTTGTTATCATTTTAGTAATTTGGATACTTCTGAACTTTGTGGTAAGTATTCCACCAAATGTCGCATAATAACAGCTAAATTAGGATTAAAGTGGCAATTTTGCTGGATAATTGTATTTTTTTTAATCCAAAAACATTTGGCTATTTCATTGTATGGATATGGATGTTATGCTTGCCCTCGTTCAAAGATTAGCTTTGTACTGTAACATAAAAATAGGCCTCCTAACCCTCATGAGTGACTAACTTCCAACTTCTCAAAACAACATTACCCCTGAATAAAATACTAAGGTCACAAGAGCAAAGGAAATGATCACAAACTCAAGAACCCCTTGATTGTTGAACAATTTTCCTTGTCAGTGCCATCAGAAGTATATAAAGAATAGTGTGGGAAAGATGCATATCATTCTTAGCATGTAAAGAGTAACTGTCTGTTTAGGTGATCATTGCATTTATTTCAATTTTTTTTCTACTCAAGAAGGGAGCCAAGAGTCACTTATTAACATGTATAGCACAGAATAACCACTAGACCTGCTATTTATGAGAGATGTCCCTGCTTACTCTATCTAGATTACTTCATGAAAGAAATGGGTCCTTTCACTGAGATCTTTGCCAATCTAGAGAGCATGAACAAAGCTGTCAGTAATGCATTGGTGGAGTCTGCAAAGGTTTGTACCATCACTACAGGGAATTAAATATTACAGAAATACTCACCTGTTCTCTATTTAACAAATAGATTCCAAGTTGCCATGCGTCTGTTCAGTAATAGATCACAGATGACATCAAAATATGGTAAGAACAAAAAAGTGGCACACAAGGCGCAGCCAAGTGTGTCAATGATGTTTTACCACATTTTGACATCCTCTGTGATCTATTACTGAACAGACACACAGCAACTTGGAATCTATTTGTTTTATATTGTAAAGAATTAAAAAAGTTTTAATGATGACATCATCTATGCGTCTGTCCTCCAATAGATCATAAGTGAGAACCAATCAGAATGCATGCATAACTAAGCCTATATAAAATAAAATACAGTACTTCAATATGTAATTTTATAAAGGAAAACAAGGCAATAGAGTAAATACAGTATCCTGATAAACTTTTATTTTTCTCTCTCTTTAGAAATATTAGCAGCCTTTCAGAGCATATCAGTCATTCATATATTTTGAAAAAATATCTAATTTTTATTGGATACAGTTGTCATTGATGGTCATGAAGTTGAACTTTGCCTTTTCTTTTCCCTTTACACCCTAATATCATTATCTATATTCCCTACAATCATCTCTGTACATTCATTTTGATACTGACAAGGAGAATTCATTTAACAATCAAAGCTTCCTTGGTTTGCAATCATTTTCTTTATTCTCGTGACCTTATAAGTGAATCTGGGGTGAGATTGCATACAGAAATAATATGTTAAGTAAATTTATAACTGGTTTAAATGATATTTTTTGCTATAGGCTTATCCCGACAAGTCCTTTATTGGAAAGTTTACCACTCGCTTCCTGTTGAAAGAGGTAAGTAATTAGGACATATCATGATCATTCTCTCAACCTTGTTTAAAACTGCCCCAGTTTTAGGTTTCAACACTGAGGTACATAAATGTATCAGTCTGTAATAATTTTGAGGATGGAAAACCTCCCTGAAAGACATAGTGACAATGACTATTATCTTCACAATGAATTGTGACTGATGTAAGTTCACATGTCTCTGCTTCACAACTGTATAGATTCAGGGACAGATGGGTTGTCTAGCACATCACATCAATGCTGCAGTAGATAAGATTGATGAGGAAGAAACACAGCAGAGGTGATTGTTTCTTCGTAACATTTCTTTGATAATTAAATCACAGGCTCTTAATAACTTTCCTGATCTGTCATTCAGTCTCACCTTGTGTAATTTCTTGGTCAACCTTGTTGGCAATGCTGTGCGCTTAGAAAAATCGCAGAATCCCTGAAGGCTCTTGTTTCAGAAATATGGGGTACCCAGTGTTAAAAAGCTTTAATGTAAGAAAAGTCATGGAAGTTGCCCAAAGACATCAATTTGTTATGGGTGACATCAGAGGGCCTGTCAGGGTGCAACTCTGGTTGGTTAGTTTCTTTGATTAAAATAAATTTCCGAAACATTAGAATTACAAATGTAAGAGCTGACATTCAAAGTCTTTCATTTTATGAGCAATCAATTTCTTCAGTATTTATGCTTAATAAAATAACTTAAATTATCAGTGTATTTGTCTCAAATATGAGAGGAAGGAAAAAAAAGTCAGTTTCATTTATGAAGTTGATGTGTGTCTGTCTTTCACTAGACCTGATGTTTGTCAAGCTGCAGTCACCAATACAAATGTAAGAGGAGGAAGGATGAAGAGAAAGATGCATTCATTTGGACAACAAACAAGCCTTGATGGTAACTTATAAACTACTTTATTTTTTACTGTTTTCTTTCTAAGGTCCAGTCTTTGATCCCTCTTAGGGGGGATTGCTCAAGGAATAATTTCAGGTGGCACTAGCCATCAAGAAGTCAAATATTCAACCTTCCTGCACCTCTTCAACTTCTTCCTGACTATTTACAATTAAAAGCTAAAAGTTGGGAGAGGTATTTTTATAAGTAGACACAAATATCAATACATCATCATTATGAAGTGTTTGACCCCCTTCCCTGCACAATTTCTCTATTAGGAAAGAGGTCTGTGAATACTACCAGTACTAATGCACAATTAAGACTTCGGACCAGGCTCTATCCAGATCAGTTGAACTGAAACAGAATTCATCCCATAATTAATACCCTCATTGTAGCTCTGGGCTTCACTGCCCACTTGCTACTTATTAGATTAGATAAATAAGGAAGATACCTTTGTCAGTCTCAAATATATTTTAACTGTTGGGGGCTACTGTGTTTTTCTGTACCTAGCTACTGGAAAATTGAATCAATGTCAGTTTCTGCAGAGGTACCTACCCCTCTCCTAACCCAAAAAACAGTCAAATGATGACAAGTTAGGATTACTTGTTGGGTCAGGGGAGGGGTAGGTACACCATTGCTCAGATATTGACATTGATCCACAAATGTTGTTATTTTTTTAGTTTAGGAAAACTTCCCCACCCTAAGTGGGGTGGTTAACCCTTTAACTCCCAGATCAAATTTGTAATTCTCCTTACTTTCTTATAATGTTAGTTCAGAGAAGTTAGTATTGGATCAACTAATTTTCCCCAAATTGATTTTTTTCTCTATTCTCATCACTTATGTGGTTAATATTGTATTGATATTGTAAAGAGAAATTCTTCTTGGTCACTCATGGGAGTTAGAGGGTTAAATGTCTTACATCTGATCATGGTTATTGTAGTGTTGTAAGACAGACAGGACAAGCCATGAGCTGACATACAACAATGTTCAAGTTTAAGTTTCTCACAAAACATTGATATCTGAACAGCTAACCAGCAAGCAATGAGACATGGTTTGTCCTTGGAAGTAGATCGTCTTTCAGAGCTCATTGACAAATTGGAAAATAAGGTGTGCCTTCCTTTTTTTCTTAAATGATATTTAGGCAGTAGAGGACTTCTTCCATCATTGTATGGCTACATCTAAACACAAGGGGGATGGGGAGAATATGAGATAGTTAAACAAAACAAAAACAGGGGTGAGAGTTTGTATCAATTTTGAGAATTTTCCAAACCATCTTAGTGTTCACATGAGGCTTCGTAAACATGAAAGATGTCCTCTGCTACATGCCTTTATTAAAAAAAATCTCAAAAAAACAAGGGAGTCTTATGGTACAACTTTTTTTTTTAAGCCTTTACCCCCTGACATCAGTATACATGTTCTCCATACTGTTCTCTGCACATTTGTAAGGTGCTGACAAGGAGAATTTGTGTAACAATCAAGAGCTTCTTTAGTTGGTTATCATTTCTTTTATTCTACATGTCCTTAATGATTGATTCAGAGGTGATATTGTATGGAGGAATTAGATGCTAGATACTCTTAGGGCTTAAGGGTCAACACTGTTGTAAAAACATGGCTATCCATCGCTGAGAGCCCGCCCACTGTCTCAGTTATTTTATGAAAAGTGACAGCTACACGGTATGAATTATATTATCAGTGCTCTTTTCCATTACTGTTTCTTTGAGTTTACTTTTAAAAGTTGAAGACGAGTGATTTACAAACTTTTCACGTGTTCTCCCAACATCCCCCAGGGTTCATTACGCCGGTAAACCGATAGAAAGTACAGTTGATTGCTTTTATAAAATAAGCTTCTGTTTTCTATAGGTTAAACGGTGTAATAAACGATAGTTTATATACCAATCAGGGCGCTTGTAATATCTCAGACAGTTTTTTAAAATGAAATACAAGGTTTCAACTACATGGAATCTTAACAGGTCAAATTTGATGTCATTGATGAAGAGGAAGTTGAAGTTGGAAAAGAACAATCGGTATTGTAAAAATCCTGTTTGTAAATACAGAGAAAAGGATTTGAGATCAAGAGTTATAGTATATCTCTTAAAAAGTTCAGTACGTCGGAGGCGTGTTCCTGTAGATGTATACCTGTCTCTGAGTACAAAATACAATTTAGGGTCCAAGTAATCCTGTATTCTTTGATGTTCCCTCAACACGCTCTATGATCGGCTAAGAAAACTCGGACTGTCATCTCAAACTTTCACATCCAAGACTAAGACCGATCGCGCCCTAGTACCTCCTGTTTTCCTCCGCTTTAGGCGGTTTTGCCTGAAGTCCTTATTGGCTCACGCGAGTTGATTACTTTGGGTTTGGTTCAGTTGAAACGCGCTTTATTGAGACACTTAAGACTTATTAGCAAGTTTTTTTACTTTTTCTTTTTTCTTTATTAGGTGGTTTTAGTTTCAAGGAAATTTCAAGTAAAGGCTGAAAAAGAATTCCGTTCAAACTTGAAAAGTTATGTAGCGTCCTCGTCTTTAGCAGATGGCTGTTTGCAGTAAGTCAATAGATTTACTCAGCGTTGGTTACTTGTTAGGGTGACTTGGTCTTCCAAAAAGAGCAGAAAAATATCCTGAACACAGAAATGCAAGTGCAAACGGCTGAGAGCAAACTTAAGAAGTTCGATTTTTGATGTTCCCCGTGAACTTCATGCCTAACCTCCTCAATGTATTTCTCTTGCAGTCTTGGGATACGCACTATCAGTGGAACAAATACGTTTGTGGTGTACGAGATTTGGGCGAGCAGCGAGGATTTGAATAGGTGCGTTAACAGACGTTGCCTAGTTCACTTTTCCTAATCAGCGACTTCAGAATGTGTAAACCGCAGTCGCATCTAAGTCGTAAAGCTTCTGTAATGTGTTCCCGATTTTTTTGGCATAAAGCTACTCGCCATATGTTTCCTTCTTTCAATGCAGTTAAATGCAATTTAACGGAGTCAACAATAAAAAGCATCAGCGTTCTTTAGTAGTCAGTGGTTTTTTTTTCTATATGCACATGCGTCGGAATTCCATGTGCTCTTCTCGGCCTGCTTGGGATGCAAAGATGTTAAGGATTCTAATGATCATTCTTATCTTCATGCAGACACTTCTCGTCTGATACGTCAAAGACATTCATGCATGGAAACATTGACTGCATGGAACAACCCGAGGAATATCAGAAGATGGCAGTGCCTGGTATGTTATCAGATATTCTTAGATTGCAGCACAGACGAAATGAACCACTCGAAAAATCATGGGTAGTAAAACTGCAATATGGGAACGTAGGTGTGCAATCGCGGAGGAAAAGCAAGCTCCCCCCCTCCCCTCCCCTCCCTTCCCCTCCCTCCCTCCCCTCCCTCCCTCCCCTCCCCAACCACGTAAACACACACCGCCCATAGTTCCCTCAATCAATGCTACCTTTCCTTTTTGCTAATTTTTCATGATAAGGAGAAGACTGCGGAAATCAACGGGGTGAAGCGTAGGGGATAGATACTATTCAGCTTCTTTCTTTTTTTTATGAAGTCTTTGAACACAAAAAAAGAAAACCTGTTTTGTTCTTCGAAATTGCACAACTGTAATCCACCCCATGAACCCTAGTGATAATATAGAACTTAGGCTTTAGAGACCCCCACAAATGTGATTGACTTTTCAGAGCGCTTCGTTTGTCCGTCGTCTTCCCTGTCTTCTAAAAATATCATTTACACTCTGACTCCAACAAAGTTCAACTGAAGCGCAAATTTCATGTGTACATCATAACAGCCTTTTTATATCGAATTGCAGCGTCATGGTGGAGGGCAACAAACAACTAACATCACTACGTCGACAATAGACAGAATTTTGTTTATAGCCGGCTGAGGCAAACTGACTCACATTTTATCGAATGATGTAACCAGGGATTGGACCCAAGGACTGGAACCAAGGACTGAACCCACCCAGTGGGTCTTCCGTCCTTTTCCTCAGTTAACCCTTTACACCTTAACAACAGTATGCATATTCTTCCTACTGTTCTCTATACATTTCCAAGGGTGGCGACGGGAGAATTTGTTTAACAATCAAGGGCTTCTTTAGTAGGTGATTATTTCTTTTATTCTCATGAACGTAATTTTAGACTCTAGGGCGATGTTGTACGGAGAGATTACATGCTAGTCACTGTTATCGGTAAATGGCATTCTGGTTATCTCTTATTACACCGTACGTACACTTAGTCTTACAAGGCATTGCCCCCTGTTAGGTCGAACGACAACGTCAATACCATTAACTAGAGACCAAATCCTAATTCGTCGCCACGGCCAGTTCCTGAGGTCATACCCAAACTACAATCAACCATTTGATATCAATAACTTAAGGGATATTTTTTTTGTAGGAGTCTGAGCCCTCTTAACTACGACGCCTCTTTAACCCTAACTTATATATTTGTAAAATTCGTTTATATGTCAAAAGAGCTAACACACAAGAATCTTCTTCACTATCTTTTTAGTGTTGTATTATACGCCATCTTTAATGGAAGCAATGACAAATTTTCTTCAATTAACGATTTTTCTATGGCAACTTAGCGTTTGAACAGTAAGAACTGTTTCGTTGATTCACCCATAGTCTCTGTAAAACATAACATGATGTAGGTAATATGTTTATAACCTGAATAAATTTTTTTTCTTTTGAGATGCAGATAACTCGACAATTACTTCAAGATTCTTAACTGAAGAAGCCATGCTTAGATGTGTCCAGTTTAAAATTTCCTTCTTTACTATTCCCCTTCAAGCAAGGTTCACACACTTAAAACCAAAGCTCTTCAGAGGAAAAGACACGATGACAAAATCTAATTCTCCCCGTTAAGCAAGCAGGTTGTAATGAAATCAGACGGGGAATGTTGACCCTGATTACAGGAAGATACTTTGCATGTAATATATATTTTAAAAGTTACAAGCTAACGATTCTCAAAACTGCTTAAAAGAAAACGTATCTTTCGCCTACAAACTTAACTTCTCTCATTTAATGAATGTTGGAAATCTGTCCTTAGTGAAGTTAGTACACTAAATAACCACAAAACATTTTCAAATTTACATTAAATAATCTTTAAACGATATACGCTTGGCAGAAAAACAATTTAAAACGATGTTATACCAAAATTCCTAACTTTTAGGAGTAATGGTTTTCAAGTCACGCTTTCTTCATTCAATGTTAAAAGTGTCCTGATGCGCGCTCACGCTGTCACGCAAAACAACTGAACATCTTGTGTCACACGCTGTGTTCTTTTTGTCTCCGTAGTTCGTCGATTCCAAGGTCACACCAAATATGTCGATGAAGTGTTCATAACAATCTAATCCTATCGTGTTGCAGTCTTCTCTGGGGTAAAAACTCATTTAAAAGAAACCCTTTCTCTTCTCTTTTTTCTTGCCATCTTTTTCTTTCACTAGACCATCTACTGACCTGTTAGTGTGAAAATAAGCACAAGCATTAGCTGTATCCATTGTCTTCCATAACTAATTATTTCAACAGGTTCACGCCATCGTTCTGCTATTCATTTGCGGAGCAAAACGAATTTTTTTAAAACATATATAACCCTTTGCAACCTCGTGAATTGATTTGATCAGTCGTATGTTATCAATCTCGATACTATGTACTCGATCGTAAAAAATTACATCAAATTTCCATACTAACTTGTTTATACTTCTATGGACTTTGAATATCAACTAACAATTTTTCTCTTTGAGAACTTTTTCATAAGTTGTTTTCGACGCTAACTAGAAGATTCAGAAACGCAGTTACCTCTCTCTTTTTTAGTATTGCGCGCAATGCGTGCCAGAGTAAAGTGAAATGCTTTTTAGCGACAATATTATTTCGAAATGGGTGATAGTGTTTAGCGCAAAACTCGAGCGTGCTTGTGCACCATAAACGTAGAAAGCATGAATAGTAGTTACTAACAGATGCGAGAGAAACGGTGAGGTATTCCCGACACTCTGAAATAAAAGATGAACACAATTTTTTCAATCCCCTAGCCAGGGTTCAAGACAAAATTCAAAACCGGTTTCTTCGAAATTAGACGAGAACTTCATACGAAGTGTTTCAGTTGCCTTCCGGTAAGGATTCGAACGTGCTCCGACTAACTGGGTTCGGAGAAGCAATTTTACTCAACAAGATCGAGTTGCAGGATAGGAGGCAGTTTCACCCCCAGGATAACAAATGCTCCCTAGCAGAATTACCGCAGGTTGAGGTGGGACTAGCAAACATGCACGTGAAATAATAAATGGGAGGGGAGGGGCGAAACGCAAATCTCCAAGAGCTACCAAAGATCCTACATAAGATAAAATCTTCAAGGGAAAAAACCTTTGCCTTAAAATGAAAAATTTGGCCACTTGTCACGTGGTTAAGAACAATGTACAATTAGATCTTTATATTCAAAATTACTGTTTAGTTCTGGTGTCGACGGAAAACGTTGACTTTCTGTTGCATAGAATTAACAACTCCGATCGAATACGAGAAAATAAAGTAATAACAGGCACAGTTGCCAAATGCATTTCGGAGCTGCTCAGACATCTTAAGTTAGCTTTTGTTCTTGGCGAGGTATGAACTCTGAATTGTTTAAGATTTGCTTTAGGCTTAGTCAATCATGAAACTGCTTATTTAATTCGTAAAATAACATGAGGCGACCCATCTGGATTTGAAATATTTAGTGCACTTCACAACTCAACTTTTTTTTTTTTTTTTTTTTTTTTTTAAGGTATTACTTCATGCACCTAACTACGGTTTTTAAATGCTTTATTTGGCAAAGTTAAATTTATTGCTTTAAGGGTAGTTAGCTCAGCGGACTTAATATTGCTGAAGAAGAATAAGTATGTTTATAGTAGAAAGCAACCATTTTATTGTGACTCATGACTATAAAAAAAAAGGTCAGTACCTGGTTGATTCTAGATTTATGCCTTTGGGAAACACAATGCTCCATGGAAAAGAGCGCGATGGTTTTCTCTGTGTAAACAAATGATCACGTCATTATTGCTATACATGATTCATGGCTACAGAGTGAGCGCGGACGGAAAGCTCACGGGAGGTTGTGATTGTAAGCCGTGAAATAGCTATTTATTTCATGGTTTAGGATATAAGACAGTATGCTACATACATGGCGACAGTCAATCACTGTGTTAATGAACACACGCGTTATGAATGTTAAGCAACCTTTAAATGACCATTTAATGCACAGCTTTTAAACCCATATTTATTTTGGGCGTTTTTCCCCTTTACTGCTAACTATATTAAGCAACTCAGCTTTAAACATAGCATAATTTAGGAGACCATTTATGTAATTAAACGTTTCGGGCGCAATAAGTTGAACACTTAGACACTACAAAGCGTTAGCAGGACAGCACTTACCGGCAAAAAGGCGGAACTGCACAGACTAAAGCGCTAAAAATTATCTGAGACTGCTTTACAGCAAACATTGTAGACAAAAAAAGAAATAGGAAATTCCTTAGGGTGTACCGGTTTAAAGCGCATTTCGAAGTGTTGTTAGGCGACAGCAGCGGAGCCAAAGACAACAAAGTGAAATTTCAAAAGGGGCCAATGGAAACTCAGGCTTAAAAGTCAAAAACTACTTCTAGCGCGTGAAACTAATTCCGAGTTGTGATTGGTTCTAGTTTTGCATGTGATTGGTTCAGAGACTAGCACGAGTTTTCTAAACCGATCTCAAAGAAGAACCAATACAATCTGGTCAATTGAGAAGGTAACTCGAACGTCTTTGACCAATTAGGATTCAAAGCAAATGTGATTACGAGTTTGCACTTCATCGAAAAGCGCTCCAAGAGTTCCACCAGGCTAACATAAGATGTCTGAGAACACACAAAAATGAAAACTGACTTCAAGAAAGGCTTTTTACTTTAACAATGGCCAACACAGCATAACTAAGCGGGAGCGAAATCGCTTTTACAAGAACCAATTGATAAGTTAGGGGAGGATTGGGTGAGCCAACGCCAACGTTAATGCCAACTTCATTACTTGCAGCTGCTAAATAAGCATATACAGACAAAAAAACAAGCGACACATACTCCAAACAAAAAACATGAGCAAACCACAGTTTCTTCCAGCACTATTAATCAGATCCTACAAAATCTCATCTAACCTTACAGACAGACGAGCGAAAGACCCACATAGCCTCATGCAAAGTTACGTAACGTGTACCTAAGCCTCGCTTTCTTGGTGCGGAACGTATTGCAAAAGCAATGATATCCAAAGAATACCCACGTATAACCAAGAACAAGATGACAGGCAAAAGAGGGATGTGGAGCAAAAAAGGCTTAGGGTAAAACGTAATCACGCATAAAGGTTATTTGGCGAAAGAATTGTTGACAAATTGACCTAAATATTTTATCTACAATTCCCATCCACCCTCTCGCATGGTTCAAATAGCACGAGGAAATATTTCAAATCAATGCAACTGGTTTGAAACTCCAATAATATCGATATTTATGGACGATTGTTGGACTGAAGGTCCAGAATAGAAGGAAATTTTCTGCCTGAAAAATCACGTAGGCAATGAAACTTGCAAGAATGTTTTTCTAGAAACTGGTCTACACTTCCTGTGTGCAGTTGTTTAATACCGAAAAAATTTCACTTTCAGTCCGCCTTTTAGAAGAAGGGTCACTTTACTACAAATCACTCCCAAAAAATTCCGAAAAAACAAACAAACAAACTACTTCCGACAGCAATTTTCTTAACAATGTCCATTGTAAACTGGGTATTTAGGACACCTCTTGTTCTATTACAAACCAAGGCCGCCGCGTGTGTTTGTAAAGGAATACACCTACTTGAGTGATTTGCTGGAGGAGTCAGACCGTTCCAGACCCTTCAGGCCATTACTTTTCAGTTCTTCCTCGTAGTGTCCCTTCTCCCTCTCGAACTGTTTTCGTTTTTCCTCTAGCTCCTTGTTCTGCTGGTCGAGCTGTTTCCACATCTGTTCGTTTTTCTTGCCAAGCTGTTAAAAAAATGTTCGCACTGAATTGTTTTCTAAATACAAAAGAGCGATTACAACGAAGCTAAGTGTCGCATGAGACCAAAAAGAGTTCAGAGTAAAAAAATGTAAACTGCCCGAAGAACTGGAAATCCCTGGTGTTCAAGTTGCGATTGGTCTTAGAACAAGTTTAAAACAGTGTCCAAAGTAATCCAACATAGCAGGGGTGGTACTGTGCTTCGCTTTGTGATTGGTCAAGAAAATTCGCGCAACTTTCTCAACCAATCAGAACCGAAACTAAAACTAATCACGACTTGGTCGCCCGCGTATTCCCGCGTATTCCCGCGCTTTAGCCAGTTTGTTATTTTAACTTCGAGTTGCCATTGGCTCTTCAAGGTATTTTCCTTTCTTCTGAATGCCTGTTGTGATTATTTTGGTTTAGCCGGGTTTTACGATAATCAATAGAAAGCGCTCTTTGATCGATAATGATAGAGGGGAAAGCACAAGTTTCTATACCATTCACAGCTCATGGCGACGCTAGTCCAAAGCAATCCCTGATTGCTTTCAACACTCCACTGAAAATTGCTCTAATGATAACTCTAACCATGGTTCACTTGTCATGAAGATAACTCTGAGAAATTGGTGTTGAATCAAATAATAATCCCCAGTTGATATTTTGTTCATTATCGCTTGTCTTCTACATATTTAATTGACATTGTGCGTAAAAATTCTGTCCAAGTCACCCCTGGAATTTAAAGAATCAACGTCAGCCTTAGCTGTTCATGTTCACCTCAATGCTCACTCACTGTCCAACTCACCTCCGCCTCAGAATCTTTGAGCTTCTTTTTCTTTTCCTTGACTTTCATTTCGAACACTTGCTCCATTTCCTGTTCCATTTTCTTCAGTTTCATTTCTCGTTCCTCTTTCTCAGCTTCCAGTTGCTCCAGAGGACTTCTACTGAGAGACACGCTAGGAAAAAATAATCAAAGAATGGTGGTTTAAAGTTAATAACTACTTTGTGTTGAATGATGAATGTTACTAAAAAAAGAAATAAAATAGTGCATGAGCCAGTGACTGTTAATTTTTAGCCAGAAAACTTGTTGTTTGTACAGCATTAGGACATGGGAACGAAACCCCAAGCCAGTCAAAAGGCACTACTTGATTTAGTACCACGGTAAAACAAAACGAAAGTTATCACAATGGCCACTTAGAACAAAGCAACCAACCACAATGAGCTATTGAGAACACGAGGTAGAAGCAAGCCTAGAGCGCGGGAATGACTGATTCCCTATTCCCCGGTATCGCAGAGGTCATGGGTTCAAATCCCATACGAGCCTGAATTTTCTTCATGTCTTATTTCAACTACTCGTTCAGTAGTGTTCATAGCTGCGAGGATCGCTTATATCTGATTCCCCATTGGTTGCAGCTTTGCATCTGATTGGTTGAGAGGATGACGCGTGAGATTTCTAGACCAATCACAGGGTGGAATAACAAAAGCAAACCCGAATTACTCATGACACTGACTTTCTCTGGCAGAGATGCATCATTCTCTTGTTTAACTGATGTGATACAGAGTTACTTACTTAGAACTTGGCTGATTAGTAGGTGAGCCAACGGTCATGGCCGCCAGCTTTTCGCAGCGATAATTTTCATAGTGAGTGTCGTTCGTCATATCCTTGAGATCCTGCATATGCGTTCTGAAGGAAAAAGAAAGTATATTTGGTCGTGAATAAAGGGCAAAAGTTTCTAAAGAAACTGAGGCGTTGAGTCGGTGGTGGGTACTACAAGTATATGGTTTTATTTATGAGTTGATAACGTAAATTGGCCACCGTAAAGAGTTTTTAAGGATGTTTCGAGCGTTATGAGCCCTTCTTCACAGCGTATGGTTTTGGTCTCAGAATGGATCTACGCCTAGATATGGACTTATCCAAGATTAACAAAAACTGGATCATTAACAAACTGGATAATTGAATAATCCAATTCAGTAGATTTGATTGGCTTAGCTTTAGGAAATAAAACGGAAGTAAATCTTAGATAATCAATTAGTTGGCTTCTTCAAAAAGAAAATAATAAGTTTAAGAGATTTATTTACATCTTGCGGAAGTTGTTGATAAGACGATCACTCTATCTACGCTTGTTAGTTATGAGATCATCATAGCGATCGGCTGTTATCTAATGCGCACTCACGCAATAAAACTCATTTACAAAACCACTGAAATGTTTCTGGTAAATAAGATCGTGATGCTTACAGGAGCATGCAACAATGTTCCCATCAGGTTAAGGCACAACGAAATAAAGTAAACACGAAAATCGCCTACTATTGGTGTACGCTTCTAAGCTAATTTTTCAGCATTCGAACTGTAATACAACCACTGTGAGCTGTTCGTTTGAAGGGCGATCGGCGCTAATCCAGGTATTATAATCATCTCGACTTTGGTTTCTTTTGTTAGAAAGCGTTTGTTGGGATAAACGTATTGCAGCGTTTCATCTCAGATTAAAATACACCGAAGAGAACGAAAGATAATCAGAAGGTCTACCTAACATTAACATCTAACATTTATACCCTGAGCTAAAATAAACTGAGCTTGCTAAGTTTTGCACAACTCAGGCTTAAGATATCGTTCACTGCTACGGCATCAGGATTTATTTGTTACGTCCAATTATACTTACCTGATCAGCATGTTTCTTAAAGCAACAAAATCGCAGTGGTCTACATTTTCAACTTAAAAAAAAAGGAGAGAGAAAGAGGAAGTAATCATTAATAATCCCGCAAGATATACATATCAGCGACATCGGCTATCGATAACGTTCCAACATGCAGTCGTTTCAACAAAGACAGGTTGGAACTTTCAACACACGATTATGTAATTAAAACTATCATCAGTACATTCACACTGCAGGCAGAGTCTCAAACTTTACTGATACAACGCTTAGCTTTTTGACAGCAGATGTTAAAAATAGCTTTACAAAGGCAACAGAGTGGAAACCAAAGGGTTATAAAGTTCAAATGAATAAAGGGGTAAGTTTCTAAAGGAACTATGGTGCTGCGACGGTAATTTAGGGTAATTTAGAATTATCAACTGAGTTGAGATCATAAATTGGCCACCATAAAGAGTTTGAAAGCTGACGTTTCGAGCGTTGGCCCTTCGTTAGAGCGGTAAAGTTCAACTGGAGACTTTGCAAAGAAAGTTTCAAAAACATGTCATCACAGGCAATACCTTCGGCCACACCCCAAGGGTACACTCGAGCTCTTACTCTCTTGCCATTAACTTCTAAGACTGTGTTGCTACCAACCACTGCAAAAGGTATTCTGTCCTAGAAACAAAATAATATTATTCCTCAACAAGGGAGTACAAACACAAAGGTCTGATTATTTAAACAAAGTTTAGTAGTTGTTTAACCAAACCGTGTCCAAAACACTCCTCAACTGAGCTGAACCTTTAATCTGAGCATTTATTTATGTCACAGTGTCAAGAAAGCCGAAAGCCAACAGTGGAAGGACTTTTACCTAATTATATCAACCCTCTTATGGGGAAAGCCTGAGGCCCATTGTTTGCATATAACGGTGGTTCGGGTTAGAACTCGCGTAAATAACCGGCTCAAAATCAAAGTTATCTATGTTAGGACTTAACAAGTTACTTGCATATCCAGGTACAAGTACTGTGTATGCCTCCCAGATCACATGGCATTATATTTCCACTTTTAGAGACATGAACAGCATCATGTAAGATTTTTTTTTCTACGAGTTTATTGATACCTTCATACTAACAGCTGCTACATCATCATCATCATCTCCTCCAAGGTCTGGAAATCTGTAAATCCCAATGTCATTTTCCTCTATTTCCTTAAGTATCTGATAATGAAAAGAAGCAGTTCTTTAAAAAAAATACAATTTCCATACAAGGCAATACAAAAGAGGCAAGAAAGTAAGTTTCAAACCTGTTTTTTGAACTTGGTGCACTCATCATGGGTCAAAGTGTCAGCTTTTGCAATCACCGGTACAATATTAACCTAAAATAGGTAGATAGTTAAATGATTATCTTGTAACTTCTCCTTATAATACCCATACATGATTAAGCAAACAGGTAATGAGAATACTCAAACTTATCAGGTAGAAGCTGTCATCTTGATCTAATACCAAATTTTTGTAACTAATTAGGTCTAGACATGGTTTGATGCTACTCTGGTTTACAGATTTAATGAATGTAACCAAACAAGTTACAATTCATAGACCCAACATTTCGACATTCCTGTCTGGTGCCTTCATCAGGGGTGAATATATTGTAATTAGGTCTAATTACAAGGAAAGGTGTAGCAGCTAAAGGGGAGAATTGACAATCAGATCATGAGAGTTTAAAGGTTACACGAGTTAAAGTATAAAGCAGAAGCATATCAGCACAACAAAAGGTTACAAGCCCACCTTGTTATGAAGTCTTTTCATAAATTCTATATCCAAAGGTTTTAGACTGCAAAATGAAAATACATGTAGCAATACATCTTACCACAAATTCTCATCACCACTGTGTCACTATCACATCAAGAAATGTCAAAACAAAGTTCAACAAGCATTCTATTTGTAAAATGAACTAACCAGTGCCCTGTAGGTGCAATAAAGTACAAGCAACAATGAACTCTGTCATCTGGGAAAGGTGATCTGACCACTCTTGATTCTGCATTTAAATATTCTTCAAATTTGTTGTCTATGTATTCAATGATGGGCTTCCAGCTTAAAAAAAAAAGAAAGAAAGATTATGAGATTGTTAGCAACTTCAGAATCCTTTCTTTTCCTTTTTTCCTTTAATAATAATGATAAAAAATATGCTGTCCATGAAGCTAAAAAGTGTGTAGAAATATCTATAATTGTAATTTACCAGTCAGTGTTGTCAACAGCATCTCCGAATCCTGGAGTATCAACAACTGTTAGTCTCAGTCGCACACCTCCCTCTTTCATCTCAATTGTTGAAGGTTTTATCTACATGAAACAAAAAAATCCATGACCCACCTTCTACAGTTACTGTTACTAATTGAAAAACTAAACCAGCTTACTGACATGTGTCATATGAACTTCATAATAGACCTCACTCATCATAAAGTCTCTGTGGCTCAGTGGTAGAGCATCGGAACACAAAATCCAAAGATCTGAGGTTCAATTCCTCATGGAGACTCAGAATTTTTTTTTTACTTTGTCCCTCACTTGTGACAAGATGAAAAACATCTTTCTCTAACTTTAATTATGTTTCAGGCTGTTTAACTTGATTTGAGTAATTCTTTCCTTAACCCTTGCACTCTCAAGATCTCATTCAAATTATACTCACAGTCTACCACACAATTCTTATGAAGATGGTTTGGAGAATTTGGTATTGGATTCGCGACTAATCCCCATATTGAGAATTTCCTCTTTTCTCATCACTTGTCTGCTTGATATAGTATTGGTATTGTAAGGAGAAAATTATGTCTTGGTCCCTCTTGGGAGTTGAAGGGTTAAGAGTAACAAACAAAAAATTTCTCTCTGAATAGAGACTCAAGGAAAACTTCCCGTTTCTTTGATCTTTCATTTCTTAACTGCAGAAAACTGATTCTTTGTTTCTGCTTCAAAAAGGGTCTAAAAGAGCAAAACATTTTTGCCTTCTTTTTTGGCTTAAACTGCACATTCATCAAAAAAATGAGAGAAACAAGAGGAAAACAAATCAAAATCATGTTTCCCAATCAATTTGCTCATGTAGCTCACAAGCACAGACAAATCAAATCTGAGCAAATATAAAAGAACCCTAAAATTGCCATTAAATAAAAAATTTTAACACCACCTTGTAGTATCCAATTACCAATATTTTATCTTCTGAGTAGAGAGTATTTTGTGCTCAATATTTTGCTATTTTTCTCTGGCTTCAAATTTATACAGCACATCAAGTAAAAGACTTACTGAAACAGTTTTGTTGAGTCGTTCCTCTACACTTGGATATGCAGCTGGTGTGTAGATATCAGTTAAAAACAGTGAGTTCAGAAGTGTTGATTTTCCCAGTCCACTTTCACCTGGAGAAAAAAAAAAGATGGCTCTATAAAAAGGATGACTTCACAACAATAGTATAAGCAAGCAAGAAAACAAACACAGAAAGTGCCCTAAGGCAATCATCTGGTACAAAATAAAAATAACCACATTGTTCTTCCCTAAAAACCACAATAATGCCAACACTTAACATTCCAATTCAGTCACAGGATCAGGGAGGAAGATATTGTAAACACTTATGAGGTGCTTTCAAGGTAAGAGCTTTAACTGTGCTTACTCTAAAATTGCAGATTATATTGATATGGCAATTTGCCATTACAACAAAAATGTAGACCATAAGACGCGCATTCTATTACACCAGGCAACTTAAACTTTAAAAAAAAAATAGAGAGAGAAAGAAATTTGACCCTTGTAAATGTCTAAGTATAAAAACATCTTGACATCATTGTCATTAGGATGAAGAAGTTAAAGCACATCTGTTCCTTAAGCCAGATTATGGTAAAAGCTTTTAACTGGGGAACGGAAATGATAGCTTCTAGCTTTGCATAAATATTTAATAAGCAGCTTTAAGCCCTTCTATGATTAAACAATTCAGTAACCTGAGGAAAAAGCCCCAAAAGTATTCTCAATATCCTTAATTCACCCAATTACAAGAAAAAAAAATGATTGGTTTGTGAACCAACTAGGCAAACTGCATCTTCAACTACGTTAAAAAAAAAAAATGAATCTATGCATTCAGTATTGACCAGAACTCATCTTTCAAAAGCTAAAAAAAGTGAAAAACAACTTAATAGTGTAGTTATAAAGTATCACTTAAAATGTTGCACCTGAAAAGGAGTACAGAACTTTTGGTCCAGAAATTAAGTGATAAAGAATTCTTGCCACTGTGCTGGGTTAAAATGCAGACAGTAAATATTCAGACAGTAAGTTACACATAAGAAAAGCAGGACAAGTTTCTTCAACTGCATTTAAATACAAACAAGTATGTCCTGACTCATACCAAGAACAAGGAAGATAAAAATCTGGTTGGTTACTATTAAATTACAACTGATATTTAGGCTAACACTATTAGCAAGCTATCAACCAGACAGGTAAAGATGAATCTTGCCACTAAAGTAATATACAGTGTAGTATAATAACAAATAATTATAGGTCCCTATGGATCTACAGAGAGAATGAGAAATTCTAAGTAACCAATTGAAATTCAACCTCAGTTTACTTTGGATCAAGAACAGTGATTGAAATAAAAAAGCTCAGGATAGATTAACAAAGTTGGTTCTCAAATACAATGCAATGTATATCACATTTCACCAAGCCTCTTCATTAATACATGTACTGATAACATCACTGAGCCAATTTTTTTTTTGCAATCTTGTTTATCTCTCAAACCCAATGGAAGTAACACACTACAAATTAAAAAAATCTCAGAATTTTACTACATGGCAACATTCTAAATTTACAAAATTTAGTCTGTATCTCCATTAAAAAAAAACCAGTGAAAAAAAAGTCAGACAAAAACTGTGGAAATAGTATCATTGGGAACAATTTCTTAGAGAAGTTTTCATATAAAAGTTAAGAAGAGAAAACAGCTGTTGATTAGCATCACCTTCATGTACGGTTAATGAACAAAAAAACAAAACCCTTTCAGAAGTATATAATCTGTTGCTATAAAACTGACATTCCCTGTTTAAAAGAATTTATAAGGAAATACAATTTTCCAAATCTGAAGATTTTGGTGGCGTTTGAATTATAACATTCAAATCTCTAAACATAATTGGGCATGAAATGTCTCTGCAATCATAAATACAAGTTTAGTAACAGTCACCTGTGAAAAAAATTAACACAACTAAACTTTGAGAAACATTTTGAACTTCGTTAAGAGGATGTTTGAAGTACAGCAAGTAAACACCAATTTCACAATTTTGGCAAAGTTACAATTAATGGCAGTGGTAAACGGACTGCATTAACAAAGTCACAATAAAGTGGCTGACCACAAAAGATGGGTGGATGTACCAAAGGAAATACTTCGAAGTAATTTCAAGGTAAAACAATAGAGAGAAATCCTCCTGGTGAATCCAAGCTCCAAGGATTCCCACAGAGATGCAATTTACAGAAAGATAAAAACAAATTCACATGGTTACAAGTCCTTCTCATAAAAAAAAAAGGATCTAAGTTTAATAAAAGTTTGTGGAAAATATGGAAATAAATGAAAGGCCCCCTTGAATAACCTTGCTTACTTACACAATAAACATTTCTTGACAAGAATTTAAATTAGTACTTTGGAGAAATGAAATGTTTCACAAAGAAAAATATTTGGACAACTGGTGGTAATCTCTTGCTGTCACAAATATCCTAGCAAAATACGTTTATAGCCATGGTGGTCGAAAGAAAAACAAAATAATCACTCATTTCTGTAGAGTTTCATACATCTGTCTCAGTTTGAATCACACGTGGAGATTTCGCACCTGATTCCATGTGGACTCGAAGAAAGTAATCAATTTACAGGCAGATGTTAAATTCAAATAAAATTTCATCAGACAATCGTCCTCAAAGGAAATTAAATTGGCAAAATATGCAAAATGTATTGGGAATAGGTGACAGAAAGGAAAAGTTTTGACAGCTCGACTACAGCTACGTCCCGCAAAGAGGATTAAAAATGCATCTAGAATTACGTGACATTTCACGAAATAAAAATTCGGCCAAAATTCTTTAATTGAAAATAACAAGAGCACAGACGCCGAAGACAAGAAAATACTAGACATGGTCATCAAGAAAAAAAAATAATGATTAATTGCTCAACAACTGTTCGATCTAACACAAGTCTTAAATTTACAACTTCAAGTACCGTCTTATCAAAGCGAACATATTCATCTGACACGAAAGTAATGAAACTTCCATATTGCATCGGGAATGTTTCATCGCTATGTAGAAATCAAAGATAAGAATCATTGGCGCCTCTTGATTCATATCAATTACTCAAATTTAACCTCAAGAGCATGGAGAATGTTTCTTCAGGAATCACGCACATAAAGTGTAAGGGTTGAAACACATGAAAATGAAATTTACATGAATTTCTACCTACTTGGTTAGCATGTGTTCGTGCAATATTTCTATTTGTTTTTTTTTCGGTTTTGTTCCTAGATAACCTGCATGTAAATATTATGATGTATCTATACAAACGCTATCGAGATCGGCCGCCGAATTTGGATATAATATTCACTTAAAAATTGACAGGTAATAGTAAAGCTGGCGCAACGAAACCACGATCGAGTCACATGCGGGTTATATTAAACATAATGACACGAAATTTCCTGATTCACGATTAACAGCAAATCAGATGGTGACAAAGGGTGATTAGTTTCTTTTGAGAGCGTAATATACGAGTCTTCATCGAACAGTACCGAAACTATGGCTCAAAAACTGGAACTTTCTCCGTCAAGTGAAATATAAATGTCTCGTGTCTTCTCACGCCATGCCGCAAACATGCCGGGTTCATACTCTACGCGAGATTCCCCAAAATTTTACAGAGTTACACTTCTGGTGTGACTTAATCCCTACTAAAGTAGAGCAGAAGGAAGAAGTAAAATGTGTTCAAACACAAATTAATTTATTCCAACACATTTCTCTTCCGTAATTTCAGCAGTAAGCATGTTACCTACCGACCACCATGACGGTGAATTCGAATCCTTTCTTGACACTCTTGCGAAAAACTTGGTTTGGAAGATTAGCAAAACCAACGTAGCCCTCCATACCTTTAGCGCTCTGTGCAGTAGAAAACATACAAATCTGTTGTTTAGGCAAGAGCCAAACTGAAAGATATTTATCGGAAAACAAATCGGAATTGACAAGCTGTACTCACCGCTTTCGTCGTGAATGAATATTTTTTGATCGAAGCCATCATGTGTTGGCGGAAAGTCCGTTCACCGAGGGAAAAAGTTAGAAGACGGATACGAATGAGTATGACAAGAAGCTGAACGTTATAAATAAATGATAAAATTGTAAACCAGTTATTGAGGACTGCGCTTCAAGCCACAGCAGCGGTCAAAGCAAAATATAAGCCCCAGCTCTCTACTGCGACCGATACGCCGCAACATCGATCGTTTGCCCGTCCAAACTCAAAGGAACGCCCACAATGCAAAAAATATTGCAAGTATTCGCCTCTTAAACGACTAAATATTACTAACCCATCGCTGGAAGGCAAATTTTCCGCTCTATAAACTCTCAGACTCCACACAAAACACAACACGCCTTCTTCTGTTCGTCTTCAGTATTTAACGCGCGCGCGCCTTTGCGCATGCTTACAGGCTTTGTTGAGAACCGGAAGTGAAGTGAGTGCAAAGTTGCGCCGGGGATTTCCTTCCGAATGTCACGTACAACGATTAATTCAAAGGTCAACAATCCCTTCTATATTGGCAAATTATTGTCGAATTTTCTTGTTTAACTTCTGTTAGGTAAAGGCAAACAGTATAATTTTTTTCCAGAAATATCACCCACTTGTTGCGCGTCCCTTCCGAGGCGGCTAGGTGCAGGTGTTTCCACATCTGGCAAAAAATCAAATTTATTCAGGGCTTTGAGGCCGCGAACAAAGCCTTTTTTTCGTAACCAAACACAACTCCAGAAAATTTTGGAGATTATTCTCGTCATAGATAAGACTTGAGAGGTCTGTTAGGAACAAAACAGGCATAAAGGGAAACAACCGCGTCTTCCTTAGGAGTAGAATACCGCCTTACCACAAACTATATAAATCATTCAAACATTTTGTTGTCAGGTGTGGCTCCTATTGTTGTTCAGAAACTTCATAACATAGAGGATTTCATCGATAAAACTCCATACCGCACCCTGGGTGTTCGACAGTATTTGCATGATTTCCAGTTCCAACCGGGCGAATACACTAAGAAGTTACTCGATCGCATCCATATAGGATTAATATCTAACTTAAAAAAACAACAATCTCCCGGAGCAGGATTCGAATAAAACTTGGAAAAGCTATAGCCATAGTATAAGTCTCATGAGGTCACGATGCCATGCTAAGCAAACGATCGGTAAAAATATTTACTTCAGCTACCAGGGATCGTTCATCAGGGGAGTGGGAGTGGGTATACGTCTCCGCCCTTACCCGCGTATGGCTGTACCATTCAAATTCCACCGGAGCGACCGACTAGCAACAAAACTAAATCCCGTTGTCACTGCATGGAACCTGGTTTTCCGAGTATAAAAGAGGACAAGCCAAATTTCTCATTTGATTAATCCAAACTCTCTCATCTTCCCTTTACTCGCTTGCGTGCCGTGAGACTGTGGTAAGTTTGAAAAATGAGGTTTATGGCGACAACAAACGGTATAAATGAGCTCAGCTTTCACAGTCATTTTCCTATAATCACTAAGTTAACCCTAGAGAAAATTAGATAAAAAATTATATTGCTCGCAACCATCGTAAGTATCTTCCGGCCTTAGCGTACAGTCGATTAATTGCAGACAGTGAGAAGTTCCATGTTACATTATTCTATTTGACATTCTTGCTTCACCAACTGTGACGCGCGTCCTTCTTAATTAACTTCTCTTGTTATATAGACTTATTTTCACCTTTTTTTAACCTAATTTACAGACCAGTTTGCTTAAGTCTCACATTTTTTAACCTTTTCCCATTGTTTTAGACTGTTTGCATCCCACAAAGGCAACCTTCTGCTATGCCTACCGAAAAAAAAACTCAGCTAACCCTTTAATTCCCATGAGTGACCTAAACAGAATTTCTCCGTACAAAATCAGTACAATATCACTAGGACAGGTGATGAGGATATAGAAAAATGTAAGTTTGAGGATTTTCTAATTGATCCAGTACCAAATTCTCAGAACTAGTATCACAAGAATTGTACGACAGACAGTAAGGAGAATTACTAATGAGATCTTGCGCGTTTATTAAAGGGTTAAGAGTGGTTGGTAAAATCAGTTTGATGGATGAGCGTATGCGCCGGATACTTCTTTCAATTAACCTGAGACATTTGGAGATCCTAAATTGATTCAATCACAAAGGGGAAAAGAGTTTGCTCTTAATTCTAAAAGCCGGATATGATCGATGTCTTAAGGCTCTTACATTGTTGTTGTTCGTCTCCCGTTTCACGAGCAAATCTCCTTACCTTAGGGCTTCCCTGTTACAGTTAAGGGCTCTTTTCAAAATTTTCAATCCGTTGACGAAAAACCAAAACCAAATTCTTCACAGAGACCAATTAAAAGTGAGGGAATTATCACAAGAAGCCCATGACTGAGAAATCACGACAGAAAAAAGTAAACTGCCAAAAGTGCGGGATAACGCAGGTGATCTATCCGCCAAGAATTGAGCGCGATAATCTAACTCTTTGAGCTTAAGGTGCTTATTTTTAATCTCGAACAAAGTGGAGTGCGCACGTTTGAAGAAGGTTTACACTAATTGTAAGGAAATTCAGAGGTTGAATTCGTCGTAGGTAATTATTTTGTGATCCAGATGAGCGTGCCAGCCGGAAGAGCCTGATGTAGACTCATGCCCAGTCTTTAGAGGCCAAAGTTCATCATCGAGATCTTTCGTCCCGTTTCTTGCGCGACCACGAGGGCGAGAATGCTTCCATATGGCAGAAAATACATTTTTTCTATCCCTAATTGGACTGGAAAATGTAAACAATTTCAACGAGCTTCTGCGTCATCTTTTCTCAAATGGCCCAACCCGTTTGGCTTAAAAAAGGATGATCAACTGGAACAAACGACTGCACTTAAACAAGGAACGCCTGGTACATCTGAATACTACGTCCCTCGAAAATTCGTTCCTATGACAAGAAAAGCGCTTATAAGGCGAATAGTAGAAGACGAGAACCTGATAAACTCGAATGACAGAAGTTACTTTCAAAATCTTGCAGTTAACTTGGACAATGCCATTGCTGGGACGTTTCACGGAGTTCTTGGGGAGTTGAAGGTAAGTCACCGCTGTTGTTACCATCCGCAAGAAAATCAGAAGCAAAGATACGTCGTAATAAATGATTGGTTGAACTTAGGAAGTTAGAAGAAGAAACATGACAAATTTCAATTCGTCAAGGCCACATAAGGTAGCAACGTCGAGTAATCGGCAGAGACGAGCCCCTTCTGCTGGGGACCTGCATTGAGCAACTAGCACCCTACAAACTAACCCTTCAAAATACCTTTATGCCTTGATTTCCAAAACCTTTTCCTGTCCAAAATAAATGATGACCTAACTCTGCACAGTGGAAAAAGTCTCTGGGATTACCTTGTAGGATACATCACATTCACATATGGTTTGACCCTCTTTTGATAGAGAGTGGTAAACTATTGGAGCAAGCTCCTTATCAAGGAAGCAGGACAATGAATCAAGAGTAGGAGCAAAAAGGAGGTTATCTAATGCTGTTTTTACCTCTAAAATAATTATTTACACTTGTCACTTTATTACGCCCACCCTATTTTTTTCTATTAAAATTTTGCCATTAATTTAATTAATTGTCAAGGTACAAGTGTAAAGACTAAAGTTGGTGAGGAAGTCACAATGCTTTCACATGAGTTTTTTTTTTTTTTTTTTTTTTTTTAAGTCATACCATTACTAATGAAAGTTAAAAGAAAAACAAACTAAAAACAATTTTTTTCTTCTTAAGGCTTTGTATGATCCTTTGAACCCTGACAAAGAGACCTTAACGCTCCATAAAACTTCCAAGAAGGAAAGACTTGACAATGAATTCTGGCTACTGGAAAAGTTATCTCAACTGTTAGAAAAGGCTCACTTTTATGAGTTACCTGTTGAAGATGTGCGCAGTGCCTTAAAAGAACATGATGCCGGAGACGGTGTACTTGTCAGTGTTGACCCAAAGAAATATGATGTTCTGCGGGTGTGGGTTGTTGGAAAAGAGTTTGAACCTGACAACACAGGTCGATGGTACTCCAGAGTTGCCGGTAGAGTTGTTAAAAGGTTTAAACCACCAATAAAGGCTGAGAGATACAAGAGGGTGGTTATTGCCATTCGTGCTAAAAAGCAGAGTAAACTAATGCTTAAGTCCTTCAAGGACATTCGATGTGCCAATCTGGAGCAGTTACTTCCAGAAGGAAAAATAAGGATGACAAAGTTTGATCAACGAGTATTGGCAGCAACTTTGACAATTGGTGCAGCAAGTGTAGTGATAAAGCTTGTTTCTTTCCTGGCTGATTACAAGATATCATGGATTTATATTGCCATATCTGTGGCAGGAGTTGTGGCTGCAAGAGCATGGACGATTTACAAAAACAAAAGGAATTCTTATCTTGTGCGCTTGTCACAGACCCTCTACTTTAAGGCCATTGCAAACAATCGTGCCTTATTTACTTTGCTGGCTGACAGAGCTGAAGATGAGGTGTTTAAGGGAACCCTTTTGGCATACAGCTTCCTTCAAGCTCCTTTAAACTTATCAGGTACTTTAGGGAATATTTAATTTTTATTCAAATTGGCTAGGTTGTTCTGAACTTAATTATATCAGTTCTTGAAATTTGATTCACAAATTGTGCATAATGAATACCTCTTGCTGTCTAAATGTGAGCTCCTTACTGCAAGTTATGGACTGAGTTTTTTTCTTTTGGATTTATGTTTTGAATCAGCTAGCTCAGTCAGTTCCCTTTCTTTTGCCTCCTGACAGCCCCTCTTTCATTAATTTCAACATTTGGCATGGGAAAGCTTTGGTATACTTTCCTTGCCTGCTCTCAGTCTTTCTTTAACCCTTTCAAGCCTTAAGAGTGACCAGTATTTAATTCTCCTTACATCAATACTGCCTAATCATTTACTAAGGTCATGAGAGTAACAGAATTGATCTCTGACTGAAACTGGTGAACTGGTTTATCTTTATACCTCTCTGTAAATAACTTTGTCTAGGTGGTGGTCACAGAACTGGGTTGCACTCTGAAGGAATGACAGTTGGTGAGCTGAAGCAGCATGTAGAGGATTGGATGAATCTCAAGTTTCAAGTGACACTGAAATATGATCCATTAGAACCTTTAAAACAACTGGAGAACTTAGGACTTCTTGTCACAAAACAGAGAGGTACATGACTATGATTACTTCATTGATTCATGGCCTGCATCAGGATTTTGAATTATGGTTTGCAACAGAGTTCATATATGTGATTGTGTGATCATTTATATTTCCATCTTTTCTTGTCCTTTTTTGTGCTTCCATGTCAAATTTGTTCTTTAAAATCAATCTCTGGCCATTTCAGACTAATTCTCCAGCCCAGACTGAAATGTCTATTACTTTCTAAGACCTGCACAAACTCTCAAATACACCATGTGAAGTAACATTTCCTTCAAGAGGTCAATAATTAACTTTTCGATGAAAATGTCATAAAAGATCCAAGATGAAAAGTTGACAAGATTTTAATGACAGCTGTGCTCATTCCTTTACCTAGGTGATCAACAGATACTCAGCGTGCCAACTGTATTTGATGCATTTATGAAACTACCAAGTCCAAAAGCGCTCATGAAGGAAGCCCTGGAGAGAACAGGAGAGCTGGACGTGGATTTAACTGAGGCAACAACTGAAGAAGAATTAGAGCAGATACAAGACAAGCAGAGAGAAGAACTAGAGCAAAAGAAAATGATTTGGGAGTGACCAAGCATGTTGATCACAGAATATAGAGAAAACTATTTCTGTCCTGTGGTTACAGAGGGACAACTGACTCTGACTACATTCTCACTTGATTTATGGCTCAAATTGGCTAAAGCATCAGCAGTTATGATGTTCAACTCCTTAATTCCTATTGAGTGTCCAAGGTAAAGCAGAATTGGTTTGGTTTTGCTTCATGGCACTCTATGTTCAGTCTTAAGAACTTGCTTCCATTCAGATGCAGAACTAAAGCTTATCACTGCTTGATCCCCCACATTTTCCTGAGTGTGCCTCATGCATTTTGCTTGTTTTTACTTTAACCCTTTAACTCCCAGAGGTGATTAACATCTAACTTCTCCCTTTAATGTCCATACTCTCTCCAGCAAACGGCTGACGAGAATACTCAAACTTATCAGGTAGAAGTTGTTGTCTTGATCTAACAGTGAATTCTTGTAGCTAATTTACTAGGAAATATATAGCAGCTGAAGGAGAGAATTGACAATCAGACATTGAGAGTTACTGGGTTAAGTTATTATTGCCTCCTTGTGATATTTTGCTTTCTTCTGATCAGCCACTGTGAATAATCTGGTTTTCGTTGTCAGACACTCAATTGAAATAAGCTTCAAAATGTATACCATATTATCAAAGCCTAAAGTGGATGGTCCTCTCAAATCTTTTAACACAAAAATTCAATTTGTAAATAGGGCTTAAAGGGTAAAACCTCATCAGATATAATTTTTCGATTGTCATCAATTTCTTAACAGAATTGTAGCTTTTTCTTTATGATGTAAGATTTGTTTTTAATAAGGTGTACCATGTTTGTGGTTAGTAATATTTCAAGAATCATTTTAAATAAGTTTTCCTTGAAGGATTAAACACATTTTTCAGCTTGTAATAGATTATTTCTGAAATATGTGCGAGAGTCTTGCAGACAATCTTATAGTTTACTTCACTCGAAGTCTCTTTGTTGTTCTCCAATGTTATTTTACTCTTTCTGTTGTTAATACTGTAGCAGTTTCAGTATCATTTTCCATCCCGTAAAACTCTATCATTTGTCTCTCCTTTAATCTTTTGTAGGACAGAATTTTGTCGATGTATCGTGACACAATATTTCAATTTCTCAACGAGGTCTCCTCCATATCGCTGGTTGGGACGGGGATTACAGTTTTTCTCTTTTTCACTGCTCTAAGCTATTTGGTGCTCTTTGGCTCTGCACGTGTTCGACACTTTGACGTGAGTTTGTGCATCTTTTGCGGCATCTCTGTCTTTGCGTTCGAGTTGTGCAGAAGTAGAATAACAAAACACCGAGGGCTGCTATAATTATCGCCGCTGCTACACATGTGACTGTTAATTCTACGATGTCGACTTCAGCCATCTTTCTTTCTGTTTGTGTTCAGTTTCCAACACCAGATTCCTCTTTGTATAACCAAAAATAAATCTATAGGACCACCGTATACGATGGTATTCTCGTTGAGACTGTAGCATAATCCGTTACGACCGCACTTTCGTGTCCATGTCAACGAGTTTGACTTAATTAAACCCTTTCACCTGTTGAAGCGGAAAAGACATGTCCCACGACCGCCATCTTAAGTCGGCCCATAATGCAATTCAATATTGCAAACCGGAACCAGTCGTTGCCAAACAAACAAAATGGCTGAAGAGCAGGAGGTGTCTAGTGCTGCGTCCTCACTTTCTCCGAAAACCACCGTCAAGGACTTACAATTTATTATAACTGAGCCTGCTGGTGGTTTCTATATGATGCCTAATGATGCTTACAACGAAGTTTTCAACGGAATCTTCATTGGCGAAGCGTAAGTGCAGTTTAATTTTTCCAGCTGTTTTATATAGTGAGCTATGAACATTGTTAGTTGTTTTCAGCTGTTCTTCGAAGAGTTGATTCTCTGAGCCATTTTAAGTGAGATCAAAGATCGATCATGGTTTAGATAGCTTTGTTCGTCAAAGCTTGGGATTTAGATATTTTGGGTACTTTTCCTCTGAGCTCTTCTGCGAATTCTTTCACATGTTGTTTTGACAGCGAGCGCTCCATGTGAATCCTAAACGAGTACAGCATCACGTTGCTCATCAGGTTAATTTTTCTCAGGCGAAGAGGTGGTTTCTCATTCCTTTTTGTATTTCACGAAGGGATTGAAATTGTCCTCGGAGATCATAGCAATTTAATTCAGATTTTAAGATAAAATATTCTAATCGCTCTATCCCGAGTTCCTGCCCTTTATATTTGGTGCCATGCAGCAAAAGAAGTCGATTGCCTGGCATTGACGTTTTTAAATTAAAAAGTCTTCTTTCGCTCTTAAAAAAAATAAGAACAAATGTGCAGCGCCGCAGATGTACCGAACGTGGCATCCACGTCCGGTAGTGTGGGACATTTTGTCACACAAGTAACGCCTTCTGCCCGTAACGCACAGAAATTTGGATAACGATTTTAAAATGGACTTTTTTCACGGAAAGTTATCGCACTTGTTGACTTCAAAAAAGAGATTTAATCTTTCAGAGTACTTGCATTTCCCTCACAAACTTAATCGTCGCTTCTCAGGTAATCCTCAAAAACAAATTTTGGGGGATTATTGAGTGGGCGTGTAACATCTGCGTTAAAGCTATCTTTGAGCGAGTAGACGCAAAACATGCTTAATTTCCATATTGTGTTTCCGCACTTTATTTTCCTTTGTTATGTTTGTCGTTGTCGTTTTTGTTTTCACTGAAAATTTGTTAGACGAGGTTGCAAGGCACAATAATTCTCTCACCTGCATACTCATGAGAGGGAATTATTGTGCCTTGCCAAGTGGGCCATTTCGGTCACTCATAAAATTTCCGAGTTGAAGGTGGTCATCCCAGAAAATTTAACCATTTTTAGCTTTAGAAGTATTCATTGCAACGTCACGTCCTCTGACACCGACTGTCGCTACAGTCTTGATGGATGTCTTTTTTTTCCATGGTAACGTTGTTTCAGGCCCCAACTTAGGCGAAAAGTGCTGGTTTTCTGTTCAGTATTAGATCTCAGATGACGTCAAAATGTGGTAAGAACAAAAAAGTGGCACACGAGGCGCAGCCATCAGTGACACACACGGCTGCGCCTCGTTTGTCACTTTTTTGTTCTTACCGTAGTTTTGACGTCATCTGTAATCTATTACTGAACAGACGCTCGGCAACTTGGAATCTATTTGCTAAATATATATATACAGGTCCCACATACTCTCTTTTGATTAAAAATAGAGATATAAACAAACTTCACTGGAGGATTAGGACAGGGGTAACCTGAAATAAAAACTCTTTTCTCCAGAAGGCTTCTGTGTCTTTGTCGCGAATACTAAGTTTTAGGACATTTACACGTAACATGTCGGTATGTTTCATCTTTCGCTAAATATCTTTCATTCTATTTCTTTTTTCCATTCATGAGGCAGATTTCGTGGTATCGAAGCCACTCTCAGTGGAGAGTCTGCTTTTTCTTCAAAAATACTTTTTTGCCAAAAAAATATTGCATTTAAACCATTCCCAGAAATCTAGAGGTAACAAAAGAAAGCTATTCTCCTCTTTTTTTGTGAAATATATCATCGATTTTCGAGTGAGAGAAAAAATTAAAGGCTTCGCACTGGTCGCGATTCGTGCTGTAACTGAAAAATTTTGTTGTGTGGTCTTGTGCGCGAAAAGTGTGCGTGCATAAGTCAGCAAGAATGCGAATCACGCGCCTGAGTGAGATCACAATTGCGGGAAAAGAGCGTCATCTGAACCTCGCGCGTGACTTCTCTCTCGCTCGAGCTGGGCTGAATCCGGTCTTTATGGTCGGTAATATTACGTGTCTCTACCCTGTTTCTTTCCAGATCAACGGCCATGAATGAAGGGGAGCTACAAGACCTTGGCATTACCCATATACTGAATGCCGCGCATGGAAACAAGTATTACCACGTCCAAACAGGCCCTGATTATTATAGGGGATCTGGCATCATCTACCATGGCATACCTGCCATGGATATGTTCACTTTCAAACTTGACCGCTATTTTGACGAAGCTTGCGATTTCATCGCCAAAGCGGTCGGAACCAAGAACTCTGAAAAGCTTAACGGGAAGATTTATGTCCACTGTAAGGAGGGCGTTAGCCGATCCGCAAGCCTTGTCTTGGCCTACTTAGTGAGAGATCAAGAAATGGAACTTAAGGAGGCGGTGAGAATCGTGCGGAGCAAGCGAGAAATTTCACCTAACGACGGCTTTCTTCAACAATTGATAGATTACTCGAGTAAGCTCGGAAGAGCCTAAATAATTAGCGGCAACTCTCTTCTTGTAATTGCTTTAAAAATATTTATGTATTAACGGAGAGAAATGAAACAGATGTTGTGTCATCGATACAATTTGTTAAGTAATATATTTACATATTTGTAAATTTAGAGCAGAATAAAGCACTCATGTGTAAATTTAATGACGCACCGTAGCTTGTGGTCACGTGCTTAATTGAAGGCTTACAATAAGGGTACTGCGCTGAAACATTGTGTTTCATTAAGCGGGAAAACACCGACCGTTACTCTAAGCTTGAAGAGTTTTATTTTGCGCTTTTACCTTTTTTTTTCCTTTTTTTATCTGCACCCTGCGCAGTTACAAAAGAGGCTTGTGCGCTGTCGCACAATTGGCCTTCGAACGTACTAACCGCGCAAGGAGAGTGAGGTCGGGGTACGCTTGTTGCTCGCTGTCGAAGCTTCGCCGCCAGAAATTATGTCACGTATCCAACGATATCGTCAGTCAGCTGGTCCATGCGCAGAAATACGAACTTAATTGAATAGCGATTGCTTGATGAATTACGGTGCATCATGGACTAAATCCATCAAATCACACTTTCCTCGATATAGACTTCAACTTATACGCGTCGATCAATTTGAAGTTCCAACATCCCAACAACATTCGGCACATTGAACTTTTGGACATTAGTTTGTTCAAATTCCCCTCCTGCCTGCGACTGTGATTTTCTACACGTTGACCAAACTTAAAAACATAGACGTGGTAGATCACTTCGTCTGATAGAGCCCTTCGCTGACGAAAGTGAACGACAAAACACCTCCATATTTAAAGATATACCACTTGTATTCCGCTGAAAATTCCGGTTCAAATTCCCCACCCCAGCCAGGTAAGGTTCAGATTCTCCACCCTCTGGGCATGGATGTCTGTCAAATAGATGAGAGTAGAGATGATATGCTTAAAAAAATTTGCTTTGTATTTGCCTTTCTGTCCCTTGAGGAACTTCGTGCCTTCTTCCTTTCAAACTCGGAATGACGTATCCAATTTCTTTTTTCGTCATGATCAGTCTCCTACATCCCTCCAAAACTCTACTTCCACCGTTTGGACAAGGAGCGCGGGCTCATTTCCCAGACAGTGGATGATAATCGAGCTCTCAATCTCTCCCTGATATGAACTATAAAGGGTTGTAAATTAAGATCAATCAGTTTAAAAAGATATTAATTTTAAAGTTTTTACGGTAGCATTTTTCGCTTTTTTATCTTCAGCATCTCGTATCCACGTGGAAAGTTTCCTTCAGTATCTTGCTCTGTATCCCAGGACATTTTCCTTCGTCATACCGTTTCTGTTATGTTTCTGCCTGTAACTGTTCCCACGCATATTTCATGTCCCAGCAGGTAACTTGATCTATTTGTGCCGCAATACCCAGTGTCCCATAATTGTAGAAAGACGTGTTTGAAACTGATAAGTATTTTTAATCAAATTTCTGTTGATTCCATGGAAATACAAAATTTTTCGTTGTATCGTAGAATCTACCCGAGCCGACATCTTGAGATCAGAGAAAGTATCAAGATAAGAGAGGATGATCTCAGGGTAGATTTTTGTTCATCTGGTCGAGACTGTAAATAGTGTACTCTTACGGGGACTTTCTTCCATCGACTGGAGTGTTGACTGAGGTTTAGGCTGTACTGCTCGATCGTTTTCCACCGTTAACCCTTTGTTCCCATGATTTTGTTGTGTAGTCTTGTGCGCGAAAAGTGTGCGTGCATACGTCAGCAAGAATGCTAATCACGCGCCTGAGTGAAATCACAATTGCGGGAAAAGAGCGTCCTTTGAACCTCGCTCGTCATCCGAACTAACATTATAAGAATTGAAGGGCATGCAGTAAGGAGATTACTAATCAGATCTTGCAGTGAAAGGGTTAACACGGTCAGCTTCTTGTCCCTCACTTAACGATTGTTTTCATGTCTGCACAATTTTCACTGAAAATCGAACAAGAAAGCTCAAATAAGAGAAAAATGAACCGTGATTTTACTGATTCGGATATTGAAAGCATTTCCTTACTGATTTCTGTTTTATAAATGTTACATTCACATCGCCACAATATCGTGGTTTACCCAAGCGCAAACGTTTTCACTGTTGGCTGACTGTGCCTCGCAAGTCAGGAAAGTTATATTGTCGTCTTCTGTTGGTAAACTGGACCTAAAAGAGTCTCGTCATATACTAGATGCTTTCAATTTCCAAAATCTCTTTGTATAAATTATTTCCACGCCGTTACAAGTTCATGCACAGAATGCGCACCTCCTTATTTGAACTAACAATTGACCCACAGAAAATGTTGCGTTATTTTGAGAGTGTCAATAACATTAACAGTTTTAAAAACAACAACAAACGAAAACAGCGTTCTACTTATCACATCCATCTTCGCAATTATTTTTGCAAGCTACTATTTTCACTTCATGATAAAATGCGGTCCGTATCAGTCATTTCCGCTGGTCATTACTGAAAGGTTTCATTCCTTTTCGAAAAAAGCAAAAAAACAAAGCAGTTGCATTGATATAGCACTGCAAAGACGTTCCCTCCAAAAGCAAATATCTCTAGCTCCAACAAAAATTTGTTTTATGTTACCAGTAAAAGAATTCAAACATTTTGTGAAAGCCCTCTTCAATACTTTCGTCATTTAGTTTTTCATCTTGGATGAAGGTGCGGTCGAGAATTTAGAACATAACAATAGCTGCACCTCTTACCACAGATATTGAGCCGAGATAAATTAAAGCCCAACATGTCATGTATCCGCAGATATTTCTAAAATCTATATATGAACATTTTTAAATCGATAAGTTAAAACGTACTGAAGCCATGTCATGCGTTTTTTGATAAGCTAAGACCCGTGACAACCTTTGCAAGGTCGGTGCAGATTTAGAACTATAAAAAAAACTGCAGTTTACAATCTGCAAGAAATACCAATTGACTTTTTGTCCTATCGCTTAAAAAGAAAATAAAAAAAAAATAAAAAAAACCTTCTCCTCCCTCCCCTCCCCTCACTCCTACTTCATAAATGGCTTCAAGAATGCTTTAAATAGAAGTATAATGACACAGGGCTTCGAAAATTCACCTCTCCCTTCTCACAATTTGTATCTATATGTCAAAAATTACCTTTTTTTCGGAAAATTTCACTCAATTAATAACCCTCTTTACTTTGTCGCTCCCTGGTTCCCTCTGTACACTGTCAAACCCAACGGGGGTTCAGCCGTTTTTTTTTTTTTCTTCTTCTTCTTCTCATTAATACCTTTGCCTCTCAGCTTTCTTTCCAAGGTGTTTGTTTTTTCAACAAAAGATTAATAGGCGAGACGACTGACACTGACTGAGTATCAAAAACGTGTTCTTTCTTTTAACATTATATTCATTGACAAATCCGTTAAGGTATTTTGTTTACATACTATAACATGCCGAAGGCGTAATACCACGACAATACTGTTACCGCAATACTGTTACCGCAATTTGGCCAGAAAGCTCTATATTGTTAGTATTTTCTTTTTCGGAGTTGACTAGGCGTCAGAAAACTTTATGATAAATATTAGCTGCCAATTTTTTAATACGATACAGCATATATAACTTGTTTTTTTTCTTTTTTCGCATTCCATCCATGTTTCTGACTTTGCAACGAGCTTGCGAGGGTAAGTTTATTGTTTTTTAAAGATCAACATCACATAAAGTTTGATTTTAGTCGATGATACGTTTTCGAAAATGCAAACTATAAAATCATATTCTGTATGATTTTGAAATTGTAAAACTGTTGTTTTTGTTTACATTGATTCGTACCATGCCTTTGAAATATTTCGAAAAAAAAAGTTGTCTGGGGTGGTCATTAAATATTTCATAAAATGTTTTTCAAACCTTTCAGCAAACGATTCCTTTTCAGTTATCAGCACTATTCGAGAGCACAAATAAAGCTGGTGTCCGTGAAACAAAACTTGCTCAGGGCACTATTCGATTGAGTATTGTAACAATTGGACATATCAGAAACACTAACCAAACAATAAAGAACAAGGGCTAATATCGATGAAGTCAAACGGAGACTTAAGTATATAAAAATAGCCGACAACAAGCGCTGGGGAGCGTGAATCGTTGAGTCGCGATTGATCGAGTTTGGTTTTGCATTTGATTTGTTGAAGTGGTGGGTTGAAATCTCTAGGTAGGTCAAATAGCGTAGTTAAGGGCATCCGAGCCAATCCAATCCCAAATTATTTAATTGTGTTCCTCAATTGCTATTTTCGATAGAGATAATCTATTTGAAAGTGCCATCCAGGACTTGTTAATCTTTATTAAGGAGACACAAAACGTTTAAGACCTTTTCAAATCGGCAACACAGAATATGGTTCAAACTCCAAAAGTACGACCTAATTCTTTGATCGTTAGCAATGAGCTCAGCTCCTCTGTCAATGATAAATTAAATAAATTTACGCTATACATGAATAGAAGGGCTTATTTCTCAGCTCTCCGACCCGAATGTATCTTATTTCTGCAGAAAGCAAAGATGAACAGCCTGTATTGCATCAGTTTTTTTCTCATTGCTGTCCAATTTTCCGACTTCAATGGCGCACCTCAACGTGGATTAAGTTGGTCAGGTGTTCCCATGAACGTTTTCGTGGAGAAAAACGATCCACGTAAGTATCCAGCAAACGTAACCCTTTAAAATCTAACCCTTGATCTGATAAAAGATTCTCAATACCAGCTGACATTTTATTCCTCGCAACAAAGTTGAGAGAATAAGGTTTTATATCAATACTAAAACGACTTTCAATTCTCTTTACCAGTTTACCAGATAACGTTTTGACGTTGAAGTGAGAATTTACTCTTTCATTCTTTCAAGACTTTCAAAGATGAAAGGCTTTGCCGCCTGGTTACCTCTCGGCCCATCCCATCCCTTTTAATCATGCAACTTTTAACTCGAGGCGGTCTGCACGTATCAAGTTAGGATTTAGAGCTCGCCACTACAACGAAGACTTAGTTCTTTTATTTGTTCGTGCAGTATAATGTAAATTAATTGAAGTTGTCTGTTCAAAAAGCGTTCCCAACGGCCTTGTTTTGTAAACAATATTATAGCAAACGCTCGTGATTGGCCGAAAAGATTATGGAGTCTCTTTTGAAAATAAACATTGCCTTGAAATAATTGAATAAAATTTCAAAAGAAGCTCTTAAAGCTAATTATGATATGAATAGGCATCTCTTAAGAATTTTTTGCCGTTGAAGAGGCTATCGACAAATTTCAAATTTGAACAGACCTGACTGTGGTATTGCTGTTCAGAAATAATTTTGAAAGCTGGAGTCCAAGCGTGAGATAGAAATTTTCAAACTATTTGTAACATTTTTCTCAATATTCTTGACTTCCGAATTCGTGCATCTTAGCGATGCAGTACCCCTGCATAGTTCTATTGACTAGATTAACTTTGGTAAGTACAATACGATAGTCAGGTTGATGTTAATCTGACACTTATAAAATATGTATTAAATTCCCTCACGGCTCTGAAGTGAATCGTACCAAATTTTTGGCGCCAAAATATGTCGCTGCTGAATTCTCTCCGAAAATCTTCCCAGCAACATTTACTCTTCTTAATCAAGATAGAAGTTTTACAAATCTTCCGATCATTCGTTTGAAATTTTGCATCGGTAATAGCCTATGGCTGATCGATATAGTAGGCCACTAACAGAAGATTAATTATAGCCTTCGAAACTTAATGACTTTCCATTTGACCAACTTTGCTTCAACGGCTAGGAGATTTCAAGCTCCATTGGACAATTATGATGTTGCCTTACTAATTATTTTCAAAGGAACGCTCAGTCAGTTAGTTTATAAATAGGACGCCATCGCTAATTATTGGTCTGTTAGGCTCATATGCACTGGTGTCGGGACTGTGCTCTCACCATCGAACACTGCGATACAATCAAGAAAGAAAATATTGGAAGAAAAATATTGAATAAAGAACTGTTTTGCCGATACGTGCAGTTTATTCAAACAAACACAGCGTGATTGACAGGTCAAAGTAAGAGTCAGAACATGTTTCGAAACAATTTGAACTATTCAACATTTTGTAAATACTCTTTGTTCAAAGCTCAATTAGAATATGAACGATCATTTCAACAGTTATTTTAGGGTAGGAAGGTTTTTTTTTTGTTCAATTTGAACGTGACGTCGAGTACTCAACATCAAACACCCTTTGCGCCTAAAAACGCGCTTATTTTAAAACGGAAAAATGGCGAGCTTGAAAATGCTTGTGAGTTTGTCAACGATCTTGGTAATGAGTTTCCAAGCGAGTAGAGCAGTGCCGTTAAGCAATATTAAAAGAGAATTTGCTCACGGTAAGTAAAACTTTTTGACAGTTGAATAAATTCAGCTTGTGTCCAAATTTATAGCGTCGATAATTTCTGTGTTTTGAAATTCTGTGCAACCGTCGCAACTTCATTTTTTATCTCAGTGAGTAAAATTTTATGATTGTTGAATTCAGCTTGTTTCCAACTTTTATTGTGATTAAAGTCTGCTCATCAAATTTCTGTGCAACAGTTCCGATTTTTTTTTTTTTATCTGTATCTCAGATTTCCCGGAAGACTTCAACTCCTTCGCTGACAGTGCAGGCAAGTCACTGTCTTCATTTGTTCCTTGGCATCGAATGTATCTATTTATTGACCGATTATTCCTTTATCAGTGCTATATTTTATTGAAACTCAAAACCCATATTCTACCGTTATCAGTACTAGAGGTGTTTCCATAACCTTCATTAATTATTTATAATTGGCAACGATACGGTATATAACTGTCGCATAATTAAGGTAGTTTTCTGATTCATATTTAACGAAGAAAGGACCGTAGAGTGTAAAAAGGTGGAACGGAATGAGAAATTGGGTCATTCTAAGACAAAATTCGACGTTGCAGTCTGCTGGACTCTGCTGGAAACATGATAAATTGACTCTCTCACTTTATCAAATCGCAAAGATGATGCTACAACGTTATGATCGTCGCTTTTACCACAGGTACACCCATTTATATATTGTTCTTGACAGTTTTCGTTTCGAAATTACTGTAGAACTTAAAAAAATATTCCCCCCTGCCAGACGCGCGATTTTGGTGAGGGAGGGGGAAGGGGTTGGAAATTTGATGGGGTATATATGCCACTTCTATGAGGATTTTCTTTTTACTGTAATAAATCGGTCTACAATCATAAAAAAAACCTCATTTCTTTAAGTTAAACTACAAATTTTTGCAGAAGACTATAGGTGGTGTCATAAATTGACTGTATTTAACTCGTTCTCGTTGTTTATCGGCAGATTGTAAAGACGAAAGAGATTGCAGTTGGATTCCCAATGAATTAGAAAAGCGGCCAGGAGAAACTTTAGACGGATACTGCTCGAAGCACAAGAACACGCCAGCAGTTAAACAATGCCGCAAGACTTGTAAATTCTGTAAGTATTACTGTGATATCTTCTGGGGCACATTTCGACTAAATTTCGTTTAATCATAACCAAAGTAATCAGGCGAATCACAACAACAAAAATTACAAGAGGCCCATCAAGACTCAAATCAGCAACAAACAAACCACCAAAAGCGCAGGAAAACGCTGGTGACAAAGTCGCGGTTGGTGTTCGAGCGCTTTTAGATGGAGTGTTGTAAACCAAAACCAAATTAATCACAACGGCCAATCGGAAGAAGGAAGATAACCTTAACAGTCATTGAAAATTATAAGTAAAATAACAAGCAAACTGCTTAAAGCACGAGAAAACGGCTGAGATAGTGGTACGAGTTTTCCGGACCAATCACAGAGCAAAGTTAAGGTTTACTTTCGACATTCCATTAATATTGCTCTATTGTTGCATCACATTGGTTAAGAAGGTGGCAAAAGTTTTCTGGACCAATCACAGAGCGTAGTGAAGCAAAACCAATATTATCGCGGATTATTTTCGACACTGATTTGAAACAATAAGGCTCTTTGGACATGATCCTATGCCCTTGGAACAGAGCTTGGCGAGTAATGAAAGGAAGGACTAACTCCCGGTGTAAAAATTTCGCCAAAAGTGCAAATTTTGCGAGAAGAGGTGGTTTTCTTAAGGAAGGCTTGGATTAATGTGTACATTTTAAATGCTAATTACATTCGTTTTTTCGCTCTCCACAGGTAAAGCACCAGCCTCCGTTGGTAAGAATACTAGCAGCGTTATTTTATTAATCTAGCAGCGTATTTTATTAATCTAACCTCCATTTTAGATATTTTGTGGGTGGAAAAGCATTTTTCTCTGTCACCCTGCCGTTGTATTCCCGCCTTCGGAATACAAAATTGCAGCCAGCACGATAAGTTTTTCTTGGCCGGGGAGAGTAATTATCTGTCTCGTTACCATCTAAAGCAAAACCAATGCAATCTAGGATCACTTGTGACATTCAATTGAAAATTGCTCTGAGACAAAAATAAGAAGACAACTCATACACAGTTAACAGGCTTAACAACTAGGAAACTGAACTAAAGAATTGCATCACCTAGGCTTAATTTCACCTTTGTGGGCGGATAGAGTAGATAATGTCAGTAATAAGTTGACACTGCTAAATTGGTTCTTCATCGCCAGAGTGTAAAGACGAAAGAGATTGCAGTTGGATCCCCAAAGAATTAGCAAAGCGGCCAGAAGAAACTTTAGACGAATACTGCTCGAAGCACAAGAACACGCCGGCAATTAAACAGTGCCGTAACACCTGTAAATTCTGTAAGTATATTAATGCGATCACTTCAATCACAAACATCTGGGGCTTTTTCTTGCTGCACAATATCGTTGGGGATTTTACCGCTTATCAGGTCGCTTGGATACAAATACGTTTCGCTCTGATAAAGACCTAACACTCAAAACGTCAGCTTTTTTAACTCTTTATGGTGTCTAATTCACATTTTTAACACAGTTGATAAAACCAAATTCCCTTAGATATAAGTTCGACGAAAGGCCTTTCAAAAACCAGTGTAGACTGTCAATAAATATTATCCAGCATTTTGATAGACTGGAAAGGATAGGGTGTTATGGAAGAAATGTGTCTTCATTATTTAACATACCAGTCTGGCTGCTGCAGGCTTTGGTCGATTGAGACGAATAAAAAAGAAGGCGGGGAATGGGGGGAAAGAGTGCTCTGGGAAATCGAAGTAGGGATGTTTTTGCTCTTCACTTGCCCTGCTCTTCAGCTTGTCCTTACAAACTGAGTGTTTGTTCAAGACTAGTTCCACAAGAAAAAGTAATTTTCAATGACTCTTAATCTGTAGACCCAAGAAACCGTTTTCTGAATTAATGGCTGAGTATCAAAATCCATGATTGGACTCCACACAGAAACTTTAAATCACAAGTAAACAAGCACAAGACATTTGATAACCTTTTAGACTGTTTTCAAAAAGGTGCCTTTGTATTTGCTTTAGGTAGCGGGCGTGTGTTTCAAACAGGGGTATGAACAATTTCATGCCGTCGATTCTTGCATGCATGATTTTCCTCATATGAACCGAAAATTTTGATTTTGTTCTCTCTGAAGCAATGAATACAAGATTTATTATAATCGTTACGCTGAATTTTTCATTTTGATCGCCATTTCCGTGGAAAAAACATAGTTAGTGAGGTTGATAGACATATTTATACCCAAGCGGCCTAATAAGCGGTAAAATCCTCAACGATACAGCAATTGTGATAAGCTTCAGCCGTGCTTGCCACAAACCTAGGATAAAAGTTGTTCTTTTATTTAGCAATCGAGAGAAACGGAACCCACTCAATGAAATCGGTTTATTTTAGGTAACTTACTCTGCTATTCCCTGTGCCGATTGACCAGTTTTCCATTGTTGTATAATCAGATATAGGCTCTTCTTTAAAGCTTATAGATCATCTTGTACTCGTGTAACAGGCTTAAAATCAGCAATTGAGTCACGCAATACCGACATGTTAAGATGTGTCACGAAATTCTGAGCAATTACCCCCGTAGAAATGTGAAATTAACAGGTGTAAATTTTCTCCTTTGGATCACGAGGGTGAAAATACTTATCAATACTTAATTTTTCTTCTCCACAGGCAAGGAACCATCACCTGCTGGTAAGAGTGAAAGGAACATTGAATTTATCGATTTTCACTGCACAAAGGTGTGATTCAGGGCGGGCAAGGATTTTTCCCTCCTAGCCGTCCTATTTCCGCCCCACTTGCAGAATTTTAAATAGCAGCTAACGACATCACAAAAGACTTGGAGTTAAATAGAAAGCTCTTAACCTTGGACTATGTTTCGTTTAATTTGACTTCTGGTTTACCGGTCTTCCTTTCTTTTGGAGGAGTCAATTCTCGGCGTTGCTTAATGCCACAGCAATTTTGATAAGCTTCAGCCGTGTTTAACACCAGCCTGGTATAAGAAGGTTCTTCTCAGTTTTCTTTAGCAATGTGAGAGAAATGGAACCTGCTTCATTAAATTGGTTTATTTTAGCTAACTTACTCTGCCACTCTCTGTGTCGGTTAACTCAGCTTTCCATTATTGACGCTCTCTTCATATATAATCAGATAAAGGCTCTTCATTGGAGCGTATAGATCATCTTGCACCTGTGTAACACACGTAAAATCAGCAATCGAGTTACGGAAAACCAACATGTTAAGATGTGTCACGAGATTCTGAGCAATTACTTTAGAAATTTGGAATTAGCAGGTATGAAAATTTTCTATTGGAACGTGGGAGTGAAAATACTTATCAATGCTTCTTTTTGCTCTCTACAGGCGAAGAGCCATCCCCCGCTGGTAAGAATCAAAGGAGTATTGAATTTGTTGATTTTCACTGCAGAAAAGATGTCAATAATTTTGGGCGGGCGTAGATACTTCCCTCCTATTCGTCCTATTTCCAACCCACCAGCAGAATTTTAATTAGCAGCTAGAGAAATCGTAAAAGACTTGGCGATAAATTGAAAAATACGAACTATGTTTGATTCCGTTGATCCTACTACCGATCAAAAAATTACATATTGAAGGTATTCTCCTTCAATCGAGGCAATTTGGGGACTGTGATATGTGTCCCCTCAATAGAGATATTACAAAGGTTCTCTACAGTTTTAAAAGTACAAACAAACAAGCACAATATGATTTGAAGTGAGATTTCTTGATTAAAATTTTTTTGTTTTTTTCTAGCCCGCATTAAGATATTTTTCGGGTGGGAAAGCATCTCTCTTCTGTCACCCTACCGTCGTATTCCCGCCTTTCCTTCGGAATACAAAATTGCAGCCAGCACGATAAGTTTTTATTGGCTGGGAGAGCAATTATCTGTTTCTTTACCATCTAAAGCCAAACCAATGTAATCTAGGATCACTTTCGACATTCGATTGAAAATTACTCTCGCACAAAAATAAGGAGACAATTCATACACAGTTAACAGGCTCAAGAACCAGAGAACTGAACTAAAGAATTGCATCACCTAGGTTTAATTTCACCTTTGTGAGCAGATAGTGTAGATAATGTCAGTAGTAAGTTGACACTTCTGAATTGGTTCTTCATCGCCAGAGTGTAAAGACGAAAGAGATTGCAGTTGGATTCCCAACGAATTAGCAAAGCGGCCAGGAGAAACTTTAGACGAATACTGCTCGAAGCACAAAAACACGCCAGCAGTTAAACAGTGCCGTAACACCTGTAAATTCTGTAAGTATATTAATGCGATCACTTCAATCCCAAACATCTGGAGCTTTTTCTTGCTGCATAATATCGTTGAGGATTTTACCGCCTATCAGGCCGTTTGCCACAAACATGGAATAAAAGGTTGTCTTTTATCTAGCAATCCGAGAGAAACGGAACCCGTTTCATGAAATTGGTTTATTTTAAATTAACTGCGATGGTTAACTCAGTTTTCTATTATTGACGCTCTCTTCCTATATAGACAAATACAGGCTCTTCTTGGAGCGTACAGCCGTCATCTAGTACTCGTGTAACATACTTTTAAAAAATCAGCAACTGAGTAACGGCATATCTACATGTTGAGATATGTCGTGAAAGTTTGAGCAATTACCCTCATAGAAAAGTGGAACTAGGTATGAAACTTTTCCTTTGGATAATGGGTGTGAAAAGACTTATCAATGATTCTCTGTTCCTCTTTACAGGCAAAGCACCATCACCCGCTGGTAAGAATTAAAAGAGCATTAAATTTATTGATTTTCACTGCAAAAAAGGTTTAACTTATGATGGGCGAGGATTTTGCCCTCCTAGCCGTTTTATTTCCACCCCACTTGCAGAATTTTTAAGAGCAGCTAAACGGCAGATAGAGACATCGCAAACGACTTGGCGATAAATAGACAATTACTAACCTTGGACTATGTTTGATTTTGTTGATCCTTCTATCGATCAAAAGAATACTCGCATATACTGGAGGCATTTTGCCCTCAATAGAGATATTACAGTGGTCTTTAACAGTTAGTTAAGTAAAAACAAACAAATACAATATGATATCAGTGATATCATTGAAATTATATTCTGAGTAGGCTTTTTGATAAAGACTTTCTCACTTTTGTTTCCTATAGTCTGCGAAGACGAGCGCACCGACTGTTATGCTCTTGTAGTCAAGACGGGAGGCGGACAGGCGCTTGAAAATTACTGCAATCAGTGGAAGGCAGAGAAAGCAATACAGCAATGTCGTGGAACCTGCAACTTGTGTAAGTATTCGGTTTGGGTTTAGGATAGCCGCACCAGTTGTGTTCTTAGGGAGAACATTTGTGAGAGCGCCTGCCTCCCAGCACTGTGGCCCTGGTTCGATTCCCGGCGGTTCTCGACCTTGCTCCGAGGGTTTTTCTCCGGGTCTTCTGGTTTTCCTCCCTCAATTAAAACCAACATTTTAAATTCCAATTCCAACTGGAAACAGTGGACAAGAAGACCCCCTAGTAGACTGTCCACCGCTAAACCCCATTTATTTGTCTATTTGTACAAACGGAAACGAAAGTTAAGGAGATACACTAAGATGTGTGCAGTTTCATCCCTAACCTTTCTCGATGGTTTTTGGTGCTTCTTCCGTTTTAGTTTTAAATACCTGTCCGAACTAATATTTTGTGATCATCCTCAAGTTGAACGTAATTTTCCGCGTGTTATAAAACGACCCAAACCATCGTGTTATAGCCTCCTTAAAGAATAGACACAACAAAACAATTGTATGCACTACATTTTTGTTACATTAGACGGCAGGTCTTTTAGACTGTTTCTGTACATTCAAAAGGATTCTACTAGTTTCGGGTCAGTTGATGGTTTCTGATACCTGTTAGGTTCCAAGCCCCCTTCTCCACCCATCGAACCAGAGACCATGGCACCTCAGACAGAGCAGCCTACACCGGAGACCGCTGAACCATCAGGTAAAAAAGTCTCCAGATAAAATTATGTTCAATTCGCAATTCCCCCTCGTAGTGTACCTCTGTATTTAGTAAATGAACTTTCGGAAATCCGAAGGTCTGACGTTCGATTTCTCATGGGGACTCAGACTTTTTTCTTTGTCCCACGCTCGTGATAAGACGGAAAACATCTTTCTCTATTTCTTTACTGAGCTCAAAACTTACCATCTTTCTTATTCTCTTTTACAAAAAATGACGCTATAAACATCGCTGATCCTAGCAGTTTGCAGGAAGCGTCTCATAAATGAACTTCGTAATGGGCCTCACTCACCATAGTCTAAGTGGCTCAGTGTTGAGCATAGGAGCGCAGAAATCCAAAGGTCTGAGGTTCGATTCCTCATGAGGACTCAGAATTTTTTCTATGTCCCACGCTCGTAACAAAACGAAAAACGTCTTTCTCCACCTTAGTCTTGTTTCAAGGACTGATACTCCACATGGGGTATACTACAATGCCCCTTTTTTGCTGGACAGAATATTCCATGACTAAACAGTTTTTTCCATAATCTTAACGATGACTTCCGGGAAATTATTCTAGAACTTCCTGTACTTAATCTTAAAAAGCCAAGTGCGTCACCCAAGAAACGATAAAGTACTTTATGCCTTAAAATATCAACCACTATGCCACATCCTTCTAATCCACTTTCATTAAACGGCCAGGTTTTCAGAAAGAATGCTTGGAAGTACACAACTGCTATAGAGGTTTTCATAACGCCCCTCCCCTTCGGTGGTCAGCGGAGCTAACGCGTGCGGCACAGGAATGGGCTGACTACCTTGCAAGCCGTGATGAATTTGTTCACGATCCAACTCTGGAGGCCAAGGGTCAGGGTGAGAACCTCTACTACAAGAGTCCTTCCAAGAGGCTGTGCAATTACGGTGAGTTTGGACCAGAATGCCTAAGCTGCAGTGAGATCGTGACGCGGTGGTACGACGAGGAAATTGATTATGATTACGCAACAGGGGAGACAAAGACACCATTCGCTCCAATATTGCATTTCACTCAGATCGTTTGGAAAGCGACCAGAGAGGTGGGAATGGCAACTGCTGTGGGACACGGCAAGCTGATTGCGGTAGCGCGTTATTCTCCCGCTGGAAATACCAAAGGATCGTTCCAGGAAAACGTCCATCCCCGTAAGTAGCACCTGGCTTGTGCAACTGGAGAGGCAATTCCACAATGATCACCGAGCTTGACTCAGGATCGACAGGCTGGTCTATTCATTGCACAATGTTATCGGGTCCATAAGTGACTAGGATCTAACTTCTCCTTACATGATTACCACTGATTCAAACATTAAGGTCATAGGAATAAAGACAATAATAATCGCTAACTTCAGAAGCTCTTGATTGATAAACAAATTCTCCGTGTCAGTACCATAGGAAATGTATAGAGAACATTATGGAGAATATACATACTGATATTAGACTCTAAGCAAGTCTAACCTCCTAGCAGTATGAATGGGTACAAACAGTCACGGAAATTTGACGAGTTGTAAGGGAAGACGTGCGATGCATCCGATCCGCATCCCTTCCGTAGGGAAGGGGTGTGGAGAGGGTGGGGGGAGAAGCTGTTCAGGTTTTTCTTTCTTCAACAAATATCCTTGAACCGTAATTATCGCCCTCAAGGCTAAAATTGTCCAGAAAATAATATTAATATTTGCTGATTTTACTTTCATTTTCTTGCAGCCCCCGAGGAAATATTGGAAGCTCCACAAAGGATTTGTTTACCAAAAATAGTTACCTGAGCTCAACTTAAAACTGAGCAACAACTTGAACGTTCAGTTACAGTATTGCCAAGAGATCATTATGGTATCTTAGCATTGCCATTTATTTTATAATATCGTTATTTTAAGACCATAAACTTTGTAGCTGTAGTATGTTGAGTAACTTAGTGATACTTAGTACCAAAGAGCTAGGAGACAAGCCTCTATCCCCCCCTCTTCTTCCCTTACTTCCCTTGAGCAGAACCTCCACCAGGGGAGCCCTTTGTCCAAAATAAAGTGTCCCCTAAATAGAGATGTTTTCTCATTAAAGGTTGCAGAAGAACTTTTTCAGTTTGGCCCAAAGTTTTCGTTATTTGAATGGAGGTGTCTGTCAACTAAAGATGTATTAAAGAGAAGTTTTACAAATGTAGCTCAGGTTTTTGGCAATAAATTTGATTTCACGAAACTTTTGAGAAACAGGGCGCCGAGTCTGAAAACGGAATAATGGAAATGGTATGTTTCGGTCTGAAATAGGGGCAAGAACCGGGCGGCACATCCCACCAACACACTGAGGGGTATCCAAGGAAGAAAAACTAATGTTCCACAATTTGAACTGCATGGACAGCTATTTCATATACAAAAATTCTGTGTGAATGAATCGAGATGAGATCGTTAATGTTAGCATGTAAACGTTTCATTACAAAAGATTACCTACGTTATCATGCTAAGATTTGGAAAAAAAATTAATCAACCCCTCTAATTCCGAGAAGCAATCAAGCTGTTACTACCCTCCTGACAAAATCAAGACATTATTTAACAAACGGGTAACAAGAGAAAATAAACTCATCAGTTCGTCCTAATTAGGATGTCGTCCTAATTGAAATGGAAGAGCGTAGCATCAAGAGGGTTGAGCGCCCTACTAACCTGCCTTAAAAAAATTACTAATATCGATGTGCAAGATTTTCACAAAGCTCTGAAATAAATGAATCAACATTGGCTAGCAGATCAAAAAAAAAAATTTTCGTGAAGAAAACATGCATGATTATGCACGGTCCCTAGAAAGGCTCATAAACAAGCCTAGGGGTAATTAAACCACAGCAAAAAAGTGTACAATATTTTCCAAATTGTGCGTCTGTTTCATAATCAGTGAAGAAGCTTCCCCGTTCGTGAATGGCTTGATAAACTCGACGTTAACCTCTCCATAGTGAGTTTGTGATATCCTTCATGTTAGTGCACTGTTCTGCGGGCATATTATCCTGAAATACGATTGTATAAGTAACATGATCATTAAGTACCTCATCTAAAGAGAATCAAAGTTACATACGCCTCGTATGACCTCAGACACAGCCCCATACAGCCATTTGTGCTTAGTCCCGTTTTCAGCAATACTAATGAGACTCAGTTGTATATACAGACTAATAAGGGTTAGGTTTGGGACTAAACGCTTGTTGTATGCTTTACTGTCCTCATGCGTTTAAGCCTGCGCGACCGGCGCCTCATTTTTTTGCGTTTTCAGGCGAACGCAAAGAGAGCGCATGAAGAGAGCAAGGATTGAGACTAGCGCGAAGAGAGGAGCGTAACGCGCCCCACGCGCTAACCTTGTGTTTGCCTCGGCCTAACGATGTGCCTGTCGCGCAGGCTATAAGCGTTTGCATCCGAAAGAAATAAAAAAACTGTTAAATTCAAGCACTAAGAGGTTAACAACAAGAAAATTGGGGAATCTCCCCAGAGCTCAGAACACTACCCTTCTGAATAATATATATATATAAAGATAAGAGCACTCATTTAAAAACATTGTGGGGCAAGCGTGGCCAAAATACAGAACCGCTCGCGTTTATGTTAACAGCGCAACCAAAATTTCATACGCTAAGACACAGGCTAGTCTGACACGTATATTCGATTTTTTAGCACGCACGGTCGAAAACAAATACGCAAGTCATTTGCTTTTGTTATTCAGTACTATAAGTTTCCTTTGTATTGGCGTAGACGAAGGGTGCAAAACTTGTGACAACTTTCTGTCTACCGTCTTAGCTTTCTTGCAAAAGTGGAGAATTTTAAACCCATTTCAATCTATTCTTACCAAAGTTTTCATATCTTCTTCGCTGATAGTGAAGTCAAATATGTCTCCATTTTCTAAAATTCTCTCTTGTTTACTGGACTTGGGAATGGTGATGTAATTTTTCTGCACGCTCCACCGGATGAGGACTTGTGGAATAGTTTTATTGTACCTAAAAGAGGCAGAGAGATTATTTGAAAATGAAATCTGATATAAATTTCCAGACCAGTACACGCTTTATGTCGTAAACAATTTGATCGTACTATCTTGAGCCTTAACTTAGGCTGTACTCCTGGGGAGGCATTGCGGGACACGCAAGGAACATTGAAAGCTTGAAATTTGAGTACGAGTAACCTATCAAAAAATTCCTATTTTAGGTAAAGATTTTAAAAAATTGAGGAATTGATTATAGCGGTAGCGAGCACACCCATGCCAGCCTTTATACACATTTGGCTTTATCCGCTGTTGGCGTCTTAGGATAAGTTGTTAGTTCCTTTCGTCCTAACACGTCAGCAATATTTTTTTCCAATTATTGACCCCTTTGACCCCCAAGAGTAAGTATCATCTAATTCCTCCTTATAATATCACCCCTGAATCACACGTTAAGGTCACAAGAGTGAAGGAAATGATCACCAACTAAAGAAGCTCTCGATTGCTAAACAAATTCTCCTTGTCAACACACTAGGAAGTGTATGGAGAACAGTTTGGAGAATACACATACTGATGTAAGGGTGTACAAGATTAAGGGATGCTAAATAACAAAAACCCTGCAAATGGTCATATTCCTAATTTTTTACCAACTGCAGCTTGCAAAACTGTTTTTTATTGGGCACCCAGTGCAATGGAGGTGACGGAAAGTGAAAAGATCCAATGGATCTGCATGTAGAGGTACTTTTATACTCACCTACTTGCCATTTCGATTAAAACTGGATCATTGTTTTTCCTGCCACGAAACAATGGACAGTAACCCATTGGTGCAATGCCTTTTTCAAGACAGTGGTTGACAATGTCATCTAATCGCCAAAAAGGATTAAGCTCGATTTGATTGACAGCTGGTATCGGGAGACCTGCCTTTTCCATCTCTTTAAGATGATTCACACCAAAGTTGGACACTCCAGCAGACCTTGATGAAAGGAAGAAACATTATTTGGAATAAACTGAAGAAATAATAATGAGATAAATGAGAAGGCGAGTGAATAAGTCAATACGTAAGTAAAAGAAAGAACGAAAAGACATATTAAATGAAACGACAAGACAAAGAATTCAAGGTTAAGTAATGAATCAACACGAAGGAAAATGATTATTAGAACGAGTGAAACAATAAGAGAACAAAGGGAAGAAAGAACCAGCAAACATTTTTACGCCACAATTAACATCATTTGAAATCCCCATTATGGTAATAAATGGCGAAGCCACGTACGTCGTCGAGAGGAGCAAGTGATGTGTAACAATAGAATTCCGATCTTGACCCAATTTTGACCCGAGTTTCCCGGTGCTACTTATCATTTGTTTCGGAGTATCTTAGTAGTTCGACATTCGCACTCAACACATAGTTGAGTTCTCTCCTTTTGTGATTTCTGGCTTTTAGCCACTAGTGCATTATGGCTTTAGTTCTTACCGTGACACCAAGTGAGACGTAAACATCTCGCAATCATTTCAGGATTGCTTGCTATAACAACAAAATTTTTCCTTGCTGAAATATCTTGATAGGTGTGATCGGCGCATGGTGAAACTTAAAGGGAAACTTTTTTATATGAAGAGAAAGCATTTTATCAGCGACTTATGCCGAAAAGAGCCACCAAATTTGCGAAGCGAGCAAGCAGCGAGAAACGATACCTTGAAATATCGAAATATCAGAAGACGTGAAATGACGGAATATCCTAAACGCCGAATTTGTTGTATAAAACAAAATTCTCAGGAATGGAAATGGATCACATATGCTTGGAATAGAATAAATAATTTCTTATTTTATAATTAACAGGCGAAATGAAAAGAAGCATAGGTAATCATTGTTGGAATCCCGAAGATAGAGGAGCCATGAGGCTTTCGAGTAGGGCTCCTATAAATTACTAATATATTACTATTGATATCATTATTATTGTTGTTAATATCATAATTTGTTACCATTTAACTATTAGTTGAATGTCAGTGATATAATATATTCTAAAATCATCTCTCTCTTGTGGAACAGGGTACTCATAAATATGCGGGATGAGGCAGGTTTTCTGTTTTGCATGTAAGACAAATATTCTGCAACACTACCATCTAGCATTATTATACAACCTCTGGTTATTTTCTACTTTTTGTCCAGTAGGTGAGACAGCACTACTTGCTGACTCACTGTCCAAAGGTCACCTGTAATGTACTGCAAGTACATTTAATTGCAAGACATAAATGACTTACTATCAAATTCACACAAAAGACTTCATACAAAAATTCTAAAGTTATTTGTCAATCAAAGCTTCCACATCCCCTTTGGGGCAACCAACTGGGCATTTAATTTTTTGAAGATTGGTGCATTCAAACTCTTGCCCCTACCCTCCCCATTAGCCAAAGTTGCATTCAAATGTTGTATTCAAGCACAATTTTTTGATGAATGAATCTTTGTATGATCACAAATGTTGTAAAATCTAGGGAAGCCACATATTAGTTTTGGCACTGCAGAATAGGGTCTTTTGCTTGTAAGCATCATTCAAATTTCTTCTTATCCATTTGTGCACAGAAACAGACTCTTTACCTTTTAACTCCTCTATATTTAAAACATATTCATTCTGCTGGTTCAAATTTCCCACCGCACCCAGGCATGGTTCAAATTCCCCACCCCCAGGGCAGTGGACTTAAACACTCACATGCCCACAGGTAGCCCAGAAAGGGGAAGGGAGAGGGGAATGAAGCTTGATGCACAACTTTGTGACATAGGAGAGCCTGCTAAAGTTCTTGTTTGACAGACAAAAAAAAAAGTATTACATATAGAAATATTCCTGTCACTCTTCATATAATAGCATATAACTGATCACCTTAAAACACCTTCTTCCTGAAGCTTTAGCATGGCCTTATATGAGTCGACATTGCCCCCAGGGCTGGGTGAATGAATAAGATACAAATCAATGTAGCCAGTGTCAAGCCTGCAAAAAAAGTTCAATAAAATCAGAAGTCACAATCACTTTGGCAATATTGAGTCTGACAATTTTCTACTCTTCTACTCCCAAGATCTTATTAGTAATTCTCCTTACCATCTGCTATACAATTCTTATGATGTCAGTTCAAAGAATTTGGTACTGGATGAACAGATAATCATGTGAAAGTTCCCACTCAAGCAAGCCAAACCATTTGACTATTTACAAAGCTCAGGAGGACTCATGGAAAGTTTTTCAAAACCAAACTTGCCAGCCTCCATCTATTTTCATTATTCTTTATTCATATAAAGAATTTTCCCACTTACAAAAAATTACCACAAGAGGAAGAACCCTCCCCTTACAAGTGATTAACATCTAATTTCTCCTTACAATATCAACTTTTAATCAAACATTATGGTCACCAGCTAAAGCAGTTCTTCATTGCCAAATAAATTGTCCTTACTTACTTTTTCAGGCTTGTGTTAAAAGCCTTTAAACATTCTTCATATCCATGGTCAGCATTCCAGAGTTTTGTCACCACAAAGATATCTTCTCTCTTCACTCCAGACTCTTTGATTGCTTGTCCAACTTCAGCTTCATTACTAATGGAATATTTCAAGATTTCTCTTTGTTACAAGTACTCTTTTAAACTGAGAACACTTAACCTACACTGTCAGTAAAATATGAACCCTGAATTAGTCCCATGGAAAAGAATGAAGACTGCTGGGTTGAGAACTTCTGTGGGATGCAGTTGGAAAGATGCACCACTCCCATCTGAAAAATCACATGAAGCACAGTGCATGCAATGAATGAGTTGCCAGGAACCGGATCCTTGTGTTTACACACAGATTTTTGGGATCGCCATGGGGCAAACAATGCAACTCACTAGAAGGAAATGTATGGTGAACAGTTGTTCCAACATCCAAAAAAATGATTTTTCACTTTTTCAGTGCTCTTTTATCAGAAATGGATTTGACTAAATCTGATACTAGGAAGGCGTAAGTTTTTGTTTAAAAAACCATGTAATATGTAGTAAAATCTACCAATTAACTTGTCTCCATGCACAAGGTCTATTATGAATTTGACATCATGTAATGGTCTTGACATTTTGAAAACATAACTTCAAATCCCCAAGGAATAACTCAACTAAGCCATTCCAGTTTTTTGAACGTGTGCTAAGTCTACTTCTAGCATTTTTCATGGCTTGGTATACAAAAGAGCATTAGAAGAGCTAACTTAAGGCAGCAGGAGATTGAAATGGCATGCTTGATCACTAAATATTGCAGTATGTACATTAAAGTGCCAAATCACCTACACTGCTTCTTTGTTGTGATGAATGTGAACGAATCAGTGTTAATACTCAGCTCAAAACTGAACCCTCTCTTTTGTGATGATGAGTGATACAAATTGGTCCCTCAAGGAGTGATGCACAACCGATGATATGTCCACAGTTTCTGCCGGAATTCCCGTGATCTTGCTTTTCCTGACAAGATCCTTCAAGGAGTTTGAGAAGAAAAGTTGCAGCTCAAAGACCTTAGGATTTTTCTCAAACAAACCATCACTTGAACAGGGGATTTCCTCATGTTTTTCATCACTTATTTCATCCTTTCAGAAAGCAACAGCTTGGTAAAAATAATTTCCATTTCCATGGACAATGACTTCTCTCTTTAAAGGAGGTATATTTTCAAACGTCATAATTTGTTCATTAAATACGTTAAAAAGCATGAAAACAGGCTGTGCATATATAAATACAACTGAAAAGACTTAAATGAGTTATTTCCTAACGATTTCTGGCTAACTTTGTAATATTTCGAGACCATTACACAATGACAATTTCACAACAGACCTTGCGCAAGAAGAGACGTTTTTCAGTATTTTTTCAAGTCATGAAATTTCCATTATCACCACTTGGAAACATGTAAATTCGTTTCTGTCACTTTAATTCTTTCTATCGTCGATTTTGCACATAGCAAGCTGTTACCATTTAATCGTTTTAAGTCAAACCACACAAATCACGTCAATCACGAAAGTGTGCGTTCGATGAGGAAAGTTCCAATAAACTTTGGAGTTGAAACGATTCATCGGTGACACGTGTGACACGCGCTCTACGCTCTGCTGAGGTCATCGACGCAAGTGCCATGGGGAGGAACAGAATTAGAAAAATGGCAAGCTTCAGCGTACTAAAGCCACAATGCAGTGGGTATGAAGTACATATATACCCTCCGCGTCTTACGCGACATGATACAGAGAGCTGACTGAATAAATCACCTCACCATACATTTACCGTATGTAAAAAGCGAAAAGTGTATTTTCCCAGTTGTGCGTCTGTTTCATAATCAGTGGAGAAGCTTCCCCGTTCGTATAAATCATCTCACTATACATTTACCGTATGTACCAAGGATGTAAATAAGTAAAAATCACTACATGGTCCGGCAAAGCAAACTTACTCGTAATAAGTTGCTGTATCGATCAAGCGGTATCCATTCTGCAGAGCAAACTTCACTGCATTACGGCAATCGTCGCCATTCGCGTTGTAAACACCGAGGCCGAACAAAGGCATTTGGTAGCCATCATTCAACGTTACTTTCGCTTGAATTCCCTTCCCCTCTACATTCATCGTCAAAAACCTCACAGGTGCTTGGAATAGGCGTGCCAAGTAAAGTTGTCGCATTCGAGTGAAAAAATTAGGCAATGAACACAGCGAAATCTGTCAGGCTGCTTTAAGATCTTCATTCGACAGGAGTACTGGGTTCTAGTTGCAGACGATATACTCCAGCAGAAGGCCTGGATTTAGTCGTTTTCTGACGCTGTCACCTCCATGTTCCTGTAAAAACAGCTGTCTTTCATTAAAAAAAATACAAAGTGCAGCAGTTTGTTAAGTACCAATCAGAGGTCTAAAGAGGAAAAGCTCGTAAAAAATCAAGTTACTTCCGATTTCCTTCAAATTTGGCGCCAAGATTTAGCCATTCATTGAGCGAAATTCGGGCTGTGTACACGTGTACATCGGTCCTTCTATGATGTCATTCTGATGGACATTGTTAAAATAAATATTCCTGGTAGCGACCTATTTGGTAAATTACTTCTCAGGGAAATTGCCAGCTGAACTTGCGTCCGTAATTTAGTTCTTTTCATACGATAATTTTCCCCGCCCCGTTGCCACTTGTTCAAACCTAACACCAACATTACTTGGATACGGCAGAAATTTTAATTAGCCTTTCCCTTTTACTTCGTACATTGCTCTGCCGTAATTAATTAAGAAAATTATTTTTAACTTTGAGGCTGTGAGATTAATCTCGCGAACATATTTCGATCGAAGCACTCAAGATGGATCGCGTTGCCAAGGAATTCAAGCAATGGGATCTCGTGGCATTTTCTTTGATTACTTGACGTCCGTTTTCGCGATAATTTTGCTTTTTTCATTTAGCAAAGTTTTAATCGCAAATTAAACTAGACGTTATTGAAGCGTTAGCTCGAGCTTTCTCAGGGATTTGTTGAGTAATAAATAGCCGATTTTACATGCGAGGTCGTATATTATAACTAGTGTGCGTAACTGGCGGTTTTGATGGGGAGCTTTTCAACAAGTTGCGAAGCCGCAAAGGAAAGGAAAGACAAAAGGAAACAATAAAACGGACACCTATGGATGACCCTTGTCCATAATTTCAGATTAGAACAGATTTTATCGATTTTTGATGGACGTTTAGGGAAGCCTGTATTTCGATATTCCGATAATTTTGGGAAACAATGGTAGGGGCTCATAAGATCCGAGAGAGAGAGTTGCTTGTTGACTATATGTTCATAACTTCTGAACACTGCAACTATGCTCTTAGGCTTCGGTTAAAGAACGATTTGAGTACAGTTTTTAGAAAACAAAAGGAGGCAACCAAATCATCAGTGGCTTCTCCGAGTAATAAGACCGATGATGACAAATATAATTTTTTAATTTTCTATGATTTCGCAACATTCTCGACGATCGTCTTAAAAACTTAGAAAGTTTCTGGTTTGGAAATATTGATTTTCGGGCAAACTTAGGCGTTTTCTGTCTTCTCTCGTCTCCGGTTTTCTTCAACGTTCTCCAAGCCAATCTTTGCTTAGTTTCACAGTAATGACAGACAAAATCAAATATGAAAGAAAAAATTTGATTATTTTCAGACACACTCATCACCCATTACTAAACTTCAATCTGTGTTGTACTATGTACCCTTCACGTTTTGGACCAGAAAATAGAAGCAGTGTTCTTACGAAATAAGTAAACAGTGGAGTTTAATTAAGTGGTTTAATTTTCATCTCAGCTCGTTTGGCGGAGTAACTAGCGCCTTTCCATTTGTCCCAGTTTACGCCTTCCCATGAAGTAGAGTGTGGGCCGTGTAGGTAAAGACCATTGAGATTGGAATTCAAACAGGCCTTGTACCACCAGGCTCCTTGGCAACGTGTGGCACAGTTGGTGCTACCATTCTGGTCGTTGTCTCGCTCTTTGGTGGAAAATGCTGAGCCTCTGTGATAAGAAAATGAGTCACCAGCAGTTCCTTTGAAGAAACACAAAAATATGGAACATAAAGCTTTTTCACCAGAATCAGAGAGAAAAAATGTTACATATTACTGGAATGGAACTTAACCTCATCGAACAGCACTTTTTTGAAAAATGATGTTTGATTCTCCATTAGGTAAGATTAAGGAATACAACAATTTGGTCGGGAAATTGCAAAAAAGGTAAACGCCAAAAAGCTTGGTTGCGAAAAACTTAATACCCAAATGGCTTTTATGAAATTGTACAGATGTAACTATGCAATAATGTAATGGTCCCTTGGAGTGACAAATATCTCGTTTTATTTGGCCAAATTATCGACCGTCCTTTACCGCTGGACAAATAAATGCAACACTAATCAGGTGTCGTACTGAGGGATGGAAATTGTAGCAAGAGAATCCTCATCTGAGAGATATGTTAGAAAGTACTGGCCACATACCAGAGTATGATCCAAGACTCAGTCTGTATTTGCTTCTCTCGCTGGCAACACCAAAGAAGTCGTACTCGGCATACGCAGTATTTCCGTTGATATCTTCAAGGTCTACGTGAAGTCTACATCTTTCTTTTGTCAGCCTATGTATCTTGTCCAGTCCGAGCCAAAACTCACCGTTTAAATTTCCAAAGCCTCGTTTGTAGTCGTTCCATCCGCGGTAAAAATCAACCGAGCCGTCCAGTCTCTTTTGGAACACTGTCCATCCTCCACCGGCTGTCTTTTGGTCGCAAAAGACCTCGAAGGCACCGGAATTGTCAGGATCGATTGTATAAACACCGCTGACTCGCTTTCCAGCTTTGTAGAGTTCAGCGCAGTTCCTAAAGACTGAAATAAAGGATAAATTTGACTGCCAGTCTCAAGCTAAATTTGATGTATTCCAGAGAAAAAGAGATAATCACTACGATATGGAATAAATGACTGATTTCCGTTGTACCTTACATCCCCTTTTTCTCGCTATTCGAATATAGTCATATCGAGGAAAACTGTTTTTCATACCAGAATAACAGTGAAACCTTCGTAATGGGAGATCTTTGCCAAAATAAACTGTAGAAATCAACCCAAATTTTGCAGATAATTTTTTGAAATATTGAAATGCAACCATGATCAGCAATTTGAAATTTACCTTCTACACTTGTTCTATTTCCCTTCAGATGGCTGATATCCTTTTGTATCTCTTTGAGCTCCTTCTTAATCTCATGAAGTAATGTTTCGACTTTCTTGTTCGGTCCTGCATAGAAATTGTTGGAGTTGTATACATTTTGACATTTTTCCCTCAAAGGAGAAACTTGTGATAAGTTAGCATTTGCCATTGTTTCATCTCGGATGGTTGTAATGAAAGCAAAAAGCAGAACAATCCAGGAAGACTCAGTGCGAGCCATGATCAGCCGGTGTTGAAGCTTCAGTTAGCCGTGGCAAAAGCCTCTAGCGATACTTTGACTGTCAACTAGATACACCCTTCATTCTTAAATACTTAAGGGCACTGGAGCCTATGGGAAACTCTCTCAGAAACCCGAAAACCAGAATTTCCGTCAAAAGCGAAAAACCCGAATGAGAGCCTTCAGAACTGAAAGCCTCAAATAATGGTAAATCAACCCAAGCTAAATTAAAGGGAAATAAGAACTTGAAGCACGAAGGAAGGGCTCTAGAGCCTATCGGGAAACCCTATCGGAAACCCCATTGGAAACCTGAAAACCAAAATTTCCGTCAAAACCGAAAAACCGGAACGAGAGCCTTCAGAACTGAAAGCCTCAAATAATGACAAATCAACCCGAGCTAAATTAAAGGGAAATAAGAACTTGAGGAACGAAAGAACCAAAAATAACCTGAAGAGGGCCTTCATCTGTTTTAATCCATCAAATGCCAAAAAAAGAAAACCCCCAACCACAATGAATAAAAATTGGAATACGTGACCAAAACTGGAAGAAACCTAATTTATTCAGACGACATGTTTCAGACTGAAGATTTTTGCCAAAGACAGGTTTCAGACATCGTATGAAGTAATGAGCTTAACTGAAAGCACGTAAAGGGAAACAATAATGCTTTCTATAATTTCAGATAGGAACCGATTTTAGCAGTCTTTAATGGACTTTTAAGGCAGCCTGTCTTTCGATGTTCCATTAATTTTGGGAAGCAATTGTGGGGGCTCATTCAATCCGAGAGAGAGAGAGAGAGAGAGAGAGAGAGAAAGAGAGAGAAAAGAAAGAGAGTTTTTGTTGACTATATTCAACTTCTGAGCTCAGCAATCATACTCTTAGGCCTCGTTCAAATTACGATTTGAGTACAGTTCCTAGAAAACAAATTGAGCCAATTAAATCATTAGTGGCCTCTCCGAGTACTAAGATCGATGATGACAAATAAAATATTTCAATTTTCTATGATTTTTCAACATTCATGACGAACGTCTTCAGAGAGGCTTCCTTGGTTTTCTTCAACGTTCTTCAGGCCAATCTCTATGTTCAGTTTCACAATAATGACAGACAGAAAAGAGATAAAAGCAAAAATCATTATTATTTACAGACACTCGTAAAATTTTGAAATAAAATACATCCATCACCCATTACTAAGCTTCAATCTGTGATGTACTTCGTACCCTTCCTACGTTTTAGAAACCAGAAAACAGAGACAGTGCTGTTACGAAATAAGTAAACAATGGAGTTAAATTGACTGGTTTGATTTTCATCTCAGCTCGTTTGCCGGAGTAACTATGACCTTTCCATTTGTATCAGTTCACGCCTCCCATGCAGTAGAGTGTGGTGCGTGTAGGTAAAAACCATTGAGATTACAGAGAAGACATTTGTGTACCACCAGGCTTCTTTGCAATGCGGGGCACAAGAGCTACCACCATCCTGGTCGTTGTCTCAATCTTTGATGGAAAAAGCGGAGCCTTTGTGATAGGAAAATGAGTCTCCAGCAGTTCCTCCAGAGTCAAGCAAAAATAAGGAAATAAAAAGTTAAGGCTCAGAAAGCAAAGAGATTTAAAATGTATGTAGTTTAAAATGGATTGAGTTTCTTTCTCTCATCTTCCTCGACCACATGTAGACTACATGTGTAGCATTAATGCCAACTGAAAAAGCACAAATCACAAACCAGTATATATTCCAAGACTCAGTCTGTATTTACTTCTTTCGCTGGCAACACCAAAGAAGTTGTACTCGGCATATGTTTTCTTTCCGTCATTATCTTCAGGGTCCACGTGAAGTCTGCTTCGTTCTTTTGCCAGTCGACGTGTCTTGTCGAATCCGGCCGGGTCAAAATTTCCATAGCCTCGTTTGTAGTCGTCTCATCCGCGGTAGAAATCGACAGAGCCGTTCAGTCTCTTTTGAAACACTGTCCAACCTCTACTGCCTGTTTTTTGGATCTAAAATACATCGAATGCACCGGCATTGTCAGGATCGATTGTATAAACACTGCTGACTCACTTTCCAGCTTTGTAGAGTGCAGTACAGTTCAGTCTTGTAGACTAAAGATGAAAGGCAAGGATATTACAAAAAAAAAACAACCTAAAAAACGCTTATTAGTGACACTTTGTAGCTTCGAAAGCTTTTTAATTATGAATACAGAAGGTAAAAGATGTTTACCAATTTCCCAGTCAGTATGATCACTCATCCTGTTCGAAATTGAATACGCCAGAAGTAACAGAATCTTTGTACGTGAAACTGTAGGTGAATAAACTTAATTCGTCACCTTGCATCTTCAATTTTGTAATTATTTTTCTTTCATTAACAATACTTTATACGTATCGTTAGAAAGCTAAGCTAAGAAACCAACCTTTGACACTTGTGTTGTTTTCATTCAAAGATCTTACATCCTCTCGAATCTCCGTCGTCAGCTCCTTCTTGACTTCATGAAGCAAAGTCTCGATCTTCTTGTTCAGTCCTGTGTAAAAGTTGTTGTATACAACAAGTATACATGTTATGACATTTTTCTTTAGAAAAGAAATTCGAAATTTGGTATAATTTGGGCTCTGGCGAGTTTGTTGAGGTAGAGTTGCTGGCCAGAGATAAGAAAAGTAAAAACAGATATCATTGACCTCCATGGTAACACGAAGGGGGCTATTATTAGAATTGGAGCTTTGTAATAAGTTCCAGCCTAAAATAAAAGTCCAAACAAAATCGCGCTCTTAGATCAACCACCAGCTTATCTGACTAAAACTGATAGAAGAGCAGTTCTTTTTTTAACTACACTTTGTTTCATGTATAAATCGATCAATGTTTTTCTTGCGACCATTTTAAGCCAATTATGTGCCCTATAAGCAAATTTTTTTCGTTTGTTTTATTTTTTTCAAAATTTGGTTGGTTAAAATTCATTTATTTCTTTGCGGTCGTTTTCTACTTTCGTTCAATATCTCTTAGTATTTTACTCTCGTCAATAATATTGACACGAGTGAATAGTATCTAGGAGTGATTAAAATAAAAGAGAGTATAAGCGTCAAAGAATGGAAGAGAAAACAAACTAAAATGAAAGAAAAATAAAAACCCTGAAGCTACTATTTCTCCCCATGTTGTCACTGATCTAATTAATCATTCTGCATGACCATTTTCGTCTTATCTCTCTCAACTTCGAGCCTTTGAATCGACGGAGTACTTATTTGAGTGTTGTGAAACTTAAAATGAAAACCCTACCTTGGTGGACGTATCTCTTTAGAGACTTGATCAACAATGTTCATGTATGCCAGGACAGTTCATTGTCGCTTGTATGAAATTGCCCGCGGTAGACTTGTTTATCTTGACAACTTGGCTGGTGGAATTTCAAGAATATCTGATTCTTGGTTCAAAGGTAAAAAGGTGTGACGCAACAGTGAAATAAATTATGCTATCTGATAAAGGTTTTTCTCGATCCAGGCCCCTGGTGGAACACTGTGAACCTCGTCAGCGCTCCCCCTTTTCATTCGATTTTTTTCCTTTGCAATGGAGTAACCTTGAGTTTCTATCCGTCATGTCACTCTGATGGCTAAGTAGGTAAATTACATGTAACAGGGAAATTTAGTATCAACAACTGAGTTGATTAAATTGGCCACCGTAAAGGGTTTAAAAGCTGTCGTTGCGAGCATCAGCCCTTCGTCAGAGCGATTGACGAAGGGCTAACGCTCGAAACGTCAGCTTTTAAACTCTTTACGGTGGCCAATTTACGTTATCAATGCAGTTCATAATACTAAATTGTCCTGTTATACTCTCCCACCGACGCAGCACCACAGTTTCTTTAGAAACTTACCCCTTACTAAATGACATGTACACACTTCTTCAAAGCATTTTGCCAAACAAGAGTGTGAAAACGCGTTTAACTTTGGAACTTATGCCCTGTTCACACCAATTTAAACAAGTTTCATTAAACGTAGTTTTTTTAAACATGGTTTTATAAAACATGTGTTGCTCAAGAACCGTTCACACTGCAGACTGGGTTAGGTATTACGCAGCCTCGTTTTGATATTAATTGTTGCCAACAAAATTAAAGACGCAATCAAAATGGCGCTCAATTTAAATCACAATATCCTGCTGTTGTTGGCGCAGTCACGGCTGAGGGAAAACCTCAGAATTACACAAAACCGACAGAGAAACGCAGAGAGACGGTTTAATCGCTATGTCCGTCGGAGACGTCTCGTTTCATCATTGTTTTTTCGTTTTTTGCTTCGATTTCTTCTCCAACATCTTCCTGTTCGCCGTATTTGGCTAAAACCCCGGTCGCAGATATTTTGGGAAGAGACTTGCCAAGATTGGGAAGAAAAGGACTGGAATGAGAATTTTCGCATGTCTAAAGAAGCATTTAATCGCCTTTGCCGAGAACTTTCGCCACATATCTCTAAAAGGGACACCAATTACAGGAAAGCCATTACAGTGCGTCATCGAGTTGCCATAACATTATATTGGCTTGCGGACACGGCTCACTTTCGAACGATCGGAAATCTATTTGGTGTCGGAAAATCCACTGTTTGTGGTATTGTGCGACAGGTATGCGAGGTGATAGTGAACGTTCTTCTTCCCAATTATATAAACGTTCCCCAAAATCAACATGAAGTCCAAGAAAAAATTGAAGGTTTTAAAAGTCGCGCGGGTTTTCCCCAGGTGGTTGCAGCAGTCGATGGTTGCCATGTCCCAGTCATTGGACCTCGGCAAAGTCCAGATGATTATGTTAACAGGAAGGGATTCCACTCATTAATCCTTCAGGGGCTAGTAGATTGTAATTATCTATTTCTAGATATATGTGTTGGATGGCCGGGTAAAGTACACGACGCACGTGTCTTCAAGAACTCTTCATTGTTTGCCATGTGTTGTGCCAGAGCTTTTCTTCCGCTCGACATGTCGGTGATGATATCTGGTGTACAAGTTCCTCCCCTGATATTAGGTGACTCAGCTTATGCTCTCAGCAATTGGCTGATGAAACCATATATTGATCGTGGAAATCTGACCCCGGAGGAACGCAGTTTCAACATAAAACACAGCACGACTAGAGTAGTTGTTGAAAATGCCTTTGGTCAATTGAAGGGAAGGTTCAGAAGCATTGGAAAGAGACTGGACTTAAAAGTTGAGAATGCCTGCAATGTCATCGCAGCGTGTTGTGTTTTACATAATTATTGTGAGATGCGAAACGAGTCTTTTGATGACCAATGGCTCAATGATATTCACATTCATGCTGGAGTTTGTCCAGGTGATCCAAACCAAAAGGCAGAACACAAATGCTGTTGCAATAAGTGATGCAATTAAAAGATTCTTAATATAAATATTCATTGTCACATGCATCACTTGAACATGAGTGTTCAACATAAGCATCTCTCACAAGCAAATAATCCATCAAAGAGTTTGCATCTCTAGCTCAAAAAAAGTCGTTTATATGAATACTTTCTCCCTTTAAGGTTTATTGTATACAGTGCAAATAGTTTCATAAATAATGGAAGAGTCAAGATCTTTTGAAGGACACTCCTCTAAGAGGGTCAAGCAGTGTTCCATTTGTAATTACAGTTGTATAAATGAGATTTGAAAAGTAAATTGTCAATTGTGTAAATTAAAATTACTGATGGCAAACTTTGATTGTCTGTGGTATTCTTTGAAACCCTCACATTTTTTTTGAACATTTCAAAACCTGGACACCATCTGAGAACAGTTAAAGATGCATTCATTGCAAGTTTGCCATTTCACATGTGAAATAAACATATTAGCACTGAAATTATGCTAAAAAATTAGGGAGTAGTTTGAAACCTATGGTGTGACATAAGCTAATTTAGCCATGCATACTACATGTTCACATAAAATACTAATTTGAGTGCAAGACTTGCATCTTCCTCTCTGAGTATTAGATGTAGGCATAAAGAAGGAGGGGGGACAATCTCAGCTTTTCGATCAAAGTGTTCAGTTCGAATAGCAAGGAGATCTACTCACTCAGTGACATGGCCTCAGCTGGCATTAATGTCAGCAATACTAATTTAATTCATTAACTTTTTGCTCTTGTTCCATTGCAAGTGACTGTGTAATTATACACCAGACTTTTTTGGTTAGTCCCTTACAAGAAAGAATAATTAAGCAAACAAACACAGAGCTCTCTGTTGTAAATTTGTCAAGGAGACTTAAAAGACATCATTCATATGACCCTCTCTCTCTGAACAACTGATGGAACCTCAGAAACAAATTTCATCATTTTAAAGGTGGATCAAAACTTTATTTCAAATATTAAATCAATTTTTCCAAAAGATCCTAACCACTGTGCACAAAAATATTCATTTATTTCATTAATTTTCCGCAGCATTTTTTAAATACTCTGGGCCAGGTCGTTCAAAGGTGGCTTAAGTTAACCCAGGGTTAGTGTGAAATTTGATTTCAAATATGAAAATTTAAAAAGATATCCATTTTCTTTTTTTTTTGTCTACAATTTGATGATTAGATGGTCTAAAAGGAATAGGGAAAATTATCCCAAAAAAGACTCCTGAATAAAGAAATAAAGAAGCTGAATCAAAATTTAACCCTGGGTTAGTGTTAATCGGCCTCTGAACAACTAGGCTCTGCCGGAAAATTGAAAATACCACTTAAAGGAAAAAAACGATTTTTATTTTCTCAAAGAAAAAAAAAGCATATTCAATTGAAGACAACTGTAGAAGACAATTAGTTCAAGTAAAGAAAAGTTAACCAGAGCATGTCAACATCAATGATCTAAGCGTTAAGTTCAATATAGTTTTCTTTTTTTTCTTGCTCCTTCTCCAACGACTGGGAATCGGCCATTAGATTTCGTGAAACATCGTTCAACTTACAGCATAAATAAAGCCGAAAACTAAACCAACTGAAACTGTCGCAGGTACGATCGCAAATTAAATTGTTGAAGACACGTACTTTTTATTTTCGAAGTACCTGCGCCAATTTCAGCAGAAACTCCTGGTCTTCCTTCCTTCTTCTCTCCTCCCTTTCTATTTCTCGTCTTTCACGAGCCTCCTCTGCGGCAAGAAAACTCCTATCAGCAGCTTGTTGATAGGAAACAAATGCCTCCAACGCCTTGTCAATTTGTGTTAAGGCATCCGTCGTTGACACCTTCCGCTTCTTCGTAGCGGGTTTGAAAAATGGCTTGCCAGCATCTGTTGTTCTTTCTGTAAAGGAATACAAGAAATCTTTAAAGGCAGAAGTTAAAGTTTGAGCCAATACTTATGTCAATATTTTTGTTCAACTCCACTCATCTTGGAAGTAAAATTATCAAGAAATTTTGTTAGAGATTACAGACAACGTAGGCGCCGATATTGAAACATTTTCGTGGCCTATTGTCTGACCCTCCAATCAGCGAAAGTTTTCAAAGCTCACCTGTCAAACATTCACCCTTGTTTGGTTGAGGAAATTTGCCGGCTGTTTTGTTGTTGCTGCCGACGCTGGTGCCGCCGCTGAGGGAAGGCAACTCTTCGTTTGGTTCATCGTTCTCGATTTTTTCATTGTCTTCTTCTTCGTTGTCCGCCTCAATGATAATTTTTGAAGAATTTACCACAACCTTCGGTTTGGTACATGGTTTTTTTGAGAGAAATTCATCGACTTCGTCGAAAAACGCCGGCCTCCTCTTTGGAGTCCCGTTTCCGGTCTTCTCACATTCGTCTTTGTAGGAGCGATACGCACTTACTCATGTGTGTACTCTTGTTTTGCAGGCATCTTCATCACGGTCTTCGTAGCCTGCCGCTCGAATAAAATCACTTATTTCTTGCCATATAGGCCTCTTTCTGGTACAAGATATTAACTTCATTTGTATATTTTCGTCCCCCCACTTCTGTAGTAACAATAACGTTTCCTGGTTTTCCCAAATCCTTCCGCGGGTTTTTTTGAACCGCCATCTTTAATGTGTTTAGCTAAACACGAAAGTTAAACAACCTCATTTAGGTAGTTTTATTAAACACGGTTTTAAACATGTTTGGCTACACGCGCCCGCGGTGTGAACAGGTAGTTTAATAAAACCAGTTTAGTAAAACAAGATTTAAACATGTTTAAGCTTTGGTGTGAACGGGGTATTAAACTAAGCTTAACTTCCATTGCTGAAAAGCAATTTCCTTCGGTGGAATTCCAATTTCCTACGTATTCACCACAACGAGTTGTGTGAGGGAGGGCCAAAATATTATTATTATTATTAAGATTATATTCCCAAAATAAATGGTTGTGATTTAAATTACGTGAAGAATAGCATGTTCAACAACACTATGATAATTGTCAACTTAGGTGCCTGCCTAATATTTGAACACTTGCGAGGAACTAGGCTTGATGAAGATTAGCTATTTTGGAGACTTTCCTAAGAAGTGACAAGTAAATCCTACTTGCAGGAGGGAGTAACCACAGGCAGTCGGAGGGCAGCATTCCCTGATTTTCACTTATCTTATCCAGAAATCTTATCTCTGTGGGCAGACCTAAGCCCATTATCTATCTGTGGGAGATTCAGTGTCGCACATATTTGGTCCCGGTCGTTTTAATAATGCAGAACAACGCTACAAAATTATTTCGAGTTAAGAGGAAGAAAAAACACACTGACACCCAGAAGATCGCAAGTTGAAACGGTTAATCTTGGTTTTAGTTGCACATTTTCACGTGCTCCCTCATGGAACAAATTGGAAAAAAGAACTGTGCATGAGAGTTGCAACAACTGATTGGTCTTCGAAATACTTTCTAATAGTCTCATTTTATCAAAACTGGAAAAATTTAATAATAGATTAAAAGCATAAATGTGTAATAGACATCCCACAGTGAAAAAAGTCCCCAGAGAAGCTTCAACTGAGGGCGAAAAAAAAAAAAATTAAATCAAAAGAGAAAAACAGTAAAAACTCCTAAGGCTTTTAAGACTGTTTGATTGTCACTGATCTGCAACAATGAATGATCCGGTAAAACTCTTGATAGCACATCCAGAGAGAATCAAGTTTGTTTTAGAATTTCTGTAACTATGCCGAAGGAGGTCAAGCTTCCAAAATAAGCCAAAACAATCAAATCCCTTCTTGTTTCTTGAATCCCTCGTTGTTACGTTTCACGTCTGCCAAGAGACACAATGTCTTTACTAACAGAGGTTTTATTATCTGTCTCGGGGCGAATATCCCTGAGAAAAACAAGGAACAAAATTTATTCTGCTGTTAATTTGTGTATCCTCGTCATTCAGCTTACCATAAAATTAATTGTTGATGAAGCTTGATATGTTTTGACGTGATATGAACGTAAGTCTGATTTTACCCATGGTTGATTTATACTTCGCGCCAAAAATTTAACGTGACTAGATTATTTGCTCATCTCGAGGATTGTCAAATTTGAGGTGTAAGACAAAATACTTCCGTGTACGATAACTCGTTGGTTTCATCCATGAAAGGGAAATATAATTTCGTGGTAATTAGATGTTTGTCCTTCAACCTTGTTTAAAGTCGCCTTACCCACATTGTTTGTTACCATTTTGCACTATCTCAGTACTTTATCAATCATTGTCTCAGTGGTTGTTATCAATTGACGACAGTTAAAATAATGGAACTCTCCTAATTATACCAATTGATTGCCTTTATGTATAATTAGTTTCAAATAACCTATAATCTCTCGTTTCATTCCATTAAAAAAGCAAAAGACAAATATACCAGTAAAATATCATACTGTTTTTTCATGAAAATACCTCAGTTATGACTTTGATTTTATCTTCTTAATGAACGTTTTCCAAATTAAAAGATTGATCATCCATCTGTCCGGAGGCATTTCTTGTACAGGTGAGTTCTCGTCTAAGTTCGATACTTTTTCATGGCAATCCATTTTTTATTTCCTTACGTAAACATGAAACTGAAGCTGAAAATTTGCGCCAAAATATAGGGAGAGCTTTGTCATCGCCCAAGACGGTGAAATATTAATTTCAAGAGTTATTGATCATCTACACCGGAAATTTCAAGACTACAAAATTTTTTCTCACAATACTTATCCCACGCTCTTGGAAGAGTGGAAAGGCTATCACGGTTACCAAGGTCATCATTTTAATTAATTTTCTAAAAATGATGATGGCCTTACTGCTCATAAATAAATAAAGGATTAAATCGTTCATTAGTTGCCATAATCTATCTTTATACCATCAGGTGTAAAAATTTGTCGAAACCAATGCTAGCTGGAGGGAGCTTTTGTCAACTTAAGTTTATTTTTTTTCTCAATTTCGATTTATTTACAATAGATGAGTCTAATTCTTTCAAACGCGTGCCCTGCGAGGAGCATGGCCAACCACTGACAAAAACAGGCCCCAAGCGTCCCTGCGGTAACAAGTTATCTTTAAACACGACGGACCACAACCTGAAAAAAGATTGATCGCTAACAACAGATGTGTCCACGTTGGTTAAGTACAAATAACTGACTATAAAAAGCGCTGACAAACACTGACAGATAAGCGTATCAACTGAACAGAAAGGTATACAAGGTATTGACTTTAAATTGATAACGTCATCTGAGCTTGAAAATGGCATCCAATTTCATCCTGTTTATCCTGCTGTTTGGAGTCGCTTTGGTGTGTCAGTGCAGCAAGATTTCCACTGAAGATTCGTTGTCCCTTATGGATCTGCTGAGTAAGTTTTGCGTCCCAAAAATTTTTTTTTTCACCTCGAGAGTCATACAGATGTAATTTTCATTAACGAGTAGTGAACACCTCGATTTTATTTCAGCTGAAACATCAGGTAAGGCGGTAAGCAGCGTTCCCAAAGTTTTTCTCTTAGACAAGTCAAGGGAATTAAGCCCTAACAATCGAACCCATTTGTGGATGAGTGACTTACGAAACTCTCCGTTTATTGAACTAAATTCTCACATGCCCTTGCACAAACCAGATTTTCAGAACTGAGAAAAACAAATGTTTTCCAGTCTTCAACTTCCAGACAATGAAACTAAAACAGCTCACTGAAGAGAGGTAATCGACTGCGATAGGAGAAAAGTGGAAGATACACTTCAAAGATAACTCAGTAAGAGAATAATACAATCTCGCTGATTTTTTTGCCTCATTTGATGACCAGAAACGTTGGCAGCTTTATGCTAAAAATTCTGACATTGGGATATATCAGCACTTAAAAATGACAATTACCGACAGGGCCCTAGAATCTTCTCAACGACGAAAAGCTTCACATAAAGCCAGCAAGTTTGGTCTCATTTCCCTTGCTTAACTCGCATCTCTTTAAGAATTGAAAAAGAGTAAACTCAAACTACTTGATTTCTTACCTGGCTGCAACTTGAAATCACGATACACTTTTTTTTTTCGAATTTATTTTCCTCAGGTGCTGAATTGGACGACGATACCTCTGAGGATATCACAACTCGCAATTTCATGGGTAGTAAACTTAACATCAAATAATGATTGAACATTTATTTATCGTCAAGATTATTTGATTTTCGTCTCGCTTTCTCTCATCCCCACCTGCAGCTGTATGCTGGTAATGTTGAATTTGGAGAAGGTCAGCCGGCATGAAAAGTATTCCAAAAATCTCATTTATCCTTCGCTTAACGTTGCAGGCGGCTGCTAAGGCTCATAATGGTCAACCGACAGGAATATTTTAGATATCTTCATTCACAATGATTTTCGTGCTTACGGTACTTTCCTTGAATAAGCACTCGGGCGCTTATTATTCTCCTGTACTGATTTCGCTGTAGTTGAAGCTCAAAATGTATGGATAAAGTGGCAATAGAAACAGGTTTTTCTTGTTTCTTTATTCATCTTCCTTATTCAAGGGGGGCGCTTATTTGAAATTATTGCCTAGGGGTTGAGTGTGTATTTGAGGGAGGGCGCTTGTTAGAGCATTGGAGCTTATTCGAGGAAATACGGTATCTACTTCAAAGTCCTCTGAGTCCATCCTTAGTCACTTTAGGTAGAAGTTTTCTTACCTAAGTTAACCCCTTTAACTCCCAAGATTTCATTGGTAATCCTCCTTACTGTCTACCAAACTATTCTTATTATGTTAGTTTGGAGAATTTGGTATCGGATCAATTAATAATCCCATAATTGATATTTTTCTTTATTCTCATAACTTGTCTGCATGATATTGTATAGAGAAATAGTAAGGAGAAACTCTGTCTTGGTCACTCATGAGAGTTAAAGGGTTAACCTGTGTTAAGACCACATAATATTTTTCTAGGATGCTTTGACGTGAGAAGTGAGAAGTTCTGCAAACGGTTTAAAACACACTGCGTAGGTTCAGGTTCAAATAACAATTTCATGTTGAAAAATTGTCGCTGGACATGCGGATGTGTTTGAAGCGAGCGTGAATTTAATTCACAGTTCAAAAGAAGGTAAGTAAATTTTAATAAGATAGTGTTATGGCGAATGTTCGTGCGATTACGTCTAATCCAAAATTTTACTTGCCTATACACCTTCTCAATGGTTTAACGTGTAATACGCGGGGTTATTTTGCGATTTGAGTAGTGCGATCAATGAGAGAAATGTCCGCTAATATAGGATCTTAAACCATAGAATAAGAGATTTATCATTCTACTACAATTTCACATTTTAGTGTTTTGATTTGTTTGCGAAATACATCCTATATCCATTTATATCCTTCGTTTCATTAATAGTCAAGCCTAAAAGACCAAAGAAAAACCAAAAATCAAAGTTTGGATCGTTCAGTGCGGCCATTTTGTTTGTCCGTAATTTTGCTTGTTCTACAATGTAATATCATGGGATATTGTGTGCGTTATCTTGACCTTATTTGGTTAAATGAAATAGTAGTAGAAAAGTAGATATTTTATTTTTTTTATATATTCACGCGAAGTTGTGTGTATATATCGATCTGGTCTCTCGTTATCTTTCGCAATCGTAGCATGTTGTCAGGAGTTGGATTCGATTGAATATAAGTTTGTAGTCTCTTACCCAGACCTTTCACGACCAAATGGTTGTAGATTTCAGTTACAGTTACACGATAGGATCTGGGTACGAGATTACTAAGTTCGTTAGGAGGAAAGTCAGCAATTAAGGGGGACCGGTCATTCATTATCACCCTGGGGGGTGAAGAAGGGGGGAATCGGATGAGTCTGATTGTGCCATCACGACCAAATTTTACCTGATTTCCCCCACAAGGGTCTGGAACCTCCGTTGTGTGGCCAGTCCCTAAATAGGCAAAAAAGAAAGTAAGTAAGCTGGTAGGTGAGTAAGCAAGCAAGTTGATCCTTAAACTCCCACAAGTGATTAACATTTAATTCATCCCTCTAATATCCATGGATTATCCATCGAACAGGTGGTGAGAATACTCATACATAGGTATCAAGGACAAGTTGTTATCTTGATCTAACATCACATTCTCGTGGAAATGTATGAAAGGGGATAGTTGACGATCAGATTTTTGGAGTTGTAGGGTTAACATGTAAATAAGTCAGTAGGTCAGCGAGTGGGTAAATAAGTAAGTTAGTAAGTAAGTATGTACAGCGTAATTTAGTATTATCAACTGTGTTGATAACGTAAATTGGCCACCGTAAAGAGTTTAAAAGTTGACGTTTCGAGCGTTAGCCCTTCGTCAGAGCGATTGACGAAGGGTTAACGCTTGAAACGTCAGCTTTTAAACTCTTTACGGTGGCCAATTTACGTTATCAACTCAGTTGATAATACTAACTTACCCTGTTACACTCCCCCACCGACACAGCACCACAGTTTCTTTAGAAAACTACTCCCTTTATTCATAAGTAAGTATGAATAATTTAGTTGGCGATTAGCATGGATACATTTCACATTCGCATCTCGCCACCGATTATGAGCAGTAAAAAAGAGCGTAATTAACAAAAACAGATCAATAAAGATAATTTTGCAAATAGATTCCAAGTTGCCGAACGTCTGTTCCGTAATAGATCACAGATGACGTCAAAATGTGGTAAGAACAAAAAAGTGGCACACGAGGCGCAGCCGCGCAAATGATTGTTCTAGTAATATGGCCAGAAATCAGAGTGCTATCAGTTAACAGATAAAAAAATATGCCCTCCATTAGCCAAACAATCTGAGTAGTCATTTGGAAAAATGTTTGACGATGATAACATATCGCAGAATTACTCTTCTTTTGTATTCCTCCTAGGAAAAACTGACCAGACCTTGGCAAGGAAAGAAGACATTATCTACAAAAAGTAAAAAAAGAAACGATCAAGATAACTTAGAAAAGTTAAGATGTTCTACTACACAAATTCAAAGCCAAAATGTATGCCATAAAAAGGTAAATCAATAAAAGAGATAATAAGTATAATACTAGACAATCTATGTAACATCAAGTGATTTTGCTTTCCTGTTGCTACTTCGACCTCTTTTGGAGATCCTGGTCCTACGAAATTTTTTTTAAAGTAGCTGGACTTGGTCGTAGCCTTCGTCTAATACTCATTACCCCAAAAATAAAGATGAACGGAAGAAACGCGTCCATCAGTGGTCATGCTTTGATAGAAGCCATCGGCTATCTCGACATATCGGAGAGCTCCTCTCCTTTAAGTACACCATTTAATTTCTTAGAAAGAACTAGTCCTTTAAGAAGCCTGCCTCCTAAAACGACGTCATCAACTTAACAATAACGTAAACTGTACAATGCGTTCAATCAAACAACAATGCCATTTTTTTAACGTCAACTGCGGTTAATTTTAATTTGGTGACTTCATATTTTTTGGTATTTAAACTTACCTGAAGTTATGTGCATTAAAATTTACAGAGGCCAAAAGGGAGAATTACTTTGAGCAGGGTTCGCACGGGTCCTGGAGAACCTAGAAGCTCCTAGGAAAAATTTTATTTTGACAATTTCCAGGACTAGAAAGTCCTGGAAAAATAAGACTACAGGTCCTAAAAAGTCCTGGAAATCTGCTTAACCCAAGCGATAAAGTTTTCAGAACCTAGGTTATAAGAAATGTATATAGACCATTGGGAGAATTGATTTTGAATTGATTTTGAAATCTTGGGAATGACAGGGTTAAAGGTGAAATTTGAAGTCCTAGAAAATTTCTTGAAATTTGTTTCTGAAAAAGAATAAAAACCCTGGTAGCGTAAGGGAATTCAATAACCAGTCTGACGATGATTTATAAGGTAAGAAACACCAGTTTTTCTAATATAAAGCCATGTATAAATGCTAAAATGTGGATTTAAATCAGTACGGTCGCTGAAGGAGTTTCCATCGCCAAACCTGAATTTAAAAAAAATAGACTATACATTTGGAGCATTTTCCCATCAAAAATTATATATATAAACGAGCAAATCAACGAAAAAAAATGAATCAAAAATAGACTGTGCTGCAGAGAGACGTAACCTGTTTTACGACACATAGATGTACCTGTAACTGAAATTCCATTGCTGTCCAAGATTTCATTTATACTACTATTCCGGCCGGATTTCTATGACTGGCTAGCCCTAATATCAATTTTTTGCCATAAATATACCTTATACGGTTAACACACTGAGCTGTTTTTACATAACAAAAAAATCTGATCCACTTAAAAAGTTTGCAACTTTTTAAAGCAACAAACATTTTAAGTGGATCAGAATTTTTACTATTAAAAAAGGTCAAGCATAAAAAAAACCGAAGTGGGGATGCGGCCTTTTCGTTGCTCCTCTTTCCGTCCCTATTTTTTGCCTGTTTGACAGCGTAATACCGTGACATAGTTTGCGTGTTCCGATGCCCTAGTATGATAAAGCGACGTAATAGTGGAATGATAAGTTGCAGTAGCTTATTATTTGTAAAGGTCTTCTTTCATTTCTTTAGAAAGCGTTTTTAGCATTTTAATTTGGGCTAATTAGATTTTTAATCACCATTATTATGTGGCTATAAGCGTTTAAGTGGGTCAGGGCTACCTTTTTTCGGTATAACTGATAGCGCTTGGACTCTTCAGCACTTGAGCTTGCCATTTTGAAACACACAGATACACAATAACGAAGAAGGGGCAGGTACACAACGAAGTCATGTGATGCAAGATAAATAATTTTAATCACTAATTCTTAACAAGACAAGTCACTGTTGGCTTTCAAATAAAAGCCAGGTATAATGATGCATAACGTTATAACTTTTAATTATCACGAGCGATTATATAACATTCATTTTTCCATCCTTAAACTTTTAAATTGTGTCTTTCCTTGCTGTTTTCCAGCTGGTTATCCCTACAGGTAAACAAAACGTCATAACATTTATCATGATAACTTTGGTTCTTCGTTTAGTAGAGGATAAGTTTTAACTGGTAGGAGTTAAAACATTGATTCTGTAAATGTCATTAGTGTCAACCTTGTTTGTCATGATCGCTTGAATCTTTTTATAAGTAATTCTGAAAAGAAATAACAGTTTCGATAGACTTTTTTAGGATCTGTTGTGTTCTAACTTCATTCTTGTATTTAATTCTATAACCATCCTCATCTGAAAAAATAAACATGCATGCCTGCATTCCTAAAGGGCTAAAAGTTATAGGGGTAAAGTTTTATAGAAATCAAAATGATGGGACAAATTACTTACTTACTTACTTACTTACTTACTTACTTACTTACTTACTTACTTACTTACTTACTTACTTACTTACTTACTTACTTACTTACTTACTTACTTACTTATTCACTAACAATGTACGGACTGTCTACTGGGGGGGGCACTTACCTCCTTAGCACACTCCGCATGTGCGGCGACATTTTCGCCACACGTATACTTGATTTTTAACTCCTCCATGTCCCGCACAAAATGATTTAAACCGATCACAAAACTCTTCACTGTGCTCGTCCTTGCATGCTGAAAGAAAATAAAAATAAAACGATTAAAATTTATCAGCTAAAATTTTTTGTGGATATTACGCAAATATAGCGATAGATAAGGTAAAGCGTGAGCCAAACAATTTTTGCAAGTAGAGCGAAAAAGGACAGAATGGTTGTAAAAAAAAAAAATGGAAAATTGATCGTAGTTGTTGTTATTTCCTAAGAGAACTTAATAACATATAAGTATGAAGCTTCTGGCAATTGAACATACGTGAAATATTTCCTTTCTGTCCACCGTTAGAAACCCGAGCAGTCTTCCGCATTGTTAACCTTTCGACCCCCTAAGAGTAACTAACAACTAATTTCTCCTTAAAAAATCACCTTTGAATCACACATGAAGGTCATGGGAATAAAGGAAATGATCATCAACTAAAAAAGTTCTTGATCGTTAAACAAATTCTCCTCGTCAGCACCTTAGGAAATTTATAGAGAACAGTATGGAGAAAGTGCATACTGATGTTAGGGTGTGAAGGGTTAATCAAAGGAAAAATGAGACATTAAAATTCTCTATTGCTGATAAAGTTTTACATTCATTGTTGAAAAAAAGGAAAAACTCTTTGTCTCGTTTGACAAGTACCAGGTTCAATTAGAGAGAACCAAGTCGACGATCTGATCACAAACCAGTATTTAAGAAGGAGTTAATTGTCACGAAATGATTCCAGACGACAGACACTGTGAAGGATGAAATATCGAGGTAAATAAAAGATGATAAGGTACATTGAGAACTAGAGCGAAAAAAAATTAAAATAACATAAAATGTTGATATAAGAATTGGTTGTCAATTTTACCGCTCAAATTGCGAGTTGTAATATCCTCAGAGGTATCCTTGCCTGTGTCAGCAGCTGAAAAAATAACCATACAAAACAAAAGAAAATAAACAAACAACAAGTAAACAAAACAACAGAGAAACAAACAAAAAGAAAAATGGATGCAGAACGGCCTCAGTAATAACAAAGATAAGGATAGTTTATAACATATCCGATGTTTTTACTGCAATAAACAAGGCAATACCACAAAAACTTACAGAGAGGTTTCTCAAAAGGAATTTGAAATTTTGTTGCCAAAGCAGAAAAATGGGGTACCCGAGGGGTATTTGTATATCAATGATTGGCATGGCATAAATTTCCCCACGCCCCTTCCCCGCTTCCTTAAAAACGCTTATTTGTTACACTTTATGGTTTGCTTTGTAATTAGACTCATAGATGTGGATCAGGTACGTCAGCAATATACGTTGTATCTGCTTCAAAGTGAAAGCCTACATATCAGACTAAATTTGCAATAACTTGTTTCCAAATGTAATTTGCCCCTTGTTGACTCTTGAAAAGTTTATTTCAGCATATCTCAAAGGTTTCACAGAAAATATTTGAATGAAAGGAAAGTCAAGAGTTCTCTTGATTTTTGTACTTCTGGAAGAAAAGAAAAATCTCAAGTTTTCCGTGGAAAGTGTACTTATTAAGGAACGTTTGTTCCCTGTATGCATTACTGAAAAATAAAAAACTAAAAACTTATTTATGGTTCTCGTTTAGAAATAATTCCTGTGGTATAATTACGATTACACCCATATGAATTTCTCAAAAACTACCCTCGTTATGCAATCTACACTCGTAACCCTCCTTATGGAAAAGTTTCCTGCAAAATTTCGTTCTTTGGTTAAAGGGGCAAGCGGGGAAACTTTTTTCAAGGGAAGTTTCTTTATAAAAACGTTTTTATTTGAATCTGGATACCCGCTAACAATTTTTATGATATTTTGACCAGAATGATATTTACAGTATGGATATGTTTTAACTTCTGTACAATACTTACTCATCAGATCCAAAAGAGAGTCGGCGGAGATTTTCTCAACTTGTGCCAACAAACAGGCGACAAGTGAGAGAAGGAGTAATACCCTAGTGGATTTCATGGTCAAGCTCAAGTCACTGGCTGTAGCCAAAGGAATGCTTTGTTGGGCCTGTATTAGCTAAAGCAATGAATAATAATTTTTTGGCCAGTTCTGCGCTCTTTTATAATTTCACTCGAAATTGTCAACAGCTGTTCGCGCGCTGGTGATTGTAATTGGGTACTCTTCGCAGCACGGAATTTGGTAATTTATTACCGCAAAAAATTAATGTCACGAATACCTCCAAAACATTGTAAAACTAGAAACGTCCAAAGAAAGGATAATATTGTCGTCAAGTAATCCAACAGCAAGGCCGGAATCTGAGGAATCCAACGGAATAGAGAAAAAAGTTTCAAAATGACTGGTGTCGGTCAGAATTAAGCATCTGTACTAAGAGATATTGATTATTTTATTGATAAGAGGTGTTGACCCCAATTTAAATGTGTTGAATAACATGTGTGCGAAGGCGTTTTTATCATACCACATCTAGACTATTTGACACGTCTACCAAACGAAAAAGTGAGCCCTGAGGCCTAGCGGTGCTTGCGAAAAAATCTTGCTTTATTTTTAATTTCGCCCCGACATCTGTTACAAATGCATCGCTTCTGTATAAGCTTGTGATGTCAATAGTTTCGAGGAAACACGTGATTCTTTTTTCATTACTGTTATTTTTGTTAATTCATGGGGAACAACATCGTTACTCCGCCTTAAAATTTAGATCCTAATTTAAAACCAAGAATATTTGGATTTGAAAGACGACCGATTTTTCCCTTACGTTGGAGTATTGCAAACAGTAAGTTGAAACTATGAGCTAAACTTGGAAACTTCAATATTCAGCTTCGTGATACTACTGTGCAGGTGGGAGTGTTTAATTGTGGTCGTATCCATTTTTAAGAGAAAAAACGGCGTCTTTGTAATCTTCACGATCATTTACAAGGTTGTCATCTGGTCAATAACTCCACGGTACGCCTTTGTTTTATTAAAAAAAAGACATTTGCATGCGTTAATTTGCAATATTAGTCTTTGCTTAATGACTTCAAGTTATGCAATGGAACTTAAGGGAAATTAATGCGGAGAAAAAGAAAATTGATTCACAATTTTTGTGGTGGAAGTTTCTTAATGAGACAAGTGGTTCTAATTAATACGAAAAATATATGGTCACATAATGTGGTCACTTTGAATATATCTGGCGCTTGGTTTTTACAAAATCTAAAGTGATTGTTTATTAGGCAAAAGAGGCGCTACATTTTTGGTGGGAAGTGAGGGTGAGTTGTTATCACGCTAGTTTTTCCTCTCTGGAAATGTTTTCTGTTTTTCATCCTTTGCTTTGTTGCGTTTTTTTCCGTCATGTTTCCCAATTTTTAATGCAGCAAATTTCAAATTAGTTTCCGCAGTTTCTTACTCATCATGAAATATTTTACAGTAATGTCATCCTCCACTCTGTTTAGTCTTCGTTTTCGTTTTCATTTGTAAGATTGTAAGATAAAATGTTCTTGTCTTGGTTACGAAGATAAGATATACATAAAAAAGGCAGCTGCCTGTAGCTTTGGTTTCGTGATCCAACATTGATTATTACGAGACAAAAACCACCTTCACTTCAACCCTTTAAACCCTAATAGTGATAAGCACCTAATTTCTCCTTACAATATGACCCACAAATCACACATTTAGGTCACGAGAGTAAAGGAAATAATCACCAACTAAAGAAGCCCTAAATTGTTGAACAAATTCTCCTTGTCAACACCCTAGGAAATTTATAGAGCATAGTATGGAGAGTTTGCATACTGATGTTAGGGTATAAAGGGTTAGGCTTAGGGTTTGTTAATTGGTAATGACAACGTGGACACTAAACATGGACAAAAAAGCTTCGTTAGATTATTTATAAAATGCTTGCAGAGTTGGTAGTAGTGTCGATTTCTAAACAAATAAATTGCCGGGAATAAAAATGAACTACACGAGACGGTTCTACTACTTTTCATCTCTGGAGATATTTGCACTTTTAATAGCTTGATTTGACTTAAAATAGTGAAATACGCAGTGTGGAAAAAGAATTTAAGGGAGGCCAAGACACACTTAGAGTCATTCTACTTGAAACGCTTGGAAATGTTTCTCAACGAAGAATTCAACAACTTTGTACAGGTGAGATATCTGTGACTCGTTTCGAGTATTATATAGTTTTCTATTGCCTATACACACACAACATCTGGAGTTGACTCATTTTCAGTCATAGCTGGGTTAAGAGATTGATACTGATAGATAGTTTATTACTTCTTTTTTTTTTTGTTTTTCTTAATTTTCCTTTTCGGAAGAGGTTATTTAATGTTCTGGGTACGCTCTGTTAATGAAGATTTATAATTAAACAATCCTTCGAATCAATACGTAAAATTTTTTTTACTTAAATATGACCACAAGCGTCAAGTATTTTACAACTGAATATGTTCAAGAAACCTTTCAAATATTTAATGATATTTTCAATAAGGAAGGAATGCTAACAAATCTCCTGACTCAGAGAAGAAAGAAGAGAAATGATCATTCAGGGAAATCTTAATTGTTCATAATGCTGCATCCTTTTCAACATGGCTCCCATTTTGATAAAGGTATATACTCAATCAATCTGGGGGCATGAAAAAAATTGTTGGAAGAAGTAGCATTCAACAAACGACCGGTCAAAATTGGTGGGAAGACGCACTTAAGATTATCATCCTCGGAAATTTCCCCTATGCATCTTTTGGTTAGTATTTTTTCTTTTTTGTTATAATGTGTGATCCTCCATAAGCGTTTGCATTGTTCCTCAAATATTATGGGGGATAAATGAAAGATTTCATAAGAAAATTATTCATTGTGGAAGTCGTTATTCTAGAAAAAATTCTCCCTTTTTAATAAAGTGTTTGGGCAAAAGGGAAAAAATTATTCGCCAGCAGATCTAACAATCCACGAAACATATAAAACAAACCATTACAAATGAAAGAACTTAAGCAATACAGCATAAAAACGGACTTTAGTACGTATCAGAACATTTCTGCTATATATATTTACTTTCCAAACTCTGCTGATCAGTTGAATAATTCAGTTTCAAGGAAAATTTGCAATTCTCTAAATGCTGTTTTTTGGTCATGAATACTTTCGTGAGTAATTATGGCATGAAAAGAATACATGATTACTAATTATGACTCATTTGCTCCATTCATCTGTCTTCTGTCACAAGTCCTGAAAAATTCATAAGGTAAAGATTATTGCGGATAATAATGAAAAAAAAGCGTGACTCAAAGAGAGAGTTTTTTCTTGGCTCAATCCACAAATCATAAGCTGATTAAATGAATGAAGTGGTTCAGTGAACAAAAGATTCCGTTCAAGACAAAGACTGGAACTATTCTCCCTTTTATTAATTTTTCATTTTGATAACGTCTTGACTCTCATTTTCATGAGATGGAGCAGGGTAATTACCCTTTTTTTGTAAAGCCCTGGGAAAAGGGAAAAGAAAGCAAAAATATATATGTATACTTAAAGTAAAAAATGGAAAAGAAAAAAAAGATACCAGCGAGAATATTTTGTAGTAGCATCTGAGACTGATGTCAGCGCATTTATTTTTGTCTGTTATAACCTACACTTTTTCTTGCATTGTGCAGCAGGCTCGTTTCTCTGGTAAGAATGCCAGGTTGTGTGTCCTGAGGCTCAAGTGGCTAAATAAGCCTTATCAGATCGTTAATTATCAGATAAACCAGAATTCATGAAAATGCATTCTAAGAACGTTGTGAAGTAAAGAGAGTTGTACATAGACAAAATAATCCTGCCATGAATATCATTTTCAGCCTTCAAGTTCTCTTCGGGAACGAGAATATACAGCGAGAGGAAAGTTTAAATGTTTAAATGAACGTTCCATCATTTGCCTCACGGTTTACATTCAGGCTATCAATTGTGCTGATCACGACGTTTCGACTGCTAGACTGCTAGTCTTCGTCAGGTGACGAGGTCGGAAGTTTACGTGTCGCTTTATATAGCACGTTGTTTGCTTTCATTGGTGCGTTTTGGCGCGCTCTGCCATCTTAATAGCGAAAGGACCGTGGCAGATCTTTTTGAGCCTTTGAAGAAGTCCGTCGATTCTTTGAAATCATGATGGTCATCGTGCCTTTAAACTTTGTTCCATTTGTATGTTCATGCAAGAACGATAACGGGTTTTTCTCTAGGCAAACCCTCGCTTGTTGTCTTTGTTGTTTGTCATCCTTTTGAAGACCTTGTCACCAGTTGAATAAAATGTCAACAACCACACTGATATCGAATCGCAGTTCGAAAGGCGCAGGTCGCATCACTTCAGTTTCCACGGAAGTGTAATTTCAAGCGCCGTGTGACTTATTATAATAGAAAGGTCTTATTTGGATGAACGGCTCATTGGGAAAATGATTTGAGGTAAGGACCACTCTGCTTCAAATTTGATCCAGTAACATGAGTGCACCATGAATTTTACAAATCAGATTTTTAGGAACGCTTGAAATCTTTCCACAATATTTGAACAGCACAGGTTGTTAAGTTATGAACCAGTTTCTTTGCTTTTAAAAGGGAGAGAGAGTTTAGTTTCCAAGATACAATAGTGTGTTACTCGTTCCCTTGTGACACGAGCCATCTAAATTTGTCAAGCATATTTTAAGTAAAGTTCAGAAGTTAGAATTGCCTTTGATACGGTAAAAAACAAGTTTGAAACATATATTTGAAAGATCTTCGTTTACCTCGACTTTCTCCCTTTGATTTCCTTTGTTAAAGTTAACAGATTCCTTTTCGAAATACTTCTGGTTTTCAAACGATTTTAAATTTAAGCTTCAATTTTGCAGAGTTAATAAGGATGCATTTTTAGAGTGACAGTATGTAAACACGAAGGAAAACCTCAGGCGACGAGAGCTTGGCACCGGCAATATTGACATAACAGTGATTTGGTTTTATCAACTGAGTTGATACTTTGAATCGGCCACTGTGGAAAGGTTATAAAGCTAGCCCTTCGTTATTCGCTCTAACGACGAGCTAACACTCAAAAACGTCAGTTTTATCATTTCTATACGGTTGCCAATTCATACTATCAATACAATTGATAAAACCTTCTTATCTTGTAATAACCTCCCACCGACGCAGAACAACAGTTTTTTTTTTTAACAAACTACCCACTTTATTCAGATGTTGACATGAGGCTTGGGAAACGTCTTGTCTGTCGTGACATTGTCCTAAATAATAACTTTCCAGTTACCTTGAGGAATTTATATTTAATGTGTGGAATAGAAACACACTGTTTATAAGTGTAGAATAGGAAAAAAATCTTCTTAAAAGCAGTCCTTGGGCACATAGCCATAGTTATTCAGCGCACTGTTTAACAATGACCCTTGGAGTACGTGTTGGCTCTAAGTGCTTCAATTAAACATGTATAAGTCGGATACAGTCAACTCTCTGAATCTCTCTCGAGAGAGAGAATTTCCGCCAACGGACACTCTCGTAAGCGGACACTTCTTCTTGCAGACACTTTATCAATTCCCGTTTTGATTTTGCCTCCCAGTGAAATCCGTGAACTCCCGTAAGAAACCATTAACTCGTTAGCGACGCGGACACTTTTAAAGTGAAAATTGGATTTTTCTCAAGACAAATTTGCATCGCATGAATTTCGCTATAATCCTTATTCACCCTGGTGGGACGATTATGGCTCCTTTCATCAATTATTTACCGGCAAAGACCCTATCTGTTTCTTCTTGCAGGTCTATAAGTTGATAGACCTGTGGGCGAATACCTCAATCAATTATAAAGCAGAATTCGTATCAGAATATTATAAGTGTATAAATCGGTAATGATCAACCTTTCTCTATGTTTTGCTGGGATGCAAGTGTTACTAATCTCCATGCATATCATCTTACAGAAGCCTGAGCTTGAGATGATCGGAACAAAATTGAGTGCACCGTTATTGCTGCCTTCCCTTCTCCTTTTCCTGCTGCTAGAAGACAATGCAGGTAATAAGTTTTCACCTAAAATGCAATCTTGATTTTTGCACTTAAGTGACCCTGGATTGCATTGGTTTGGCTTTACTTTGTTGTGTGACTAGTCGCTTCAATTTCTCGACGGTAAGAACTCCAAGACAAAAATAATCGCAATTTAATCAATGACGTTTTCTTAGGCTTAGCCAGTTTGCTTATTTTTACATTGAGTTTTCACTATCTTCTTGTGTTATTTTGCTTTCTTCTGATTGGCTGTTATGATCACTTTCGTTTTAACAACACTCAATCAAAATGCGCTCTTTAAAACACGTATGCATATGTATGTGGTTATAAAATAATTAATGCTGAGTTTCAGAAAGCTCTTCTCAAAATTTCAGTGGAGATTTGAGAGAGAGCTGAGTTTAGTTTCGCGATCAGCAATCGCTGTAGTCCTACATACTAATAAAAGAATGTGAAATTTCGGTTCTAGTTTCTCATTCTAAAGCTAGAGTTTTTATAAATCTCAATCGACGAAAAAAAGAAGTGTATGTAAAAACCAGTCTTTTACGCATATTACAAATGACACGAATAGATATCCTTCCCTCTGTTACATATATTGCAGCGAAAATTCTCTGATCCCACAATGATTCCACCTTTTTAGATAGTCTGCAAGGAATTTTTTTTCTTCCCAACTGACTTGAGCTTTCTGAAACATAGATGGCCGAGCTATAGTGTCGCCATTCTTTCGACCTCCACCCGGACAAGAGTATGAAAAGATTAACGCCATAAAAGGTAGTTTGAGCATCTTTGTTTAATTCAGAGCGTTTAGCCTTAGCACTTAGTAGCTTAGGACTTGAACAATGTTTAGAGCCTTACGCGTGAACGATGATTCTTCCTCGTTTCTCGTCGCTTTTGGTCTAGACATGCACATATGATACCAGAGTGAAATACTCGATGGCCTGGTAAATAAAGCACAGGAATTGCGACTAAGAGGTTTGAGCTCGAACCCTGGCCAGGTTACGGTGTCGTTTTCTTAATAAAAGACATTTCTATCCCAGTGCCTTTTTCTAATCAAGAGTATGAATAGGTGTCAATTACATAGTGTCAGAGAAACCTGAAGAAAGGCTGTCGAATAACAATGCGATGGGTTGGAAGCTTGTCTAGGGCGGAGTAGTTATGATTCAGCGGGATTGGCTGAAGCATTTTAAACCTTTGAGTGCATACTGCTGACTTTATCCCGAGGCATTAGCATGGATTTACCCATTTTGTCTTTCTTTTTTTTATTTTTTTTTTCTCACCTTCTAAAATAAATTAGCCGATGATCAAGCGTTTTATTTCTTTCCATTTCGTTTTGTTTTGTGTTCTTTTGAACCACCTCAGACCATTTTTATGAGCAGTTCTATGGTAAAGGAGGGAAAAAGAATAAAATAAGTCACAAGAAAGTACTGACATCGCAGGATATGACATTAACAAGAGAAGGTGAGAAACCGCATGTAATGTAATTGTATCGTGAAACATGTCAAGTTTATTTTGTAAAGAATTAGTTTTCACAGGCTTAACAAGAAACAACAGGTTAACCAGGCAAAAGTGAAAACGTGTATAATTCGTGCACCAGGCAGGTGTGTGAATGAAGCATACCAATATCAGACTTGTCTGAGTTAAAGGAAGAAAACTCCGAACCAGATTTGAACTACAATGTAGACCTTATCATAATGGACCATCCTGCCAGTGCAAATTGGTAACTAATGTATTGCAAGGATTTCTTCTAATATTGCCTCGTACACAGCTCTGTTGCAGGCAACCTCGGCCCAGACCACCGCACTTGTTGCTGCAGCTCAAGCTGCGCGCTCATCCTTGGAGATCTCGGAACTAGCTCAGAAGGCCCAGGACATCTCAGTCAAGAGAGCACTATGGGCATTAAAGACAATCAAAGTTGCAGCGAAAGCTGAAGAAGTGGCGGTGAACGCCATACAGACCATGTTTATGTAAAAATGAGTAGCAGTATTTCTAGTTTTCGCAGTCAGATTTTACAAAATATAGAATTTAAAAATTGTCGCCTGGTTGTAAGACCTTTGAAAGAAAAAAGTATAATAAATATTTGTGCACAAAGCAACTTTACACCATAATTAATCCCTCTACTTTTAAAGTATTCATTACATCACCTTACCACTGATTATAAATGCTATCATGCCAAAATTACATTCAGAGCGGAGAGTATATTTGAATTTGCACCGCTCGTTAATGAGTAAAAATAATTCAAATAGAGGTCAAGTTTTCAAGCTCAAGCTTCCTACTTCCAGGATTTAAACAATAACTAAGCCACATTACTGGTCTGTAGATGACACCCGCAATAACATTTAGCGATGACATATACCCAAATTAAAGTTTAGCTATTTAACAGTGAAAGCTTTTCTCTAATGACGCTTAATGTGAAGACAATACGTAATAACATATCAACATAATTTATGATAATATATTTTGGTAAGTGACATGAAGAATAATCAAAGCAAGGTTTGACAAAGCCCTGATATTTCTTCAATCTTGCTTTTTCTTATCTATGTAGGATAAAAATACTGCAAGGAACTGTTTCATGCAATCTTACCTATGCTATACATCGTGCTCTCATTAAAATAACTCATTTTCTTGCTCTAATCTACGATGAACATTTCAGATTCCGAAATCTTGCAACTTGTACTTCATCTACCGTTCAATTTGTTTTTCATTTCATGAGAAGCTGTGTCACGAAGTAGTAAGGGAAGATACAAATGAAAGGAAAAAATTTGTCCAAGTTAGAGCAGCAACATGTTTTAAGGGTCATTTGGCATACAGCGCTCCACTTGACTGAGGTTTATTCCTTGTTGGACAGACGAATTTTAACATGATTTTTTACAGGGGCTTTTGTTTCAAATGGCTTACTGTACAAAAGCCTTTCCATCGTTTTAGTTAAACGTTTGAAGAGGTTTTCAATCTTAATTAGCTAGGAAGAGGCTCGTGAAACGTCTCGACAAACTTGAGGGTTTTTAAGATTTAATTTTTCAAAACGAGAAACACAGACCTTAATGGAACAAAGACGGTAAGGGGTGCAAGCATGGACACGATTTTTTTTTCAAAATGCACAACCCACGGCGTACCTCCAATTCTTAAACACTGAAATAGTTATTTTGCTCATGACCCCTTAAGACCAACACCCTCAGAACAATGAAGAGGCCCTTTATCTTCCTTAATTAACCACCTGTTCATCTGTCAGATATTCAAATCAGAACGTCAAGGATATAACGTATGCATAACAGATTGATGTCAAATTCATCTAGTATTTTCCTACGCTACAACGAAAAGGAATTTTTGGATTGCTTTTTTCCCTTTTTTATTTTTAAGGTAAGAAATCTAACATACGACATAACGGTTACATTTTTGCTGCGCAGTTTTTTTTTTCGCTAAAATCGAGATAGAGTTTAGTCTGCAAAATACGATGTTTGATGTTTGTCGTCCATGAACAGGTCAAATTGACTTTTCGTCGGGCAGGATATGTGGTGATTTACGCATTCGTCGATCCAATGTAAGTCATATTTACATGTTTCATATTGTGGTTTTGATGTTTAAACCAAATTACTTCCGTTCTTCAACGTCGATGTTCAAAATATGAGTTTTTCGGGATATACTCTGCCCCCAGTCTACCTTTGGTCATGAAACCAAATTAAACCTTACTGAAAAATAATAGAGAGCTTTACCAGTCATTAATGTAAACTTTGAGGTAAGGAAGTCGTGTATAACTGAAGCAAACTTTGAATTTTATTAACTTATTATCCAGACTTAAAGAGAGTGAAAATTATTAATCAAATAGGATCTTCTTAATAAGCGCTTGTTATACTAAGAAAAAAATAGCACAGGTCTGAACAATAATAGATTCAATCTGAACGGGGGCAGATGAATTTTTATCTTTACTTTGTCGTTGTTGCAAGAGTGTAAATGGTTCATCTTCTAATCACGAAAAAAATGTGTGGTTTTAAAACCGCGTACGACGCCATATTGTTTGGCGCGATCTCTACCTGTTAATACTCAGTCTGGCCACCAGTTTCCTGCCAGGTTTCACTCGACCCGGTAAGATAATTTGGGATCTCTTTTTCCACCTGAGCCTTGCCTGTAGATTTACCCTTTTACTTCCTTCTTTTTCTTTGCGAATTCAGTTGCTGCAGCTGTCATCAATGTCCAGTATGTTTCTCAGAAGCATATGATGTTTTGCGATATTGTTAGGTGATCAGTATGCATTTAATTATTATTGACAGTTACAAGAGGAATACCTGTCGAACCAATTTTCAATCCATGAAATGGAAAGCAACTGAACCCCCTTTGTACTAGCAAGTTATCCTTGGTCATTGTAGTTGCCAAGGAAATATTGTTCACTACTTACTTCCACGAAGAAAACCCGTCATCTACATTTGTATATCTATAAAAACTCGACCTTTGCAAGTTCCTCTGTTTGACTCTTAGGGAGAGTACCAGATGACCTCCGGCTACAGTGAGGTCTCAGACGTCCTCAGTGTGGAAGCATACCTTGACAAGCCTTTCATGGCATATTTCTTTGTCTACCAATCAGATGATTCTTTATCTGACAATGAGAAATTCTCGTTATATAGAATCAGAGGATTACTCCTAATTTTTTCGTACCGAGCAATTTCCGAAGCTTTTATTTTGCGTGGTTTTCGTATGTGGTATAATTCTCTTGATGGAAATAAAGTTCTGGAAGGAGCTACCGTTCACATATTGTTTTATGAAGAAATAATTGCTCTTGTTTTTGCTTAGGTTGTTATAGATCAGTATCGATGATGCATTGGGCCGTAGTGACCTTCGCAGTGATTATTGCTGTTATAGAAATCACAGGTGAGGATTCCAAATCTATTTTATAACACCACCGTAAACTCTGCTTTTCATAAAAAAAACTCACCAATTTATGAAAGAAAACAATCAGAAGGAACTGCCACTCCCTCTCCAGCAACCCTTCTGACAGGGACAGCGCAGAGCAGGGACTGAGAAAGCTTTAGCCCTTCCATTTTGGCCAATAAAAATAATTAGATAGACAAATTGTAAAACAATGCAGAAAAATTTAATGAGTTTATACGTAAAGGACAAATGCGTCATCAGGTAAAATACAAGCACAATTAACTTAAATTAAAAAATAATTACAAATGTGTGACGACATAAAATTTATCACCTCTTACTCATGCTCCTAACGATTTATGCCGTTTCGTTTTGACCTGTTTCATAGAACTTAGCTTTCCTTTGCTTTTTTTTTAGAAGCCAAGCCCTACGTTAGGAACAGACAATATACTGAAAATCCTGGAAAAGGTAAATCCTATGGATCAAATAATGCTGAATATAAATTAACTCTCAAAAATTTCAAAATGATCTTCTCCAGTCGGGGTGAAGCCAGCCTATGGACCCGTTGGCCCGGGCTTTCAATTTTCTCCCTAGATGAATTTTATAATCTCACTCTTGCAAATGTAAAAAACAAATTGAAATTTCTTCGGGAACAAGCTTACAACAAGTCAAAAAGCTGGCTACGTCCTGCCTATCAACCTTTTTCGTGGAAGAATTCCAAAAAAATGTCTGTTCGACTTTTTGGCCTTGTGTTCTAACCTCGATCAACCTTTTTTTGTTTGTGCAAATTACAGGGGCTTGTGCAAATAATCGGTATAGATGTGAAGGAGGGAATAAGTGCATACCGTTAAAATGGATCTGTGATGGAGTTCATGACTGTGACGATAAACTCGATGAGCGGAATTGCTTAACAGGAAACGAAACCAGCATTCCTTCCTACAGTAAGTTTAAATTCCAATAACTGTTCAATTCATTAAAGGAACGGTATGTGGAAAAATTGCTCTCTAGGTATTAGAACGGATAATTATGTAACGAAAGGAGGTAGTGAACAAAGGAGTAAAAGGTTGAAAGCAAGAAGGGTGATTCCATCTATGCTCGCAACTACTGAGTTAAAAAAAGAAGATACAACGTCGAGGATTGCAAAGATTTGCAGTCTTTTAGCGTCCTGTCCTCATTCTAATCTTCTTCATGGCTAATTTTATATCTGCGAGTTTCTTCTTTTTCTTTTTTTTTTCCTATGGCTGTATACTATAATATTCGGGAAATTACATTTCACAGTTCATGCCAAGGAAATCAGTGAAGCTCAAGACATCATAGACGGCACCAAGAGATCCGGAATCAGTGGTAAGCGAATTCATTCTTGAATCAGATAGAAAGAAGGTCACAAATAAGACTCATCTTTTATTTGTACTAATTTATATCCAGGATGCCCGAGAAATACTTACTCATGTGACGAAGGTCAAAAATGTCTCCTTATGAGTTCGTTGTGTGATGGCATGAGCGATTGCCACGATGGCACAGATGAGAAAAACTGTCCTCCAAAACCAGGTAAGTGACTGCGGGGACGATGCTGTTGTATGTTTGACCGTTGCCAATGGCCGATTGTATTTTTGTAGTTGTTTTAAGATTCTGTGCGAACGTGATTCTGACCCTTTGAAAGACTTTTTTTTAAATCAGTTCGATATGTATATCCACCATTGAGTCGTGACCTTTCTTTTCCTTATTTACGACTGTTATTCCATGATGTGTCAGCTTTATATTTGCACTCTTCTAAGCCTGTCTTTCTTAGTCACCAGACCACCCGCCAGAGGAAAAGACCTACTTATTTCTCTTCTGAAATGTCTAGTTTTCTCTGTATCACTATCTAAATTTCTTTTCTTTCAATACGATATCTCAAAAATTATCATAATTCACTTTAATATCATTTTCAGTGATTCTCCAAACCATATAGCCGTTGCCAATTCAAAACAAAATTCCCAGATATCACGTGGTGTAAATCTTTGAGTTAACACTCACTCTTATTTTTACGAATTTAAAATCTAAAGCATGTGAGTCAAATAAGTTATCCTGCGACGAGGGAGAGAAATGCCTACCGCTGACCTGGGTGTGTGACAACATCAGCGATTGCAATGACAACAAGGATGAGCATAACTGTCCAAACAAGAGGACTGGTAATGAGTGACATGTATTTTTTTTACCTAAACTATGAGTTTTAAAACTAATTCCCGCTACATTATTTGTTTAAATTTATGTATCTTGGCTTTGTATTTTGTCTTTTTGCTCTCGTCCAAACGCCTATTGTAGACATAGACTTAAAATTTCTTGACATTTTTTGTTCTAAAAGATAATGTATTTGTACTCATAGGAAAATCTCTAGCGCATGCTGCTGAGGAAGCAGCAATGACCGCTGCTCAGGAAGCAAAACGAGCCGCAGCTGCAGCTGAAGACATGATGCTGCTGGCTCGAAGAGCCGCTGAAAAAGCCAGTCGCGCCTTAAAAATTGCGGAAGATTATGGAGCAAAAAAATCATGAGAATGTGAACTGACATTAACTCCATTTAAGAAAGTTCATAGAACTTTTGTGGGCGGGGAAGCATTACGTCTGTCATCTTATGCACAATGTAAAATATAACGAACTCACTATATATCAGTGGAGAGATCATGTGAATAAAATGAACAATTTCTCTTTTATTCTTCGTGAATCTTAAGAAATAGCTCATCTGTCCGCATTGATAATTTCTACCGACATTTCTATAACCATTTTCCAGCATATTTGTTGAACAATTTCACCCAATGGGTAGCTGCCATGTTAGGATTTGCCTCCTGAAGATGGGAAAGGAAGAATTTTCGTTGACAACAGTCTCGTCTAAATGAAAATTCTTCTTTTTCTCCCTGATCTGATATCAACAGTAGAAACTTTTGAATGATAGAAATGATCGCGTGGAGGAAATTCTTCATATGATGTAGGACACAACTCAACACACTTTAATCACCGTCTCCCTCTCTTCTCATTTTCTTTCCTAAAACTTCTTTATGACCATTTCTTTCCTTCGTTCTTCGCACCTGAGCATCTTCTACCTTGAAGTAACTGCATTTCCGTCCCATGCTGCTTACTTTGGATTGTGAGGCCAGGTTTCCAACTATGGCAACCTTATTTTATCGTGTTTCGAGAAAGATGAATTAATTTTTGATCCCAACCTATTGATCTTCCATTGTTGCTATACACCCAGAAGTGTAAATGATAATAAACAACTGTCAGGAGGCTTAACGAATTCCCAGGAACTTGCTTACCATGGATAAAGTATCGAAGAAAGGTTGGATTTGCTACGCTGGCAGAAAATATCATCGTCTGATGCGCAATTTTTGCTCACAAATTCGAGTGAATGTCAAATTAAGGCATTAAAGGTTAAATACGATGATCCCACGATCTCCCGCCATTAAAACTTCAGTTTTAGGCTTAAATTGCACTCAGAAGTGTACGAGAAAAGGCCAGTTTTATTTTACTCTTCTTCAATACCACCAAATCAAACCACAGTTTTCATTTCTGAGCTCTTTGCATTTGAGAAATCGTTTCGTCAATCCGGAAATATCCTCAACTTAGGTGACTATTTTTCCCTCTCCATCTAATATGGGATAAACAACACTTTTGCAAATTACCCCCAGGCTAGCAAAGCAATGTACGCCTTAGGCAAAAATTACCAGTGTAATGGAGTGATGTGTCCTTAAAATCTACGTTAAAATCCGTGCACGATGTAGAATGTAAGCCGACTACCAAAAGGGATTGCTAAGGTGATTCTATACCCGGTGAACCCCCGAAAGGGCAGCAAAACTCCCAGGTAATACTGTATAAACACTTAGTATGTGTGCAAACGTTCATTTCTAAAGTAAGGTCTTTTGAGCGCACACTCCTAGACATGAACGCAACCGACGGACACAGATAAGTTGACTGCTCTTGACTTCACATCGATTACTGCATTGTTAATCAGAATTTGCAATCCGAGTCTTTTGAGACAGCCTACAGTGATATTTATCTACTGCAGGTGGGAAGCCTCAACCACCTGCCGTATGGATCACGATGTAATGATGATCTGTTTTTTAAAGTTTGAATTTCTTCGGCCATGAGGAATGGCAATAGGTACCTCTTTCGTTATTTGAATGGTAAAACCTCTATCAATCTGTGTCCATGGATGCTGAAGATTCTCTTGGTCTCTGTGATGGTCCTCGTACATGTGAAGCATTCATCTTCAGCAGGTGTGCAACGATGTGCTGATTTTGTATACTTGTTGGTTCAGTCATTACCTTCGTCTTGACAAACAGTATGATCTTCTTGGAGCAGTGAATTACTTAGGAAATCTTTACATTAGATGAATTCTATAATTATAAGTTATAGTTAGTTATTTAGGAAATTTTCGTCCAGCACTAGTTTAAGTGACGCATCCGGTTACGACACTGATTTAGTCTTCTGAAATTTGTAGCATGTCAAGTGGATTTGAGAGAGAGATTTGTTTTATTTAAATTGCAAAGTCTTCAGTGAAATCAGCGTTCAGTGTATGCATTCAAGTCTTGGAGACTTTTTAATGCTTTAAACTCGATCTCAGTAGATTATAGATGAATTTTCGTTTAATTTTCTTTTAATTTTCGTTTAATTTTCGTTTAATTTTCGTTTAATTTTCGTTTAATTTTCGTTTAATTTTCGTTTAATTTTCGTTTAATTTTCGTTAATTCTTTTATCTTTCCTATTAGAGAAACTCAAAGTAACAACAGACTTCACAGAGGCCTTTTCGATTATTAACTCTATCGAGCCCAGAATTGCTGCAGAGACTGCTACTTCAAATCTTCTTCCCCTTATTCATACAATTAAACGCCATCTTGTTGACTTTGCAAGGAGTTCGGAAAAAAACAAAACCCTTTTAGTCATATCTTCTCCGAAAGATTCAAAGCCTTCAAACAGGGGAAAGATCGACAGAAAAGATTCTAAAACAAAAGAGATGAGTACTAATAGCTTTAAAGGACACAAAGTGATTCACATCAGCAACGACGTTGAAGGTATTTCTTTTGATTTTAGCATAGTTAAATAATAGAAACGGCTGTGCACTCCCTTATGGTTTTAATTTTTATTAAGTTCTTTTTGTACCTGAGCGTTCAGGGTTTTCAAGGGAATTGCAGTCATGTTGACCTACCAGACCAATATAGACACCCCATTGACTTGGTCAGTCACACTGAGTCAACGATAGAAACAAAATACACAAAACAAAAGTTATAGTAATATTAATAATAATAATAATAATAATAATGATAATGATAATAATGATAATTATTATAACAATAGGAATGGGAACTTAGCTGTGGACATCCTACGCGATGGCCCTAAATTTAGTTCGGTCTGGGAGTTCCCTAGCTGAATTTTAGCGATCATTTTCATCACATCAACCCTAGGGCACTTTATAGCTAGTTTCAGTCTACCAGCTTCGAAATATTTAATTTTATAATTAAGTTTATTTCGTGACAAAAGAAATGAAAACCACTTTGTCCGATTTCACCTGCAGGTAGGCTAGGAAAATGGACTGTTCTAAGAGCTATGGAAAAGTAGGTATTGAAAATATCTGTGTCTACATCTTTTTCACACCGAGTAGTATTTTGGGGCGTGGTTAAGTATTTTGCATTAAGAGCTATTGACGAAATTTTAGGCAAGACTCTGTGCCATAACTTATTTTTATCACTTCAGTTATCGTTATCGTCACAGTAACTCTAGATACCCTCTCAGACAATGGCTTCGAGGTGTCTCACTAAAACAATTGATGTTATTTAAGACTTTTAGGTTCCATACCCTCAAATGTCACTACTGCGGAGAGAATATGTCGTCCAGGTCCCATACATTGGACAGGAAAATCATCGGAGACCGCGGATAAGACATGCCTCATCATGGGTGACTCGATCAGTTTAGGGTACGCTTAAATGAAAGGTTACTAATTGACGAATGGGTGTGGTGAGAGGAGATGAATACTATAAAGAGTAATGTTATTTTATGAGAGCTCGATATAATATAGAGTTAATTCATCCACCTTCTTATTAAGATAGGTAACTTTAAGATGCTTCCTCGATAAAAAGTGCCGGTTCTTCTTTCTTCCAATTCCGATGTTATTTTCAGTGAAAGTGCACCACCCTCATTAGTGCTCCTCAAATTCTGAGAAAGCTCGAATTTCTTTGGCTGCTACATTTCTCCAAAACCTCGGCTTTTAACAGATAATTATGTGGTTGATCGGAATTGCAGTTGGTAGAGTTGAATCGAGGGAGAAAGTAAAATCATTGTTTTTCTCACGAGTAATTTTGGGTGAATCTTACTAGTTAGGAGAGTTACTGGCCCTTTCGCTTACAAAATTAGCCAAAGAATTTCGACAGAAATACACAAAAATTGCGAAAGAGCAGGACTAAAGATTTTTCAGATGGCGTCACAACTGATTTATAATTCACTATGATGCACTCGGTAGGGAAACAGGGGGGGGGAGGTTACGGTGTAGCAGAGAGCAACCCTTTGTAACCTTTCCTTTTGTGTTAAGGAAAGTAGATATCGCCTATTCTCGCTTTCAAAACGGCGGGAAATGATTGACTTTCGAGGAGTCACATTCTACGAGATTTCCCGCTGAAAACGATGTTTAATTGCTTAACTTTCACTGTTGGCTTCTGCACCAGTGATGAGGATTGAGAAAAGAGTTTATATTATCATATTGGTTGCAGTTAAATTTATGATGAGCAAAACAAAACCGTAGTGTTAACTTCAATTTACACTTTGTTTCCCCTTTTAGTTATATGGATTATGTTGTTGAATTGCTCGACGGAGACTGTACTGTCTATCACGCTCCATGGTCTGGTGATGGAGGAAGCTTAGACACGCGCTATATGCTTCAGTGTTTACCCATGTTTCTATCCTCAAGTTTCTACGAACCTGTTCAGTATGACGCCATAATATTTAATGCTGGAATTCATGATATTGACTGCTGCGATTATCATAACGAGGTTAGTGAGATATTTTCTAATTTACCCAAATCGTCATTCCAAAAAGGGAATTTTTGTTTGTTTGTTTGTTTGTTTTTTATTTTTGTTATTTTGTATTTATTGCACTTTATTTATGAAATCACCATCGTTCAGGAAAGCGGTATGATGAGAGTAAGTATTAACATGTTTTGTAGTAATAACGCTTCTTACCTGGCTGAAGCAGCGGGACAGTATAGGGATTGAAAATTTATCGAATTACAATATTTCATACAAATTACTTTTTGTTAATATTTTAATGAGTTCTTAGTGGTGCTTGGGTGGTTTTGAAATTTTCTTCACGTTTGCGTAATAGTGTTTAGCTCCTTTGCTATACAAAAAATTACATCTAAACGATAAAAACAGAAGCAACAAAAACAGATGGTATTGCCAAAATATTCCATTAATTACAATGGTAAGGTTAGTTGTGAGGAACAAAAATTTCTCTCCATATAAGTATCAAAAAAAGGATAAATGGTGCGAATCTTTTCTCGATTTCAGGTATAATTGAGTAGTAAGTATTCATCACAGTTCAACTCAAATCGATGTCGTCTTTTTTTTCTTCTTTTAAGTATGTCCCTCTCAAAGAATACAGAAAAAATCTGAATAAAATCAAGTCGGCTTTATTAAAAACAGGCGCTATGGTTGGCTTCGCGACCTCCACACCCGTCCCATTTAGCAAAAAGATGGACCAGAGGCTTAGACAGTACAACAAAGCTGCAGAAAAGTATGTGAGTTGAAAATAGCTTGTGTTTTTGTCATTAACACACAAAGAACTATTAACGTTTTGACTGCTAGGGTATTATGTGAGTACTATTAACTCCACGTATCGTACGATATGCAATACGGGTTGGCGAGAGTAAATCATCTTCTCGGAAGGTGAAAGTAAATTTACAGTGATAATTCAATTCGATCGACAAAGGCAATTTGAAGGGATTGTTCACAAACTCTCTTTTCTTTCTTGGTCTTACAGAGTTATGAAGGATGATAAATCCATTAAAGTAATAGACCTCTACCACGCTTTAACCGAAAAATGTGGTGGACTGACCAAAACATGCAGTCTATTTCTGGATCAGCCAAATGTAGTAAGTGATGCGAATGGCCGACAGTGTACATATGCTCTAAATAGTTTTTATTCTTTTTTAACAACTTTTCATCGCATGGATACAAAAAGTATGTGCAAAATAGGTAGGGTTCTGCTCAAATACAAGCTTATCAGGTTTATGGGTTGGTCCCTTTTTATCAGGGATGCCTTCCTGACGTGGGTGACCCTCTTCAACTTACAACCTTTGTAACTGAAACACCTGTGGAAAGAGGCACTTCCTTGAGAAATTTGTACTTTAAAATATTATTGAGAAAGACCTTTTCTCTCTCTAGCATCTCAGTGGTGAAGGTTACTTTTTATTGGCTGAAAAGGTCAGTCAAGGATTCAAGTCTTTGTTGAAACGAACAAAGAAAAGAAAGAAAAAAGGTATCAAACATTAATATTTACAAACTTAGTCCATGATTTTTAAAAATCAGAAAGATGTGAGAGAATTGTGTGGATAGCAACGTGTAAAATTAACAAGTTTAATCTTTCAGATGAGGGTTGCCTTTGATAGGACAGTTCAAACCTGGCAATTAAGCATATCAGTGATGGAAAGAACCTTAAGGAAAAAATATAAATGGCCAAGTAGATCTGACTATTTATCCCATTCTAACCAATCAAACTAACGTAAAAGCATATGGATCGAGTAACTGCTTTCAGCTCCATTCAAATATGGGATAATTCTTTTCCACAATTTTGGGGATTGCACTTCGGGATAATGGTGTTAACTGGATATTTCATCATTACAGTATGTAGAAATCCAAATTACTCGTCTTGGTCCACTGTACTCACTTTACTCCACTTTAATAAAGGGGTAAGTTTCTAAAGAAACTGTGGTGCTGCGTCGGTGGGAGAGTATAGCAGGTAATCTAGTGTTAACAACCGGGTTGAAAAAGTAAATTAGCCACCGTAAAGGGTAAAAAAGCTGACGTTTCGAGCGTTAGCCCTTCGTCAGAGCGATACTCCACTTTAGTTCATTACCCTCCGATGAAGACTTTCATTCCTGTTTACGCTTCTCACATTGACGATCCTCGTGGGCGTTCTCCAGCTTACAGAGGTCTCGCCCATTTTGAGTTCGCATCGTACAAGTTCACCTCACGACTTTATATGTTTCATCACCGATTAAATTATTACCCGTATCAAAAAACAGGCATACGTAAAGCTGACACAAAAGTATTTAGACAACATTCTCCTAAATAGAAAATCAGTATAACAGACAGCCAAAAATAAACACACAGTCGCTAAAAAAGATCATTTTATTCTCGACAGTTTCCAAGCAAAACGATGCTCCTCCTGGTTCACTATATTGTGTACCAAAAACAGGAAAAAAGAGGAAAAACATACACAACCTGACAGGTTGTCCTGGAAACACAACCTGCTGCCTAAACGGTTATTCCAATTCTTTCGTTGGCTGTTGTATGTTAAAGGATGCAATGGATTGTGGGGATAACTGGCATTGCTGTCCTAAAGCAACTGTTTGTGACCCTGGCTGTACTGGAAAAAGTTGCGTATGTCGCAAAGCACCTTGGGAATCAAAAGCGTCTAGAACTGCATTTTCTCTCTTGATGAAAGCATTAAATTCATTTTGGAACAAAATAGCTAAAAACTATCCATCCTTAGAAAAATCATGATAGTCGGTCTCGCGTTATTTTGATGATATTTATGATAAGACATTGGTGAGGGTAAAATAATTAAAAAGCGAGTGAAGCAGTAGTAACAGGATCGTAGCTCCTCCCCTGTTGAGAAACTGAAAAGCTATCAATTAACAAATATAGTGGAAGAGAGAAAATCTGATGATAAAGCCTCTTAGTCTAAACTTTCGCTTTTCATATACAAGGAATCATTGCATAAATGTTTTTAAGCCTTATTCACATGGCTGTGCATGTAGAGTTACATAACAGAAGCAAGGATTTGTCGTGTAACGGCCCTGATTAATTATGAAAATATACATAACATTTAAATTTTACAACGGCCGAGCATGAACCTTTGCATGGTATTTTTTTTATCTGACTGTAGATATATGAAAATCGTATATGTCAACTACGGTTGAAGAAACGAATATGGAAGCGATCCTCGAAGTTATGAACACTACTAAGTAGTAATGAAAATAAGGCCTGAAAAACATTCAGGCCCCTACGATACCAGTCGGCGCTCTACCAACTGCCCAACAAGCCAACTTCGAGACTTTATTTGCAACCAACATAATAACCAGCTTCCAGTTGGCTTAATAGCTCAGTTGGTAGAGCGCTGCCCCGGTAACGTAGAAGTCATGGGTTCAAATCCCGTACGGATCTGAATTTTTTTCAGGCCTAATTTTCACTACTGCCTAAGTAGTGTTCGTAACTGCGAAAATTGCTTCCATATTCGTTTTTTTATTTGTTTTTTTTTTTGTATTTTTCTTCGATTTTTAAGCTCCTTTCTGCATTCTTTAGCTACGTTTTTTTCCTTAGTTACTTCAAGTGTTCTTATGTATCTATCATGATAAGGTATCTGAATCATTTCTTGATTAGAGGTATTGAAAGTGCAGCTACAATCGCAAATTTTAGCATAATGTGGTTCTTATATGCACACATAGCAAATTACTGTAAATAAAGTGGACATTATATGTCCGTTTCTATGAAGTAAGAATAAAATTACAAAAGTAAAACACATTTCATGAGCAACGGTCGAGCAAACTAACTAATCCTTTAACTCTCATGAGTGACCAAGACAGAATTTCTCCTTACAATATCGATACAATATCAAGCAGACACGTGATGAGAATAAAGAAAAATGTTAATTAGGGGGATTATTAGTTGATCCCGAATACCAAATTCTCCAAACTAACATCACAAGAACTATATGGGAGACAGTAAGGAGAATTACTGATTAAATCTTGGGAGTTAAAGGGTTAAGAACGTTGTCAAGTTTCTCTGAATGTGGACTGGTACTATAGTGGTGGAAAGAACCGGTGAAAGTGGAAAGGGTTCTGCCAAAAATTAAGGATTATGCCATGAACTGACCAGGACTCAAACCTTCATCTCTGAGTTTCGATCTGAAGTGTGGCGGTCTTCTCAGGGTGAGATCATTTTGAGTAAAAAGGACAAGTCTGCGGATTTACATGTTGGCACCCGTGAAAAAATACAACGTAATTCCCATGCATTTGACTTCGATGTGGTCATAAATAATGGTTTTAATTGGACAAAGCCGGACCCAAACTGTTTGAGATTGTGTCACTTCTAGGCATGTGATAAAACATCTTGGATATCTCAGTCTACCCTAGAGGAAAGCCACGACTGAAGAAAACTTATCATTAGCTTTTACGGTTTGAATTTCCTCTATCCGCTTTTTTTTTTTCGCTTCTGTGTTACCGTGCACGTGAAAGGATTTGGCGGGCTACTGACAATTGATCAAATCGGCCAATCAGCCTGCACTGAACGCACGCACTGAAATTTATGAGACGCAATCGGTTGTAGGATTATTGAGGTATTGGACCACTGTTCGACGGTTATGTATGGGTAATATTGGCAATATTGGTAAAAGGAATCATAAAAAAGTTGACACTGGCTAAAAAGTATATTGTTCTGGACGTTTCGGCTACTACTGTTCAAGCCTTCTTCGGCAAATATAAAAATGCAAATGTCTAACGACGTCCTGTTTGGTATATGTCCACGATGTGTGATAAACCTAAATCTCGAAGGAATTTTTTAAGTGCAATAATAGTCCCTAGAGTATTTTGAATGGCTCTAAAAATTCTTAATGTTATTGTATATGTTTGGTAGCGTTATGTGTTCGTTTATGGTGTTTCTATCTCGCATGGGACGCCAAGCTTCAAGAATTAGTCTGTCGCCACACCAATGACCAGTCAACAATTTCAACACTCTCCAAATCTATTTGGTGACTGTGAAGCATATGGTGTTTGGCCAACAAAGAGTTTTCATCCAATGTTGCTATGGCCTTTGTGTGTTCTTTCACGCGTGTTTTTAGTAAGCCAAGAAGTGACACAATCTCATATGCTTGGCTACACACCGATTATTTTTAACATAGGCAAGATATTCGTTCTTTATTGGTATACTCTCATGTTAGAGGTTTAGCCACCGTAACAAACTGGTTTTTCTAAAGATTTTATTTGAATGTTATTGAACTGTTCAAAACAATTACTCAATATATCTTGACGCAACTGGCATCATTTCCTTGGCGACGTCATTAATTATCCCCGCTGACGCTGAACTGAATGACGGGCGACAAAACGACTTTCACGTCAGAGGTTAGGTAATAAGGAATGTGAAATCACTCATTTTACGTGTAAACCATTTGAGGCAAAAGAGCTTAACACTGTGACGACTAAGGTAGGTATACAGAGTGATGATTATACCTTTTATTACGTTGGAATTGTCAAATGAAACGTTAATGAAATTGTGCGTAAGTGGTATCAAAGCTCGTCTTTAACGAGAACAGTTATACTTAACTTTCTTAGCGAACTGTAGCCATATCTTTTGCGCAGGAAAACGGCAGCTGGGGTGTCGTCTGCCGCTTTAAGCCTTGACAGTAAGCATTCAAAAACGAGTATTATTTTCCTTACGACACATTCTAGTCGAATACGATGAATTGCAAAGCGTAAAGCTGCTCATTCATGCGTACTATTTACGAGTACCTCACCTATAAACTCTACTTGATTCTGACCACAAAGGTGGTGTCTATGTTAAAACATTGTATGTTTATTCTGAGCAAGGGCTTATCCTTTCGCTACCAAAAGAACTGATTAATTGGCTTTCTGCACTTATTTTAGATAAAGCCTTGAAAGCTTTGTTCAAGATGGCAGAATTTTACGAGGATGAAAAGTCAGTTATAATGTGACGAAAAAAATTAACAAGGAACAAATTATTATGAAAAATTTAGGGTTTCTCCGTCAAAATGACGACATTACTTATGTACATCAAGTGATATTTTCCATTTCAAAAAAATCCAGGGTAAAGTTTCCATACAGCCCCATACTATTGTAAAACAAATCTGTTTTCCCAATGGCAATGTATTGTTTTTGTCGTTGTTTTCTCTATTCAAGAACTGAATGCATAATGTAGTATGGGGCTGTGCAGAAATTTTACCAAATCCAGTAAATTAAGAAAAATATTCCTTCAAAGTTTATTTGACGATGTTAGACGGTGTTGACGTTGCACTAACGACAAATTTGTTTTTTGCAAATGGTCCAACACAAAATCCCACGCATTAAAAGTTTTGACGCAAAGTTGTCGTCAATACTTTGTCTAGCCGATCCCACGCGCAGATAGAATATTTGAAGGAAAAAATTTCACCAGCTTCCATTTACCTTGAAGAGATTCTCGTATACACTGGCTCATACTTTTTCTTGAGCATAGCTCTATGAATCTCTTCGTTTCTCGGAAAAGATACTATATATGGACAAATATCTAATAACTTTGACTCGCCCAAAAGACTATTGCTCATATAGTAAAACTAATTCCGCGATGACTGCATGATATCACTAAATTTCGTGCGGAGGATTGAAATAAAGGTTGCTCATACCACAGGCATCCCAAGCTCGCGTCTCGTGAAAAGCGCGTGGGCTCAGGATGTCTGTATTTATCTATATTGTATGGTCACCTTGAACAACAGAGATGTGAACGTGACGTGCTAAAATTAAAATACTCTTATTAAAAGGTAAGGTTATTAACGAAATAGTCGTAATCAACTAACTTTTATAGTTTTGTTGAATGGCATACGACAATGTTTTATTTCCATTCATTTCCCAACACCTTAGTAAGACATAGACCCTAATACAGAAAAATTTTTTTGTGATTAAATTTTTCTTTAAAGTAATTCTGTTTTCGCTAGTTTAGATTATCGGCCAACGATTTACTTAATATGTAATAAGGTTTTTGTTATCTACACTTCTTAGTCATAGCAGTTTTCAAAGTGCGTTTTTACGTTTTACTGCTCAGGTTGTTTTAGATAATAATTATTTTTACCTCATAATAAATTCTTGCTTCATGGATATCTTTTTATGGCAGTTCAGGTTTTTAAACTTATTTTTTGACCCTCTTCCGGTTGACGCCAAAAGATGTCAGTGAACAGCAAGTTTTTGAACTGCTACTTTTAAATCGTACCTTTGATGTTAGCTAGATCGACATAACGTTTTCACTTTATTTTCAACATCTTGTAGATAGATACTATACAGAATGGTAGAATGTCTAATGGTAGAATATGTAAACATCATCCTTGTTCTTTTTTTTTTTTTTTTTCTTTGCATTTCCTTCGGAGGTTACATTGATCTCTTTAATTGTTCAATGACTGAATTGTAGTTGCTTCTGTCCTGTCCTACACACGGTATCTTCCCCAGGAAACAGATTAGAATATACTCGACTGCCCACACCCAATATTTTACCCAGTAGGAAAAATTATGGTCGGTGTGCTTAAACCATGTTTGGCCAAGAAAAATAATGGATCACTGTGCGATGTAAGTGTCTGACTGTTCCTCTCTTCCTTTTTCAATCTTCTTAAATGTTTTTCTTACCCCAAAATAACACTTTTGTGACGATATCACTGAATTTTTATGTTATCAGTATTGACATAAAAAAAACACCGATGTATCGTGACAAACACGGCATGACCAGCCACGCTGATTTAAGGGATCATCACCGGGAAGGTGGCTTCGTCTCAGAACTAGTTCCTAAAGACGTTAGTTCCGATTTGTCCCAGTTAAATATCTTACACAGCGTTATTTCGGCAAATTTTGACCAAACAAGAGTAATCGCTTCGAAGACCGTTTACAAATGAGCTTTATATTTTGTTTGTTTCAGTGAGTAATCTCAATAACTTTAAACAAATCATCTCCAAAACAACGTCGAAGTGAAACATCTATTTAAACCCGTCTTCGATTATTGGACGGCAGTCAAACAAAGGCCTCAGCACTTTGAGAAAATTTTCCTTTCTTCTCGACGGTCGACCGGAAATCGGAAAGCTTTAACCAAGCTTGACGTCATCAAACTTACATAACGAAAGGCGTATCGCGAGAGTCATCAGAAGACGCTACAAACCACTAATTTCACAGTTAGATCAGAAGTGGCTCGATATATCAACACCGAGGCAACTGAGGTAGGAATGTACCACATTCATCATGTCATAAATTGCATTGAAATTTAATCACAATCGAGTCAAAGTTCTGATAGTCATCCTCTAGCTTTTATGTCAACTGCGGCCAAACATTGCGTTCCTGTAGCCGTGCTGATGCATTAGATTGTATCGTCACCCTGAAAGCTAGTGTTTCGTCTGCCACTTTTCACTTTGGGCAGTTAGCATTCAATGGCGAGTCGTGTTATTTTTCATAAAATGTTTATTCGAATACAATACAATACAATTAATGGCAATCTTAGTAAACGCAAATCGATGTGCTGATGCGTTCTGTTCAGCTACCAGTACAAGATGGTGCAGGGCTCATAGCGTGACAGAAGTTTTTCACTTTCTCACAAGCGGATGGTAAACAAGCAATCAATAGTTTCTTGCGCATCAACTCGACTCTATTTACAGAATGTTTGAGCACGTTAAGACGCGGTTTATTTATGCGCCTCTGAGGCTTCCGCTTTCTTCACAATAGCAACGGAACAATTGGCTGTCACATCTATGAATTATTTTAGGACTGAAAGCTTAGGGGTCAACATACCGAAGTCATTAGCAAATGCAAATTCGCTTAATGTCACTCAAGAGTGAGTGCTAAAGCTGTCGAAAGCAAACCCGCTCCGTTAGATGTTAATTATTTTAAAAGAGAAATTAAGAGCTACCTAGCTGTAAGCTTATAATTATTCAAATGCTTGTGTCAGTTGAATTTGAAACACAGAGACTCAATACTTGGAAATGCCAAGCATTTCTTTCAAATTCTACATTCTCTCGTAAGTGTGCTAGATGACTACAGATTACCCTAAAAAGACTCTCCGCAGATTTAATTTTACCCTCAGAAGCTTCACAGCTATCTTCATCTTAAGTTAAACATTTCAACATTGTGACCTACTGTTGCTTCTACGTGAAGACATTATGGAAACGCAACTTGATATAATCAACTTGATATGATCAAGTAAAGAGAGCCCTCTTAGCTCACATTACCGGTACGTCAATATCCTGGCTAAGGAAGAGGACTTCACGTGACCTAAGATGCTTTTCACCTAAATTTTAAAGTTCAAACGGAGGATTTTTAGTCTTGGATGAGTCTCCTTCACGCACCTTCTTTACGATCCCACGCGAGCCTCGGGCATTTAATTAATCGAGAAGCGTGGTGCGCTGTTGGGCCTGGACAACGATAACATTATGAGAGTTGTCTGTTGCTTAAATGTTAATATATGGAAGAACAAGAAATGTACTGAGTAAGCCGTTTGGTCTAAGGCTAACTGCAATTATAGTTAAACTTAATAGATGTTATCAACATGATTTAGGCTTGGGATTTCGGATAGGGTTATCGTTAAAACTGAAGACCAGGTTCGGGAGATTTTATTGAGAAAATCACTAACTTCTGGTTCAAGTTATCCCTTATATACACTCATTTCTCATTTTTGTTTCATTTTCGCAGTTTTCAGCGACTTCCCTCGAAAAAAGACCTCAAAAATGTTAACGCTTATGGTTATTTCTACCCTGGCCGAGGCAGCGTTTCGTTTTAAAATGTATCCGGACATTGTATTTGTGAAGAGTTTTCCCCAGATGTAAACCTTTTCACTGCTATTGTCTCCTCTTTGTCTTTCAATAGATTTGATTTGCGGCTTTAATATGGGAGGAGTAAATTCAAAGAAACTCAAGGCGATACACGGCTTCACGAAAAAATCAATTGTTGGAAGCAGAGAAGAACTTACCGAATGTGAGTATAACTGAGTCACTTAGCCTGAATATAACTTTTAAAAGTCGTAGAGCTGATAGTTTCTCCGAGTTTTTGGACGGGTTAGAGGTATCTAGGCTTCTACAACAGAGGGCCTATTTGCCTCAGGCTTGTCCGTACTGGTCGTCAGGATCTCTCTCTTTCCAGCCACCGTAGGAATGGAGAGAGACTCGGCGCGATCCTGAAAAGCAGTGAAATTTATGATCTTAGAAGAATGTTGGTGAGTCGACGAAAATGATAATATATTCCGGCTTCAAGTGGGAGCACAGGATGTGGAATGTTGAGTTCATAATAATCTTGTGTTTTGAATCCATAGGGGAAAACATGGGATTTAAACTTTACCGAGAAAGAATGGGAGATGAGTTATATTTCAAGAAAATGAAAGAGGCCGACGAGGTATGTCTATTTCTGATGCATTCAAGATCAGGGAAAATGTTAATTCCCACAGGCGAACCCAGCAGTGTATTATCCATAGAAAACAATGCAAACAAAAAATTTCGGGACACCTTGATGAAAAAATCTTCAAATAGCCACGGGGTGCAGGCTGCCTCTTTGTAATCCGTGACTTTAACTGAAATAGCTCTACTCCGTCGCTGATTGGTCGGCTTATATAGTACTTTCCGATCAGGGACTTCTATTTTGAGTCAAGGCTGCTAACCCAAAATAAAAAGTTAGACTTCATTTGGATTTCTCTTATGTAAAAGTGTATTTTAGAAAAAGGATTTTGGCGGTGTCGGCTTAAAATAAAACAGGTGTTGGCATAAGGTGTGGACAAACTAAAGGAGACAGAACATTGACAAATGATAGCAAACAGGGGCAAATAAACTAAACACTATTTCTTGAAAAAGATATTGAAGAGATTTTCTCGTGCAGCTAGTGACGTCTTGAAACAGCGGCTGAAGTCAGTTATCAGCCTTAATTAAGAGATTATGATCTCTTGCATAAATTGATTTGCAGACTGCTCCAACACAGTAGACGAAGGGGTCTTTCTTTGTCATTATACGGCAACATATCCCAACTTTTAATAACGACTTAATTTTATGCGTTTTTATTAGCCTCCACCTGACCCTGGACCCCTCAGTGCATCACAAATGGCTCGATACGTCAAAAAGTACAAAACCCGTTTCGCCTTAAAAACTCTGATTACTCGTCAACGTGGGACCCACGCTAAAGGTGTTGGGGCTATAGGAACCGTAACAGTGGTAGAAAACCCTCTTCTTCCCGAGCACGAATTCTTCAAAGTGGGGCACGTATTCCCAGTCCGCCTCCGCCATTCCAACCTCGTGCGAACGGATGATACTCAATTAGACGTAAGGGCGGTGTCTCTGAAGTTTGCGGACAATGATTTCGACTCGCCGTTCGATTTGATGATGCATACGGGTGAAGAGGCTGCTTTTTGGAACATAGTTAGTTTTGATAGAATGTTGACAGCATTGGCTGGGGGTCCAAAACTATTCAAAGCTTTCTGCTTGGAGGATCCATGGCAGTAAGTCCGTCAAGATTTTTTTAAATTACATTACATATCAGACATAGAATGCTCAGAGGCTTTTGTGTATCGTACTTTTATTTATATTTTATAACATGTTTATATTGGAAAATATTGACTTTGATACGATATAAATCGGGTTAAATCGACCAGTTCTCGATTTCATGGGAGAGTGAAAACGGAATTATGCTCATTCAAAGGTGCAGTAAAAGAGACTACGCTCTGTAAAATTATATAAAGAAAAAAATGTCTTACAAGATGCCTATATTGACTCTTTAGACGTTTTTAACTGGCTAATAACTTTGCCTCCAGCTTCCACTTAGCCATAGCAGTTTTCCGACGAGCTCCTAAGTCGTTTACTGATCAGCGGTATTACTCGTGGATGGCGTTTGAATACAAAGCGAAAGATGGTGTACCACGTTACGCAAAATTTCGCCTCGTTCCCGCAGATGACAGAGAGGAGACTGGTTTGATGACAGAATACGACCAACGGAAACCATGGTAATTTTTTTGTGTTAACAATTTCCTTCCATGATCGTCCAAGGATATGATTATCGCTTGAGAGTTTCATGATCAGATAGCAGTGATAACAGCCGAGATGGTCAATACTGTATGTCCAGCAACAACTCTCCCCAGCCCGATTTGCCGATGACAAGTTTATACTACCTTTTTTCATATAACATTGAGTATTATTAATGATAGGCATGCTTCGAGGTGCAGCCTCTCAGACAAAGCATGGAAGAAATTAAGGGAATACTTGGGACTTTGTTCGTTGATTTGGTGGTGTATCGGTCTCTTGTACTCTTGTTCTGTTGATCATTTGGTGTGTTTTTGTCTGCTGGTCTGTTTTATTGCTAATTTGATGAGAAATCAAGATGAATTGTTCACGAGAAAGTACTCAATCAAAACCAAATGGGACGTTCTAAACAGACGAAACTTCCTTCATTCTAGGGTGCCTGCTAGATGGGAAGACGAAAAGAGACCCGAGAGTTACTTAATCCCAGAATTCATGAATCAGATTGCTGAAGGGGAAGTAAAATACAAGCTTCAAATACAACTGCACGAAATAAAACCGGATGACTCACATCTAATTTTGCACGCAGCCAGGGCTTGGGATCAAAAAACACATCCCTGGTTGGATCTTGCTGATGTCACTCTTACGTCAGTGTTGCCAATAGAGATAGTAGAGCGCACTCGTTATTCATTGGAACATCGCCCCCTATCGCTGGGCATTCCTCCTGCTGACACAATTTACGACTACAACTCCATTGCTTACTTGAGGTCGAAAATTTATCCCACATCGAATATGATGAGTTCAAACAGGCCTCGTAAAAAGGTATCGAGAGAGCAGATGCTATCCGAAGTTAGTTATTGCGTCAAGGTGAAAACTGGAAATCGTAAGGGAGCAGGAACTGATGCGAAAGTTGCTTTGACGATTACAGGTAAGCCTTCCAAAAGTACGATGTACAAGATGGTAGCAATACGTTTTCATTTGCCCCGCAAATACAAGCGCAATCATGCACAACATTATCTCTCATTCGTTTCTTAACCGTGGAATATATCGGCATGATCAATAACAATAACATGACAACCAGCAAAAACCATATAAGGCAATTCAAATCATTTGTCTTTGCACTTAACCTTACTGAGTCTCCTGAGTGTTATTAGTCTGGGAAATAAATACTTTAGCATTTGTGTGTGGGTCGCCAGTGAAAACCATGATTGATGGTATAGCGGCCTTAATCGATTGCAAAGTTGTCTAAAGCATGGGTCTTCCTCAAAATTCTTCTTCTCTTCATTCTTATTTTCGGAAGTTCTCTACGTGTAATGTCTGCAACACTAAAAGGATTTTACACGTAGCGTATCACCGTAAAGAGTTGACTGTTACTGATACCAGTAGTGTCAAATAACAAAGTAGTCCTATGATTTCATTCTTTAATTTCATTGTCAGGTTAATGTCCCTATACCAATAACGGGTCAGTTTACAACGGGCTATTTATTTTAGCTGCTTTATACCTTAAGGATTCTTAGAAAAGAAGGTCACATTAAGGTACTTGGGCTAAAGACCAAATCTGTTTCTAGGGACTAAGGGAAGAACAAAGCCAGTTACCCTAGAAAAATGGTATCGCAATAACTTTCAGAAAGGACAGGAAGACACTTACATCATTAATGCAGAGGATGTTGGCGAGCCTTTAATTATAAAACTCGAGAATAACCAGGGTGTCGGATTCCATCGCTCCAGTGATTGGTTCGTTGACAAGGTTGAGATCAATTGCAGCTCAAACAGTCAAACAGTTTACGAATTTCCATGCTACGGATGGGTGCAGCAAGAGGCAGTTTTCTTTGAAGGGAAAGGTAGGTAGAAAACTACTTTCTTCTGCATAAGTGTCACACGACTGAGCGGAGCCCAAAGCGTATGGTCAGAATTAAAATTCTTCATGCGAAAGAAAAGCTAAATGACCAGACTTTGCATGGTCGGTTGGGTCTTTGTTACTGGAGAGTTGTTGTATAAAGTAAATTTGTATCGGCAATTACAGAGTTGCAATTGCATTTGCGTCACTTTGCATTGACAAAGTGTGCTACAACTTAGTTGAGCTTCCCTAAAGACCGGTGAACTTGTGACCTTTTTGTAATTTCAAAATAGCTGGATAGTCCACACGAAGAAGCCAAAGATTTAGAGTTATGCACGAATTTCTAAAGGTGAAATTCATCTTGACTCATCCCTTTCTTTTCTCATGAGACAATTTAAAACTAACTTTCATGATGTGCAATTTTGTCCCTTTTAGCAAAGTTGATAACAGATGAACAACACGAGGTACTGAAAAAGCAACGACGCCTTGAGGTTCAAAAGCGGCTAGAAATATACCAGTGGGGAGATGATCCCAATTTTGACGGATTTCCAGGGTTTATCAAATCCGAGAGCGTGAGGACACTTCCAAAAGACGTACGATTTACAGAAGAAGCAATCGATGACCTCTACCAGGCAAAGCGAAAAGCGTTAATCAACCTAGGGCTGGTTAAATTGCTGAACATGTTTGAGTCTTGGGAAGATTTTCATGATTTCAAGAAGGTAACAGATTAACACTACAGAATTGATGCCCAATTTCAGATCTTGAACATTCTCATTTTCAGATGCTAACAAACACTACTTTTTAGGCGTTCGTCTCTTTTGTTGGAGAGGTTCCTCTGGCCTCCAAGCGCTGGCAAGATGACCGTTTCTACGGAGCACAGTTCCTTAACGGCTGCAATCCTGACACGATCATGCGATGCTCAAAACTTCCCTCCAACTTTCCCGTGACACAAGAGTTGGTTGGCAATCTCCTAGATGCGGGTGATACACTGCAAAACGCAATAAAGGTACGGATCTCTACTCTTCACTGAGTATCAAATTCGATCGTTAGTATCAAATATCTAGATAAATGTCAAGAACTCAGGAACTTTTAGGGAGAACAAGACAGTAAACATCTGTAACGTAGAGAAGTACAGCAGTTTTCAATTGAGTGTCCCTATACCTGTCACTTAATTGAAAAGTAATTCCCTCAACCAATCATAACAAAGGTTTCATCATCATTAGCCAATGAGACCTAAGAGTGAAAAGAAGCAAATTGCTTGAAGTGCGGAAAAACGTGAGTTATCAAGTTTTTAGTTTTACATCTTATTGGTTGAAAGGATGGCGCAAGTCTTCTGGACCAATCACAGAGCAGGGTTAAGTTAAACCAAAGCAATCACGGATCACTTTTGACATGCACTCAATTGCAAATTGTTGAATGACCAAAGGCTTCCCCAACTAAAATTTAATTTTGTGGTGTCGGAAAAAAAACCTTTCTAATAGGATCCGGAAGCAAAATAAACAAATTGAATTATATACTCCAATGGATTTTTTGAGAGCATTTCTCACTCTAGCTTGCAATTCACCAGAAAACTATCCCTTTTCTAAAGAGGAACAATTACTTTCCGAGGAAGATGTCGGCAATAAGAGTTCTTTGTATGGAACATTAAGTAAAGGCTTTTATCACTGTATCATTTTCAGGATGGCCGTGTGTACATGGTAGATTACGAGATTCTTGACGACATTCCACATTATGGCCAAAACGATTCAAAACTAGAAAGGCGCTACACGTCTGCATCTTTAGGTTTGTTCTATGTTCGAGGTAGTGGGGATGTAGTGCCAATAGCAATTCAGTTCCATCAAGAGCCAAGTGAGACAAACCCAATATGGACCCCAAATGATTCTGAGCTAGACTGGACCTACGCCAAAATGTGGCTTCGCAATGCTGACTCACAATGGCATCAAGTAAGTCTTAAAATGTCAGTCCTGTATTTCGAATCCTAGCAAGACAATACTACCCTTTTGAATCAATGTTTCTGTCTTAACGTATTTCTCTCAATATTTCTTATAGAATTTGATCGAAATTTCCTTTGCATTAACAGATGATAACCCATCTACTTCGTACTCATCTTTTCATGGAGCCTGTCGCTCTTGCCAGCAGGAGGCAATTGCCAGCACTCCACCCCTTGTGGAAATTATTGTCCCCTCACGTGAGAGGAGTTCTGGCCATCAACACGCTTGGAAGAGAGAGACTTATTCCTGCCGGAGGTGTGGCGGACAACACGCTTAGCCTGGGTGGTGGAGGTAAGGCCAATGGAGTGTACATTAAATATGAAAGCGACCTTCGTAAACATTACTGAAGTAGTAGTGAAAATAATGCCTGAAAAAATTCAGGCTTGTACGGGATGTGAACCCATGACCTCTGCGATACCGGTGCGGTGCACTACCAAATAGGAGCTGCTTTTTATGTTGGTTCGTAGTACACTCGCGAAGTGATGGATCAATGACTGTGAATATATTAAAATTATTTTTGAGAATTTTTTTTTTCAGATGTTCTGAATTTTTTTCAGGCGTTTAATTTTTATTTCTGCTTAAGTAATGTTCATCACTGCGAAGATCGCTTACATTTTCATTTCTAAAACCGCAGTTCACAAGTATGATATTTATACGTTAAAAGTGGTTGAAGTGTACATGGTTACAAAAATTTAGGATCTATTTTCCCTCAGTGGTGTTCTTAGTGCTGGGACTGGCGCAGAAGAGCAAATCAATGAAACGTATTTAAATGAAAATATTATGGGTGTTAACCCTTAAATTGGAGAGAGGAAGACCAGTGGAATTCTGGCTTTTCTATTCAGGGTTCATACCACTCAATCAGGTTGCGTCCAGTCTTTAATGTTGCCTTAATGCCATACAAAAGGATGGTGGCCAAAGACTAAATGAGTGCAATGTATGATCGCCAGTTTTGCTCTATAGACGTGGATGAGGCTACTCTTTAGCTGAGGAAATTTAAAGATTATTTATTTTACAGTGCATGGTGTCTTCTTATCCCCAGGTCACATAGCTCTTATGAAGAAGTATTACAAGAGCTTAAGCTGGTCATCGTATGACCTTCCCAAAGTGTTAAAAGAGAGAGGGGTTTTTGATGCAAATAAGCTTCCTGGCTTCCACTATCGAGACGACGCCTTACGTCTGTGGCAGGCTATCGGCGATTTCATCAAAGACATTCTATCAGTTTACTACCATTCTGATCATGACATTCAAATGGCAAGTATTGTGTTTGTGTTACATCCCAGTGTCCCTCTGAGGTTAAAAAAAAAAGTTCTCGTGAATGCTCTTTATATTCTAGTGTTCTTCTTGTACGTCATTAGGTTAAAACCCTGGACGTACTCATCCTTCATATTTCTTTTAGCATTTTTCTTAAAACCGCATGCAAACATATCCACTCTAAATACTAAGCAGTTCTAGACGACTCGTGTATCTGAGAGTCGTTGCTCGTTGGGATATAGCTTATTGCTGCATCGTCAGCCATTAATTCTCAACGAATATATCTATATCTCTTAAATGCAAAAGCAACGATTCCAACTGTTTCAACCAGGTCTTTTGAAATAATGGTTTAACAACTCTTCACAGGACACAGAGCTCCAAGCGTGGATTCTGGATCTCCACAACAATGGTTATCCTGTGCGTAACGGGGAGACATGTCATGGCTTCCCTGTATCGGTTAATAGCATCCCAGAGCTGACACATCTGCTGACTATCATAATCTTCACCTGCTCGTGCCAACACGCGGCTGTGAATTTTTCTCAAATGGATACTTTTGGTTTCCCGCCAAACGCTCCCGCTCTGATGCGACAGCCGCCTCCCACAAGGAAGGGAGTTGTAACCATAAAAGATGTCATGAAATGTTTACCAACAAAGCATCAGGCGGGAGTAACCATAGCAACAGTGTATGATTTGACACGCATCTTTCCAGACGAGGTAATTTTAATTCAGGTCAGCCTGATTCAAAATATGACCAGGGGATGTGGGGAAGATAGCCAAATTGATCAAAATGCGACATATTTAAGTATCCATTATTGTGAATGGTGCTGGATATTGGTTGAATTCAAGTTTGAACACGAGACTCACTGTTACCAAAGATTGTTCAGGTTACGGTAGCTTCAAGAAACAATTAGGAGTTGCCACGAGACTAGGATAAGTTGAGGCATGTCAATCAAAGGTCACCCCCAGCATTTTAAAGGGTTTGACTCACAGTTAACGACCCTTGGAACCCATTTATCTTCCTGGTCGGAGGGAGACTAAAAGTCTCATCGACCTCTTTATCGGACAAAGCTGACGTGCTGACTTATGGATAACTCTTCCTACCTTCACTTATTAAAAAATCATCCGTTTTTTTTCTCCCCAAGCGTTTCCTTGGTGACTATACGGACGGCCTATTCACCGACAACGCTGCATTGGAAGCAATTCTACGCTTTCAAGGAAAGCTCAATGAGATTTCCAGCGCAATAAAGGAAAGAAATAAACGGTTAGAGGTCCCTTACGAATATCTTCTGCCAGAGAGAACACCAAACAGTATAGCCATTTAGAGATACTACAAAAGAGAACAGAATGGCCAGAATACTTGTCGAATAAATGACTAACTACATCATGGAAGAAAGCTACCATACCAAAACTTCGTTGTTACTGAGGGGTTAATCTATATCTATGTCTATAACCAGATAGGAAACAAAGTTTACACTGCTTCTTTTATTATAGAAAATGGAAATGTTAAATAACGGAAGAGCTAACCAGAAGAATATTTGGCAATTTTCTAGTGATACTAGCGACATCATCTGCTACCTTTTTGGTTAATTTTACCATTCCACCAATATTTGTAAAATGCTGTTATCGTTTAGGCAATTATTTTAATGATCATAATCGAGGAACTCGGAGTATCCCTCTCATTGAATGCACTCCGATTGCGTTGCATTGTGGTAGCGTTATTTTCAACATGGTGGTGAAAGTGGCAGAAATCAAATAAGTTGGGGTGTTCCTTTTTCCTTTCACCACGGGTAAATTATATTTGATTTATTCTGAATGTTTATAGGTGTTCTCTGTACGTATTTGCCGCGTATTCAATCGTTCTCAAGGACAAACACATTCACTGATTTTTAATTTGCTTTGATCCTTCTTTAACAGCTCTGACCAAACGCTCTCCAACGGTACTCGTGTTTTATTCATTTTAAGTGCTGATGTTCGAGACCGGCTAAGGCCGCAAAAGGCTTGTTGGTGTGTGTGTAGTGTATTGCGTTACATAACGTCACTATTGTAGGGACATTTCCTATATCTACTTAATCGTATTGTAATTTTACTTTCTTTAATAAAAGTAAATCAAATAATCGCCAGTATTGTATGCTAAATCTACTATCTTAATCAAAGAGAGACAATTGAATCAGCAATGAAAGGAGTCACTTAACCGAATGAGTAACTTAACATTGCTCAAGTAGACAAGCCCGGTAAGCCAGTCAAGCGTTTAAGAAAGGTGTTTGACTGGCCAGAGCAACTCCTGCCATTCGCTAGCGCTTTTAAATCTGCTTCCTTCAATTTAAGCGCTTATTAGGATAAGCCAGATGAGATTGTGTTACAAAAGGTAATATTTTCTTCTATGTAATTTGTTTTTGTTAAGTGTACTTTCTATCTCGCAAAAAATAACTCAAGATACTTTTCTCAAAACCTTCATCTAGATATCCTCTATTCTTTGAGCGTATTTTGAAACTTTGTGCGTTTATATTAAACATGGATCGTGACGAATTAGTTCTCAAGAGGCGTAGCGCTTCTTTTTTTACGGACTTCGTATTCCGACGCCCGGTGAATGACACGAAAAAAAAGAGTTCGTGGTCTAAAAGGTCTATGTTATGCGTTTGCGTGTCAAGGGTCGATTCCCTGTGAAATAATCGTGTTTAGAAATGTAATTTGTGAATTTGATATTATTTATAAAGCTATCGGCTGAGAGTGTAACTGTTGCCATTTCTGCAGTTTCAATTCTTTATGAATCTTGTCAGTTCCTTCCTAGGAACAAATTCGTCGCGGTGGAATGACAGGAGTCGCGCAGGCCCATCAACACTTTTAAACTTTCGAAGGAATGACAACAAACGATGAATCCTCATTGCATTCCATGTATATTCACGCTATTTTTTCGCTGTCATCTAACATGTTCACCCGACCACGACAACATGCATATGACTTCCTGTTTCTTTTACGACCATGATGCAACGTCATCAGTGCGCGCACACCGCCTGGTTATCACCTCAACAGGGGAACTGAGTAGAAAAGAAGTCAACATGTTCGCAAAAAAGGTCAAAGCCCCTCAGGAAAATTCAGCTCCCGCGTTGAAAAAGCCGCTGATCCTCTTTGCTCGATCGCCGTTTCCTTTTCTTGTTCCAGTGATTTCTTACTGTTTCCTTTTCCTTGTTTTTTTTTACCTCCTACTCCACGATCCACACATTCCATTCCATATTTTACCATTTTCATTTCAGTGCACCCTGTCGCTGTTCCCTTCTCCCTCTTATTGTTTTTCTATTCCATGAGCACTCACTTTTTTTGTCGCTATCTCCTCCCCACTCCACCTCCTCGTTCGCACTTTCACTAACAGCTAATTTAGAGAAAAAGCTACATGAACTCAATACGTTAATAGTCTGTGGGCCAGCTAATCATGTATTAAATTTACAGTAATTTTCTGGAATACGCAATCGATTAGTGTGATACACTTAAAGTGAATAACAGATCCCCCGAAAATGGTGGATTCATCGGTGAAATGTGGTCATAAGTTTCAGAATGAATTGATTTACCATTCTGTCATTCACTAGTGTTGGAGAACTACAAAACGTAAACAGAAGATATGCATTGTTTATAAGGTCAGCACAACTTCCGCTGGAGTACGCTAATTGCATCCCAATACGTGCCGAAACAACTTTTGAAAGAATTGAGAAGATTTTCCCTATATCAACTACGAGGTTCAAAAAAATTTTAAAAATTGTAGTTAGCTCATTCAAAGTCAGCATTACCTTCTTTTTTTCTTTTTGGTAACGAACCTGAGCTCCGAAATGTAACTGAAGTACCTGCATTGTGTCTGTGTTGTGTTCTAGTCTACCTCTCATAAATTGTAATAGCCTCACCTGGTGTAAGTAAATATTGTTTAGTATGTAGAGTAAGCTAATAATTGATTTAAAATTCGTAATGCAAGTGGAGTAGGAATCGTATAATTTGTATTGCAAGCTAGTATTAGAGAAAAAATCATTTTTAAGTAGTCTTAAACATGAGTATTGATAAATATATATAGAAAAACCGGGGGGTAGTATTGTAAGTAACGTGTACATTGTTAGTATCGTAATTATTGTAAGTGATTTTACGTAGAGTTAGTATGGCTCTGTTGTATGTAAGTTGAAAGATAGTCTTTAAAGACAACTTCTGAAAAAAAAAAAAAAAAACCTACGAGATTCATTCTCTTCTTAGTTTTTCCAAGGGAGTAGAGATATTAGAGATAATCAGTGATATCAAAGAAAAACCCGGAAAAAATTGAGCCCCCCGTGGAGGTAATCATGATAAAAATCTAAAATTTTTCCATCGCGTTGGGGTGCAACCAACAATCAAATGAATCAAAGCAACGCAACTTTTCAAAATTTTCTTGGCTTTGTTACAGGAAAATTGATGAGGCTGCACTGGGTCAAATAGAGTGCATAAAAAGGTCAAAAATCAAAATAGATTGGATCTTCGATCAACTCAGTTCTTAAAACCGTTTTAATTGTGTATGAAATGCTACTCAGCATTACTGAATGCACTTTGTGCAATGAGAATAATTTAGAAATCTCTGAAAGAAGTTGAGCGTGGGCATTATGTGAATAGCACGTTCCGTTGCTATCAACAACAACCACATGGTACACAGTAGTGTCCTTCATTACGTGACAGATATGTTATCATCAGAGAACTCGCGCTGCCTTCATTGTCCTCGTCAGACGTCAGTACGTGGGCATAACTATAGAGTTATCCAAAGAAAAGATTCCGAGGATTGCGTCATAAACAACAGTATTACCATATAAACGCAACATAAACAGTCAAGCGAATGCAAATGCAAATACAGTACACAATTCTCACTTATATTTAAAGTTTATTCGCGGATAATATTGCACCACATATTGCTATCACAACTGCTGCAAGAGCATTTTGAAAAAGAAATGCAAGATAACGTGACCGAGAAATTTTTTTAAGTTGTATCAATTTTCATTATGGTTTGTCTTTATAGGAGTTTTAAGCTTCAATAATGCGTTCCATTTTACTTTTGAATGTTTACAAGAGAGCAATTAGCCAAGGTTCAATGATCTAAAGAAAGACCCAGAGTTGATTAAGCTCCTCGAGGGCATACTAAACAGGTTTGTTTACTGAGGGTTCTCTATCGCTAGGAAACACGTATTTTCAATATTTATCTTAAATGACGTGACGGAAACAACCAAAGACGAGGGTGTAAAGATTCAAAGACATGAGGGAATAAACAAAAAAAAGAAACACAATTTAGCAACAAGATCTACACGGTGAAAACGTTTCAAAGGTACGTGTTAAGCGCTGCGACTTGCATGTGTCGCCGAAGGGTCCTGTAGAATGTTTCAAGACAAACTAGTCTATCGTCACGAGCTCAAATGATTTTAACCTTGCTTATGAGCAATTCGTACCCTCTTCATTTTGACACTGTACTCTGCACATTTCGTCTTAACTCACGGACAGCTCCCGTCGTCCGATAAATAAAATGTTTCATTTCATCAGCGAAGCAATGTATCACCAGGCCGTTAAACGAAACGAGATGAGATGACTCAAAAGAGAGACCCAAGGCTTAGCCGACTCCACCTGACGAAATGAGTTTTAAAGTCCTTGTAACTTACAATGTGTTTTGAAAATTACAACGGAATCAGTTTTGTAGTCGAATACGAGACGTGAGGGCGAACTAGCGTCGCTTTAGCCATAGTAAGCAAATTTAATCATAAATTACGTTCAAAGAGCTCACTTTGCGAGTGCAAATGAAAAAAACTGATGGTATTATTATTATTATTGTATGAAGAAACGTTTAAATATCGTTTAAGTTGTTTCAGTATCAATTATGCGCTATTCCTGACGCTTCATGGCGAATTAGCCTTGCAAATGCTTTTTCTCCTTTCTCACGTCACGACAATAGATTCCTGTTTTGAACAATTTTATCGGTGATGTTCCGCTGGACGAAAAAGTCAATGCACCAGTAAACATGCAACGTGTTTGTCGTCTTTTATTTTGCCCTTCATTCCACGGAACATGGACTGAGCCAGATCATGACAAATTAGCTAATGTTATCTTTTTTACTTATAACATAAAAGCAGAATATCCAGGTAAAGATGGGGATTATTCCTTCAAAGAGGAAGAAGAACAAAGTGATTGGAACTATTAAGAGGCCGACGATTGAAGTAAGCGAAGAACAAGAACCATGTAAGTAGAGAAAAAAGAAACTGTCTCAAAGAGAGCATATTTATCCTCTCTTGCTGTCTCTAAATGTTATTATATCCAATGTAAACGATTTGAACTAATTTTGGGAGTTGTATGTGTATTTCAACAGGGAAGAATATGGGATTCAAGATATTTAAGGAATCAGTGGGAGTGGAATTGTTTGAAAAAAAGATGGCAGAGGCAGACGAGGTGAAGAACTTTTTCATAGAATTTTCATCAAAATTTCATAATCAATATAGCTTTTGTCTCGGTAACGCAATCGCTAACGTCACCCTCATAATTCATAATCGCCATCATTGTTATCAAAATTAGAAACGATTTTCGTCTAGGGTTACCCTCTGTTTAATTTTTTGTCGTTTTTGTTCTCGCTATTGTATTTTTTGTTGTTTCATCGAAATCTTTTTCCCATACATTATCCAAAACACAAAACACCAGTATTGAAGACTACAGCAAAAGGTTATCCGTCTTGTCACGGTCATGAGGGGAGTGGGATAAGGAACAAATCTGACTTCTTTTAAGGAATAGAACCCCGCACCTGCGGTTTCCGCGTTGCGATGCGTGACCGTTTAACTACACAGAACTCTGTGATGAGTTAAACCATTACTAAGTTCAAATGTGATACATGCCCTGCAGCTGCATACAGCTAGGATCAACAGTGCTGCACGTTCTTTGCAAGAAAAATAGCATGTTTTTCTATAATCAACTACAGGATGTTAAATTTACCGACCTTCCTATGTTGTTTGTGTTTAAGGCCTCTCCAAATATAACTGTGATTTGTAAGCATGACTGATGTCGTGTTTTTGCTTCCCTTTACAGCCTCCACCAGAAGCTGGACCGTTCAGTGCGTCACAATTAGCACTTTATGTAAAAAAGTTTCAAGCCGGCTTTGTTCTCAGGTCACTTGTTACACAACAGACGAGAGGTGTAGGTGCATCTGGGGTTGTAACAGTCCTAAACAACCCTCTCCTCCCTGCCCACGAATTTTTTTCTGCAGAAAGGGTGTTTCCAGTCCGTCTCCGTCACTGTAATCTCGTTAAGATGGACGATGCCGAATTGGACATCAGATTAACGACTCTCAAGTTTGCCGACAGTGACTTTGAATCACCTTTCGATCTGTTTTTGTATACTGGCGAAGAGGCTGCATATTGGAGCCTTTATAGCTTAGACAAGATGCTTAGTGCGTTGAATGGAGACATAAAAGCATTTGAGACCTATTGTGCGGAGGATCCTTGGCAGTAAGTACAATCAATGTAAAATATGTGAAAACACTGATGACCCAAAAGTATAATAACCCAAAATTGTTTTCAGAATACTAACGACGCCGGCTGCTAAGCCAGTAACACAAAAAGACAAAGAGTTGGTCAAATGAAATTTAGAAAGTTAATTTTTTCTGTTTTTACAAATACAGCTTCTATTTGACCATTGCTGCATTTCGTCGAGCTCCTAACTCATTTACTGATCAGCGGTATTACTCGTGGATGGCGTTTGAATACAAAGCGAAAGACGGTGTGCCTCGCTACGCCAAATTTCGCCTCGTCCCTGCTGATGATAGAGAAGAAACTGGACTTATGACAGAAGAAGAGCAAAGAAAACCTTGGTAGGACCTGTTGTCCATTCTTTGTAATCATACTAAAAAGTGTGATGTATGGTCATTATCAATCAGTCTTAGAAGCTTGTACTGGAACGAATGAATCAGAGCTCGGCTAACTTTAAACAAGAGAATCAATCATTTCTTAACTTACTTCTCCTCTCTTTTCTGTAGGGAAACATTCCGTTGGGAGGGCGATAGGAGACCTAAAGATTATCTAACTTCTGAATTTGAAGAGCGCATGTCAGACGGTGGTATTCAATACAAACTTCAAATACAACTACATGAAATACAACCCGAGGACTCACATCTTGTTCTCCACGCGTCTAGAGTCTGGGACCAAGTCACTCACCCTTGGTTGGACTTAGCTAACGTCAAGTTGACTTCACTTATACCATTAGACGTAACTGAATCAACACGCTCTTCGTTAGAAAATATGCCCTCATCTTTGTCAGTGCCACCAGCCAAGACTATCTACGACTACAATTCCTCGGCGTACTTGAAATTAAAAGTACAATCTGGCTCAAGCAATAAATTGAATCTGCGGCGACCTTCGAAAACCGGGGAAGATATGTCCATTTACTGCATCTCAGTTTTCACTGGCGATCGAAAATATGCTGGTACCAACGCCGATGTAACCCTCACCATCACAGGTAAGACTGAATTCAAACATTGCACTTTCTTCACATTAAATCTATTGTCACGGTTATGCAATGGAAAAATACTTTACAATTCAGAGTTCACCCTCTCTGAAGGCAAAGATGAACTAACGTTTGATATTTAGAATGGTAAAATGTCTATGATTACTGCAATAATAGCTTTTTTTAAAAAAACGTTTTCCAAGGAACCAAAGGAAGAACAAGACCTCTTTTGATGGACAAATTGCTCCATGACGATCTTGAAGCTGGAAAAGAAGATACTTATCTCCTTGCTGCAGAAGATGTTGGGGAGCTTTTAATGATTAAACTACACAATGATCAAAGTGGATTGTTAAGTGACTGGTTTGTGGAGAAAATCATGATTACCTGTAGCCAAGATCCCCAGAGGCTTTATGAATTCCCTTGCTTTCAGTGGGTACAGAGTGAATCCGTCTTCTTCGAAGGAAAAGGTAAGTGTTGATGGAAGCAACCATGTTGTTCAGGGTTGTATGAAAGGATAACTTTGACAACGATATCGCTGAGATTTTTCGGTAAATTTGGGACAACTGCAACTTCAAAGGAGCTTCGCCGAGGGCCATGCTTGTCAAGAATGAAAACTCAAGTTTTCAAGAATTTCTATATTTTCAACCCTTCTTATCATCTCTAGCCAAAAACTGTCTCAATATAATTTTTTTCTTGGGTGTTTCTCTACATTTATCTTTCAAGGCTTCATCCCTTGGAGGTTATTACAAACCTTAACGGCCCTAAAGAAAAGTAGAAATTTGGAGTGTATTGTCGATTTTTTCTTTGCATGAGGTATTCGCGGAAGGTATTTTCTGCAAATTGCAACTTAGTTGTTAAGTTGTTTGCAACTTAGTTGTTTTACTCGATCAAACAGATCTTTGCGTAGACACGTGGTATAACATGATGAGGATCCCTAATCGTATTATAGACGGATAAACGAAAAGGGAATTACAAACATCATATCACAATCACACTTACCACTCTGACTTTGACGGGGCACAATCATCGTTTATGGCATAACTCGATACCTAGTTAAGCGCTCTTCGTGCGCTGCAACTCTTGCGATTAAATAAAATACCTATTACTCTAGAATACAACAAATATATATCACAATTCCTTATGGTTGGTGTTGTTTAATCTACTTCAGCGTTACTTGTCACAGAGAAGCAGCATGAAGCAGTGCAAAACCAAAGACGAATTGAAATTCAACAGAGACAAGAACTGTTCCAGTGGGGAGACGATCCTGTATTTCACTGTTTACCTGGATATGTCAAGTCTGAAAATTGGAAAAAACTACCTAAAGATGTTCAGTTTACCACTGAAGCCGCCGACGACCTTCACACAGCCAGACAGAAAGCTCTAATAAACCTTGGCTTGATAAAATTATGGAATATCTTCGATTCTTGGGAAGACTTTGATGATTACCGTAAGGTAGGTTTAGGCATGATACAATTCAAAGTCGGATTCATCGTCAAAGAGATCTCTAAGCATTTCCTTTTTATCTAACTGTAAAGAGACACCCGCGGAGGTTCTGTTAATCTTTAAGTCCGTATATTTCAGTAATTACTCTTTAATCTGGCATAATATTAATAAAAAGTAATGCGAGATCTTATACGAAAACCAATAATAAAATTCTCTTCGTGTTTTAGACTAGAATTTTAAACGTGTTACATGTGAAATTCGATTGATTAGCAGGAGGTCGACTTTTATCTAGGCGTTCGTCGCTTTTGTTGGTGATGTTCCACAAGCCGCCGACCATTGGCAGGAAGACAACTTCTACGGAGCGCAGTTCCTGAATGGCTGCAACCCTGATACAATCAAACGATGTACTGAACTCCCCCCTAGCTTCCCCGTCACACAAGAGCTGATTGGCAACCTTCTTGATGAGGGTGATACATTAGAGAAAGCAATGAAAGTAAGTGTTTTTTTTCAATTGATTTGAACGGATTGACGAACGGCAGCGAGGAAAGGAGGGACGAACGGAAGATGTAAGCACGAATAGACGGACGTTCGGAAGAATATACCGACGGGTTATTGACCCAAAAAGCCGAGTGACTCTCGTTAAAACAAACTTCAGTTTGTGTTCCCAATTCAAGACTGACGTTTTGTGCGTGAGTGTTTCTTTTTCAATTTTATCATACATTTCAGGAAGGTCGTCTTTACATGGTTGATTTCAAGATCCTTGAGGACATCAAGCTTTACGGCTGGAATGACGAGAACTTAGAGAAGCGCTACATATCTGCGCCGTTTGGGTTGTTCTATGTCAAGGGCACTGGAGACATAGCACCCATAGCAATTCAGTTCCACCAAGAAACGAATGAGACCAACCCAATATGGACCCCAAATGATTCTGAGTTGGACTGGACCTTCGCTAAGATGTGGTTGCGCACTGCAGACGTTCAGTGGCATCAGGTGAGTATTTCCGGATCTAAAACGACATTTGCAACCAGGTGAAAGATTACAAAACATTTCTACCCAACCCTACGTGTATGATCCTGTCACGTTCGCGAGTGACGAAGAACAAAGAAGAAAAAATAAACACAGCAATAGAGCCTGAGCAAATAATAGTGACATAACAGAGAAAACTTCACAGGTTCACAATTTAACGAGGCATATCGCCGCGCAGGTTGTCATTTTCCAGAGCCATAACAGTTCGGAGTCGCAAATATGTATTTTTTTTCTTTATTCTCACTTCAAAAGTAGTTTCTTATGTATCATTTGCATATTCAAAAGTTTTACTGAAAAAGATAATAACACTATGGAAAGTAACACTGCAAATTAAAACAAGAAAATTGAGTCACATGTACTTGAAAATATGAATCTCAACTCAGTTCACTGTACAAGATTTACCTTACTTATAAGTGCTTGTTTAAACATACGTTTTAGGCGACTACACAAAATTTTGCAACAAAAAACTTAGTAACCTTCCTAAAATTTGTAAACATTTTTCTTTTGCAGATGATCACTCACCTTCTTCGAACTCATCTGTTCATGGAACCGATCGCTGTTGCAACCTGGAGACAGCTTCCCTCCGTCCACCCTTTATGGAAACTACTGATACCTCACATAAAGGGAGTTTTGGCCATCAACACCGTTGCAAGGGAATTACTGCTTCCTGCGGGGGGCGTGGCTGATCACACACTTAGTGTGGGAGGCGGAGGTAAAATGCTTCTGTGAATGTCACCCGGCCATCATTTTGGTGTCCCTTTTCTGTCTGGGCCTCCTGCATAATTTGTTCCCCCCTATTTTACACCTTTCATATCATCTTTCAAATTTCACGCATATCATGTGAATGAAATTAAAATCATAATTTCAAGTGTTACCACATCACCTATACGAAAGGCTGAACATTCATTGTATGAGCAATTTTTTAACCTTATATATCAAATCAGCTTTTCTGGTTGTCAGTTGAGATTACATTTCTATTCATCGTCTTTTTTTTACAATATTCTCCAACATATGAAATGGTAAGCATGCATTTCAAATCCATTATTGCTCCAACATTCCTGGGTTACAATGTGAATATTGCCAGTATTTGTTTATCGTGTTTTATAATAATCTGCTCATTTTTCCCATTTTAGGTCACATTGATCTCATGAAAAAGCACTACAAGGACATAAATTGGTCATCGTACGACCTACCAAATGTCCTAAAGGAGAGAGGAGTGGACGATCCAGACAAACTTCCGGGATTCCACTATCGCGACGATGCTTTGCGACTATGGCAGGCCATAAATGACTTCGTCAAAAGGTTGCTATCGATTTATTACAAATCAGATGAGGATATCAAAAGGGTGAGAAGTGTTTTATCTCAGAAAGTAAGAAAGAGCTGGAAACCTTTTCTAAAATACACTCTCACTCCATGCTGCCTTTTTTCCCAACAGGACACAGAACTCCAAGCGTGGATCGAAGACATTCACAACAATGGCTACACTGTCCGGGAGGGTGAGGCGGACCATGGCTTCCCATCGTGCGTTGCAAGCTCTGAGCAGCTGGCCAACCTACTTACTATTGTCATATTTACCTACTCTTGTCAACACGCAGCCGTCAACTTTTCTATGATGGACGTGTATGGCTTCTCTCCCAATGCACCTACTCTCATGCGACAGCCTCCTCCAACAGAGAAGGGCAAACTGACCATGGAAGATGTTATGAAAAGCCTGCCCAACCAGCACCATGTAGGAGTTGCTATAGCGACCGTCTATGATCTAACACGCATATTTCCTGATGAGGTAAGAAATATCTGAACTTTTGTCCCAAAACTATACTTTTCTATTACTTTTCCTGTTGTGTAGTCATCACACAATAAAAAATATAAATTTCTTTTTTCAAGTTGTCATGCCAATCACTGTTACAGTTAAAGCTGAATCATATGCGGTCATTTAAATTGACTTGAGTTGTTGTTTAGTAAACCTGTGTTTTAGGCCATATTTTTTAATCTGAACTTATGATGGGAACAGTTTTATAGATGGACTGAAAATATTTATTCACTTCAGACAGCCTGCTCAAAAGTAAATCTCGAGGTCCATCGATTTTTTAAAACTGCGGCCTAAGTTAGATTTTGTCGAAATAGCCATCCCTATAGTTTTCAGTTTTCCCCTCAAGCCAGAGTTCAGATAATAGATACACACTTCACGTATTTATCTTACTGAGTTATATTTTTGCGTATAGGCTATCGTATTAACAAGTGCATTTATCTCTCTCTTTTTCCTATGAAGCGTTTCCTTGGTGATTACTCTGATGGCTCCTTTACTGACATGGCTGCCAGAGAGGCCATTTTGCTCTTCCAAGGAAAACTTAATCGTATTTCAAGGTCCATAAAGAAAAGGAATGATATTTTGAAGTTTCCTTACATTCATTTACTTCCGGAAAGAATACCAAACAGTATAGCTATTTAGGCATGGTTCCGCTAAGATACTCACATATCATTAACACCCAGATATGTGTTCCAGTGTGAATTAGACAGGAAATACTTCTCAGAAGTAACCTGGATATCACTGAACTGCGCATCGAATGAACGACTCCAGAATGCTATTTCTCCGATAATATAATCCCGAGTCAAGTTTTTCGTATGTGCCATTTGGACCATGTACTTGTACTCTCTCAGTATATAAGGTTGATGTTCTCTTTCAAGGATAAATGATTAACCAATAAACATCCGACGATGATCCAAGTCGCATCAACTTGATGATTTAATCCGAGAAATGTAGAAAAATAAATTTAGAATAAGAGACTCGATGAAGCAACGAGTTTTCTATATCGTTTTTCCAATGATGAGGATTTCGCTTCGACGTTTCGACTGCAAATCGTGTATAGTTGGTTCTCAACAATTATGACTGGTACACTTCGATGCTGCCTGTGTAGCTGAGTTTCTCTCCCAGTGGCTAGAGGCAGTAAGGGTTAACCCGTTAACTCCCATGAGTGACCAAGACAGAATTTTTCCTTGCAATGTCTATACAACATCAACCAGATAAGTGATGAGAATGAAGAAGATCAATTTAGCGATAATTAGTTGATCAAATACTAAATTCTCTGAACTAACATTATACGAATTGTATGGTTGACAGTAAGGAGAATAACAAATTTGATCTGGGAGTTAAAGGGTTAATTGTTAAGTCATCAATTCTAAGACGGAAGTTCGTCTACTAGTTTGGCTCTGATGATAAATTTAGAGAACTGAATTAGTTTATAAGAACATAATTTTGCGTCATAAAAAGAAAAAAAACACTAAAAAGAGTAAAAATAAATAGAGAATAATACATGTGCAGGCGTAGATATGGGATTTCTCTTCGATGTTAAGTCGATAGCTCACGAGTGAGCGCAGCGAATTAGTGAAATGTCGGGTTTAACACGAGCAGAGAAATTCTATACCTACAAGCAACCATGTATTATTTTGCGTATCATATAAACACAATAGCCCTGTGGTGACAAGAAGAGCCGATTTAATAAATGAAAAAAAAAAGAATCGACAATCATACAAAGCGTTGGCGCAAAGTCTCAAGATGGAAAAATGAATCGGGATTACAAAACAACAATGGTCGTAATTTTCAAGTTACAATATTCTCATTTATTGACTTTGTCCTTACCGGCAGAAGAAATCTTTCGGGTAAACGACCAAAATCGGCCTGTGGCAAATTTTCCAGTTGCCGATTTTCCCTCTCAGCCGCGAGAAATAGAGAATGATATATGAGCGCGACTAGATATGGAATTTCTCCTCGAGTGTTTAACTCGATAGCTCACGAGTGAGCGCAGCGGCATATACATTTACTAAAGAAGCAATTGAAGATTCTGTCATTGGCTTTGGGTTAATATCTTGTAAACCTCAACGGCTCTTAGAGAGGTTTTTCGCTTTTGTTTTGCAAAACCAAAGACCTCCAAAGCGTGTTTCTTGAATAAATATTCAGCTTGGAAAAGTTTTAGATTTTATTATGATCCATCCTGGCTGCAGCCCTTGATATTTTGAAAGAAATGTGGAAATAAATCGTGTGATCGTTTTGTGTATAGTGGACTTTGATGATCGTCATCGACAAAACTTTGCCGTCTCCGCTTACAGTGTACAAATAGTGACGTAAGCCATACGTCTCTCGGCCTTCATTGCGTGATACAGCATTTGAAATTTATGACATGAAGATATCGTCACATCTTCGATGTCTAAACGTCAATTCGTGGGCCTAAGCTGGAATTACAAAAATAATCGTAGGATCACGTCAATGACAAGAAGCGCGAAGTAAGTTGTCACAATTTTAAGCTGCTGTTTTGATCGTGGATTTTTTTACGGCTACAATGCCAAGTGCCTTATAATACAGTACTCGAAACTGGTGTCGGATGATACATTGTATTGGTGCTACTTAGCTCAGCTCAGACAGACATTTGTTTTCGCAACCACTGGCCAAGCGCTGTCGGGGAAACATGAAACGTAACATGAAAGAAAAAGCTTTTAAATTTCATCGTTATTATTGAATAAAGAGAGATTAGAGATTTATGGATGAGTTAAGCCCTTAAGAATACGTCCCTTTATATTTTTAAAATGTTTAGACACGAACGCTTTCCACGGTACAATTAACAAAGGTTCAGTGATCTCAAAGTAACATGCAGAGGTGTTAAGTTCCCTTAGGGCATTATAAACAGCATTAGGTCTTTGTTTCCAGGCAACAGCTGAGTCTCTTTGTCACTTGACGTCAGGGCAAGAGCAACAAGTGACGCAGTGATCGATATGGGAATAAATATTAAGGGAATTTGCAAGATATCGTTCACAGGTTCATAGCTGGTGAGTATATGGTATCAAGTAGTGTATTTGCTACAGACATGTTTTGTGCAATGTTTCTGACCGGCCTTTCACCAGGACCAATGATGAAATGCAAACTCCACAATCATTGTACGAACTGGTAATGAGCACACCATCCGATGCTTCATAATTGTGTTATTTCGCGTTGTTTGACCGAAAGCTGTATCTGCTCGTTAAATGGTTTTTTTACTTCACTAGCTTTGTTCTATTTCAATCTGCCAGCGGGCTAAGTGCTATATTTATACGAAACGATGAAAATTTAGTTTCAGTGGGAGTCCAATATCATGGAAACGGATTGATTTTTGAAAGACTTGTGTGACAATTGTCACGTTTCGTTATTTTTTTAACGTTTCCGTCGATGAAGATTTTAGAGCATGTCTTGATTATTACAAATGAATTAAGGGAGTAAGTTCCTGAAGAAACTGTGGTGCTGCGTCGGTGGGAGAGTATACAAGGGTAATACTAGCATTGTCAACACGGTTGATTACGTAAATTGGGCACCGTAAAGAGTTTCAAAGCTGACGTGTTGAGCGTTAGCCCATTTTTATTATTACAGCTAACCTTTAGTTCTTAATAGTGTTCAAAATACAAGTCCTCTCGTGAATATGCAGGCATATTAATGACTTCGGGAGGCTTGTAGAAGGAGTCATTAACATGCGCTCCTACATCGCTAGTTACTGAGTTGAAATTTACTTTGAATGTAAGGAAAGCGATGTCTCTTATGAAAGAAACGTTCTTCAGCTTGATTAGAAGAAAAAGATGGGATAAAAGTACACTTTAATGATATTTGAATGCGTTAAGTTACCTCTAAAATCCCGAGCGACTTTCAATATCCAAAATAAACCATCGGTATGATAATCTTAGACAAATATAAATGATGAAGACGATTAGCTTCACAAATGCATTATTCTTCGTCTGCGTGACACGCTCGGGGAGATGATTAGGGATGAGGGGGGAGGAGTGGGGTAAGGAGAAAGGAGCGCGCGGCTGGCAGATTTACCCTCTCTGCCGCGCAGGCTATGTTATTACGTTTACATTTCCAATGTTAGATGCGCTCTTTAAAACACTTCGTGAGAACAATGGACGTTTCGTCCCGGAAATATTAGCATCAAAAGCTGCAAAGGCGACCAAAACCTTCACCGAATGCGTACCAATTAACCTAAAACATCGGGAAAGGTGGGACTCCGGATCGAAATTTCCGGGCTTGGTGTCTCTGGCCGGGTCATTGTACTGCGTTTGTGGTCAAAATACTCAGTCTCGAAAGCTGTCTCAAATGGGGAGCAAGAGCTTACGGGGTCAAACGTAACTAAGAATAGGGCTGGTCGACTAGGATCACCACATGCATAAGCACTCCTCTTATACTCGGCGTTGACTCTTTATTCTATCACTTACCAGAAAAAAAAAACACTTGTTTAGAAACATGGGCATTATTCCATCAAAGAGAAAAAAGAAAAGAGTGAATCAAACCATCAAGAGACCAACAGTTGAAACAAATCAGGAGCCAGAAGGCTGTAAGTAAACAAGAACTGTTCATCTCCTGTCTGAGTTTAAATTATACATGATTTATGTTTTCTTTGACTAATTTGTGCTTTTTTACAATGTAAATAGGGAAGAACATGGGATTCAAGATAATCAAGGAAATGATGGGACAGGAATTATTTGAAAAAATGATGGTAGAGGCAGACGAGGTAATCAAGTTCTCTATGCCTTTAATGTCCGATCTCACCTCAGAGATGAAACATTTTCATCATTGCTATCATTATATTTGTTTGGTAATTGTCCTTGATCCATATCATACTCGTTAACATCGACGATAGAGTTACCGCTATTATTTGTAATCGTCATCGATTTAAACATTAGGAATGGTTTTTGTGAAGGGATATAATCAGGAGTGTCTAGCAATTCTCCAGGATAATGTTTAAGTTTTCATTTAATCTCCATAGTGAACGAATTTTGTTTTAGATAAAGGTTAGAGACTAGTTCTGTACTTGCTTCCCTTTACAGCCTCCACCAGAAGCTGGGCCATTCAGTGCGTCGCAGTTGGCACTTTATGTTAAAAAGTATCAAGCCGGGTTCCTTCTCAAGACACTCTTGACACAACAAACAAGAGGTGTAGGAGCCACTGGAGTTGTAACAATCCTCAACAACCCTCTCCTCCCTGCGCACGACTTTTTCTCTGCAGAAAGGGTGTTTCCAGCCCGCCTCCTCCACTGTAATCTTATCAAGGTAGACGATGCCGAATTAGACGTGAGACTAGCGGCTCTCAAGTTTGCCGATAGTGACTTCGAATCACCTTTTGATCTGTTGTTACATACTGGTGAGGAGGCTGCGTATTGGAGCCTCTATAGCTTAGACAAGATGCTTAGTGCGTTGCATGGTGAGACAGAAACATTTGCGACATATTGTTTGGAGGACCCATGGCAGTAAGTGGCAACATTATCTGTTCACATATCGTACCAAAATAAAAGAAAACTTTACTTAAAAGATAAATGCCTGGAGAAAGGGAAGTGTAATTGACCTGTTACCATAAAAGTTTCGTTGTACGAAATGGACACAAAATTTTATTCGATTTTGAGCTAGCTCGCATTTAAGTGAAAGAAATGAGATACGATATTTCATTTTCAATTTATTCACAAGACGCTCGGGAGAAGTCTTTCGATAAATTCCAACTTCCGATCTGTCCTGAGATCTTTGTATTAAACATATGCGGCCACAAGACTGGATTCCCTGTTGTTGAGTAGCCTTACTACCTTTTTCAAAAAGATCCAAAAACAAAAATGGAGAGCCATCCGCTTTTTTGTTTGTAATCAAAACTGAGTGCCCGAAACAGGCTTTTTTTTTTCTGCCGCCAAGTAATTAAACCGCTACGAGCTAAAAGTACCGCAATTCATGAATTTCCGTTTCTTATCTGCTTCTTCAAATACAGCTTTTACTTAACCATTGCTGCATTTCGTCGAGCTCCTGAATCATTTACTGACCAGAGGTATTACTCGTGGATGGCGTTTGAATACAAAGCGAGAGACGGTGTGCCTCGCTACGCCAAATTTCGCCTCGTCCCTGCTGATGATAGAGAAGAAACTGGACTTATGACAGAAGAAGAGCAAAGAAAACCTTGGTAGGACCTGTTGTTCATTCTTAGCTATTACCAAAGAGGAATTTTTTTTAGCTAATTCAGCCCAGAGAAAGATCATAAAAGGGTCAAGTAACGTGTACACTAGTAGTTTATCCAATTTTCACTTTAAGCGATTAGGTGTACTGCGAGAGGAAAATTATGAACATTGTTGAAGAAATGCTGAGCGAACTTTCGGTGAGCGTATACTCAGGATTTCTTCAGTTTTCTCTAACAGTAAGTTCGCCAGTATGAACCAATTTGAACTTTTGGGAAGCATAAGGCACCGTGAGACTACAATGTCCTTCCCGAGATCTCAGCACAATGACCCAGGAAAGGCGTAAATCCGCAACCTCTGAGCCAGACTCCTGCACAATAGCAAAGCAGCTAGATATGTCAATTTCTTAAAAAAAAAAAAGTGTACGTCAAAAACAATTTTATGACTTCTAAATCGGAAAATTACTACAATCGCAATGATTTTTCTCGTATCCCTGCTCCCCACGGCTCATTTGTTTATTTTGATTTGCTTTTTTACCATTATGATAGTAGTGGTCAATGTGGTCGCAGAAACCGATACTAAAGGTGCCAGTTAGCTTGTCTGGCTGATCCCCAAAATCTACCATGAAACCAGCTATAGGAATTTTTAGTTTATTTTTCTTGTTTTTCTGTAGGGAAACATTTCGATGGGAGGGTGATAGGAGACCTAAGTCCTATTTAACTGCTGATTTTGAAGAGCGTATGTCAGAAGGTGGCGTTCAATACAAACTTCAAATACAACTACATGAAAAACAACCCGACGACTCACATCTTGTGCTTCACGCGGCTAGAGTCTGGGACCAAGCAACTCACCCTTGGCTAGACCTCGCTGAAGTCAGGTTGACGTCACTTTTACCAGAGGATGTAACAGAGGGAACCCGTTGTTCATTAGAAAATATACCGTGTAGGTCTTTGTCACTCCCTTCTGCCAAGACTATCTACGACTATAATTCCATGGCGTATTTAAAGTCAAAACTTCAATCACGTCCTAAAAAGCAGAGCTTTTCTTTAAGGAAGACTTCTAAATCAGAGGGAGATATGTCCATCTACTGCATTTCTGTGTTCACGGGAGACCGAAAACATGCTGGTACCAACGCCGATGTGACCCTTACAATCACAGGTATGACTTCTTTATTTCCAAGATACGAGCATATCTAGTCCACCAGATAGATCGTTGATCAACGGATAATTGTATGCAAACTGAATATATGGGACGACATGCACCCTCGATGAGACGCTACGACGATAATTGTTAATACCGAAAAATTCGAGAGTGTTTACCATCTTCCATTTTAGAATTCAGGGCCCAGTTGTTCGAATGCTGATTAGCGCTAACCCAAGATTAAACCGTAATCTGAGTTTTTTCATTCCTTTATTCAAAAGCATTCTTGGGATAATTTCTTGTGTTCTTTTTAAAGCATCAAATAGTCGTATTCTAGACTAAAAGAATCCGACTGAATCTTGTGTTAAAGCTATCATATCTGAAATCAGATTTCACACTAACCCTGGAGTATCTTAATCCAGCTTTGAAAAACCCGGCCCAGAGAAGAGAAAGCTCGGGTTGAGTGGCATTAAAACCAATCGAGATTTTTTATTTAGTCTACTCTTTCGTGGGTTTCTTCCCTACTTCACAGCCGCTGACTGAACTCGTCACGTCATAGGCATGCAATGATGACGGTCTTGTTTAAGAAGATCCTAGACCCATACTTTTTATGACTTGTCAGTGCTGTTAAAAGGTACACTTGGATAGATCACCAAAGCCATCAGAAGGTACTTATTCCCATTTAGATCTGCACTCAGACAAATCAGTTATCTTTTCAGTTATGGAGCGAAATGATGGACTCCATTGTATTTGACTCAGAGTGACTCTTTTGAAATCGTATTTAGGCAGTAGAGGTAGAACAAGACCTCTTTTGATGGACAAATGGCTCCATGACGACTTTAAGGCTGGACAAGAAGATACGTATATCTTGGCAGCTGAAGATGTCGGAGATTTGTTGATGATTAAGTTACACAATGATCAGGGTGGTTTGTATAGTGACTGGTTCGTGGAGAAAATCATGATCACCTGCAGCCAAAATCCTCAAAAGCTTTATGAATTTCCTTGCTTTCGATGGGTGCAGAGTGAATCCAACTTCTTTACAGGAAAAGGTACGAAGTTAATGATGACATAAATCTCCACAGTACTGATAAATAAAATGAACCCTTTTTAGGGAGCATTTTTATTTATCGCCTGGAGGGGGTCGGGGGATTTTTGGAGGACCACATGGTTTTCAGGGGGGATGGAGGGAGCATTTTTCTTTGCCAACAGCGCCAATAGGGGGGTAATGGAAAATTGATTCCCGATTAACTCCTATGGAGGGGGATCATAACAGTGTTACAGAATCCTATGGTGGGAGGGGGCGTGAAGTAAATTTTGATCGTAACACAACCCCCCTTTCCCCCCAGGCGATGAATAATGACTTGTTCCTTAGTCAATGTTTCATGCCTCTATCGATGATAGAGTGTTGAAAGTGAAGCAAGGTCGAGGACAGATTAAAAGAATGCCTTCTGACTTTCCTCCAGCCCTTCTAGTCACAGATGAGCAGCACGAAGTGTTACGAAGCCAAAGGCGACTCGAAATTCAACAGAGGCAAGAACTGTTTCAATGGGGAGAAGATCCTTTGAACCACGGTTTACCAGGATATGTCAAGTCTGAGCACTGGAAAAAGCTCCCCAAAGATGTCCAATTTACAGAGGAAGCTGTGGATGACCTTCATACCGCCAGAAATAAAGCACTAGTAAATCTTGGTTTAATAAAGTTATTGAATATCTTCGATTCTTGGGAAGACTTCGATGATTACCGTAAGGTATGCATTTGTTAAATCTTACTTTATCCGTTAGGTCTTATGAAGGAACTTTTGAAATTTTGTCAAGTGTGTGTTTGGGTTGTCAAGGCATGTTCCATGTGCGTTTCATATGTTTTCATAGAAAGGCTTGATAATACAAAAGAAATCTCTCAACAAGCTGCAGGACTTTCTATGCACAGCGTCTTCAACAAATATTTTAGGTGAAAACGTTTATTCAAGAAGGTTGTGCATTTGATGGGAAATAAGTTAGTTGTGCTACCTTAACAAGGAAATCTACAGCAGTCCATTTTGTTGCAGGCGTTTGTTTCTTTCGTTGGTGATGTTCCAATGGCTGCCGACCACTGGCAGGATGACTGCTTCTACGGGGCACAGTTCCTGAATGGCTGTAACCCTGAAACGATCAAGCGATGTACGGAACTACCTTACAACTTTCCCGTGACACAGCAATTGGTTGGAAACCTTCTTGATGTTGATGACACTCTGGAGAAAGCAATGAAGGTAAATATCCCTACACGTGAAACTGTTCGGAACTGTTCATTTGCATCCATGGATGATCGAACCGACAGACTCACGAAGTGACTGTGTGACCAGAAGACTGACGACGAAACTTAGGGACGATGAGAAAAAATAACGACCGATAGACCAAATGCACGATCGAACGATCGAATAATCACACATGCGTATGACTGATTTACTAAGGAAGCAATGTGGCCGAGTGGTTGGGGCGCTGGGCTAGTAACCTGGTGGTCCCGGTTTCATGCCCTTCATCCTGTTACCCACCGGATTTGTTTTAGGTTGCCTGAGCTCAACTTCGTGGCTGCGCCTTGTCTATAGCCAACTGGTCTGTCTCCCGCCAGTTGGAATATTTTAACTCTGTGTTTATTTACAATTTTTTTGTATTGGCCTTGAAAGTCCCATTTGGGGAGTGGTCAATTGTTATTGTTATTATTATTACAGCCTATTTGATCGAATGTAACCTTTTCATGTTCATAGCTCGTGCAAAGCTCTGTTGTTTTCTTCTTAATTATTCATTTTTAAATTATTTTCAATTAGGACGGGCGTGTTTATATGGTCGACTTCAGCATTCTTGATGGCATCCTATCTTATGGATTCTTAGATGAAAACTTAGAGACGCGCTATACGTGTGCGGCGATGGGTTTGTTCTATGTCAAGGGCACTGGAGATATGGTTCCCATCGCAATTCAGTTTCACCAGGGACCTGACGTGACCAACCCATTATGGACCCCTAATGACTCTGAATTGGACTGGACCTACGCCAAGATGTGGCTGCGTAATGCTGACATGCAGTGGCATCAAGTAAGTTTTCAAGTTAAGGATCTCAACTATAGAAATCTAGAATAGGTGGATACATTACCTCTCCGGATAGATTCTATTTGGTTAGCGTTGCGTCTCTTAATGCACAGATATAAACTATTCCAGCGATCTGTTAGGATGATGATGATGATTGTAAATACCATACTTACGATTTTTAACACTAAAGATGGTAAGGATTTCTGTTACTATCCCCTCCCTTCCCCTGCCAATTGATTTTGCCCAACACCCCTTCCTTTACGTTCTATTTAGACGATTGCGCATCTTCTTCGCACTCATTTCTTCATGGAGCCACTCGCTCTCGCCAGCTGGAGACAACTTCCCTCTCTTCACCCACTGTGGAAACTATTGGTCCCTCATTTGAAGGGAATTATGGCCATCAATACCCTTGGGAGAGCAAGGCTCATTGCAGCTGGAGGTGTAGTGGATCAAACTCTTAGTATAGGAGGTGGAGGTAAGGGAGCTCCGTCTGTGGATATTGCCAGAACTCCTAACTTCCTGAATGAATATTTACGCCCCAAAAATTCAACGTATCGCACACCTTTTTGACGAAACCTTTGTTAAGACGGCTTTTAAGAGTCCTTTACCATTCATGTTACATTTCAGATGAGCTGTCCAGTATTTAAAGCTTTTAACATTGTTTTTTGTTTCGTTATCATTGGAAGATTTTTATTCGGCAATGTATATTTGTAAACCAGATCTCTACATCCGTTCATGCAGCAACTTGTACGAAAAAGTTTGTAATGATTTCAGAGGATACCAAAAGGTTACTTCGTTTTCATAAGGCTCAGTTTAATGTCCATTGTAGGTCATATTGATCTCATGAAAAAGTATTACAAGAACATGAAGTGGTCGTCGTATGACCTGCCAAATGTCTTAAAGGAGAGAGGAGTGGACGATCCAGAAAAACTACCTGGGTTCCACTATCGTGATGATGCCTTGCGACTATGGCAGGCTATCAAGAATTTCGTCACAAGGATTGTATCCATCTATTACCCCTTAGATGAGATTATTCAAAAGGTGAGAAGTGTTTTATCTGGAAAACCACGAAATCGCGAAATGCATATTCAAGAATTTATCATTACTCAACGGTGACTTTTCTCTCTGCCAGGATACAGAACTCCAGGCGTGGATCCTCGACATTCATGACAATGGCTACACTGTCCGCGAAGGAGAGACGGACCATGGCTTCCCATCGTCTATTGCAAACGCTAAGCAGCTGGCTCACATACTAACTATTGTTATCTTTACTTGCTCTTGTCAACATGCAGCTGTAAACTTCTCGCAGATGGACGTGCTCGGTTTCCCGCCAAATTCGCCGGGCCTCATGAGACAGCCGCCTCCAAAGGAAAAAGGCACAGTGACCATGAAAGACATAATGAAGACTCTTCCCACCAAGCACCAGGCAGGAGTTGCTATAGCGACGGTGAACGATCTGACTCGAATTTCTCCCGATGAGGTAAGTTATAACCTTGATATTCTCTAACAAATCCTGGTATTTCCCTTCAAACATTCAAACATGATGTGTCAACCAATTTTGACGCTGATTGTAGATATTCTTTTCTTACCTTCAAGCGTTTCCTTGGTGATTACCCTGATAGCTCCTTCACTGACATGGCTGCCAGAGAGGCCATCTTGCGCTTCCAAGGAAAACTTCAGAGAATTTCGGCGTCAATAAAGAAAAGGAATGAGAAGTTAAAGTTTCCTTATACTTATTTGCTTCCGGAGAAAATACCAAATAGCATCGCTATCTAGAGAAGCATGCTATAATTCTTACATACCAACTTGTTTAGCTACTTGATAAGAATACACATGGCTGCGTTACGTTTCACAGCCAAGAAAATGTTCGAAAGTGAATGCTTTCAAGAGTCGAGAACATCTTAACGGGCTGTGTTCAATTTACATGGTAAAACAAGTTTTCATCAATATTTGCATTGAAATAGTTTTTCTCTACAGTAATTTATTTATTTATTCATCTAGGTGAGCCCTATACGTGATAATTCTTTAGTGTGTTCTTCTTCGTGCTGAATCTTAAAGTTTAATTTAGATGAACCTCATATTTTCTTTATAAAGGAGTACGGCTTGTTTTGAAATATCTAAAGAAATATAAATATAACTCGACATATACTAAAAATTTATTACTAGGCAGAAGTATATACATGTGATAATTATAGTGTAACGGAGGCAAATGGAAAATGTCTCTGTATCTTTCGAGAAGACTGGACGTTTCCTATTTTTCTGGTTAAACCCAGTTACACGTACAAATGCTACCCCAAATAGTATGCTGAGAAGATTAAATCGGTTGTCCAAAATATTTCCAAGTGGCTATGGTTACTGCGTACAAGCAAAACAGACTTGAGAGGACGAAAAGCGAAGAACTGCCGTTAAAAAGCTTAGAGTGGCTTTTCCTAGCTGAAAAGAAGGATGTCAGTGCCACATTCGTGATTATTGAGGACGATAAGAAAATGGCGCGAGGGAAAGATGATGCTTTTGCCGCCTTTCGGTATACAACCGCTGTTTTAGCTGGCTTGCTTTTACGTTTAGGCATAAAATTATCAATACTTTAGCAAAAATTCATGGCCTTGTCAGTCACTAGAAACGTCAGTCGCAAGAAATTGTGGTCAATTTTCGCTGGTGATAAATGAGATGAAACAGATGACTGAATTTTTTTTATCGAAAGACGGTATTGTTATTAGTTAGCTACCTTAAAAGGAGAGTGCTAACAACCGGCTGCAGTTCGTGAAATTGTTCTGCGTTCGTGACAAAAGCAGACCGAGCTCTTGATGACGGTGGAAAGTCTATCAAAGGCGCCATTTGAGTGCAAATGCATTTGTTATTCATTCTGACACAAAAGATTTCTTCTCTTCGACAAATCTTTGAGTCACAAAATACTATGTCATAGTGTAGTCTGATCGTCCGGGTGAGTGTAGTTCTGAAAAGGACTGTTGTCGGTTGGAGTGACTGACGTTTCGACAATCTGAGCGGAAGTCATCATCAGAGGCTGGTGATGACTTCTGCTCATGGTCACCAATACCGACAACAGTCCTTTTCAGGACTACACTCACCCGGACGATCAGACTACACTTCCACATGTTACCCCCGGCTTCAAACCATTTACTGTACAAAACACAACCTTTATTCAAAGAAAAAAAAGATCGATTCTCAACAAGAGATTATAAGCAGCTGTCAAAAGCATTAATATGTCATCGGTTCAGTTTAGTTTATATTAGACAACGCGACCTTCGGTGACGTTGTTTAAGCCACATTTACGCTGACAAGTTTTTTATGACAAACACATTGCGGAAAATTATCTGCTGTACATTAACAGAGTAAACTAATCAGAAACACCTGTCAACAAAATGACAGCAGCTCTGGAGTAGATTTTCGTTGATTTAGAACTAAACCGTTCCAAGTTTACTTGACTTTAGACATCTTGTCGATCTTCACTACGAAATTTCTTTTTTCCAAATTTCTTTGTAACTATCCTTAAAAAAAATATAGCATGTCCGTTTGTGCACGAAAGAAAGATGGACAGAAGCCACAGAAAGTTTAGCTCTTAGAACAACAGATCGAATAAAGAAAATATTTTTAAAAATTATGCACTGCTTATTATCTTCTTTCTACATTGACACGGAAAAGTTATCAGGGATAAAACTGTCAAGGAAATCTTGAGGGGAAATACAATACAGAGCTATTTTTACTCTCTATAAACAAACAAAATGTGTTCACGGTTTTGCACCGTGTTTAAAAGAACGACATGGTGGTTCCGTTTCCGAGGGCCTCAAACACAAATAGAATGAAATCATAACCCAAAATATCCAAGATCTTAAATGATATTCGGTAACAGTGATATCAACAGATTGTGATACTGCAACAAACTAAGAACATGAATTTTGCTTCGCTTTGATTAGACTAACTTGACCTACAACTTTGATGCACATTTTGCAGAACGTTTAAGAAAGCACGTCGAATGTGCCTCATCTTCCAGCAGAAAATTATAGGGTTTAAAGAAGAATTAACAAACACTAAGGTCCATGAATTTATCGTGAAAAGTATTACTGATATACAAGGCAACCATGGCAGAATTTCTAAGACCCGTCCCATTTACCATTTAACCTAAGTATTGCGCTGGAATTTGAGCTTGGTAACTAAAGCGTCGAAAACTGCAAGAAGGTTAGCGAAGACCACTGTTTTAACCACTAACGTTTTTAGCAGCAAAAACCAGCTTTATGACATTTCTTGGAATCAACAGACCAAGGGATGAAAGCGACTCGCTGAAGATCCACGCCACAATGCCGCGGCAACAACGCGCCTTTGAGTTACAAGTTCCTGATATCTGAGATGAAAATAGATGGCAAGGAATCTGTCCAAACTGAAAGCCGTAACACCGAATAGCGAGGTTATTCATAGATTTCGTGATATAGGTAGAATATCCTACGTGACTACGCGAATTAAAAAAAAAAAAAAAAAAACCTTTACCCCTTCCGCTTCTCAAAAGACATATTTGTAAAGAATTATGATATGCTCATCTGACTGTGAATCCATCATTATAGTGTGGGAAGAAAACATAAAATTGAGTGTATATTTGTCAGTCAGGGTGACGCTGATTTGACAGGCTTTGTCGGTGATAACAAAAGATCGTCGTGTTAATTTTAACCAGCGTGACATAGTTTGATGCTACTCTGGTTTGCAGATTTAATGAATGTAACTGAAGAAGTTACAATTCATAGACCCAACGTTTCGACACTCCTGTCTAGTGCCTTCATCAGGGGTGATCTAAACGCTGCAACAAGAGGTCCCTTTATATGATCACTAATTAGCGGCCTTTTTTCTGACGAGGTGTAAATAGGCGTCAGGAAGCAAACCTGAAGCAAAGGAGCGTGGGCGGAGTTAATATGCCAAGCCTCCAGACAAAGGCGCTGGTGGTAACGCCGATTAGTGGTGATAATTTTAGAATTATCCCACCCTATTGTATGATTGGTTAGGCATGTATGCTCCGATAAAGCTGAAATTTCCTTTTTGCAAAGGAATAGAATAAATGGCGTCGGTTCGTTGTTCTTTCGTGACAGGATCCTTAGGTTTGGCGCCCAAAGTCTGAAAAGGTTTTTAAGTAACTTTAACGTTGTGGCTATTCAAAATTCTCTTGATGGGTTCCGTAACACCCTGTATGTAAGGAATAACAGCAAAACCAGTCGCTGGTTCCCTTTCGTCAAGAGCGTTATTATTTGTAACTGGTTTTTGGCAGTTACGGAGAAAATTACTAAAATAAATCTCTAAATTAGCCTGAACCCCTCTGGACACATTTAAATCAAGAAATGTGTCCAGAGGGGTTCAGGGTAATTTAGAGACAAGTGTCTACCGTAAACCTACTCACACCGACAAATACCTCGCTTTCGATTCTCACCACCCTATTTGCCATAAAAAGTCTGTAGCCAAAACTTTACTTAGGAGGGCTGACTGTCTACCATCTTCACTCGATTCGAAGGCTGAGAAGAGGAAATATGTTTCCAATGTCCTAAAGGCAAATGACTATACAAAAACTTTTCTCCGTAACTGACGAGTGTCTACCGTAAGTCTACCGTACTGTTTTGTACAGTAAATGGTTTGAAGCCGGGGGTAACATGTGGAAGTGTAGTCTGATAACCAATAAGCTCTTAATTGTTAAACAAATTCTCCTTGCCAGCACCTAAGGAAATGTATAGAGAAGAGTATAGGGTGAATATGCATACTGATGTTAGGACTGATGAGGTTGATGAGGTCATTTACTTAGTTTAACCACCGCAATCTTCTATAAGCGTCCTTCTGACAGTTTGTAGTGTTTGAATTCGGGTGAGAATGTAACACTTGCCCACCTAGCCGCTTCCTGACTTGCTTTTGTGTACACATTCTCCATTTCTTTTTCTATACAATTCCCTAAGGTGCTTACAAGGAGAATTGGTATCACAATCAAGAGTTTCTTTGGTTAGTGATCGTTTCGTTTATTCTCCTGACCTTAATGAGTAATTCAGAGATGATATTGTAAAGAGAAATTAGATGCTCGTTTATTCTCCTGACCTTAATGAGTGATTCAGAGGTGAGATTGTAAAGAGAAATTAGATGCTGGTCACTCCTAGGGGTCTACAAAGGGTTAGTAAAACAAGTCAATTTTGCAATAAGTCAAACAATCATGGTGTGAGATATTTTAACGTGAAGCAAAGAAGCTAGCGATATGTGATGAACACTCATTAACGGAGTACTGTGAAATAAAAATTGTAATCAATAGCTAAGTGGGTAGGAAAATCAGTCAGTGAGATGAAATATGCTACAACATATGAAATTATTTTTTTAAACTTCCACTTTATGAAACCATTTTGAGCCAATTCGAAATTTAGAATAAATGGATGTATAAACAATAGCTCTATATTTGGCGTGAAAATATGCACGGATATTTGTTCGCGGACATTATCTGTTCCAAGATGCCAACAGTTTTCCAAGAGCGGAGCTCGAGGAAAACTGTGAACCGTTTAGACCAAGAGCACGCGAGCCAAAATTATTTTGATGGATCATAAATATTCTTAAAAATACGAATGCAAGGGCAAGTTATCGATTTAAGCGACGGAAGTAACTGCTCACTTATTTTTCAATGTTTTCAAAATACCAAACTGAAATGAAACTATCCATTCGACTTAAAACAACAAAGCAGGGGATTCAAGAACACGAATTCCTCTGGGTAACGTTTTAAACTTTTGCTCAATTTTTTTTTATCGCTATCGGTTGTCTTTTGAAAAATATTTTTGAGAGTTTAATCTCCTCCTTTTAAAAGGACATGAAAAAAACCTATGAGGGCGCTAATAAAGGCGAACATGCCGGTAAGCAAATGCAGATGAGAATCGAAAAGAAACACGAATCACCAAACCCTTCGGAAACAAGCGAAGAAACTGACAGAACACAAAACAAGCTATGCTGGTAATAAACACTGAGAAAAAAATCGCGGATAAAAAAAATCTTGCAATTAGATCTTACAAGACCTTTGCTTTGATTCCTCTTAAGGTTTTTTCTTTATCTTTATGTAAAACAGGAGTGAGAAAACAAATGTGGAAACGAACAAAATAATCCTTTGTCTGATCCGCAAAAATTACAACAAAGGATCTTGTGGCATTCCGTAGTGTGAAAAACTTAATTATTTTGCAATCCTTAATCTTGCATATTCACTTATTTTTATCAAGGGACCACCATAATATATTCATAACTTAAAACAATTTTTATGCAAAATTCTGGGCAAAGTTTGTATTCAGCGAAGTTTGGCTAAGGTCTGCTCTTATTGTCGAGGACAGGATCAAGATGATTTCGGAAGGAGAAGGTATTGCATTCTAAGAGCTGTATTTTAGATACTTATATCATGCTTTTTCTTTAGCACAAACACTTGATAGTGGATTGGCACCCAGTCATTTCTATTTTTCTGTGTTGTAATGTGTACAGCGCCGACAAGTACACTTGTACGTATTACTTATGGACAGAATTCCTACGCCCATCCCTCGGAGAGATGAATTGATTCCTTTTATTCCTCGGTATAGAAAGGGAAACCCGTTCTTAAAATTTATGATAGGCACCAATTGAACTGTTTTGTATTGCTGGAATACTGTTCCTTCCTCCAAAGAGCTGACGCTTCATATCGGCAAGATTTCATGACGAACATAATTCAGATTTTGCACAAGTAGCCAAAAGACCTGAAGAGCGAATAAATGTAGAAGAAATAAAGCTGATCACATGGATATATACTACTTCGCTTCATGCTAAATGCATTATTTGAATTACAGAGAAATTTACAAGTGATTGTCAAAAATATTATCATGTCTTCGCTCTTTAATTTCAAATGAAGTCTAAGAGGGTCGTAGTTTCAAAAGTCCTTTGACAGTTAACAAACGAGTGAATTTCACCGTACTATAATCCCAGAAAAGGAACAAAACAGACTACTAAAGATGATAAAAAAAATGTGCTCAGCGGAGAAAACTGTAGGTTAGTACATTAGGGTAGACATGATGCTCAAGGGAAAAATTATGAATAGCGAGTTCCGTTTCTTGGCAGAATGAGCTTCGATTGCAAAACCGCAGCTTTCTTAGCTGCGCTAGAATACGTATTAGAGAATGTCTATAATGGTGCATCGGATATTTCTCACTTCCAACAATAAATAATAGGGTTCGTTGAAGAAGTGAGAAAAGCTAAATTCCAGGAAAAAATTGAGAAACCGGTCAAATATTTTCGTGAATCAACGGCGCTCGTGACTATGTTGATAAATGAAGAAGTCCCTGGTGGTTATATGAAATTCAGGACGACAAGATATCTTGAAGATAAAGATAAATGAAGAATATTTCAATCTACGAACCCTTCGGGAATAAAATGAAATTCAACTTCTCTATCCGTGGAATTTATCTCTTTCACGTCACAGTAAGCCAGTCTCCTGTCTGAAGAGAGGACATGTCCAACATACAGCGACCGGGTAGATTTTGAAATTGCTTCTCCAGCTGTAAGGAGGAGATTGTCATAAGAATGTCTTCAGGGTATTTGGGGAAGGACAAATTCACCTTCCTCGCACTTAAAACTTCTTTCACTGCTATCTTTTTAGTCATTTAATTAATTTTTAGGATTCCGTCTTTGATTTTATTTTTTATTATTTCGCCTTACGTAAGCCTTTTCGTGCCATTCAAGTTAGCACTTGCGACGTCACAAAAACTACGTGAACCGCTTAATTTTCGATAATGCTAAGTGTCTTATAACAAAAATGAATTAAAATTATTGAAACAGGAGGTTAGGTAATTTATAGGGCAAACTCTACAGTGAGTCTTAGGTCAGGTCATGATATTAGGCGTTGTTTCCTGCGAAATGTAAAGCAAAATAACATATCCCAAACATTCCAGCCGAGTAGTAGAGTAGAGTTAGCTTGAAAAAGACGTCATTTCCTGCAGAAGAGCTCGGGCAAACCCCAGATACTATGGTCGTTCGCAAGGTGTGGCGATGGGATTTAATGAACCGTTTCTCCATTCTTTCACGATTTCTTTGTCATTCGATGGTCCTCGTCAGCAATCACTTATCTTAATCCTTAATAACTTGAGAGGTGTTTCGTCAGAGGAAGAGGAAATAGATATTCCGACTACCACAAATCAATGGCTACTTATTGATAGTGCAACTGAAGTCTGATCAAAAAGATCATTCAGTTACACTCGTATTGCAATTTTCCTTATCTTTACGTGACGAAACTTCTAACAAGGGTTGCGTAGGCGGTTTCTTGTCACTTGAGACTGTTTGGGCTCCAAAATTCCAACACGACTATTACTTGTATATCAAGTAGGACCGAGTTCTAATAATTTTTTGGGAGGAACTGACCATTGTGGTCAATAAAATTGTTGTTCAAAAATCTGTTTAAACGATTTAAGTCAAAAATTTGTTAGTATTTACAAAATAAGTGGATTATAAAAACAAACCTATGATGAAGTACGTGACACCAATATTGGCCCTTTGTTATGATGTATATTTCTACTAATACAATTAGGGTTAAAATCCAAAGGCTGTGAAGAATGTTTAAGATCATCATATCGTGTCGAAAGGGGGTCATTCAGCGGCAGTCAAAAGAGGACTACGAAACTCAAAAGCGAAATCAAAAACTAAATCAAGAAAAAAAGGATTTAGTCGAATTTGCCTGGAAAGTGCTCTTGAGTGAGTTGTGCAATACCCACGAAATAAACGCGCTTATTCTTGCGTCACTATTGACATTGGGCTATGTTGTGGTTTGTTCCTTCGTGCATGTCAACAAGATTATTCCGGAAGTCATTTGTAAGTTACCGACTTCCTCAAATGGAGGAAATGGTACTGATTACGTTTATGTTAAACAAATTGGCTGTTACAAGTATCATTTCTGTTGGTCTTAAATTATTCTCAGTAAAACTGTTTTTTTAAATCATTTGTAAAATAATGACCTAAAAAATGTGCTTTCGTTAGTTAGTGCCTACAACTCCCGGTCTGTTTACGCGCATATCTGCTAGAAGTGGACAGCGGAATACTTGTGGCGGTTGTTTTTTTGCTTTTTTTTTTTTTTTAAACAAATACTTACAACCTATTGGAACACCATGACCCGTATTTGCGTTTGTGGGTTCGCTTGCGACGCTATATATTAAATTGCGCGCGAAGAGTCACTTAAAACGTTCGACGCTTTCAACGAAACCAGAGTTCCAGTCGAGGCAAGTGCCTAGCATCAGTTATTGGTTCCAAGATTTGAGGTAAAAAAACTAAAAAATAATAGCATTTAGATATTTTATATCTCCCTCGTATGGGTTAGTAATGGTAAAAGTAAACCAATTTAAACATTGAAATTCGATGGCTAAAACTTTCTTGTAACCAATGTAAATGTTATTTCGTCTTCTTGGCATCAGTTTCTTGCAGCAAGTTTACTAACATACACACTCTCCCTGATTCTTTTTTTCTGCCATGAACAATTTAACAAAATATCAGAGATTGAGTGTTTGTCCTAGCCGTTTGTGCTACTATCTGTTGTTTAATTGTGAGTTCACCCATCTTCGTTACTGACGTCTCTACCGTTGTCATTCCAATCGGCATTCCGCCCGGAGTTCGGAAGATAGCGTAAGTGATTGATCGCAGTTTTATTAGCTAACAGAGGCGCTTTTCACCGGTAAGAGAATCTACGAGTAGGCAACTTAACATGAAGACTTGCTTCATGGGTATATTTAACATTCCCTGATCATTTGAAGTTCGATTAGTATTCACATCACATTACCTCGTGGCATGCTAAAAATAAAGCTTATTTGAAAATAAATTGGGTCTAATTAGAATATTTGCACAAACATAGGACGTAAGTAAAAATTAATCAAGCGCTTTAAAAAACTGGCAATGCACAGCCACGCTGGAATAATGCTTTTACATATCACAGGCATACACGTCATTTTGTATGATATCTTCACAACAATTAACGGCACTTAAGCCGTTATATTCAGAGCAAAATTCCGCGTCGATTGAGGTCTAATATACATGGAAAAACACGAGATGGCTTATCATAATTAAGCATAAGCAAAGCGCGCCCATCAAGTGCAAAAATAATCTATTCAAACCTTGCGTTCGGTCTGAACAACCGCATACGATCAAAACAATAATATGCAATGATATCTTCACATCTTTAAGGCGCAAAAAAAAAGTCCGGCTAAACAGTTTAAGGAATTGTTCAGTCTGTGTCCGATTCACTTTCGATGAAATGGAATCGTCGCTTCCGAGGTTAACCATGTTTCTTTTTAAATTTCGGCGTTGGATCGCTCGAGCAACCATGAGGAGCTTTGGCCCCGAAAAAAATTCGCAGCATGCATTCTATGGAGGCACTATATTTCTGTCGATCGATCGGCTGAGCTTTCTACAGTTACTGGATCCAATCTCGACCCCGAAAAGTACTGGTATGTGTAAACGAAAAGTTAATGTAAAATCAGGCCGAATGCTTTTGCAAAGAACGAATTGTTTTGTCGATTCCGCGATGTCTACAATACGTTGTGTCACGCCAGCAGGTCTCAAGCGCGCCAACAAAGGCTGTTAGTTCAATGCCAGGTAACCAAACAACATGTATGTTAAATCTTCAATTGGTCTTTGTGCCGGACTGATCAGACAAGGAGAATTCAAGCAGATGGATTCGCGAGGTCTCAAAATATAATCGTGTTGTTGATGCGGTAAATCAAATCGCTCTCGACCGTATACTTTAGGCGGGAAATGCCTCCAGTCGAAAAATCATGGGAAATTGCAAAGCTGTCAGTCAAGAATAGCCGAGATTGACAACGACATTGGGGAACTAGTAAAGGATAATAATTATATAACTAACGGTGGATGCCTCAACTTTCAGTAAAAAAAAAAGACTCCAGACAAAGAGCGGTCTCCTGATATATATATATATATATTTAACAAATAGAGAAGCCTTGACTGTGCTCTGTTCTGTTATAAAGCACGCAGGAAGCGGCTAGAGCACGAAAGAAGTTCTAGCCGCTTCCTAAGTGCTTTATAACAGAACAAAGCACAGTCAAGGCTTCTCTATTTGTTTTATAATAAAGAATCCGTTAAATTACCCAAGCATTACTTTCAATTTTCAAAACAAACTTTATTTCCAAAGCGAACAACAGTGTCGTCAGCATGCTCTATACTCTCATAAAGCACGCTACAATAAGCCAATCAGAATCCTTGTTAGAATGGTTCAAATAATCTGATTGGCTGTACAAGACTAAAGCTATCAAAAGTGTCAAACCATCAAAGTTCAAAAACCATCAAAGTTCACATTCTACGATAGTTTACAAACTAAAATAGTTCGGCAAGTCGAATTTAACACTTTTGCCTGAAGTTTTTAAGTCTCTAATACAGAATCTCGAAGTGAAATGTTCAGTGAAATTCAGCCGAATTATGGCTCATAAAAACACGCGAGTTTTTTCCACATGACAAAGTAGAAAACAAGCTGTTCAAGGCGAGTGTTTTTTGAATGAAAGACAGCCGAATTCACCGGAACATGAAGATCGCTCGTGATGACAGCGCCGCAAAACTCGGCTGCAGTGACTGATGTGAATTGCCACTCAACGTATCGGAAAGGATATCAGAGCAAGCTCTTATTTTTTCACTCGAAGGGCGGCCGATGTAGTTTCTGAGGCTTGCTTTACTGTGATGACCGGAGATCGCCATGATGAGCGAGCCGCGATGAACTTCGGCATGATCCTATTCGCTCAGACACCGTCATGATTAGTATGAATTTTAACAATTATGCCAGTTTGGTTATATTTTTCATCATTTCTGTTTTGTTCTGTTTTGTTTTTGAACACTGAACTTTATATACTATACGAGTGTTAGCCGTGTTTGATTTTTATTACCGTACGTAAGCTTTGCAATCTAACTGAGCATGAAAATCTTTAAAACTCGGAATGTTTATTTTGTTTTTCCTTTGAGGATTTTCGTATCTGCTCACGTTTTAATAACGTAAATTACGGCGCCTGGTATGTTTACAAACCTTTGTTTGATTCTTCTGTTGCTACTGGCCGGCTCGCTTCAGTTCCGAAATTTCACTTTCAATTATCGGGAAAAAGCTAAAAAGAAGTCCCGGAAAAGGTCGAACATAGTACGATTGGCAGATGGCGTGACAGCTTTAGCTCAGTTCTATGCTCTATACTCTCATAGAGCACGCTCCTTCAACCAATGACAGCGCGCGTTATATCCGAACTTTATTATAAATATATATATATATATATATATATATATATATATATATATATATATATATAGGGGGGAATTCAATTTTTCGTGCCCTCTTGGGTAGTGTGTACCTAAGGGTTACTTTTAATCTCTTGCATACCCCTTGGGTAGTTTACACCTAAGGGTGATTTTTAATCTCTTGCATACCCTCTTGGGTAGTTTACACCTAAGGTTGATTTTTAATCTCTTGCATACCCTCTTGGGTAGTGTATACCTGAGGGTTATTTTTAATCTCTTTTATACCCTCTTGGGTAGTGTATACCTGAGGGTTGTTTCAATCGTTCCCATACCCTCTTGGGTAGTGTATACCTGAGGGTTGTTTTTTAATCTATTCTATACCCTCTTGGGTAGTATATACCTGAGGGTTATTTTTAATCTCTTTTATACCCTCTTGGGTAGTGTATACCTGAGAGTTATTTTTAATCTCTTCTATACCCTCTTGGGTAGTGTATACCTGAGGGTTGTTTCAATCTGTTCTATACCCTCTTGGGTAGTGTATACCTGAGGGTTATTTTTAATCTCTTCTATACCCTCTCGGGTAGTGTATACCTGAGGTTTATTATTAATTTCTTTTATGCCCTCTCGGGTAGTGTATACCTGAGGGTTTTTTTTAAGAGCTAAGGTCAACATGCATCAGACAAACAGCGGCAAGTCACCCACTTGGGCGACTTGCCACAATATTTCAAATTTGTTCGATGGATGCTGACATCCTCTCTTAATCTGTTCTATACTCTCTTGGGTAATATATACCTATATCTGAGTGTTGTTTTTAACCTCTTCTTTACCCTCCTTGCACAGCAGACGCGTGAGACAATTTTCATACGAGTGAATTTGTTCACAATGACCTAAAATGCAATAACGGTGTTTTAGACCAGCTTCTCCCCTGTTATAGTCGTTTTGGCAAGAATGATGTCTTCGGAAAAGCTGAAAATGCCGTTCCAAAACCTTCGAAGATAAAAAGTCATTATAGGAATAGTTGCATTGCGCCGAAGCTTGTAGACCGAAGGGGAAGGATTATCTAATCAACACAGTTTCCAGACTTTAAAAGTTCTGTGTAAAGAAGGGTTTGTTGGAGTTAACCTTAAATAGGCTTAGGTCTTCGATCATGGAGGTGAAATCGGCTTTATCGGTGCCGCTTTTTTGGCAATTTTTGAGTTTCTTCTTTTTACGTGTTTTAAATTGTTCCTGTTATATGTTTCTGTAACATTTGGTCAGGACTATTTGTGAACCTTGTGTTAATGATTTACTGTTGTCTTCTGTCTTGCTGTTGTCATTTACTGTCTCTACAGAGAAAATAAGCTTAGCGTACCGCCCCTTAGGTTTTTTTAGAATTAGACCCGTTAAGTTTGTATAAAACATTTCTCTGGACTCTTGTTTCTGGGAAGTGAGAGAACAAAGAAGAGTTGTATCTTGAAAATGATTAGAAATGTAATCATCGGAAGTTGCGGTTTCCATTCGAGGGGACCTTTATTAACCTTTCTGTGGCAATTACCGGATGTCCTGGAATGTTCAGGAAACACCTCATGCCACCAAGAGGCGTCAAACCTTGGCTTGAATTACTTATGCAAATTAGTGCAGCCAGCTAATTCGCATAACAATTTTTCCGACGCCAAGCTCGTCATGATTAAGCTGGGTCGGCTCGTAATTTTCGATTTCCATGGCAATTCCCTTCTCTAAACACCATTTTTTCCAAACCGACAACCAATAAGCAGTGCTTTTCACTGTGTTTTCGTTGTTTGAGCTGTTTTTCAGCTGCGGTGACGAAAGAAAACCTACTTAGAACGCAGGCCTTTGTTTCGCTCGCAAATTTTCAAATTTTGTTGCGACATCCGAGGCTCGCATTTGATTGGCTATCTGTGAGTTTCTTTGATTATTGACCAATCAGAATGTCTGATTTGTTACTTTCTTTGCGCTGAATTAACCCTCTTCTGCACTGAATTAACTCTCTTCTGCATTGAATTACCTGAAAACTGCATTTATCTTAACCAATCAGAACTGAGTAATTTTTCCATGTATATCATTAGAGATAAACTAGTAACAACGATAAATATAATTGTCACCATTGACAAAAATGACTTGACGTCTTTCACCGCGGTGTAATAAAGTTCTCCTTTATCGCTTTAAATCGACAGCCGCCGAAATTCAAAGGCGCAAAGTTGCATGGCTTTTATAAAAGTACCAGTTATGAGAAACGTGATCTTATCAATGTAACATGACAGCCACCATTTTTCGACACATGCTTTAGTCACGAGGAAATCAATTCGAGCTGAAGATCACTCCGAGTTCGACGTCAGAACTTAAACATATCCTCCAGACTCGCTCGCTCGGTTTAGAAATATCCATGCACACCAACTCTCGATCTCTTGACTTCTTTCATTCCCCTCCCCCCTCCGCTAACTACAGCACATGTTCTGACCGCCTATCGCCCCAGGCTTTGAGTGGGTCACTGTATTCGCAGTTAAGCTGTTCGCAAAGTTGACCTTCCTCGCCTGCACTCGATCCGGCGTTGTTCTGTTGGTATGGAGTCTAAATTGAACGAACTGAAAGAATTATGCCAGTGTTTCGATTGGATAAGACTTAAATTCAAAGGGATCAAACATGTCGACATTTCAGGTTTGCGCATGAAAGAGTGTTTTCATTTCTGTTTTTTACCCCTTGCTATAAGCTACTGATTTATGCTTTTAAATTTACTCAGTGTCATAATAACCTCACAGCCAGGGCTCATTCGTAGAAAAGGGCGGATAATGCTATCCAACGGATGAATCGAAAATAAGTGGTGGCGAAACGTACGGCGTTATCCACCAGATGGAGATTTATCATATGGATAGCGTTATCAGACCTTCGAACAACAGCGGCAAGATCATTTTTCTTCTGACTGTTAAGAACCGGTTTCAAATTGCTCAATCTCGTCTCTTTATTGCCAAGAACTCTTTCCTTTTCCAAAGAATACTTTATTTACCAATAGTAAGAATGTATCCATTCTTTTAACACAGACCGATTTTCTAACTGATCACCTCCCTGTTCTGTGATTGCTACTTCCACAAGAAGCAACCTGATAAGTAATCTTTTTCAAATTAGTCAGTTGTTTCGGTTTATCCACTAAAGCACATTTACGACTAGGATGCTTAAATACAACATTACGAAAATTGGGTGTCCAATTTTATGGGTGCTTTAGTTCTAAATTAAATTCAAAACCGCTCTTAACATATCATTCTCATCAAGGTTAATATCTATCGACTTTACGGGGTCATGCATGCTCAGAAAGAAAAGAAAGATAAAGATGAAACATTGAAATTTGTTTTAGTTCAGAACTAATTAGGGTGGTTTCAAAAGTTATTTAAATTCAAACCCGTATCCATGCTGCTAAACACCAATACGATTGCCAAAAAACTGTTCTTCATGTGAATGGCTGGAATCTTTGATAGTACTAGAGATCTCAATATTAGCAATATTTTATCTATTTTTCTATTTTGATAAAATGGTTAGAACTTTAAACTATTTTTCAGAAAAATAACAGGCTTTCGGATAAAATAGTGTTGTTGAAATTAACTTGTATTTACACACTTAAGTAAATTTAAGGAAATTTCCTCAATCGAATATGCATCGTATGTAACCGCAAACAGGTAGTATTGACTATAGATATCGTTTGCCTTTTGAGTGATTTCAAAAATCATAAGTGGTATAATTTCATAACATATGGGGCCAATAACTAAATGTTGATTGGCTGAGACAGGGTATTTTTCATGAATTTTGAGAAATGCCCCACGAAAAATTACTTGACATTGATTGGTTCTTGAACAAATTTACATGGCGGGTTCCTCACCAGTCAGTTGTGGATCTGGCAGCAATCAGATACATGAAGAAGAAAAAAGTCAGTTCTCTATTTTTTATTCTTCCTCAAAAATATCTGCATGTAGACTAATTACATATCTTTGAACTAGAAATATTTCTTGAATACAGCCTCTGTCAATTTCAGGAGACGAAAAGATGACGTCAGAATATATAATCACTGTCGTTACGGGAAACCGCAAAGGAGCTGGTACAGATGCATCAGTGTCTCTTATAATCAAAGGTAACTCACCCTAACACCTTGCTCTCGTCAAATTTCTCCATCGAAATATACTACCGAAGAAACCTTATGGACTTTTTGAATCTTGGCGCTTGGCATTTACACGAGAACCCAAATTTTGAGGCGTCGAGTCAATTTAGACCTCTGGTGGGGAGGTACAATCTTTAGATTCTCTGCGACCGTTTTAACTTCAGTAGATTTCCTTATTTGTGAACCTTTTCCCTCCGTTATGAAGGCAAGTTCAACAATGAAATGTTTACGTTTGAGATTTTCAACCGTAGTGAATACCTTGGATAAATAGGACCTGAAAGCTGCACCCCTCGTCGGAATGGTTGTCCTCGTGGAAGCTAAGAAATGAGGGCAAATTCTGCAAAATCATTTTTAATTTTGTCAAACTGAGCGGCCGTGAACATTTGTGAAATGAATGACCCCAATTTCTACTTAAAACCTCACAAAATGCCTTTAAAATTTCATCTCAGGTAGCAACGGCGAAACAAACCCTCTGTCTATGGACAAATGGTTCCATAATGACTTTGAAGCCGGACAGAAGGACGACTACTACATAACCGCCAAGGATGTTGGCGAGCTTTTAATGATCACTCTAAAAAATGATGGCGGCGGGTACAGAAGTGATTGGTTCGTCGACCGAGTAACAATCAAAACTAAGAATGTCACCCATGTTTTTCCTTGCAATCGTTGGGTAGAGAGTGAAGTCACTTTCTTTGAAGGAAAAGGTAAGACAGCCATAACTTGGTCTCTCTCGTAAGCTTCTTTGCTAAACAGCGCTCCCCCTCAACCCTGGCGCAAGATTCACATTTCTATAGAAGAATGTGGCATAGTCGACCAGTTTGTATGGATGGCCCCTAATGCCGCTGCGTTTCTATTTCAGCTAAACTGCCCACGGATGAGCAACATCCTGAATTGAAAAGTCGACGTGAAGCCGAGCTTAAGGAGAGGAGGGCACTGTATGATTGGGGTAGAGATGAGGTGTATGAGGATCTGCCAGGCTACGTGAAAGCATCTGGAGTGAAGAATCTTCCCAAGGACGTGCAGTTTACCGAGGAAGCTGCCTATGACCTTCATCGAGCCAGGAAAAACGCACTCATCAACCTGGGTCTTGTGCACTTGTTGAATTTTTTTGACCAGTGGGACGACTTTGATGACTACCGCAAGGTTTGCCGATTGACACTTCCGATTTTTAGAGACCCTTTTTTTCGGTTCTGTTCTGTTCTGAGTTCTGAGATGGTTCGGTCAATTCTATCAGATTATTGCAGAATGATTATTAAGTGCCAAGTGATTTCATATTGATTTGATAGTCTGATATATTTTTAAAAATTCTACGTTTATTTAAATAGGCATTCACTGGCTTTGTTGGAGAGGTTCCACTAGCTGCAAACTACTGGAAAGAGGACCGTTTCTTTGGATACCAGTTTCTCAATGGCTGTAATCCTGATTCAATCATGAGGTGCACAAAACTGCCACCCCACTTTCCTGTCACACAGGAGTTGGTTGGTAACCTGCTGGACAGTGGGGACACTTTAGAGAAAGCCATGGCGGTAAATAAGTCCTTTTTGTGAATAGAAATATTGCACACGTAAGAGATAACGGTATTTGAAAACCATGGCGGTAAATAAGTTCTTTTTGTGAATAGAAACATTGCACATGTAAGAAATAGCACTATTTGATTGTGGAAAGGTTGACGTTTATGCGGTCTCTTTTTTAATGCCCAAAATAGTTAAGAATTTCACGAGGATATCTCATTTCATTGTCTCATGTAAGTATTGAAAAAGATTCTTGGTGTCATCACATAGGATGGCCGTATTTACATGGTGGATTATAAGATCTTGGAGGACATCCCGCACTACGGGCAGAACCGACCGGACCTAGAAAGGAGATACATGTGCGCAAGCCTAGGCCTGTTTTATGTGAAAGGTAACGGAGACCTGGTGCCGATAGCAGTTCAGTTCCATCAGGAACCACACCATGAAAACCCTATATGGACCCCAAATGATTCCGAGATGGACTGGACCTGTGCTAAGCTGTGGCTGCGTAACTCTGACACTCAATTCCATCAGGTATGAGACGGCATCAACATGGAGAATCTATAGAGATTTCGTGAGATTCAAATCAACTTATTTTTATCATTTCCATTCGTTCACCTCCCGTAATGGTCAATTCAAACTGTCCTTAATACTTTGTTTATTTTGTGCGCTACTTTGAAACCCGCCTAATTAACTGAGACAGCATGAATTCTTGCCTGCGTGCGAGACGTTACCCTGAAGAAGCTATGTGAAAACAAACTAATTCGTTTTCAGCATCACGGATTGTCTCCTCAAATAAAGTGAGAGGCATAGATAATTATCCACATGTGGATCGCAGAGGAAATGGAGAACAGGCTTGAGAAGAAGCTTACCATTTCAGCTTTGTTGATTTATTAAGGTGTATCAATATAATTTCCCCTGAATTTTTGCGCAGGAGATTGGCGCAGCCGGCTTTAAAGTGGTCCATTGGTGCATGCTCGACTTATGATCGTTGAGTTCCCTGGACGACCCGTAAAGAACTTGAAAAATAAACACTCCGTAATTTGGTGCAATAAAGAGGGTAAATAATACGGCGACACGCAAGATAGGTTCCCTGAACCACGAGAGCCATGCCTGAAAAATGCACTTTTTTTACAAAATAAAGTTTCCTGTCATCTGTATCTGTTGTATTTAGATGGTCACCCATCTTCTCCGCACCCATCTCTTCATGGAACCCATTGCCGTTGCCAGCTATAGACAGCTACCCACAATCCACCCCGTTTGGAAATTGTTGGCCCCTCACATCCGAGGAGTTCTGGCCATCAACACTCTTGGCAGAGATGTTCTGATAGCGGAAGGAGGAGTGGCTGATAACACTTTGACTGTTGGCGGAGGAGGTAAAACGATAACTCATAGCGTCAATCTGTCTCCCGGGAGGTCAAATTACCAAGTGTCTGGTTTAAATTGCTTCCTTACACATGTAAAAAATAAGGATATTTACCACATTTTTTTAGGTCTCCCGACAAATCCAGTTGCAGGGCATCTTTATGAATTTTGACGATTTTCTTATCTACTCTCCCATGTTACTTTGAGCTTGATTGAGTCATCGCGCTTTACACATGTGTCTAATTGCTTTTGCCAGGGCATGTCACCCTAATGAAGAAATTCTACAAGAGCAGCAGTACCTGGCCCTCGTACATCCTGCCACAAGTGCTAAAAGACAGAGGGGTGGATGATCCCGAAAAACTACCCAACTTCCACTACCGCGAAGATTCTTTAAAACTCTGGGCAGCCATTGCAGACTTCGTCAAGGAGATTCTATCTGGCTATTACCACTCTGATGGTGAAGTGCAGAAGGTAATCATATGAGTCAATTACTTAATCGAACGATAGACCGGTTTAATAATCCTAAAAGGTGTTGGATGATTACTAAAAAAAATTTGTTAAATAACGATCTAAAAAGCCGACCAATTTATAAAATCTGAAGCTTTTCCAGTTGTCCTTCCTCTCAACATTACATCACGTTGTGCAGCATAGAAGGAGAAATATAGAGTGCTTTCGATGGCTTTTTTTGGACGTTAATCAGTTTCCTCAAGATTCTAAGGACCAAAGGAGGTCAAAAAAACAGCTTTTGCTAAGTCTTTACGACGAAGTGGTATAGTAAGCCACTCTGTCTCCTTGCAGAAAAATCCACACTAAATCTAACGCGGTCACGTTGAGTTATTTTTACCCTTTAACTACCAACATCTGACTGTAAACTCTCCTCTCTTGCTCATACACATTTCTTTGTGAATTAGTTAGGAGAATTTGATGTTTGATCAAGATGAAAACTTCTACCTGATAACGTTGAATATTCTCAGTACCTTTTTGTTAAAGATTGTTAAATATGATTTAAATCCGCGCACAGTAGTTGCATTTGTTGGTCTCCTGATCAAGGACGACTGTAGATTAAGCTTATCCTTTCCGTGCCTCCATTCGAACTGAGGTTGAAATCCACTTATTTTTTTTGGAAGAGTGTTAATCAGCGATGATCAAACACTCATAATTTATTATCCCGTCAACTCGGGATATTGTTTTGTCACTTTGGCTATTTATTCTTCCTTTCGCAATCTGTGTCTTGTAATCCATCCAAATAAAACTCGTCGTGTTACTTTTATTAAAGGACTACGAGCTTCAGAATTGGGTCAAAGATCTGCATGACAATGGCTATCCCAATAAACCAGGCCATACAAACCATGGTGTTCCGCCATCTTTTACCAGTTGCGTCCAGCTGTACGAATTCTTGACCTCCATCATCTTCACCTGCGCCTGCCAACACGCAGCAGTTAACTTCTCCCAGATGGACGTATACGGTTTCCCGCCAAATTCTCCAGCACTCATGCGTCAGCCACCACCGACCAAGAAAGGAGTTGTGGGGCAAGCAGACCTCATGAAATGCTTGGCAACCAAGCACCAATCTTCCCTCACCATTGCCACGGTGTACGACTTGACCCGTATTTTTAATGACGAGGTACTGTAATGCATAACTTCTGTGCTCAATTCGTGATTGTCTTCAATTTTACCAGTTAAGGTAATTTGGTTTTATCAACTGAGTTAATAATGTGACTTGGCCACCATAAAGAGTTTCCAGAGCCTCAGCAATTCGCGATCGTCAATTCGCTCTGACAAAGGGCTAATGCTTGAAAAGTCAGCTTTAGAAACTCCTTACGCTGGCTAATTTACACCGTCAACTCAGTTGATAAAACCAATTTGTCTTGTTATACTCCTCCACCGACGCAGCACCGCAGTTTCTTTAGAAACTTACCCCCTTTATTCTTGTACCAGTTGAGGTCACCTCTAGGATTTAAAGTGAACTTAGTGTTAACGAAACACATTTCGAAAAGCAGGCAATAGATACGCATGCGTGCTTCATCAACAAATCATGCAAAAACCATCAGTGCAGAGTTGATGTTATCAAGTACATGTTTGTTTTTTCGATCGTAGTTCGTACTACTTCAAAACCACTTATCATTTGTTTTAATTGACAGAAATTCATTGGTGACTACCCAGAGGAGCTATTCATCGAAGAACCTGCCAAAGCCGCCATTGAAGTATTTCAGAGGAAACTGAAGGGCATATCCGCTGAAATTAAGGCGCGAAACGCAAAACTTCGTGTCCCGTACCCATATCTTTTGCCAGAGAGAATTCCAAACAGTATTGCCATCTGAGCTTCGAAAGAAAAAGAAAACAGTCCCCTATCCCTCGTGGAAAGACGTTCAATGTTGTGATTAGACAAAATAGACTGATTTGTTGATTGTAGACACGAATCTTCAATTGTGGAAGGAGAGTCTGTCGGGCACTTATTCCATGCATATATTCCATACAATATTTGCATCTCGTTCCTCCCTTTCGCTGTTGTTGAAGGTTGCTAATATTTGTGTGCGGTGTGAAATTCTGGCTCTATGTAGGAGTTCTTGGGTAATCATAAACTATACTAGTCCGGGGATAAATCTCTATACGGTGGATAGCACAGTATGTTTTGTTAACTCTTGTCCGCTGGATAGCGTTTTATCCTTCGGATAGCGTTATCCGCTCTTTTAAAAACTAGGCCCTGGTGTGTTCAAATAAAAATATCATGGAGGTAAAGTTAACTTGCGACTAACCGTTATTTGTAGACTGGATATCACAAAGGTCACATAAACACAAAACATAAAACTTGCATTTACAACAACCGGAAATGGAAATGAAAATTGTGCGTGCTGCAAACTCGTTATGAATACCTCCTTCCTGGCTTTCTTTTGGCTCGTTATTCAATTCCTCTCTCATCAAGAAACCCCTTACATGTATCATTTAGCGCTGAAACCCCGTCACTAAAACCCCAGGGATTAGTACCCAGCGCTAAAAGCTGAACATTAACAACCCTGCCATCCCTGTCAATTGTCGACGACTTTTTGCTTAGAGAAGAAGATTTCATGGCAGTTTTCGGGATCTTTCCTTTTAAAGTCTTTTTTAAAGACAAAAATCAGCTCAAAGGGACATATTTGATTTTATTCTCGCCTCGCACACTAAAATGATTAACCAGCCCTCTGGAAATTCTCCTCACTGAAGGGCGAGAGCAAATTTAATTTTACTGCAGATACGCAGCCTCTCCGCAACCTTTCAAATACAAATTCAAGAGGTATATCACTGTACGACAAAGGGGGTCATACCAGCCTTTTTTTGAACAATTAGTGAGAACAAGAGAAAACTACCGTTAAGAACATCAGTAACACACTCGACTGTGCCTCCCGTGCCATTCTTTCGTTTTTATTACATCTTGACGTTATCTGGGTTTTTTTACAGCATAGCCGCACGGCAACATAAAATCTATTCGCTTGTCACTCCTTTAGTGAAGTGCATTCTAGTCTACCAAATATGGACTGCAGTAGGCGCCTTCTCCATGAAGACTTATCACTTCTAACTTATCCCATGGCCTACTGCGGACAAGGTAGCCTCCATCTTTGTTGACTAGTATCTCATCTCCCTGACTAAAACAGCAGAAAAAGGCTTGTTAGTCTTTAATTGGCAAGATGCAATAAGAGAATTCTCAATCGAACGTCGACAGCAATCGCCTTGACTTTGCATCACCACACTGTATGATTGGTCCAGTGGTTGGTGTCACTTTCTTGACCAATCAGATTCAAAACTATTGCTAACCATAGCTCGGAGTTATTCACGTTTTCGCGCACTTAATCCTTAAACTCCCAAGATCTAATAAGTGATTCTCTTCACTGTCGGACATACAATTACTATGATGTTAATTTGGAGAGTTTGCTATTGGATCAACTAATAATCCCTCAGTTGTTATTTTACTTTATCCTCATAACTTCTATGCTTGATATTGTATTGATATTGTAAGGAGAAATTCTCTGTTGGTCACTCATGGAAGGTAAAGGGTTAAAGTATTCATGCGTTTACTTTAAGTTTCCATTGGCTCCTTGCTTTGTTAACCCTTTACATGCTAACATCAATATGCATATTTTCCATACTGCTCTCTATACATTTCCTGAAGGACTGACAAGGAGAATTTGTCTAAAAACCAAGAGCTTTCTAAGTTGATGATCATTTCCTTGATTCTCGTGGCCTTAAGGTTTGATTAAGGGGTGCTATTGCAAGGAAAAATTAGAGGCTGGTCACTCCTAGGGTTTAAAGGGTTAACCTCAGATCTGATTTGCCCCTGTGATCGATTATGAAAAGCAATCGGGAAGCGCTTCCATAGAATCCAACAGATTCTACTGGGCATAATCATAAAAAACTGACTTGTTTTATGGAAAGTCAGGAAGAGTTAAATATGAAAACAACGGTGCAGCAATTTGTGAAGGAAAAAATTCTTAACAGTGAACAATCTTAGTTTATCCTTGTTAACCGAATGAGGCTAAATGCGTATAAATAGGAAGTGTTGATCAGGTCAGATTCCTATTCATCGTGAAAACGATCGGGTCAGGTCGAAAAATCAGGTAACAACTTTAAAGATATCCGAAGGGTTTTCTTACATGTCCTCCAATACTGGAAATGGTTCCAGCAACACAGAAAAATCAAATTATATTAAAAACCGCCAGTTACCTGAGAAAAATGCCAAAAATCCCCAGTTCAGAGATAATTTCTGCAGGTTTTATAGACTCCTGACGAACGATAAAGTTCCTGTTGATGCAAGCAGGTCGAATTCGGTCCATCAAAATATACTGAGAACGCTTTTCAGGATTGCTTTGGAGTGTGTGCCGGATATCTTCCCCATAGATGAGATTACCTGTAGTCATGGGATGAGCAGGTATTCACACAAATTAGCGTAATAAATTAGTAGTGTTTTTTTACTTTTTGATTGCTAGAGCTAGTTTTGCACTTCTCAAAGAGAACAGCGAAGCTCAAAGTTGTTGTTATTTCTCTCATCTCTTTCCATTTGGCTATTAAAGGTAAACCATATCATACCTCCTCCTTCCCTCTGAGGTTTCATGACAAACCTTTCCACTGCTTGGAGACAACACTCGACATTGCGATCTCCTGATGGTCCCTGAAATTGAGAAATATAGAATAAAATTTTTGACTCGGTCTGAAATAGGTTCGAAAAACTGGCATATTTCATGATTTTGACAATTTACATTCAATCTGAAAATTCTCCATAGACAGTATACCCATGCCAATTATTTTAGTAGATATGTCCTTTAATGACGTTTAACACATTACATACTGAAGAGACTTGTAACTGCATCTTAAATGCAAACCTACAGATACGAACAGTCATGACGTGGGTAGACGCATGCAGCAACAGATGTACTCTATACACTGTCTCAGATCACCACAGATTAGCTTCTCAGGGGAGAGACACAAGTATGTCATTCCTTAGCAATGTCTGGTTATTAAAATTCTGCCTTCACACACTGGGTAAAGTTCTTAACACTATGTACAGTTATTCATTTACCGGATCGAGAGTGTATAATCCAGTAAAGGTTGCTCTCACTCTGTCCACTGCCTCTCTATTCGGTAAAAACCTACTCAAAATATGAAAAATGAAGTTATTAATTGAACTCAGTTGCATAAAAATACTACACCGCTGGAGATTATAAACCCTGCAATCCTTAAAGGTGACCAGCATCTAATTTCTCCTGACAATTTGTTCATTGAATCGAATGTTAAGGTAATGAGAATAAAGGAAATGATCGCCAACAAAAGAGGCCCTGGATTGTAAACCAACTAGTCCTTTTCAGAACCGTAGGAAATGTGTAGAGCACAGCAAGGAGAATATCTACTCTGATCTGAGTGTGTAAAGGTCTATAAAGGGTTAGGAATGTATTTATATGAGCTCAGTCAATCGGGGCTGGCTCGGTTTCTTATATAACTACAATGTGTCTCCATGAAAGGGCGGGGAGGGCTGACCCGGATAACGGTATCACGGTTGAACACCCCATTCCAACCAACCCACCCAGTTTTACAAGAAAAAACCTAAAGATTTGCCTTGTTCATCTCGAGCCCTAATTTCTTCGGAACTTGTTACCTTTCTAAAACTCCAGGTTCAGCAAATACTTGTTGCATCTTCTTGGTTCCCATCAACTGATGAGCCACTGTCGGGCATTTAATACAACGGGACAGCTCGATTGTCAGACGAGCTGACCATTCCTGAGTCAGAAAATTAGCATGTATTTCATCTAAGAACACATACATGAGCCTATCAGAAACTTAGATAAGCGTTTCCTTTTCTAGAATTCGTGGCAAATAAATTTATCACTCATCCTTTATAAAATCTCTTCGTTTTATCTCATACAGGTGTATAGTTTTCTCGCGGTAGTACGTTTTCACTGAGCTAGTTTCCACATAATTTATTCTTCGGGAAAACATTTTTCGAAAAATTCTCATCCAAGGTTTGAAAAAGGAGTTAGCAAGGGCACTTACGTCTTCACTGGGGTAGTCAACGGGTGTGTAACCTGCTCTAAAGTAAGCTACAGCAACCTCAAGTCCATCCCTGTTAAAGGTAAATAGGAACCTAATAAGAGTTCAGGCGTCTACATATGTAGTCATTTATAAAAGCAGATTTGTGCGCACGATCTAGGAATTTCTATCTCAATAACTTGAAAGAATAAACTAAAAGAAATCAACCCAAAAAATAATTTTCCATTTTATCACCCAAAAACTAGGAAACAGAGAACTTTACCACAACAATTAGTATTAGGTATATCATTGCGAGTACATAAGTATTTTATCGCCCAGTCAGTAAGTCAGAAAGAAATTCATTCAATACATGAGGAGTTAACCAGTGAATCAGCTTCTCAGTCGTTTAGTTGGTGAATTAAGAGGTACGATCAAAGAGTTATTAAACAGAAAACGAAAACTGGGAGATAATAAATGTAATGCCAACTTTCTTACACAAAGAGAGATTTGTCGCCCCGTATTTCGCTTTGAGTACAAATTTCTGTCAAAGTTCGTCTGATCACTTTTACAGCGCGGTTTCTGCAAGAATAAAGATGAAGTTGTATTTTTATTCATTACCTAAAATAGTTCATAATGCCCCCCCTTCCTATCCAACTAGAAAATTCCTCTCACGCCCCTGAATAGTGAAATCAGGTTTTTCCCGTTGAAACCTGGACTTTCAGATCCACACATCAGCCCGCTAACCTGTTGAAGATATACGCAACATCTTTATCAATTGAATCATTCGATAACGCACTGCTCGAGGGCAAAAGTAATCACGGATTTGATTGCTTTTGTTTTACTGCCTGTGGTTTTACATTTTAGGGTCTAGAAAACTTGCCCTGGATCTCGACTATCGGCTTGACAATGAATTAAAATCGATCATGACTCAACTGGTTATTTGCATTTTTCTCGCTCGCTTCGTTCAATTCGCACTGAATTTATGGTTGTTTTTAATGATGTTGTTTGCTCTGATGAGCTGTGGTGTTCACTCTCACTCTGGTTTTACGACACTAAGTAGAAAAGCGTTCTATCTGCAAATTCATTACTTGTCTCTGATGCTGTATTCCAGAATCCTTTGGACATACACATTCACTTCATCAGGACGAACGATAAACATGATAACAGCACTGAAAAGATATAAAGTAAACGTTGCTAGAAATGGAAAACAACAAACGTTGGTCAGCAACAAAAAACAAGACGATTGGATTAGAACACTTTTCATTGATCGATATACTAACACAATGCCTTGCCCGATTATTAATCGTGTACCTTGCTTAGATGGATATCCGGTCGTTCCGCCCGAGAGTCAAACCGCCCGAGACCTTTCCGCCCGAACTTCGAAGTCATTGCGCCGATGTATATGTCGTCTTATCTATGAGTTTTGTATAGTTCTTTAAAATGGTATTATAAAATAAAACTAGCGTTTTATTAGTTTTTGTAACGAAATACAACACGAATGGTTTAATATTTTTTCTGAGTAGTATACTGACATCACAACTGACTTCTTGCCTCAAATATTTGGCCTCGATGCGTCTATTACATAAAAAATGATTTCGCTTTTGATCGCAGAAGTTCCGAAGAAGTTAAATATCCCAGCGGTTGAATGAGCTGTTGTTTTGATGACACGGTCAACAAATATCTTCTAACATTACTAAAAGAAATAAAAAATGGAATAACAGCTTAATCTTTGCAATTTGATGCACTGTTTGTTCGTCGGGCGGATTGTCTTTTGGGCGGAACGACCGCAATTCGCCAAGATGTAGTAGCACCCCGCGCGGGATCATTTCTTCATTCTTTGCCAGATAATATGACTCATGCACGTATTTGAAATATGATCGAAGCTACTGACCGAATGAAAACTAGAAAATCATTGGTCTAAATATTAGTTAAGTGTATCGGTTATACCTCGATGACCCGTATAGTTCCCAAGCCTTCATGAGTCCCTCAGCTACTTCATCGAGTGCAAAGTTTGGAGGCGGTGACTACAAAGAAGCATGTAAGGAGAAAGACAACTGGTTAGCAAAAAGGGCTAGAGCACCCTTGAATAAAGAAAACGACAATAGCATCAATTGAAGGATTCTAGTCCAAGCTCAGTAAATATGATTTTTTTTCTCATATGGCTTTGGAAAAAAAACGGTTTTGTAAGTTACATGAACACAAACACAATATCAAAAGTAAATGATAGTTACTGTACCTTCTCCTCTTTTCCAATAAGATTCAACAGATGTCTGGAATCACGTAAATGAATCATTAGGGTAAGCGAAAATAATTCAAACATATATATATATATATATATATTGCTCTTAGTATTTAGAAGTTCACAGTTTAAAATATTTCCATGATCTAAATCAAAAATGGTAGAAAACAAGAAATTTTTGAAGAATTATTTGCAGTGTAAGTGTTGCTGTTAACAAACAAAATAATGTGGATTCTTCAAAAAAAAATCAATTTTCACAGAGAGAAAATCTACGATTTTAGGTTTGCTTATGTCTTCCAGTTTCAATGTCATATTTCCTTAACCTTTTTACTACCACAAGTGATTAACATGTAACCTCTCCTTATAATATCCAGCAAACAGGTGATGAGAATACTCAGAATTATCAAGCAGAGTTTGTTAATTTGATCTAATACCAAATTCTTGTAATTAATTTACGAGGAAATGTAAGATAGCTAGAGCGCAGAACTGACAAGCACCGGAGTTGACAAATTATAAAAAAAAAATGCGTCTAGCAACCTGATTTTCACCCTATAGACCAACTGATATTTTGCACGATAAATTTTGATTGCGTGATTGGGCCTGGATTTTTCTTTTATGTGAATGACATATCGTAGGATGGCTTAAACAATTCAATTTCTCATTGAGGACGGTTACTGAGTTACTGGTAAGGTCACTTATTGTTTCGGTGCCGTGGGTAAAAATGTGCTTTTATCGCTAGGAAACAGTGTTGGTCAATTTTTCAAATTGTTATCAGTAACTACAACGATGAACAATTTAAAATGTTAATTCTAGTTTTTCACGCTGAATATATTTGAAATGAGATTGAATATTCTTTTCATTTATTTCATCACTTGAAATTCGTCTCATAACGCGAAAACATCGAAATGTCGTGTGAGTTAAACCTTTTTTTTCTGTTTATCCCCTTAATTGTTTATCTAAGTCTAATCAAGAGACATATTTTCGTACAGCTTCCTAATATTTATGGACGTAAACAATACATTGCCTTTGCGTGAAGCGTCTTTCCAAATAGCGCAAAGTCGCCACAGGCTTAAGTAATTGCATCAGCGCGTCCCATGAAAAAATAGGATACATTATACCTGTGGAGGCTGGAGGCACGACATGATGAAGATATGGCACTTATGGAAATAGTGTTTAGTTCAACTTGTTTGATACAAAGGTTTAAGTTTTCGTCTTCTTGGTTGTGCGACCCGCTTGTTTGTTCAAGCATGTAGTCCGATCGGAAGATTCCCAACGAAATGGGCTGAGAAAAAGAAAACGTTTATAGTAATTTACTTAACGATTCGAAAAAAAATTGTTTATGTTCCTTTTATGTTAAAAGAGTAATTAAATAATTTACGAAAAGAGGGTATCAATCGATCGTTTTTTTTTTTCCCATGGATCCTTAAAGAAAGAAAGGGTTGATTTATAGTAGAATCAATGACAATCTTTCGCTCAATAATTAATATGTATAAGACATGTATCCATAGACTTTCCTAAGAGCTAAGTTGTGTACACACCTGATCTATGCCTTGCTCTTGAGTTTTCTCGTAAATGGAAAATATTTTTGCTGTGAATACATCCGCAGTTATGGTACTAAAAGATAAGTACAGAAGATTAAGAGAAAATCCACAAGTTTGAGAGATTCACTGTCACAAACCAGCGATTCGGAATGATCAGTAGGGAAATTAAAGTAAAGATGAAACTGTACCTCAGAAGTGCGTCTTTCGTGAACTGGAAATCCTGGCTTGCCTTGTGCACCAGCAAATTAAAATCCTTTTGAACTTCTCTGGCGGCTGCGAAAAGTCTTCTAGGAAATGGAGTGGGAAGGACAGTAAAGGGTCTGTGCTCTAAATTTCCACTCTTGTTTTTGTAAATCATTCCGCGAGTGAGAAAATAGTCTCGGCCTTCTGAGGCGAGAAAATCAACTTCGTTATCCGAAAGGTCCCCTCTTAGAAAGGACGAGAACATTTCGAACGGTGAAAATGCTTCTGAAAGACACGAAAAAAGTTTCGGATGAATCGAAAGTAAGTAGAATTTGTTAAGCTTTGAATTGGAATTGTTCAAAATTGACGGCTCGAACGAATAAAAGCCTGAATAATATTGGCTACCAGGAAACGGTCTTGGTTTTAATGGACGATATTTGAGAAGGTGCGTGTTATGAATGATTAGGGAAACAAATTAGTACGTGACGCGTGAAAATAACCATAAGAGGAACGTGATTCGTGAATTAATGAGTGTGCGTGAAGCGTGGGTTGTCTTCGCCTAAGATGGACAAGAGTCACATTCGTGAAAATCTTATGAATTTTTCTTACCCGCAGATTACCGGTTTTCTGTCAAATCAACGGACTTACGAAATAATATTTGAAGATTTCAGTGTAGAGGAGTCAAAATGAGTAACTGCGAACTGAACTCTGAAATTTCTGCTTGAGTACAGTAAAGGAAAGGCGTCTCTATAGGATCAACCTTCTTGTCAAGAACTAGGATTGAGTCAAGGTATGCTTCCGAGCCAAAAATATGTATGTAGCATTTCGGCAGTTTTTGGAGATATCACCCGACTTCTTTTGAAAGTTTCCAAAGCATGACAGTACTAGGAAGATTAGGCGAGTATTAAGATTAAGGATACACTGCTCAAGGTTGGTATTTTATTTTCTTGGCTTGCAGACAGTGTACAAAACACTTGAAAGGAGAGCAGTAAATTTTTGTTAGGTTTGATAATTGTGCCATGGCTGAGAGGGTTTTTTGGAGAATAAACGATTTTCAGAACAAGTATCTGTTAAAATAAAACAAAACAGGAAAAAATTCAACCCCACTCAAAACCAAATGAAAATACGAGCGAAAATACAAGCGACCTTTTCACAATGATTTCTGCAAACATAATACCACCGTGGAGGTATTTCTCATGGTTGCTATAAGCTTCAGTCAATGTCTGCTGCTTTACACTGAAGAATCTCTCGTTACCTTTCACGTCTCCTCCTTACAATCTTAAGACGACTGTTACACGTCCCTCTCAGTATTTACAGTGAAACAAGAAAACAATTTATTCCCGCTAAAAGTATTTTATTGCTAATTATTCGATTTCTTTTATGAATATAACCTTTTACCCTTAAAATACAATCTCATTTTAACTGCGCTTTTAGAGTGAAATATTTTTCATCACTCGCCACAACAATGTGGTCACACCTCGGTCAAAGCTAAAGGAAAACAAGGCAGAACGATTTTTGCAAACATGATAACACTGTGGAGGCATTTCTCATGGTTGCTTTAAGCTTCAATCAATGTTTGCAGTTATACACTGAAGAATCTCTCGATACCTTTCACGTCTCCTCCTTACAATCTTAAAACGACTGTTACACATCCCTCTCAGGATTTACGGTGAAACAAGAAACAATTTATTCCCGCTAAAAGTATTTTATTGCTAATTATTCAATTTCTATTATGAATATAACCTTTTACCCTTAAAATACAATCTCATTTTAACTACGCTTTTAGAGTGAAATATTTTTCATCACTCGCCACAACAATGTGGTCACACCTCGGTCAAAGCTAAAGGCAAACAAAGCAGAAAGACAATACAGATTCTTGTTCCTGGTTTCAAATAATTTAAGCAAAAAGGGATATTATTCCACCCTTTCTCTCTCTTTGTGGGAATGAGATGGATACCCGACCTTAGCCGCGCTTGACATCAGACATTACAATAAATAAATTGCATGGAAGTCACAATTTTAAACTAAAATATGCTGCACTGGAAAAGTAGGTAACTTGTGAGGTGTTACGCGTTCGTTCTCCTTTCCGAAAAAGAACTAAACCAAACGTGGTTTTATGTATCTTGCGAAGCCGAGATTTACATGGTCAGCATTTGAATTCCCTTTTCTTCCCCTCTCCTTTTCTCTACAGCTTATCGAGTTCACTTTTTAACGTATCCACGGCCTTGCGCATGCGTATTTCTTCCTCAGCATCAGCACATTGCGTGAGCCAATCAGCACACTGCTTCAAAACAGCCTCTTTCTGAAGACGGAAGTGAGTACGAATGGCTTCTTCAAACCCTAGGGTGAGGGAAAAAACAGTTTTGTAACCGATCAAACCTTTGACCCTACAGTGATTAGATTTTATTTTCTCCTTACAATATCACCCCTATATCAAACATTAAGGTCACAAGAATCAAGGAAATAATCATCAACTAAAGAAGCTCTTGATTGCTAAACAAATTCTCATTGTCAACACCTTTGGAAATTTATAGAGAACAATATGTAGAATATGCATACTGGTGTTATGGTGTGGCGGGTTCGCGTACAAAATAACAAACATTACTTGCGTCATTGCCAAATCATTAGTAAAACTGCACCTCATCGTCAAAATACAAGTAGCTACGAACTAAATCAAAACATAACGCATTTATTTTTGTAATTATTGACTGTTCCTTCTGCATATGACCAATGAGAACCAAGTGGAGTCTTAAATTCTTTAGAATAATAACAAGCAGAGTCAGTACACAGTAGCTGTGTTTCCAAAAGAGCGTGGTAAATTATAATAATCTAACTAACCAGGTGCTGGTTCACGTAGCTGCCCAACCATGGCGTGACGTATTGTGTGAAGTTTGATTTTTGCATTGTACTCTTTGCACAGAGCCTGGGGAGAGAGAGACAAGTGAAATCAAAGTCACGCAAGGTTACAGTTATGTCTTAAAAGTTAATGACCCACTAAGGTCACAGTATTGTTACACCTCTTGGATGGGATACCTGTGCATCGCAGGTGACACGCAATCGTTTCATTTGCTTACCTATTATCTCACTTCTTACTAAAGCCGGGGTTGAGGAGACAGAAAGTAACGGTAAATAAACTTTTCCAACACAGTGAACTAGCTTCGACTCGCATGTAGAACTCTTCGTCTAGAGTTCAGGGCGTGAAATACCTAGCTATAGCGTCTCTCAAACCTCACAGTTAACACAAGATAATAAATGGAATCGAAGCGACTCGATTATAACACAATGAATGATTTGAACCCGGGCGTAACATGGGATAGTGTAGCATAATCGTCTGGGTGAGTGGTTTCGACAACCTAAGCGGAAGTCATCTGCTCTCTGCCACTCTTTTTTTTTCAGCCACCATCGCAATCTTCAGGTAACACAGCGCAGATAGGCAATTCGCAGATGCAAAACAACCTTTACAGGATACATATCCCTTATCGGAAAGAGCGTGTAAATTATAGTCACATATTCTTAGATTGGAATGACAACATCAGCTTATTCCTACTCATCGTCATCATGGACCAGTGAGGGTACATGATGGGAACATGAACAGTAACAGCAAGGAAGGAATCATAGATTAAAAAGATTGACGCAAATTTTACGCAGCAAACTTGAAAATTGTGGTTTCATTACTGACTTTGCTTTTCAATTTCAGCGTCAACAAAAAACACGTCCATTGGTCAAACAGAGAACCGTTAAGAATTCCACTTACGTCTCCCTCGTCGGTTCCTTTGATGCCTTCGTAACCAGGTTCATTAAAACACGGATCAGGAGTAAACATCATGCCTTGAATTGACAACAAAACCTGGCAAAGCATCAAAAAGAGAAATACAGTTCAAAGCATAACTTTGTCTCTACGATAACAGGAAAAAAGTAAAAAACTCAATTTTAAGACAGAGCTCTGGTTTCGAAGATGGAGCGGAACCAGTGGTCTTGGCTAATAAATGTTGAAGGCGTTATGGTTACCTCTCTAACTAGAGTCAATTTACTTGACATTTACAAAGTCCTCATTTACTAATGATCGGAGTCCGAAACAGAAGATTGAGAACGTGGACCAAATTTTGTACAACACCTTTCATTTCCGAGATCGAAAAATTGTAGTGACATACATTTCAGGCGCTCACCAGAGGGTCACAATTTCAATTCCGACTTTCCCTTGATCACCATAATACTTGTTTCCCCGCCTCGTCATGGAACGTCAAGAAATATTGACGCGCAGTAGTAAACTTTCCTCTACAATCCGTTCTCAAGGTCAATTTTTCTTTAAGCATTAGTTTAACCTCAGGATAACGGTTTAGAACAAAAATGTTCCTGTACATTCCCGCACTACCCTGGTGGTTAATACGACGAATCCCAGACCAAGAAAGTTTGGGTTCGAGCCCAAACCAGCTCTTTGTGTTGCGTTCCGCGCTTAAGGTAAAATGGAATGATTATACAGCGAACTGAAGCGTTCAACTGAAGGAACCGACTGATTATGAGAAACAACAATTAAATACGCATGACTTAGCCCAGTAATGTATCAAAACCTAAAACTGCATCCCCACAGAGGCGCTTTCAACAGATCAGGGACAGAACTAACGAACTTTGTGAGTAGATTCACCATCAACAACAACAATAAATACAAACTCAACAAAAACCAAACCTGGTAGAGAGAAGACTTCTTTGGATCCCACTTCTCACTTGCATCTCCACCATGCCAAGTTCCCAACAAACTTAAACAAACCTAAAGATGTGAACAACAATGAAGAATGAAACAAGACAAATCAAGAAATCAGCGTGAAAAGCATCAAATGGAACAATCTTGGCAAAGTACAGCTTGAAATTACCTTTCCATCTGCGTAGAGATTCGGGTTAAACCTGCAGTGAAAAAAAAAAAACTTGTATTCAATAACTTACAATACCTAGAAAGAGACAAGAATCATAATTCAGAAGTTGAGAGTTACAAGCTTAGAAGAATGAGTACAATTCTTTACAAACCGCTCTATAATTTACAAAAATCAAACAATAAATATCAAAAACCTTACTACCTCACCTGACTGTACCATTACCAGTTGTGATGATTTTCACCAAAGGTGGGTCAACTGGATATGAAGACGGAAAGTAGATATCGAACACAAAGCAGCCTCGACTGTAAGGCGTATCTACCGTGCCGGTGATAAGAGCACGGACAAAATCCATACGGTTCTCATCCTGCGCGGGAAATAAAGAAAAAAGTATTATCCATTATCTACAATTCTTAACTCGCTAGTTTCCAGGTTTCTGAACACTTACTGTAAATCAAATCAAAATAAATTGAATCGCAGGAGTGGTACATCACAGAGGAGGCTTTTCGTCTACTCTTTTCCAGGTTGAGTTGGAAATTCAAGTGTTTTTTTTTTTTTTTTTTTTTTTTTTTTTTTTCCTGGTCTAAGTAGGAAAACCAGCTAGCCCAGAGAAAACCCCAGGGAGGAGAACCAGAACGAAAAAAAAACCTCAATCTAGGCGAAGCCAGGTCTGGGGAATCAAACCCAGGCCCCTGCAATGGGATACAAGCGCTCTTCCTACGCCAAAAGCTCTCATTCCCAACGGAAAGACTTGTTATCCATGATGGGCTTAAGGGCCAAAGGCACCTTTAAATGGGGCGCCATATTGAAAGTGAAGAGGCCTTTTTGAGGAGTTTCCCAGGGGAAGAGTTAATCTGGTTGCAAAGACCTCGTCGTTAATTATTAAAAGGGTGTTAATGTAGGACGTGTCCAAGGTAGGCGGTATCTCGTGTCAAACTGGGAAGCAATATGAACCTTGTTAAGCGGTTTCCTCAAAAAAAAAATTTTAGCCCGCTCACTTCCTATTAAATTAAGTTGAATATGTGTTCCTGCCCAAGAAAACAAGGCTTCTCCTCACGTTGTACACGGCGGCGAGAAGAAACTTTACCGGGCTAACATCATCACAGTAAGTAATGAAAAAAAGCGGAATCATTCTAACCTGCCTGACAAGTATAGAAGAATTTGGATGGATCGGCAAGTTGTTTTTCAGTTGAGTTGCTTCACGCATAAGAGCCCGCACTTTACCAGACCTGACAAAAACAAGCGGTCAAAACAAAGTAAGCTAAATGTCTTGCACATGATTAAGAAAAGGTTTACAAAAATCTACCTGGGACACATGGGCTGACTAGCACAGGACCGGAAGGCATGACAATCCTGAAACGAGAAAAGAAAAACCCTTTCATCATAGTTTACCCAATAAAACCATCTACGACAACAACAAAAAAAGAGAAAAAAAAAAAAAGAGGTCTGGGTTTGAGTGCTGGCAAGCTCATTGTAAAGTGCTCCTCGTCAGGAACAAAACACAGCTGGGGGGAGGGGAGGAGAGGATACCTACCATACACTAAGAACCCGTTAGTAACAATTATCCTAGTCGCTCAGTGCTAAAGGAATACGATTAAGCTCTGGGTATAGTTGCACACGAGGCCCGTTAAACTAAGTTAACCCAACCGATATTTCTCCTACTCTGGGCGTTTTACTTAAGTTCAAAAATGACCCATGGTCTGTGAGTGGAGAACTGCTGGACACATTGAGGTAGTTCTTTTGGTCATCGTTATCTCTGAAGTGATTTGCTTCAATTAAAACTGAGTTAAGACAGACTTTGGGAAAATTTACAACGGAGGGAAGGCTGGCGCACACCTTGACTGAAAGAACACTAGACCACGAGGGACAACATTTAAATCCGCATGACCGGTCCAATAGAGTTTCAACACCTAAGACTGAATCCCTGACAAAGGCGCAGACATTTTCAGACTTAAGTTTCCAGTTAATAATGTTACACTACTCCCTTTTCTTAAATGTTTTCATGGATGGCGAAGAGACGCACAACAAGTTTTCCACAAAGGATTGTTTATCTCTAGATTCTCTTGAAGTTTCCGAAAACGGGAATAATCTAAAAATATCTTACGTATTATTAATTAGGAATACGACCTATCCAGACAATTCAGTCTCTAGGCTTGATATCTTCTTTCCTGGTCTACATAACTCAGATATTATAGGCTTAGTGAATAAAATACTCCAAAATTATTATCAAATGTATCAGTCGTGTACTGCTCTTACCACCAGCTCGGCTGCTTCAAACTTGATTGATTCAAGTGTTTCGATATAGGCTTGATCAGCCTGTTTTGGGTCACAAGGATCCGGTGCACAAGGTCCATTCCCACCCCCCTCGGGTGGTTCTTCTAGTCCATTCTCGTCTGTGTTTGTTTCGATCTCCCAAACAGAGAAATTTTCATCTTCTCGTGCCAACAATGAGCTCACCTGTGAAACATCAATTCAACGGGCCACTTTCAATTTCTCTGCATAAGAATCTGTGAATGAGCAACTAACATTTTGTACTTTTAAGAGGTGATGGCTTTTAGGTTGTTAAACGGTTGTCCCTAATTCATGTCAGTGGATGAAATATTGAGTTTTTATTTTTGTTTTTGTTTTTGTTTTTGTGGTTTTTTTTTTTTTTTCTGGGGGAGAGGGAGGGTTATGTTATAATTTAAGGTACGAGTTATTATCACAAAGTCAAGTTTCCTCTCCGGAAGGAAACGCTCGGTCCAACCAGCTTCAGACGTCTTACTTAAAATAAGTACGTAACACTGTTGCTCGTGTACTGCGACCATTCGGATGGGAGTAGTCCTGGGACCCGTTTCTCGTAGTTCCCAGTGACTCAACGGCCCAGTAAAACTGTTCTTTTAATTCAAGATGAGGGATTCACAAGTTTTTAAATAAAATTACCAGCTAATGTAAGAAAATCGACCGGTTAGGATGCCAGAATCTGCTTCTGTATTCTTTAAATTTTGTCTTAAAATCGATTCTTCCACCACGAAGACTCTGGGAAGGTCTGCTGTCGGTAGCAGTTGCAGATGTCTCGCAACCTGAGTGGAAGTCATTATCAGAGTCAGGTGACCACTTGACTTTCATGATGACTTTCACTCGGGTTCTCTTGACATCAATCACAACTGTCGACAACTATCCTTTCTAGGCCTGCTCTCACCAGGACGATTAGACTACACGGTCAACTGGAATGGTTTCTAACCATTTATTATATGAAATACTCGTCCTAAAAACTACATAATTCCTTTTTGTAAATGAGACAAAAATGCAATAACACTAACCTCTTGTACAATTCGTCTCAAGTCTTCGACCACGAAGTCTGGAGCGAGATTCTCGCGCTGAACAACACGTAAAGCTCGCTCGACGCTGAGCCTGCTGTAGTCTGGGTTAGCAGCAAGGCATTTCACAAATTCCCTCTCCTCACTAGCATTTGACATGCGCACTAACACCGTCAAAATCTTGACCAGTAGGTCACGAGGGTCGAACGAGTACCTGCATGTAACAACAAAAATACATCCTAGGTAATATACAATAATATTAAAAAATATACAATTATGAAATAAAATCTAAGGATAATTCTTCCTATCAAAAAAGTTGGGGGAAAGTAATTTAAAATTGGTCGTTTTGGAGATAAAGCGGACATTTCGCGAAGCCAAGAGCATGAGTATCTAAAACCTTTAAAAAAATCCAGCGAAGAGATAATGAGAACTGACAAACTTATCAGCTGATTTGACACCAAATACTCCAAACATATCTACTAGAAAATGTATAACAGCCAGGAGAGAGAAATACGAATCAGATCTCAAGAGGTTAAGGCCACCATCTGACTCCATCACACAAAAATGAACATCGTTTCGCTTTTAAAGAAATCGTGCCTTGATGATTTTATCACCAAAAGGTTATTCTAGTAAAAAGGCTCTAAATGAAAGTGAAACACTTGTCTGAATTCCTAAATACAAAACATACACTTTTAAGTTTAATCAACAACTCACCTATCCATGTTTTCGACTTTCAAATCCATACACTTGCGGCCGCACAATGAGTCCAAAAATCCAATTATCTGAGAGTCAAAAAGAGAACACCGGCGGCTGAACTTAAACTCATCGATTTATCGAAACGGGATTCAAAAGGTTGAGGGTAAAAAACGGGCAGGTTCTTTTCCATGATATGGTGAACTAATCTCCAACATTGTCTTCAAAATTTTCAATGACCTGCCCCTCACATCTAACCTCTGAAGTAAGGTAAGCCTTTATACGGGCCCAGGTGGCCCATGGGGCCGGTGCTTAACTCCGGTTTTCTTAGCATGAAGCGGCTAGGAGTATTGCTACTCCCCCCTGGATGGGATGCTAGTCCATCGCAGGGTTACCCCCCAGCACATTTGCTGGTACCCATTTGTACACTTGGGTGAAGAGAAGCACTGTAAGAGTAAAGTGTCTTGCCTAAGAACACAACACAATGATCCCGGCCAGGGCTCGAACCCGGACCACCCGATCCAGAGTCGAGCGCACTAACCATGAGGCCAACCTCTGAAACTAGGCCATAAATATCAAGGGGGTAAGATTCTAAAGAAAACTGCGATACTGCGTTGATGGGGAGGGGGAGGGGTTAATACAAGATCATCTGGTTTTATCAACTGAGTTGAAAATATGAGTTGGCCACCGTTAAGAGTTTCTAAACCTGACGTTTCCAGCGTTAGCCATCCGTTAGAGGAATTGTGGGTTGTGCGTGGTTCACATATAGAAAAATGAAGCTACGCTATTGGTGGGAACAAGGTAAAGTGAAAAACACGAGGTGATAAGCTAGGAACACATACCGCTGCTGCAGCCCTGAGTGACAATGGAGAACGGGAGAAGCAGCGAGCCACTTTCTCTTCTTCTGTGATTTTCTCCAGAAATGCTAGGGTTGCATTCGCCTGAAAGATGCAGCTTTGATGTTATTTATTATAACTCCGACGAATTCAACATTTAAATTCACACAACAGCATACCATTTGCATACAGGATTTTGAAACGTGCTCTTCGCCTTTCAAAAAGTGTTCCTTCTCTTGTCGCTGATCTACACTTAACTCCTTCCACTTTTCATCTGTGCAAAAGAAAAAAAATTTTTTCAAGGTTGGATATCGACTTAGATTTCCGCATTGCATTTTTAAGGAAGGATGCTACTCTAAGAAAAAAAGGCAGAGTGAGAAAGACAAAGATAAACGATTTGGGTTTTTTTTTTTTCGTTATTTTTATTTCGTTTTTAGATAAGTTGACGGTGTATTGATTAACAATGCCGCATTGGTGATCGTCTAAAATTAAAATCAGTTAAAAGACGACTGGGGCGTTGGCTTACGTCGACCACGATTAATCATCGGTTAGAATATAAGTGACGTTGGCTGTCAATCAATAGTGACAAAAATGCTGACATGGGTTTGTGGCTGGTTCTACACTTGAGAATTTCTGTCTGCCGGTCAGTCAGTCAGTCAGTCAGTCTATCTGTTTGCCCTTGTCGGCTTTAGTCGGTCTGTCCATCTGTCTGTCCGTCTTTCTATTCCAGTAGGCTTTTAGTCTATCAGTCTGTGTGTCTGACTTTCTGTGTGTGTGTGTGTGAGTCTGTCGAAGTTTGTTTTCCGTTTGTTAGCTCACCGAGGGATAATTTAATCGGTCTGCCGTTCGTCAACCTCTCTTGAAAAGCTACCTACCACACTGCTTGGCACACTGAAGTTTCCGAACATTTGTTAGGCGGAGCAAGCCATCTTTCAAAACGTAAAGAAGAGTGTCAAACACAGCACCTAAGAATGACTGATGAAACAAAAAATAGTCATGAAACTTGACTACAATTTGCGTATTGACAGAAATATACAATAACAATATGATCTAGCCTTATCTGGTTTACCATAGTATAGAAAAAAGAACAAACTTTTACCTGACGAAGGACGCTCATGGTCGATGATTGTCTTACCTGAAAACTTTCCGTTCCACATTCTTGTAAAATCGAAGGTAAACAGTCGGGTCTCTTCCATAGCTTTTCTAATAACTTGACAATTTCAAACCTAAAACAGACAGCAAGGAGAATTGCTGGTGAGATCTGAGAGTGAAAGTTTTAATGATACTTCCATTCAAAACGAAAAAAATTTCCAGGTCCGCGACAACTAAAAATGTCTAAAATCCTTAAACATCCTGCATAGGTTGAGTATGTTGCGTCCTCTTCTAACGGGACAAGATCGCTTCCTCAGCATTCTCGTAAAGGCAGCTACAATATTGGATGTGCTATTGCGTTTAAAATCACAGGACAGTAAAAAAGCTGATTATACCTGGCAGAAAATTTGTCAAACTCTTCTTTGTCCACGTCCAGGCCCTCCACGATGTCAACCGAAGAGTAAGTATGAATAAGAGCTGGACCGAGTTTTTCTCTCACCGCTGGGCACATAGCAACGCAGGCCACCATGTCACCTTCGATACCGCTGCAAATCAGAAAATATATGAGCGAGTAAGGTCATCAGAGATCACCGACAAAACCTGATAAATCATTCCTAAACCCTTCCTTACCTTCCCCAAGTAGTTGTCTCCAACAGTTTGTTCTTCCTGAAAGGTACAGAAAATTTTCTTGATTACTCAATTGGTAAAGAAATATGACGATTGTAACTTTCAACAGGCATTTTCACCTTTGTCAAAATCTTCCTCAACATACCAGTTAAACTTAAAGACAAACCAGAATTAGAATCAAATCAAATAATTGGGAGTCGGAAGATTCATGATGAGAACTTTATTTATTCTATAAATTACGACACAAAGTCTTGTCATTAGTGATTAAAAGAAAAAATTGAAAATCCCGATTTATAGTAGAGATAGAATTATATAACTTAGCTTTCCCTTTCTTTTATCCTGCTAATTAATTCTTCGCAAACACTAATCTCAAAGAGATTCAAATTAAGTAACACGAAAACGAAAAAAGAAAAATTGCCCCTTCAATTTACCTTTCAGACATTTTTAACAACAAATGCAGTCATACTTAGAAGCTCATCTTGAGCCCTGGTTGAATGTCTGAACTTTGCAATCGCTTCTATCTCTGTTTTTTGTTTTCCCTTTTTTTTTTTTGCTAGTTTCTTTCTTCCTTTCTTGTATGTGAACCTGTTTGTTTAATACTCTCTCCGTCATTTGTTGTGTTAAATTGCTCTTGTTTCTTAAAACATTCTCCTCTGCACAATAATTTAACATAACTACAAAATACCCTTTAGATCTCTGGCATATTTCAGCAAATGACAACAAAGCTGTCACAGTTCTCGTGGCTGCCACTGGTCCGGGCATGATGTCTCTCCGTTCCATAAGAGCACAACAGCAGTCAACGAAAATGCAGATCTAAAACACGAACAATTTAATCATAAATAAGACAAAGTAAAAATTGCAAAACGTAGTCCTTGAGGCAGGCTCTTAGAAAAATTGTCGGGAAGAAATATTGTGACATAGGTGGTATGGCGAGCAATATGCACGCACTTTGAATCACATGATATTATAAACAAAATATTAAACTGCGATCATGTATTGTCGTCACTCCTTTCACACGTGTTCTTACACGAACGTAACTCTTCTTTAATGAAAAAGCATATTTGTTCTCTTAACGGGCATCGTCTGTAGCACCTCTTGCACACGTTCTCTTGCCCGCGTATCTCCCCTTAAGTATGCACTCGTCTCTCTTTTCGTAACGCACGCGTATCTCCTCTTCAGTACGCAATCGTGTTTCTTTTCGAAAAGCACGCCTCTACTCAGTCAAGCGTCCAAGTACCTTCCAGTACGTTCTTGCACGCGAATTCGCGCTTTCCACTCTACTCGAACTTGCTCATCCCTTCTCTAATATGTGCCTATTTCTTCTCTCACACACGGTAATCTCTTCGCTACCGCATGCGCAATTCTTCTCGCGCAGTCTCGGATGGACAGCTCTTCTCCAGTAAGCGCGTCTAAAAATTGAGGGCTTAAATGTGTTCCCTGCTAGTTGACTACTAAATCAAAGTATAGTGAATTAAAACCAATTAAATACTCACGTCCAACCCCCTAAGAGCGCCAGGTTTATGTGCGGCGACAAAACTAAACCAAGAGCACATGTCTTTGACGTAGAACTCGGGAATATTCACAAGTATCTCTCGCTGCCTGACTCTGATTTCGTTTTCAGACAAACCCTAAAGCAACAAAATCAATAAGCTTAGTTGGTAATACAACGCCTTTACCAAGTTCTCAACACCGAATATTATTTTAATACTACATTTATACAAACCACTTATCTTGAAAATTCCAAAAAAATTGTTGGAAACACCAAATATTTTCCGGACCATTTTAATACTACATTTCTTTACAGACCACAATATGCAATGGGGCCATGTTTTGAAACCTTTTTGTTTCTCTTTCCTTCCTGAGTACAGACCGTCTCACCTCTTTAGACCGTCTAAAACCCCTCATCCCTTTCCTAAACCCCGTATGAACTTTTTACCTGATACTCAGAAGCACAGCTGTCAAGAAGATGAAGAAGCCAGGCGGCGCTTGTGATGTAAAACTCTGAACACAGCCTCATGAAGTGGTCGTCCTCCAGACAAGTATTCCATTGAAGTACGAATAGCTATAAACAGGACATAACAAGTGGTTCACATGACAAATCGCTTAAACGAAAAAGCAGCTTATATCGAAGAGCATTTTTGATTGATTAAGTCTGAATTCACCCGTATCATGGCGAAAGCTTTCTTCTAATAGAAGGCCAGGAACAAAAGAACTACTTGGGGTCCTACGCTGGCGCAAGACCATTTTAAACCCCAATTCAACAAGGAGATCAGGAAATTGTTGTTTGCTCTTGAAAGATCTTTGCTTGAACTGATCAGATATATTTTCTTACATGATATACACTCACCACAAGCATTTTTTTCGTTTCCGCTTCAAAAGAGCTGCCCTCCTTCATTTCAGATAACATCGTGTACTGTCTGGAATTTTAGGAATAAAGAAACGTACCGATTTTGGAACGAAGAAATTTATTACCGAGATTAAGAGAACGTATGAATGGGTAATCTGTGATGCACTGAGGGAGAAAAGTCGGTACTCGCGAAATTAGGCGCTAAAACTTGGCGTAACTGGCCATGGAGAGAGCCCAACACAATAATGGGAAAAACAACCGATCTCTTTCGCCAAATTTCAATTATTGTAATTTTTTTTGTTGTTGCTGATCTTTACTTTTTGTTTTTGTTTCTTTTTCCTTGGGCTCTTTTCAAACGCTCACGCACGTTTTCATCATGGAGATATTTGTGTAACGTAGCTACACTAAAAATTTGAGCAAATTGAGATATTAACTCTCTAACTCCCGAGATCTGATTGTTAATTCTCCCCTCTAGCTGCTAAACATTGCCTTTTAAATTAGTTATGAGAAGTTGGTGTAAGATCAAGATAACAACTGCTACTTGATAAGTTTAAATATTCTCATTTCCTGTTTGCTGGATAATAAGGATATAATAGGGAGAAGTCTCATGTTGATCACTTCTAGAAGTTACAGGGTTAACCCAAAGGAGGCCTATCTGCTTGTTCATCATCGAGATAGGAGCTATCGCCTTGGCAACTTCACAAAGGGTTCAGTTGCTTTTCAAAAACAGGATTGCAACAGACTGAGTTTTTAAAATATATGAATGAGTACTGAGTATGTCTAACCTCATGATTCTGTTGTAGTGTTGAATGGTAGTGGTGAGTCCGATATGAAGCGCGCGGTGCGTGATGTGAAACATCTCTGTTATCAGTTTGAACTGACCTACAAAGATAACATCACATGCAACGTCGAGTGTCAAACAAGAGGAACAGTAATACAGTTACTGGTTTGACCTCGGGAACAAAAGATCGACGAACAGACAATCCGACGAACATAGTCCAACGTAGCCTACGTGTAGCCGTACCATTCCCCCCCCCAAAAAAAAGGTGAAACAGAAGCGAGGCTATACGTAGGCTAAGTCCTATGAAGGACTGTTGCCCATAACAGTGACTGTCGTCTTGAGAACTTAAGCGGGAGCCTGCATCGGAGTCACGTGAAGAGCTGTTCGTCAATCACTTGAGGGAAAACTGACTCGCGAAAACTGATTGATCATTTTTTACAGCGGGATGGGAGACAAGGTTATAAAGACAGACAAAGAGAAAATAGAACGCGTGGTGGACTCGCCATTTTAGGAAATGCGACATTGTTTGGAGCAGATTAATAAACGAAACTAAAAAAAAAAAAGAAACGAAAAAATAAAATCACTGATCATTTAGCAACGATAAAATATGCACGCACATAAAGAGAAGGAAAATAAGTACCCTTAAGGTCTCCTGAGGGCAAAAGCACACTACGGAGATCCGTTCTGTCCTCATTCTCTGTTCCTGTATGGAAAAAAAAACAACAACATAAGCAACCTGTATTAATTAGAAAATACTTAAAGACAGTTACATGAGCACATTACAAGATGACAGTTGATGAAATTAGTAGGTCGAACAAAAGATTAGATTTAGATTAGAACCTGCTGAACAATGAGCGATTTAAGGTAAAAGGTGTCCAACGATTTTTTTGAAACTTTCCTTGATTGTTCCTACCATCTCTGTATCAAGATTGGTTTAGAAATTGACGGTTGGTCGAGAAAGCATGCGAAACCCCCCGCAACTCTCTCGGCCTTTCAGATGCATCATGTTAACCATTGGCGACTGGGCTGATCGCGTTTTGCCAAGCCTAAGGTTTACTTTCTATGAGTTCTCATTGGCGCCTTGTGACGTTCACCCCTTTGTCTGTCATGACTGGTCGACGTTCTTGCTCTGGTTTTTGTTGCATGACAATCAGTCAAAAGGTCGTCGACACTACAAAGATTAGCGCGAGGAAAGACAAAACTGTCCCTAATTCAGATTCGCAACTCGAAGTAATTTCCAAAAAAGTGTCAAACATTTACTCTAACGATATCAATCTTAGGCGCAAGTCTCCCGAACTAACGGTCTGCCGAAACTGTTACTTACCAATGTGTCCACCAGCCAGCGTTCGCTCGTTCGTGAATCTTAAACGGCAAGCTTTGGAGGTGCAGTAAAGCGCTTCAATCTGTTTGTATTTATCTTTCCCTTTGGTCAGGAGGAACGAATCACACATCTGAAGAGCCACTGAGCAAAGATTCACCATAAAACCTACCACCAAGAGAAACACGAGTTCTGAAAGTTACCATAACTTATTACAGATGTTTCGTTACCGTAAAGCCTCTTGTAAAACTATTAAAATAATCGAGAATTCTTTCCCTCACAAATCCTTTTGTCACCATGGAGACTCGTGGATTAAAAACTCGTTAGGACAAAATTTTCTATTGCGAATGGAGAAATACTTTATGATGGGAACTGTCGAGAGTTCATGAGAAATTATTTGATAACAAGTGTCGTTCATAGCATTTCTGCTAATACAAATTTGTTTTCACTCTATCTTACCATCGTTGGCCACTGTTGCCTTCATCAAGTTATCTCTAGGCAAGTTTGCTGACAGTCTCAGATCATTGAGTGAGACAACCCCGGCCAGCCATGCTATTGCGCTGAAAGACAAATACATATATCCTTAAGTTTAATTTACTTTTCCTCTGATACTCACGAGAATGGATAGGGGTGCCGAAGTCATTTAAATCTAAAGATGGCAAATCCTATCCTAACCGTTCCAAAACATACCGAAACATGAAGATTTTTACAGTTGCAAGTTACAGTTTGCGCTTTTTTCTGTTCTCATGGCCTGTCCTGGGAGACGAGACATTGAATTCTTACCTACCAACTACCATCAAAATGTGCGGGACTAGTTTTAACTTGCATATACTGCACGGAAAACTTAAGTCCATTATGGAGCCTATTGGCCCACCCAGCCCGCGGTGCTTATCTCGGTTTCCATGTAGCGACTGAGAGTATTACTACTCCCTCCTGAATGAGATGCTAGTCCATCGCAAGGTTACCCCCAAGCATTTCATCGGGCTTCCCTGAAAATTCGCCAGAGGCCATTTATGCTCCTGGCTGGAGAGAGGCACTCTGAGAGGGAAGCGTCGTGCCCAAGAACACAAAACATTGACCCGGTCAAGTCTCGCACCCAGACCTCTTGACCCAAAGTCCTATGCACTGACCGTTTGGCGACTGTGTCATCCGTATAATGCAGACGATAGTGCAAACAACGCCCTAACCCTTAAGGTGTTGACAACATGCTATAGAATACAAATCGCACCCGGTTACGCACGAGGAGTAAGACTTTGATTTCCACTTGCGCCAATTATTTTCTGTAAGGCCAAAGATTGCAAGTGGATAGCGCCATAACAGAGTACCAGAATGCATATTTTCCATACTGCTCTCCATTCACTTCCTAAGGTACTGACACAGATCATTTTTTCAACCATTAAGATCTTCGTTATTTGGTGATCATTTCCTTTATTCGTATGACTTTAATGTGTGATGCAGGGGAAACAATGTAAGGAGTAATTAGATGCTACTCACTCTAGGGGTCAAAAGGTAAATGAAAATACCTGTCTCGATTATCAGTTTTCAGCAGCTTCACAAGAGCCTTGTAAACAACATTCTGGCAAGAATGAATGCCATCCATGATTTGAGACTACAAGTGAAAGGTAAACTATTGTTATGTAATGAACGATTTCACAAAGGGGAAAAAATAAATAGCTGATTCCCCGATGTAAGAACATTGCAGTCTGCCCTCATTCATCTTTTTTCTCACCCACAATATGAAATGCATAAAAATGAAATCATCTCTAATGGGGTTGCAAACCATCACATGGTGTTATCTGAGACGAAAAAATTTTACGTGAGTCAAACTCTCTCCTACCAGTGAGATGTTGTATAAAGAATTTGATGGAAATAAAGCAAATAAAATAAAGTGCACTTCAAGAAAATTTCAAAAGAAAATTGTGTTAACTTTGAGGCTACATTTAATAAATAGAGAAAATTTCACATGGCGGTCCATATCACAGCTTATGGAAACTTCACGTTACGTACTTGAAGTTGATCAACGTCGCTACGGAAGGCCTGCGGGAAGTGAGGCAGCTCGACAAAACAAATGGAGGAACGCGACTTCTTGTCTATTTTAATATCCATTGTAGAGGTTGCCAAGAAGGACGAGAACAGCGATTTGTGCTGGAAGAAGACACCCTGGGCAAAACAGACATTCACTGAATATTTAATATCAAGTACACAAACAAGGGAGTGTAAACAACTTTCGTGTTTTTTTAATCAACAAAATTGTTACCAGCTCGTTTATTCCAGTGTCCAGCTCTCTCTCAAGAGCTTCAGCCAGGAAGTCACCCATAACAGGCTAAAAGCCAAAACAACAGAATGCAAAAGAAATCGAATTAGTCAACGTTCTAGAACAGTCAGTTTCCAAAAACCAAAGTGATCACTACAGCCAATCGGAGTGAAGGTTGACATCATCATTAGCCGATCAGAGTGAAGGTTGGCATCATCATCAGCCAACTAGAAGTCAAAGCAAAAACTGATATATTACATGAAAAGCGTGAAAACGTGAGGCCTCCAAATCTGGATTGGTTTTAGTTTTGGATCTGATTGGTTGAGAAGGTGGCACGAATTTCCTGGACCTATGACAGAGCGAAGTTAAGCAAAACAACTGAATAAAGGGGTAAGTTTCTAAAGAAACTGTGGTGCTGCGTCGGTGGGAGAGTATAGCAGGTAATTTAGTGTTAACAACTGGGTTGAAAACGTAAATTAGCCACCGTAAAGAGTAAAAAAACTTTACGGTGGCTAATTTACGTTTTCAACCCAGTTGTTAACACTAAATTACTTAAGCAAAACAACAGCAATCAGGGATTACTCTCAACGCTCACTTGGTAACTGCTCCAACTAGGTGCGTGTTTGAATATTTATGCCTTACCAAAGAAAGGAGGGTTTCCAATCCTCTGAAAATACATTTGCACTCCAGTGTGATCTCATTTATCCTATATGGTGAAATAAAAAGAAGTTCAGATAAGATTTTTCATAATTCAGATGCTGACAGTATTTACTGAAACGTCCCTGTAACATGTCTGGCTTTTTCTTGCACCTAAATTTTCGGTTTTTTATGCCAATCAAAGCAATAATTGTCCAACATACCTTTTCACTCTTTCGACTTGCTTCCCTCCGACTGTTATCTACGGATAAAACGTACGAACATCAATATTTTAACTGATACACAGCAAAATGTATATTGACTGAAATGTAGTGAAGATAAACATGTAACCGTCTCACTCTAAGATCTTGTTAGTAATTCTCCTTACTGTCTGCCATACAATTCTTATGATGTTAGTCCGGAGAATTTGATATTGGATCAACTAATAATCCTTTAATTGAAATTTTTCTTTGTTCTCATCATCTCTCTGCTTCCTATTGTATTGATACTGTAAGGAGAAATTCTCTTTCGGTCATTCATGGGAGAACCACAGTTACAGACGAAATTAAAGCTGAATGAGAAGCCAGAGAGAGGGGAACCTAAAACTCATTACAAGCATGAATCAGAATTTGTATAATTTCCAAGTTATAAAGTTCCATTACTTTCCAAGACTTTTCCATAGACCCTTTTTAAGTTTTCTATGACTTTCATTTGAGAATTTTTGTTTCAAAATAGCCTGTATTTCTTACTCTTTTCTTCTTAGAAAAATTAACCAGTAGTCATGTTCCATGACCTTTCATGGCCAACACTCAAATTCCAAGACTATTCAGGCCTGGAGCATGACATAAGGCATAAAATTTCAAGACGACCAAACCTTGAGAATGCAAACCAAAAGCAGGAGGTGGAATTTCTACAGAATTAGGAAGGTACTTACCATGGAAATTTTAAGTATACTTTTGTACATCACATTAAAGGGAGGGTAAGTCTGCTGCCCAGTCCACCTACATGTGTTTTCCTTGTTTGCAGGTTTTTCAGACAGAGCTAGGGTATATAGCGTGAGCTAAATTTATCAACTTGACAAGGAAATCCCCTCCTGAAATTGCATTATACTTTGCCTAAAACACTATTAGTCTACAATACCATTTCAACAAATGTCTCTTTCACTTCTGGGTCCTCTTTGCCTTTTTCCAGCAGCCTGTTGAGAAGTTCTACAGAAACTGTCACTCCATCACTTGACCAGCCTCCAAGACTCGACAGGAAATACTGGGATGGACCCTAGTAAAAGAAAATTATATTTTACACCATCAAATTGCTCTTGTACCCCACAAGCCTGCATTAGGTGAAAATATCATGGCTCTGAAGGAAAGATGGGTGGAAACATCCAAACCAATTCATCCAAGAAGAAACATGTATTAAGTACAGCAAATATTTATAGAATGTACCTCTGATTGGCCTGATTGGACAAAATCTGCCCACAAGTCATCTTCAACTGCTGTAGGACTTGCAGCAGCTGCAATTTAAAAGAACCGTTTGTAACTAACATGAGACATATATAAGATGGTAAGTCACCCGTAAGCCATGAAACCATGGTTCAGATTTTATCAACATCAAATCCATCATCTTGGATACAGTGAATCGAGGGGCAAGAAGTTTGAGAGTATGTTACAACTCACCATGGACAAGATGCTTCAAAACAGTATTTACACAGGGCTCCATAACAGCTGAAGCCACTTCCTTCCAAATCTTTTCTCCATCTTGAATCAATTTGAAGTTCTTTGCAGGCAGCTGAGAGCAGCGATCAAAGCAGTGAATGGCAAACTTCATTGGGTCCTACAAAGAAAATCAAATGAACACATTTTGAAACAAGTGTTCATTTATCCTCTACTGATACCCCCCCTCCCCACTACTTTCTCAAGGTGTCATCATAATGTCTTCATCTCCCATTTCTGTCTTTTCATTTCAATTCATTTCTTAACTCTTAACAACAAGAAAGGCAAGAATCCAGTGCATAAATAACACAATTTCTGTTGTAATCTTGTTTACACTGAAAAATAAATGTAGATCTCTACAAATGTACAGTACATTGGTATTTACACGTAGAAAACACAAACTTACCATTTCCCGATAAATCCTTTTAGCGAGAAGTTTTTCTATTTTCTATAAAAACGAAAAACGATAAACATACAGGTAAGAAGACAAGTACCACTTCTTTTAACCCTTTAACCTCCCAGATCTTATTAGTAATTCTCCTTACAGTCAACCATACAGTTCTTGTGATGTTAGTTTGCAGAATTTAGTATTGGATCAACTTAAAATCCCTGACTGATATTTTTCTTAATTCTCATCACTTGTCTGCTTGATATTGTATTGACATTGTAAGGAGAAATTCTGTCTTGGTCACTCATGGGAGTTAAAGCGTAAAACCAGTAAAATAATATTTTCACACAATTTCAAAAACCACAGCTATGCTGGTCCAGTAATTTTTATTGAGAATTACAAGTTAATTCTACCAGATTTCTAGCATTTCATTGTTGTTTACCTTGCCTGAGTCATCACAGCTGACAGGCAGTTCAGATGCTTCAACTTGCAAAACTGCCAAACCTCTGTCTCTGTCAGTCTGAAGAATGAAAAATATGTTTAGAATGGCAAGGCAACCAGTCTTATGATTTTAAATCTCTAGTTATGACCATAAAAGAATGCTTTGCAAATGTTTGCTCTGACAAAGGGCTAACGATTAACGCGTCAGCTTTGAAACTCTTTACAGTGGCCAATTTACACTATCAACTCAGTTAATAATACTAAATAACCCTGTTATACTCTCCCACCAACACAGCACCACAGTTTCTTTAGTAACTTACCCAATTTAATGCTGGTTAGCTTTTGAGTTGCAGTCTGCATGTGGTTATAAGTGGGGTTATGTATTACCAAATCATTCCAACAATCACAACACCAATAGGCTATTATTACATCATTTTCAACTGGCAATAAAAAACAATGCAATCTCTCTATACCTTGACTTGTGGAATATGTGGATCCTTTTTGGAACTTTGATTTTCCTGTAAAGATAAATAAAGGAGACATTTAACTACCCAGAGAAATGTAACTAAATGGGGTTCAGAACCTGTTGTTAAAATAAAGAGACAAAAAGGAGGTCACATTCATTTTACACACTATCATACATTTTAGTGTCATATAGACAACTGAATCTTTCTGCTAAAGGAAGAAAATACCACTTCTTCAGGGTCTAATATTTTATTCCCCTCTTTTCTTTTGACATCAAACAGACAGAGTCCCAAATGCCCATGACTAATAATATTCTTTTCCACAGGCAATAAGTATGTACATCTATGATCTTGGTCACAAGTCCCTCTAAACAAAATTTATCTTAATTTTACAAAAGTATACACTATAATACATAAAAATCAATTCCAAAATTCTTTTTTTTAATCCTTTAACTCCCAAGATCTGATTGTTAATTCTCCACTCCTGCTGCTACACATTTTCCAGTAATTAGTAATAAGAATTTGGTGTTAGATAAAGATAACAAATTCTACCTGATAAGCCTGAATATTCTCATCACCAATTCAATGGATAGTGTATGGATATACTAAGGAGAAGTTACATGTTAATCACTTCTAGGAGTTAAAAGGTTAATAACACTCTTCTGCATGCTGGCTAATCCACTTACAAAAGAGCACTCCAGAACTTGCATCAACACTTTCTTTGCAACATCATGGTATGGCAGGTCCTAGCAACAGCAAAATGATAGTATGAACAGATACAATTACAAGTACATGTGCCAGGTCTCAAATTTTGTTTTCCCTCATTCTTCATCATGCTGTCAAAATCCCAATTCTAATATTCACCCATACTTTATTCAAATATTATTCTCTTGTACATAAGATATCTCACTACAGCCACCTGGATGCCCACTCTCATGATCTCTTTCACCCTAAAGGGAGAATATTTCTTCAAAAGTTTGTGTCCTTTCCATGTCCATGGTACATTATTCCTTGAAAGTTTGGGTACAGCAAATTCCCATTTCACAAAAATGTGACAGAAATTTCCTTAATAGTAAAATTTTCCAGGAACAGTCTGCAGACACTGGATTTTTTACCTACCTAAGGGGTCCTTTAGGGGTACTAAATGGATTCTCGAGGGTGCTTGAGATATTTCTTTAACATATAACTGGCCAAGTAATTTGTTACACAAAAAATGCCTGGTTCAATGATTGGCTCGCCCCTTTAGCTATTACAGAATGATGCAAATCATGGAACTCAACATCATAATACAAGCTATTAATACGATGTCTGTTCAAATAGAATTGGTCTAACCTGTATCTTTTCTTGCTTGGGTGCTAAAACAAACAATGTTTATAATGTTAAGATGAGTACATTTAAATATTTTATCAAATATAGTATCAGTCTTAAATAATATCCATTTTATTGAATGTTTAAGATGATTCACAAAATAATTTAGAGGTAATAACAGCATTTTTAATGAATAACATAGCATTGTGGAAAAAAACTGTAAATAATTATCACAGTCATATTTTCAACCAGCTGTCTTAAGAAGTCAAAACTCTACTAACTCCTGCTGGAAATCTATAACATTTGTAGCTGATGATACCTGTTGGCCTCTTCGACAACGATGTTGAAATTTCTTTCTTGACTTCTGTTATGTCTTTTATTTGAAACCTGTCAGCCGTAGTTCCTTGACTACAACCAGTGATGGGTACTGGACTATGTTCTGATGTTGATGCTCTGACTACTGAAGGCTCCACTTCAATGGAGGAAAGTGACCTCCCTGTATTAGGAGAGGAGGGCTCTGAACTCACACCATTTGAGCTTAGAAGTCTTAACCCATCTCTCGGTTTGTTAATTCCAGGAACTCTCCCCTCTCCAGTGTTTTTAGCAGTTACCTCACTATTTTCAACTCTTTTTCGAAGGCCCTTCTTGTTTGAATCTATTGAAGGTTGTCTGTTTAAAGCAGAAGTTTCTTTCACACAAGCTGGAGGTGAGTTTTCTGTTTTGGTGTCAGATTGTTCACCAGCTAGCTTCCGCAAACGCGCAGCTCGAACATCAGCAACCTCAACTGCTAACAAATTGAGAAAGAAAAACTTCAAGTCCTTACTGACAAGAATTTTCAAACATAATTGTAACTTATATAAGTTGCAACCTTAAAAAGTAAAAAGTTAAGATGCTAGTTGAATTATAATATAACCCAAAAAGAACTTATAATACATAATATTTTATGATATTATCATAACTAATTACAAGACTTTGCATAATAACCCAGTTCAGCACTGGCAGTCTTTTCCTTTGCTCATCAAATAGCAAAAAATACATATGTATTATTGGTTCAGTAACATTTAAGAACATTAAACAATCTATCTATAACAGAAACATTTTTTTCTCCGCATAGTGTACTGTTACTCCAGGTAAAAATCATTTTTAATTGATACAGAGTCTTAGAAGAAAACTGACATCCTTAAGACAAAATTTAATATGTAGATAAATATTGAAAACAATAATTTTGTCCATAATTCACACCTGTCTGGCTAGGTGTTTGGTCCCTCCTTTGTAGTAATGCAACACAGACTGCAGTCACAAAAAAGACTACTACCAGACCCCCAACAATCTGTTTCACATTCCATGTCTGTGCTGTTTTTGAAGATTTCTGCTTTGAACCTCTATTACCAACTGAACCTTTCTGTAGCTTTTCTTTGGAATCTCTTCCACCAGTTTCTGGTTTTAAGGGTGCCTGATTATTACAATTAAAGAAAGTGATAAAATTTTTCGATCAACTTTGATTCTTATGGGGCTTTACACCTTTTGTTATGTAAGTATAGGAAACAACTTGATTATGAGTGCAATTTGGTGTTAACTCTTTCACTCCCAAGATCCAAATACCAATTCTTCACACTATCTACCATATATTTCTTTTAAAGTTAGCGATGAGAATTTAGGACTAAATCTAACAAAATCCTATAGTTGACATTTTTGGTACTTCTCATCACTCTTCTGCTTGAAAATGTACATGGAGTATAAATATATAGAGTTTATAAATATATTCATGGAGAAATTATCCATTAGTCACTCCTGAGTATCAAAGGCTTAAATGAAAACAGATACTAATAATAATTAAATGCTTATATGATAATTCAATGCTTATATAGTGTACAATATTTTCCAAATAAAATCTAATAAACCGAGGTTACAAAATGGCATATCTATAAATATTCCTACTATTACCAATCAGGTATAAACTAAACTACCATTCACACTTAATGAATATATCAAAGGTCAAAAGCAATACAAAATAGATGCCTACTTATTGCTGTCGCAAAAACATGAATATTAATTGCCCTACAAATTTAGACAGTAGTTTGTTCCAAAAATACCCACCAAAGTATCCTCAATGTATTTTGACATTTCCTGTCCTGACAGTTCTCCATCTCCATCCTTATCATATTCAAATAAGATTTTTTGAAATTCCTGTTTAAAAAAAAAAACAACAACAATATAAAATAACAAAAATATCAAAAAAATGGAAATATAATGTAAAAAAGAGTCTTGGATAAATGTTAGTATCTGGATAACTGCACACCTACCCCTCTCTTAACACAAAATTAACCTATCTTATTATCAGTTGACCACTGTTGGATTAAGCAAGGGGTGTATATAAGCGCATTTTCTCAGATACTGAAAGTTATCATTCCTTACCAATGCACTCAATTCATGGTTACCATCCTCATTATTTAAAATATGCTGCTGTAAAGGATCTTCAAACTGTTCACTGTAAAGAAATAAATTCCAATGAGCAATTAATTAAAAATAGGTATTTGAAACAAAATCTATTCAGTTCTTTGTGCTTGCTTTACTGGCCAGTGAAATTAATCTAGATCATTAAGTTTGTGACAAAAGATAACACTGATTCCACACTCAAGGTCAGTATGACAATGGGAAAACCCCATTACCTTAACAATTGTCTTTTATTTCCTTTTACACCAAAAAAATCTGACAGTAGACATTGAACAACTAGCCCGAAGGGAAATGGCAAGTTTTGTTTCCCAGACACCCTGACTGTTCCTCTAGGCTTTGCCCTGTAGAATACTGAAGGTTTCCAGGGAAACAAAACTTACTTTTTCCCTATGGAGGTAGAAGTATTGTTATCCCTCCACTCAAAATAGAACAAATTATACAAGGGTACGTGTCACTTAGCAACTTCATTGTAAAATGTTAGAAATCCCAAATGTAAATTAAAAAATCTATATATCAAAAATGCTAAAAATTCAAGAATTCTAAATGCAAACACTGTGAGATTAGAGTGGCTCCTCGTTTTAATGCAACAGGAAGATCACTTTCTTCCATTGAAATGGAGCCTTCAGTAGTCAAAGCATAAACATAGTCCAATACTGATCTCTGGTCATAGTCAAGGAATAGCAGATAATAGGTTTGAAGTAACAGAAATTGTAATATTCAGGAAAACACCTTTTTCATATTATACACCACCAATTAAAATTTTCCAAATGTATTTTTCACTTCGTTTTTGAATGCATTTAGCTGCTTTGACTTCAAAAATATTTTCTTGAGGCAGGCTGGTACACAAATTTGCCGTAGTTTTAAGGTGCATGACCTGATCACATGCAAGGCAAAAGTTCAAGTCTTTGTTTCCATAGGAAGTTAATGATTTTGTTCCTCCTTAGGAGTTATATAGTTTTGACCCATGATATGTGACACATTTTCTTCCTTTCAGGACACTTATTTGAGTTGGGAGGTAGAGCAGAACAAATTTTTCCGAACTCTATTTTAAACTGAAATTTATGATAAATTTGTAACAAATCTGTTGGAAACACGTCTCCTTTCGTGTAAACTACTATATATTTCTGAAAAAGTGCAATAACTAAACAAGCAGAGACTGGTTTCTAAATAAAATACTTTGAATATTCTGCAGACGTAAACAACAAATGAGGAGCGATGAATAAGATAATTGTTTACCATTTTATTTCTCGTAAATGTATCGTATTCGCTAGAAATCACTGCAATAGATCGACAATTTATTTAGATCCACAAGCAAGGAGAAGTTTACTTCTATAGTTTAACAAAACAAATCTAATTTTCTTAAAGTTGTATTTCAAATTCCATCTGATTCAAATCCAAATCGAAAACGAAACAATTCTGCCAGCACTTTCGCGCTTTATATTATAAGCCGTGCTTCTTTCCTCATGGGACTGAATGTACAAAATCAAAGCACAAACAGAGAGAGAGGTAAATAAATATTACAACAAAGCCATGTTGCATGTATCTACGAGTATTCAGAGATTTCGCTTTCTCAGCGGAAGTAAGGGGTCATGCATGGAATCACAAATCACGTGTAAAAACACTGGCACCTGAAAGGAAATAGGAATGAAAATTCTCACCTCGAGTGAATAAGAAAAACCAGCTGTAAAAAAAGCCCTAACAACAAAACGTGATTCCTAGCCATCGCTCAGGCCCTTTGAAATAACAACACCATTCTCATGGGCAGTAACCAAAATAACTGAGTCATGATTACGGTTGACTAATCCTTATTGTCCCTGTCAAGGTCTGCCAAGCTTAACTTATCAGAATCGACTGAGTCACTCCGACGAGGTACCACGAGGCACATGAGCCCACGAGCAAAACAATCGAAAAGAGCATGCGTTTCATTGATCCTTTGCCAATGGCGGCTGTCTTCAATATGTCTTCAAGTCGAGAAGTTCTACAACTTTACCGTCAGATGTTAAGAATGGGGAGTGCATTTACCAGTTATAACTTCAGGTGTGTAGTGCTCCTCATGCTTTCTTATCAAAAAGAAGATTTTGCCCGATATTTTGCAAATGCTGTTTTTTATCTCTAAATTTAACCATCCCTCCCTGAAACGTTGTTGCCAAATTTCTACCTTTCATTACGTAACCTCGATCTTAGGAAGAGAGTCTGTCCAGTATGTATCTTAAGCGCAGTTCTATAAAGATGGACGCTGGTGTAGATTTTCTCGTTGTATCTTACCCTTTAGTCACAACGCTTACGAAATAACTTAACATCGCTCAAGGCATGCACGTGGTTCATATTCCAAGGGAATAACTTAATGAGTCCCAGACCTCCTTGTTGACATTGGTTAGCTGTTGACTGACATTTGGTTGTCATATGACCGCTTTGTTTGGTCCATTTCATCATTCCAGTTGTTTCTTTGGTAAAATTTCCGCACAGCCCCCTACTACGTTATGCATTCAGTTCTTGGATAGACAAAACAATGACAAAAACTATACATTGCCTTTGGGAAAACAGATTTGTTTTACAATAGTATGGGGCTGTGCGGAAATGTTACCATTTCTTTCCCCTCCCTCCAATTTGTCAAGCCCTCAGGGGCTCCTCATTTGCTTGTTGAGGGGGTGAAAGGGGTTTTTGCATGATGCAGAATTAGTTCTTTTTTATTTGTTCACAACCTATGAAAATAATGTTTCCAAAGGGTCTTGATATTAGCAGGCAAGTCAAGATTTTAAAGAAAGTAACAAAACTTTGAAGTCTGTAAAACATGTTGCGACAGAAACTTCTGTCATCATCAGTTAATTATATAATAAGTAGAACAATGCTAATTATGATAAATAGTGACAACAAAAAAGGGGTAAAGCATGAAAGTGTGAGAATTAAAAAGATAGTTTTAGATTTACATGGTGTAATTGTTGATTCAAGGATGGTTATGGTTGTTCTCTTTGAATATGAATAGCCTCTTTTATCTTGAGTTGAAAACCGGTAGAGGCATGATCTAAAACATGGAAGTTATCTGCTGAACATAAAGTGCAGATTCTTTCAGATGCTTGAAAATGTGACAGGCCATGTCACTGTCTAAGTGTTCTCTAACACTTGTGGAAAAATGCCAGCAGGTTTCACCGACATAACAGGCATTATGGCCAGCACATACAAACTTATAAACCACTTGTGAACAGAGCCCATTAGGGACAGGGTCTTTCGCACCAAACAAGTGGCCGATTTTGAACGAAGCAAAAATCAGTTTAATATCCAAGTCATTGCAATAGCACTTAGTAAAATGGTGAATCTTTTTTCAAGTGATAGCAGAAAAATGGCCTATCTAGGGTAGCTCAAAGTAAAACATAAGTGAAGTGGTGGGAAGGGAACCCCAGGGGATGATGATCGCTTTGGGTCCCAGTGATGTAACGGTTTATAATCTTCTCGATTGAATGAGCAGGGAAAAGATTCTTTTTTAGAATATCAGTAAGTTTGTTAATGTCCTCATGAAACCCCAACCAGGTGTTATTAATCTTGTAGGCCCTATCGATGAGAGTCTTAATGAGACCCACTTTGTAAGAGTATGAGGTGAAGCTGAAATTAGTTAATTAGTTAGTGACCCAGTGAAAATTTTACTTGCAGTAAACACTAGTTAGAGAGGAATTGGGGTCATGGTTGTTAGTCAGGACATCTAAAAAGGGTAATTTGTGATTAACCTGCTTTCCTATAGTGAACCTGATGTTAGGGTGCCTAGAGTTGATATAGTGGAAAAATATAGTGGCATCGCAATCTGAGTTAAATAAGCAAAAAGTATCATCAACATACCAACGATAAAATAAAATTGTAGAGCCATAAAAATTTTGCAACCAAAGTTTTTCATGATGTCCCATGAAAAGGTTAGCTAAGACAGGAGCAGGGGAGACCCCATGGCTACACCATCTATTTGATCATAAAAAGAACCATTAAATATGAAATGAGTCTGGGCAGTAGCTGTAGTGAAGAGGCTTCTAAGGTCAGGTTTGCTTAGCTTAATGTTGGGATTGCCCTTGGAAATGTAATTGACCGCTAAGTCAATACACTCCTCAAGGGGTATGTTAGTATAGAGACTTTCAACATCAAAAGAAACCATAAACTTACAAGACATAGATAAAGATTGGAAACTGATTTACTTTCTCATTTTTGCTGTGTTCTGCAATAGGAGTGTAGCAGGGGATAATTTACAAAGTTTTCAATATTAAAAAAATATAAAAAAATAAATAAAAAATTGGAGCCCACAAGCAAAGGAAACACTTGAAATCTTGTTGGGGTTGACTGTACTCTGCAGAGAATACCAAATCCTTGTGGTTAACTTAGGTGTTACACAAATAGGTCTACAAAGCATGTGGACTAGAACATTTTTCAATAGCAAGCTTGATCCTTAATAGCAACTTTGTTGGCAATCAAAACAAAGAGCATAGCTCAAGGATCCAAAAAAAAAAAACACATAAGACCCACTTTAAACACTAAACTTTTGATGACATAACCCAATACCTTGAATTAAACACATGAAAAGTTCAGCATCCATGTCAACTTATTTTAAAAGCAAATACTTCAATTTTGGATGGCCCAGCTGCTCTCTTTTCCAGGCTTGGCAGAAAATTTGTGCATGAAACAGCTTTGGAATGGATTCTTCACAAACTCACATACTTTCATAAGCAAAACTGAATGCTTAATTTACTTTGAAGCAGTTTTCTTGTAAAAGCTACTTGGAACAGCTGTAAAAAATGATTGAATCCTGGATCTCCATCAACTGGCCTTTTTTTGTTATTTGAGGAGGTCAGATAAATGGCATACAAAAAAGGCTTAGCGTACCAAATTCAATCTTTTTTTTGTGGAGGTAAATCTGAGGAATTTCTCTTTTAATGGATGTTGTTTAAATCTTTATGTTAGGATGTATGCCACCAGAAGAATAAAAGATGCCTTCAGAGAAAACAAAGATATCTCAGATCCAGAAAAAATCAGGACACTAATTAAGAGAGCAGAGGATAGTTTACAAGTAATGAAAAGACAGGTACCTGTTCATCTTTTTCTTATTCTTTACTTGCCATTTTTCTTTTATCAAAGTTATCAGGATTAGATTCTAACACTTCCAAAACAGCAAAAAAAAAACAAAAAAAAAGAGCTAGACTAGATATTGTTTGGTGTCAATTTTAGTATGTGTTACAAGTGAAAACAAAAAACACTTGTGAGTACTGAACCTTGCCCAGATCCAGGTTAGCAGTTTGATAATCTACTAACTGATCCATTGAAAAATCATTGGTTGAAGGTAAGCTAGGGCGGATGTTCGGTCTATATATCACAAATGTCCTGCATATTAGCTCTGATCAGTAGCATGAAATGTGTTCTGGGTAGAGACAGAGTGAGAAAGACCATATGATATGTTTTATATTGCATCTTTTGCAGGTGTCCTTAGGTCAAATGTACAGACATGAAAAGCTGGTGATAGAAAAGAAAAGATGATATTCAGCAATGAAAGAAGAGGTTTCATTTATTGGACAAGCAAATGTCACATATTCCATTGGAGATTATTCTATAATTACTGTGTGTTGATTTCTCTGATTAAGAGGAGACAAGGTGCATGCAGTGAGAATCAGAACACTTCTTTGCGGAAAAGAACATTTTGTTATATTGTGGCCACAGCACATATAATTTATGTGGGATGCAATGTGCATGTAGCCTAATTTGCTGTACAAGTTAATGACACAAAGCATTGTGTAATACTTGACTGTTTGCCCTTCAATTAATTTTGCAGGATCACTTTTGTTCTTCCTGGAATGAGTATAAACTGACTGTGAGCTGTTCATGGATTTTTTTTACCTACAGGGGTGCTCATTCAACTGGCATGAATAGCTGACAGCAATGGAAAGTTTACTTTAAGATTCCTCTTCAGCCAATCTGTAATTGTTAATGCTCTTGATGAATACTTTTTATAAGTGCAGGTAATCACATGATTTCTAGTGCAATTTGGAATAAATAAACACGAGTAAATTTTTCAAAGACTAACAAAATTGCACAAGTGCGTAGGGTGAGTGCAATTTGAGGTCTTTGAAAAATTTACAAGTGCTTATTTATTCCAAATTGCAGAAGAAAAATCATGTGATTACGTATTAATAATATAAATGAAAAAATAAGAGATAGCTTATCATAATTATGCAGAAGTAAAGCACGTGCATCAAGTGTAAAAATAATTTATTCAAACCCTGCAAGTGACATGTATGATCAAAACAATAATATACAATGATATTTTCACATCTTTAAGATGCAAAAAAAAGTTCAAAGTCCAGCTGAACAGTTCAAGGAATTGTTCAGTCTGGCTTGTTACTTATTTGCAGTGAAATAACCCTCTTCTGCATTTAACTACCTGAAATGCATTTATCTTTACCAATCAGAACTGAGTAATTTTTTCATGTATCCTATTTTGATGATGATAATAGGTCGCCTTTCTCCCCCCCAATATTTGTTGTCTGAGCATGAGAAATGGTTACTCTTGTTGTCTTTACATTTGTGAACAATGTGTGAATGATGAAAATAATTTTTATTCCTTTTGGCATTGAAAACATGGAATGGCATAAGTCAAACACCTGAACACTCAAGGAGTTGACTTATGCTTCTTAGCTTACATTCTCCTAAAAAAACAGTTGTTTCAGTTTGGCCAGACCTTGTACCTTGTTAAAACCTTAATGGCAGATTTGGTGCCAACACGAGTTGTAATCAGCTATGTTACCATCTGCATTTTGTTACATGTATTCCATATATTTTGAAACAAACAGTGAATAAACTGTTAACTCCTAAAATCTAATGAACAATTTCCCCTGTCTCATTGCAACAATCAAAAGAATTGTACTGGCTTCCTTGAGAAGTAACCCACGTGAAGCAGATTGAGGCCAAAACTCAAATCAGTGACTTACCTAACAGTGTTGTAACAACCTTAACCTTTTAAGCAGCATCTAATTTTCTCCTTAAATTATTATCCTTGGATCACACACAAGAAGAAAGGATATTATCACTAGCTAAAGAATCTCCTGATTGTTAAACAAATTCTCCTCAACAGCACCTTGGGAAATTCATGGATAACAGTACAGAGAATATGTATACTGATGTTAGTAAGTGAGAGGTTTAAAAATTAATTTCTTATAATTTTACACACCTTTTTACCTTAAGCTAATCATGTTTTTGGACCTCAAATGAATCAATTTTGTGAGGAGAAATCCCATTTTGGTCACTCAAGTGAGGGAGAGGATTCATTTATTGGTTCCTAGACAATGTGATTGGGTGATATTGCTGCTTCTTTCTAAAAATGTTGACGGTCAAAATATTGTGCCTGATAAGAGTTCTGTCCGTATTCAAAGTCCTCTCCTATTTTAACTTATTTTAAGTTCTTCTTGTGCGGAAATGGGTGAGAGGCAGACAATAAAGGTCATAATTTTGCGTTTTGATTGTTTTCTTCTGTTCACCGGTTCTAAATCCCTTTGAACATAGTAAGTGCTGAGAATCGTCGTGCGAGTGCGCTAGGCGAGGGAAAGGCCAGGTGAAACTAATTTTAGATAAAAAAAAATCTTTTGAAACCTTTAACACTCGTACTTTGTAGCTGTTCCTCGACTATGTCACAGTAAATTCTGTTGAGCAGGTTAAACAGCTGGTGTGTCCCTACATTTTGTGCGAGGGCTACACCACAACCTATTTCATTATTGCAAACCATGCTCTACGCGAACAAACTTGTTTGAGGCGCTCGACAAGGGTATTTTCCACTCTGCTTTGGTTTTCGCGGAGGCGAAACGGCACAAAGCGCAGGTTAGTGTGTTCAGGAATACAGACCACCAAACAACAAAATTAAACTTAGAGTGATCGTTAATCCTTTATATCCTCCTTCCTCCTAGATGGAATCTCTTCAGAATGGCCGGAAAGATTTAGTGGAATTCCTGTGTCGTCTCGTTTAACATAAATAGCCTATGATACTCATTGAAGCAATTTTATCATAGGCAGGTGATACTTGAAATAATGGACAGATCAAGTATCGTACGAACTCCATCCGAAGTAAATCACCGCTAAAAGTTATGGATCTTGGCAAACCGTGTTAAATACCCAGGCGATAAAAAAAAAACTTAAAAATGTGCGACTACATTGAGTGCAAGAAAATAAAAGACCACCAGGTGACTAAACTTAATTCTGTGACCTTTCCATCCCCGCCTCCCCCCCCCCCATTACCAATTCTTCTCTCCCCCTCCCTCCACCAGCTACCTGTTTGCTTCAACGTGAACGCGGAAAGCCAGTTGCGCAGTTAACAGATTCTAATATTTTGTCTCGAGCTTCGAGTGCTAAGCCAACATGGGGCGACCTACTGTTCCTGTTTCGCTCAATACCTTTGTGTGAAACGTGCACATCTAAAAGTATTGTGGCGAAGCAACATCACGAATTAACAGCTTACATCCTTCCTTCAGCAAAAGAGGATCATGCGAGAACAGCGGGATGGCGTTTAAACCCGTTGAAAAATAATGTTGGGGAATTGCGAGAACTGTACTCTGAATTCATCGAAAATAAAATATGACGGAGTTATTTAAGGAAAGGAATTTTAGCTAAGTAAACGCTCTCTATGCATGAATTCGGACTCTTGTGCACGATAATTATCGACAGACTGACTTAAGAATGAAGGGAGACCAAAAACATTGTCTTTCCGAAAGAAAGAAATCTCATCGGCAAGGCGGTGCGGTTTCTGTAATTTGCCTATGTTTTCTGGTTGTAAAGATCAGGGTATGAAGCAATTTTGCATGCATGATATATAAGGGTTCGTGTTTTTAAAAATAAACGACAGGATAAGTTCAATATTATTGGAGGGCTTTCAGATGTTAATCGAAAATATGCAAAACGATTTGAAATAGGAATGAAAGAATTCCCTATCTTACAGAAAATAATTCGGCTGAATATCTTAGTTCTTTGAAAAATGGAGTATACTGTAAGCATTAAATTTATAACAGCGCTGCGTTATCATTTTTACGTGAGCTTGCCTAACTCAACAACTGACAGCAATTATGAATTCACGGCTGCATCATTTTGATGTTCCTGTTTTCAAAATCTTCTTTTAACAGCCACAGAATGGAAGGAAGACGTTGCAAATGTCAAGGGGGAGTAGTAAAGTTAAATAAAATTACTCTTCTTCAAAAATTTTGAAAATAGCAGCACGAAAAAATGAATTGGCCGACTCAACAGTTTTAAGGCTCGAATTAATTACAACTCAAGAACACTTGTTCCACTATGACGCGTTTCTCCTTTGTTTTCGAGTTATGGAATAGTGGTTAAAAGCAATAAGAACATTCTTTTATCATATTGTCATTGATTACATTGAATAAAACAGGAAGACTTGAACTCATAAAACTACTACTCAATTATTTATATATGTTGGTCTAAGAGTGAAGTATATTTATTGCAGAACACCAAATGTGTGAAAAAATAGAAATAACTACCCGGCGAATGATTTTGTTTTGCCTCGCATTAGAACGGCAAGCTATACCATGAGAAAAATTACAACAAGAGAGATCTGTCAGCTCGAAAAAAAAACTTCAAGCTTACCTAAAAACACAATGTCATTTTTCACAACCGATCTACGCCAGTTTTCATGACAGGGAACTTTCCGGCAGTAAATTTTAAACCTTTTTTGAGTTACGTCCATCTGTTTATCTGTACAGTCAGCTGGTGTTACTACTTGCTAACCGTTCTACCTTAAGATTATTGAAGGGAACTTTTGAAATCTTAGTATAGAAGGTAAAAAAATAATTGAATGAGAGAACAAGGTAATAACAAGCGCAAGGGAAAATTTGTCAGCTCTCAGTTTGTTTACTACGATTTCATTAGTCAGTCTCTTACGACTTCCCTTGTATCATGACGTCGACCGCCGCTATCAACATCCGCTGTGAGAGAAACAACTGAATCGAGGTTATAAGAAAATCGAATTATTAACAAAACCTAGCATGTGTCATGCTTTTTTAAAGAACGCCGGATTTCTATTTTCGCTTTGTTACAAGTAGCAGACTTTTCTTTGAATGAAGAAGATCTCTATTCTATAAAATGTCGTTTCCCGGGTTTAAATGTTCGAAGTAATTTACATTTTACCAGTACACCGGTATTGCATGAATGAATTTCCCTTGTTCTGGTAGAAATGTTTATCGTAGAACTTAGGATACCAGGACCACGATGTTTACTTCCGGTAAATGAGACCTCACTGACCCCGCTTAAGCCGAAAACAAAAATTGCACATTTAATTGAGGCCAAAGTTTATTGTCTGTAATAATTTACATGTTGATTTGCACTCTGCTACTAAGGTACTGAGATCCAGGAAGTTTTTGCTGAAAAGAATATATTCCGCTGGCACCGAGGGGCTCTAATGTACTTCACCGATAGAGTATAAGAAGCGACGCAAAAACGAAAGTGATAATTTCTCAGGAACGTCAGTCAACCAATACGCAGTATTTCGCGGAAAAGAAGATTTGACAGTTTAATTCCTACTACACCGTGTGCGACCAACTCTGACCGCAAGGGATCGTATGTTTATTTAGTCTAGGAAAAATTATCTCAGAACGTTGCCAGTTCCCAGTTCCTGTGTGATTTCATCGTCTTCCGTACATTTACACCTAAATGAGGATCGGTTGGAGGTCCACAGACTAAACTACTTATATCTCTCTTTGCTGAAACTCCGAAATGAAATTTGGAAATCATGTTCTCGTCGAATCTGTTTCTCTTTTTAGTCCTGTCACTGACTGTGAATGTTTCAGCTGGAGTTTACTTCTTCCTCGCTCCAGCGCTCGCCTTTCCTATTTCAAAGTCAGATAGCGAGATCGCTAAACGGCTGATCAAATTCTACAAGGAAAAACCAAGGCTCATCCGAAAACTGTAAGTACCGCTATAACCTTTTCAATTTTTTCTTTACAGTAATTTTTTTAATAATCGTAAGGGGAAAATGTCTCTCGAAAGACATTTTTCATGGAAAGGAAGCGTGGAAGTAAACAGTGTTATTCCATTAAACTTCAGTAAGGCGCTTTCGTTGAAGCTCTTTTCCGCGAATACTGAAGGTCGTTATTTCACGCGTGTTTTCACGCATGAACACATCGTATCACGCGCGTATTGCGTCAAGATTTAAGCACGTTCTGGTCAAAGAAAGCGACGAGTATTGAATGTTGTCTTGAAAATCATTTAAAGAATAATAAGTATCGAGACGTTCTAAACAAGGAAAAGAAATATTCTGTAAGGAAAATTCAAAATGAATGTTGACCACAAAATATTAATATCTAAAGATCCACGATTGATTCGCTGCAGGAAATTAAACTTACGTAGTATTCCTTAGGTACGGAATTTTCACTTAATTCTGAAAGAGCACTATTGTGTGATAAAAACATGCGTGTTTTTCATGCGATAAAAAAATATTCTATATTATTGCAATTACTGAATAATAAGTACATTTAGAGACCCAATTTTGAACCTCAACCAGCTGTTTTTAGAACTGTCACTTTCCAGCGATTTTTTTCCGCAAACTCCTTTCACTTTCTGCTTGTGGCTTTGTGTGTTTTAATTTCGATAGCCATCTTAGCTCATTACAGCCTGCAGAGTTTCCCGCTTGGTTTGAAAAAGTGCTACGAGCACAATAATAATTGGCTTTGGCTAATGATCGACTCGGCTACGTGAAGCCCGATCGACCTCCTGACTTCGATTCTTATAATGTTCCTGATATAACGGCTGTTCTTTCATTTAATGTCCCGAAAATCTAGTCAATAGGTGTCTTTAAAACGTTTATCCTCCATATTTGAATTTCACACAGAAAAATCTTAGAAATGTGACCTCGGTATTTTGGGGTTTACCCCTTATGTAACTTAAAGCGACACGCGAAATGTCATTCTGTCACGAACACATCTTTAAACAATTTACGGGAATAACACGCACGGTTGTAATAATTCATTCTGTTTTTTCGTAGATTTCGGTTTTCAAAATAGTATATTTACAGCGCAGTACCTTCCCGTTATCTAAAAATAGTACAACAGGATTGCAACAAAACAAAGACCATTGTAGACCTAAAAGAACAAGTGAGCTGATTGGCCAAATTTCAGCTTCCGTATCGAATCTTGACATTATCATGTAAGTTATAACTGGACGCGTGTTTTTTCCTCTCGACACGTGGATAGTTACCAGGCAGTCTTAGCCTTCACACGTGTATCCATTGAGAGTTTGTTTCATTTTCGAATTACTTTATTTTCTTTGTAAAAGATCGAATGTGGCTTGATCGAGACGCCGACGAATAAATTACTTTTCAAGCACGAATTTAAAAATGTGACAAGGCTGCAGTCTTGCGTGACAAAATTTGAATTCTCTTTAATTGGCATCTAATCCAAAAGTTGATTCTAGAAGCTTATCCCGTAGCGTTTAACTTGCTGCACTTTTCTCTCCTTGTTAAGACAAAGAGTAAAAAATTAGGCCAAAGTAAAACTGGGAGAGTCTTGATCTATCGCTATATTCCTGTTACTAATAACAAGAAAATTGTATGGTGCTCACTGAAGAGAATAGCAGCTCTGATCTTGCCCTACTTCCGCGTTGAGGACGAGAGTAAGACCACAAGATAAGTTCTAAGAGATAAGTTCTAAGCCACAAAAACTATAGTTAGTATTCTGTAATCCGCTGAACGAATACAGGGGATATTGAAGGGTAGAGGAGAACAATACCGTAAATATTGGCAGCGCTCCGCTAAGAACGCGGCTTACACCGATTGATAAGTTCCCGTGTCTCTGTGTGGAATAGCGCCTTTTTTTTGCAGTCAGCTGACGATGATTCTGACGCCAATTAACAATTAGCTTAAGGCTTTAACTCATTGTACAGAAATATACGATTTATTCAGTTCGACTTTTATTTATTCTGAGGGTCATAAATTTATCAATTTCATTATTTCTTGCCGAATGGTCCCCCCGTCAGATAAAGTCCTAATATAATTTCTAATCCTCGGTCAATATGGCTTCGTCCTTAATACTCAAAGTTCCTGATATCGGCTAAGGGCGGGAAATAAAGTAATCTGATCCCTTGAGGATTTGCTTTGTATTTAATTAATCACACATATTTTTTCTCCCTTTTCCAGCTTCAGGGACCAAATTTTTGCCATCCTGCTTTTCTCCTGTGGACTGTACTGCTCTTCCTCGAGAGACACGTACACCAAGCCTCTTCGCAACACATCATCGACCTTCTTGATCTTCTTCTCGATATACCTTGGAAACTACGTGTTCAAGTTTTGTCAGGACTTTTTATTGAGACGCGAGCTGCCTCTATACAAGATTAGCTTGCTGCATCACTTTGTGACTGCCACGACTTACGGCGTGATAATTGCTTACAGACAGAACTCAATATCTGGCGTAGTGGGGCTTCTTTTCGAGGGAAGCGTCTTTGTATTCGACTTGAACTCTCTGCTTCGATTTCTGGGCGTGAGCAAAACCGGTTGGCTCGTCTTGTGCACGTCTGCGCTCCGATTCTTTCTCACAATTTTACTAAGGGCGCTGTGTCCTATCGCCTTGCTTGTGATAACTCTTTCGTCTTACACACCTTTGTCTTTGGAGTACGTTCCTCTCGGGTTTTTCTTCATGAACATCGTGTTCTTTGCCATGATAAATGGATGGCACATTAAGGTGTCGCTTGAGGGCCTCAAAAAGCGTTTGCTAGCGAGACGCCTGTCGTATTATTACAGCAGACCGAGGGCAGCCAGTGATGGTAATTTCACCAACGGTATGGAGCTAAACAATGTCACCTCGCTGACTCAAGCAATAACACGCACTGCTTTACCCATCATTATACCAAGCGACGCAAATTTCAGACTTTCGTCTCCCGTATCAAACGTGAATATGAACAGTGATGAGGTATCTAACATTGCTGTTTCGCGACACGAACGAACGTTACCTCAAATTAATGTCATTATCAACGATACGCCAGAGTCGAATGAACCAATAATCCAAGTGTAATCGGGAATGTTGGTTATTTCATCAGGGGTGCTATACAAGACAACTCTACAGATCATATAAAGAGATATTGGCCATGCATTTATCACGAGTAAGGAGCAAAAAAAAATGAAGCCAGTCCCGAAAAGGATTCAGAACTTGGGCCCTCTGTTCACTGATCGAAATTGCTTTGTCATTAAGCCAAAGAGAAGTCTCCATTAAGTCAAATGGAACTTTTGACCATGAGCCGCTATCATAAACTACATGTAACCTCAGATCTTGCTTAAAAATTGCAGCCAATCATGAAAAGACTTCCAAGAACTGTGCGAGAAGCTTTTTAAATTTTAAAATTGTACATAAGTTAAAAGGTACATTCATCGTAAGGTGAAAATCTTTTTATTTTATGTTTTATTTCTAGCGGGCTTTGCTGTTGATACTTGTGAAAAATGGTCAATTAGTAGTTCACTTTCAAGAACGAATTAATGAAAATAAAAGAAAACATTATCAGTTAAGAATCTTTTTTAAGCGGTCACTGTGGAAAAGCTTCAGATAACTGGCGCAGCTGCATTTCCCTTGGCACAAAACCCTCGCTACGTGATCTCCGTCATTTTCATGATTATAAAAGAATGAATGCTTTGCCATCCATCCTACACGTTTACCTTTGTTCTGACACGTGCTATGAATCGCAACATAATTTATTCTAATCATTACGCGCGTAAACGTGGTGAATCTCATGTAGATAAAAAGCAAAAGAAATGTTACCTCTAATCTCATGCACCGACTAGAATCCGGAAAAGTCGCCAAGATGTCCATCAAAACCGGAAAAAAGAGATGTATTAATCGCTCGAAAGCGAAATTCAATCAGCGTAAGTTGATACAAAAGTTATATTAAACTAGAAAAGAGAAAATAACACAAAAAAAAACTTTTCGCTTATTGAAATTACATTTTGAAAAAGTTGATACCGAAGCTGCGGTGCACACTAAATCCAGAACAAAACTGAAGCGCACAAATTGGCAAAAACTTAATAAGATTCATGCATAATTTGTACTCCTAATCACGAAATCGGCTCTTTCCTCTTAGAGAAACACTAAAGAAGAAACGTTCAATGATAGAAAAATGATTTTTTTCGATTTTTCTTTTTTCGTTTTTCCGATTTTCATGATCATTACTATCTTCCCGTGCAAAACTTCATTCGTAATAGAACGAATTCCTTTTCGGCTGTCAGCAATTTTTCCATTGACAGATGTCACGTTCATCCTCCCATCAGTGCTTCTGTCAAATTTTTCGCGGAATACAAATTCGTGACTCATGGCAGCTCTGCAGGGAGATGGCACGTCGGTCAGTTACTTGGCGACGCGAGTGCCTCTGAAGTGGAAGCTTTTCTAATGGAAAGAAAAAAAACGCTTCAACTCAAATCGTTTTGATGAGGAACCATGTGGCTCTGATAAAAAACAAACAAACCAAGATCGCGTTTGAGCGGATCAGTTAGTCAACAATTGGCGCGGCTTATCCGCTGTTTCGGTATCTACTGCGGTTTTCGTTCTTTCTATATTAATGACAATCATTCTCCGGTATATGAGGACAAAATCTAAGCGGTTTTTCGGTTTCAAGAGCGGAGTTTCAGTTTCGACGGAAAAGTTAACCGCGGTTTTCCAGTTTCGAATAGAAAAACCAAAGCCATTAAACATATAATTATAGGAAGCAAGAAACGTGTAGATCGTGGGCGCGGCGTTTCGTGATACACCGGCTGCCAGACTATGTCCTTGCGAAGCTTCAGATGATGGTCGCGTTAATCTGCCAACAAGTGACTCACTCTTTTACGAAGCCAAGTGGCCTTTCATTGTGCGTTTTGAATACGCTTGCATTTATAAATCTTCGATAAGCAATATCAGAAGCATGTGGCAGTATTTTATTTCAACTTGATGTTTCAGAGTGAGCGCGTCAGGTGGTGATGGGACTACACAAAGGAAAAGATACCCCCCCCCCCCCCCCCCCCCCCCACCCCCACCCCTGGCCTCAGTTTAGTACTCGTTTCAAAAGCAGGCTTTTGGGGTCGAAATAATTAATTTTGCATTAGTTATTATTATTGGATTGGCAGCAATAGCACATCATTTCCTTTTCTTTTTTTTCCCCTTGATTAATTATGGGAAAACTAGTGAAAAACAGTAGATTGCATAGACAATCTATGCTAATCATTCCGATGTACTGATTTTTCTGTAGTTAAAGCTGAAAAAGTTATAAAGGGGCAATTCTGAGAAATATATTTTCCTTGTAAGCCTACTATTTAAGAAAGCGCCTGAGGGAAGAGGAGAGCGCTTAGTCGTGGGGGGTGTTTATTATAGCGTGGGCGCTTATTAAAGCGTAGGCGCTTATGCGAGGAAATTCGCTAGGCACTTAATATAACTCCGTCGGTCAAACTGTCATCTGCTTCAACAAAGAGCTCTCTTTTCACATTTTGCATCATCCCACGACCACAACTTGGGTCATGCACTGACTAATTTTTGACCTGCAAACTAGCGTTTTGGTATCTTCATCCCATCCGACACCGAATGAACTTAAGAAGAAAAAAAATTATGGCGATTGCAGCTGCTTTTTTTCTTTTTCGATCTCATGTTATCATGTTGTTCCTTTACGATCCATTACATTACTGTACTAATCAAACTCAGCAAAAATAGTAAACTGTTTATTCTACGTTTTGATACAATAAACTTTTCGGCCTCGTATAAGCCTTCCCCGTTTGAAATGATTTCTTTGTTCGTTTCTCAACGACATCGCGTCAGGGTCTGTCAGTGGCTGTAAAGCTGGTGGGAAGAAGTTTTCAGGTACCAGCTGGTCAGAAAATGGTGGCTAATCTTCGTGGAACATACCTCTAGATTCCATTTCAGGCAGCTTATTCATGTTTAGGGCATTTACTTTGGTTAAGAATTACTCATTGTTTTTAAAAGAAAACAAAAGGGCGCTGACTAATTTCTTTGTCAATTCAGGCAATAACTATGGCCACTCATATTCCCGTAGCGTTCAGTACCTGTTTTATAATCATTTTTCGTTTGAAGTCATTCATCGTTCAGTTGATCACTATGAGTCAGCAAATTTTTTGCAGGGAAATGTATTAAGCAATTTTTTTTCCAGAAAAATGAACCCTGCCAAAACAAATTGTAATGAAAAGTCAGATGAAATACAATAACAGTATGCTATTTATTATAAAAGACCTAAAAAGGAAAATGAGCACAAAACTGGGATATACCAGAAGACAAAAGAACCGTCAACAAAGGAAGTATATAGCAATGTAAACACGTATTTGGATCGCAAAGGACAGAAAGTGTATACTAGCAATAGTATACCGAGAGAGGAAGAGTCACAGAGGCTATGAATTCAAGCCGACTGGACTACGAGGTACCTCCACCTAGTTCCAAAAGGCATGTTCTTCCAGCGGGGGAGCTGCCCCCCTCTGCCACTTGAATCAAGGCTGTTCTTCTATCTTTTATCATCTTAAACATCTTTTCACTCCCTTTCACGGCTTTTAAACGCGTTGGTTGTGATGGCTGTGCAAACGAAATCTCGGTTGAGAGCCAACAAGTCTAATATTCTGCTCGCATGTATAGCCGTGTCTGATTTAGCTGTGGGTGTGATTGTTCAATCAATGTTCATTGCTGTAACGACATCAGTGTTTGTCGGAAAGAGAACGATAGGATCGTGTGCATTAAACCTGTCACAATATTGCTCACGAATTTCCTATGCGATACGTCGTATCTTACCCACTTGGTACCTATTAGTTGGGAACAATATCTGACCATAAAGCACCCACTCGCCAGTAATACTGGACTCGTAACGGAAGCCCATTTGCTGATTACATCTGCTTCAGCATGGTTCTTTTCTCTCGTCCTGCAAATGCCTCTTTCTATTCACCCACAAGTAGCTTTTGGATTAAAAAACACATTCATCGTCCTTTCTCCGGTTACGATCATTTTTTGCCATTTCACTGTTCATCACGAGGTTCGACGACATCAAAACGAAATTTCACAACAAGTAGCAGCAGAGGCAAGGCTGAAAATTCTATTGAACAGGAAATCTCCACAACTAACAGCTACCGTCGCTCTGGTCCTTTTCCTTTGTTATACACCTCTTTATAGATTTATTTTGGTACTCCATCGCAATAACACGTCTCCAGAGGTCATGTATGCTAGTATTTTAATTTCTCCGTCGTTTGCAATATCAAACTCATTGTTCAACCCGTTTATTCACGTAGCCAGGTTAAAAGAGTTTAGAATTGCCTTTATTGAGTTATTAAGTGGAACTGCAACTTAAGCAGAGGCTGAAGAAAATGGGAGGCGAACTTTTGGACCGCGTGGGAATGCTGTGGTAAGGTAAAACCCGAGATCCCAGAAAGATGAAAATCAATTACCTGTTACTGAGGAAACAAATGTGAACGACAAGAACATTAACCGGTGTAAAATTAATTTAAAAGAGAGTCTTGGAGTGAGAGACATTCAGTTGAAAAGCGCTCTAAGAGTTAATTACTCGCAACTCTTGCCTTACTTGCACTCCGGAAGAGGATCTGAGAGATGATGTTAAGTCTGTGAACAAGCTGGCTGATAGAGCAATTTTCAACTCAGTGTCGAAAGTCATCCGGGATTGCATTAATTTCGCCTTACTTGATTGGTCCTGAAACTTCGCGCCACTTTCTCAACCAATCAGAAGTAATACTAACACCAGTCACGACTATGTCGGCCGCGTTTTCCCGCGCTTCAGTTGAGTTACTTTGAGTTTTCATTGGCTCTTCAGGGTGTTTTCCTTTCTTCTGATTGGCCGTTGTGTTTACCTTGGTTTTAGTTTAACGACACTCAATCGAAAAGCGCTCTAATTTCGGATTAGGAGAAAGGTAGCGCTCGATGGGTTGGAGGAACTACGCCCAAATATATTCCCTACAAATCACCCTTGGCCTAGATTAATTTTTCAACGTAGACAACTCTTCATGGACCTCTTTCAGCAACGGTCCAGGATGGCCTTAGAAAATTAAGTCAAGAATTCCAAATTGACAGAAGTACGTAATGCTAGATAGATAGCTATTTCATTTGGTTTACTTCATTTTTAATGAAGAACTGAAACAGAGAGGTACATTAGTGGCAAACTGAAGCACTAGGGGTGAGGACAGGTGGTGGTTCTTATCTCCACCCCACCCCTCTTGTGCTCCTATCACGAGTTGTCTTTCTGGTTTCCGGGGTTGCTAGTTCCCTTCTCACGTCAATCAGAAGTACTTAAGTTGATTGTTCAAACTGTACAGGCGCTCATATGCTACATCATTCCTGCTCTTTTCATTTTCCTTTCCATTTTCTTCTGTTTCTTTAGATCCACTTCTGTTTCCTCGGGTTGAGCAAAGAACCAAGGTCCTAGAATATAAACCCATAACAAGTAGATAGCTCTACAGGGCACCTGAAACGAAACCCAAAGAACGCGTTAGTGGGCTCAAGTCCTAAATCCAGCTAGCTATTAAATGTTGGTGTCTATTCTCAGTTTCTAAAGCACTAAGAACTAAGTACTACCCCTGAGAAAGAGGCCAGTTTATCAAAGATTACCAAACCCCCCGTTTCCCCAGAAGTCAACCACTACTCTTTTATAACACTGGGTGAAAAAAGGTATGGTGAGAGTAAAGTTTCTTGCCCAAGGTCACCATGGCCCAACCAGGGTTGAAACCCAATTCTCTCCACTCAGAATAAAAGGTGGGTAGATGAAGTCTGTACCCCCCAGCATTTCATTAGGCTTTCCTGACACTGTGCCCATTTGGTTTCCTTCATTTTTAATGAAGAATTGGAACAGAAAGGTACATTAGTGGCAAACTGAAGCACTGGGGATGGGATGCCAATCCATTGCAAGGTTACCCCCCAGCATTTAATTGGGCTTTCTTGACTCTTCCTTTACCCATTTATACACCTGGGTGGAGAGAGAGAGGCACTTTGAGAATGCTTTTCCCAAGAACACAACACAATGACCCATCCAGGTCCTGAACCCAGACATCTTGACCCAATTTCCAGAGCCCTAATCATCACACCACCACATCTTTCACCTCCATTCAGAGTACAGCACACATACTAGCAGGCCAATGCTTGTAAAACCCAAAGAGCAATCCTGAAAATCTTTTTGTAAATGCTGCTGCGGGGATTCTCAAAAGCTGATAACAAAATAACAGAAATGCCCTCACCAGGAGCCAAAACAGCCACATGTAGTCTGTAAATATTCCAAGTCCCTGAACTATCACTGTTAATATTATGAGGTCCTTAACATGTCTGTGACAAATAAATGACAAAATAACATCAATTAGATTTTAGTGTTTACATGAAATTTCAAAATATGGTATTAGTACAATAATAAACTGGGAGGGGTCTTATATTCTTTATTATAGTCCATTGTAAATAATAAATACTTTTAGGTTATTTTTACCAAGTCTTTATCACAGAAGACCATGTATATTATGCTCACTACCGATGAGTTGTTGAATTATATATACATTTCAGTTCTTAGAATTTTTTTTGTTCTTATCTTTCCATAACAGGATATGTACAAATATGACATCATCATTTAATAGCAATTTCCCTGTCTCTTACTTAAAACAACACCAATATATTCTAGTTGCTGTTCACTATTCAGAAATATATCAAAGATGTCAGTAGATTGTGGTAAGAACAAAACCAGGCATTCGTAAGACATTGAATACCTTAGAGCTTTGATCTACAGATATTACTAAACACTCATGGTGGATGGTTAAATAGAAAAAAGTTCCTTCATCAACCTGACAGAGTGGCGCTAAAGGCGAGTGACCTGTCAGCAGCTGATTGGAGATATCAATCATGTGTGAAAAAATACAGTATTTTTTCACATTTGTTGTTTTTTGTTAATGCCTTAGTTGTATAATAAATTTTGTTATCATTCAGACAAATCACTCTCCAGATGATACCAAAGTATGTCTGAGCTACAGCCAGTGTGAGGTGAACCAATGAACTACCCTTAGTAAAAGAGTTCCTCTTCCAGGTTTTAGACAGCTATCAAACAGTAAATCTAAGCAAACAAAATTGTATAAGTTTCATTCACATAGCAAACCATACACTAAAGAGGTTTCTCTGACATTGGTACTGCTGAAGGTTTTTCTTGCCTATGGCTCTGTAAGACCAGATGCATTTTAACCCTGTACACCCGAACATCAAAATCCCTCTTCTCCATACTCCTCTCTAATCATCTCCCCTAGCACTATCAAGGAGTATTGGTTTAACAATCAAAGCTGCATTGGTTGATGATCATTTCCTTTAATATCAAAGTCTTCATGAATGAATGTTAGGAGAAATTAGATGCTGGTCACCTTTAGGGTTTAAGTGCTAACAGGAATGTATTGGAAAGTGATCATCCATCTTTTGAACAACTTAGGTGTACACTAACTTAAGGGAACTTATCTCACTGTTCAGCATTTATAGCTTAAAAGTACATACTCTGCAGTTCCTGACTCCTGATTAAGATCCATTCCTCCGTCTATAAGATTTCCAGATGAGGAATATGTAGGTTTTGCCATTGAAGCCATAAACTTGTAACATCCACTATAAAGTGCTGTGGCAAGCACCAGGAGGACCTTGGTGCAAAAGGCAAAATGCAGAACTTCAAAAAGTTATTATGGCCAGAGTTTTTCCAGTTCCTCCTACATGAATTGCAAATACCCTTTAAACCTTTGCACCCTAACATCAGTATCAACATTCTCCATACTTTTCTCCAATTTTTTTGTTTGATACTGAATGGGAGAATTTGTTTAACAATCAAAACTTCTTAAGTTGATCATTTCCTTCATTCTCATGATTTTAATGAATGTTTCAGCAGTTTTACTGTTAGGAGAAATTAGATCTGGTCATTCTTAGGGTTTAAAGAGCTTACACTACCTTAGAGAAAGGCTTTTGTACAATGACCTGGCAAAAGCCAGCTAGATCGTAACCAATCACAAAACAAAAATTCAGGTTTTGTTTTATTTAAACTCTTGATACCACCATCAAATAAAGAACAGAAATATTTCATATCACTAAGAACAATGATTGTAGAAGCAGTAAGACCTTACCCATGAAAACCAACTTGAGTTGAAGCCAAAAAATGTGAATCGGAATATTATATATGTGACCTGAAATAAAGAATGAGGAATCAAGGATGAATTAACAAGAATTCCTTCATTTCTTTCCATGAGAAGGTCATTAAAAGTTGAGAAAAGTTGTGGAATTTTTTTAATACCAAAAAAAGGAATGAATTCCATATACAATACTTGTTACTACAGTGAAAAAAAAATATGCTCACATTCAGAAAAATTTAAAAACCCCTACCTCAATACTTATCATAACCTTGGCATAAAAATCCAGAGTTTTGTTGTTTTCTTCCAGAATTTGCTTTTGTCCCTTAGTTCCTTGTTTCTTTGGCTGAAATGCAAGTTATATGAAAAACATTTATTAGTAATCAAGAGCAACATGAAATAATAGTAATAAAGTAATGGCATAAATTCTATGACCTTCCGACAATGTGACTCTTGTCCTTTACACAATTAGTTACTGCCCTAACCAAAGTGATTTAGGGAGGGGAGGGAGTGATATACACATTTTGAAGTCATCTTTGGGTATTTATAGTTCAATTGGAATATGGCAGGCATATCAAGTGTTTCATCCACAATCTTTTCCAAAATAAAACAAGATATTCGACAGACAAGTTTCCCTAACACTAAATGAGTGACATAGATAAAACCAAAGATGAGAGGGATCATTTAAAAATATTAAGATAGAACGGCTCTAATCAGCGTGTAGAGTAGTATTGTGTAGCCGACGTTAATGATGTCGGTCTAATTCAGAGCTATATGGTAACGCATGATGATAAAAATATTTTAAAATGAAAGCAAAGTTATACTTATTGAATAAAAAATCAGCTCTCGATTTTCTAATTCATAGAAAGACGATGAAGAAGAAAATGCATGGTAATCATTTCAAAACACTACACTTACCGCCATCTTGCCTGAATTGGGCTAGTCCTAGTCCTTCAGCAGATTTGACGACGCTAGAAGCTTCGTTCCTTTGGTGATAGGGTCTGCTAGGTATGCGTGTTCACCCTCCATTGAATTCTTTTCAAACCGATAGTCTTCAGCTTTTTCTCTTTTCAAGAAAAGTTGGTCATGAAGTTACACATAAGATTGAGGAACATCGGGCTGGGGGTACCAAACCACAAGTTTTCTTTACTCTTTCAACTAAGGGCAGTCGCATCTATGAGGTGAAAGGTTGTGAAAAGCTGTAATAATTAAAGGTGTTTTAAAACTAGACAAAACTAAGGAATAGATGGGTGACAAACCCCAATGGAGTGAAGGAATGTTTTCCTAAAAACCTCTGTCTTGCTTTTGCTTGAAATGCAAGAAGGGTCTTGCAAAACTGATAAAATGTCAAGAAATCAGTAAACAGAAGAAACAGGGTGAAGACTATTGAAATGCATTTTTATTTCAGCACTAAATCTTTCATCTCAAATACGGTCTAATTTAGACATACACCTATTGCACACTGCATCAAAAATTTTAAAACGAGTAAGGATAATATTAATTGAAAATTATTTTCTTTTTTACATTTCTTTGAGACTACATGTGTGTGCGTAAATAGGGAAAGACAAACATTACAATTCCCTATTTTAGGTGATAAAAAATTTACAGTTAAAATACAGAGGTCAATTGACCTTTAATATGCAAACAAACTATGAAAAAATTAAAAAGAATTCCAGCTAAATTCATGTGAGCGAACCTGCACCTAGAACCAATAATAACAAAGACAACTACAAACAGAGATGGAATTCATTATCCTACACCTGTAGGTCATTTTTATCTAAGTGATAACAGTAACTTTTTTTTTAATTGAGGGCCAGAAACCTGTTTCAGCACTTCCAGAAAAGAGCTATACATGGACCACCAAAAAAAATAGTGATACTTTTATATCAAAGCATATTCATGAACATGGCGAATGAAGCAAAATGTACATACAGCAAGAGAACTAAGAATTTGTCTAGCAAAAGTTTAAGATATTGGTAGATCCATTCCATGGTATGTCATTTATTTTGTTAAACCTTTCTAGCAGCTAATCCATAATGTAAACCCAAACAATGACATGAAGCACTTTGCTTTTCAATAAGTACCCAATCTTGGGAAAGAACAAAGTATCATTTTGACCATATAAAATGGTTGGCAAATGATGGAACCAGCCAAATGTCATCATATTCTAATCATAAGATCAACCATACTTCTACTTCTACTTCTACCTCTCTCTTGAGCACTCTTTAACTGAGTATCAAAGCACCAAACCAAAGTTATCGCCAATCAGAACAACTGAAAAATTATCAGTGGCCAATCAGAACTCAAAGTAAAACCAAGAAAACTCCTTAAGGGTAAAAAAGCTCCATATTTATCATAGGAAATAATTTGACAAATACTAATTAATAACTATGCTGTGAGCTTGAGATTTCTATCTTGTGATAGTTGATGAGGGAAAAGCTCTTCTTAAAGATGACTCATAAAAATTGAGATAACATTATTAACTTGTTGGCAACAAGTGTTGAATCCAATATGCTTACAACCACACATTGTGCTGCTAGGCTGATCATTTCATTAACTATCACTGGATAGACAGAGAGTGGCATAGCCAATCAGATTGCAACATTTTTGATAAGCTACTGGTAGATTTATAATAACTCTCTTTGTCTCTGTATTTTTTTTTATGTTCATGGAATGCAAGAAACGTCTAGCCCTAACACTCACTAATGCTTCTCCTTATACAGAAGCTGTCTTTTTATAGCTACTAATATCTATGGTTAATGGATGTATGTCTTTGCAGCCATGGACTTGGATACTACCCTAATCTGAGACCACAGCAGGTAAGTGCCTTTGATTTACAGTCTAAAACTGGTCTGAAGGTAAAATTGCATATGATGCATATGTACAAGCTCTATTAAAACTTCAGTTCTCCTGGTTCTCTATGAGTCCTCCTGTGTCATCATCATTTATATAAGGAGGTGGAGGTTCATCTAATTTAACAGGATCCTCAACTGAATACACGGGAGGATTTTGAAGGTTTGCTGGTACACCATTGACACCAAATGGGTACTCAGTGAAAACATAAGCTGGCTGAGGAACTGCAGGCTCCTCTTCATACTGGCGGCCCTGAGGAATCTGAAACCAATAAAACAATGGAAAAGGAAAAAGATAAAATAACAACTGAAATTAAATTTGATGGTGTCTGGGTAGTCATCTTTAAAATGTTCAAAATCATTGATACCATACTGATTAATCAGCTAATTCTGTATACAATTCCTATAGTTTGGAACCCTAAGGACTGTCATAACACAGATCATAAAAGGCTAAACAGTAAACTGACAGACATGCAGTGGAGACAAAGATTGCATTAATGCACACCTACTAGGGTTAGAAAACAATGATTTAGGCTGAGTCGGAAGGACTTTTGGTAATAAATTTAGGACTTAGGAACAAATACATCAGCCTCAGCTTCAGGGACTCAGGGAAAGTTGCAGAAAGAAGACTTAACACCTCATCACAAAGGTTTTAGAAATTTTAAAACTAGCAAGGATAATACACTACCAAAAACTGACCTGTTGTTGACTATGTTGCCTTAATGCTTGAGCAATAAGTCGTCTTCGATTTCTTGCATAGAAGTAAAATATCCAGAAGATAAGTTTTAAGATGACCACAACTATTATAATCCTGAAAAAAATCCATCTTAAAGTTAACAACTTTAGATTACAATGACTCCTCTATTACATGTAACAACAAAACCAACATCATAAAAGTTCATGTGGCTAGCAAAAAGTAACACAACAAAGAGGAACCACATCACTACTTGAATGAACAAAAAAACGAGAAACCAGTGAGCTTTGACAGAAAGACTTTCATACTAATTCACAGACTTTGGTTCTCTTGTTCAAAGATGCAGAGCTCATTATTAACAAAAAAAACACACACTGTTCATAGTTCTTGTATTGCTTACAAATAGGTACAAAACTTTGCAGCAGATCCCTCTTTAAGAGGAAAACTAGGAAAAATATAATAATAAGGATAAATAATTTCTGTAATGAGAAAGTACATGGCTGAAATAGTTTGTACTGTAAGTTCATGTGATAAGCAAATGGTGATAAGAAGACAAGAAAAACTAGAACCTTCTTGTTGTGCACCATTCACTCATTATATGATCCTTTTTTGATAACATGTAATGGCACTAATAATACATAAACTACAACTGCATTTTTCATATCTAGTATGTAAGCTTGTTAGATTTTGAGCTTTTTTAATCTTATAAACAGTTCCATCTTACAATGGCTGAAGGACAAAATGGGAGTCAAAATATCTGGAGCTGTCATTAAATTGTTTCTGTGTTGTGTGACTGTCAAAAGAAATAATCACTGATCTACCAAGTAATTCACATAGAAACACTGTCCTAAGTGGTTCCACTTATGGTTCGTTTGTTAGGTCAACCATCTGAAACTGATTTAATCTTATACCTATGAAAACATGTCTACAAGCTTGAAATAATAATATCCAACCATTTATTGTAGTTCGTGTTTTTGTTGGGGCTATGGGCAAAGGAGTTAATCACAAAAAAGGGACAGTGGCCAACAGACATTTTTTGCGAGTAAAAAAGAACTCACGAAGATGGTCCCCATATTTAACACTTATTTCAAGAATGACTTCATACAAATAAATGACGTTGTAAGCAGTAATGATTTCACAGAAAGAAAGTAAAACACAAAAATTAAACATATCTTTGGTTAAACCGATTTACACAGAGAAGTATGCTAGAGTTAAACAGTTGTCGACTACTCAGGGATGATATTGTCACAGAAAGATTATATTATTCTCTAAGTTTAAGAATAATGCTCAAATTATTTCAGGAACATAATATGTTGCAATCTTGACGTAACTAACGCCTAATTTTATAGGATTCAGCACTAAAAATTTTGCGGCGAAGATTTGATCCTCGCGCGAAAGAAGATGCTTACGTAATTTATCCCAAGAATAATAAACACTAATTAGACTGCACTTACACATAAAACAGCAAATCCATCATTAGTCCAGACCTTTAGTTACCAGATTTAATGCAAGTTCTAAATGAAAGAAGATTGACACAGCTTAAAACATAATCAAGTGTTTTGACGCTGGGTGAAATTTTAAAACTACTAACACTCACCAGGCCATGACATCGAAAAACCGATAATTAATTTCACAAAAGGACTACTCATTGAATTCCGGAGTAATTTTTAATTTCTTTGGTCCCCTCGTTTAATATGATAGATTTCAGCTCATAGCTGGTTCGCCATGATGTTGCACAAAAAAAATATGCCTACTACGGAAGTCAAGTTATCACAAAAGACGTACGAACAAAGCAATAATATAATTAGAAACAAACTTCAGAGAATTGGAACGACGCAGATAGAAAAAAAATTCCAAACAAAGGACTACGAAATGTAGCCTTGGACAAACTGAGACACACAGTCTGCTGCGTACATAAACAATATGTAATCATGCATAGGCACAAGTACATCACTTTTCTTGACGGATTGTATCAAGAGAAACCATTATTTTGGGCGCCAATATAAAGGGGAAAAACTGACATACCTCTACATACCTCAAGGCACCTGAAACTCGTCCATTATAGAGTGAAACGAAGACAAAAATTCGTGCAATTCACAAACACCTGGGTACTTTTACGACACTTCTAGAGAAGAAACCCGCAACAGTCCTACGCGGTAATAGCATGAAACTCTAAGGGAGGCTGGGACTGGAAAGTATCCGCCCTTAGGAATATGAGAAAAGAACGAAATGAAAAACTATTTGAAAAGTAAAACCAGTAAAAAGAAGACAAATAGCAGATAATGATTATAATTACAAACCCTATGATGAAAGCTTCAATATCTGAATAGGGGATAGAGAAGGCAAGAGGGGAGGGGTGGGTAACTTACTATTATTTTTTTCTCGGTTGATCCGTGGAAATATGGGAGGGGTTAGGCAGTAGGGCGTTACGAACGTATTTTCCAGGCTGATCTTTTCAAAACGAGATCAGTTCACATACTTTGAACTACACCTGAATCACTTATTCCTACATCCAAAACACCTGAACTAAAATAGCTTTCTTTTTAATCAATCAAAGTTTAAGTATTAACAATAATACATCACAAGAAAATCTATGACTAGTTTATAATGTTACATGCACGAAGTAAAAATGTAGCAAACGTAAGGTTTGGAAGGGTCCATTCGATTGAGCTAAAGAACAGACCAAGGGGATGCCCTCAAATTCCTCTTAAAAAAAAAAGAAAAAGATATACAATTTTCTTCCCTTCATCCCTCCCCCTAATTCTGAAGAACATATGTCACTCCACCACTAACTAATAAATATATTGCAACTTTCCAAGCGCTACCCAAAACCAATTTGATTGCAAAGCATTTTTGGTGCAAATGTATCTTCTCAGTAAAAGAATACCAGTTTCTTCTTCATACTCATCTGAAGTTTAAAACATAGAGTCTCACTTCCATCAACTGCCTATCAAGACTTCCAAAGAAGAAGAACAAGGAAATTCCCTGATATTTAAACATGGATGGCTGACTCCCACTTCCAACCACTTCTGACTGAAACTTTCAAATTGTGCATTAATCATGCATTACTGTTGACAATTGATTGTAAATTGCTCTAATAACCTTATTTTTTGTAGCCTGTTACACAACATTTCTCAATGATAACATGAGGTAACGAACAAGAGAGCTATTCACAAGCATACACATTAAATAAAGGCACAGTTGGGTAACAAGAGTGTAATCAACTGTGTATCATATAACTTTTAAAGTTCTAAAATAAACTTTTAAAAGGTGCATACAAATTGGACTGCACATAGTCTGTTTCATTCTCAAATATCAATGATACATTGTGGTCTGTGGATAATAACCACACCAGATGAGGGTTCCAGAAGAGAATAAGGATGTGACCTACTTTTTTCACCTTGCACCTATTCATCTAGTCCATGTTGTGTTTGTACAGAAAAAGATATTAATTCAAGAAGAAAATCAGATCACAACCAGTCCGCATCAGTACTATACCGCTCAGTTAGGAAAATTAACTTTTAGATTTTGGGAGTGGAAATGTTACCTAAGTATTACTTTGCACACAGAAAGAGACAAAGCTATTTTGGATGAACCTATCAAGCTAAAAATGCAATCTAATTTTCTATGCCAAGGAATGTATCTCTTTTTTTTTTTTACAATTGGAAAAAAAGTCCTAGTTCTGGGGGAAAGGAAAATGTTCCATTCTTTGCCTCACCCCTTGTTAAAGTTCTTCAAAATGAGAGTCTTTTTAAATCACTGCATAATTTTAGAGTCAACATATTTAACCAGATGTTTCCTCAACAGTTCCTTGTTTCTTTGCCACAGGTTCACCATCATCACCATCATCACCATCACCTTCTGCTGGCTCTTCCTCATGTTTCCTCTTCCTTGACTCAACTTTGGGCTCTGCTTCCATTTCCTCTGCTTTTTCCTCTGGTTTTTCTTCAGCCTGTTCTTCCTTATCTTCCTCAGCTTTAGCTTTTTCAGCTCTTTCCTGTTCAGCTTTGGCTCTCTCTTCTCTCTCCATTTCACGCTCTGCTCTTTCCTTTGCCCTTCTCTCTGCTTCTTCTGCCTTCTTTTGCTCTGCTTCTGGATCAATTTTCACAAATACAAATGCCAAGTACATTCCTAAAGCAAACAACAGCAAACAGCTAAGAGAATACCACACTGGCAACAAGCTTAGATAGTATTATTATTATTATTTCATGAAAAACATACTCTCCGGAGTTTAAAACTTACCAACAGCTTCCCATTCAAACTTTGACATGGTTCCCTGTTAATGATACAAATTATGACAACATAAATATTTAAAACTGACAATGAAAATTGAAAAAAAAAAACCCTATTTCAGCCTTTTACTCCAAAGAACTAAAGCAGTCAAAGTTTCTAACATTGCCAACATTCTAGAAAAGCAGATGAGGGCATGAATCATTTGGCATTCCTAGAGACATTCCAGAGACATGCATACATGTGTATAATAATACAGAGACATGCAAACCTTTCACAGACTGTATAATATATTGCATGAAGTTAACTTTTACCCTTGCTTCTATTTTAGATTGTAATTATAAAAAGAGAAATGTCATTAAAATTTTAAAATCAAATCATAATAAATGCAATCTCCAAAAGCACCTTAGAGAGTGAATAACATTTCTTAACAAACATCAATAACTGAAATTGTGTTTTGACCAGTTTTATACAAAATATAGCCCACATTCGTCATCAGGTGATAAAAAAAGGAAAGCTTGTTTCCAAAACAAAACAAAAAGGGGCAGCAACATAATATTTCATGATACTAGTTTACTACAATAGTAATAATAGTATTAAGAATAATAATAAAAATAACAACAACAACAAGAAAAACAAGAAAGTTATTCTTCAACTTACCACGTGTTTTAAGTTCTTTTCCCTGTGGTCTCTGTACTTGCTGGTTGAGGAAGATTTATCTTGATTCAGCTGAATTCCTTCTAAAAAGTCTTTCGCATGTGTGTATGCATCCTCAGCACTTGAAACCAAGCTCTCATTTTCTAAGCGTGGTGGGTATGTCTTAATCAAAGAAGCAAACAGCAAAATAATATTTATATTTATGCATGAATGGGTTGAGTTAAGTTAAGCATCAGTTGAAGAGTAGAACAGGATAATTTGGTATTATCGACTGTGTTGATGTGTGTGCTTATATGCAGAAAATGGAGCTAACCTATTGGTGGGAGTATGGTGACAAGAAAACAAGAAAACAAGAATAATTTTGTTGAAGGAAAAGGGAGATTGATTCCTCTTAACATTCTAAGCAGCATATGGCAGTTTACAGCCTTTCCCTACATCTAGGCTGTTTGGAAAGCTGCAGAACTCTAGAATGAAAATTTAGCTTTCAGATTGGTACTCATAATCCTCATGGTATCAGCAAACACTTTTAAGTCAACTAAATTGTTCAGTGTTTAAAACTAATGTTCATGTTAATGTTCATCTTTGGCTGAAAATGTCTCTTTACATCATACACGAATATCCTGCCACAAAAAACCCTTCTAATACAGCCAAATACACACATACCTCAAGCGCTTTCATTTTGTAAAGGAGAGAGGTGGATTCCTTGGTTTTCTCCCGGAAAAAATCATGGAATGTCTTTGTGTACATTAGCTTCATATTATACTTTTCTGCCATTCTGGAACAAGAGATGCAGCAGCAAAAACAATTAACCCTTTGATCCCTAGGGGTAACTAGTTTACAATTGTTTCTTACAATATCACCCTTGAATCAAAAATTAACATCACAATAATAAAAGAAAATAATGATCACCAACTGAAAAATCTTTTGATTGCTAAACAAATTCTTCTTGACAGCACCGTTGGAAATGTATAGAGAACAGTATGGAGAATATGCATATTGATGCTACAGTGCAAAGGGTTCACAAAACTAAAACAGCCACTACAAGCAACCTGTATTCAAATCATTGCATACCACTTACATCTTAAAATTACCAGTTACCATCTAAAAAGACTGAAAAGGATCTAAAGGGGACAGAGATCTACAAAACATGTAGAACATGTTGCATAAGTGTTTGTCCTCTAAAAACTTGGGCAGTTAATCAAGCTTTAGACTTTCTTGTCATCACATGTTTCAAGTTTTATCCTTAAGATGGATTTTATGGATTTTTAAACTTGTTGATAATGTCAAAATTAGTATCTACAAATGTTTACATACTTTTCAAGCAGAGGGAAGTATACCAAGAACTCAGGGCAATCAACCACTCCTTCAAGATGGAAATCATACTTGCAGCCATATAGAGGATAGTCACCTTTCTTCTCAAAAGTAACTCTATAAACATCATTTCCAAAGGAAAGACCTTCTGATTTCTCTAATCGACGACTGAAACAAAAAAAGAAAGTAATACCATTGAGTGCAGTTTAGGCATCATCTGGGGTGGGCCACCTATATTCTGACTCCTATTCACCTTCAGATCACACATCCATTAGTTTCCATTTTGCCATGCACATTTTTAGTTATAGATCGCAGATGAAATCAAAATACAGTAAGAACAAAAAAGGGGCACACAAGGTAAAGCCAAGACTATCACTAATGTTTTTATCACCCTCTGAAATCTCCTTTGATCTACCAGTGTACGAATCCATGGTAACATGGAATCCATGGTAACATGGAATCTATTTCTTTGAAATGATAACAAAGCAAAATGTTGCAGATAGTGATGTCATTTATGTTTCTGTCCTGTTTCTGGGAACCAATCAAAATTTGTGTATAATCAGCTAATCATTTAAAGAAAAATACTACTTATAAAAGATGATTGTTATCATCAGACACCTACACCAACTCATATCCATTGGGTGTTGTCCCTATGAAAAAACCTCCGACTTTAAGTTTCTCACAAGCATTCTTTAGCATCATGTCTGCTTGCTCATAAGTCTCAAATGAATAATGAAATGAAAATTGGCAGCTTGTCAAGTCAAACTCGATATTCTTGTCTTGGTAAAGATCTTGAAGTCGTTCCTACAAAAAAGAGCACAGATTACTAAAAACATATATGTGGCAGAACCAGAAAATTGTGATAACAGGGGTAACATTGGAAAAATTAACAAGAGGGAAAATGATGAAAAAAACTTAACTGGAATTTAAAGGTTAGAACAGGAGATAGGACACTTGATTCCTTTACTCTTATGATGTACAAAGTAAAAGAGGGTCACTTCAAGTTAGTGAGAAGTTTTGTTTCTGTAAGGTTAAGTCAGAACACAAACCAAGCCATGTTTTATCCAGCTTATTAAGGTTCCTGTCAGGTTTCTGTACCACACCCCCTCCCCCCCCCCCCCAGAAAAAAAAATTGCAAACATTGTTTCAATAGGTTTCCTAGACAGTCCACCGATACTCATTTATACTACAGTATGGAGTGGGACCTAGGAGAGTAACATGTCTCACCCAAGGAACACAGAACACAGTGTTCTCCTTTCCAGTTGGTAATTGCTAAAATTCACCGCTTGTAGAACCTATTATTACTGCCTAAAATCACTTGAAGACTTGATTCTTGAAAATCAAACAGGTAAAAGGATTGCTCTACAATTTGAAAATTTCTTTATCAGTTGTGCTTAAAATAAGGGAGAACACTGGGCTCAATGACCAAGCTAGAGCTAAAATCAGAACCTCTGGAAGTCAGTAAGCTACTGTAACCGTAAAGCCACAGAAAGTGCGAGAAAAGCTCCCTGATCTAACCATTGTTACATAAAGGAAAAAATTCAGTTCATCTTCATTACCTTACTACAATCAGCGGTGATAAATTCAGGTGTAAAGAGAGGATCCCTATAACGTCGAGTCTCATGCGTCTTTTTTAGTTCTTTGTATCGCTCCTCACACTGTTCCACAGAGACTTGAGCAATATCTAGGAAAATACATTTCAGTTGATCAATTAACCCTCGAGCCTCTAATATTAGTTTGCATATTCCCCATACTGTTCTTTACACATATTCTACGATTTGGGGGTGATACTGAAAGGAGAAATTAGGTGCTGGTCACTCTCACAGGTCAAAGGGATAATTACTTCACTAGTGCAGAGATAGAACAAACTTGGCTACACTTGCTTCCCACTAGTGACCTCCATTTGAATCACAGAATCTCTTTTTGCCCTTTCTCTAATTATCCCCTCCTCCTTTTCCACCCTCTAAAATAAACCAACTACCTGAATTCCACATTGACATATGGTTAGTAAATAAAGAATCTCTCCATGTATGTACAATCAACAACTTCCAAATTATTTCAATTACGTTTTTTTTTAACACTTATCAAACCTGGAGAATTCTACTAAAACAGACCTGCACAGACAAGTGTCTTTATTCTTCCCCTCTGCCATTTAAGAAGATCTCCACCTTTTCCACAACAAAGGTCCAGCACAGCCACTTCCTTTGAATTGACTCTGTCAGAACATTAACAACAGTAGCAAGTTCAATAAAATAATTAAGTTCCATCCAGTCCCTCCACATATTTGCTGTTCATTTCTGCCTCTAGCACTCCTGTCTTAAGAATTAAAAGTAAACTGTGAATGAACAACTGCAGACCATCCCAAATTCAGCAGCATCAAGCAGTGCACTACATCCTATTCCCAATTCATTTTTTCCTGTTTCCAGTGCTTGTTCTATTCCTACATTGTGTAGTGAGTCTCTGTGAAAGTTAACCCTTTCACTCCTAAGATCTCATTTGTAATTCTCCTTACTGTCTGCCACACAATTCTTATGATGTTTCTTCAGATAATTTGGTATTGGATCAACAAATGATTGATATTTTTCCCTATTCTCACTTTGCTACTTGATATTGCATTGATATTGTAAGGATAAATTCTGTCCTGGTCACTCATGGGAGTTAAAGGGTTAAGTGGCTCACCTTAGAAGTCAACACAATCACCAAGTCTACAGTGTAAAACAAGGACCTCTTTACAAACACTTTGTCCAGCTGACATCTTTACAACCATTTCACCCACAACAATTCAACAATTAAGATTGCAATGGCACATTTACCTCTTGATTTTTTCCAAGCATTCATTGATGATTATACTCTTCACCCAGTTGTTAAAGTTCCTTAGGTAATATATAGGACTTTCTTTACGAATTTCTTTTCCTGCTGATGGAAGTTCATTGTAGTGTTTTGCTACCTTGTCAGCTAAACCTTCTGAACTGTCAGCTGCTTTTTCTTCTCCATTTAAACCCTGAAATACCACATGAAATTTAAAACTGTAAGTGATGCGAAAGATAAAGAACATGGTGGGGGAGGAGAGTTGAAAGATGGAGGATGACAGCAAGCACTCCCTCCTTTTTAGCAAACTCCATTGCACAAGTATCCTCTTGTTTTAGCAAACTAATTGTTGGAAACTGCAATAAACATTCCTGTAGGAAATCACCCATTAATGATCTGAAGGGTTGACAAGCGTTTACATGCATGACCACTTGTTCACAAATTTCCAGCAATGCAACACAAAACTCAAACTCTTGGGCTTGGTCCCTAATCCCTACTTTTTTAGCAAAGCTCCTGTGCTACTCCCCGCTGCACGCTAACATCAATTTTTTTTAAATTGAGTTTTTTGGACTTACACAGCAGACTTCCCTGAAAAGAAGGGAACACTTGTAGTCTAGGATGGAGCATCTTCAATGAATTACATTCTCACTCCCCACAATCATAGCAAAATTTCTATAGCCCTTTGCAATCTCTAAAACAGTTTTGTCAATAGATCACAGGGATAGTAATACAGTATATTAAGTCAATTTATCTTTACAGGTTCACTGTTGGAAAAGAAGTCTGAAAAAAATGGCCCGTATCAATGTCTAAATTCTTCCAGCAATCTTAATTGTAGCTAACCTGTGAATATCAATACCTTAATGGTTATCTAACTCACTGGTCAAAATACAATTCATTACATGTACAGCATTTGTGAAGTTTCATGATGGCACATGAATACTACGCCTACACCAAAGTATTTCGTGCTATTACAGTCTATACTGAGTTGGGAAAAAGTCAAATCCTAGAGGGAATTATGAGTGAACAACTCTACAGGCTTGCTTATTACAGAACCTCAGAGTGACACTTAGAATTTTCCAAGAAATCTCTTTATCAAACCTCAGCATTAGCTTCTGAATGATCACTCAAAATACTCTCAACATCACATTTAATCCAAATTTTACCTTTTCTGGTTCTTCTTTCATTTCCTCTTCTTTAGCCTTTTCATCTGGTTCATTTTGAACATCTCCTATTTTTTCTATGAATAATATGTATAGTTAGATATAATTCTGAATCAAAACCCATCATAGAGTAATGGCTTGATACAGGCCTGCTGAACTGGATTAGCTCTGCTTCCAAAATCTCATTTCACCGCCACAGGAGAGGATAACATAGTTGTTAGCACCACAGAAACAGCACTAAAAACAATCTTTTAAGAACACTGTTGTTCAGTTATACATTGTGTATCTGTTACTAAGCTGAATTAATTTTATATGAATATAAATGAGCTGAAATCTTAGCTCAGAAACCAAGATCATGTTTATCACAAGAAAATAGATTGAAAATCCTCACATAAACCAAACCAGGCCTGTTACCGGACATTAATCAAGAGGGCTTACATTGCAGGAAACAGGGTCATTTAAGCAACTGCAAAGTGAGCCAACTCATTAGCCTCAGTTCATTCTCAACCCTTTACACCCTAACATCAGTATGCAGATTCTCCATACTGTTCTCTATACATTTCCTAAGGTGCTAACATGGAGAATTTGTTTAACAATCAAGGGCTTCTTTAGTTGGTGATCATTCCTGTTTTTCTCATGACCTCACAGGGCGTGAAATTAATTTTTTTTTCTGATAGCCACTTGGCTCCTAAATTCTTCAAAGTGGTAGCCAAGTGGAAAAAAGTTGGTCGCCATTTTCAAAGACAAACAAAACCTTTTTTTAAGCTGTCGGCGTTCTAGATAGACCCTCCAAAATTAAATTTGGGAAAAGATCTTTAACGTGCTACAAAGTGGACACTAGGATGGACGATATACAACCTTAAAGCTCACCTAAATCCAAGATGGCATCTAGTTATCGATCGAGATGCATGTGTTGCATTTTGGAAACAAACTTAACGAGGAAGTTCGCCGCGGATTTATCTTTGCAAATCTTTTTAATTCACTATATCTCTTGGTAAGGTTATGATGAAACATTCTAGTCCCCAATCTGGCAACTAATTTCCAGGATTTGGTCGCCAAAGTGAAAAATTTAGTCGCATTGGTGCCTGTATTAGGTGCAATTTCACGCCCTGCCTCAAATGAATGATTCAGTGGTATAATTGTTAGGAGAAACTAGATGCTGGTCACTCTTAGAGTTCAAAGGCTTAAGCCAAACAACTCCCATGGTCCAAATTGAAGAGCTGCGGAGAATGCAGCATCAAGTGAGTTTTGATTCCATATCTTCTTCTCTGTCAGTTTCAAAAGGGAATAGAGGATAATTTTGTCTATCACCTGAAACAATTTTTCCCACTTTTTTTAATGTATGTCAAAATTGTCTTGTTTAATGAAGTACTCATTGACCAAAATATGCCAAACAAGCCATATACAACCATATAGAAAGACACAAAATATAATGCACATACATACATACATAATGTACATTTCAATCTACAATTGAGCCACAGAAGCTTTTTTTTTTTACAACAAGGTAGGTGCTTATTTGAGGTGGGCACTTATTACCTTTTTCTGGCTACAAGGCAGGCTCTTACTCCATGCACACTTATCAACTTTTCCTGTCTACAAAGTACATTGTGGGCACTTATTCAAGGTGGGCACAACTAAATAAATACGGTATTCTTTGGTTCCTACTGGACAATCCATAACCTGCAATACATGTACTTGCTGAACCAGTTTGAAAGCTGGAAAACAGTTCGAATTCTTGCATACCGTATCACTTGAAAACTTTTAACTTAGTACTAAACGTCAAACATTATTTTAGTTATGTCAAATGTCATTGTCATCGTCAATATAATATATTAATAACAGTTAGATGTTTGAGTTGATGCATTCAGCAAATAAAATGGTAAAACAAGCTATTTTCCATTTTCAAAGCGGTGAATATTATTAATACGTGGTAAATCTGAGCATTGAGCATTTTAGCAGCGAACATAATCATTATTAGCAAGAGCGAAAATTAGGCTTAATCATGATCGGCAGGTTTTGAGAAGTTCCAAGCGAGTTTATGACATGCATTTAGATGTCCCTCTAAAATCTTTGAGAATTCAATAGATCCCTTAAAACAGAAACCAACCGATTATTTAAATACTTCACAAAATCACACATACTGAAATGCTGGGGCATAAACCACGTGTTAGGTCAAATTAAAGTTTGCGCCAAATACGAAAATTTGTACATTGTGTCTACATGTGGGGAAAATATTTCCCCCAGATAACGTACCTCCATCTTTTTGTTCTTCTTCTATAAGTTTCTCATCTGTAGGTTTCTCTGGCGCTGAAATTTCTGCGTTAGTCTCATCAACCATTTGTTCAGTTTCGGAAGCGACAGCCGCCATTTTCGCGTGAGAGGAGGAAGGTCGAGAGAGGTTGGGACCCCCAGCTGCTGCCCTACGAGAATAACGTTGTGTAAGATATATTCAATCGTAGCCCGACTTTTTATTTTCCCTCCAATAACTCCATTAGAATTCTTATCATAATAATCTGTGTCAATTAAAAATTACCCAATATTTATTGGTAGAGATAAAGAAAGCGATCTGTCCAAAGGAATTTTTGCTTTAAGAAATTTTCATTATGCTTGACATGTTGAGTGTTGACCCTAACAGCATATCTTACTGTCAGCGGTTTGCACCATGGTGACTGTTGTTTTCCAATATGGCGGGTAAGGTTTGAAATAACGTTGCTTTGTTTCTGATGTGTTTTCGTCAGTTGTAAATTGTTTTTCTTCTTGTTTAGGTTTTAAGCAGCTTGATTTAGACGAAGATTTGGTAACTGGAAGGTAATAATTTGTTATATGCTTTTACATTGATTTTTAGTGATCGATAGTCGTTTATAGGCTTCAGTATTTCATATCGCCAGTTTACTAGAGACTTCTTCCATGAGTTTGACTGATCCCAATTAGTATGTTTTTGAGTGATATTGAACAATTCGAACCTAAAAGTACAAGGTTTGTACCTCAGAAGGAAGCAACGAATTTCAAATTTATAATCGCCAGATCTTTGTTATAGAAGGTAATCCGGAGGTCGCTTACATTCTTTATCGATATCCGTTCAGCGATCAAAACCATGATTCCTAGCAAAGTGAAGTGTAAAGTAAAAACTGCTCTAAGAATTTGTGACATAAAATTGAAGATGCGCTTTATTCCATCACTGGAAAGTAAACATTTAATTTGGAAATGAATGTTATTGTAAGTAATTAGTTCAAGTATAATCTTACATATGCGGAAGTCCAATGGCAACAATTCCTTGTGTGGCCAACCGCCCGTACAGTGAACTCCATTATATTCCTTTGTTTGTCTGTTTCAGTACCTTGGGCTGTCTTGGGTTTTGTTTTCGCTTATTCTATAACGAAATCTACATAGTTTGTAAGAATATTGGGGACTTCACATTAATGGTTACACTGTCTCTAACACATTGAGTATCAGGGTTCAAAATTACGACCAGCTGGTTGCCAATGCAACCGAAAATTGACTGTTGGCAACCAGAATTTAGTAATAGTCACTATTAGGTGGCAAACTTGAAGTCTTGAGAATGTTTTTTGAGTAAATCAGGGCTTAAGAAATTAGTGGTCAATCATTTCTTTTGTTTCACTCTTGTACACTTGTCAGTACACTATCCAAAGGATAAGTCGCTATCCAGCAGACAAGTGTTGGCAAAATGTACTGTGATAGAGATTTATCCTTTAGGTACCGTTTTTGGTTTTTTTTTTCCTTTCACTGTGAGACAAAAATTTTACAAATCAGTATTATTGCCAACCCAGAATATGATCTCATTAGCCCAGTATCAGGCAGTCACAGGTTCACTCCTATGCAAGTGTGAACTCTCCTTTTGGGCTTCCTATGTAGTTTACATTGAATATTTTAATCACCACTCATCCACAGTTAAATTATAATTTACTTCACTTTTTTTATCAAAACTCTAGAATCACAGACTCTCCAATAAGATATTTTATTACCAATTATGATGGACCAAACCGATTGTTTCTTACAATGTTTAATTTTCAATGCCAGGTCCAGTCGGTCGGATAAAAAATTTGATACAACTGTTGGTCACATAGAAGACATAATCATGGGTAAGTTCAGTTGGATAAGAGGTGGATATGTGTGGATATTTGGATACATTGGATACAGCACTAATTTCTTATAGGTTTTTTTTTCTTTTGCAGAAGAAAAATTTCAGTCAATGCAGCATGACTTCAAAGAAAATTATTACCAACACTTTACAGATGAAGAAGAGAACAAGCTTATATATATGGATATATTCAAGGAATATGTGAGTATTATAGCCAAGGTCTTGACCCTCAGCTAAAGGAAAGCTATTTGCATTAAGTCATAACTGAGGTGACATAATAAATAGAGAGACTTTTGTCTTAATTAAATACTATTTTGATGTTGCATATAACTTGCCTTTTCATTCTGGCAGAGGGATCACATTATCTCTTTTAGAAATATGGTGCTTCATCTCTGTTTTTGATCTGGTTTTGTTTTGAGTTTTGTTCTATTCCAGAAACACACCCTCCCCTTTTCTTCCCCTCCATAAAAATAAAATGGTTTGTCTTATGGTATTTTTCTCATTGTACACATTACCATAATTATTATTATATAATTTTTTTCATTTTTGTTTTCTTGTTTGTACTTAAGGTTGCTCTTGTGGAAAATTACATTGAAGAGGAGCTTAAAAAAAGAATATCGGGTTTCTCCATGGAAGAATTTTCAAAGTCTTTAGAGTAAGTCACCAGACTGAGAATGATTTGAGTGCACACCCACAATCTTCATTGACTGGAAGAAAGATTTATTTTAATAAGAAGACACAAGCAGACATACTCCTAAAAAAAGAAATGCAGTCATGCTGCTTTTTGCCATTAGCAAGTGAGAACATAAAGAGGACCCTTTCATCTCACAAGCTCTTGAAGTACGATTTGCTTTCTTTTTGATCCACTTGCAGAAGCCGTCATGATCAAATCGGAGGAGATATTTTAGAGATGCTGATGAGCTTTACAGACTTCATGACCTTCAAAGAAATGTTTTTGGAATATAGATCTGTGAGTGTTTTGTATGTCTCGTTTTTTACCATTCCATCTCTTCATGTCATTCTGATAGTAAAGGGGCACTTTTTGCAGAAGAACTCCTTCAAATAATTTCGCACATGGGAAAGATTGATCAAGGAAAAAAGCAAGTAGTGTATGAATTAACCTAAGATATCTGATGTAAGTGCTTAACCTGTTAACTCTAATGTGTGACCAAGACATAACTTCTCTTAATAATGTCAGTACTGGAGACAAATAATGAGAGTAAAGAAAGAAAGATAGTAATTAGGTTGTTATTAGTTAACCCAAGAGCAAATTCTCCAAACCAGTATCATGAGAATTATATTGCAGACAATTATTGATGAGATCTTGAGAGTGAATTGGATAAAATGTGAATGTCAACTAAATTTTCATAATTATGTAATACTGGAGATGATGATTTAGACAATAGCAATGATGATTATTGTTATAAATATTATTTTTACTATTATTAAATTATTATTATTACTATAATTATATCATGATATTATTGTTATCAAAGCAGTTTCTTTATTATTAATATATTTGTAAAACTAAGCCTGGTTTCCTGTCTAGGAAAAAGAAGGAACAGGAATGGACTTTAGTGATTTGTTAACCATCACATCAAGTGGTACATCACCAGCAGATGAACATCAAGGAATGCAGGTTGATCCTGAGTCACCAAGAGAAGGACCCTCTTCAAGCAGATAGTCTTTACAGAAAAGTCCTTAGCTTTAAAAGATTTTGGGTTTTGTTGATTCCTTTGGAACTTTACATGTCTGGAACAAAACAAGACCAACCCTTGTAGATATGAAAAAAATTCTTGAGAGTACTGAGAGTTTCTTCTTGCACTGCGATCAACTCCTGTTTTCTCACAATCACATTAAGTCTAAATAAGCAGGGAGATTTTTGAGTGATAGACAGCTGACCATTAAGTGTACATGGATAATATTTATTAGACAATTGGCTCTGAGAGTAGGAGACATGGAGCATATCCTGTGTTCTTTTAAGCTGCCTTTGAGGGCAAGTTTTTCTGCTTGGGATTGCCCACTTTGATCTCACATCAGAAAAATATAAGATTTACATGGTTTACATACCAAAATGTGCAAGTTCAAGGCAACTTATTGTGTCATTGGAAAAAAGTTTTCTGCCAGTTTAGCAGTCAAGAGAGTCCAAGTGTATTTCTCAAGACAGTCAAACAAACAAAACTACTACAGATTAAAGACTTCTGGTTTTGTGAATTCATTTGGCAAATTTTCAGTTTAGTTTATGAATGCCATCTGATTATTCCTTTATTTACCAAGCTTATTTGGTTAAGATAGCTTGATAATTACACAATTCTTGGTCAGTATCCAGCTACATATACCTCAGTAAATAAATCATGATCATAACCTCACGATTTGTCACACATGACTTTTGTGGGGATTTGATAAGAAAAACAATAACCTGAGCTCAAAAGTAGTAGAAATAGTGAGAAATATTTTATCCCTCTCGATTTATTTTAACATCACTCGTTTTCTCTTGCACATTAAATATGGCCTAAATTTTTGTTCAACAACTTTCTGTTGGAGCTGTTTGGCAATGGAACATAAAAGAAATTTTAGGTATTCATTTCATTAACGAGTTTGAAAACGTCATCTAACGCCGCAGATACAACAATCTGCGCTAAATTGGGAAGACTTGAAACGCTGTTAACTTCACAAGTTTCTTTGTTTTTTTTTGTTTGTTTGTTTTTGTTGTTATCAGCTTTTACAACTCTTGAAACAAATTTGTTTCGAGAAATTTCTAGAAAATGTACCAAGTAACTGCTACAAGGAAAGAAAAGTCTTAAGTGTGTTGGAGATAGAGAGAGGCAAAGGAACCATTTGTTGTAATTATTGTAATTAAGTTTTTACACAAATATAATGTTTTATTTAAGCTTTCTGTTCTTTTGGTCATTTTAATAGAAGTCTTTCAGAGTTACGCATCACAACATTTCCCTTCAGTGGATTAAAATTTAGGTTCTAATTGTTCAAATATTTTTGGGAAGAGTAAGTTATACTGTTATTACAATTATCATCCCAGAGTCCTATGAAATGGCTACTAATGAATCTACTTAGAGCTCCTGAAGTATAATTTATTTACCCTCGCATATAGATGACAGTAGCGAAGCAGCAATGTTATTGGCCACTGTACCTGGATCGTTAAGAATTGCACCACTTTCACTGTCTGATTCTGAACCTGAATCTGGGTCAAACCGCATTGTGAAGCTAGTGCCGTCCGGTGAGTTTTCAGCCAGTGCTTCTTGTTCCTTGCGCAACATTCGTATTACCTTCCGAAGGGTCGTTTTGATAGATGCTGCCACGAAATTTCCGAAGTGTTTGTCCGCCTGTCGAAGGACTCTGTGTCCTGGCAAGAAGTAGGATTCCACTTGGGAAGGCCGTTTCTGGCTTAGAAGACTTGCCGTAGATTCTAACACGGAGCAGATCCGCTCAACTAGCTTGCCTTCTTGCCACATCTCTTGGTCCTGGTAGCGCTCTAGTTCTTCAAAGAACTTCATCTTGAGAACGTAAGTGTGAAGGAAGCCAAAATGAGCGAAAAATTGCGAGCGTACACCTCTGAATGACGTCTGTCCTTTGATTATTTTCAGAGCTGTGTAACAGGCTGCTTGGATTGGAGTTGTGTTTTGTAGAATCTGCAGTTCGGCAACGGAAAAGGACAATCTCCACAACAAAGAATCTCCTCCTTCTGACTTGGGAACAATATGATACCCCACTTCGTCACAGCTGCTCAGGACGTGGGATGGGGGTACTTTAGCTGACTTTGGCCACCCGGGAATGTGCATTGCTGGTGTGATGTCAATATCGATAGGCATGAATTTATAGACATTACCACGCCAAAACAAAGTCATCTTCAAACCAGCTTTGCTCGTGGCTATGACTGGTTGACATAGCACGCAAGAATCATAGCTTGTCGTGTTAAAGCTCAAATTCCATCGTTTTCGAGCAAAGGCTTTCGAACTAGACTTCACGTACAACTTTTCCGCCAGGAAATATTTGATTTTTGAGGCGTCAAGAAATCCTTCTTCAGATAGAAACATCCTCCATTCTTCTCTGTAATCCTCTTTAACTCGGACACGAACAAACCCAGGATCTTCAGTCGGGAGAATTTCACATTTTTGATCCGTCAAGGATTCTAATTCACACATGTAATCGAATTCGTCGGGCTTGCCGATTCTGTAGCCTTCAAAAGCACTTCCGGTGCTTAAAATTTTACTGTTGAACTTCCTATCTTCCTCAGAAACCAGTTTCAAAAGTTCTTCTACAAAATCCACGGTCTGTTTAGCAATTTTGCATCTCTCGTGGCACATTCCCTCACCTTCCAAGTGAAAGCCTCTAACGCGGTATTCGTGACAAAGATTCGTTAAATACTCGTTGACGTCTGTGTCGGCGTCTATTCTCAATTCAGGTATTTCAGAGTCCTCACAGTTCTCATCAAAATCATTTTCATTTCCTAATGTAAATTGCCCATTGCGATCTCTGACACCTTCACTAGCCATAGTGCTCTCTTCGTTCCTCATTTCAAGGCTATTGCTTTCATTACCTGCACCTCGTTCATGTCGGACTTCTGTAGTATCCAACAGGCCATCAGAACTGGCAACCATAGCATCATCACTATGGTCAAAAAGGAAGTGGGCCAGTGCGTTGAACTGAAACTTTACAGCCAGGTCATATTCTGATGCTCCATCAGCGTTAACCTGCGTTTTATAAGAGCCCTTCTCGCTTATCACAGTCTGCGCGACCCGTATCAGAGCATCCTCGTCGGCTTTTGGCTTTATCGCGCAATGTAACACCGTATTTCCGTGAAGGTTGAACAGCTCCGCATGCGAAAAGTGATTCATCAGGCTGCTTAGTACTTCAAAATTATCGTGGTTAGCCGCGACATGTGCTGGCGTGTTTCCATCGTTGTCTACGCCGTGAAGATCAGCACCAAGGTTAAGAATAATCTGCACTGCCTCTACCAGGCCAAAGGCAGCGGCTTGGTGAAGTACAGTCCTTCCCGTGTGGTCCGACATGTCTAGACGAATGCCATATTCGTGCAGTAAGAGGATTGTCTCTGGAACGATCTCGGAATATTTATTCACGACAACTTTGGCTAAATTAACATGGTCTAAGAAGAGATGAAGAGCGTTTTTTCCCAAGTGATCTGGAAAACTTGGATCGACACCTGCATTCAGTAAGATTTTCATAGTTTCGTGTCGATTTCGGACAACAGCTTCCTTATCGAGATTCAAACCTTCTGGTAAGTTGACAGCCTCGTGAAGAGCAGTTCTACCAGATGAACTGTGGTGTTTGACAGCATCATGTAAATATTCGTGTATTAGCTTCGCCACTACCCGAGGCTGGTGGCAATTAGCAGCAAACGATAGACAACTCCACTCAAAGGACGCGGGCATTGATGACTCTAGTGTATAAGGCTTGGTAGAAAACATAAGAGATCCCCTTCCAATGAGATCAAGATTCTTCAAATTTGAAGAAGCTACGAAAAAGCTTTTTCCTGGATCTGCACCATTTTCAAGTAACTTGAAAACAATTTCAATCCTGTCATGACAAATTGCATCGTGAATTGGTGTCCAACCACGTGCGTCAGGTACGTTGACGTCACACCCATGCGTCAGCAGACAGTCGACAACTTGAAGATACCCGGATTTACTCGCCTCATGGACAGGCGTCCGCTGAGTCGATTTCCCAACTCCGGAATCGGAGCATAAGTCGGGATTAGCTCCTTTTTGAAGTAAAGCGCTCACCATGGATACCCGACCCAGCTTTGAACTCAGAGTGAGCGGAGTATTCCACTCACCACGGCCATGCACCAGGGATTTGGAAAAGGCACTCCAATTGAAATCAATCTTGAGTTCTTCTAAAGCTTCTACAGCCATGGTGAAACCTTCCGAGTTGTCCAGCGATATAGACTGAAGCAACATTGTCTTGACTACTTTAATCAGTTCTTCGGTATTGACTTCCTCGCTCGAATATTTCCCCTCAGTGGAGTCCATTATGCAGACTTATTCTTCAAAAGTAATCTTCCTAGAGAGAAAATCTTCACATCAAACTATGCAAAGCAAGATGAAATCAAACATAAATATTTCTAGACAATTTTCCTACAAGTTCTGTTGACTGTTTTAGCAGAATCCGACCAAAAGATACATCTTAGCAGTCTACCCGCCAGCACGTTATCAATTCTAGAGCACAAAAGTTTCCCATATGTAGCTGAGGCGGAAGAGGGACGAAGTAGGATAAAGCAAGAACCTCACCATGAAATTAAAAAAACCTTTTTTCACATTTCAGTATTGGTGATAAACTGTAATGCCGACAGCGACGTACTGATACCAATTCAAAGCGTAACATTGCTCTTGCCTCTAATTTGCGACAAAAAAGATTGAATCAACATATTTTGAAGTTCTCCACACTATCATGTACTTACCAATAATTCATAAGACTCTATTTCTCCCTACATGTAAGACACGAAAGAATCTCTTTGCATTTATGTCTCTGATCACTTCCGCTTTTTTTACGCAGGGCTCAGTTGTGAACAGCGGATATTCTACCAGAAGGAGTGTGGTTGTGTTAGTTTCTATAAAGTATCCCATCGCAGACATAACATTACTAGCACTTTCTTAAATTCATTTAATTTAACAGTAACTGTGTCACTGCCACAAGGTGTTTTCTGAAACGGGTTTATATTTAGATCGTCCTCTCCCGGAGGATGGTTCGTATCCATGATAATTCGGTAAAGGGATGTTGTGAAAAAGGAAGATAATTTTACTTACTAAAGCTCGACTTGTTCCTTGAGGTTACATAACATATCTTATTAGATGTTTTGGTGTGTAGTATTACTGAGTATTTTTACAAAGTTTTGCTTTATTTGGACGAGGCCGTAGAGTGAGTAAAATTACAAACACTGAACGAGTAAAATAAGCAACAATACTACACACCAAAACGTGTGATAAGTTATTTATTATCCAAAGGCTTAATTTTCTGAGCATTTCTTGTAAGGCTGAAAAAGCGAAGCAGATTGACAAGTGTAGCACGCTCAGGCGACTGCCTGAAGAGGTTTTTTACAGTACAAAATTACTAGTGATAACCAACTGTCCTAATAACGACTTATATTTGTAATCGATTCACGCGTTATTTGAACACTACCTAGTGCAGTTGGATAGGACGAGGTAAACTATGGACGTAGAATCAGGAGAGAATTTCATCACCGAATGTACTATGAAGATTTTAAGGCCTTAATCAGAGCAAAAAATAAGTGTACTAATATACTGGTGAATCACGGACTCGGACACGTCCCTAAGTGTTCTGCTGTTCTGCACTAAAATATGTAACAGGGAAAAAAATAATAGTTTAAATACCAAATTAGGAAAGATTATGCAATACTAGGTTAATGCGGAAACACAGTTTCAAAAAATATATGAAATCATTGACCAATCCAAATTGTATATTAAAGTCCATTAACCCACTATAGTCAGTCACTCACATTCCAGAATTTCTTTTAGAGGACGACAATATGGGGCTCATAACAACCAGAAAACAACACTGAGATGTGTGCAAAATATCAACTTTTATCGCAAAAGTATATATACTCTCTACATCAAGATCTAGAGAGACTTCATTTGGCGTTGAATTTGGCGTTGAATTTCAAACGAAAATGGAGATAAATTCTAATCAGCGCCATCAGCTGTCTTCTTTCCATTCAAATGGTGCATTTATCCAGTTGTTTGCAATCCACTTGGAACCTTCCAGGACATCACACCCTCCGTGTAAAGAGCGTACGTCGTGTGTTCCAAGCAAACCAGTCACGTTACTGATCATGTGATTGTACCACATAACAGCTTTGCCTCTTGCCGGACGTACAACCACATTAGCGTCATAGCAGTGGATGCTTAAATTTGTCCGGTCTTCCTTTTCAATTTCCTATACACAGTTTCAAGGAATAAAGTATGACATTACCATGGCAGTAAGAAAAATCAAGTAGGTATAATGGGTTGTAGATAAAACGCGCTAAATTTGGGCGTATGCTCGTTCGTTCTTCCTGCCCTCAATTTTCACCCAACTTTTGCTCACTCGCTAACCTCTTTCATTCACGTCGAGTGGCCTAAGAAAAAATACGGACTTTGCATGGCACAGCTGGTTACTACTTCAAGTGGCTCCCATGACAACACCCACTTGGTTTGAGAACCATGTTGATTAGAGTAATGTACCAGTATTGGGGGGTGGTCATGAGGGGAGGAGGACTTAATTTTCAAAAAACACTTTAGTCATTTCCGTATCTGAAGGGATCCTTCTTTCAATTATAATTATTTTGCCGTTCAAAATTGTTTCTTGTACCACTGTTCATGTAGTCATTTTTCAAGGTATCATTAGCTGGCAAGCTGGAAGGGAATTCCTAAGCACTACTTAAATGAGTGAATTCACCTTTCACCTCAATTGCTTTGAACGCTTCTCATACCGTTTGGTTGATATTTTTCTCATCAGCAACTGGAAAGGCTGTTTCTCCACCACGTTTTACATCATTAAGGTAATAGAGCACTGTCATAAACCTGAGGCAGAAAGAAAAAAGGTCTGATGTAATGCACATGTGGCTACTGCTACTCTGGGTGGCAGGCCATACGGTTGACCCGGGTCTCGGCGCCAGTTTCAAAGATATTTCACTGACATTTGATCAGACTGAAGGTTTATTGTCAACAAGACTGAAGTGTACAATAAGCAATTGATTACTTATTATCTGTAACGTAACACACAGTGATTGACGTGTCTCAAAAAAGGTAAATTTGAAATAGTCTCTGCACAAAGTAAAAAACAATGCTACTTATTTGAAAAGCTTTTCAAATTAAGCAAGAGGTCTTACAGTGCTCAACCATGAGGTAAATAAAAAATCAAGCTATCTGAAAATATAAGACTGATTGGAGGCTATTCATAACATAGACTTACTAACCTACACAAGCTGCAATTATCAGAGTAATTCCCAAAACAGCATCGTGAAGCCTCACCATTCCATTCATTTGTAGAGTCATAATGTGCATGATAATGACCGTGAACACCATACTGGACAACCTGATCAAAAGAGTAAACAAGCCTTCATTAATGAGCTTGGCACAGGCCTGATGCATAATTTGCATAATTTTCATTTTACAGATGTTGGGCATAAGTAACCTTGGTCAAAGAATAAGTTGATAAATCAATCAATAAATGCATCAATATCCATCAATATATCAGTTGAAAGTCTGTCAATTGTCACTACATAACCATTGATATTCAATCAATAAGTTGATAGCTGATTGATAAATCAAGCAATGCATCAATATTGATAATTATTTCAGTTAAAAGTTTATCAATTGTCACTACATAACCACTGATATTCAGTCATTAGTTAGTGTTTCCCTTGTAGTGGCATCAGCTGAATGACAGGACATTAAGACATTGGTCAACTCTTAGTTCATAGTCAGCCAACCATGGGTGGAATATTGGCCAACCATTGACCAACTATTGACCAACTAACAGCAGACCTTCAATCAACTTCAAACCATTATATTAACAAAGAGTACATATTTTACCTGTAAGTCTTCGCTGTTTTCAATAAAAAATTGTGGCAGTTTTGTCAACTGTATCACTCTGCAAAAGGAGAAAGGTAAATTAGTTTTCACTTTTTGAATTTTTAAATTTCCATGAAGGCGGATTCCATTAAAAAATGATTATTCCTTAAAGTTAAGACAAGAAATAGTTTTTAACATAGTGAATGGTAGAACACTTTTCCTGCCTTCTTTGCAAGTCCCTTAACACTAGATCGGTGCTGCCTGTTACTCTCAGCCAAGTCTGCTTACTGAGTCTTGTCCTTTCTCGTGGATGATTGTCTTCCAGGTATCTCATGTATTTGTCAAATGCCACATGATTGCCCTTGAGGCATTCTTTTTCACTGATCAAACCTTGAAAGATAAAGCCTGCATATGAGACTGACTTACTCACCCATTGAAGTTTCCAGTTTCCAAAGCATTAATAGGAGCATTGCTACTTCTCCTAGTTGGCTCGTCAAACCATTGCTGGTTATCCCCCCTCCCCCCACTGTAAGTTTTCTGGTAACCACTAATACCCCTAGGCAGGGAGAGGCATATTTCTCCTAGCTGCAAAGTGAAACCTGTGTGGGTCATTTTGCCTGAGACCTTGACACAACAGCTCAACCATGGCTTAATAAATAATTACAAAAAACAAAGAATTATAATATGTATCTGATCTTGCCTGACTTTGAACAGCCACAGGATGCACTCTGGAAGACCTGCCAAGCCTTGACATAATGGCCATTCATCATCATAACAGATCAATGGATAGCATACTTAAGTCATCAGAGTGTCCAAGCTTGATCTTCATAATATATATGATACTGTGTAATGTAATGTATTCTATACAGTGCATTTTCTCACGGTTACAAATAAAAGAAACCTTTAAAGGCTTCCTGGAAATTTGATTGTGACCAACTTGAGCACCTCAGAGCCACTTGACGATGTATTTGTTTGTTTAATTAGTACAATAATGACCAAACCAAAATATAAGCATGTGAACTTAGCTTACCATCACTGTCTCTATCAAAGTTTATTTTTCGCAACCTGATTAAAAAAAAAATTTCAAAAATTAGAACTTTTATTTAGGGATGACTTGGCCCGTTCTAGGCACTCAATTTGTGTGTAAAAGCCCACAGCAGTAAAATAATAGTTAAAGAGGAACTGAACACATGAACTTACATCATGTCCACATCGGCATCACTTACTGACATTGAAAACTCCTGTTTTATGAAGGTGGAAAACTAAAAAGTGAGACCATGTTTCTTGTTAACAAGTGTCAATCTATTTATCCATATTAACCAAAATTTCAGTACAAATCTATTTAGGTACCATTTTAGAAATAATTCAATAAATAATAATAATAATAATAATTCAATCGTGATCCACCCATTGGCCAATCAAAATATGACTTCACATAATTTTAAAATAGTATCAATTTTCACCAGGCAGGTAATGAGAACTTATCACAATGCACAAATAAATAAAGAAATGTAGATTATTCTGATATTACACCAGTTTCTAAAAACTAGTCAACAGAGGAATTTAGAGAACTGTTATCATTTATGAAAATAAGCTTTGAGATCTAAGAAGTGAAAGAGGTATATGAGCTCTGATTTTGACTTACCTCAACTGTGGAGATCTTGCCATCACTATCTCTGTCATTGGAAAGTAAATCCTTACAATTTTCATTCTTTTCCTCATCACTATAAGCTAAAAGGTTAGTAAAGAGGCCACTTATCAGATAATCTGGTCTTGAAACTGTAACTACAATGTGGTTAAAATTCTCTCTAGGATAACAGGAGTAAAATTACAATTGACAAATGAGTTCCTTGTATTGAATTGTTTATTGCAAGTCTTGGATATAGCCAAAGATTAGTCCAAAAAAGAATGGTAGAACTGATAGTTCTTCCCATTACACAAGAGTATAAACTGGTTTCAATTTATTGAAAGGGCTCTAAGGTTTATTCCTGGGATGGAGTCATTCTATGATTTTTCAAAAGCAACAAGCTGACATTTTCCCAGTCATCTTCATAATGCATAGCTAGAAGGAGTGAGATAAATTGGTATATACACCCTTGACCCTAGAATGGACATCACTAGAGCCGATAGATTTAGGTGAAGAGAAGTCTCCTCTTGTAAGCTAATGAAGTGGTCAGATTGTCTCCAGCCACACCAGAGTTAAAAAAGCTATATTCACATACTAGAGATCTGAATAGTCCTTCACTTTTAATTCTCACCAGAATGATCTTCATGATCAGGTAAGGTAGTGCTTTCAAAAAGGCCTTTTTTGCCAGCAAGTTTGATTATGTGTTCACATTCCTCATCGCTTAGAAATTCTGGTATTTCTAGAAAGGCAAACAACGATAATGATATCAAAAGGGTACACCTAAAGAGAAATTATTAAAGGCACAAGGTTGGGAATTAGCATTGAGGATCAAACAAACCTAAATTGCCTGTAGGGTTGCAAGATGATGATTCACAGAAAAATGCAGAGATGTAGTTAAACTATGGTTTAATAACAAAGTCTTACACTAAGACTTTATTACAGTGACTTCAAATGCAAACCCTAATATTTTGACTGGATTTGATAGAGCCTGTCAGACATTCCATTGTGATTGGTTTGGTTTAACCTAGCCACACCAACAGGTACATTTTGAACCTTAATGTCTTACTGGCACATTAGTTACAAATCATTGCTTAATGGTTAGTGATAAAATTGTGATCTTGTGATCATTACTTACCAAAAAGAAGAGGTTTAAGGCTTTTAGTAATTAACTGGTGTACTCTGCCTTCCTCCAATTTTACCTCCTGAACATGTCCCACCTTTTACAAATTCAATAAGAGAGGAAAGAAGAAAAAAATCGTGTTCTGACCAAATTATTCCAAAACTAGCTAGTTTCAGAAGTTGACAAATATGCTTCTGTTGGGAACCTCTGTACTGTCTGTAATAAATCTTTTCATAATTTCAGCTCTGATGAGTTACTGTTAAACTAAGCAGTATCTCCCAATTGATATAAACCCTCTTCGTGGCATACACCTATACAGGTAAGATAAGAAGTACTCCTCCGCCTCGAAGTAAATATCTTGGTATCTTACTGATAGAGAGGTAAATATACGTGATATTTCTCATTCCTTCCTTAAAAATCAAATCCATGGATAAGGCAAATATATATTTTTTCAATTGTTTATGTTTATGTAGCTACATCTTTTCTCGATCAAAATTCAAAATTTCATTTCACCTCAACACCATCCAGCATAAAAAGTTTTGGATGTGCAGCATCTACTTCCGCCAAATTGCAATCTTCAGTTTTCGCAGAACAGGTCTTGGAGGCAAGAGATACCACGAAAAATCCATCGTGGGAGATTAGTTGGATAAATATGGTTACAACAACCAGCAGTGATCGAGACATCTCTGCGGGTTAAACAAATAAAATCAGCATCGAGAGAAAACATCATAATAGACAAGTTTTTACGAGTTACGTGCACTCGTTTCCACCTCTACCAATTTTCTGGGAGAGGAAACTGGGAACCAATAGATCTACAGTCATGTAGCATGTCCTGCTCCGTCATGCAAAGGTTTTTGCCCGCGCTCTAATAAGCGCCCCCCCCCCCAAAGAAGTGCCCACCCCCCCCCATGATATCAAACAAGCCCCCCCCCTTCCCTTGCTTTCTTAAAACGCAGGGATACAAGGAAAACCGGTTTTTATTTCCACTTAATGTAAACTTTTTAAAGCTTTAACTAAATTTGAATCAGTATAGGTTGACTATTTCTCAATAAGCACCCCCTTGATTAAGCGCCTTCCTTCTGATAAGCTTTTTTCGCCAGAATTTTCAATAAGCGCTTAATTATTCTATATGCGGAAAATTTCAGTTTCTTCTTCGTTTTCCAGTTGTGATCAATACGATAATTGTCTTGAAAATTCTTAAAATACAATATCAAGCAGACGGATGACGAGAGTCACTGATAAAATCTCTAAAACAGAGGAAGCGAAAAAAATCGTTACTTTATTCTGCACACACTGTATACAACACCTGTACAAAGGCCGGACATAAGCGTGGTTTTATTTTTATGGGAAAACATAAAAAAGTTGTATGTTTGACATCACGTTTGGGCTGTAATTAACCTTTCTTTTATAAAACTGAGATATTCGATGAAAAAGATCAAAGCAATTTTCTCTGGGGTTCAGTATAATCCCCCTGCTACCTTACGAGGAGCGTGCAAGCAAAATGTAGAAAGCAGCTAAAATTTTCATTTTTCTCCCTTTTTTATTAAGACTTATTGAAATAAACCTTGACATTCGGAAAACTGGCAAATAAAAAATTCTTAAAGTTTTTGTTGCTAAGTGGTGTCATCTGTGAAGCATTGCATTGTTTCTGAAACAGTTTAATTGGCAGAAATTTACTGATATCCAAATATCCATTTACTGAAATCTCTTTTGTTGAATAAAAGAGTGCTTGCTCCACATTGAATTGAGACAGATAAACTACGCACAAATACCTCTGACAAAGAAGAATTTGTTTAACAATCAAGAGCTTCTTCAGTTAGTGATCACTTTCTTAATTCTCATGACCCTAATATGTGATTCAGGGGTGATATTGTGAGGAGAAATTAGATGCCGGTCACTCTAAGGGGTCAAAAAGTTAAAAAGGAAACATCAAGTTTAAATTAGTACTCAGGCAACTAATAAATGTCTTTCTGAGAAATTTCTGACTTTTTTACTTTCAAATGCTTGTTCACGTTAAAACCAGTGATCATTTTGTAAAGAAATCCAAAGACATGACTCGAGAAAAAAAAATCACATGCACCTTGCTATCAATTAATTGATACTTCCGCTTTGCGAAGGCTGAGTCCATTTGACGCGAACACACACACCGATCAAGTTTACTAAGGGCACAGTTTGCTGTTATTAAGGATACGAATGGGTTAACGTGGAATTATCCAGTCTTTTAGACTGAAAAAAGATGACTTCTACTCGAGTTATTAGCCTATCAATACTGAATGGTCTTCTTGGTGTGTTTGGGACCGTGTTGAACACTACAGTGGTTTTCGTGATCTTCAAGAACAAAGACCTACGAAAGGGACTAAACCTGTTTATTTTAAGCCTATCATTGGCAGATCTTCTTAGCAACGTCCTAGCTCAGCCAATTTACATCTATCTACTCGCGCACGGCACGGAAAGCGATCTTCACAATTTGATAAAGGCGTTTCACTTTTTCGCCTTTGTTAGTCTGCACGCTTCCACCAACAATTTAGCCGCCATAACGCTGTATCGCTTGAGAGCGCTCTCTCGCCTCTTCAGACATCTCATTCTCATATCTAGAAAGCAAACTTGGTGCGCTATCGTTACCGTTTGGTCAGCAGCAATCACAATGGCGGTTTTTTTCGATATAGAGCCAGGAAAATCCGCCGCACCTTATATCCATCTCCTCGTCATTCTGGCGTGGATTGGAAGCTATGCAGGGATATACGGGCTTGTGCGCCAACACAAGCAAAGAATTTCCTCTAAAGAAGGAATGGTCTCATGCCCTTTTATGATGGCGAACTTGAAATACGAGAGCGAGGCAGCTAAAACATCGGCAATTCTTGTGGGGACATCTGTTATCTGTTTCTTTCCCGATGTGGTGTATGAACTGCTCGGAGTGGCTGAAAAAACCAGATTGCAGTGGGCTTACACTTTGCTTTTCGCCAACGCTGTAATAAATCCTTGTGTTTTTGTTTGCAGAAGTCAGCAGTTTAGAAGAGCGTTTCGCAAAACGTGCAGATGTGTATGAGATGGGCCATTAGGGAACAGTAGCCTTTCTTTACAAGAAAATCTCTGTTTGATTAATTCTTTCCGCAGAGGGCCGAAATAAAGTTTAAAAAAATTGATTCGTACCTCGAACACCGGTTGTCTCAAATATATGCAGATCTAACTTTTAGAATTCATGATAAAAATTAGACCGATTGCTGCTTCATTGGCAAAAAAGGTAATTAGAACACAAATTTCTGTATTTTTAATTGTAGCGAAAAAAAAGGTAGATTAAAAAAAACTTGTATTACACAATTTTTTCCTTTATAGGAATAGACTCTTTACTGTAGGTTGATCACTATTCGAAAATCGCAAATAAATATTGTCAAAATAAAACAGAAGCGAGTAAAAATTGAAGCGGTACTTGATTATGTATGTTTTTTGTGAACCACTGGCCAACGGATGAGCCTAACTCGCTCACATATGGCCACGTGGAAGAAATTTTTCTTAGAACAAATTCACATCTATCTACAATAAAGGCTGTGCAACATTATGCGCTACGATGATTTCTTCGATAAAAAGAGTTTCCGACATTTCAACAGCGAACTGTCAGGAATTAAAATACATGTCATGTTAAGATCGACTAAATATTCCTTGCGTAAATATTTAGCTTACCTGCTAACGTCACTTTAAATTAAATGCAATGAGTTGACGCACAGAATGGAACAAACTGAGAGCACCTTTTGTTAAAATTAGAATATAGATAAAAATAAATTGACGTTAAGGTGCCCCTCTTTCAGATATTTTTTTTCAAAGAAAAAGAAGGACCGAAAAAAAACCGGTCGTCAAATCAAGGTAGATTATAATGCGTTTTCTGATACGTCACCTTTACTTGTTTTTTTTTCCCTAAGCGCTGATTGCCGCAACTGAATTCATTTGGGGTCACTGTTCTTTTCCCATCATGTGATTGGTTTGTTTTGGCTCATTTGAACCCAGTAACAAAAATGGCATTGTAAAAATCTTTTTTACTATAGTTTTCAAATGTGGGTCTAAAGCTATGGACAGCTCAGTGCAAGTGCCGGTCGACAGACTCGTCAGCATGGCACAGCCGGCGGGGTGACACTATAATTTTCACAAAGAAAGGAGTAAAAAAAATTGCCACTAATGCACACGTTTGAAATCCGAGAAAAAGTCACCGTAAGGACGGGGCATCGCGGGCTTGCTGAGTTTATTTAATCATTTAATTTATTAAAATTTATTGATGAACGGATACCCAGCTTATCTTTCGAAAGCCTTGGTCCTTTAGCGTCCCTTCCCTTTTTGGCGCGCTAAGTCTGGAAAGGAGTGTTTCTATGGGCGACGTCACGACTCACAAAAGAGCTAAAGCTCAACGGAGAAGATTTTATTTCTAAATAAGAGATGTACAAAATAGAATTGCAACCAGGGTCCAAAATGCTTAGCATCCCCTAACAAAGTTCGAAGTTGCATATTTGGAAACATGAGACAATACAAGTACTATTATGTAAGCGAATTGAAGTAAATGCAACCGAGGGTCGATGGTGATTCAGGATTGCATTGGTTTTGCTCTTCCTAATGCTGTGATTGATCTGAAGAGTTTTGCACGGCCATTAATCACCTGCTCTGCACCAATCAAATACAAGACCATTATCATGTGTTCACTGCCCTCATTGGCTCCCTGAGATCTCTAATACGACTTGATTGACCGTCGTTCTTACTTTCATTTGCGTTTTAGAACATTCAATCTTTAAGCGCCTTATAGCTTTGGAACGGTTATCAGAATGCTTAAGAATATTGATACGTAAATTACATAAAATTATAATCTAGCGGTGTTGACTGATCATAAATAACTCTAAGTTATGTAACGTCTTTGACTCTTTCTTCCGTTTTTGATAGAAGAGAGCAAAATCTTCGATCAATTTCTTTTTGGAACGATCATTTTTAAGCTTTAATTACTATTGTTGCAATATGTTTTAAAACAACTTGCATCTTGACCGGTCTTTTCTCATTAACTTTATATAAGCCTCAAACAAGCATATCAAACATCAAGGCGTTTCTAAGCAACGTACTAAGTCACTGCTTGAAAATGTGCAATTCAGTCCCCCTCCCAGTAACCATCAAACTCCAATCAAAGCAATCCTTTTATTTCTTTATGTCTTTAACCCTTTAACCGGCCTAAGAGTGACCAGCATCTAATTTCTCCTTACAATATCACCCTTAAATCAAACATTAAGGTCATGAGAATAGAGGAAATGATCACCAACTAGAGCAGCTCCTGATTATTAAACAAATTCTCTTTATCAGCACCTTGGGAAATGTATAGAGAACAGTATGGAGAATATGGATACTGATGTTAGGGAATAAACGGTTCAGTAGGTCCTACATCTTTGACTATATCTTTTTTTTTCCAAATAATTTAGGTGACTAAGAAGCGGCGAAAGAACGTAAATGTTTATCTTCGGGAGGCTGCTACTTCATTAAACATTTGAATAAAATAAAATAAAAATAAAAGTACGATTTTTAAAATGTCCAGAGCAAACATGTTGCAAACTATCACATGATTGGAGGGGCTTAAAAACAAACCTGCCACTCTGTCTTAAATTCAGCAGCTGCAGCATACAGTAAATTGTTTAACGAGCCTTTTTGAATTATTGATTATCATTAATGTTCATATTTTATCCTTTTTTTCGGAGAATATAACAACTAAGAAATCGAAGATAGCTCAGTTTCTAAGGCTCAAAAAATTCTGAGTCGAAAATGAAGTATTCTGGGCGTAAGTTGGAATTGACACAGATGATATCTCAACATCAAGGCTTTTCTTTGCCTTTCTCCTTCTTCTTTTTTTCTCCCAAACCTTCGCGGAGGTCATTCTGTCCTCTGCAGCTCGTTCAAATTGAGGAACACGAGAGAAAAAAAAGGAGCAAGCTCCATGAATCAGGACAGACAAATGGATGCCTTTCATAAACAGTTGATATTCTCTTGTTATTTTCCTTATGCTTAAAACTTTTATCTTCTTTACACGGAAACGGGCGACCTTTTCTTTTTTCATCGTCATATATTTTCAGATTCTTTTGAGAAACCATTACATACCATCGGTTCGTTCAGGGAAAAAACTAAACAACGTGTTTTAGAAACTATTTTTTTTTTAAACAAATGTTTACATATGATATTTTAAGAGGCTCGACGTGCTTTTCGCATTTTGCACAAATTAATAACGATGTGAAATTCCAGTCTAGGGAAAATTATTTTTGAGAATAGTTCGCTCCGAGTGAAATAAAGTTTATTTCCTCTTTCCATCAATTCTAAAATAGCTAAATCACTCAATTAATTTTTATTCTAACCATCTGAGTAACAAAGGCGTACTGATCAATTTAAAATAAAGTTTTCCATTTTCTTTTTTAATAGTATTCTATAAATCGAATTTTTACACGACGACTGCTCAGGTAGACAGCTCACCGCAAACAAAAAACTACCGTGATCAAACAGACGCTTTAGAGATTATTTCTGTCATTTCTTTCTGTCTCTTTTTTTCCAGGGGAGTTATCACAGATACCTTCGACAGTTACAAGCAAAGCTTTAAGCTTAAGTGTTGTTACTAAATACAGAGCGTCGACTTATTTGCAAGGACCATTTGATAGAAGCTTCACAAACGATGCACTCCAGTTTACCGTTGAAAACCTTGCCACTGCCGAATGTCTCGCACCATCTTGGTAAGTACGGCCTGAAACTGGTGGCTGCGCCAAATGATTAAGCAAGGATTTAAAGATGAGCTCAGGAACAAAATGGTGAATCCCCAATCCATTCTGCTCTCGTCTGCGCGTCCCATGAAATCCAACACAATATCCGGGAAGAAACAAATCAGCGAGGAAGCTACTAAAATGGCCGAGGTTTTTACGGATTCGCTCTCATATTCGAGACTAGCAGTTTGCAACTGTGTCGTGGGTGAACCTTCCAATGCAACTATCTTCGCCCTATGCCTTTTAACCAAACAAAAGAGGCCGACATAGCCAGCAATCCACGCTAATGTCATTGCCAAATGAAAATACGCCGCGACAAGTTTGCCAGTATCAGTTGCGAAAAACACACCCACTAGAACCGACATTACCCAAACCAGGGTGACTGCGATTACAACTTGCTGCCTCGACAGAAAAAGATACGAAAAAGGGCGGGAAAGCGCTCTCATTCGGTGGATTGTCATGGCCAGTAGATTCATGGTGGAAGCGTGTAGAGTGATAACAGCGACCATCGTAAAAGTCTTCATAAACGTTAGGCTTGTCTCACCAAGGTTTAGAACAGCGTACACATATATCGGTTGCGAAATTGCACAGTTCATGAAGTCTGCTACACAAAGGCTCAAGATCAGAAGATTTAGCCCTTTCTGCAGGTTTCGATTGTTAACGATGACAAAAGCAACCACTAAATTCATGAAACTTCCAAATGCACTGAGTAAGGAATTGACAACCGCGAGTACAATAAGTTTTGCTTCCATCATCTTTCAAAGAAAGGGTAAAAAGTCCTCTTTGCCCAAAAATAATGTGGTTAAATGTTGATAACATGAGTTGTTGTCGTCTTGAAGCCACTGGAGAGGCATACAAGTCATTATCACGGTTATAACTGTCAGTACAGAAAATTCATAATTGCAGTTTTTATAATTATTTCATTAGTCATAGAATGAAACGGATATTTAAATTCGGTTTTTATTATTCACCTGAACATAAGCATGCTTACTTTTCTTTGCAGTTGGACTATCTCTCATTGAATAAGGTAAGACGAAAAATTTACGATACCGATCTTCAAATTAGAATTTGACACTAGGTAAATTTTTGTAATCACAGGGGTAGGGATGTAATTTGTTAGTTGATTTATTTTTGACTCAGTTCCTTGGGGATGGCGTGCATAGATGCAATGTTGTTGTCATGTATGCGATCTCCGAGTGACACACTGTCACCAGTTAAACAAATATGAATTATCGCACGTCGTTTTTGCTAGTCAGCTAAATTCAAATTAGCTCGAAAATTTCGCAGCTGCATTTGAGCACAGAAAAAATGTATTTGTTAAAGTCTTATCTGCTTCTGAGTTAAGTCTACACGCTCTTCAGAACACGATAATACGTTCTGTTCCTTCTTGTCAAGATATGTAAGCAGTCTTTTGATTAACCGCGCATTAAAAAAATGGCCTTTTTTCGGTAAGACAAAAGAAAAATGATTGACAGATTTAAATCTTTGGTGCTTTTTTTTTTAAATGTTCGAAATTGGTGTACTACAAAGAGGCAGACGGCAAAAAAAATTGCTTTTAGTGAAGTAAATTACACGTTTGACGAACAGCTAAGTGGTTCATTTTCGACTCTAAAGTATTGCGAAGGCAAATTAATTAATTGCCGTCGCAAAAATGTTCATTACGCTTTTTGCAAAATTGCCTGCTTGTTTTTAGCAAAATTCTAACTAAGAAGTTAAGGGGTACAAGGTGATCTTTTTGCCTTAACTTCTTTAAATCCATTTTTCTTTGTACCCCTGTCTATTCATGTTTCTACTGATCAGAAGACTGAAACATCCTGAATCGCTGCGTTTCCTGGCAACTCCACCAGGTGAAAGGGCTTCACCTGCATTCAAACGCGTCAATTCCCAGTCCCCATCTGCTTGTTATTCGAAGAACGGTGGAAGACTGCATCGAGATAAGAAAACATTTCGAGAAACACTCGCTAGTGAAAAAAAAAACCAAAATAATCAAATCAGATGAATCCCGAGGAGCCAAAGAACATCCAGAGAAAAAACGTGCAACCTCTTTTTGATGACGAGTAATAGACCACTCTTCGATTAGGTGTCGCAAAACCAAAACCAAAGTTGTCACAAATACCAACCCGAAGAACGGAAAAAAACATTAAGAGCCAAGAAGAAAAACCGACTAAACTTCCTAAAGCGCGGGAAAACGCGAGTGTTTAAGGCGTGATCGGTTTGGCTTTGCATTTGATTGGTTGAGAGAGAGGCGTAATCACATGGCGAAGTAAACCAAAACCAATATAATTTTCCGATTATTTCCTACACTCAATTGCAAATTTCTCTTAAGTCAGGACTTGATTATTTTACCTTAGTCTGGTCACTATTGTGGCTCAGGATTTCCTGACTAATCACAGAACGAAACCAAATGCAACTCAAGACTTATTTACTTAGAGCACCCCTGGTATTCCTGTGGAAAGGAAGGTGAAACGGGCTTTCACACCTGAGAATGTCTCAGGAGAGAAGATCACTGTCAGAAAAAAAGCCTCTATTTATTGATGAAGTGATAAGGTGAATCGTACTCGCGTTTCGTATCGTTCTTGTATTGACCAGCACCCCACTTATTACTCTGTAACTTCTCAGTGTATATTCTCTTTCATGTTTTTCTTTTTAATAACCTGTCGCAATTATTTCAAACTGCGCTATATAATCAATCTGAAATCAGACCATCAGAAATGGAATGTGTTTCGGTAAATTCCTAAGTTGGCGCAAAAATTCTTACAGCTGAAATGGAACAAGAATCACATGAAGGGAGCTTGATGAATATCCCTGGAAAGCAAGTTGCGCATCCGAACGTGAGTAAACAATAACCTCACTATGAAGAGGGTGTAATTGTTGTCCACAGCTAATCAAATGGAGGTATTTGAGCTGATAATTTTAATGAATAAATCAGAATACTAGACGAGAGTCATGGTTTACAATAATTTTACTTATAATAACTACTCCTAGAGTAAAACAAGAAATCAATTTAAAAATTTTTAGAGATCCAAATGAATCTTATGACATTAAATATTTACAGTTGTACAACTTCAATTAAATCATTGTACATGTCAAATTATTCTTTATAGCGGAGCTCGCAGAGCTTAGCCCCATAATTATACAAAATAGTAGTAACCCATCAAGCCGAAAAAATTTGGATGTACGACCGTTCCACCGTACGACCGTACAAGGTGCTACTTTTAACATGCGTGGTCAACTGAACCGCGGGCACGCCAACGCCACGGCTTTGTCCAGTAGTCCAGTGGTCAGTGCACTGGGCTCCTGAGTCGGACGATCCGGGTTCCAGTCCTGGCCGGGGCAAGGCGTTGTGCCCTTGAGACGTGCGGGAAAAAAAAAAACGAGCTCCGCTTTTAGGCTTGGCTAAATCTATATATTACAACACAATAGTAATGAAATTCAATCAATTTTCCATTTAGGAAAACAATTAAAAATAGCCTGCAGAACAGGTTGTCGTTTTTTCTTTTTTTTTTGCATTTTATCGGCAAATGGAGGTGGGCAAGAGACTGGAGTGAAGTGCAATTTTTTCATGAAGGGAGTAGTGTGAAAAAAAAATTCCCCCCCCCCCCCTCATTTTTAACTCCCACTTGCCACCATTAAAAAAAACTTTGTGCAGATGTTAAAAAAAGAAAATGAGAATAACTAGTAAGAGAGGAAGAGTGAATTTATTATACATTATTAAGTTTCTGTCCAACTATAATCTTTTAATTCAATCAAGTTATAAAAAAAAACAGTTCCTCGTTTCATTTCAACCAGGGGCAAACTCCTTATCCTAGTTTCATATGAATGCCCGATGGAACCACTGCTATGACAAATCTTTTGCATATTTGGAGGTATTTGTTGAAGATTAAATGCGTTGAAGATTTCTTCAACAATAATTCAGGAAATCCTGAGCCTGTCAAACTTTAAACAGTCCAGCCCCAATGGCAGGGCTTTTGTGCCCAAGCTAAGAACAGAAACAAATCATTAATGTTACATAACGTTTCTATTATTCATACTTTTTTAAATTGTGTTTGTGATATCAAATTCAATGATGGAACAAAACTCTCAAGGACACCAAAATACTCCCGGTAGGAAAGGTTAGAAGAAGGTGCCCTGCTAAAACAGAAAATGATTTTATCTTTTACTTCCAATGGCTGTTTTCAAAATTCTCACTTGCATGTGCTTTACATTTCCTTGTGAATCACTTTAAATGAGAGAATTTGTTTCTGTAGTCTTACATCAAGACTTTACCCTTCCAGGCAACAAGTATATCTTTTCTCTTCACATTTTTTTTTTGGAAGATGTCATGAAATTTTATTGAAGGCTAAAAATTATATCAAAATATGAGCTATTTGTTATGAAACCCATTTTTGTTTGCTATGGGCTCACCAGTCTTGTCCCTCCACTCAATCTTAAAAAACTAGTTTAAAGAAGCACTCACCTGACTTCTTGTAGCGTTGCATGAGAATGGACAGCCTCCATCAGGGAATTAAACACTGTCTCAGACAACACTTTGGGTGAACTCCTTTCTTCACCTGAAAGAAGACATTTAACACAAAAAACATATAGAAGTGAAGTAATATGGTCCGTCTTATATTGTAATCACTTGTGATGTGGGCTGCAAACTGCTTTTGTTCTTCAAGTGATTAGGTCAACTAGTTATGGAACAAACTATGGAGTGCCATTCTCCACTGTGATTGATTTACACTTCATGTTTTAAGATAGTTTCAGACTAGCTGACTGGTTATTTCTCTTTGTTCTATATACCTTACCATTATCCTTAAACAAAGGAAAGCACACACTAGACCAATCTGAATTGATTATAACCTGAAAACATTTAAAGTTAAAATATATCCATTTTGGACATTTTTAAAGTGTAAGGATTTTGACTGAAATTTATCCATTCTGAGTGGATGCCATTCTGAGTGATTCTTCTTAGGATTTTTTTAAAATTTTCAACTTCCCAAAGCCAATCCTTTAAACCACACCCTTTTCCCACCACTAATGTGAAACTGATGGCAAACTTAACCTGGCAAAGCTGTCATTACCATTGCCTTTACTATTCTTGCTTCAAAAAGTCCTGAGTGTATTGAATGTTCTTGAGATTGGAAACTTGATTTGGGAGTGAAAACAGTATAAACAGCTTAAAAGAACTCACAGTGCTTTGATGCAAATATAAATACCAGTATACCTATACCTTGTGGCATTTCTTCTGTCCCAGATACCACAGGACAACCAAGCCGCAGCTCTTTTAGCTTTGGTAGGAGTGAGAGTGCTGGAGCTACCAATCCAAAACCTGCATCAGAGAGCTTGTTGCCATGGAGATCCAAGTGTTCCAAATTTGGAAGATCTTTAAAAGCCGAGATTAGAAATCCCAAACCATGATCTGTGATGCAGTTGTTTGCAAGTGATAACCTTTCCAGATGAGGCACATGAGAGAGTGACTTTGTAAAAGCAATCAAATTACCATCAGTGATCATGTTTGACTGCAGGTTTACCTCTTGGATTGAGACCATTTCAGGTAGGAACCTTGCAAGTACTTGTAGAGCTTGCTTTCCTACTTGACTGTGCTCTATCAGTAGAGACTTCACTGTTTGGACATTCAACAGAAAAAAAACCAGAGCTCTAACTTTGTATGGGGTTGCATTTAAATGATGTAGTGCTGCCACACCTGAGGGCATTTGTGATCCCAGTTTATAGGCCAATTGTCCCTGGTTTGATTCGTATAAGGAGAGAATACAAACTTCAAAGAACAACTGTGCAAGGCTTTCATCTTCTTCAACCTCAGCAGCACCTTCCTGCAAAAGAAGCTCCAGTACAGGTGGAAAGGTATCTCCTAATAGCCCAGGTGTGAAAAGAAAGAGAACAGAATTTAATCCTGAGGACAGGCAGTTCATGATGTAAACACTGACAAAATCAAAGACAGATCTGTCTGTGAAAGCCTGCTTGATCTTGTTGCTCAACCACAGGGCTGCAAGAAATTCTTGATAGGATCTGTGTGAAAACCGACACTTCTCAACGGGTTTAAGCCTTGAAGCTCCCAACTCCTTTGATAGGAAACCAATGTCTAAAACACCTTTGTAGGTGCACTTTCGCTCAAGTTCCTGTACATCAAAAAGTAACTGATCATTCAGCAATCCATTGAGTGAAATCTCCCCCAGTGATAACAGGCTCTGGAATAGATCATCTGGAATATCTTCTAGGGTGGAGATATCACCAGGATCAATGCTGTTCTGACCAGATTGTCTGGCATAATATCTCTTCACAAGCAAAAGAGTGAGTTCAGTGAAAAGAGTTGTCATTGATGAAAGCAGAGCTGCTTGAGGCATCTCCTCCCACATTGCACAGATGAGCATTGCTGTAAGAGGAATTCTGGCAATGTTCTCAGCAACAGGATGCATTTCAAGTTGTGATATCAAACTCTCAGCCATTGGTACATCATCTTGAAAGTACTTGAGAACAAATTCATGAATGTTCTCACTTGTGAAACCAGTGATCTCAATACGAGAATCCATGAACCAGTGTACACGGGCACCTTTACCTGGCCGTGATGTCACAATGACAGTACAATTTCTGAATATCTTGCCCATGATGAGATCTTCGATATCCTTCAGTTGCACAGGATTGACTTCATCATAACCATCTAAAATTAAAAGAACATCTTCTTGGTTGGCAGAGATATACTGGAAGAGATAATCAGCAGAGTAAGGAAAATCTCTTGGAAAGAGAAACTCAAAAAGGTCACTCTTCAGATTTCCTTTCATCTGTTTCAGTTCCATAAAAAGGATAAGCTTGAATTGCTGTAAATTGGGATTTCCACAAGCCCAGTCGTACACTATCAGTGACAAAAACGTACTCTTTCCCACTCCAGCTTGTCCTTCAATAAGGATACGTTTCTGCTTGGTGAAAGGTGAGTGCCGTTGAAAGACCTCAACATACGAGTTCAAGGGCTCTTTCTTAATGGTTCTCCCTTGATGAGTCTCTGTGATCATCTGGAGATTGGTATAGATGTGTTTGATGTGAATATGAAATGACTTATTCCATGCAAGAGGCTGTAGCCATCCAATCACATTCTTGTATAGGTCACATAAAGATTCTTGAAATGTACTCAATGGAGATGAAACTTTTCTTTCACTGGCTTGATCTGCAAACAACATCAAAATCAATTATACATTACACAAACACTATTTTAACTCCAGATGATTGTGTTCTGTCAATATTGTATCAAAAAAGCTACCACTGAATCAGTAAAATCTCAGATGTTCCTATATGCTAATTAAAGTTCAAGATATGAATAAATCCAGGTCGAATTTTTGGACCACAGGCAGAGAAATACCATGAGCCATGCCACCCAAAGTATGAAGAAGGAAAGGTTCTCTATATTCTAAGGAAGCTTACAGAATGCATTTAAATTGTTGATACATTTCCATGGAGATCATGTACAGTATTCTGAAAAAGTGTAATTCATGACGGTGTGAGAATTGAACTGGGGGAAGGGGCGTATTAAAGCAAACTGCGGTTGATATCAATACTTCCTTAAAAGGAGAATCCATCAATTTCATAAGTTTTATAATTTTGTGGTGAATTGAAGCTACATAAATATATCGATCTAAAAACTCCTACCCAATAGGTCATCTCTCAGTTCCAGGCGATTGATTCCACCTAAGATGGCGGCCAGAAATTCCTTGTTCTCCGCATTTAGCAAGTTTCTGTTTTCAAGTTCATCAAACAACTCTAGTGGCCTTTTAAGTCTCTCCAAAACTCCGACAGGAATGTGCTGCTTGCACATAAACTTCAACTCAACGAATTCTCGATCAGTGATTCCATTTGAGATAGACAACAGCTTAACACGAAAGGGATCCATGACTTTCGCTGCTGTTCAGTTTTCCATTTTATCGTCCGTAAATTAAAAGCGTTATGAGGGTAGCATTTCAATCATTATTGTTGTCGCAGCACTAAGAATTAAGAACTTATACAAGCCATTATGTAACTGAATCAGTGTCCTTCTTGTCCGGGAGTGTAATTGTGGAATGCGGAGTAAAAGTAGCTTTTTAAGAGAGACTGGGATAGTTTTCAACAAGTGTCCAAGTGGAGAGGGGTAATGCGGATTGAACGTGACTTCAGAGAAAAAACCTCTCAAATTTAATGCCAGAAATTTTAAGAAATCGTCTCATGGACAAAATATTATTTTATTCAACACAATAAGAAATTATCTGCAAGATATATAAAGTTTCCTTCTACAGTTTCCTTCTTAAAAAAGATTCAATACGTAGTAGAGAGGGGTGATGAGAAAATTAGTTCTAAGTAGATTCCAGTATGGGATAGTAGGTGCGTTTTTAGCCGATTTCAACATGGCGGCTTCGAAGAGAGTGATTCGCTCATTGTGGCACTTTATATCTAGGATAGATCCCTTAAGACATAGACTTTTGTTTATGAATAGAATAAAAAGTACCAGATACTTCAATACAAGTGTTAATCGTCCCTCCAAAGGGGCCAACTTTCCAGTTCGAAGCGATTGTATGTTGCCCGAAAAATGTTTTGAGGGCAAGATTGCATTCGTTACCGGTGGAGGAACAGGTCTTGGGAAGGGAATGGTGAAAATGCTATCTGAACGAGGTGCGACTGTCATCATATCTAGCAGGTGCTAATGCAAGTTTTTCTTTTAGATTAATATTTGTAGAAAAATTCCTTAAGAATCAATAAATGTATTATTTCATGATAATAATGAATGAAAAATTGATTTGAATTAATGTTAACATGTTTTAATTATTGTTATACCTGATATGTAAATGCTGTAGATTTCTGGAGACTTGAGTTAAGTTCTTAATATTGCCTGGTACTCACAAAATTTTTAGGTTAGTTGGAATACTTTGAAATAAAAAATTAATTGCTACCTAGGTAAGTGCAATTATTGATACATGAGTAATTTCCTTATTTTCTGGATTTGCGAACTAGAAAAAGGTCAAAATGTACATTTTACAGGATTAATGAAAAATGGGATTTTATAAAATGACCTGAAATGCTGTCACTTGACAAATTATTACAGAAATTTATAGATACTGTGCTCAGTTCTCTGCAGTAGCAAACAAATTTTTTTGTGGTCATTATTGTGGTGAACTGAGTATTTGATAATGATTATTATGATAGTATGATTAGCAATTGATTGAAACCAGAGAGTAACAGTTCATCCTGTGGTGTTATCATTCAGGTGAGAGTAGACCTGGAAAGGACAGTTGTTGACTCAAGTTTTGACATTGTGAGTGCAAGTGATTCATAGAGCGAAGAGAGGACTCTGATGAATACTTCTACTTAGGTTACTGAAATGTCAATCACTCTCTCAGACAATATTCCTTTCCAGGGCTACTCTCGCATGGATAATCAGAGCACATAATCAGTTAATTACATTGTGTTATATTAAATGAAAAATAGGAAGCTTGAAGTTCTTGAGAAGACAGCTGAGGAAATATCTGGTGAAACTGGAAACAAAGTAAGTCTTAGTAAGAATATAGCCATTTTCACTATTGCATGGTGATAGTAGACTCAGATTGTTGGTTTTCTGATCACTGCTCACTTTAATTGGTCTCAAAAATGTGTTCAATCCGCCTGATGAATCTGTATTTTTACATGCTTTGGTCTGAGTTCTTCCTGGCTACATGTGATGTTACGTTTTTCTGAATAGCTGTTGTTATTGCGTAGATTTTGAGAAACTCTCAATTAAAGAGCACTCCTGAGCAAATATAGTCCATGTGTCAAAACATGTTCAACACAGTCAGTTTTAATATTCTGTGAAGAATCCCCTCAGAATATTTCCACCTCCAACAGCAAATTATCAATTAGATAACCCTTTCACTCTGAGGAATGACCAATGATGAATTTCTCCTTTAAATATTGGTACATTTTCAAGCAGAAAGGTGATGAGAAGAAAGAATCAACCATGGCAAATTGTTTGATTGAATACTTAATTCTCATCACTAAAATTATAAGAAATGTATGGTAGGCAGTGGTGGGGATTGGTTCTTTGATATTGGGAGTGTAAACACTCACTCCCAAAACTGTTCAGAACTAGGTCTGATCACTGTCATGAAATGTTCATTCATGAAACAACTTCCAATCCTTAGGTTTTACCAGTAGCCGCAGATGTGCGTGATCCATCACAAGTGGCAGCTGCCATAGATTTCTGTGAGAACAAGTGTGGTCTCCCTGATATAATCATCAACAATGCAGCAGGGAATTTTGTGTCTCCAACAGAGAGGCTGTCACCAAATGCTTGGAGAACAGTCATTGACATTGTCCTAAATGGCACAGCATATGTAACATTAGACCTAGGAAAGCGTTTGATTAAAGCCCAAAAAGGTATTTTTTTAAAATTGCATTGTTTCTTTACCAGGCTCAGAATGGACTAAATCCATGTTAAGAAGAAAAATATCTTGGAGACAATGTGATAGTTCTTTTACCCCTTTTCTTCCTTGCCCTTCTCCCTTCCATTCTTTTTTCCCATGCCATTTAGGAACATACCCATGAGCCCTACTTTTGAAAACATTTTTGATATCAGTTTTTAAATAAATAAAACCTAAAATCTCCAAATTATACCTATAAGTAGCAATCCGTGAGTGATTTCATGGGGCATGCTTCTATTTTCAGGTGCAAATTTTTTGGCAATCACGACCATCTATGCCAAATCTGGTTCAGGTTTTGTGGTACCATCAGCAGCCTCTAAGGCTGGTGTGGAGACCATGACCAGGTAAGAACATATGACAAAGTAAATTACCCCAAATGGTGGAGCAGTTTTCATTTGATTGTCAATAGCATTGAGGGATTGCATTGGTTCAACTTTAAATCACTTTATGATTGCTTTACAAAACACCCTCTCAACTATAGCCTGCAAGCTTACCCTCAATAAAAGCACTGAAGGATGAGTGTTTTTCCATCAGTGGGAAGATTTGAGATGAGTTAGAGAGAGGTTTTCAAGGGGTCTGGCACTACTGGACCCCTGATGGACCTCTTCCCTGCTTGCATTGCTCAAGGTCTTATAGTTTCCTGCAAGCAAAGAAATACTTGTTCAGAAGTGCTAATAATAAGGGCCCTTATTGTGTAGGCCCATATCTCAACTTATCACAAGCAAAGCTAAAACCTTTGACAACTTGATCTCTTGTGCTTTTCTGTGCCTCAAGCAGTTTGTGTATTTTTACTTGGGTTTTAAATGAATTTTAACCTTTGTTAGATCCCTGGCAGCAGAATGGGGAAGATATGGAATGAGATTCAATGCTATTGCTCCAGGACCCATTGAGACCAAGGTACAAGACCTCTGATTCCCATTAGTAACTAGAAAATGGGGAAGAGAGCTTTTGCCCCTGCCCCAGTATCAGCCCCACCCTATTCTAGTAATAAAGTTTTTGTTCCCCTCTCTTGAAGTACTGTAATCATGATGTCAACTTTCCTTACAATTTTTACACTAAATTTTTCAATAAGCAGTGTTACCGTTGCATTTTTTCAAATCTTTAGTTTCCAAAATCAAATAGTTGTCTCCATTTCTTTCACTTTACAACTTTGTACATTAGTGGGTTAAGAGGGGACATATCTAGTTGAGCTATACCACTGACTTAATGTATAATTATTTTTCATGTTAATAAATATTTTGTCTACTGGGAAAAAAAGTGATACGTTTTTTAAGTGTATCTATGTAATTTCAGGGTGCCTTCAGCCGTCTAGATCCCACAGGAGAATTTACAAAGCATGCTATAGAACGCATTCCAACTGGCAGACTCGGTGAAATCCCAGAACTGGCAAACCTAGCAATGTATCTTGTCAGTGACTACTCCAGTTGGATGACAGGAGAAGTATGCCTCAACTAGTTTATCTTTGTCACTGTTGTTTGTTTATTCTTGGCCTTAACACACACACAGGGTGTCAAGTAACAAATGCTACAGAAAATAGGGAAAATTTCATATAGAAAATTAGAAATTCTCACCCCTAAAAAGGAAAAAAATAGGACGCTTTCTTTGAGTTATATCCTCTTAACAACACCAATGACAACTCTGTTCCACAACCCAATGCTTTCTTTAGTAATAGACAATCATGATGGCATGCATCCTTGATGTACTTTAATTCACATGAATATGGTGATATTTCAAATATTTTTTAAGCAAAAGTGTTACCAAAATATAGAAACTTGACAATTTGCACAAACTTTTTGAGAACTTGCCCTGGAGGATAACACATGAAGTTCTGATTCACCTACTGTTATTCAGGATAAACCTCTGATCACTCTCAATGATTTGCATTTTGTGCAGGTTGTAACATTTGATGGAGGAGAGTATGTCTCTATGGCTGGTGAATTCAATGATTTCAGAAAGGTATGTTTATAACCTTAATCACTACATTTGAATATGTAGTATGATCTCCTGCAGGACAGTAGTCCTTAGGTGAGAGTTTTAACCCTTTAACTCCCAGATCAAATTTTTACTTCTCCTTACTGTCAACCTTACAATTTATATAATATTAGTTCAGAGAATTTAGTGTTAGACCAACTAATTATCCCCAAATTTATATTTTCCTTTATTCTCACCACTGATCTGGTTGATATTGTAACAATATTGTCAGGCAAAATTCTGTCTTGGTCACTCATGGGAGTTATAAGGTTAAGTTCAGTCTGAGTAAACTGATCGGTCAGTTCAGGCATGCTGTTTTTGGCTACAAGACTTTGTGCAAGTTGGTCATGATTGGTCATTTTCAATCTGTCAGTATGTTAGGTTATTCTGTTCTGCTCATATGTGTAAATGTTGTGAAGGAGTCATTTGTATGGTGCTGGTAGTTGTCAACGCTTGCCAAGTCAATAGTATGGTTTATAAGTCAGCAATCATTGGCAGTGTAATTTTTGACATCACATTTTACATTAACTTTACCTATTGATTTTTTGTTGTGCTTGCATTTTAGATTCCAAAGGAACAGTGGGACCAATTGGAAGCAATCATTAGAAAAACAAAGGGTTCTTAATACATTCTCTCAATTGTATATTCAAACTCTCCTAATATGAAGTTAACTTTGCTACTGTTTTTCGTCTAAGGCAAGAAAGATATAAAAATTTCTTCAGTTTCTTTTTATTAAAACAGTTAATATTTGATTGAAGAATAAAAGTTCATGTACTGTCCATTTGTAGTTATTTCAGCATGGTTTGCTTCTGTATCTCTTAATTTTCAAGTCAAAGTAAAGATTTCAAGGATGATCTTAGCTCAAGTATGAAGTTTTGAATGAACTAAAACACAAAGAATTAAAAGAAAAAGGTGTTTTACTGTCTTTTTATTTACATTTACTCTGTAATTAGCACACAAAAAAGACCATATTCCAAAATCTGAGGACACTTCACATTCATTAGCAGGCTAGCAACAAAGTTCAAGAGTAAAAACCACTGAATTCTGATTAAGACTGGTTAGAACTGACACCAGTGATGGGGTTTGCCCTACGCTGTCTTGCTATCTTTTTGGCATCTGCTCTCCACTCCTCTGTAAGGGTACGAGGCCTCTCTGGACCAACTAGTGAAAAACACAAATTACAGGATTATAGTGAGCAAAATTTTAAACACATAGTGGAAGTGCATCTGTCACTAAACAGCAGGAAGTAACAACACCAACACAATTTAGAATGAAGATTTCCTTTGCTTAGGATCAAAGGAGAGATCAAACAGGCAACTCAATTTGCAAATTTGAATGTTTCAAAATTACTTTATACAATTAGGTAGTTTCAGCAAGTTTGCATCGAAACTCATGCCACTGTAGACTGATAAAAAGGAAAAGCCTGAGAACTATAGTGATATGTGGGTAGATCATTCAGATGAGGTATTTCAGATTGGTATCTTCTTATGAAGACATGAACATCATCCCTGAGTATACATGTAGACCTTACTCATTGTGATGCAGACAATTATTATCTTTTTATGTTAAAACAAATAACACTTCTTGGCCTTGCCTAAGTACAAATTCTGTTTTTTTTAAAACAAGGCCAGGAAGGTAAAATTACAGGAACATAAAATATAAAAATTAGGCCCACCATTTACCAAAGAGTTTAATATAAATGAAATGACTATGTCACAACTTTTTCTCGCACTTTTTAACCTTTTCTCTTAAACTGAGGATTGGAAATACACTTCAGATAAAAAAAAAACAGTTTTCCAAGACAAAATATCATTAATTGTGACCAAATGCTATTCATCTCAATGACAAATGAAAATACACAATCAGTATCCCAATAAATTGCTAAGAGTGCACTTACCATATTTTTTTAGAAATGCAAAAAGACCAACTGAAACAGCCATCAAAATAGAGAGCATTCCAATCATCTTCTTTACATAAGGCTCCTCTGTCTTCTCCTCTGCTATAGTTTTAGGAAACTGAGCTTTGTACACTAGAAATGCAAAAGAGCAAGTGGATAAATCTTTGTGAACAGTTACTGCCTTCCTCCTTAATATCACACACTTTCAAAGCAAAAGACTAAGAAAAATCAAATAGTTATTACATGAAATTAAAACTATTCATGTGTATGCAATGAGCCACAGTTTCTGAAAGACTGATTCCAGAGAGATGTTGTTATAGCAGTATAATACTTGAAAATCAAGAGCTTTCAGCTCATGAAACATTTAAATTTTTTACCCTCAAGACAATTAAGACGCAAAATTTTGATTTAACAAACCAAAAAACCTTAAATGCTTAAGATCTCGTATAGTCTACAATTACAGTCTTGAGTAATCTGTGCAAGTGTAATAGTTCAGTTCCTTTCAATCACACCAATATTAAAACTTTGTGTACTTTCACCACAACTAGCCCATATCACTAGTTTGGACCAAGAATATCATTTCAACCTTTCCTCACTCCTACTGTGGTTGTCCCGTCAAACCGTTGCCATATATATATATATCAATGTAGAACGCTCAGTTAAACGACTACAATTACGACTCGAGATTCAACGGCAAAATCACATTCTTGAACCCTTTGGAATTAACTCATATCAAAATACAGTCGCCACTACTGTTTCTCTTTCACTTCATTGCCAGAGAAGATATGCACTTGCTTTCAACTCACTCACGTTAATCTCCAACCTTCAGTGTAACAAGTGAATCAATATGACGTACATGTACAAATTAACTCCTACCGAAAGTAGGCTTACTATGAACTAAAAATGTTAAAAGAACTCGACTGCTGATATTTAAAGTGATCTCAAATTATTCTGAGTGAACATAAAAAAATGTATATCAGTAAACGCGGTTAAATAAAATAACTCACAATCGATTTTCTCCTGTATTGTGAGCTCGGTCCACGGACCCTGTTCCTTGGCTTGCAGCGCGGCTAGTTCAGACCCGTACTCTGGTCTGATCTTTGGAACTGGATAATATTTACGGGCTGCTGACGTCTGGATTGATCTACAGGCAACTCTAGCGTACATTCGAGGTAAAGCACCCATTCTCAATAAGCTTGCCATGATAAGAAAGATCCGTGAATCGAAATCCGGCAAGATGGCGGAATGCTAAACGTTCATCCGTAGCACGCAATGAGATGTGGGTAGTGATAGAAAGGTACGTCATATAAAAACAAACGAACAACGGATTATCATTTTAGGTTCTTTTGGGGTGTATGCAACAGTTTTAGGCCCCTTGCCTTCCCCGTGCGCTTTATCACGCAGTTTTTCCAGAGATGCACGGGCATTCGACCATTTTCCAAACACCACCGCCATTTCGCTAAGAATTACTTCAAGTTTTCATTACCTTCATTTTTTCCATTACCTATATTCCACATTAAAATAAAATTTTGAGTTTCCAAAATCAAAATTTGACAATCAAGACTCTCATATCAGTTTAGATACACTTAGTAAATTTCTTACACGCAGTCATAAAAAACTTAAAATATGAGGGGAAAATACATTAATGTATCACAATGGACACCTCTTGTTCAGTTAATTTAGAAAATGCTCACTTCTATTTTTTGCAGATAATTCAACAGTTTTCATTAGCACAAAATCTTAACATCAGCTTTGCTTGAAGTTTCCTTTTAATTACATAACACATCTCTATTCTTGAGAGTAATTCAGTACAATGGTGAGAAGAAACATGCCAAAATACCACAGGAAAACTAAAAGAAATCTGATGTAAAGCATTGCACTGAAAGTTTGATGAGTAGCAAAGGGTTTTGCAGCAACAAAAGTGGAGGGGTCAAGTTGTGAACATGTTTACAACGAAAAAGTAAAAGTTACTTTGTACTGAATGTTTAAACTTTCTTTACACATTTGTCATACTGAAGACACAAACATTAAAATCAGATTCTGATTCATCTGTGGAGAAAGTAATCTCTAAGAGATGTCATATTGGAAGCCAGTCATGGGTTGGTATATCAAGGTGAAGCTCCATATCTGGTGTGCACCTGGAGAAAAATGAAAATAAATCATTACTTTACAACAGCACCCATGGGTATGGTCAAAGAGACAAAATAAAAATATCAATTAAAGGAAGTTAGTTAGAACCACTTAGACTTTGGATGGCACCTTCATATTTGTTATTGTCATTATGATCATCATCATCATCATCATTATTCTCATAATCATTGTTATTATGCCTAATATAAAAGTCTTTTAGACCAAGCCATTTGGGTATAAAACTGCCTTCAATTTTAAATGATTGAAAGCTCCTGAACAGAATAAAGGGTTAACAAAAGATACTTCACAGAAATTACTAACTTCTCCCGTTTTCCAAACACTTCTGGGAATATCTCAGCTTGTGTGTCTAAGGCTTCACTATCTAAGAGTTTCCTGTTGGGATAGCAAATACATGAAATTCTGTTAGCAAAATGAAATTGCAAGAGATGTCCAGTTCACTTTTCAACACATTATCACCAGAACAGGCTAAGGTCATGTGGAATAGGTTTCCTACCGAATTTCAGCTTCCAACTTTGCATTGTTCATTTCCAGGGATTTTAGCTCATCTTTATGCATTTCAACTTCCTTTAAGATAAAGAACACAAAATCAACATAAGTGGAAGCATTTTAATTAAATTCAGTAAAAATCAAACAAGTAAAGCCATAAGTAAGTTACCTTTTTCATGATCATATTTTGTAAAGCCATTTCTTTAATATCATCTCCCATAGCATTTATTGTATCCTAACATGAAAGAGCATATTAAAGACTGTTACAGGGCTCATATGCTTCTTTCATATGCAAAAGTCTGACAATCAACTATTTTCACTTTGCAGATACATATGTACATGTTGTCAAGGTCTTTCATGACCAATCCATTGCTCCTTAAGCCTTTAAATTTGCCATTGGCTTGAAAAATATGCAAAAACAAAAATCATGATTGAAAAAAAAAACAAAAGCACAATAAAACAATAAAATAAAACTATGATACCCTGCAAACACCATGCAACAAGAGACAACTCTTTACAAAACTTCTACTGTCAGTTTTTTCTGTTGTCACCTACTCTTAACCTACCCCACCACCCCCCAGAGAATCCTCATCACCAGTCTCCTTGATACTTAGCCAGTAATGCTGAACAGTGAATTTCTTGTATAAATGTACCTCTGTTACTTGTGTCGTTATTTCTTGTTGGACAGTTATTCTTTGTTGACTGAATTTATCTCTCTCTGCATCAACCACAACTTGTAATTCTTCTAGTTCCTCCTGGTAAAATGAAATCAAGAAAAAAGTCATGAGAAAAAAAAAACATTTAAAACTCAAAGTGAATGTCACTGTAGTCCATATATCTATTTAAAATAATTATTTTTACCAGCACTTAATACATCAGAATTTCTGTCTTTTGAGTATGATTGTATCACTAACTAGAAACAACATCATTCTTTTCAGTAACCAGGATTCAAATTTAACACCTCACTCCATCATAGCACAAAACCATTACGTCTACCTTCAAATCCTACTAGCAGTTTAGAAGATGTTTGTCAAATGAGCCAGTAACTCAATGGCCTAACTGCAATGAGTGGCTCTAATTCTCTGGGTACACATTTCATAAAAATTATTACTTCTGATATCATCTAATAAAGTATAATAAGATGTCTTAGGTCTCATGAGGAATCATGCTAACCTTAAATGTCGACTCTAAAATTTCCCTTTGTCTTTTCAGTTTGGCTATTTGGAGTGCCTTTGCAGGATATTCTTTATCCTAACATAAGATACACAAAGAAAACAACAAATAAAAAGCATAACCAAGATTTCAATTTTCATAACATTTCACAATACTAGGTTTAACAATATGGGGATTCGATAGGGTAGTGTGATTGTCAAGGTAAAGGTGACCCTGACAAGGACTTCAAACCAACATAACAAAAACATTGTGAGCTAGAGTGTGGTTAAAGTCCCTGGTGCTGTGCATTCCCATCAGGAAGAAGTCCATGAATTTGAACCCTCAACAATTAAGACAACAACTTCACATTGGGAGGAATCTCTTTCATTCTCTCCCCCCCCCCTTCCCTTTTACTCTCATAAGTTTAGTCTGCCTTGTTCACTAAGTAACCATGATTGGAAAATTTAGAAAGCTTTCTGCACTGGATTTTCTTGTAATAAAACATCTTTAAGCCAACTCAATTTTTAACACCTTGGTCCACAAATCCCAGCTTAGATACACACAATTCAAAACCCTGTGGTCTCTGGTACACCCTCCATGTATGAAATACCATTCAGTCTTTCTCTTACATTCTGTTGCAATGCCTCACTTCCTCATATTTTCAACTTACCTTATAGTTTAACAGTATGTTCATTTCTTCCCTCTTTTTTAGCAACTTTTTGTCCATTACATTCAGTTGGTGCTGTAACTCTAATCAGGTAAATGATAAATAAATGAAAGTAAACAATGAAACTCACTTAGCAAGATGAATACAGTAGTGCTGTCCATAGAATGACTTCACCCTCAAGGTAAATTGTGAAGTTCAGGAAAAAAGTTTTAGAGGCTAACTTTTTGGTGAACAAACTTCACTAATTGACAACAATAGCTTATAATTCTCAAGAATAGTTTCACACTCACAACAGAAATGTTTCATAGACCATTGAGGTAGAGAAAGTAATAGTTTTACTCAATGTACCTGCTACTTCTTTGTCAACTAATTCTTTTGCTTCTTCAAGTTTCTTCTTTGTTATAACAAGGTTTTTATCAAATTTCTTATTTAATGTTGACATGGCACCCTGTCAAAGAAATGATACCTTAATCATTCAATTACAAATCAAATGCTGAAAAAAAGGAAAAGACTTGTTCCATAGCTACAGAACAACCTAAGCAAACAGAGTTTTCTTTAGGTTTTAAGTATGTTGGTGTTGCTGTTAAATTAACAATTGGTTATGTACATCAGCATGCGTTCATCGAGATATGAAGCACGCAGGAAATTTAGAGAGCACGAAAGATGCATAAGAGTTGCTTGAGGCATAGCCAAGAGCAACTCTAGCTTCTTGAGTGCTCTCCAAACTTCCCAAGTGCTTCATATCTCGATGAACACACAGCTGGTGTATGAACCAATTGTTTTATAACATTTTCAACCTAATGGAAAATTTTTTTTTAGGAATATGAAGCACACTCACACAATTGAATTTGATTAAACAAATTTACTAGGTATGTTATAAAATACTTTGTTGGGTAAGTTTTACATTTAATACATCACGCTTTCCAGATACTCCTTCACTTTTTCATCTCCAAGATCTTGATCATGAGTAATTCTCCTTACTCTCCACCATACAATTCTTGTAATGTTGGTTTGGAGAATTGGGTATTGGTTCAACTACTGTAATAATCCTATAATTGATATTTTTCTTTATTCTCATTACTTGTCTGCTTGATAGAGAGACACTTTGTCCCAGTGATCTCGGTCACTCATGGAAGTTCAAATGTTAAGCCAATAGTTATACTAGCATTAAATACAACATGTTATATGGTAAAGATTACTATCAACTGGCTTTTACATACAATCTTCCTAGCCAAAGCCTGACTAAAACATTTCAAATCAAATTTCAGGTAAATGTAACTTACCCTGAATCTTTCATATTTCCTAAGTAAAGACTTCACATCTCCATGCTAAAAAAATTAAATAACAGTAGGTTATACATTAAAAGCTCTGGTTGAGATTAAACCTTTTGATGGGCAAAAATGATTGTCTATACTATCAGGAGTAATGACAAAAGTAGCAAAACAAGAATGTAAGAAGATGCAGTTGCAATTTAACTCACAATCCTGTTCTCTGATGATTCAATCTCATCAGTGATCTTCATGTTTTCAATAAGTCTGGTAAAACAGTTAAGGAGGTCACTCACATGTTCATACAATACAAGAAGGGGGTCCTATACAAGAGCACAAGATAGTTACCTCAGCTGGTACTTTTATAGACCAGTACCTTTCAATCTGGAGTTGAGCAGATCAACAGAAAGGCCACCATGTTTCCCCGTCATACCCCTGGTGTTCATATACCTGCAGTAATGTTCAACCCTTTGACCCCTGAGAGTGACTAGCATTTAATTTCTCCTTACAATATTGACCTCTGAGTCCCAAATTACAGTCACAAAAAGAAAGGAAATGATCACCAACTAAATAAGCTCATTACTTTTATATACAAACCAAATTTCTATGTCAGCACCTCAGAAAAAAAGAGAAAAATATGGAGAATATGCATGTTAGGGCATAAAGGATTAGTTCTCTCCAATGACAAGACTCCACCACTGCTTGTTACTTGCATATGAAGATATAAATACCCCTTCAAAATAAGGGCACACAAGATACTCAGAGAGACAGATGATACTAACAAATAAAGTTTTACCAAAACAAAATATCAAAATCCTCAAAAGATACAGGTCTTTCTTTCTGTTTTCATACTCAGCTATTGATTTCTGTCTTGTTTTAATTTGAATCTGGAGAAATAATAGTGCACTCTTTAGTAACCTTTCGCTGAGATATTAGCCAGAGGTATGTCTTTAACCTGCCTACTGTAATCTGTAAAGTTTGTTTGAAAGTTTGCAAGTACCATTAAATCTAATATTTGTGAATAAAGAAAGACTGTGTGTCTCTCAAAGCACAACATAAGAATCACACTAGATCTAGATTACCTTTATTAAACCACACACCATTGAGAAATAAATATTATTATACATGAAGTCTTTATTTTTATATATTTATTTGTCTTTCTTGCAATCTGTTTGCTCTGGAATTATTTGAGTTGAGTCAATAAATTTGAGGATATAAACATGATGGAAAACAGAGTGCAAGAGAAATAAGGGCAAACAAAGGGAGATACTATAACTAGTGAAAAATCTCGAAAAAAGAAAAAAACTAAGACTCCTGTGTTCTACCCCACTCTTTTTCACCCTGTGTGGAAATATGCAAAGAGGATGAAATTTCTTTTTATTTTATTTATGTTGTTGAATTAATAGTAAATTGTGCTATAATAATAACAACTAGAGCAAAACAAGTGCAAACGTGTTTCCTATCCTACCTTCACCTACTCTTTATGGAAATATGCTGATGATGATGATCAAATGTTCTTAACTTTGTTATTGTTGTTGTTGTTTTTGTTGTTGTTTGACTTTCTTACAGCTAAGCATCAACTTTACATGCACTGAAACTGTCACTCTTAGCCCTAGAGTACTGTTCAAGCTTAGTACATTTTATAACCAGGTCATTGCACCTATCAGGAAATACCTTTAATATAGACAACACATTTTCCTTCTTCTTCTCCTCAGCATCGTCAACAACTGGGGGTTTTTTCGTCCATGGGTGATTGCAAACCGTCGAACAAGCCGTACTCGTAGCTGCACTAAATGGCCGTGGTCCTATTTTTATTGTTTTTTCCCGAGAAAATCCAGGAGCACTTCCAAGAGATACCACAGTCTGCCCTGACAAAGGACGACTGGCACTTTTTCTCCTGGTCTGTCCTTCGTTCTGAAATCTTGACTGAGTAGTGCGTTGCCATGGTTTATAATCACCAAAATTGACGGCAATTTTTCCTTCCAAAGTTTTAAGAAGGGGGTCGTTCTTGAACTGGTCCTTCGTGTCGAGTCTCTGAGCTGCTTGCTTACCCCATCCTCTGGAAAGCGTGGTTTGCCCGCTCTTTTGAGAATCGCTTCGAGTTGTACGATGTGTCCTGAATCCTTCCGCGGTCGCCATGTTTATAGTGTCTACCGACATGCACCAGGAAAAAGATAATTGAAGATTGTTACACAACATACTTCATATAACCATCCAAAATGGAGGAAGGTGTCGTGATATTAGTTTTCCTGTTTGGCTTGCAAATTGCTTCTGGAAAACCGCCGCACATAGTGTTCATTCTGGCCGATGATTATGGCTTTAATGATATCGGTTACCACAATCCACGCATAAAAACTCCCTTTCTCGACAGTTTGGCAGCCAATGGAGTGCGCTTGGAGAACTATTACGTGCAACCAATTTGTACGCCAACTCGAAGTCAGCTCTTTTCCGGCAGGTATCAAATTCACACTGGCCTACAACACGGAATAATCTGGCCTTCTCAGGCGAATGCATTGCCTAAAAATGACACTACGATCGCGAGTAAGCTGAAAGAGAGTGGCTACAGTACACACATGATCGGAAAATGGCATATTGGATTCTACAAGAGAGAGTTCATTCCAACTCAGAGAGGTTTCGATTCTTTTTTCGGTTACTTGACAGGTGGAGAAGATTACTATACTCATAAGAATGGCCTTGGATATCCATCAAAAGGATACGGTGGTCTGAACGGGTACGACATGCGGAGAAATGAAGAAGTTGCTGCTGATGTCGCTGGGAACTATTCAACATTCTTGTTCACAAATGAAGCAGTTGAGATAATTTCTTCTCACGATCCAGAAACACCTTTGTTCCTTTTCGTCGCATATCAAGCTGTTCACTCACCCTTACAGGTACCTGAACAGTACACAGAGATATACAAAGATATAAAAAACCCTGCTCGCCGCACTTATGCAGGCATGGTTACCTGTATGGATGAAGGGATTGGCAACATAACAGTGGCCCTACAGAAACATGGCTTGTGGGATGACACCGTCCTTTTCTTCAGTACAGACAATGGTGGACAGATATATGCAGCCGGTAACAACTATCCTCTGCGAGGATGGAAAGGGTCGCTATGGGAGGGCGGGATGAGGGGTATAGGTCTTGTGCACAGCAAACTGTTAGCAAAACCTGGACAGATAAATTCAGAACTGATCCATGTCACTGACTGGTTTCCAACAATTGTCCATCTATCAGGAGGTTCTGTTGAGGATCTACCTCTTGACGGTTACAATGTGTGGGAAACATTGAGTAATAGAGAACCTTCACCGAGGAAGGAAATCTTGCACAATATCGACCCCATTGATGCTTACTGGGACTCTCACTTTGAGCCATATAAACACTGTCGACAAGCTGCCATACGAGTTGGTGATTGGAAGCTTTTAACAGGATGTCCAGGGAATGGAAGTTGGCTTCCACCACCAGAGAGTTCTTATCCCATCGAGTATGCACCAAATTATTTTGATAACATAAACAGTACCTTTCTTTTCAATATAAGAGAGGATCCAGAAGAAAGAAATGAACTGTCAAAGGTATATCCAGAGATGGTGAATAATTTGATGCGCAGGCTTAAGGAATACAACGCCACAGCTGTACCAGTGCGTTACCCAAAACCAGATCCGGCATCATTACCAGAGTTGCATGGTAATGTATGGGCTCCCTGGGAGCTGTAAAAAGACAAATTTTCCCAAGGCTCAGCTAGGTTTAAATGTGTTTTAAACACTGACTTCTTGCCTCATCACTTTTACTTAAGTCACTAGTATTAGAGCAATTTTCATTTGAAAGTGGAAAGTAATCACAGATTGGGTCAGTTTTTCGTCACTTTGCTATACCAGTCTTTCAATCAATCAAATTCATAAATGAAGACAGTTGTGATTGGTTACTTGTGCATTTTTCTGTGCACCAGGTAATTTATTTGTTTTACTCTGAATTCTCATTGGTAATGGAATTTTTGTTTCTAAATGTTGTTGCTTTTATATGCTAATTTTTATGGTAAAAAAATAGTTTAAATTAGTATTATAAAATAAGTCTTACCTTCAAGTTATTTTTTTTGTTACTAGCTGAATTTAGGTCATAGAAAGAACTACTTTTTTGTTCACTTTCCAAGTCACCATAGGCATGGCAGTATAATCCAAGTTTAAAAGCCTTATGAGAGGTTTTGTAACGAATAATAAGAATTTTTTAAATAACATTAGTGCTAATGAATCACCTAAGGTGTATGATGTAATTATTTAGAGGTGATATTTTAAATAAGTGAAAAATAAACTTTTAACTTCATATGAACTTATAGGTGTGATAAAGATGGTTTTTAACTTTCAAATTACACTTACAACTCCTCACCCACCTTTGGAAGACCATAGGTAACCCAAGCTCAAGATACTTTTTGTACAAAAACAAAAGTTGTGTAAGTTTTTATGAAGGAAGAAACAGGGTATGAAGGGTAGTGGCATTTCTGTTTGAGAAAACCAATCTTTTAGAAAAAGGAGAAACGTTTCGTCTCATAAATCAATCAATTGCCGTCGGAAATAATCACGGAAATTGTTAATTTTCTCATTCTTTTCAAGAGGGGTGTTTTAGGCATTCCCTCAGAGAGTACGAGAAGACGCCTGTCTGCGATCCTTTACTCGACCCAGTTTCCCAAGATTTTATAATCCTCGATGCATGTTGGGAAATGCTAATTTGTGTTTTGTGACCGTCCGACCTCCTGTAAGTGTTCTGTGTACTTTGCCAATATGTTAGTAAAATCATGGCGAAGCTCATAACGATTCGGCTGCAGTATGGGCACTTACGTTCAGCTTAAGCAGGAGGACTACTCTGAGGAGGATAGTGATGTAGGGATGATGTCCACTGTAATTTCGTCGGGCAAGGCTTCCTCGCTATCGGTCGAGGAAGTTTTAAAACAATTTCGGAGTGATCCGTTACTTGGTTTGAACAACGATGAAGTTGAGAGAAGGAGAAAGCTTCACGGGTTAAATGAATTCGATGCGGTTGAGGATACCCCGCTTTGGAGGAAGTACATAGACCAGGTATGGAGTTTGCTCTACATGTTAGACAGATGATTTACTAACCATGTCGCCACTACAGAAATATTTACCCAAAAAACCTTGAAATGAAACAGCGAATAAAGTAGAAGTTACAAGCTATCGGTATAAATTCGAGGAGATTTCCTGTATTTATGGTTTAAAATTAGCATTTCTGTATGTGTGGCTTTTCAAATCGAAGTTATGGAGAATAAGTTGTAGAATTTGCAATTCAGTGTGGTGTGAATTTTCGTGGTGACATTAAATTATGTAAGCTGAACATGCATTTTAACCTGTTAGAAGTTAGTTTTATTTTACAAAAGTTTACTGTTATTTACTCGGTGAGGTTTCATTGTTAAGTCACATAACGAGTTTCTATTCCCATATGCTGGTACTGTTTGAATCTAGTATAATAAATTTACTTGAAAGCATTCGTGTTTGTTTAGCCAGGTTTATGCAACTGAGCTTTCTTCTGGGTAATATTCATGATCATGAGTGGCAGTTCTAATAATGTTGGAGCCTGAAGATGATTACAAGAACAAATCCGCGCTAGAAAAACTTTTTTCGAATGATAATTGTACCGTTTGGGCTATTGATAACGTGTTTACGATTTACACGTACAAGTACGTTTGCATACTGATTTTAAAAAATCTCAATTAACGAAACTTTTCTCAAGCACGGTTCCCAATATAATAACACTAGTAATTTTCTTGCTAATATTCTAAACCACAGCATGGAAATTCTGGGAATTAAAATTTGCACTTCAGTTGGAAAAAGCTATTGTCTAAAGGGCTTTCATTTTAAAGCTATTTGTATGGCATTATGTCAATTTTTTTATTGTCCAATGAACGATTTCATTCTGTTCATGATGCATCTAAGAAAAATATAAAGAAACGATAAAATATCTTTTTTTATCTATCTGATTATTTAATGGAATGAATTCTAACCCAGCCTTTCCATAGCTCCCAGTGTCAATTTTAACATGATGTTTTAAAAAATGCCAAATTGGTAGAGGTGAAGCCATGGTTACTGTAGAAATCTTCCAAACCTGATTGTAAAAGTTTTTCTTGATTAGCTCTGTAGAATGTCTCTTTCTATTACTCAAAAATGACTCTTCATTCATCATAATTTTACTGTTGGTATGGAAAGCTTCTTAAGCATTCAGCTGTATGCTGTGTCATCTTTGAAATTGGAAAAAGCACACAGTCCAACTATTATGTTAATTAACATGTCAGAGTACATGAGAATCAGCTGTGGCTTTGTTTATTTTTTTTTACTTGGTATTCCTTTTTTGAGTGATATACAAACTGGTGATGTGTGAAAAAATAATAGTTTTTATGTAAACTCCAAAGTGCTTTACAATATCTTGTTGTGGTATACTGAAAGTTAAAAGCATCACTTACAGGTCTTTGAATTAGAAAATCTCTCACTCAGAGATAATTACAAATTTCGAAGAAAATAATTAAAACTTGGTCTCTTGGTACTAGTGCTTTTTCATAAGGAATAACAAAAATTTTTTGCTTATTTTGAGGAGTGTCTTTTTTATTCACTGGTGTGAAAAATGGTTAGATATTAGCTGTTTTTGAACCTTGAGGAAGCCCAACATTTAGCACTAGAGTTAGTTCGATACAGGCAGAGAGAGAATTGAATTTCATTATGAAATGAGAATTGTTATATAACTAAGGATCTTATTGTTTTGAGAAATAATGGTTTGGTTAAAAGGAAATTTTCTTTTTTTGTCACTGCCAATCTCTAATATGATCAAATTTTTTATTTCAGTTCAAAGAGCCCATGATAATATTGCTTCTAGCATCAGGGCTGGTTAGTGTAATAATGGGACAATATGATGATGCTGTCAGTATAACAGTGGTAAGAAAGTTTGATTATTAATATTATGTATTCATAATAGTGGTGTTTCACATGAGCAGAACCCCCCCGCCAGATATCCATTTAAAGAGGTGTTGTTGTGTGGAAGGTTAAAACTCTGTATATTAAGCAGACCTCATGTTGACTGCACAGCTTGCATTGAGCAGATTCTGGTCCTTGTCTTACACGTTATTTTGAGGACAATGACACCAAGATTAAGTGCTCTAATTACTTACAACATTTCTTAAGCAAAAATTTTGGTGTACTTGTATTAATGTGATGTTTTGATAAGATTACAATGATCGTTGGAAATGTCTTCTAAAAAGCGTATGTCTCTTATCCCCACAAGGTCATAAGGAAATATTAATTGATTTTGTTATCTACAGATATCATGTGTTCAAGCATCAAGTGAATAATTTGTATATTTTTTTTATTTGATATGCATCAAACTTTTGTTATTTCTCAGGCCATAATCATAGTTGTGACAGTAGCTTTTGTCCAGGTATGTTCAAAGCAAAATTGTTTCAATTTGAGAATTAGCCAGTGTAGCTGGTAGTTTTGAATGCACAAAAGGGATGAGGCCAAGCTGAGAGAGGCTAGGGGTGAAAGATTATTTTCTTTCCACTTCAAGCTTCAGCATTCATTGATTTGTGCAACAAAACAGTTAAGCACACAAAAGGGGGGATAGGGGTGGGACAGGGTAGGAGAGGGGTGGGAAGGGAGAAGGAGAGAGAAACTCTGAAAAGAACCAGCATCCCAAAAACAGGGGAGTAGCATTTCTCATAGTTGCCTCATACAGCTGAAACTATGGGACGTCATGGTAAACTGTACTATGATTCTTGTGGGCTGACCTTACTTTTAACTTTGCTTTGTTTACCTCACCCAGTTATCCTTTCTCCAGTCAAATCATGTCAGTCATGTTAAGCTATTGGGATGACTGTGTACTTTGAATGAATTAAGAAAGTTAGACAATCAGGTTACTAATGCTACATGTAAGAAGGAGTATTAAGATACAAGTATTATTTGATAATTGAAGTTAACACGATTGCCTTCCTGTTTCAGGAATACAGGTCTGATAAGTCAGTGGAAGCTATCAAGAAACTGGTTCCTCCAGGGTGTCACTGGTAAAAAATGTATTTTTTTTGTCTCAAATATTGACGGATGTAACCATGAAATACGTTATTAATACATAACCTGTTAATAATGTTTAGGGATGTTAGGAGGTCATCTGCAGAGAAAGTAGGGGTTTTTTTTGTCATCTAGAAAAGAGAATTCCATAATTTTTCCCTATAGAGCTTTATAGCTCACATGTACCGTAATTGGTTTAAGCTCTGTGTGGGTTAGAACCTTTTTAACAGTTGTTAAAACTGCAATGAACATCACCTATGAAGATCATCCCATTAGTGTTTGATTTTCTGTAGAAAATAAAATTATCATGCATCATTCATTTGGTATACATTAATTCTATATAACTTACTTTTCAATCAATTTTCTTTATTCTTTTTAACACAGCATCAGGGAAGGAAAAGTAGCAGACTTTCTAGCTCGAAGTTTGGTCCCAGGGGATCTAGTTACCATATCAGTAGGAGATAGAGTTCCAGCAGATTTAAGGCTTGTAGAGGTATGTTGCCTTTGTTATAAAGAGGTTATTCATGACATTAATTAAAGATGCTGTTTAGCATTTGTTGAACTTCAGCCATTTATACAGTTAACTCAGTCTTTAACTCCCATGAGTGGCCAAGACAGATTTTTTTTCCTTGCAATATCAAGTGGAACAGTCAGGAGAATGAAGGAAAATATCAATGAAGGGATTTTATCAGCTGATCCAAAAGCAAATTCTCCAAACTCACTTTTTAGCATAGTAGTTTAACCCAGCCTTTAACTCCCAAGATGTGATTAATTCTCTCCTCAAGCTGCAACACATACACATTTCCTTGTAAGTTACTTACTAGACTTTGGTGTTAGATCAAGAGAAAAATTTTTAACAAATAAGTTTGAGTATTGTCATGAACTGTTTGCCAGATAAGGTATGGACAGTGTAGGGAGAAGTTACGTGTTAATCATCTCTGGGAAGTAAAGGGTTACTGGTGAAGGGAAATATTTTAATTTAATGCTTTTGAGCTAGACATTTTTTGCTGTTTTACCAGAGTGCCAATTTAAGTTTTGCACAAAATGTGGATAAGATAAGGGGTCATTTTTCTCATTTGCTGAACTTGCTGTAAATAGCATTCTTTAAATCATCAGTTAAATCATCAGTACTGGATTAATTATCACAATAAAAAATTAGGTATCTGTGATATGTTATTTAAAAATAGCCAATATTATTGACAATCACATAACTGTTCACAGTGGTAAAAGAGTCCAACTGGTTTTCAGTGTTTAAAGAAGCATGATGCATTTAAGCATTAATGACATTGATTTTTGTACTTTTATTTTCAGGCTATAGATTTAAAAATAGATGAATCAAGTTTTACTGGGGAAACTGAACCAGCATGTAAAACATCTGAGGAAGTTCCCCCTTCCAAATCCAGTGGAGGTGTCTCTGAAAGAAGAAATATTGCTTTTATGGGTACTCTAGTTCGCTGTGGACGGGGCAAGGTGTGTATTTAGTTGCAATTGAACATTGCTGGCTCTATTTTCTTGAGACTGCAAAATAAACTCACAGGAAATCAACCTGGAAATAAACAGTTGTTTGGCCGATCAAAATGAAAAGTAGGAGTTTTTTACTTTGAGGAGACGCACTTTATTCTAATCATGAACAGTGCCTTTTGTCGCGATGTATTGGATAATTTTTGATATCTAGTTATCATTTGCTGACCAGAGGCAATCATCTATTCTTTTCCCCTTAGGGCATTGTCACGGGGACTGGAGAAAATTCAGAGTTTGGTGAAGTGTTTAAAATGATGAAAGCAGAGGAGGTTAGTAACAAAAATAGAGTCAAAAAGAGTTGATGAAATATTGGTAAATTAAGATTCATTGTGTTGTGTCTTAATCTTTTTCACAGTTTAAAGATGCTAGGTGTATACTGTAAAGAAATTAAAGTGGGTAATTCACTTTAATTTTCTTCTTTTCAGCCACCAAAGACCCCTCTTCAAAAAAGCATGGATATCTTAGGGAAACAGTTATCTTTTTACTCTATTTGTATCATAGGTGAGTGTGTTCCTCTTGAGTTCTTCATGATTATGCTTAAAGATTAAAAATGTTTACCTTTAGCAATGTATTTTGAACTGTTTCGGTCAGATTCTCACTTAAGCATCAAAGCTCAAGACCTATCTTTTTAGTCGAGCTTCCAATTATTATTTCCTGGTTAATCTAGTACATATTGTAAAGTGCTCCGAACTCTAGAGTGAGCGCTATAGAAATCCTATATATTGTTATTATATTATTATTTGCAGTTTCATATACCAACTAATGTGTTTTTGTCTTGTTTCCAAAGCTCTTATTATTCTTTTGGGGTGGCTGCAACACAGAGCCATTTTAGAGATGTTTACTATTGGTGTCAGGTCAGTTCTGATTGCTTTTGTTGGTGCAAAAATTTATTGGAAAAACATTTCTCTTTCCGTTCAAGATTGGCAAAGTTTTGTGCATTATATGGTATAGACTTCCATCCCATCTACTCTTTACACATTTTGTATAAAAATTGGTGGCTGCTTGATCAGTCAGCATGATTTACTTGAAATTATTACTTCTGATCAACAAAAAGTTTTGAGGTTCCCTGATAGATATTAATCATCTATTTTAACAAACCTGAGATCAGCTCTTTTGAACCCACTGAGAAAGCTTTCAAAAAATCTTGCCGATCTCCTTCCCTTGTGATACTTGCTTTGTCATTTTCCCATCAAATTTCTTGCTGTCAACCATTTTCTCCTGAAGTTTGTTTCCTACACAATCATGCACTTCTTGTTCAAAATGAAATATCTAGTAATCGAATTTAAACTTAAAGTTGATAATAAATAAGTGCTTTGCCTACTTGATGACAGAAATAATTATAAACCCTCATTTAAAATAAAACAAGCTGATAGTGATAATGATAATTATTCTTGATTACATTATTTCAATTTTTTCTTTTTACCACAGCTTGGCTGTAGCTGCCATCCCAGAAGGTCTCCCCATTGTAGTAACTGTTACTCTTGCTCTTGGTGTGATGAGAATGGCAAGAAGAAATGCCATTGTAAAAAAGCTACCAATTGTGGAGACTCTTGGATGTGCTAGTGTTATTTGCTCTGACAAGACCGGTACTCTGACCAAGAATGAGATGACAGTAACACAGATATTTACTGCCGATGGACACTATGCAGAGGTTAGCTTGGTTACATTAAGGGGCATTTAGATGAGACAAATGCATTTTAGAGGAAATAGTGTTGGCTATATACATTAAATAAGGAAATGTGTAAAATACTCCCTTGAAATAAAACTTGTTTCTGCTGATTTACCTTAAACTGTCAAAAATTTCATTGGGAAGTGTCCCTGGTCAAGAATGGGCATGTTTTAAAGTCTTGCACAGCTTCATTATAATAAAATTTTTGAGAAGGATTACTAAGTTGATGGAAATTTACCCACTTGAGATGAAATTTATTCTTTTCAGGTATTTGCAGACTCACATTTACAAATACTCCTCAGTTGCTTTGATTTCCCAGTTAGTTAGATATCATAATGATTGTACTGTTGCAGTATTACAGAAAAGTTTTCCATTTAAACCTCCTTTCATCCTAATCTTTCTTCAACTTTAATTTCATTACTACTTTGTTGTTAATGTTACTGGAATGATCTTCGAGCTCCTTCTATACTTCTGTGAAATTATGGTGGGACAAAGTACGGATCTTTGCACTTCCCTAGAGAGATCACTAGGAGATTTTGCATAAAATCTTTATTTGTCTTCTCTACAGGTGTCTGGAGTAGGATACAATGGGTGTGGTCATGTAAGCATTTCAGGCCATAATCTGACACCAAACACCAACTTATCCGTTACAAAAGTAGTCGAGGTAAGAACTGATTAGTCACTGTAACCTGTTCCAGGCTCTCAGCTAGGGGAGATGGGTGAAAAATGGATGTTCAAGCAATAGTTTTCAATAGATGGCTGGGAACACTGAGAAAAATGTTACATTATAATTAACTTGATTAAAGCAAACAACCTGTATTAAGTACACATAGTGGAAGGTGATATTGCCCCCTTACATAGTCGCCCCAAGGTCCATCGCCCCAAAGAATTGTTAAATTTAGAACCTTATTCAAATTTGGTTAATAGTTGGGGGAAATGCTACCATACTTAAGGTGGGCGGATTGTCACTTGGGGGTGACAGAACTTGAGGCAAACTTGGCAAGGAGGCAAGGTCACCTGTTATTGTGCACTCTAGAAAGTTTTCCAAGGATGACATCTTTGTTCATGTTTTGTTGTCAGTAGTGCTGAGCTTGTCTGTTTTTCCAAGGTTGGTTATATTTGTAACAATGCTCAAATTCAAGATGGATCCCTTTTTGGCCAGCCAACAGAGGGAGCCCTCATAGCAGTAGGGCAAAAGGTATTTCTGACAATTTTATTTTAATTAAAGCTTGACATGTTGCAGCATTTGCTACACAAAACGGTGTTGTCCCATATTGAGATAACATGAAGCTTTTTCAGTATGTGTTCAAATTCAGTGATGTGCATATCTTGTTTTCTGAACAGCTTGGTATTGATGACCCAAGAGGAATGAACTTACGCACGGCCGAAATTCCCTTTAGCTCAGAGAAAAAGTGGATGGCCGTCAGATACAGACAAAAGGTAAGTAGAAGAGAAAAGGTCTGACAACAAATTGTCATAATATTTTGACATGACTTAATGACCAACAGGTTGATAATGTCCAAAAGACTCTACCCAATAATTGCAAATCCCTTGCAGGACAATTCAGAAACGTATTACATGAAAGGAGCACCTGAGAGAGTGTTGCAGCAATGCACATCATACCATGGACAAGGTTCTGTTGTTCCTCTGACAACGAGAGATCTGGAGATGTTTAATGACGCCGTGTCTGCTATGTCATCCAGAGGATTAAGAGGTATCCATCGCGTTTCCTAGTTTTGATTTTAATCCTTGTTCTATCGTACATTTTAACTGCTAAAACTGTTGCAGAAAAGAATTCCTTACTGTGTTCCCAGCTCTACAGAGATCCAGCTTCTGATTGGCTCATAGAGCTACTTTAAAAATAGCGCATCATGGAAGTTTCAGCCTAAAAATTTTCAACTTTATAATTTGCGATCTGTGTTCATTTTCTCCATCCTTAACCATACTTGTTCCTTCTTTGTTTGTCATTGCCTTGCCAGTGTTTTTCTATTTTACCGAACTAATTTTTTGTTTTTATTTACAATCCAAGTCGATCTTCTTCATTCTAAGCCATCCTTGTTCCTTCTTGCTTTAGAGCAGTTTTCAATTGAGTATTGAAAGTGATCCCGGCTTACTTTAGTTTTGCTTTGCTTTGCTCTGTGATTGATCTAGAAAACTCGCGCCACCACCTCAACCAATTGGATGCAAAATTAAAACCTCTCACCTCGGTCACCCGCGTTTTCCCGCGCTTCAGCAGGTTGCCTGTTTTTACTTGTAGTTCTCATATTTGGTCAATGATGATGCTAACCTTTGTTCTGATCGGTTATTACTTTGGTTTTGGTTTTTAACACTCACTTGCAAACTGCTCCACTATCAGGTCTTTTGTGTCTTTCTTTCCTAGTAAACTAATATTTTCTAGTCATTTACAATCCGAAGTAATTTTCTCCGTCCATATCCATACTTGTTACCTTCCAACCATTTCATTCTTGCTTCGTAACTGTTTTCCCTTGGAATCAATCTTTGAAAAAGTTCCTTTCCAAATAACTAAAATTCTCCATCACTGGGAAACTTTTTTAAATATGTGTGTCCACCAAATGCTTCGACTTTGCTCCAACTTTTGGGTCAACTTTTTATTTTAACTTTAAAATTTCCTAGAATGAGACTAGCTGCTGCCTTAGTTTTGTTTATTGATTTATCTATATGTTTATTTTCAGTCATAGCCCTGGCCATGGGAACTGATCTACAACAGCTGTCATTCCTGGGTATCATGGGTCTGTTGGACCCTCCCAGACCAGGAGTCCGTGAAGCGGTACATACGCTGTTAGAGAGTGGAGTACAGGTCAAAATGCTGACAGGAGATGCGCGGGAAACTGCACTTACTATAGGTAACTTTATGTACAGCAATATTCAGTTGAGTCTCCACCTGGCTCTGTTGTTGGTTCAGAAAGTTCGCGCCACATCGTTAACCAATCAAGTGCAAATGCAGTTGAAACTTGTCACTTGTATTTTCCCGCTCTTGGCGCATTGTGTCTTTTTTAGTTCTCATTGGCTCCTTGTGATAATCTCGTTTGCGTTGCCGTTGTATTTACTAGGGCTTTGTTTTTCTTTTTTATTTTCACTCGAAATGCGATCTCGATAAAAACACGTTTCAATAATTTCCTTGAGATACCTGATGCTGTTATCAGGTAGCCTCAGCAGGGGGGAAGCTCTTCACCAGCGTTTCTTTTCCCGCGGGAAAGTATGGGGCCTTAAGCAACGCGAGCCGGTGAGGAGTGTGTAAGGGGTCCACTGGTGCTAGACCCCCGGCAAACGTTCACCGCCTCTTCTTCAATCTTCCTGCGGACGGAGAAACGTGCGTCTGTAGTGCTAACAATGATGGCAGGCTAATGAACAAGCGATTGTTGCGGCGTGCTTCTTCTTCAACACTTTGACATGCAGGAGTGACCGATATGGAACTTCTCTTTGCTATTGCTTGCTTGTTATACTTTAAACGGGTTAAGAGAATAGACAAGACAAGCTTATCAGCTGAAGTGTGTACTCGTGCTATTACACCAAACTCTCCTAGCTAATTTACAAGGAAATTTGAGGCAGTCAGAGGGAAGAAGGTCACTGAATCCTGAGAATGAAAAGGTTAACATTTTTTTTTTCCCTTTCACGTTACTTTCAGCGGAATTATTAGGAATTCATGTCAAAGGAAGGTTAACGCTTTCGGGTGAGGAGCTAGAAACGATGGATAGTTTACAATTGGGAGACGCCATACAACAGGTAAAGTCAAGTGGTTATACATGTCCTGCTGTTTGGTTCTATCAGTCTCGTTTCACTAACCAAGTATATCCTTAGGTCTTCGTGGAACCTTAGTGCGAGTTTTTGATTCTGTTATATTGATTCCCCTCAACAGGCATCCGTGTTTTACAGAGTCAGTCCCAGACATAAAGTTGCCATTGTTAAGGTAAGTTATATAATGATTTGTAGATTCTTTGATCCTTCAACCCGCGTCCCCGTAAGTCGTGGTGATTTCTGCATCATTAAGAATGCCTCATGTACGCGCGACATTTAGTGGCAGTTGGGAAAAAATTGTAGATCTGTGAAATCAGTGGCGACACGTAAAATGCCTGGTTCTCACTGGACAAGACTACGGGCGCTCAGGCTTAAGAGAAATTTTCAATTGCGTGTCGAAAGTAAACCATTTTTTACCGTGGTTTGACTCTGCTACGTTGTGATTGGCTTAGAAAACTAGCACCACCCTCTCAAGTAATCAGTGACAATTAACTTATACTTACATGGAGTTCCCTTTGACCCTTTGTGACGCTTGCATTTTGTCCGATTTGTCCTTGCGATTACTTTCGTTTCGGCTTTGTGGCTCTTAGTTGATAAGCGCCTAATTCTAGTGTAGTCCTTCTTGTAACAAATTACCCATGTTTCCTCGTAGGCCCTACAGCAGCGCGATCGTGTGGTGGCTATGACTGGTGACGGCGTAAATGACGCAGTAGCTCTGCGCCGAGCTGACATTGGAGTAGCCATGGGCCGAGCAGGGACTGACGTGAGCAAAGAAGCGTCAGACATGGTGTTAGTGAATGATGATTTCTCTACCATCCTGGCTGCTATTGAGGAAGGGAAAGGAATATTTTACAACATACGCAACTTTGTCCGCTTCCAGCTAAGCACGTAAGTACGATTTACATCTCGAATGCGTTCTGGCCGGAAAGAGAAACCCGAATTTCTTTACGTGCAGCACAATCAACTTGTGCGCGGTACAGATATCAGTGACTTTGTGTGCCGTTACAGATCATGTGACTCGAGGGATGCTTTTCTTTGAAGTTATTCTTATTCTTCCCTGTGTGCACCTTTTATTTCATACTTATAAAAGTATCAAAGTACTGAGTTTTTTCACATTATTTGAAATAGGCAATTAATATACGGCACGAAGTCCTATCAGGAACTGCCTTCTAAGGTTTGCCTCAAATTCGGTAAGCTCGCTCCCAGAGTCTCTCTTGTTCCCGCTCATTGACCCTGGAAACAGAGTTGCATATCTGAGTGAATCTTCCTCGGCTTGAGGAAAAAAAAAAAGGTTGAAGAACACGTCCGTACAACTGCATTCAGTTGAAATCATCTCAATGTTATAAAATTTTTTCCCATGTGTAGGAGCATTGCAGCGATCTCGTTGATAACAATATCGACGTTTCTCAAGTTACCTAATCCTCTAAATGCCATGCAGATTTTATGGATTAACATCATAATGGATGGTCCACCCGCTCAGAGGTGAGGAATCTGAATTTCTCCGTTGCTGTACTCTGACTGCAACTTAGCGCCGTACTCAATCTTTGAGCACGATTTGTAATATACCTAAATGCAGGTGTTTCAATAGAAGTCGGTTATTGGCGGGTTACCGCCGCCTCTAAGTACCGCTGTCCTTTGCGAGCAGGCTTTCATATTTGGGTCTCGCCTTACGGTCTCTTTTCTGGCCTCGTGCCGCCTATTACACTATCGCAGCCGCGATTGGAAAAAGTTATTGAAACCCCTTTCAATGGAGAGCAAATTACCTTGCTAAAATCTTCCGCTCGTCTTCGTGCTAACAAGGTCTTATTCCGTTGTTTGTAGTCTTGGCGTGGAGCCGGTTGATCGTGACGTCATGAATAAGCCCCCACGGAATGTCAAGAACCCAATGATTACCAAGACTTTGATAACGAACGTTCTCCTCTCTGCGAGCCTGATAGTGACTGGTACATTGTGGGTATTTTGGAGAGAGGTACGGTCTTAACCCTTGAGTTCCCATTTGCTGATTACCATGGAACATCCCCTCGAAATTTGAACAAGCTATCTCGATGAATCTTGATAAAGTACCAAATTCTTTTGACTAGTTCGCAAAGAAATGTATATTAGTTTCAAGGGAGAATTAGTATTCAGATCCTGGGAGTTAAAAGATAAGGTGCTGTCCGTTAGGTGTAAAATGTACTGATGTTTTGCACAAGTTAGTTTAAGTCGTCACTTGCGGGAAAAGCTCTAAAACTCTCAAGAACGTTGCTAGTAAGAACTAGGAAAAATCAATGTTATTTTCCCTGAAATTCAGCTTCAGTGAAAGCAAAACTTAAAACTCTGAACCTCTCCAGAATGTGAATTTTTGTGACTTGAAAATGGAATAAGTAAGCTCCGAGATCTGTTCCACCAAATTCTTTTGGTGTATCGGTGGCCTTACGAAAACATCTGGTTTAATTTGGTAGAAAAAGCGGCCGTTGTAGAATGGTTTTGATGCCACTTTTCTGCGCTTGAGAATATCGCCTTCCAGTAGAGAGAACTGGCTGTTTCTGCTTTTGGACACTGTTGATTCTAGTTCAAATCTATCTGTTCTGTTGTAGATGAGAGATAACGTCATCACTCCACGTGATACCACCATGACATTCACGTGCTTTGTGTTCTTTGACATGTTCAACGCGCTCAGCTGTCGTTCACAGGTTAGTACTTCGTTTGCCATTAATGTTCTTGCCAATTATTAATAGTTTCATGCTCAAATTCAACATATAAGCTAAGCCTGTAAAAGCTTCCCTGGCGGCAGATTAGGGTTATCGGATTTTACTCCATATTCCAAATATTCAGACTTTCCTGGGTCTAATCCCGCACACCGTGCTTTCCGGAAGTAGATCAAGTAAATCGACCATTGATGAACCGTTTTAGGAGGGCCTGGCAGATTTCGCACTCAAACGAACAACTTCTGAAATGGGCGGAAGTTTTAGGGGGCCAAATGTTGCAGAAGGTGGCTCAAACAATAGCAATTTTTTTTTTTGGGGGGGGGACTTTTTTTTTTTGGCAAGCTGTGCAGTGAGACATCTTCAGTCTTTTTTTTTTTTTTTTTTTTTTCTTTCTTTTCTTTTCTTTCTTTCTTTCTTTCTTTCTTTCTTTCTTTTTTCTTTTTTCTTTTTTTTTTTTTTTTTTTTTTTTTCGAGATTTTATGGTGTACACAACCTTCTGGTTTAATCCTAACACTGGTCTGACCACTTTCTTCCATTGATTGACAGGTGAAGTCTATTTTTCAAATTGGTTTCTTCACAAACCGTATGTTCCTGTACGCTGTAGGCGGATCTCTTATGGGACAGATGTTAGTTATTTACTTTCCTCCTCTTCAAGCAGTGTTTCTCACCGAAGCTCTACATTGTATGGACATTTTCTTGTTACTATGTGTAGCCTCCTCTGTTTTTCTTGTGGACGAGATCAGGAAAATGGTATTAAGAACGCTTGCAAGACGCAAAGAGTCTCCTAGGGATTTCCAGTTTTTTGTTTGACAAGTGGAACGTTATCTCAAGGAATGGAGCAAAACGTTGGTGTTGATTGAACGGGTTAAACATTCACAGTTCAAACCAATGCGTAGCAGATGGAAAGGAGCCTCGATTTCGTTAATTATTTGAGCCCGTGGTGGTTCGTCTATGGTCAGTGAGGTTGTGGTACAACATATATGGGCTTCCAATCCTTGTTCTGTTGAATGGTTGTTGATCAAGCCATACGAAATAGGAATCTTAGTTAATGGCTGCAAATGTCCACGGCTATAGTTAACCATTGAAAATCTTCCGTGGAATGATAGAAATTTTGTGTTAACTTTTGGTATCCGTACATCAAACTACTACATGAACAGCTACTTAAAGGTTTATTGAATAGTATTCTTATCTTCGACTGTTTCTTGTCTCAATTCAGACCACTTGACTGCACTATAGTCTTCCATTGGCTCCTTTGCCTTTCTCAAAATAGTTACATACAGATGAGTATAAATCATTTTAAGATGGAGAAATGAAAATTCAAGCAAGATCACATGGTCGAGCTTGTCCCAGGTTTCCTAGCTTTTCTCAATGAAGAAGTCAGTAGAAAAGAGCAAATTTGTATGCTCACAAAAAAAAAATAAAAAAAAGACGATGCTCAGGAAAAGAAATAGCCGTATCCCTGAAAACCACCGTGTGACCGTGCACTGGCCCTTTGTTGGTCTCCGTTGACTCCGAGCCAGGTACACCACGCGTGGTCTGAATTGGGCTTACAAAACGGTTTTCTTATCTGAGGTCTTCTCGACTAAGTAAGTTAATAGTCTCCAAATGCGAGATCGTTGGCAAGCCAACGCGTCCCCTTTGCATATTACCATTTCTGTAGTGGTAAAAGACAATTGATAGTGAATTATCTGCAACCAGGTCGAGACGTTATAGATTATATTACGTTTAGTGATCGAATAGTAAAATTAAGGTGTAAATATACTAAAATGAAATAACCTTCAGAGGGTAGAAAAATACTGTAACAATTTTATTTCATTCTATTGCGCGTTGTCCCGCGGCGAGACTTGTATCAACTCGTTCCTTTGAGTACATAAATCTACTTGAGCGCGCATGGTATTATTTTGAATCAAGAAATAGCGAAAATAATAAGAATTAAATTTTCCTTTTTTATACTCTATAAAATGAAGAATTTAACCTCCGTTTGCACGGCCTGTTTGGTTGAATTTTCAAAATAGATATAAGAGAGAAAAAAAAATATTGTAAAAGTAGAGAGGTTTATGTTACCTAATGGTTGCGACTATGCTCTTTGATTAAAACGGATTTTCTTTGGAGTTCGTGTTCTATTAGGAAGGGTGGAGGGCTATGACTTGTTTACACCTGAGCAAATGAAAAAAGCACTTTGAACTTAAACGAACAGCATTAGGATTTCCTTCGAGTAAAGAAATAAAAAAGAAACAATTTTAAATACATTGCAAGTCCTCGTAAAGGACACCATCGGGTCTGTAACTAAGACTAGGCACTCGCGAGAATGGTTTTCGATCGTGGGTGACGGAGTGTGGAGAGGAGAGATGGCCATTTACGGGAGGTTGCTAATAACAAACGTACGAAATGTAACAGAATAGATCGATGAGACAGTTTGGAATGTGACACTATATTTCAGCTACATTATATCTACTCTTTAATCTGCGAACTAATATTGGTCAAATTAGCGGGCCCAATTCTAATTTTGAAGTTTCTTTGAGTAAATCTCTCGTTATCTATCGCGAATAGTGCTGAGCTTTAATGTGTGTTAAAAAAGGTACCCACGACTGAACTACGAATTCAGATGAACTCGAATTGATTACGATGAGCACCAGCCATTTGAAAGCCCTTTGCGTGATCAGAGACCGTCACGGATCCTCGTCTTTTCCTTTCTCGAATCATTTTCAGTCACTTCCCGTTACTAACCAGAAGAAACATTGATAAAACTGCCGTTATATTTATGTTATCGTTTATTACATACATAATTCACATACCTGTTTTTCTCGAAAATATTCACGAAAAATATTTACAATTTGTTGAAAGTATTGTAGCATATTCACGTTCTAGCTAAGTCATGTTGGATTTCAGTGAAAGCAGATGTGAGTTTCTGCAGACGTTTCTCTAAAGTTTTCTTTGTCAGCGCATTCTCTTGTAGAAGTATGCGCATCTCATCTTCCACTTCCACGACCTACGAAAAAAGGAAGAGAAAAACACAACCTTACCGTTTCTTTTTTTTCGGCACTAGACTGAAATAGTGGTAATTCAGTTTAAAGGAAAAGGTTCACATATCAATACGTGGTTTGAATAAGACGTGACGATACTTCGCTTCGTATTACATGATGTTTGGTGAGAGCATTTGTTCCTGGAACAAAACTATTTTTTTCCCAACAAGGCGCCCAAAAACTAAATTGATTGAATTTGTGCAATGATCGCAATGTTTAAACGAATGAAAGCGATTTGGGTTTTTTTTAAGCAGTGCTCAAAAAGCGGTTTGTTGAAAAGCCCTGTCGCAGCGAAATGGCGCTCAATGGGCCCTGACCACAAAGATTTTCAGAATAAAGTCTATGGGGTTCGTCCCTACCGGACCGATTTTCTCCGCTCTAAACATATCCCGGTTTTTACGCCTTCCGGGTCAAAAGTGCATGAAACTTCCACGCAAGCGTTCGATTTCCACGGAATGAGACCTACCTGGATTTTCATGGGACACCGCCATATTTTTAGGAAAGATGAAACGATCATAATTTAATTCAAGAAGACGTGCCTCGGATATACAACCGTTGTGATGATCAACAAGATTTTTCACTTTCTTTCCTTACCCTGTTATTAGCTCGTTCTACCTCCTGCTGTTTTTCGTTGGCCAGTGTCTGAAGCTGTTGCTCGTGCGCCCGTCGTTCTTGTTCTAGCTGTTTGCGGAAAGCATCATCACAGACTTTTAACCTCTCTACGGCGGAACTGAGCGTTTTGAAAAAGGAAAAAGTCGTATGGTTACAAAAAAAAGGTAACAGCAAAGACATCGGCTGGCAACCTGGTTAGAGTCATGTTTAAAAAAGCGCCGAAAGTAATTCCAGATTGCTTTGGTTTCGTATGTAGTTCGCTTTGCGATTGGTCAAAAAAAAACTTGCACTTCCCTCTCAACCAATCAGATCTACCAATCAAACTAAAATCAATCACTTTTCAGTCACTCGCATTTCACGACTGCCTGTCTTATTCTTCCCTCTTCTGATTGACTGATGTTGTTACTTTCGCTTGGTGTATCCACACTTAATCCTATGCGCTTTAAGTTTCCTGGAGTTCTTGAGTACGAATAACTGTAACAACAATACGAACAAAGCTTTTGTCTCCCCTTAGAGCTAGCTTTGTTTCACTTGGCAAGGTTGTTTCGTTCAAAGCAGTAAGCTAGCAAAAAAATCGGAATACTTACTCGGCCGCCTTCACAGCTTTGTCTCTCTCTTCAATTAAAGTTTTTTCCTTTCCTCTTAAGTTATTTCGCATCTCAACAACTTCCTTTTCCAACTTGCCTATTAGTTCACTCTTTTCGTGCCATTTTGTTTTCAAAATCCTGTTGTAGATCAGATGACATTTAGATCACAAGTAACAAGTACAATTTTACATTGAAAAGCCTCCATTTACTTTAGCTTCTGTTTACCAACACAAGAGGTCAAATATTACGTATAAAGATGAGAAACTCGCAGATGCGCCTCAGTTCTTCGCCTCCTTGATGCTTTAAACATAAAACGGATGCTTTAAAAATAAAACGAAGTACTGCGAAACTCTTCTGTCGTCCTAAAATATAACTGTGTCCATTTTTGAACACAGTTTATTTCAAAGATGTAATACCAGATAGCATACCTGTGATTTTCCTTACTGGTCTCCAACTCTTCCTGTGTTTTCCTTAGTTCTTGTTTGAGTGATTCCTTACGGTCCACAAGTCCATCCAATTGTTCCTTTAACGTTTAACAAAAGCAAAAGTTGTAGCATCACAAAGCGCCTTACGACTAAGTGTCGTGGAACAAATATTATCGCAACTACCAATCAGAACAAGGTCGATATCAACAGGAGCCAATGAGAATTCAAAGAAAATACAAGTACGCCGCTTCAAGCGCGGGAAAACTTAAGTGCACACTCCGCAACTGGTTTTAGTATTGTGTCTCATTGGCTCACGTGTCACGAGATTTCTTGACCAATCAACTTGAACTCTTTGGACTCTCCAATGATGGGATAACAAAAGAATTGAGTCATAGCAAATGAGGTTTAAGTAAGCGGTCTGTCAGAGTAACTTTCTCATTCTACCACCAAAGAACCTCACTTGCAACTCCTGATTTGCTGATGTCTCAACAGCTAGCTGTTCCTCAAGGTTTTTCTCACGTGCTTCGCCATCTTCCTTCCTTTTGCGCATGTCAGAGTCCTGATCTGCAATTTTCTAAAACCAAAAAGAGAAAGCTGCCATCATGGACAAGAGATCAATAGTTACTATCTGAGTGTGTGATTAAGGACTAACCTGTTTGAGCTTCCTAATGGAGTCCGTTTGATCCTCTATAACTTTAGCCTTGATGGCGATCGTTTCATTGGCATTCTGAAAGAAGAAGGATGCATAAAAGATTTTAAAATTTTTCGCCAGCTGCAAGTTTGCGAAGGTGTCTTCGGAGGAACGTCAGAATAACTTGATATTCGAAACATTCAACATCACTGAAACAACCAACAATACTAAGAAAAAGCTTCAAAAATGCATAAAGGAGCGTGAAGACGATTGGTTTGTTTCATAAGGGCGCCTTTCGATTGAGCTTTCAAGAAACAAAATCAAATTAACCATAACAGCTGATAAAGATAATATACAAACAGGAAGCCAATGAGAACCCGACTTCTAACGCGGGAGGACCCCAGTGACCGACACGCGATTGGCTTTTGTTTTGCATCTCATCGGTTAAATAAGTGGCACGGGTTTTCTTGATCAACCCCGGAGTGAAGGAAAGTAAAATCTTAGCAATCCCGGAGTACATTCGACGCTCAATCAAATATTGCTCTATCTTTCCTTGCCTGGCATTCCTTCTTCACTTCACCGACTTCAGCAGTCAGCGCCTCTATGCGAGCCTCCATTCGTCCTCGATCCTGAGCAAGGGACGATCCTGGTGACAACAAACAGCACAAAGCTCTTACTCAGAATCAATTATTTTAAAAGTTAGGTGTTTTTGCAAACATTTCATTACCTTGTTGGGCAAGCTCCTCGCTCCATAGTTTTCTTTCGGTTCTCAGGCCTTCCATGACTGATACTTGAGCTCGTATCTGAGCCGTCAACTTAGCTTTGTCCTAAAAACAAACAGGAATGACTATCGACAATCTTGGACAAATTACATGATTTGTAATTTCTTGTAATGCTCTACGTAGGTCTTATCGTTGCTCCTTTAATTTGTGTGTGTGTTTGGGGGGGAGAGGGAAAGGAAGATTGATTGTTCCTTTTATTCTATCCAAGATTGGAGCTACAGCAGACCCGCACAGGTGACGAACAGCAGGTCATCAGCGAATAGAAATCTCATTCTGGTCCTTAGCTATTGATGGTCTTTACGGATGGCCAGGCTTTACCTCGTGTATAGGTCTTTCTTTTGCCACGAGAATTTAATTGTTTTAAGTCATTTACTGATTTTAAGAAAAACATTTCCCTTTGAGTTTGTGTCATTAATGCTCAAACAGAAAAGAATCCTCTGCCCTTTGTTTGTGATGTTGATACTTACTTGTTCTAGTACTTCCAGTCTCGTCAACTGTTTATTAGCTTCGTTAAGTTGTTTCTCTAAACTTTGTATTCTTTCCTACGAAACAAGACAATACCATCAACATACTTTGGTAGCTTTACAGAAAACCTTGTCTATACCTTGTTTCCTCCAGGTTTCCCTCAAAATCAGATAAAACCAACTGGAGGTTAACTCTAATCTTAGGCTATTAGTGTAAGTAATAACATGATATCCGGTGCAATTTAGTGTAAATAAATATAATACGAGTAAATTTTTAAAAGACACCAAAAGTGTACAAGCCATAAGGCGTCTTTGAAAAATTTCCAAGTGCTTATTTATACCAAATTTAACGATAAATCGTGTTCTTATACAACAAATTCAACCTAAAAAGGAATTTTCTTTTAGTTTAAATTTTAATCATGTATTAAAAGTAACCAGCCTTAATTGGATTGGGATATCATGAGACGGGGAACACTGCAATACCCCTGGGATGATAAATTTTCCCCAAGGGTAAATCTGGATAGATAATCATAGCCACACCTTGTAATCTCCGACAATTTCTTGCCTCCCTAGTGACAGCTCACTTAATCTCCCACGTTGTTCTTTCACCATCTATGTGCAAATTAATAAATAGAAAGATCAGTGGTGGCCACGGCTTACAAAACCAAATTTGGAAAAAAAAAGAGTACACGAAGGGTATAAGACTGTTTATCCCCAAAGCGAACGAAGCGTGTCTAATTTTTGTAGTCCATTTCCCGAAGTACACAGAGCGTGTGCGACTCCCATCGACCGATCGCCGAAGAACATAGAGGGTTTTGAAAACATTCTTGCTGAACGAAAAAAAGCAAGAATACTTAAAAAGATGTTACCACTTAAGTTGAAATCATGAAAACGTCACGTCACCAAGACTGGCCTTGAGATTGAAAATGACGAGCAGCTTCAGAAAATTTATATACTTTAAAATAAATAAAAGGGAAAGTGAAATAGAGCCCCTCCAATCAGCTCAAACAATCATTCATCAAAAAGTTCTTACCGCTGTGAGTTCATTGACCATATTAGTTGCTTTGCTCTCCTTCTGTTTTATTGTGTGTAGGGCCTCCTTCTGTTGCGCATGCTCATCGCTCATTCGCTCAAACGCCTCTTGCAGCTATTTTGTACAGCGAAATGGAAAAGGAAGTGGAATTAATTTCTATGACAAGGTTTCTCGAAAGTTTCTCGCAATTAAAGGTATTTTGGCACTGAGGATAAGAGAAGAGATCACAGACGGATTTCCAACCAAGTTAACTAAGCTGCAGTGTGAACGCTAAACTTTACCTCAGATTTCTTTCACTTTTCTTCTTATCCCTCAAGGGAACCATCAAAAAGGAGAAGGAGATCTCCTATTCACAACTTATGGAAGTATTTTCATATTTTTGGGAAAAGTGCGAAATGCAAACAGCAAAAGTTCAATTCTTGCCACAGAGACTTGGTTCTTTTAAGACCTAACACGCATTCTCTAAGTAATCTACAAAGTGTTAATTAGAATTACAAACCTCTCTAAACCTATTAGCTTCAATCTGTAGACCCATTCTGAACTCGTCTTCAAGTGCAGCATAATCCAGATCACGCTTGTTCAACCTGTCATGGAGTCAAGACGTAAAGAAGGTGTTGGATATTTGTCTAGAATGTAGGATTCGACCCGAGGAATTCGAACCTTGCACACTCTACCATCTACGTACCAGGGAATCCTTTGGCGCCACAAACAAATGCCGAGGTTCATGAAGCAATGGGCGTCCGGCACAATGCGTTACATGTACTCAATAACCAGACAGAAAATATAACGTCCTAACACGATTTAGCTTATTTTTTACACTGCCATCCCAGCTGCTAGATACTAAGAAAACCTACTGAGGAAAAATTTCAGGCGGTACCTCAGTCAAAGAGTGCGACTTGTCAAAAAGGGCGAGTCACTTGAAAAATCCAATTGTAAATTGTTCATGTTCGTAATTTTCAATCCAGTTTCATTTTTTCATCCTTGGCCATTAGGCATTCCTTCTTGATTCATAGCTGAAGTTTTGTGTATTTACGTCAAACCTATGAAATCTTTCGTAGTCTCCGGCTTCTCGGTAACTTAAGTTTACCATGGCGCCAGAAAATATCCCGAAAACTTATAAAGTCACTAGTTAATGAGCTTTTATCAGCGTTGTTACACCGACTACACAGGCTGAATACTTTAGTCCGCCTAATTCGCCTTTAATTAGGGCATGTTAAGATACTGTTTCGTTACGGGTCAGGACTATCAAAAGGCTACAGACAACAGTCACTTGTCACCAGTTTCTTTCTTACTTTTCTTGATATTCTCTAATAATCTGCTGGTGAAAACCCTCTTGCTTAGCAGCCTCCCGTTCTACTAGCTCCCGCATCTCCTGCCCGTCCACTCGCACCAGGTCCTCCACTGCTTTTCTGCCATCAAGGAATAGTAATCACTAAGGTTTGCGTGAAATTATCGGTTTAATCATTACAGCATTAAGGACTTGTTGAGAACTAATGTCTCCTGACTGAGGATTAATTACCGAGTAACCCATGGCAAAATTAAGGTAAAAAATTTATGAAAGAAATCCAGAGGAAATCGACTTTGGTATAAGTTACCGCGGAATATTACGGTAATATTATGGTATAATTGGCCTCTTAACTCTTTAACTCCCAAGATCCGAACATTATTCTCCCCACAAGCTGCTACACATTTTCTTGTGAATAAGTTGCGAGAATTTGGTGTTAGATCAAGACATCAACTTGTACCTGATAAGTTTGAGTATTCTCATTACCTGTTTGCTGGAGAATGTATGGATATTGTGGGGAGAGGTTACATGTTACATCACCTCTGGAAGTTAAAGGATTAACTAGTTTACCTGTGTTCCTGCTCTCTGTTGGCGAGGAGTTCCTGTAGCTGATGGACCTGACCTTTCAGTTGTTTCACTGAATGTTTTGACAGCTCACACTCTTTTGTTAAGGCGCCCACTTTCATCTGCTCCTGCTGCAGTTGGGTGACCTTAAAAACAGCACAACTATTAAACGAAGTTTTCGTTGAAAGCCACCTTAAAAATGTTTGAGCTCCTTTGGATGAGTTTTACTAATCGTTTGACATCGTTTTCTTGAGTATTTCTGATCTCTGAGACCCTAATTACTTTAGCAAGTTCCCGTCAGCAATTGAACTTGTCAGTAAAAGTTACCCAGAATTGCACTGGTTTCCTTGACTATGGTTTGTGATTGGTCGAGATAATTAGCATCACGCTTTCGGCAACCAATCAGATACTAAACTGAAATCAGTCGCGGATCGGTCACTTACGTTGGCACGTGCTTTGCGCAGTTAGCTGGCTTTTGCTTCGAGTTCTGATAGGCCGTTGTGATAACACGCTTTCAGCAACCAATCAGATACTAAACTGAAATCAGTCGCGGATCGGTCACTCACGTTGGCACGTGCTTTGCGCAGTTAGCTGGCTTTTGCTTCGAGTTCTGATAGGCCGTTGTGATAACACGCTTTCAGCAACCAATCAGATACTAAACTGAAATCAGTCGCGGATCGGTCACTCACGTTGGCACGTGCTTTGCGCAGTTAGCTGGCTTTTGCTTCGAGTTCTGATAGGCCGTTGTGATAACACGCTTTCAGCAACCAATCAGATACTAAACTGAAATCAGTCGCGGATTGGTCACTTACGTTAACACGTGCTCACATGTTTTGCGCAGTTTGCTGGCTTTTGCTTCGATTTCTGATTGGCCGTTGTGATATTTCTTTGTACTGATTGTTGTGATGGACCGTTGTGACTACCTTACTTTCGATTTTACAATACTTAGTTGAAAAGCGCCGTACAGCAAACCAGTGATAGTAACGCGAAAATTCGAAGAAGCAGACAAAATCAAAATAAATTAAAACCTTGAAGCTAAGCTTTAAATCAGCTTCTAACTCCAGAAAGTTCATCATCTACAAGAGATAACTGACTGGAATTAGAGTACATATCGTACCGCTTCAGCGTGCTGTTTGATTTTTTCAGTCTCCATCTTGGTAGTGGCTTGTTCCAAGGCTCGCAATGCTCTTTGTTGTTCTTCTTCATTTTCCTGCAATCTCTTCACCTCTTCAGTCAGCCCGACATTATGGGTCTGACACCAAATAAATTCAGAAAAATTAAAAAAAAAAATTAAGAGCTTTCGTGCAACATAGAAGACTGAAATGACTTTGGTTGTGCTCCATGGGACAAGCAATTTTAAAAAAAAGAAGCTTAACTTTACAGTCTTATTTTTCATTTATTTTTCACATGCTGTAAAGGTCGCCAATCGTTTTAACGTTCACACCTGCAATTCATTTAAAGATTTCTGTAAACAATCCTTAGTTTCCTTCTCTTTGAGTAATGCACGCTTCAGGCGACTGCTCGCCGCAAGAGAAGCCTCTCTTAGTTTCTTCTCCTCTGCCTCTATAAAGTAGAAACACAAAAGCACAAGAAAATTAGGAAAGATAAGGAACTCGATCGCGGGGGTCACAACTGACATTAAAGACACAGAGAAAGGTTCAGCTCTTCGATAATCACTCTTGTAGACAAGTAACTTAGGTACTTCCCAATCACGTTAAAGTAAACCGAAAAAGTTTGAAAGACAAAACAAGAGAGCGAAAAAAATTCCCTCTACCCTCTGTTGTGAAATCGGTATGGTCATGTGACCCACACTGCTATAAGACAATTTTCCTGTGTTTTTCGCGTTCCTTGACCGAGGAGAAACAGACGTCCAGTTGTCTTCTGATCGTTTTCAGAAGACATTTTAAAACGAATATGCCAAGGTGATGATACATTGAATACTGTGTTTTTCTTACGTGGAAAATTGCGCTTCCCTAGAAGTCCTGGCACGCACGAAAAAACTTCCACGTTGAAGAAAAATACATGTCAACTCTTTCTGATCAAAAAAGTTACAAGAGAACCCAACTCAAACCTCTCTGTTGAAGCTCTTTGATGGCTTCAACCATCCGCCTGGCAGCCCGTTCAGCTTTCCATCGTCTCTCGCGCTCAGAGTCCAACTCTTGAATGAGTGACTGCAGAGTAAATTACATATGGAATCAAAGACATACCAAATCATTCGTGTGGTGGGAAAAAGTGAAAAGGAAGCAAAGAAATCGCCAAGAATTCCTACCGGAGGCAGATCATGGTTTTAAACCTAACCGCAAACTTTTCAAATTGGCCATCTTCAATCCATGCGAATCTGATCTTGTTTAACTCTTACCTAATTAGAGTTTTTTTTTTCTTCAGATAATTATTAGTTTCAGGTTTCCTCCTAGCAAACGTAATTTTCATGTCCACAAACTTGTGGGGACAAGAAGCTCGATCTAATTCTTGAAATCCTTGATCTCGTAAAAGTGATCAAAACGTAACTTCTCCTCATGATATCAATACATTATGAAACAAACTGGTAGTGAGAATAAAATGCTATCCAGCCAAAGAGTGTTAGTTAACTGATATAACAGCAAAGTCTCCTGGTTAATTAAAAAACAATTGTACAGGAGCTTGAAGGGAGAATTACTTATTCGATCTTGTTAGTTAGAGGCTCAAGGAATTGAAATTTAAAGAACAGAGATAATTCACTGACCAGGAAAGTCTCATCATCTTTAGGATCCCTAACAGTCCTCCCCTTCAATGCAGTCTTGCCTTTTATCATCAGATTTCTCACTTGTTCATCTGATGGTGATGTGGAGCTTGTTGACTCCACTGTGACATGAACCGCTGGCTTGGTGCGTGTCTTTGTCTGTCCTGGCTTCTTTGATACTGGAACCCATTGACTTCTTCTAGCTTTGGGTGAAAGTTGTACTTTTTTCTTTTTGTCTGGCAGTTCAGTTGATTCAGAATCAGCTGATCGGTTAATATCTAGTGAGAATAACAACATCATGTGATATGTGCTTGCACTCTTTAACATGAGACTAAATAGCAAGCCATTTTATTACCTTTTTTTTTTTGGTTATGGATGGAGGACTTTTTGGTGAAAGTGATTGGGGACAGTGTGTCTTTCTCCTTCCCCCCATTCAAAGGTACATTATACACTTGTTCCCTTCAACACTCTGGGGCTTTAAGGGAGAAAGCAGCCTACAACTATTTGTTTTGTGTTTATCTGTGCATGTACACATCTAAACTGGTATTAGCACATCTGCAACAGCCTCTTTAGACCTTACAGTTAAACAACACCCTATCATCAACAGCCTCCTTAGACCCTACAGTTAAACAGCACCCTATCATCAACAGCCCCCTTAGACCCTACAGTTAAACAGCACCCTATCATCAACAGCCCCCTTAGACCCTACAGTTAAACAGCACCCTATCATCAACAGCCCCCTTAGACCCTACAGTTTAACAGCACCCTATCATCAACAGCCTCCTTAGACCCTACAGTTAAACAGCACCCTATCACCCTCTCTTTCTTTAATAATTCACAATTCACTGATGTCTGTGATGTGGTCTAGATAAGTGAAAACAACTTTGTGTTATTTCAGCCAGTACCTAAGGACTTGAACACTTCCAAAACCACCATACATTTAAAAATTTGGACAAGATAAATGTTATCATCCTCCTGCTAGCTTCAAACCTACCAGGCTCTGCACTTGGATTTCTGATCTGCCCTGAAACCTGTGCTCTTTCCTGCAAAAAAATAATCATTTATATTCCATGTGCACCATGTTTTTTTTTTCTCTCACCACAAGAATAAATTTTTTGACCCCTAGGATTCAAAATTCCTTGCCAAACATGTACCATAAATAACTCTTATCTGATGGATGGTTCACACTATTAAGCTTCCTTAAGGGTTATGCTCTAGAACAAGTCACAGTGACATAGGTCTTGGCTCCTTGTCACAAAATCTTCATTTCCTCTGGACAATTTAAAAATTTAAGTCCTCTAACAATTTTAAAAGATCCCTATTAGATCTTACACAGGACTGTCCCAACTACATCCCCCAAAAAGTGACAATTAACAAAAACTATAAGTTCTACATTCTACAGAAACTTGGAGGACATCTCCTTATAGTAAAGGATCCTTTCAGTCCAACTAAATCATTTCAATGTCTTTAGGCCCCAGTTGTTTAAAGGTTGGATAATTCTCTCCACTGCAGAAATCTCTATCCATTGGATAGCACAGTTCATTTTGTTATCATTTATCTAATGGATAGCAATTTATCAGTTGGATAGTGCTATCTCCCCTTTGCACAACTGAACTTAGATGGGTAATTAGCATATAACTTACTGTGTTGTGAATGAGACGGTTAAGTTGATGTTCAAGAGTCTCTAAACGAATCTCATGATCAGCTGACAGGCTTACTTTAACAGCTGGCCTCTGAAAAACAAAGTGAAAACTAATGAAAAAAACAGAGAAGCAAGGATGGATCAGTGGTGAGTGTGCTTCCCTCCCACAGGTTTGGTCTGGGGTTTCATTCCTGCTCCTGACATCACATGTAGATTGATGTTGTGGCAGGCCGAATCTTTCGCCAAAGACTTTCCTCCAGGTTTTCAGTTTTATTGTCTCCAAGAAAAACTAGCTCTCCAAATTATAATTAAATTGGAAAAATGGTGGACAAAGAACCACCCTGGGAAGGTGGCATATCTAAAGTTCTTTTTCTTATTTCATTTGTCTATTTACAGCCCTGTTCAACTTTTACAACCTGTAATATTTAAAGCATTGTTTGTCAACAAAAGCACTTCTTTTTCATCTAAATGACACATTTATAATCAAATTATACATAACTTGATTCCTAAGTTTTATGAAGACTTTTGATCCAGTTACAACCATGGTATTACTAGAAGGCTTCTTCATCTCCCCAGTCACCTTTTATAATAAGCATAATATTTATATGAACTTTTGAATTCTCTTTAAATTATTATTTCTCTTTGCTGTGTCTGCCTATATGGAAAATCTTTTATTTTAAAATCCAAAGGGTATGTAATGTGGTGCAAACCTCAGTGGGATTCTCAGTTCTTTTCTCCTCTCCAGCGTCAGTTTCTGATGACAGAGGTCCTCGTTGCCTGAATCTGTCCAGCGCCAAGTCAATCTTTGGAGTCAAAACTTCATACTTTGTTTCTTTCTGGAAAAAGAAGGAACAAATTATAGTTTTCTGGGTCACAGTCACTCCAATTTCAAGAACACAACTAACCTGTACATGTTTAAGAATACATTAATTATACTTAAACAAAATTTTAGAATTTACTTACACTAGGGATTTCAGAGGAATTTTCTGATTCTAAATATTCCAGATAGTCATCCATTTCTGTTAATTGTCAATAACAAAAAAATTAGTTTTCTCTATAAGAAAGTCCATCCCAGCAAAGTCAATTCTAAAAAATAACATTAATCAATATCCCTCTTTTAAGATGGGGACAAAATTACCTAAGAATACCAGGAATATGAGGCATTTACTCAAGGATTATAGTATCATTCATCTCAGTACTATACACCATCACTGTTAAATTTATCACAAGCAAGGGAGACATAAAAGCTTTCTGTTCATTTTTGTGCAAATATAAACACCACTGCACCAGAAACATTACAAAATAAATAGATGCTGCCCATTTAATTTGGTGAATAAAGTAATTAACAAAAACCAAGAATCCAACCTGGAATGTCAAGCACACTGTCCCTTGTTGCTGCTGGTTTCCCAGTCCTGTCCTGGCCATCTAACACTTCCAAATTTTTCAGTGAAGCCAGTACACTGGATCGATAATCTGGTATTTCACAAACAGGGTTGGCTTCCCCATACAGTGACAATGTCAACTCTTGAAGCATTCTGCATCCAGCAAGACAGTTAATTAAATGATCCAGTGAACTAAGCTCATTTCCATGGAGATATAAGCTTCGTAAGCTAAAGGAGGATCCATGAATTTTCTTTAGGCCTGAGAGATCATAGATTACATTATAGGATAAATCCAGCTTAACCAGATTCCTACAAGGAAACAAATTAATAAAAATGTTTAAGAAGTCAAACATTCCCTGGTGAGACAAATTTCCCAAATCTGTTTTCTTTTGCAACTCCCATAAAAAAGTACTTTCGAACTGATAATCTTTTATATTTCCAAAATTCTGTTGCAAATCAATTTAAATGCATTTCAATATCATAATAGTGTCTCATTAAATATTTGCTTCAGATTTTAGGGAATGGGAACAGAGAATCATGAAGATCCAATGATTATGAAGAGAAAGTTACTTTGTTTTAATATAAACTAAAACAGTAGATAGCATTGAGGATGCACCCTCATTGGCTACTCAAACTCCAAATGTTCTTTGCTATTCACCTCCCAGCAACTTACAACTGAAAACACTGTGATCGTCACATAAAAATAAATTAATTAAAATCATCCCTAATTGCTCTATTATCTCACTGCTTTGTGGTTCAGTAAATATCCACCAACGACACCATCACTGCTGCAAAGAGACTAGGCCATTATCTTTTAATAGCATGCCTTAACTTGCCATATTTAGACTTGAGAACTCTCCTACTTCCCCTGACCCCAGCAACATTTCAAAAAAAGAAATTAAGCAAAGCAGGACCTTAGACTATCCAATCCTTCAACTACACGCAGTTCGTTGCAGGATAAGTTGAGGGTTTTTAGGCTCATCAAACCACCAAGCCCTTGCATTCTTGTGATGCGATTGGACGACAGATCGAGGTGTTTAAGGTGCTGCAGTCTGTCAAGATTCTCTATCACAGAAATATTGTTGCAATGTAGATTTACGGAGAGTAATCGTGGATCTAGATGTACGTCTAGCAGACTGTTTATCTGTGCATCTATGTAACAGATCTCCTTTGGGAAAGAAGTAGACACAACATCATGGCCACAATTTTCGCTGTTGTTGGCTGTCATTTTGTTATTTCAGCTTGGTCTCAAAAAAAGTGAAGTTGGAGATTTCCTCGTAGATTGTGAGTTTTTGATAAATCCATCGATAGTTTTCACGCATTCCATCTTAATTTACTGCCTTCTTTACAAAATAATACTATTGATCCCGATACAGCGGAACAATATTGGACAAAATTTTATCTCGATCGCTGCCCAAAAAAAAAACCCTGTTTGCCAGCTTTGTTTTTCAAAATGGCGCCTAATGGCATTGTCCGCTGCTCATGACATGCACAAAGAACAACTATGTGGTGTAACAGTCATGTAGTGGTCGGGTACGCTTTGTCTCAATCTTTAACCCGTTGGGCTTGAAAAAGAAAACGTTTACAGAAGCCGTAAAACTTAAAACTTCGGGACGCAGAATGTTGAGGAGGGTTTTGAATCAATCACTGTCTATCACTTTGACAAAATAAAGACCAATTATACACTAGCATTGGAAAATTTACTCATTTCTTTTATGTGTTACTCTCAAAACATGCGTTTGGAAACTGGGCGAAAAGTGACTCTTACCGGGTAACATGCGGAAATGGTGTGTTGCAGCGAATTTTGGAGCAACTTTCAACTGGGAGTTGAAACTTATTTGGAATTGCATTGGTTTTTCTTTAACATGCTCTATGATTTGTATTCTATTGGTTTAGGAAACTTGCTCATCAGGAAAAAGTTTGAGATCCAGTTCACCGTCCACTACAAGTTCACATTCTTCTTTAACGAGCACAGGTACTGGACAAATGGAAAGTTTGCCAACCTTTCATTTTCACTTCCAAGTTGTAAGCGCCAGGCATTTTGGGTGTGAACTTAAAGTGAGGTTTCCGTCGTCGATTTACACTCGGAAACGACCTCATCATTGCTTTGAAGAACCAAGCAGCAGAAAGAAAGAAAATTTCATTGAAGTTTAATACAATCATTTACTCTTCTCTCGGATTCTTTGGATTTCTTTATAATCTCTGAGCATCAAGAATAACATATCAAACTCTTTCCCCAGTGCGACGAACATTTGTTTTTCAAGGTTCCAGGTGTGCGCAACCACTAACCCCACGTAATGCGTATGCTCTCCGTTACGAATTTTCAAAATGGCGGACAGGCCAAAGAGGGAAATAAAAAAAAACAAAGCGATTTTGCAATGAATACTCAACATACACCCTCGTTAGAAAGGCGAATCCACGGAAGAAAGATACAAAACTGTATGATACTGAGATCGATATGATATTAAATCGATACCGAGGGCCCGTTTCCAACTTGCTAAGAAGTGCATTTAATTGCCTTCCGCCACGATTACTAGTTTTCTTAACAGCTTTCTGAGAATGTCAGACAACTCGCCCCTTGGACAATTAGCCCCAGACGATTAGCCCCCAGTCTCTGGACGATTAGCCCCCAGTCTTAGTTTATGTAAAGGAGAAGTTACGTTCATTTGTTGGTCATTGACTTTTATGAGTTTGTGGCTCCTAAAGGAGCCCTTTTTTTTTGTGAATGTCTATCTATATTAACATTTACTCAATTTAAATTACATGGGTTGTACGAGGTGAGCACCAGTCGATAGACGCACCGGTTTTAACAGCGTTGCGGTAATCTGCCTGCGACACGCCCGATTGACATTAACAAGTAGTCGCCAATAAGTTAAAGTTTCGAAGTTTCGTCCCTGGTTTCTTTCCTTTCCTATTTAAACAACATGACGGAGAAACATTCGTAACGTATGTAAACAGAAAGAACACAGTTCATTTTTGTAGAATATATAAACAGAAAGAACACAGTTCACTTTATAATTCGATACGCACGGCAGAGAAACGTTCATAACAAGCAAACAACAAGACAGCAAGAACGCAGTTTACTTTATAATTTAACACGCATGGCAGAGAAATGTTCGTAAAAAGCAAATAACAAGAACATTGTTTATTTCATAATATATGATAGGGAAACGTTCGTAAAAAGTAAAGGGCAAGAACATAGTTTATTTCAAGGTTGGTGGGTTGGGGGCTAATAGTCCAGAGACTGGGGGCTAGTCGTCTGGGGCTAATTGTCCAGGGGGCGAGTTGTCCGGATACCCTTTCTGAAGACAGAATACTTTCTTTCTGAAGACTTCTGATATGCGGCTATTGATTGTTATACCTGATTGTTGAAAGGACCGACTCATGGTTCTCCGTCTTCGTCTTTACATTGCTTTGAAATAGTATAGATTAGTAAGCTGAAACGAAAAATTAATAAGGGAAGTTTACGAAAAATCCAGCAAACAAGCTTTAAAAAGGCATTTATTTAGACTTCATACTTCAACGAACTTCACAAATCTTACTTGTTTATCTTGTAAATAAACGATGGCAGATTAATTCCCGAAGCGCTTTCGGACTTTCCCGATCCCTCTCCTACTACTTTCACGCTTACAAAACAGGAAAAAATCAAAAGGAGGAAGATACAGATGTTTTGAAACGCCATTTGACGAGGGTAAATCTGCTTTTTGTTCGACACTTTACATATCAAAACAACGGAAATTTGTTTCTCTTTTTGATTCTGGCGGTATATTTTTAATTTGCGCCTGCTTAAAAGAGATATAGTCCGAGACCCTTCGCTCGGTCGTGTTTTGATCAAAAACGCCTTGTTAATTTCATGCAACCGCTCGGAGAAAAGGTAAAAATGACGAGGGAAAAACTTTACCTTCAAGTTAGAAAATTAGCGAAATAGAAAGCCACAATATTATAGTTTAATATTTCAGAGGTACATTGAGTGCTTTTTCCGTAGAGAATCCTTACGATGGTAAAACATTCGAAAATTACACTCGATTTGAGTGGGGTGTTGAAGTGGGCGTGGTCACTACATTCATGTTAAGACTATTTGTACCCCATGAGTTTGATATGTTGCTAACTGTCAGCCTTCTGGACACATATAGGGAGTGTTCGGATTTTTGTTGTGTATTGCACCTTTACCAAGCGGAAGAAATGGTACCCTTTTTGTACACCTTGTATGAAAACTTTCCATCCTTTTTTCTGTAACTTCCCTTTGCCTCAAATTTTAACCATATGAACACTAAAAATAATTATGTATGTGTTTCATTCTTTGCAAAGCATGTCGTAACTTCGCTAGAGACATAGACTCCTCCGAATTTGCCCTCACAGAAAAAATTTTATTGTCTTTACAACAGTAAAATCGGCTTTGGTTGCGTGGAAGGGATGAACAGGGGTGAGATGGGGGTAAAAGACTATTAGATAACATGGTAAAAGACCATTAGATAACAACTGAGGTTGCTAGAAAAGTTTACTCCCCGCATCCGAAATAATTGGAACGGAACATTGGTGTGAGAGGGAGATCATCAAAAAGGGCGAGTTGTTCCCGTTTATCCATCTTCCCTTTTGTCTTCACCCTTTTCTCTCACTTTCAGGCTATTATTTCTCTCTTTTTTGGAACCTTCATTTTCCTCTCTAAATCAACTTGCTTGGTCCACCTTAAGAGAGATTTCATCGAAGAAAAAGTTTGCGCGGCAGGGAGCGGGGCACCCAAGAGGCATTTTTTTTTTCTTTTTGATCAGGAGGCTTACGGTCTCTACAACAACTTAGCCAAATTTTCTCATGAATACCAAAGATATCAGCCCGAGTGAAGTACACTATCTAAATCATAAACTCGATATATCATACGTGAAAATTATTATGACGTCAGTAAGTTTTTATTTTCGGAGGTTGACGTCAAACCCGAGGATATAAAACCTGACCAGCGGTATTCCTAGTTAGGCAGCCATTTTAGCTTTTGTAAGTTCCTGTCGATCAGCGAAGGATTTCTTTTCCTTTGCTTCATCTACTGGGCTATTTTGATTAACCTGCAGCTATGTCAGAGGGAGGCACTTTAAAGGTTAACTTGTTACTTGCTTTTCAAAAGGTTTTTTGTTTTACAGATTTCCTAAATTGTCATAAAAAAATGAGATCGAAAGCCGTGGCGACTCAGGAAAACCTGCAAAAGTGTCTCACTTAGTTCTAGCGCCTTAAGCAACATTCAAGCTTTCAATCTACCGTGTCCTTTTGTCATGTTTTTAGAAAGCTATAGAGATTGTAACTAAGGCTACAGATGAGGACAAAGCTGGAAATTACGAAGAGGCTCTTCGACTCTATGAACATGGTGTGGAATATTTTTTGCATGCCATAAAATGTAAGTACAGATTATTTTTACGAAGTTAACTGTTTCCACTTCTTATTTGTTTTTCGTTTGAAAGAGGTTCTTCCGTATTTCATTCGGTGTACGCGAGGTCTCTCTGTTGCTCTTTTTCAGACGCATTTTATCTGCTGTCAATCAGTAGTTCCTCTTTAAATTTACAACTAATTGAGTTGTGATTCGTGTGGCCGCCAAAAGTTCCACTTGTAAGCGAAACTAAGGCCGTGTGTAATATGTGATTCATGCAACTACCCCTTGTGTTGTTTTCTATATTTGAATCTCATTTTATTGTGAAAAACAATGGCAATTGTTTCCTTAGTGATATCATCACACAAATTGAGCAGGAAAAAAACTGAACATTAACTGCTCAAAAGTCCAAAGTGATTCTGTATTATAAAAGTGTGACACTTAAAATGCAGTTTATTTTACAGGTGCTTTATACATATACTGTTATTTGCATCTTAGCAACTTTGCATTTTAGTTAATACTTGTAAGCTCATGACACTATCTTTGCTCTTAGAGGAAGAACTCTCAAACTGTTACTTGCCCAGAATAAATTTCTCTCTTGCAAGTAAAGAGTATTCTTTAGGTATCTAAGATCCGAGAACTTTCCAGCTATTGAACCAAATTCTCGTTCAGAGTTTGGATGGCCTTAGTCTTTTTTTTTTTTTATGTAGAAATGGAGAATGTTCTCCAGGTGCTAAAACTATTTTCTTTGTACTCTGTTTCCTGATAAAATCCCTGCAAGCAAGTTCCACAATAAATTTATGCAACATAGAATTCCTGTAATTATACAGCAATCAATTTGAAACTTCAATATCCTCTACCCCCAGGCAACTCCCTGCATAACTCCCTGGGTATTTGAAATTTTGAGGAAAGAATTTTGTTGTGCATTGATCAAAGGTAACGAGTGTGTCTAAACAAGAAAGTGTGTACTAAACAAGAAATGACAGACAAATTTCAGAATTTTTATACAGGATTGGTTCAAGGATTATTAGAAAAGGGAGAAAATGGAATTTTTAGAATTGCTATGGAGGTTATCATAAAGCTCACTAGCGCTGAAGTCAATTATTTACCTAATACTTTTAATTGTGGTCAACTTGTAAAACTTTTTTCCTTATTTTCTCATCCTTTATGAAACTTTAGATGAAGCTCATGGAGATAAGTCCAAGGAGAGTATCAGACAAAAGTGTATTCAATACCTTGATAGGGCTGAGAAACTTAAGACATGTCTTCAAAGCAAAAACAAAAAGAAACCTGTAGCATCATCAGGAGGAGGAAAAGAAAACAATAAAGGGTTTGTAACTTTTATTTCAACAGAGAAAATTTGAGAAAGATTGGCCTAAAGAAGCCCCAAATTCTCACAATCACATTTAGTAAAGAGAGGATTAGCATTTTTAAGACAATATAAATTATATATACCTTTTTGGATAAAGCTATTCGCTTTTGCTACTTTGGTTACTCTACTTGTGTGGGAACAACCTATAACCCTTTAACTCCCAGATCAAATTTGTAATTCTCCTTACTTTCAACCATACAATTCTCATAATGTTAACTCAGAGAATTTAGCATTGGATCAACTAATTATCCCCAAATTGATATTTTTCTCTATTCTCATCACTTATCTGGTAGATATTGTATTGGTATTGTAAGGAGAAATTCTGTCTTGGTCACCCATGGGAGTTAAAGGGTTAAAAACATACCTATATCTAATATTATATACCTTTTATTTAAAAGGAAATTGTGAATGCTAGTAGGGCTAAATGAGTTTTATAGATTACTTTGATTTTTTTATCTAAAATTAACTTTTTACAATTTATTATAAATTTATTTTTTGTATGCTGCTTCATTATGTATTGTAAATTTATCCAGCTACCTGGTTTAATAGTCTCTTAAAAGAGATAATAATTTGTTATTCATCAATTTTTATATTTCTCAATGAATGGTTAAAAGGGAGCCAAAAATTAGATTTAAATCGATAGTCTTCCACTTTTCTTTTGATTTTTTTGGGTCAATGACTAACCCTTTCATTCTTAGGATCAGTTCTCCACACTGTCTGAGTTTCACTGAGTTTAATCAAACAATTTCCCCTTTCTTGAAATTTTTTCTTTTTGCTTGAAAATTAATTGATGTTGAAAGGAGAAATGTTCTTCTGAGGTCAGTTCTTCTAGTGAAGGGATTAAAAAAATAATAAACATGTAACTATGTGTTCTTCATTTTTTCCAACAGTGGTAAAGATGGCAACAAAGATGATAACAGTGATGATGATGAAGACGATGCACAAGCAAAAAAACTCAGGGGTCAACTAAACAGTGAGTAGTAACAGTTCAGTTGTGTCTCAGGTAATTTGCTCTACAGCTAATTTTTCTGGTACTCCTTGTCTAAGTTATGAGATGCGTTCAAATGCTCTCATGGTTTGTCCATTTGCACTGTAGGATATGTATCATTTTCAATCCACTTTGAATTCATCTTGTCCAGTCTTGACTATCCTCAGTCCTCCTTGGTGTATTTTTATCTATTTTGTTTTCTTTCCAATGTAACTAATAGAATTATATTTCTCCTTTAGGTTAAAGGCAGTTTTGCAAATCACCAAAACTTGCTAAAAATATTGCAGGACTTTTAGTGTTTTATGAATTTTTCTTGAGGAACTGGATTTGTTTTTCTTTTCTAAGGTGCCATTGTAATGGAAAAACCCAAAGTGCTGTGGTCTGATGTTGCTGGGTTAGACTCAGCTAAGGAAGCCCTGAAGGAGGCTGTCATTCTACCAATTAAATTCCCTCATTTGTTCACAGGTAACTAACAAGGCAACTTCCGTAGTTTTTACTTCAAATTTTGAAAATTAAATTTTACTACCCTTTGCAGCTATTTGTGTGCACATCATCCAGACAATTTGATACTGTGATAAAATATAAAATAAGCAACATAGATTTACTTAAACACCATATATTGTTTGATACAGGAGTCCATAATCCACAGGTAAATAGAGGGTGCAGAAAATTGTGTATTTTAAAAACAGCACATGAGGTTAATTGATAAATGACAAATTGGTTTTTACTTATCAACTAAGTTTTTATCTCTCCAGAAATTTGGTTTATACACATTACACTGTTAAGTTTAAGATAGAGAGCTTAGCTTAGATTATCTGAAATGAACAAAAAGCCAGAGTTATGGTGATAGCAAATAACTTGATACGGTATGCAAAGGCCTATTGTAAATTGTGGGCATGATGTTTTATGCTTCATTTTGTGATAACTAGAATTTTCTTAAGGATAATCTCTTTCAAGGGAAGCTTAACTACAGGTAGGTCTCTGTCTTGCCCAGGCCTAGAATGTTTATGATATCATACCCACTGATTTATCACATCATTTGAATGACAGGAAAACGAAGGCCATGGAGCGGGATCTTGCTGTATGGGGTAAGATACATGTACCAATTCATTTGCCAATGCCATGAACTCAACATTTTGTGGTAACCTATTTCAATTACCTAACAAGAGAATAAGACAGTGATATATTACAACAGTTTCCATTTTGTTTAACAGCCTCCTGGTACAGGAAAATCCTACTTAGCAAAAGCAGTAGCAACCGAAGCAAACAACTCAACATTTATATCTATTTCATCATCTGACCTAGTGTCTAAGTGGCTTGGAGAAAGTGAACGGTACTGTCTAAAACATAATGTTTTCCGTGTAGAAGTTGTCAATTAGTTAATTTTCCTAGCTTGTGATGAAAATTTATCCAATTTATTTCAAGTGTCTAATACTTATAAATAAATCCACTGAAAACAAGTAGGAAGATATGTTGGCCATTTATTGATTTACCCAGTGACATCAGGCAAACTCAAGACTGTGGCTCATGGTTTATACAACAGACCTCCTTGAGAAAAAAAAATTTTAAATTTTGCAAATTTCCTTTGATTGAGTAATCCAGGGTACCATTAGTTTTGCTTTACTTAGTGGTTCAGAAAACTTTTGTCACTCTTTCTCAAACCAATCTGATATGTAATTAAAGCAACTGTAATATAATATGTCTCCTTTTCTTGTGATTCAAACAGTTTTCTTCTTTGAGCTCTCTTTGGGTCTAACCATCAATAAAAACAATCTCATGAAAAAATCAGTACATGTTGTGGGATAAACTTCCATTACTGTGAATGAATGTTTTCTGGAGGCAAGCAATGCCATTGTGACTCCATGCCTGTCCAATCATTTAACCCTTTCACTGCCAAGATCTCATTTACTAATTCTCTCAACTGTCTGCAATACAACCGATATGATGTAAGTTTGAAGAATTTGGTATTGGATCAACTTGTAGTCCCCTAATGGATTTATTTATTCTCATCTCTTGTCTGCTTGATGTTACATTGATATTGTTAGGAGAAGTTCTTTCTTGGTCACTCATGGAAGTTCCAATCATGCCTAATACCCATCTGCTTACTTTTTCAGGCTTGTAAAGCAGCTATTTGAATTAGCACGAGACAATAAACCAGCCATTATTTTTATTGATGAAGTTGATTCCTTGTGTGGCTCAAGAAGCGAAAATGAAAGTGAATCAGCTAGGAGAATTAAAACAGAGTTTCTGGTTCAAATGCAAGGTAAGTCTTATAAAAACGACATATATTTTACCTTGAAATTTCTAAAAATCAGCAGGGAAAGGATTAGGTTCTACAGTCAGTGTAAATAAAGCATTTGCCGTCTAGAATGTGGCCTGAAAAAGAGGGAAAATAAATCCCTGTCAGTTACAAAAAGCATAAGATTGGAATAGTTTTCATTGATTCTAGTATTACATATGTTCTCCTTTTTTATTTTGTTTTAACAGTAAGAGTGCATGTACATGTAGAAAGATGACTCAAAGGCTTATTTCAGTAAATGTTTCCTACACCATTTTGTGAATCAGAAATAATTATCTGGCAACTTTTTCTCTAGGATTTTTTTTTTCATTTCCTCTCATTCTAAGAAAATCAAATAAGAGTTTTTCTAAGACCCTTTTTTCAAGTTTTTTCTCTCTTTTTGACAAACATTGTTATTTTTACCACTGGAAAAGTTTGAATTCCCCTTACAATGGAGTTCTTTTTTTGTTTTTGTTGTTCAAGCTTCTTGGGGCCTGCAGGAAAAAAAGGCTTCACAAGTTTTTGAGAATTTGTGGTATCAAGGGGTTCAGAGAAATTATCAGTGGCTTCAGGATACTAAGGGGGTTTAGAAACCATGGTACTGGTGCTACAAAATGTTGAAGATATTTAATGGTACATTTTAATGGCCAAAGGACATGGTTTCAGGTTTGAGATAAAAGGATGTATAAGGTATCTAGGGCTCAAAATAATTTGAAACTCCTCTGCATTTAACAAATCAGTGTACATTTTAGCAACTTGGTGAAGGGGGAATATGGTTTCAGGTGAAAGGTAACAGAATTTTCAAGATATCTAGGACTAAAAATAGTTTGAAACTCCATTGCATTTAACAAAACAGTGCACATGCACTTTATCTACTGACTTGTCCTTCAGTAATATTAACACAGGTTAAAGACTGAATGATATGGTGGTAATTTTGTTTGGCTGACAGGGGAGTCTTCCCTCTATTAAGAAGGACTTAAAGTGCTATTTTATTTAATCTGTTACATCTTAACTGAAGGTGTTGGAGTTGATAATAAAGATGTACTTGTCCTGGGAGCAACAAACATTCCATGGACTCTTGACTCTGCTATTAGAAGAAGGTATATTATACATGACTTTAGGATATTATTTTGCATTTCTTTATAATTATTGTCGCAAAGCATACTTGTGCTTATAAGGGATTCATACTTTGAGTTTGTGTGTGAAACCTTTAAGTATTTGACTACTGAATTCAGTTTAGATTTTTGTGATGATGATACTAATTCTTTAGTGTGATAAAAAAAAATCCAAGCAAAAAAAGGAAGAAGTCCCTGTTTCTTACACCTTTCACAGGCATAAAATCTCTGCAGTTCAAGGCCAAACTTACAAGTTTTAGTTTGTCAGTATTGTCAATCATTATTAAGACATGTATTCAATATTCTGCATTTTATGGAAAATTGGAGTAATTTACTCAACATCTTTTCTAGATTTGAAAAAAGGATTTATATCCCATTACCTGAGGCATCAGCTCGGGTAAAGATGTTTGAGTTACATATGGGAAACATCAAACACTGTATTCAACCCACAGAATTCAGGGATCTAGCAGAGAAAACTGAAGGGTGAGGATAGTCAAACTTATTAATTGAGATAAACAACCTCTGAATCATAGATTAAATATAGTTTTTATTTAACCTGCAAATCTCCAAGGTCTGTTTGTCATACATTAATTTTCTTGAATGTTAGTTCAGAGGATTTTTTTTTTAAATAAATCAAACTGTGTTCTCCAGTTTTATTTTTCTTTGTTCCTATTACCTCTAAGTTCGGCAGTGGAGTTTTATTACATGCCTGAATAAATTACTGTTTGGTCAGTCTTGATATGCATTAAATCAAGGATCATCAATATTAGATAATTAAAAGTTAAAATGCAAGCTTTGTTGAATGTTCCACTTTTTGCAGCATGAAAGCTTCACCCATTGACCCCTATGAGTGACTGGCATCATGTTACCCCTGGATCACATATAAAGGTCCCAAGAATATAGGAAACGATCACCAACTAACAAAGCCCTTGATTTTTAAACAAATTCTCCTCGTCAGCACCTTAGGAGATGCATGGAGAACAGTTTGGAGAATATGCATTCTGATGTTAGGGTGTAAAGGGTTAATATCCAAGTCTACAAGTCTTAGTTAGCACTTGTTTGTCAACACTTGTCGATTTAAAACTATGTACGCTCTCCCCATGATTTCAGGTATTCGGGTGCAGACATCAGCATTGTTGTGCGTGATGCTATGATGCAGCCAGTCAGAAAAGTACAACAAGCAACACATTTTAAACTGGTTTGTATAATGTCTTTCTCAAATTCAGGCATGAAATATTTTACTTCAGTTATCAAGTCAAAGTTCTTGAGAGCACTAATTGAAAAAGCTAAACATTGTCTTCTTTTCCCTCTGTTGCTTGAATGAAATGTTCTGTAATGTACACTACCTCTCCTGTCACAGACCTCCCACATCAAAATCCAAATTCACTGTTTTCCCCTAAGTTAAGGATCAGTGTGAAGACATTTGCTGATTTTCTCTTTTTCTTTGCACCTAATTTGTCACTGTTCTTTATTTGTGTGGTTTTAAAAGGCGAGGGGTCCCTCCCCACAAAACCCAGAAGTCATAGCAGATGATCTCCTAACACCATGTTCACCAGGTATTTATGTGGCAATTTTGTTTTACAGTTGAGATTGAATAGTCTCAAATTCTTATCCATATCTTTTATTTAATTGTGTTCCTCTGTTTTGTCAAATTCACCAAAGGTATGTGAACTTCTGAAAGTTTAGGCATTTGTCTGAACAAGCAGGCTGTAGATGAATGAGAAAATCCTCAATAACCAGTTGGATGGTTTTGACCACTGACACTTGATCATGTGCAATTTTTCATGCGTTGATTTTGTCAGAAAAGGCCTTAACATTGATGAAGATATCCTGGGTCCTGGAGACTTTCCCTGTTTGGTTCATGTTGTCTTAATTTTGACCTATGTCAACTGGTTATTTTGCCCATCCTTGCTACTCATTCTGTGGGCATTTTCTCAACCCCAAGTACAATATATATGAAAACACTTCTGAATCAGGTACCAGGAGGAGTTTTAAGAATGGAAGGCTTTTGGAAGAGATTTACAATTTTAAGTTTTTGCTGGATGAACAAATATTGGAATATCAACAGGAGAATGTTTGTCTAGTAATAAAATCTACAATCATTTTTACTATGATCATTTATTACAATGCCTTCCCTTTGGTTGCAATACCATCTTTTTGGCTTCCTTCTGCTGTGCACCTTTCCAAAAAAGATAAACCCTAGTGTTAAGGAAAACAACTTCTCCAGATCTTGACATAAGTTTTTTTTCCCCTGTTTCTTTTTAGGGGATCCAGGTGCAAGAGAGATGACCTGGATGCAAGTACCTGGAGAGAAGCTGTTAGAGCCTGTTGTTAATCTGGTAATTACTTCACAATTCTTCCCTCAGTATGCATATTCTCCATACTGTTCTCTATACATTTCCTAAGTCGTTGAAAAGGAGAATTTGTTTAATAATCAAGAGCTTCTTTATTAAGTGATCATTTCCTTTATTCTCATGACCCTAATGTTTGATTCAGGGGTCATATTGTAGGGAGAAATGAAATGCAAGTCATTCCCTGAGGGTTAAGGAGTTGGGATTCCTTCTCTTGTGGGAAGTGAGAGGCTCATTATCACTAGGGATGCATTGCATTGGCAATTGACAGCCATGCAGAAATTTTCAGCTTAAAATCAACCATCCAGAGACTAAAGGGCAGGCAAACAAAGCTGACTGATTGATCATGAGTCTTTTAAGATATTTACAAGAATGGGAATTTTTTTAAAGACAGTAATCCCTGTTATCGCACCACATAGGCTTCAACTGGTTATTTTGCAGTTTCAGTGTTTTTTAGTGAATGGTATCCTTACTTTTCAAGATATATTAACAGCTACGACATTCCTTATGACTATTTTTAGCCGGACATGCTACGATCCTTGGCAACTTCTAAACCGACAGTAAACTCTGCGGATCTGAAAAAGTTTGAAGACTTCACCAGAGATTTCGGACAAGAAGGATAAAGTCATTAGCATCCCACATTGTAATAACAACGTTTCATAGAAGTCTTTCAAAATAATCAGAGTTAGACATTTCACTCTTAATATCCATGAACCAATTCTCCCAACAGATGGGCATACATTTATTTGTTGTTTGTTCCTGAGAATCTTGGGTATTATCAGGGCAATACTTCTTTGTCTATGATTTTGTAAATTCTCACTATCTGGCTGTCTTAAATATCTTAAAATTGTAACAAGAATTCACATGTTGATCACTTAAAGGAATGAAAGGGTTGATGGAAGGGGCGTGGTCACATTTTTTTTAGGAAATTTCAGTCCTAAAGAAATATACATAGAAAATCTGGAAAGAAGCACATGATAAACTAAAATGACATGGGTATGAACCACATGGGTTCCCTTTAAGCAAAGGAAAAAACTTCAGTATGGCTGTACTTCAAGTTTATGGGAGAGTTTGTCTTGTTGCAGGAATTTTATTATTGACAGGGTGTTCCCATAAAATAGCGAAGAAAACAGATTCACCGAGAAGCGTGACCTGCTGTTAACCCTTTTGAATAATTAATTTACCCATCATTGTAAACAAGAGAAACTAAGCATCGAATTTTTTGTTATGCTTTATCAAAGGGAGGAAGTTTACTCCACGCGACATTTTATTGTAGAAAGGCTTAGCTTAGTATAAGTTTCATTACAAGAGTGGGCAAAGGCTGGAACAACAGCTGCCAATAAGTTTTATCCCCATATAACTGATCGTTGAAACTCTCAGTATACCTCTATTTTGAAAATTTTATGGGTCGCAGTAAATTGCTGTTGCTCTGAGAGCTTCAAGTTTTCTGTTTTTTTGTTACTTCGTAGGTAATTGTTAAAGAATAAAGACAAGAGGCTGTTGTAACCTCTTCCCTTCCCCTTTTCCTTCCTGTGGTACTAATTTGCGTGAAAACCATCTGATTTGACTATCCATCGAAAAGTACCATTTTTATCTTGCCCCAGTAGCTATTACTGCAGATGTACAGAATTACAAACAGCAGCCTAATGTTTTATTAAATTGGCAAAATTTCTGGTCGGAGGTTGTTGTGTTATTCCAGCTGGTTTTGCTTGGCGCACTCTAGAGAGTCAAGGATTGGGTCATATTTCAACATAATCTATCCAATACTCTCGATCGAGCGCAACTGGATTAAATGCGTCATGTGACCGAATATGCCTCCCAAGGAAAATCTTGGAAAAGTTGAGTCAAGTTAGGAGAGTGTTTTCCTGTTATTTCGGAATAATAGGAAAACTTGTTTGTACGTTATGTTGCAGTTGAAAGTCAATATCCCTTTTCGACGGTAAGCTACTCGTAAATAATCTGTTTCGCGTGCTACAAAATGATGATGAAGCACTAAAATCTTGACCTGGCCTACGCAAGACTTTTTGTTATCTCTTGATAAATAAACAAATTTGGACGCTCATTCAATCACCTGAGAAATCAAACTAAAAAAATTATTTTAAGGCTCAGCGATTAGTTTCAAATGGTGCCCTTGACATCATACTGAGTATTGTAAGCCAACATTCCCTTCGCCTTCCGCGAGCAATTGTCAAAAATTACATCTTACATAGAAAAACAAATGTGGATACTTGAATCAACAGCACAGCTTACAGAACAAATTTTATTACCGAGGAATTAAAAAATACTTTAAAAAAAAGCATATATGACTAGTAGTCTAGTGGTATTTATCTTCACGTGAATATCAAGAGAGTATTCTCTTGAGGCAATCAAATCAGTAGCAAATCAAACGTCTTTAAAATTCAACATCTTTTTGAGGATTTTGCTGTTTTGCATGTTCTCTGAAAATTCACAAAATTGGACATCATCCTTCTTTTATGATCATAAGTTCTGTTTCAAACTCTAGAAAATAGGAGGCATTGCCATAAATCGAGAGTTAACAGTGATTGGATCCAAAATAAGTGAAATCAATGATATTTTGACCTGAGGATAATGCGGAATAACGGAATTATTCCCACTGAAGAAATACAGTTGTAGAAATTGCAAAAAAAAAAAAAAAGCCGCAAAAAATTAAGCCTCGAAGTGGTTCGAACCTTCGTCCCCCTCATGTTGGGAGCGGAGCAAATTAGTTCGTCCTTTGTTACTCGTCAAGGAATTTGATCGCAAATAAATGGAATTAATCATATTTTTAACACTGCACAACCTCTAGATAACGATAAAGATTGGCATTTCATGACTTGTTATCAACTACCTGTCAAAAAATCGTACTCAGGTCGTGATCGGACCACTGTTAACAATCGATCCTCATAAACTACAGTTATTAGTGAGAATCATCTCAATTTTGTCTTACAGTGACCTCTATCTAAAAATAAAACCTAAAACACTTAAGAAGTAATCCTTTTGTCTCCTCTAGATTGACTTTCAATTATCTCCATAGTAAGTAAAATTCATCTAGCTTAGAGATGACCAGAAAAGACAAACCTTTAGCCTTGGATTGCTTTCTTAACATATACAAAATTGTCTGTCTTTCATACATTACAATAAAATGCATCGTAGTTAGAAGCGAGAATCGCAAATTAAATCTATGGACCTCAAAGAATAAAGATTTAAGGAACTGCTATCGAAAAATAAGTGTCTCAATATTGGCATCTTAAAACATTTATCTCGTGTCCTTTGTGTTTTTAATCCTCATCCGTATTTTTTTGTTCCTCTGTTGATCTACCTTATGATTCTAGCGAGTGATTCGCGAAATCAAAAGAATAGTATTCAAAAGTAAATAGTTTACTGGAACCAAATTAAAAATGTCTGTACAAATTAATACCAGTTTCCTGTTTCGGCCAGAGCACAGGTAGAGGAGTCAAAATAACACCAGTTTCCAGTTTCAGACACAGCGCAGGAAGAGGAGTCTTTGTCTAGGATCAGTTTCTGCTTTGCCTCTTGTCCGCCTCATTCTCATCATCCGTCAGTTCTTTCCTAAAAAAACATGTGTAAAGAAGGAAATTAAACGCACGTCACGATAGAGAAACAATTTCGGCTTTAGAGCAAATGGACCAAATTGCCTAAAAAATAAGACTGATGAGAAACCCGAAAAAAAACCTTGATCAGCTTTCTTCTTTAATGCTAGTAGCTCAAGGCTGTCGTTTTTCAACTTTGCGAATTAAGTTAAGGATACCATGCCTAAACCCAGTGAAGTCACCTTCACATTATCATCTAGATATTGTTTTTCACTTCTCAGAAGTTTTACCAAGAAACCTCAGCTGCTCAAAATTATTTGTCTATTCCGTTATTGTAGCTTAAGGGGTAAATATTTTGCGCACAAAAATAATATTGAGCCATGGCAAACTAATTTAACTAACCGTCTAAACCTTTCCTTTGTGTGCTGTATAAAATCTGTTAATCACTAAATTTCCAAGATGTTTGGCTCCAGAACACCGTTCACAACGAAATTATAAGAAACCAGGATAGGTTACATTATACAAATTTCGTAAAAAAGGTTGTGGTTATTCATAGTGGTTAATAACAATAAAAGCTAAGTTTTTTAGTTTGTCTCACGACGTAGTCACGTATGATGTAGATCGCGACGTTTCGACTGCATACCGCTTCTGACTGCATACAGTTAGTCTTCTTCACCGCCTGAAGAAGACTAGCAGTATGCAGTCGAAACGTCGCGATCTACATCAAACGTGACTACATCGTGAGACAAACGAAAAAAATTAGCTTTTGTTATACAAATTACTCATTAAGCACAAGCTTACCTAAATTTTTTTAAGTCAAATGTCACGTTGTCTCCCATCAACACAAACGGAGCCCACTGAGAAGGTTCGGTGAAGCCTTTGCTCCTCAACCACTTGATGGCCTGGTGAAGGGATTCACTAGCACTTTCTCCAGCAGCCAGATGTTCGTAGAAATGATTCATGAGCTCCTCTGTTGCTTCGTCTTGTATGGCCCACGATGCTACCAACACTGAACGAGCACCGGATGCTAAGAAAGCCCGAGCGATTCCAATGACTCCTTCCTTTTTAAACGTTCCACGCCCACTGTGGCAACAGCTAAGTACTACCAGTTTAGCTCGCAACCTAACCTTCGCAATGTCAGACATTTTCAGAAGGTAGTCTTCTTCTTTTGGAATACTGTTCAAGGCACAATTAGGGGAAAGGGCAATCTCCCCTCTATCAGCGTTACCATGAGCAGCAAGGTGTAGTAGACTCACTGAATGAATTGCTTGAAGTACCGCCTTCTTTGTTGCGTGCTCTCCTAACAAAGGCTGAACCCCCAGGAGTCGACCAACCATCTCTGCTTCCTTTCTTGCAAAAGGCAATGGTTCCAACTGTAAGGTACGTCCTTTGTATTGCACTTCGACAGCCATGGGATCACCCACCACTAGTGCTCCAGTCTGACTGTGACAGTCCGCTGGACATTCCTGAATGAGCCCGAGAGTTGTCAAAGAAGGAACGATTCGGATGCGGTGAGTCTCTGCTAAATACTTTCCAGCTGTTTCGTCTCGTAAGGCAGCAAAAGGGACTCGGTAAGAGCAACTCTCTGGCACAATGATGATTTCAGGCTCTGTAAGTAGATCTTGTACAGGAGTGATGATCTGTTCAAAGCACAACTGAAGAATTCTTTGGGTTTGGGCTTTGGCTTTGGTCTGGTCAACTCGCACAGTCGCTTGGCTCGCTTCATGGAGCATGGGAGTGTCGTCATCCAGAGATCGATCTTCACAATTCTCATTCATAAGAACGCCAAAGCTGGAAGCACTTCTTTTAAAAATGTCCTCCACATTACAAACTGATACAGCGATGAGAGTGTCGATTTCCATTTCGGGGCTCACTCTATACTTAATGTCTCCGTTTGCTTTCAAAACCCACAGATGAACATGCCGTTCACAATAAGAAATGTACAAAACATCACAGCTGTTTTCTTTATTTACAATGTTTTCGATCCCAAACCATGATGTTGAATCAGTTGAGATGTGGCTTTCAACTGAGAGCTTATCTCCCATTAATTCCGCAAGGCCTCTAGCTCGTCTCAGCTCCTCCACATAGAGAGCATCTCGATGTCTTCCAGTGACGCAAAGCAACTGACTGAACAACTTGTAGGGAAAATTACCGCGCCCTTCTAAGAGAGATGTTTTTAAGTCATCGTTTCCTGCGAGGAGACTTCGCATCTCTTCATATTTTTTCATACATTGAGAAAGATACAGCATTGCCTTCTCTAACTCTGATTGCGGTATCTTTAACAAGGTGATTCCGAGGAGGCTTTCAAAGTCAGTCATAATGTCTCCAATTTTGTTGCTTATCAAGTGCGCTTTCTCGAAGTACTTTTCTGATTCGCTATAATTGCCGAGCGATAGAGACACATGACCAAAGTGTAGGTACGTTCTTCCTTGGCTTTTCTATCGCCAGTGTTCATGCTAATGGCAAGGGCTTTGCCATCGTGTTCTGTAGCCTTCTGGTAATCATGAAGCGAATAAAAAAAACGTGCCAGGCCTGCGTGGCACTCTCCTTCACATTTCCTGTTTCCGCTCTCTGTGCTGATGGAAAGCGCTTTGTCGAAATGCTCTTTAGCCTGCTTATTTTTCCTAAGTGATAGAAACACAGCTCCAAGATTTATATAGCCTCTTCCTTCTCCTTCCCTGTCACCAATTTCTACCGCGATGGCAAGTGCATTCTCGTGATATTCTTTAGCCTTCCGATATTCACCGAGTGATTGAAACACGGCTCCAAGGCACCCGTAAGATGTTCCTTCTCCGTTTTTGTCGCCAATTTCTGCTGCGATTGCAATTGCTTTCTCGTGATATTCTTTAGCCTTTTGATATTCACCGAGTGATTCAAAAACAGTTCCGAGTTTCCTGTAAGATGCTCCTTCTCCTTTTCTGTGGCCAATTTCTGTTGCGATGGCAAGTGCTTTCTCGTGATATTCTTTAGCCTTCTGATATTCACCGAGTGATTGAAACACGGCTCCAAGGCACCCGTAAGATGTTCCTTCTCCGTTTTTGTCGCCAATTTCTGTTGCGATGGCAAGTGCTTTCTCGTGATATTCTTTGGCCTTTTGATATTCACCGAGTGATTCAAAAACAGTTCCGAGTTTCCTGTAAGATGCTCCTTCTCCTTCCCTGTCACCAATTTCTACCGCGATGGCAAGTGCTTTCTCGTGATATTCTTTAGCCTTCTGATATTCACCGAGTGATTGAAACACGGCTCCAAGGCACCCGTAAGATGTTCCTTCTCCGTTTTTGTCGCCAATTTCTGTTGCGATGGCAAGTGCTTTCTCGTGATATTCTTTAGCCTTTTGATATTCACCGAGTGATTGAAACACTCCTCCAAGGTTCCCGTAAGATGTTCCTTCTCCTTTCTTGTTGCCAATTTCTGCTGCGATGGCAAGTGCTTTCTCGTGATATTCTTTAGCCTTCTGATATTCACCGAGTGATTGAAACACACCTCCAAGGTTCCCGTAAGATGTTCCTTCTCCTTTCTTGTCGCCAATTTCTGTTGCGATGGCAAGTGCTTTCTCGTGATATTCTTTAGCCTTCTGATATTCACCGAGTGATTGAAACACAACTCCAAGGTTCCCGTAAGATGTTCCTTCTCCGTTTTTGTCGCCAATTTCTGTTGCGATGGCAAGTGCTTTCTCGTGATATTCTTTAGCCTTCTGATATTCACCGAGTGATTGAAACACGGCTCCAAGGTTCCCGTAAGATGTTCCTTCTCCTTTCTTGTCGCCAATTTCTGTTGCGATGGCAAGTGCTTTCTCGTGATATTCTTTAGCCTTCTGATATTCACCGAGTGATTGAAACACAACTCCAAGGTTCCCGTAAGATGCTCCTTCCTGGTATTTGTCGCCAATTTCTGTTGCGATGGCAAGTGCTTTCTCGTGATATTCTTTAGCCTTCTGATATTCACCGAGTGATTGAAACACTCCTCCAAGGTTCCCGTAAGATGTTCCTTCTCCGTTTTTGTTGCCAATTTCTGCTGTGATGGCAAGTGCTTTCTCGTGATATTCTTTAGCCTTCTGATATTCACCGAGTGATTGAAACACTCCTCCAAGGTTCCCGTAAAGCATTCCTTCTTTGTTTTGGTCGCCAATTTCTGTTGCGATGGCAATTGCTTTCTCGTGATATTCTTTAGCCTTCTGATATTCACCGAGTGATTGAAACACTCCTCCAAGGTTCCCGTAAAATGTTACTTCTTTGTCTTGGTCGCCAATTTCTGTTGCGATGGCAATTGCTTTCTCGTGATATTCTTTAGCCTTCTGATATTCACCGAGTGATTTAAACACAGCTCCAAGGTTCCCGTAAGATGTTCCTTCTTCTTGCTTGGCGCCAATTTCTGTTGCGATGGCAAGTGCTTTCTCGTAATATCCTTTAGCCTTCTGATATTCACCAAGTGATTGAAACACAACTCCAAGGTTCCCGTAAAATATTCCTTCTCCTTGCTTGTCGCCAATTTCTGTTGCGATGGCAAGTGCTTTCTCGTAATATTCTTTAGCCTTCAGATATTCACCGAGTGTTTCAAACACAATTCCAAGGTCCCCGTAAGATATTCCTTCTCCTTTCTTGTCGCCAATTTCTGCTGCGATTGCAATTGCTTTCTCGTGATATTCTTTAGCCTTTTGATATTTACCGAGTGATTCAAAAACAGTTCCGAGTTTCCTGTAAGATGCTCCTTCTCTTCTTCTGTCGCCAATTTCTGTTGCGATGGCAAGTGCTTTCTCGTGATATTCTTTAGCCATCTGATATTCACAGAGTGATTGAAACGCGGCTCCAAGGCACCCGTAAAATAATCCTTCTCCTTTTTTGTCGCCAATTTCTGTTGCGATGGCAAGTGCTTTCTCGTGATATTCTTTAGCCTTCTGATATTCACCGAGTGATTGAAACACTCCTCCAAGGTTCCCGTAAGATGTTCCTTCTCCTTTCTTGTTGCCAATTTCTGCTGCGATGGCAAGTGCTTTCTCGTGATATTCTTTAGCCTTCTGATATTCACCGAGTGATTGAAACACGGCTCCAAGGCACCCGTAAGATGTTCCTTCTCCGTTTTTGTCGCCAATTTCTGTTGCGATGGCAAGTGCTTTCTCGTGATATTCTTTAGCCTTCTGATATTCACCGAGAGAATAAAACACGTCTCCAAGGTATTGATAAGCCACTGCCTCTTTCCTTTTATAGCCGATAGTTTTCATGATAGCAACTGCTCTTTCAAAGAGTTTCTTGGCTTCTACCAACCTACTCTTTTCTCGATATTTTTTTCCCAGTTTTATCATTAATATTCCAGCATTGTGGAACATACCAATTAGTCTGCTGGTGTATCTTGCTGCGTTTGTGTAACCAGAGATTGCGTAGTACGCATTGAGTATCACCTCATTCACATCAAGGTCATCAATACCACAGTTCAAATTGTTGAGCAAAATTAAACATTCACCACACACCTCACTGGCTTGTATACCACGATCAGTCCTCAAAAGAAATATGACCACATTTATGCCTATCTTGATCTTTTCTAGGATCTCATGCATGTTATTCATCTCTTTTGCGTTTATCAGAATGGTCCCTGACGTGAAAATATAAAAAAGGGAAAAGTAAAGAAACTCAAATGACGAAAGAAGATGAAGGTTTTTTTTCTGTTTTTTTTAAAGGGCATTGTTTTCTTTCCGCGAGGGTTCGTTGGTTTAAGTGCAACATTCATTTTGCATTATTTTCAAGGCTAATCACTTGAGCACACACAACAATCCTTGACAAATTATGTCGGAAACATTTGTTAAACATCCAATTTAAAGATCCGATCTAAGCAAAAGGTTTCGACCCTCTCAGCTTTCGCTCGTATCAGTGTCACTTTGACTTGGATTTAGAATACGCCTCGGATCAGTGTCAAAGAATGTTTGACTTTTTTCAGTTTCCATGATTTAGAATACGCCTCCGACGAATGCGGGTCAGTATATTCTTTTTAGTTACGCCTAGAGCTTAATTTTTCCAATATTCGTTTCACAGAATAAAAGATTAGATTTATAATGGTAAAAGGACCGAGTGGAGTCCAACTGTAATTATACGAGTGATAAACAAAAGGACTAAGTTTGATTGGATGCTGCAACTGTCCGATCACAGGTGTCCGATTACAAATGCATAGAATGATCATTAAAAAAAAGTAGCAAATGTACCATCAAATTTGAGGAATTTGTAATAGTTATGCTTAACAAGAAAAAAAATTAATGGCCAGCGGCCATGGAACTATTAGAGAGAGACAGCTTACCTCTAAAACAGTCACATGGAGTGTTCAGTATCCTCTGGTTACCGTCTGACGAATGAAACCAAATGTAAAAAACTGAAGAAAAAAACTTTCCCTGTCAGTGATGAATACAAATAAATAGCGTTATTCCAAAGTAAGTACCTGCGGATCAACCTTGTTCGTTTGTCTCACGGTAGAGTCACTTATGATGTAGATCGCGACGTTTCGACTGCAATACTGCTAGTCTTCATCAGATGATGAGGTCGATTGTTTACGTGTCGCTATTTGTAGCACGTTGGTACGCTGCTATTGGTGCATTTCGATCCTCATTATTATTCCGATCGTTGGATGGTATTCCCTCATAGGTCCTCATGAATCGGCTCTTGTGTTGTATGATCGTGGGTATCCAAGCTTCGATTTTGCTATCCCTATTGATGTTGTTGAGATGAAGTCTTATATGGATAGCCTCTTTGACCTTACGTGCGTACCAGTGGGGGTCACGATCAATAAACTTCATAAATCGACTCGTTAAATTGGAAATATGTCGATCTTACGACGAAATTCAAGAGATCGGCAATTTGTGTAGGTGTTAAGTTTGTGCGGTTAGCAAGATCTATCTATCTGCTTTAAATGCCATCGGTCTAATAATATTATGATAGTTAAGATTTTAATGATTATAAAGATTGTAAGGATTATTTATACCATAGTTCTAACAATATCACATTTGTAGAGATTTTAATGATTATAAAAATCGCCACGATCAAACAACACAAGAGCCGATTTATGAGGACCTATGAGGGAACACCATCTTACGATCGGAATAATAATGAGGATCGAAATGCACCAATAGCAGCGTACCAACGTGCTACAATTAGCGACACGTAAACAATCGACCTCATCGCCCGATGAAGACTAGCAGTATTGCAGTCGAAACGTCGCGATCTACATCACAAGTGACTATCGTGAGAAAAACCAACAAAGTTCATCTCCTATCTTACACCACGATGAACAATAAGCACATATTTTATCACATTGTTATCAATTGACTGTTGTTGGGTTAGGGGAGGGTAGGTGGGCAGTTGCCCAGGTGCTGATACTGATCCGGACTTGCTCCGTTGATAAAAATATTTTCATTAGTAAAAGATTGAATCTCTTGGTCTTGACATCTGAATTTTCTGCTCTTAAAACTTAAATTGTCAGACTGAATGATTAAAAGGCAACTTCTCCTTTTCAACACCATACATTAAGATGCAAACAGTTGATGAGAACACATTATGTGATCAGTTTAATTACATCACCTTAATTCAAATCAAATTCTCTAAAGTTGCTGTTAAGAAAATGTGTAGCAGTTAGAAGGGAGAATAACTAATAAGATCTTGGAGGCGAAGGTTTTAAATTAAGTTTTATTTATTTTGCCCGCAGACTTATATTTATGTCAAACTTTATCGCGGAAAATCCTCCTCGATTTTTGAGATTATTTCGATCGTTAATACTCCTATCATTTATTGCGGCAAATTTCCGTAAAATTAGCTATGATTTTTTTAGAAAAGTAGAAACATTATCTCTATAGTTTTTTTTAGCTGCTTACCTTTCAAACAACACCTGTCGAGTTTAATGTGTTGATCTTGTGACCAAAGAAACCAAAAGGAAAAAAACTGAAATAATACCTGTGAAAGAAAGATGAATGCAAATAGCAAGTGTCGATAAAAAATAATCACAGAAAATCTCTAAGTTCGTTTAGACTACTGCAATACCAAATCTTCTCTTTTTGGCTGATTACCCTATGTAAAACGTAAAAAGTGCCGAGTTTGGTATCCTGATCGTTTCACGAATGATACCAAAATTATGAAACTTCCTGCAAAACAAAAATGATCGAAATAGCCGGTTTCATAACAATGTTGTTAACCTGATCATGAAAAAAGTTATAACTACCGATACACTTGGAATAAGGAAGTCGAATCTTTCTCGACTGAGATTGCTTGAAATTCTAAATCCTCTATCATAAAAATTTCACCGAGTTTCGGTCCAAAATATTTCAATTTTCAGATACGAGGAAAGTTCGTCACCTGAGCTTTTTACAACCTCTTACCTTGCCAAAAAATAGACGTGTCTTTTTCAATGTTCTGATCGAATGGCTGTCGAAACCAAAATCAAGAAACTGAAAAAAAAAAAATTCGTGCATTACAGAAGTTGATAAAAAAAGGCTCGAGTGAATACAAATCAGGACTCTGATTAGTAAAAGGTTATAATACTGGTAACAATCAAAACCCTAAAAAGTTACAGCATATTGCTAGTGTTCGGGCATAGTGCATATTTAAATCGTAAAGGAACCACCGGAGGACAATGGTTGAAAACATTCTCTCTGCAACTTCCCCATAACTTGATTAAAAACACTGACCAAACCAAGTTTCGGCCCATCTGTCAAGAAACAGATCGGACGAAACAGCTATGCTGCTCTTGATTTCCATCTAGAGCAGAAGTGTGTGATTAATACATACAGTGAGAAGAGTACTGGATGCACGTGTATGTGTAGTACATTTTGTGTATATTTTTCAAAATTTCTTCTAAAAGGCTACGACGTGAAATATTCAAGTCGACTTCTTATTTCTTTTTTTTCTTCGGAACTGAACATTCTGCAGCGAAAGGGAAGCTTAACTGTGCATGAAGCCAGTGAGTCCTTTTAAACATTTGAAAAAATTCTCGAGACAAATTTGACGCGGGAACAATCTTCGTTTCCAAGGCTCAGAATCAGCTTGTCTGTCTGATTTCAGGTAGACGCGTCCGAAGGAAATTGTGACTAGTGCTAGACAAGTGCTAGCCCTGAAGTTTAATATCGATGTAAATGTCTATAATGCGCGGTGTATTTGAAAATTATTTTTTCTATCTATTTGCGTTGTTTTTTGAATTATTTGGTGTCATTTGATCATGGATATTCATTCCTTCGCTCTCCTCTAAAGAGTGCGTCATTATTTAGCCTACAATCATCACGTATGATTTTCGATAATCGCCCTCCTTTTTCAATGATAGAATATCGCATGGGAATTTCGTTATTTTAACTTGTAGCTTCAATAAGTTGCAGCTTCTAAATAAGCCTTTAAAAATGTGAAAACTGTTTAGTATGCACGATTGTCGAATTGTTATGATATAATTACGACGACACGATTGATGTCGGTGTTGTATTACAAGCAGATCGATCGTAAGAAACAATCGCTCAACCCTTATCTGCTTGGACGTTCATTTACCACAAGCTATCTTGTTCTTTACTGAGATTTTTTTTCCCCTGTGATATTTAGCGATGGTATAGTAATCCCTATATTGGTAATCCACCGAGTACTAAATCATGTAAAGGCAGAAATACTTAAAGAGGCTTGAAAATATATTGTATCAATAACAAAATTATTTTGATATTGGACAGATAATACAGCAAATTAATCATCTCACATTGTACTTACCACAATTCGATTTCTGAACGGTTTCTTGTTTTATAAAGTAATACAACCAACTTAAGGAATCAAATTATTACCATATGTCTATCGGTTTTAAAATACTGGTGGCAGATTTAGGCCACCCCTAAAGAGGTAAAATGGTTCCACCCACCCATCCCCCCTTCCTCGTAAAATTTCATATCTGGCTAAACTCATGATATGATTCAACGGAGACCCGGGGGGAGCCCTTACAAAATAAAGTGCTGGAGGGACGCCGTGTGTTCTCTCAAACCTCGAGTTTATTTGTGGCGGTCTTACACGTACGTGACTCTATACGGGAGACCCCCAATAATAGATCACAAACACGTAGGACCCTTTACCCTTAACATCAGTATCCATATTCTCCTCACTCTTCTCTTTACGTTTCCTTTGGTAGTGACAAGGAGATTTTATTTATGAATCATAGCTCTTAAGTTGGCGATCATTTCCTTTATTCGCATGACCTTAATGAATGATTCAGCGGTATTAATGCGAGGAAAATATGATCTGGCTACTCCTAAGGTTTTAAGGGCCGACTATGAACGGTCAGCACATCATCGAAGCATGGTCAATTTATGGTGTCATGCGTTGGTTATGCACGCGTTTCTTTTTCTAGGAGCACGGTTATTAACTGAGTCAGGAGTCGAGTCTCGAGCCGGAGGGGAAAATATCTGGCTCTCGTTTATTACGAAATGAACGCTAGAGATATGTAAACAGACCTTGTCCAAACCTTTATTATATTACTTTAAATAAGTAATAGTGAGACACATAACATGCCACTTTTTTTATTTGAGCTTCTTTGCCTGATTTATGGTAATATCGACGAATTGTTTACTATTCATTTTAAATCAAGTAATTCGGTTCGTACGTTTATGGCAGCCATAACTTATCATCTAAGTTACCTATGTCCATCTGTTTGACTGAACGATGGCACAAAAAATGTTTTTCAACGGAAACGAGAGGAGAGCCTGAGAAAACTCAAGAGATTGATTATTGCTCGGAAAAGTAACAACCGTGGCCATGTCAGCAAAGGGCTCTGCATACGAGACAAAAACCGATATTTACCTACATGTGTTCCTGTCGAACTTTCGGCTTAAAACCTAAGAAAAATAAAATATTCTTGGAATACTTTGAAGTGTTTTCAACCCTCCGCTTCGGCTGATCTGTGGTAGATTTGAATCAACCTCCTTCCATGATAAGTAACTATTCCATTGTAATTTTCAGCTGAACTCCCGATGATTTCACTTTCAATTATCCTTTATCTCAGTATACTAGACTTCCAGCATTTCTTGCAGTAGCCAATTCTGAGTCTTTTTACATAATTGCTGGTCATGTTATAATCATAAATACGTATTACATAATAATTTGGGGTACAGAAATACGTCACATTCTTCAGAATTTCTGTTGTCACTGTCAAACGTATGCTCTCAAAACACTATAAACTGAAAATGAAAATATATAACTGTATTCTACACTCTCCTGTTGACCCTTTAACTCCCAAGATCTGATTGAGAATTCTCCCTGCTAGCTACTACACATTTCCTTGTAAATTAATTGCAAGAATTTGGTACTAGATCAAGATAACAACTTCTACCTGACAAGTTTGAATACTCTCATTAACTAATTGCTGGATAATATATGGATAATTTAAGGAGAAGTTACATTTTAATCACCTCTGGGAGTTAAAGGGTTAAAGTCTAAATTATGAACATGTACCAACCATAATTAAACAAACTTTACAATTTCTAATTTCATTTTGGTAGATCACAGCCACACAAGGATGGCAGAAGTATTGCAAGTTTAGAATATTGGAATGTAGTTATCAATTTTGGATTTATTTCTCTGAGCAATGCACTCAGCTATCCATACAATATTGCGACACTCCTGTTCTTTTAGCTTGACATAGGCATAAAACACACCCAGATGGAACTGCTGTTGGAATGCTAGAGTGTTCATCTTCACCTGTGAGGAGAAAAAAAACAGGCTTTACCTTTTCATACCAGAGATGTGATAAGAAATTCTCCCCCTGTAGTTCCTTGACATTTCTTTGTAACTGTTTATGGGAATCTTGCTTTTTATCAGTTACACAGCTGTCAAGTGGTCTATTTTCGTTACCCGTTTGCTAGAAAACGTGTTGATATTAATGGGAGAAATCAAATGTTTATCACATGTAGTACAACTGTTAAGACCATTACTGATCAGTTCTAGTATAGAAGTCACGTTTGGCAATTCAGCTGATGATGACCCTGTTCAACAAGTCTTCTCCCATCTCAAATGACTATCCATCATGATGACTTTATACATTGATAACAGGAAAAAAAAAAAAGAAGAAAAAAAAGAGGGTAAACCCAAAGCCACCCCCCTCCCATATCCCCTGCATTTTGTTTAGTTCCCCCTAACAGTTCATGAATAACCATTTACATTCATATGTAGAGAGAGCTGTTGTCAGAGTCAACTATCCCACCCAGTAATATGGTACAGAACCCTTGGTCAAGGTATTTTAAATACTGAGTCTAGTGCATGCTAACCAACAGACTGATGTATGTAGTAAGAAACTGGGTAAAATGGCCACAGGTGAAATATTGATCAGAGGTAGAGTGGAATTTTTTCAAACTTTTTAACAATGAAATTGTCAAATCACACTCAATTCTACAATTTTCTAAGTCTTGATCTCTTTACATACCTCATGCTCAAAGAATTTATCTTCCAGTGTCTTTTCACCAGGATTTGTACCAGCTCCTTCAAAGAGAGACTTGTAATCCTGTGAAAAAACCAAAGTACATGTTATCACTGAAAGGTTAAGGATAAAAACAAATCAAATATATCTAGATGACAGTTTATTGGATAAACCTCGAAAGCCACCCCATGCTACACCATGTGGCTTTACTTCACTGACTGTTACATAATGTATGTGAGCAATTTACAAAATGTTTCAAAAGAGCATTTAGGAAAACACAAGGAAAACCATGCTCTCTCAACAGAACATGAAAGAAAAAAAACTTGAACAAAAGAACAACTGTTATTGAAAGATCATAGACCAACAAGGGCTTTAAAAAAAATGAAAAGAGAGAATTGACTGATTGATGCTTATGAGAAAACAACTGTGCACATGATGGGGGGATTGACAGGAGATCACAGTGGTGAACTGCAACAACAACAATGAAAAAAAAAAACAACATTAAACAAACAAGCACTGTGTGACATGAGAACCCTTCCATCCACACCTAAAATTTTAGCACTCAGACCAGACTTATGTGTTATAGATCATTTTCTGCTTTTTTCTACTCAGCCAGTGGAAAACACAAAAACTTAAAGGAGACAACATTTACACTCAACAACCTTTACATGTTTGAAATGCAAAGTAAAAATGTACCGAGTAGTAATCTGCCACTGCTCTGACTTGTTCATAATCATCGGCTCTGGCCAACCTAGACAGTCCCTCTGGGTACAGCTTGCCGCACTTGGGATAAAGCTTGTTACGATCATCCTTACCAAGTTCAGTGCCAAAGGAATTGATGGTGATAATGAAAGCTCGACGATCAGCCTCAAACTAAGAAATGCATTAAAGGAGAAGGAGAACATTTCAACAAATTAATCCTTCTATACCCAGGGTAAAGTTTAAGGGGGAAGGGTATCTGAAACTGCGTGTGACCCTCTAGAGTAAGAAAAACATTAAGTATTTATTCATGATTAAGTATTCTAGTATTCTCTCTATTTCCAGTTGGACACTACTGCAAGACACCACATTGAAAAACCCTTCCAACAAACCTGTTAACCTTCTACACCCTAACATCAGTATGCATATCTTTGCACATTTCCTAAGGTGCTGACTTTGCCCTAGCGACCTTAAAGAGTGATTCAGGGTTGACATTGTAAGGTGAAATTAGATGCTAGTCACTCTTAGGGGTTAACTTAACTGTTTGAGGCAAAATGCATCCAGGCGATGATGGCTCTCCATGTATGTGCTAAATGACATACATAACAATACATTCATACATTTTCCCTCTTCTCTAATTGTCCAAAAAAAAGTGTAAACTTAAATACTGTTCAGAGACTTAAAGAAAAATCTCACTTACTTGAAGAATTGGGCACATGACATCTGCTGTTGTTCCACCTAAATCTTCACAAAACTTGTGGAAGCCTTCAAGGTATGCCTGATGATAAAAATTACCACATAGAAGTTTAATTCTCAACACAATGGAAACAAGCCAGGGGTGAATGTACACTTCCATTTAGAAGCTAGGACATTGCTTTGGAAAGAAATGAGGAGAAGAAAGGCAATTTGTATGTTGACAGCCAGTGGCACAGTGCTTAGGAAGTTTAAGGTTAATGTTTCTCACTATCTGTGTTGTTGTTGAAAAATGAGTTTCTGTATGAAAAATCTCATCTGATGATTTATATACTCAACAAAGAAAACTAAAAAAAAAATAGTTTAAAATCATTTCAACCTGAAATTCATTTTAATGAGCAACATCCACAAGTATCTGAAGTCACCCTGGCTCACCTTATACAATGTGTTTCTGATAATCTCAATATTCATCTCATCTAAGTCCTGTTCAGAAATGCATTCCACAAAAAATGGTGCTGGAGATCAAATAAAGAACTACTTCATTAGTCTTTGTCTGTATTCCACCATCAAGAAAAGAGAGGAAAGAATACTAACCCAACAAAATTACTAATCACAGATCATGATCAACACTATTCCATGCACACAGATGATGACAATAAAAATTAAAAAAATTGAAGAATATCATATAAATGTAAAGAAGAATTTTCAAGGCTGACCAACAAAAATTATTCTGTAAGGAGAAATAACATTTTTATATTGTGATGTTAAGGCAATTGGATAAGCACACATACTGTACCTAAATGTGTTCCCATTGCTGGATGATCAATTCTTCATCTTAACTAAGCAGCTTAACTGCATTGGAAGCAACTCCACATGCTGATAGTATTGTTTAAGTTTAGCATAACTGTAATTGTTTCTGAGTTCTAAGAGTGCTGAATTAAGAAGCCAATAAATCATTAAAGAGAAGACTTGTCTTTGACAGAATTCTCACATTAAAATCTGTGCTAACCTAAAGGAGTGTCAATCATAACAGCATTGTACAACTCTGCAGGAGTGGATGCGATATTGATGGAGGCCATTTCCTCAAAGCTACCCAAGGGATGACATTTGGGGACCAGTTCTGATATGGGTCGCTGATGCAGTGTTCCAGTGATCAACAGAATGATATTGTCAATCATGTAACTATACCTAAAAATCAAACCAATAACTTAACTTAAAAATGATGATGCTCAAATTGTAGGCTCTCCTGTGCAAGTCATACACACACAAAGTTTACAATTACAGAGGATCATAAAAAAACCACATTATATAGCACTTCAATCCAAGCAACTAATAAAAACAACCTCATGATAGGCTGCATTTAAGAGCTGACAAGTATATTTAAGCCTTGATGAAAAAATACTAAAATATGTCGGGCAAAACTAAATGAATACATTCACTGTCAGGCCATGAATCCAAAAAATTGTGGCGATAATAGGGACAAAAATAAAAAAAAAAGAATATTTAGTAACTCTTTTCCTCCCAACATCTGATTAATGATTCTCTATGCTAGCTGCAACACATTTCCTTGTGAATAAGTCAAGAGAATTTGGTGTTAGATCAATAAAACAACTTCTAGTTGACTCTGAAGATGACTTCCGCTCAGGTTGTTGAAACATTAGTCACCACTACCGACAACAGTCCTTCTCAGGACTACACTTACCTGGATGATCAAACAACACTATTACAAAACAACTTCTACCTTACAAGTTTGAGTATTCTCATTACCTCTCTGTTGGATAATTTAGGGATATTAGAAGGAAAATTTAGATGATAAGCACATCTGGGAGTTTAAGAGTTACATGTGTAACTGAGTTCAAAATGAACAAGTTGTCATATCAACAACATGGTGACTTAGTGAGGTTTTACTTTTAAGACCAATTTAATGGCTTACGTAATGAAGTCCATAAAAGTTGCCATTGGTTCAAGAGCTTGGTTGCGTAAATGCCTAAACTCTGTGACCAACTTCTCCCTCAGTCTGTCATCAATAACTGACACATTCAAAGGACCAGCCTCATTTTGAAGAAAATTTCCATAATCTGTGCTTTGCAAGTGTAGCTTCAGATCTACAAAAAGAAGAATCAACTTTAAAATAATTTAATGCCCACAGCCCAATTGATATCTTGTGTTGACTCATGTAACAAAATAGGATTTTCCAATCACATTCAACTCATCAAGTTCTAACATGAACAACAGCACCTTGGCAAGTCATCATGGCATTCAGTAAATAATTTGCAGTGTGCAAATTTTGGGCAATATTTCCCTACAACCACACACTAATTTAAAACAAAACCATAGTCCCAAAGGCAATCTATTGTTTCGCTATTCTTTTCTTTATCCAAGAACTGTATACATAATGAAGTAATGGGCTGTACAGAAATCTTACCAAACTTTTTTAAACTACTCTAACGAATATAGAAATGATCCTCCCAGTTATGAACACTACTGAACTAGTAGTTGAAATAAGGCCTGAAAAAATTCAGGTCTATACAGGATTTGAACCCATGACCTCTCTGGTGCAGTGCTCTACCAACTAAGCTAACAAGCCAACTGGGAGCTGGTCATTATGTTGGATCCAAATACATAAACATTAATTGCATAAACATAAAGAGCCTGTCATGATTTTCATGTTTATGTAATGGCTACATTCATTGTCGCAATGTGTAAAGGCACAAAAGTAAACAAGGCATTTTTCGTGTTCCTTTTCGTGCTTATTTCAATTTGCAAGCATTGAATTACGATTACATATATCAAACTTTCTGAATTTCATACTTCCGTTAACATTACTACAATGTAATGTATATTTTATGAAAATACTGATGATGCACTAGTAGTAATGTATACGGCCATAAAATAACTCTAAAGGATATTTCAACTGTTAGGCTATGGCATTAGATTGATTTCTATTTCGTCATCAAACATACGAGACACAACACGGCGAGTAAACCAAAATTAAGCTTACATGCGAAGCAAGTATCTACAGTGTCTTGTACTGTTAGATGCTAAAAATATTCGCTAACTTTTTACCTTCCAGCGTTTCGCATTGAGACAAATTGAGGTAATCACTTTGATTTAAGATTCCTGATCGAAATCCTCGGACCAAACCCTCAAGATAACCACTATCTACGTTGAAAAATAACTCATGAAACGACAACATCTGAGTTGTCTCGGCCATTTTTCCCCGTTCCAATATGGCGGACAATATAAACCGAACCAGTCTTTCCGACTGTCACAGGTTAATCATGTGATTTGTCACGTAAAGCAATACGCAGTCGTCACGCAACGCTCGTCTGGGAATCTCAGCCTAGTCCTCCTTCGGTCTTCTGCTCGTTCAAATTATCAAGCGCGGGAAAACATGGCGGAAAGGGTCATTGTAGGAAATTATTGTTGCCGTGTTTAACAGTTCGTTAAAACTAGTTGTATTACGAAATCCGTCGACATTAGCTACTTGAAAATTCTTCCGTTGTCGTAATGGATCCTTCAGAAGTAGAATTTCTAGCCGAAAAGGAAAAAATATCTATTCAAACTAACTTCTCTGAGGACAAGATTTATTTGATCGGGGTAGGTGTATTTATAACCAAGAAAGAACGATATAAATGAATACTTTTGTTTTTTAATGAGACGAAGAGACGCATTCTCGACGAAGGCTATTTGCCAGGGCTCTTTATTGGATTACTGATACTGAGGATGCAACGCTTGGAATAATTCTGTGTACGTGAATTATGTGCAGGCTTCTAATGGACGACTCGACCACAATTTTCTATGCTATTTTCACTTTTTGATGCAATTTACACTTTCTGATTTGCAGGGAGACATTGGACCATTTAATGCGTCTCTGCCTACGGAAGTACCCCTGTGGATTGCGATATTTTTGAAACAGAGAAGAAAATGCAGAATACTGCCTCCCGATTGGATGGATGTTGGTAAAATGTTGTTCTCAACTCAGATTACAAGTAGTACAAATTTTCATTACCAAAAGAGCCATTAAGGGTGCTAAATAAGGTGGAGAAGCAATCATAGGCCCAAGAATACTCCAACACTATTTTAAACCACATCTTACAAACAAGGTCTCCTCCGTATTAATGCAAAAGGGAGAAATCGAGAAAACAATCAGACATGCTTCTGAACGCCAGTTGGACATTTATGCATGGTGCTTTTACTGGAAAAAGCTAGTTGGGTAGATTCTGTAATGTGCTTGGGTAAGATGCCTTTCATTCCTACTCCTGTAGGGGAGAGGGGGATATTACTTGCTATGAACAAACCTATTGTTACTACAGAAGGATTAAGGACCATAGTTGGTTCATGCTGCAGAAATAAGGATAAACTCTGGTGGCTAAGCAGTGCAACCTCAATATGCAGACTTAACTGCTTGAAAATGCCAGCTTCCTCAATCATTTCACTTCTGTGTATCTGTTGTAGACCACCCAGCAACAAAATTAGTTACCTGCAATTGAAATTCATTTTAATTGCCTTTTTTTTCATTTATATGCACATTTTTGAGGGTGGAAGGTGATATACTTAGGTTATACCCCCTGGCCTTGCTTGCTGTCTTTTAAGTACTAGATTGCACCTTAAATGTAATTCTGTGGTCAACCAATTTGCTGAATCAAAATTGAATCTTTTTTTTTTTTTTCAGAAAGGTTGCAGGAACTTAAGGAAAAAGAGAAAGAGGCAGATTTCTTTACCAAAATGCCTTCTAAACACTACATGGAAGTAGCTTCTCTTCTCCTCAACAGGTATGTTTTAATTAAGTATGGTAAAATGGTATGATTAAAAAATTTAGTAAATTAAGTTAGTAACATGAATTGGTTATTGCAGAAGGAGCTTTCTTGTAGGGTTTATTATGTAGTGTTAAGTGACCTTCAGGTCAAAAAGAGTTAAGTTTCTTTTTTCTTGTTAATCAGTGTTCATCAGTCTGGTAACTAAAGAAAGGGAAATGCAAATCAAACCAGTTTAAAATCATGTATTAACCCTTTAACCCCCAAGAGTGACTGGCATCTAATTTCTCCTTACCATATCACCTCTGAATCAAACATGAAGGTCGTGAGAATAAAGGAAGTGGTCACCAACTAAAGAAGCTCTTGATTGTTAGACAAATTCTCCTTATCAGCACCTTAGGAAATTTTTAGAGAACAGTATGGAGAATATGTATACTGATGTTAGGGTGTAAAGGGTTAAGTTTAATCATTGATTTTGTTTGATTTTCAGTCAGTATGGCATTAGTCAGTGAAACTCATAAATCATTTAACCCTTTTCATCCAACCATCAGTACACATATCCTCCATACTGTTCTCCATATATTTCTTTAGGTGCTGACAAGGATAATTTGTTTAACAATTAAGTGCCTCTTTAGTTGGTGATCATTTCCTTTATTCCCATGACCCTAATGTGTGATTCAGGGGTGATATTGTGAGGAGATAGTAGATACTAGTCCCTCCTAAGGTTCAATCAGTTATTGAGTCCATCAGTCAGTCAGTATGTACAACTTGTGGTTTCAGTGCTTCAGATGATATTCCTCATGCAGATGAAGTTCGCACATTAATTAAAGACATCTGGGACTTGAGAATTGCCAAGCTTAGAAAATCTATTGACATTATGGTCAGCCAGCAGGAAGTTTATGCCAGAGTAAGTTTTTTCCTGTGACATGCATAGGGTTTCCTTACATTTGTGATGGTAAGGAAGTGATCTGGGACTTGATCATAACTATCAGAGAAGTGATACAGAATACCAGAACCTCTCCCATTTTCCTTAGGATTAGATGAATGGGATCATGCCACTCTTCCCCCATGTGAGATCATAGTTTTGCACACATAAAGTGACACAATTTTGTGATTGTTATTAGGACTTTTACCTGCACTATCTCAAAATTTTAGTGCGCACACTATCAGGCCACAAAATCTCCCTGAACAAACAATTATAAACGAAAAAAACAGATACAATATGAAACATAGCAAGTGTGTAACCTGCAGGGCAAATGATTATAGGGTAGGATATTGCTTTGCAATAGTTTGATCACTTTTTACTGATATTTTTTGTTTTGTTTTCACAGTTGGATGATTTGTCATTGATGGAGATAAATGTGATTCGCCCATTCCTGACACAAGCTCTGGATCATATGCACAACTTGAGGTGTCATGTTGCAGAAAATCCAAGCAACACTTAACAGAAGGTTGTGAAAAGATTGTGACTGTAACTGTGACGTAACAGAAGGTTGTGAATTCAATGCATCACACTTCAGGGTGTCTTTATGTCTGTTTATACAACCACTAGAATCTAGTAATAGCACTGTTCTTACTACACTAGTGTTGAAACAGTACAAGTAGGTCTGGTTTTCCTGAAAATAAAAGCAGAAATCTGCAAGTAAGCTTGTAAATACACTAAGATGCTGATCTTGAAATGCTGTTAGTCTGGAATGTGACACTTCAAGCTACAACAGTTACTTATATAGTTGCCATGGCAAGTGAAAATGTTTGGTGATTAAATTTGCAGTTTAAGTGTAATCTGGAACAAGTGTCTTCTTAACAAAAATGTAATTAATAGCTACCATGTGTCTTTCTTAAGGCTGTATTCTCATTGGTGAGTGACTTTTGAAAAGCAATATTTCACTTTTCTGGGGACTCTGTGGGTAAATTATATCAAACTGATCAAATGGCCAAAACACAAGGTGATCAGAAACAATTAGTTACTTCCTAGAAAAGTAAACTTTGCTTTAGATTTTGTCACTTAAATTTTTCAGCTAACAAATGAGGATGGTTAGACTACAAACTGCTTGAAGCTTGGAAAAATGCAATTACCAAACTTGAGATTTTCTAGAGCTGAATCCAAGAAAATTTCCCTTAACTTTATGATGTTTCCACCTTAACTCAGACCACCCTTTTTTTCCAATCTGGTCAACCCTCTTTTCTGGGTGCTACAGACCCATCCCACATCAGACCCATATCTAATGAAACTCTGGAGACAAGGGGGAAATGATGATGGACATGTCAACATGGACTCCTGCCTCCTGTAAGGGTGGTGAAGATGTTGTGTAAGCATATTTCTTACAATCAGATGCATAGTGCTTCTTTCCAAGACATATTACTGGCATTTTGGATTTGCAAAGTAAAGAGAGGATTGGGAGAAAATTATATTTCTGCAAAGGAGGTCAATAAGAGAAAGGATTAAGGTGGCGCACAGAGGAAATTGCTCCATCTTTCCTTACCCTCCCTTCCCTACCAATTTTTACCAGAATAAAAAATTGCTTGGTAATTTTACTAACTTGCACTCACCTAACCCTTTAACCCCTTTAACTCCCACAAGTGATCAACATGAAACTTCTCCCTATAATATCCTTACATTATCTGACAAATAGCTAATGAGAATACTCAAACTTATCAGATGGAAGTTATCTTTATCTAACACCAAATTCTCATAAGGGATGTGTCGAAAGAAAATGTCCTTGACGACTTAGACTTTGGCAGCAACTGTAGTCTATATTTATTGTATCATAATAGATTTCGCCAGATCACTGTAAAGCTCTTTTTGTAACGTTTTTATATTTCAAAATACTGTATACCAGCAATATAATTTAAAAGAATATGTGTAGCAGCTAGAGGGGAGAATTAACAATCAGATCTTGGGAGTTAAAGGGTTAACATAAGTGTGACCAGAACACAATTTCTATAATTTATTTCTGAATCATTCATTAAGATCATGGGAATAAAGGAAATGATTACTAACTTAAGAAGCTTTGATTGTTAGACAAATTCTCCTTGTCAGTGCCAAAGTAAATGTATGGAGAGGAGTGTGGAGAATATGGATACTGATGTTAGGCTGTGAGGGGTTAAGAGACACCTGCAAAGTAGGCTAATTGTTTTTCATATAATTTATTTACTTGTCAATGGCTTAAACTTCTCTTCATCAACATTACAGATAATTCTGGAAAAGCATGGGGAAAAAAAATTAACTTTTGCACACAACATAGAAATATTTGTTGAAGCTTAAAAATACATTAATGTATGGGCTTTAATATTTTAAAAGTCTGAAAGTTTTCTGACACTTTTGTGTCTGTGCATAATGTGAGAGCAAAACTTTGTTTCTTGGGAGAATGCAATGAAAATCTAGTTCTTAAATATAGAATCTTACATCTATTTTACACATATATTAGCTTTTTAAACTGTCAATAAAGAAATGAAGTCTATCTAGACCCTCTCTTAGTGTGCTCTTTTCTTCTTGAAGTTTCTTCTTGGCTTGGACAAGATTCTGAAGAGAAAAAATGCTCTTTAAATGGATTGAATGAAGTTTACGTAACAGATATGGCAGAACAATTAAATGCTTTAAGTACTTCCAATCAATTCTCTTAAGCATGGTCATCAGAGAAAATAGCAGGCAAAACAAAGGCTACTGTAAAGCATCCTCAAAATGTTTTGAAATCTATATGATAACATGTGCTTGATGCAGGATGTAGAAGGCCAAAAATATACGAATTAGTAATACTGTAATGATGAACTCACAGGACTGGTTATTTCAACAAAGTTTAACCATTGTTTATCAAAACTGCATTCTAAGCCATCTCTAATTGAGCCAAATCCTTTATCTGAACATTAATTTTTGTGAACTGTGTCAAGAGAGCTGGAAGCTAATAAAGGAAGGAATCCCTGAGGTGCACTGCTTTTGCAGTTTGGGTTTAACCTTGTGTAAATAACCAACCCACAGTGTTTGAGCAACCATCATGGAATAAGCAGTTTAATCATCTGAACAAGGCCAACACAAAGAAAGAGTCGAATTGTGTTGGATTAATTTCATTCTATCAACCTTCTAAAGAATCATAATTATTAACATCTTTAAATGGTTAATATATCTCCAAGAGGTGCATATATATTGTGTCTTGGAGCACTTTTAAATTAAGCGTCATAAAACCAAAATCAAATCAATCAAAATTATAACAAACAATTAGAACAAAGCTTGAGACAATTAGCACTCAGACAACAAGAACTCAAAACAAAATAGATGCATAAAAGCTATCAAGTTTTCAGTTTGTTTCATTGCTTCTGGATAATAGAGAAAATTGAACAAGTCTCCAAGACCAATCACAGTGGGTGGTAAAATAAACTCAATGCAGCCTGCAATTACTTTTAACCCTTCATTAAAAATTGCTCCATGCCCAGCTACTAACTTACCGTCATTTGGAGATTAAGAGCCTGTGCCTCATCATTCAGGGAAACATTTTTGGATTTTAACAAATCAGCATTGTCTTGGAGAACACCTATTTCCAAATACCTCTCTGCAACAAAAGAGTTGGAAGATAAACAAGACAACATAAGTACGAAATAAAAAAAAGGAAAAGACTGTGCACAAGCCATGTGCCTCACATTGAAGAGCTTATTCCAGTTTTAGGGTCAGATCAAGAGGGAAAGAGTTGGGGAAGGGGGGGGGGTGTGTGTTGTGGTCTAAACTTCTTTATCAGACCTGTGTTTTTTCCTTTTATTGCTTGTTTCAAACCAAAGTTCTTACTTCAACAGTATTGCTAGATTACTTTGTAACTTGAAATATTCAAATTTTAGTCATCTTGAAATATTTCTTAGTTTACTTGGGTTATAGTGTAAACAGATCCTATCAAGAGAAGAATCTGCTAGGACTTAATCAGTTTAATTTTAAATAAATAATAGCATTCTCCAATTGTGATTACAACTCCAACTCTAACTACAGCTAAACCAGCCATCCAAGAGTGATCTTACACCTCAGCCAATTCAGAGGGTGATTTTACATCAATTCAACAACACTTTGTGTGTTAAATTTCAAGAAGAATCCTACCTGCCGCATGTGCGTAATAGGATTGCATGACAGCCTCAATTCCAGACCACTTGTACCCTTCCTTTCCTTGGGATGATGACTGCTGCCCCTCATCCTAAAAGTAAAAGTTGAGAAACCACACCAAGTTACTCCTAAACTTAGGTTTGGTCTCTTCTATATGGGTACACTTCCTCTCCCATCGTTTTTCCTCAATAGTGCATTGCTTAGCTGTTTACAACCAAAAGCTTCACAAGATTCTTTAACAAATTGCTTGATAAATTGAGTTTACAGCAAGATTCAACAGTTAAGAAAACGTTATATTAAGTGTATGTTGATGATAAAAGATTTTAGGGTCACATCATCAGAAATAAAAATTAAAACCCTGTGATAATTTACCTAAAAGTATTACAAAAAGTGTAATCACCTGGTCATGTGTCACAAATCTATCTTAGGCTGCAACACAGATGTGAGTATTTTTTTTTATTAAAAAGTGTACCACAGAACAAATTTTTTGTTCAATGATTTTGGATGGCAATAATCAATTTGAGAGGGTTATGCCACAATATCTTCAATCTCATCAAGGCAGGAACAAAACTATCCTCACCTTGGAGGGTTCTCCTTGTTTATTTCTAATGCTATTCTGCTGGTCTGACAAGGGTAATGGTCCAAACTGACGTCCTTGTATATTGGTTGGGTGCTGTGAGAGGTAATCTCTTGTCTCTTGTTCACTAAAAGTGATCCCTACACTTCTCAGGGGCTCTGGTCGAATAGGCTGTGTCACAGTTCTGTGGTCAGCCCTGGCATGAGAGGCAACATTCCCATGCTCATGTGAGATTGACAAGAGCCCTGTATGCCGAAGATATGGCGGACGAAATTGTGATGCACTGATGTTGCTAAAAGGATCTTCCATATTTGTGAGTGATTGAAGAGTTAGACGAGGGGGGACATGGTTAGAACTACTGCTCATTGTAGGACTTTGTCGAAATCTTTCATCACTGCTGCGACGAAAGGGTCTATCAAATGGATATGAAGGAATCCTTTTTTCAGCTTCCTCAAGTTTTATATTAACTGGTTGTTGTTTTTCTAGATCTTTGTTTCTGTTTTCTTTTCGTTCCTGCTCCTGTAGTAGCTGTTGCTTTTGTCGAGTTATTGGTCCAGTTATTGTGTCTGGGTCCAAAGAGCCTTGGCTGTTGTCGGAATCTCTGTCATTCTAGAATAAAAACAGAATGATTACACAGTCAATCAATAACAACCTTCCTCTTTTTTTTCTGTCTGGAAACAGAGCTGATCAATGCAAAAAAGGACTGCAGATAACACAAACCAAACTGGCCCTTTTCAAAGAAATCCCAACATAAAATCATATCAGAAAATTAAATTAAATTCCAGAATCAATCAGTCCAGCAACTATATTGAGTATTGATCCTGGGTTTATGTCCTTAGCTTGATATGACACACTAACCTCTTTATCCCTTCGTGCTCTTTTTGGAGGACGGCCCCTACTTTTCCGGTTCTTCCTCTCATTTCTTTTGACCTCGTATGTTTGCTCCAGCTCTGCAGGGAAGTAATCAATATTAAGTAGTCACATTCCAGGGATCATACATGGCACAAGCTAACATTGCAACTCAAATTCACCTGTCATAACTGTTGATTTCAAATTAATTAATTATCAGAGTGTTGTGCTTAACAAGAATTATTTCAACCACATCAAACGGCAACTTGACTCTAACAATGCCTTTCCTGGCCCAAAATTATAAATAGGTTCCAGTGAATAGACAGGTTAACCTTATGAACTACTTGGTGGCCAACTGCAATTACCATCCTATTCAGGGAGCAGTTGCCATTCTTAAAGTTGTTTCTCTTTTTAAAGAAACTGACTAGATAAGTTTTGTCAGCTGTGGGGGTCAGTCATTAAAAACCTAACCTATTATCACCAGACTGTATCATTGCAGGAACAGTGATACAATTCATATTTTTGAGTGAGCATTACCCATCATTTAAACTGATGAAATAACTATGATCAATTATTTATCATTTGCTACAAAAAAAAATGCACATGCAATGCTGGCTTTTATTAGTGGCAAATTCTTGTTTCAAACTTAGAAACACATTTTGACTGAAAGGATAACTTAAATAAACCTGACTGTAGGTCCCAAAGGTAACAAGTGAGATACAAACCTTGTCTTTTGCTGGGGGGTAACAGACCAAGCTTAGCCATAAAGTCAAGCTTCTGTTGATGGAAAATTGAAATTTCAGTAATTATCTTTTTTACTCTCAAATAAAAAATAATGCCCGATTTGCCATTAACAATAATTAGAAGGAATAAGGACAATCCTTTCGTATCCTGAAAATATTTTCAAGAATACTAATTCATTTTTCCCATACAGATGCCAAATCTTTTTCCTGAACAAAGAGATGACTCAGAACATTTGTGTCACAACACCACCAAATTAATGCACAATCCAACTGGCATAATTCCATATCCCCAAAAGCAACGACAAATTAACCCTCTTTCTGTAGCTGTTTATGAGAACTGGTATTCCCACAGAACTTGCTGTGCTCTGTTAAAATACGTTACTTTTTCTCACAAAAAAACTCAAAATAACATTGTTCATATCTTCGCACCAACACATAATATTCTTCAATATTTCCCAATGATAGACTTTTCACCAGTCTGATGTTAGCTAAATGATGTTAATGGACTAACCTCTGGACTGGGAAGAGATGGTGGTGTGTTTTCAATGTTTTCATCAATGTTGCCATTAACATTACTGTCGTTCATCAAGTTGTTGGGGGAATCAATGCCATTTTCATTATCATGATCACCATCATACTTTCTCTTGGAGTTTGTTCCTCCTTGGCTCAACTCTGCAATAAAAAATTAATGTACATAAGAATAAGCAAAAAATCTATAGAAATCTAAAAATTATCACTTCTATTTTACAAAGGGAGATTTCATCTCAAAGTGCATCAAAATTTTAAAGCAAGTGTCTCCAGCCTACTGGAATTGTAATAGAAATATGTCATTCCCCCTCACAGCCATATGCTTCAAACACTTTTTAAAAAAAATACACACGATAGATCAGCAAATGGCTTGAATTCTCAACAGGAACTATTTTCCACACGACAGCTAGAATTTAAACAGCTGATTATCTGATATGTGACAGGGGAAGATTCTTGGATTATTCTATGAAAAATTGAGACAATAAGGGATAAATCCATAAATGGAACTATGAAATAAATAAACTAAGCAGAGTAACACAAAGACAAGTAAAAGCTGGGTTAGTGTGTGGTGAACTTCTCTTAACCCTGTACACCCTAACACCAGTGTACATTAATTCTCAGTACTGTTCTCTATACATTTCCTAAGGTGCTCACAAGGATAATTTGTTTAACAATCAATCAATCATTTAATTAGTGATCATTTCCTTTATTCTCATGACCTAAATGTTTGATTCAGGGATGATAATGTAAGGAGAAATTACTGGTAGGTACCAGTCACTATTACAGCTCAAAGTAATAGTCTTCATCATAACTTGGTGAAATCAAATTAACAGTTGTTACCTTTTTTCTTTCCCACAGTTACAAGCCCTAGCCCTTCAAGAAACCTTAGTTTAGAAGGATCATGTCTAATCTTGGGAGGAAGCTCATCTACCACTCTCTCAACTTTAATTCTTTTGGCCAGACTGCTAGGAGATGACCTTTCAGTTGATTTTGGTCTCTGCATATCTACCAAAATTATGTAGAGGACAGCATTTTCATTTTACAATTTCAAAATTAAAATAGTTACCCACACATAACCTTCCCTGTATACATTGTATAAGTTACCCTTGTGTTGATGAAAAATGTCATTAATTGTAGGCTAAAATACAAAGGAAATAACCAAAAGGAAAATAAAAGCCAGATTTCATGATCAATTTTCCACTAGATGCTATTTTGAAAAAAAATTACAAACATTTAAGCTTATGTAAGAGATTCTCTCTGTGATTCAATAAGCAGACCTCTCTCTGATTCTGTAAGGAGAACTTCTGTCTTGGTCAGTCATGGAAGTTAGAGGGTTAAGGGTTGATGCTTGACATTTATAGCAAAAAAAAATAGTACACCGGCATTCACTTTCATGTTCTCTGTCACATTTTGAATTGAGGACTGATGAAATCTACTTGTGCCCATATGAAACACTGTAAAAATTATGGCAAGTTGTCTTTACCTGCAGGTTTGTATTCTCCATTGACAAGTACTGCCAAGTCTCGTCGCTGCCACTCCCTTTCACCACCACCTCTTTCAACCCTTGGCAAATTTCCATGAAAACCTTCACGGGTAAATGGATGGGAATCTAAGAAAGGTGTGTCATGCAACCCTGGCCGCTCTGATGGTCCAACAGAAGATCTTCTCCCATTATCAGGCTGAAGATGTCGAAGATCTAATTCATTTCCATAACGATCACCAAATCCTTTTCCATCAGGAGGTGGATGGTGAAAAGGATGAAAAGGAAAGCCCCGGTACAGGTGATCTGCCTCCCTACTGGCTGCCATCCGAGCCAAGGATGGGTCCCCTTTGTGAGGGTCAACTGAAAGGGGGCTCTGATGAGGAAAATTAAAAAATCAATCAATTAGGAATTGAGGAAAACTGTCCTTGAGTTAGCTTTTTTCAGCACAAAAATGTCTGGATTTGGTCAATTCTCTTGTAGACACAGAAGGAGTGCACTCTGGGATTTGAGTCAGAAGCAACTGAGAGTATTAAATGCAAGACATTACCTTGCTGGTGTCTAAGCGCTGTTGGTGATGTGGCTGAGAATAACGCAAAACACCTAAACCTCCAGGTTTTTCTTGTGGTAGGTGATGTCTTGGCCAGTCCTCTCCAGGTGCACGGAGGTTGTCTTTCTGCTCAAACATCAGCCGCTCATGCAACAGGAACTCCTACAAAGCAAGAGGCATATCAATACAGTGTCAAGCAGGAATGTAATGAGAAAAGGAAAAACCAACCAAGGGAGTTTGCTCAATTCTGGCACCAGATTTCCAAAGCTAAAATTATAGGCTGGAAATGTATGACAGGCAGTATGGGGAAGTCATTTTTAGATCTCAAGTGAAAAGGTTTAAGATGGGGAAAGAAACGTTGAGATCAGTTACTGGAGTATACTAACCTGCCTTTCTCGTTCTCTGACAAATTCAACATGCCTCTCATCCAAGGGGTGTAGAGGGTAAGGAGCATCCCTTGGGGGGTGCACCATGTATGGATGAAGAACAGGCACCTCATGTGTTGGGAGAAACATCCTTTTGTATTCACCAGGTCGTGTCATCTTGGACACCATTATGGGGTCACCTCGAACATGAAGCCCATGACTCCTAGGTGGCTCAGATGAGCTTGATGACGGTGCTCCACCAGGTGTGCCATGCCCATGAACAGGGCAGGACCCTGGTTTGTGCTCCTGGTAGAGACCCCGCTGCAGAGGTGCTTCTGCAGTACTTCTTTTTGGCTCTCCTGGGCCACTTTCACTTTCTTTGTCTTTCTTTGCAGACTCGATAGATTCCTAAATATTCAGAGAGGGAATGAATGAAACAATGTTTTGTAGCTCTTTCTGAACAAGAAAATGACTTGTACCCACATGTAACAAAGAAGAGGAATCTGCCAAATTAGAATTTCAAACAAATGGTGATTCTAAGTTGAACTTATTGCTCTGGTCCTGTCTATAACATAACACATACATGTAAGAGCATGGTAAAGATGTAGTAGTAGTGATATGGGGATGATGTCAACCATGATGATGATGATGATGAGAATTCATCAAGGTTTGAAATATACGTAACTTCCATTGCTTTTCAGTCCTTTAGACCCTAATAGTGCCAGCATCTAATTTCTCCTTACAGTAATTCTGCTGAATTATCCATTGAGATAAAGAGAATCAAGGAAATGATTGCTAAGTAATAAACTTGGATTGTTCAACAAATTCTCTATGTCAGTAACAAAGAAAATGTACAAAGAAGAGTATGAAGAAGATGAATACTTATTGTTGGGTAAAAAGGTTAATTAAATTAGTTCTTCAGGAAATTAACTTATTGATTAACAAAATAAAAGAATGTAATTTCACACCTGCTTCCTAGTTTCACGAGACTCAGGATTGTCCCCTGGCCTTAAATGTGGTGAGTTCTTTCGAACAAATGGATCAACACTTCCCGGAGGTAGATGCCGCGCTGCATCACCAGGATGAGCAATAGGAAGGTCATAAGGCTCTATAAGCACTGAACCATCTGGCAGAATAGAATGACGCTCATGCTGTTGACGTAAATGTTCTGCTGCTCTTTGCTGCCTCCAGGTGCTAAAACGGACGTCATGGGGATCCAAAACCTGCAGGGAAACAATTGGGGACATTTCATTCAAATTGTAGATTAATGATATCACAGTGATCATGGTTTTTTTGGTGAAGTTAAATGATATCTAAAGCAATTGACAATGGATCCTTGAATCATTCACTATACAAATAAACTAGATAATTTTATTACATTCAATCTGGTGATATAAAAATTATCACCAGGATGTTGCCGAGAGGATGTCAATCATATTGCTTTGTGTGCTCTCTTTGTCAGTTTCATCAGAGTTTTAGCTTCAGGGAACCTAACTATACAGCTCTACCAACAAAGAAATTTTTTTCTCTCTCACCAAGGTAACAATCATACACAGACTTGTTTACTAAGTCAAATAATGACCTGTTGATAAATAAGTGGTTCAGTGAAAACAGCACCATTTCACTCATTTCCAAAAGTGGAATTTGATTAATTTTCTTGTTATACAAAGAATAATCATGGAGAATCATGTTCATTTTCATAATCATAATTATCTTACCGCTGGAGGGTATGGTGTTGGATAAAATGCTGGTAATATATGGGCTTCTGGACCATCTCGTTTAGAGGCCAACAAAGGAGGGGGCCCAGGTGGATGGGGCCCTCTTGGGACATATATTGGCAACTCTGGTTTAGCCCCATAAGCAGGATAAAAGGCTACAGGAGCATGAGGAGGTTCTGGACCAGGGTAGTGCTCTGACAACATGGGTACCTCTGAATGGCCTTAAAAAGATACCAAAGAAGGTAGTTAGGAATAATAGATTATATTAACCATTTTGCTGCATTGGTGGAAATAAAATCTCATATTTTAGTAACATTTAGAACTTATGTGAGAAAAAATAGTGTTCATCTATATAAAAAAAAAAAAGCCATTGCACCCATTGCACTGAACAGATTTAAATGTACATGTACAAGTTAATGCTCCTTTTTATATATTAAAAAAAACACATTTATTTCATGTTTTGGACCTTGAGAAGAATATTGGTCTTAGACAGCTATATAGCTATAGGTCATATATACATATATATATATATATTTTTTTTTTTTTTCCGCATGGTTTTTTTTTTTCAACATTTTTTTTTTTGATCTCTCTAAGATATTAGCTAATGTTAAATAGCTACCCTGAGATTTGAGAGTAAATAAAAGTTGTGTATGTAAGTATGTGTATAAATGTAAGTATGTATGTAAGTATGTCTATAAAATCCCCTTGATGAGTGAGTAATAATGAAACAGGCTTGTAGGGATGAAAGTATAGTCCATTTGCTTTTTCCCCATCTCAATATATAATTATGTATGTATGTATGTATGTTGAGATCTTTCTGTGACCTAAAAAAAATTCAGGATAAAAAGGAATCCCATAATAAAATTATATCAAGCTAGTCTTAATTTATATTTTTTGTTTAAGGATTAGGGTAATATAAATTATCTAAAACAAAAGAAAACATAAACCAGACAAGTTTAAATAAACTTAGCCTGGAATTACTCTTTAACTGCATCATACACTACATAGATATTATATATATGTATATATATATATATATATATATATATATCAAAGACAAAAATTAAAATTCAGCCAAACATGTATCCGCTTTCCATAAACAAGTGTAATTGACAAACACACTCTTGTTTTTATTTTAATGCTTCAATAAAGATTATGTCCATATTCCCAAGGAAACCAAGATTTGGCTTTAAACAAAATAAAATTCTGAATCAAGTAAGCCAGGGGTATTATTTCTTATCTTGATGGAATACCCACAAACACCATGTTCTGTGATTCAATCTCAAATATTTCAATATTGAATGTAGAAGATACAAAAGAAGTTACTCCATCAAAATATCCATTTTATTTTGTTTTGTTTCTGGGGAAGCAGAAAAGCCAAAAAGGAGATAAATTCAAGTTTCTGTTTTGATGGATTTGTGCTTTCTTTTCATGACAAAATTTAAATGAAGCATTAAATAAACAGGTTTTCTTAATCTGAATCAACTACTGGTAGATATCTGTTTGTAGATTAAAATGACTTCCCTTTGATCGCTCAAATTAATTGACAGTGAATTGACACAAAATAATTTTTCATCAGAATTGCAACATATATCTTGAAGTGAAAGAGTTTCTTGTAGGAACATTGATAAGTAGCATTATTGTCAATGACCTGCTATTCAAGGCAAATAAAAATGTGTTTTGGTTTCATCTACTTATGAGAAACAAAAGTCTGAACCTCTAAGATCAAAGCTACAATCTTTCAGAAAATCAGAATAGGTTGAAGTTGAATTTAACCCTAAAAGATAACCTGGAAACCTCAAAGAAATACAACACACTATATGATATTTAATGGTTCCAATCCTTTTGATATGAAAACCTTGTGCAATTATAAATAACCCCCTACCCAACAGGAATAAATATTTTTCAAATTTTACACAAACCTAAGTGGGATGTTACCTTGTTTAAACACAAGGAAAATGTTCTCTGCTGTATGTGCCACAGTTCACATGAAAAACCTGGATCAAACCTGACTGAAATCACCTTTAAATGTCTTGAGAAAATCCACCACAATTCACTGATCTTATTAATTATTCAACAACAATGAAAGGCATAAGGTTTGAATTTGTTTGGAGATTTCTACAGTTCTACCCCTTTGTCACTTTGCTAGGCAACTGAAATTTCCACAAGAGGAATGTCTGATCATGAATAGTGAAATCAAAATTTTTTGAACCAATTTCCATGTCCTTTCCAATTCAAAAAACACTGGAGACTTCTTTTGTAATCCACCTCGAGGTGACTCACACCATTTTGTCTCTTGTACAAATAATTCATTAACTTATGCTTTTAAAAAAACTTCTGTGTGATCTGCAACATGAGAATACTGGCAGTACATATTTTGCTTACCCTTGTTGATTAAAAAACTGAAAGACAGGATAAAAGGTCTAGCTGTGCGACATGCTGCAAGACCGCACAGTACTCATGGTTGATGTTATGAAGAGAACATAGTCACATACAGACAGGTGGTTTTGGGTAAATTAAAATAAACAAGGCTAAAAAGTGCAAGGCTTATTATTCAAATAACTCCCTTCCCAACAAGGAAAACAGACAAAATCACTATTAAATCTCCCCATACAGTAGACTCTAGAACATTAAATCTTATTTCAACCAGACACTGAAACAACATGGATTTGCAAAATTAACCAAGATCAGAATTTCCTTGTAATCAAACCATTTTTTTTTTCCTATGTCCTATGCAGTTCAATTCAAATTAAATACACAGTACTTACAGTGCCACCTGGAACACTCTAGAGAGAAAACTAACTACTTGCTTTTGTTTTATAATATCATGGAAGCCCTACCTCTGGGAACTGTAGAAAAGACACCTGGCATCACTTCACGGCCCATGCGAGGGTGGCCAACTTCTGGCCTGTGGGGACCCCTGTTTGATTCACGTGTTTGCTCGCCTTTAAAAGAAAATCAAAGAACACACCATTAACATACTATGTGTTAATGACAATTTTGTTATTGTACAAATTGTTCTATCTACATCTATTAGATAATTATCTTGTAGAAATAGCATTATTAAGCTGACAAAACCTCCTGTTTCAAATTAACACAAGTGTGACATTTGTTACTTAATGGGATCACTTGTAATACATTTGCAAATCTTCCTTGTACACAGGAAGAGGGAAGGGCTTGTGGGCATAAAGTTTTTTAAATTTTTTCCTTCTTATCTTCATCACAGGTTGTTTTATTTTTGCGGCACATAAACATTTATGGTGTGTATCAAAAATTTTGTTCCTTTCGAAATCAGTTAAAAGTAAAACTGAAGAACAAAATTAAGTCAAAAGGATTTTCATAACAAATTTACACAGCTGAAATAAAAAAATCATTTTTCACAAAGGCTGTCATTCTAAGTTGGATTGGGATATTTGCAGTTTTAATGCTCTGCTCCTGAAGCCTCTGATTTCTTTTTTAAAACAATTTTCTTTTAATAAGGAAATTAAAATCAAACTGGAAAGGGAGTACTGTCTCATATATCTTCATAGTTTGCACCACATGATGCCTTTATTTGTTAAAATTACATTGTATAAAAAGCAAACAGGAGGCTAAAGAAAGAAATCTGTGGGAGACATGTTGGTGTAGCAGTTAGCTAGAATGCTTGACTTTTTTGTGTTCTTGGGTAGCACACTTTGTTCTAACATGCTTTTCTTCACTGAGGAGAATAAATAGATCAATATCCCCCTCTAGAGGGAGTGACAGCACTTCACAGTACTTTGCTCTACTGAACACAGGATGGGCTTTAACACTTATGGGTCCTTGGCCAAGCAAATTTCGCTTTTCAAAGGAAAAAAATAATCCTTGAATCCCAAAGTGCGATCTGCACAATACTTTGCTCTACTAAACACAGGATGGGCTCTAGCACTTAATGGCCCTTGGCCAAGCAAACTTTGCCTTTCAAAGGAAAAAAAAATAACCCTTGAATCCTAAAGTGTGATCTCAAAAAGAACATTTCACTCTACCTGGCCGGTGATTTCTGAGATCTGGATCCACAACAGGGGCCGACGGAACAGGGGGTGTGCGGACACCAATTACTCCTGGACTTTGATGACCACCTCCTTTATCCTTTGTATTAATTTCTGTTTGTCCTGATGGTGGTGAGGTTCTTGATGGAGACATACCTGATAACAAAGACAGATGATTAACATGTTAACTCTCCCTATGATATTAAGGTATAATCCAGCAATCAGGTAATGAGAATAGAATTGATTAATAAGTTAAACAATTTTAATAAAAATATAGATGAAGAGAGTCAAAACACTAAATTAATGCCAGCCAAAAATTTTAACTTGTTAATTTTTTTTAAGGAGCCACATTCTATTCTTTATTTTGTTCAATTTTTTTCCTAGTTGATTCTAGAAAATACATCAGATAAAGGTGACCTTTATCAGAGAATCTTGTGGCTCTAAATGTTGACAAAATCATTTACCTGTGCTTTTTGTGCTGATAGCAGAGACACTTGGTGAAACAGAATGAGAGCTGCTATCCGATGGAGTGGGAGAAGAGGCTGATGCAGGAACTGGTTTAGCTTGTTTTGCTAGTTTTCTTAGTGCTGCTGCAAAACTAGCTTGACCTCCTGACATTGACGAGTCAGTTGTTGCAGGAGTAGAATCTTTATTGTGTACAACAGGTTGCAATCCAGGTGACAGAGATGTTGTATAGTGCATGGGGGACGCATTTGAACTGTTGGTGCCCAATTTCACTTTCTTGTTTTGCAGCTGGGACGAGCTACCATCACCTTCACTTTCCTCACTGGAGTCAATGACTATGACACGTCCTTGGCTAGATTTATAATCTTTGACTTCACTCTCCAGAGGATTCTAAGAGTTAAAAAAAAAGCAAAGAGACACAAAACGGAATGAGCTCAGCCATCTGACTGTCAAGTATGATTAAAATGTAATTTCTCTTTATTAATTTAATACAATATTAAGCACACAGGTGATCACAATTGATAAACTTCTCAAATTGTAGGTTATTTCTTTTTGAAAATAACACCAGATTCTTAAAGCAGTCCTCACACTGGCAAAATGGGATTTGCATAGTTTTTGGTGAGAACAGTGTTTACGTTTACCCTAATAATGTAAGGAGTTTCATGTCCAAAAACCTGTTTAACCTTTAACCCTTCAGAGTGACTGGTTTCTTATTTCTCCTTACAGGTTTCCCCTTGGATCAAATGCAAAGGTCATAAGAAGAAAGGAAATGATTACCAATTTACAAAGCTCTTGATTGTTAAATGTTTTGTTCGATAATTGTTAAACAAATTCTCGGTGTCAGAATTCCGTGTCAAATTCTCCGTGTCAGAGAACATAGAGAATATATATCGTATCAGAGAATATAAAGATCATATGGAGAATATGCTTACAAATATTTGGGTGTAAAGGGTTAACAGCAAATCATAGTGCAGCAAATTTCAAAAATAAAATATTTCTTTCCTTCAGACTTCATAGTGTAGCAAATTTCAAAAATAAAATATTTCCTTCCTTCAGACTTGTAGCATGTTATTTTTATTTTGTGGTTCAGTTCCTATGTCAGAACAAACTTGACATTAGACTTTTAATCCTATCATCAAAGTATCCATTCTATGCACTTTCTGCCATACATTTCTCATTAATTTTATTGCTAAGATTTTGTTTTTAAATCAAACAACATAGCCAAGTTGAGATTTTCCTTTCTTCGCATCAGCTTTCTCTAAGAAAATGTATTGGTACTGTGAGAAGTCGCATATTAGTCTCTCCTGGGAGTGAGAAGATTAGTATGTGATCCATACTCTACAAAACCCTTGACTCACGATATGTATGCTAGCGCAAAGAGTTCTCACTTCCTCTCTAGACAGTGATCAATATAGATCTATTTTTCAAACACCAAAATAACATTATTGACAAGCTGCAATGAAAGCCCTGGAGGAAAAGGAAAACCATCATCTTTCACATGTTAGTGGAATAGATAGTTTGTCTAGATCTCAGCTGAAAAAGGCTGACATATCTTTACTAGCATTGTATTAGGGGTCAAGATATTTTTAGACTGGTAAAACTACTTTGAGCAATGAACTGTACAAAGATAAACAGTCACATATGCTGGATGAAGCTTTTGCGCAAACAAAAGAAATTTATACCAAAATAGCAACCTGCCTTAAGGCAGATGTACGACTTGTGATTTATTTGACACAGAAATAAGGCGAGAGTCATGCAGTATAGCTTAACACAGTGCTATTAACTCATGTGGAAATAATCATGCAAATTTATATCTGATTTTCAAACAATAGACAAAAGAAATCTTATATCCATAATTGAAGAAAAGTTCTAATTTTTCTTTCACAGCATCTCCTAAAAATGGATAGATTACTTTAAAAATACAACTTATCTTGGCCCCAGAAGAGATTTTAACACCTATTTAACTACTTTCAGCTTTTTATGTATGAGATTCACAATATCTTCTTATTGTGAAGACCATTAATTTTGCATCAACATATCGTCTCACACAACAGCTTTCAATCACAACATGTTTTCTCTGCCATCCCTTATAAGATATTGAGGTAATCACATTGATAAATAGTCCTTGGGATAGTAACACAATAATATCTAGGAAAAGCACAAATGCAACCACGATTCCCCTGCAATAAATACACCTACACTAACCTTTCATGTGTCACAGTGGTCAGGAGAAGGTTGAATGTAATTCAATATGTTTTCATTATTGCAAGCAAAAGTGATCACAAATGATCATTTCCTTATAATGTTCCTTTTGAATTTAATACTGCAGTTGGCTGCTATCAAGATTTATTTTCTAGGTTTTGTGAACAATGAGAGACACACACCATATATCTATAATTTAGAAATTTGCAATTAGAATGATCAGCTTTCCCCAAATAAATTACCAACTACGATGAAGGACAAACAATGGATGAACCTCATGTTGGAAATACCCAAGACATGTGCTTCACAACAACAAATTCTAGAATTAAAAATAATATAACCAATTACACTCCTCACAGGAAGGAAATTCAGCAAATTATTATTAGCAGAAATATTGGAAGCCATTTAAGTCTAAAGACTTGACTTCATGGATGAATTGTTTTTTTTTTTCACATGTGCCATCTTACCCTAAAACAACATCTTGTATAAACTGCCTTTTTCTATTCATTATCCATGAAAGAACTGCTCAGAATTGAAACCTACCTCTGGGAAATGTCTCCTAATTAGAGCATAAGCAGAAAGAATTAATCTTTTCTCATGATAGAGGCTGATTTCTGTCAGTGATTCACTTAATGATATTCAGCAGCTTAATATATGCTGATATAATAACGGCTTGGTGCAAAATTAAAGCCTACAACTCTGGGCACTAATTTTGGCTTGGCTTGATTAGCATAAGCTGCCATATGTCCTCTCCAAACACCAGCTTTAATATGAATTGAAAACGTTTTGAGACAATAATCTCAGTTAATGTCATGCAAAGCATTTTAGCAGGTTTCGTTCTGGTACCTATTGCTTCCCTATTGTTCATAACAACAAAACTTATTCAGTATATCAAATTGTAACCCTGAGAGTCTCATCAGTGATAACTACAGTCGAATTTACCCCAGGGAGAGACTATTTTAGCACTAAAGATCAATATGAACACATCAAAAAATGGTAATACCTTCCTAAAGCCTGATTTTCTTCCTCAAAAAAACTTCTTGCACTGACAAGCTCAATATTACCTTCTCTTATTAATTATTCATTCATTGTATTGCTTCTTTATTCAGTAGGAGAAGCCAAACTAAACCATGCTCTCTCAAGCTTGTATCAACAAATACAAAGGACTGTTCAAGAAAACTTTTGTATTTCACAAGATTAAACCTAAAACAATAAAACCAGAGCAGAGATACTAAATCTCCATGAAAAGAAAGCTAGATTCTATCAGAGGCTAGGTGTTGCTTTCTTATTTTACACATGCCACCTGTTCTTCATTGTTCTTTTCATATGCAAATCACTACAATTAACCAACCACATTAACAACCACCTTTATGTTTGCCCGCAAAGGTCTGAAAGAGTACTGAATTCATTATGGCGACTACGTCAGCCAAAACCACTGAGCCAATGACTATTGTGACCTCTAATTAATGGCCACAGCATACAGCAGAGAAATCCTTTGATTTCAAAGTCAAAATTTATCTTGACTAATAAGGAATGCATACAAATATTTTGTATAATTAGCAGATGAAAGGAGGCACAAAGCTTATCTTTTGATAGCATACAGTTTGGTTTGCTCATTGTGAGTATGTGTTATTCCAATGACGAGTTTTTTTTCTATTGTCAGGTCAGCCTGATCTAAGAGCAATAAATTTGCACACAGATGTATTCCTAAATTCAATTACCCAAAATAGTAATTCTTACTCATCCAATAGACTAACAATTCTAAGATTCTTTCAGGTATTTTAATCTAATAAGAATGATTTTGTACCAAATAATTAACTATTTCTATTTACTACAAAAAGAAAATTCTACTTTTCGACTCAATTTTTTGATCAATGTTATTGTCTCAGCACTAATAGTTGAAGCTAATTTAGTTATAAAATGTCGATCAACACAGCTTTTTTTTCTAACTCAGGATTGTGCCGATTAAATAGCTTCTTTAAAGCACAAAAATTTCTACTTGTTGTGTTATGAATCTGATTATAAAAATTTTAAAAAAGGTGTCCAGCTGGAAAAAATAATTTCATCCTTACTAATTTTTGTTCAAATTCAGTCCATCTTGCATAAATATTAGTTGAGCTGAGAATTACACTGTAAATTTAAGAGTAAAAAAAAAAAAAGCAATAGAGATTCTTAATACTTATCACAGAAACAACTAATATGAATGTCTAGCCAATTTGACAATTTGCAAAATGAGACAAAGGAAACCAATTTGTATTGAAACTTTCAACACTGTCCTCCCTAGATACTGCTTAATTTCCAAAGGGGAATTTGGTTCAGTTATGAATCAAGGATTTACTTGTTTACATTAATTTTACGTCACAAAATTATTTCAAAACTAATACATATTCTTCTCTTTGTTCTTAAAGCTCAACATTGTTTCTATATGTATTTCTCAACAATCGTCTTCAATTTAAATACAAAGATCGCAAAAGTTGACTTAGTAGACCAGTGTTTAACAATAAATAACTGTAATTTTTAACTCTAGCGAGGCATGATATTTACATTGTCAAACAAGACACAAGAGCTGTAAGTACACAAATTCAATAAAGTGATAGGTCAGCAAAACATAAATCCCTCCACATGAAGGTCTTGTAAATATAAAATTCAAATCAATTGATGGCTAATCAAATGTCTGTACACAAAATTGGCGATAAATGTTGGGGAAAACAAATTATTTGAAAAGTGATTCAATTTGGTGAAGAAAATCCCTACAGAAATGTATATTTCATTTGTAAACTACAATTGTTGTTTTGCTTTGTTTTGTCTTTTTTTTTTTTTTTTAAGGAGAAAAAAATAGTTTTTGAAGTTTACTGTCCAATGTATACTGTCTGGCACTCATTACAAATCTTAAATCTGAGCTTTTTAAAATACTGATGATCTCCAAATTATTGTAAGCTCAACTGAAACATCTACTGAGAATTTTCTAAAAATAAAACTAAAAAATTCATTACGATGATAGTCTATACTACTGTCCCATTTTCTTACAATGTTATGTAACTCAAAATATTTCCTCTTTCAACTTTCATTTTTCAATTCTTCTTATCTATTGATAAGAGAAGCTTTCAACTCTATCAAAATGAAAAAAAAATCTTCTTTAAAAGGGGTTTGAGAGATTGTAATTTCTAAATAATTATTAAATAAATATAGTTAAAAACATAAAGGTTGATAAGAATTTCAGAAATGATAAATGATTTTTTTCAAAAAGGCAGATTACAGCTTTCTTTAATGTAAAAATACTATACACTTAGCATATGATGCACAGCAGCCATGTGGAATCAATCATATTTGAAAGATATGGTTAAGACTTTTAAGTTGAAGAAAAGGTGAACAGATAAGTTATCAAGACCAAGTCCTAACCCTGCTGGTGAGGATCACCTGAATTACTATTTTTTTTCCTCAATGTGTTCCTCAACACACAGGATAACAAACAAGACCTGACAAAATTTTAAATACACTTAACAAAATGCTGTGTTTAAGTCATCTGAGCAAGTCTTACCTTGTCTGCACCTTGATTATCCCATTCCTGCACCAGCCTAATTGTTACACCATTAGAATCATCCATTGCTTCCAGGTCTCTTTGAACCTCCCGCTGACAGTTATTGCACAGGACAACATCTCTGCCATTATTTACCAAAATTCCACTTTTTGGTGGCTGGTGATGAGATGGAAACGATATCAACTGCTTATTTACAGCTCCAGATGAGAGCCTTGACACTTGTTTGCAACACAGATAACAGTTTATGGTTGATACCGAATACTTTCGTAGCCATCTGTTGGATTCCTCAGGAATGTCTGAACTTTCATAAGCATTCCACTGCATCATAAGGTTATGGTAACAAATCTCACAAGTAACAGCAGTTCCTTCACCATCTATAGGTTGAGCATTGATAGCAGGTTCTCTAGATGACAGGAAGGGAAAGAATGGGCCTCCATCATGAACACCCTTACCACTGTGTGGATAGGAATACAGCTTAAAATGAAGTGTTGAGTTAATACTGAGACCACAAAGAAAACAAACTGCAGAAATCTCCAGATCCTCTGTGATTGCTGGACTTAGTTTTACTGCATAAGAGCGTTCATCTTGAGGTTTTTTGCTTTGCTCAAACTCTTCCCACTCTGACCTCAGTTGTTTGTAGCATTTCTTGCAAAGAAATGTCCGACCCTCTGCATCCAGGGGTCTGCTATCTTTTGGAGGTGTCAATGATGCTATGAATGGAAAGTAGAAGTTGTCTTTGAGGGGATTGGTGTTTGGTTTAGTGTGAACAGGCCGCAAGTCAGATTCAGAACAATACTGACCACAAGTGTAGCAAGCAATCTTAGCCATTGTCTCGGTCTCTTCTGGTGTACCTCCAGCTGACTGAACCATGACCTCATTACGAATTCTATATTCCCTTTTGTCTTCACAAATCCCAGCAGCTTCAAAATGTTTCCACTGTCTATGGAGTGATTTACGACAGCCGCTGCAAGCCCTTGTCAACCCTTGTTTTGTTAATGGCATGGCTCCCTCTGGAGTGGGCAGATTGTTAAGAAATGGATAATAGGGGTGTCCTGGTGTATGCTTTCGTGAATACAGAAATCTTCCTGATGTTGCAGGCTGTGTGACTCCACAGACAAAACAAACCATGGTTGACAGCTGAGACTGCTGCTCCCTAGGAAGGGAGGGGTCAGATCTTAATTGGTACTGTCTCTCACTCAATGGAGTGGAATTCTTCTGAAAGACTTGCCATTGACGAAATAAAAACTTTTGACAAGCTTCACAGACAAGAACTTTACCCAGGTAGTCCATTTGCTTTGCGATTGCGGGAGGAACATGTCGTGCAAGACATGGATAAAACGGTGTCTCGGTTTTAAGCTGCGGTCTTGTGTGTACACTTCTCATGAATTCTTTCGGCTTTCTCCTACTACAGATGTAACAAGTTTCAAGGCCAACAGAACGACGAGGAAAAGCATTTAGCGGTGAATTCTCCACCAAAGGACCAGCTGAATCTTCGGAAACCGGATTAACGTTTTCCACGTCTGAAGTGGTGGCAAGAAAATTCCCTTCCGCCGGTTCACTATGAACAGCCGGATACAACTCTGAACTATCGTTATCAAATAAATTCTCTCCTGCCACTGTGATGTTGCTATTGCCAGCTATTGTTTCTTCGCCTCTCACTAGGTTGTTCTCAACAGGGCTTTGAGGTCTCTCTCCGCTTGAATCAGGACCTGACCTTTTCAGCCAGTAAATTCGCTTTGCAACTGGAGTGGCGCTCTCTTCGAAAGCATGCCATTGTTGAGTGAGAAAGGAAAAACACACCGTACAGGAGTCGACCTGTCCGCTTGTTTTATCGACCGGTCGAGCACCATCGGCAGGCACATGATACTCCAAGAACGGGAAAAACGGCATCTTCTCGGAATTTCGAGATCTACAGTAAAGAGGCCAGTTTGCATTAAACGCTCCACAAATAAAGCATATCAATCCACTGCCACTCGAACTTAAGCTTGGCGCCGAATCGGTAGTCCTTTGATCTTTTACCCCGTTTAATTTAACCATTGCGATCAAATCAACGTACTGTAGCGCCACAGAAAAACCAAGGACCCTGCAGGAGTTTCAGCACATCCTGAAGCCTAATCAGCGCGAACACCGGGGTTCGATTGAGGAAAATGCGATTTTTGAGCAAAAAGTAGTCTCTGCTTTGTGCATGTTGTTGATGTTACCCACTATGCTTTGCCGACTTGTCCACCTGGTTCAGCTGATACAGGCAGGACACGCTACTCAAGGACATCTTCTCAAGGAAGGAAGAAGAATTTCCTACACACCAATGGGCTTCCAAAACAAGTCCCAGGCAAAAATTGGCGCGTACTGTAAGGAGTTAGCGTAAAGTACTAGCCACTGATAATCGAATCAAAATTTTGCTATATTTTTCTGAATTGTAATACGTGTCGCTTTCAAAGCGTGTTATCTCCTTTGTTTGGCGCCAAAAAGATGATCACGTACGTGTTATACTGATCGGTCTAGGGTCACAGGTCTATTTAAAAAACAAAGGTGACCAATTTAGAATGTTAACAATAGAAAAGCTTTTAACCTCACCTAGCCAGGGAAGGTTACTGAGAGTCCCGCATTGTCAAAATATTTGTTATGGAAAAAAACCGGACTGATACATGAACGGATTGTTTTAAAATTGTTTTCTTTTCTGTACAATTGTGTCTTATGAACAGTTTAGCACTTCAAATGCTTGCTTAAATGTTATGACGGAGAACCACTTTAAAGTTGTAAGCATTTCGTCTGAACAATTGCATTTCATTAGGGCTCGAAATGTTCAGTTCCATTGATATGTGCACGTGCTTGACTCTTCCCGGAAGTGGTTAACGATTGAACGATGAGCTATGCTCTGAGCTGCAGATCGAGCCGTTTCTGGTTCGAAACGGAAACGTTTTCATATAATTTGCACAACTATCTGTACATTTAGCTTGTCTTCAAAATGATTTTCGCTTTGACTTTTCGTTATAATCGGTTAGCCGGTCGGAAAAACTCGATTCTTCCCATGAATTGTTTGATCCGATGAGTCTTAATTAGATCCTTGAGAGACACGTGTTACTTAACTAACTATAGAATATGATAATTTTCGATTAGGAGAAGTCAAGAGCTTCTAAGGAGGAACATAAAAAATGAAAGAGAACAATTACCACCACCATTTTGAACGTATAATCGTTCAACCAAAGGAGGGGGAGGCACTTCCGGTTTCTGAGAGATAAACCTATCAACTGGAAAGCTCTTGTTTCACATGAGACTGGAAAAGATCTTTAGAGACTTTTCTCAGCAACAAGGAAGGAACTATTACAGACTCTTGACTCAACATCCCAGTTGCCATTCTCGTCACAAAAAATGTTACGTGAATGCTTTGGTATCTTGTGAAGCTGGATTTTTTTGGGTCTATACCAGCTCAGTTGTAATTTCTAATCGTAAGAGAATACATGCCATTCCTGATTCATTATCTCTTTGCACGAAAAACTGTACGCTTCAGAGTGGAAAAATAACCCATGTAAGGGAAAAAACGCTACATGCTAAGCAGAGCGAAGTGAAAAAAATGTTTACAGTTTCATCCTCTTTCCTACGCTTTTCTCCCGGCCCGTGTGTTCATTCCCTGAAAACCTTCTGCGTTTTGTTGTGGGGTTTTCATTTCCACTAGGACAACTTTCGAAAGTAACCACAAACTTATTTCCTTTGTTTTCCACAGTAATGAGGTTGGGGGTTGAGAGAGTGCGTAGCAGCTCAGCGGTATTCGCTAGTTTTGGTATGCTCGATTGTAGCTCTCAAGGCCTTCCAGAAGTTTGATACTTTTTTCGGGCATTAGTTCCACGTTGTTCTCGATTAAAGTCTTCAGAGGGGTGAAATTGTAGAGAAAAGTATGACTTCCAGCGTAGAAAATGATCCAGATGCTTTGAAGATTTGCCCATATGACCCGGTCCACAAAGTGAAGGCAAAGAGATTTCCTTATCATTTGGAGAAATGTCGAAAGGTAAGGAAAAGTAACATCACTGAATTTTTAGCTTTAACCCTTTTGCTGGCAGGTTCCTGGGGACTTCTTGTTTTTGTATGACGTAAGCCGACAAATCAGGCCACAGCTCATCACATTTTAGTTTAACCCCAATAAACTATATATAATTTTAATGAGCAGAAAATTTACAATCATTTCAAGACTATTTTGTTAGATATGGGTCCTTGTGCACAGAATTTGGGGCAAGAAAGGCCGAGCATAACAAAATGTTCCAAGTGTTATTTGTTTTTCCTGCCCTTTTAAGACAAGACAAGTACATGCTTGTGAGCATTACTTTATATCATGCAAAAGCAGATTATTTCAGAAACCAAACACTTTTTATTCTGTCCAATTATCTTTATTGCAACCAAAGTTATGCCTTCTGTTGTAAGTCAAGGTTTGGCTTGGCAATTTCCAAAATTTAGAGGGTATGTGATATAGCACAACTATATTTGAGCAACAGCTTGCTAGCGTCACTTGAAATCAACCAAATTACTGACCATTGATGGCACAAAGAACTATAAATAGACAATAGGGTAAAAATGGTTCTGTTCTTATAAAAAATTACAATCCATAGCAAACTTCAGAGTTGTCAGAATCTGAAGAAATACAGTGTACCATCCTCTTCAACGAATTCTTCACTGCTCAATTCACTCTTGTGGTGGTCGAAATCTCCTATTCGTTTTCATCAGAAATACTTGACAAAACCTCATTAGGTTCGTCCTCTTACACAGTCCACAGTGTCTCTTCAACTGGAATCCATGCAAACGTCATATTTAAAAGGATAGTATTGCATGTGCGATTTTTTTTTGGCCAAAAACAGTTCACATTTGGATGAAAACAGTGAGAAATACGGCTACGAATTAAGAAACGTGACTTGACAAACCATAATAATCTTTACGAAATCAAAACAACACTATGTGAGGGTCCCCTGAGATTTTTAACATGGATAGGGTCAGAGCGTACGAATTCGTATGTTTGCCAGCTAAAGGGTTAAATTGAGCGTAAACATAGGCAATCTAGATCGAACACTCAGTTTTTTTCTAAGGTTTAATTTTGTTATGCCTACTGTGCATGCATTGTGAAGCATTTCTGCATAACCCCATTCTCATTACAAAGCCTTAGTAAAAGGTTATTTTTTTGCCATTGTTGTCTTATAAAAAAAAATCTGGATGCACATTATGAAGTATGGGTAATACAGAAATTTTTCAGAGTATTGTTGTAATTTTCCTCATTCTTCAAAGCATGCTGATAGGCAAGGTATGATGTCACTGGCACCTTATTTTATAGTTTTTTAGTGTCTTTTTAAAGTTGTCTAGCGATTGTTTTTCTGCTTAGGGTTGCATTGTTCTGACATTCTCACATTATATAACAAGTTAATTCTCAAAGAAAAATTGTGCACATTATGACCTTGATCAAAAACCTGATGCACAGTAGTGTAAGTGATAAGACAAAAATGATAATAAAGTATCTTTGTTGAAAATTCAACAGCAATATGCAAGTGCAGGATGGACACAGTGCCCCTTTTTTGCTCGACATGAAATTCGTGTTGAGGAGTTAGAATATCACATTTCCATTTGTGAATACAAGGTATGATGATAGACTTTTCTGTTCAGGTGATTACTGAAAAAAATTTCTACAGAGCCCCATACTATTGTAAAACAAATCTGTTTTCTCAATGGCCGTGTATTGTTTTTGTCATTGTTTTGTCTATCCAAGAACTGAATGCATAATGTGGTATAGGGTTGTGTGGAAATTTTACCATTTCTTTCATCAAAAGGCAGTGTAGTGTTATTTTTCTGATCTGTAACCTGAACAGAACAAAATGTAGGTGTGAGAGGTATCTTATATCTCCCTTCAGTATCACTGTTGAGTCACACACAAAATTCATAAGAATTAAGGAAATTATCATTAACACAGAAGCTCTTCAACATAAAAAAAATTATCTGTTCAGCAAGAAATGTATAGGGGACAGTATGGAGAAAAGACATACTGATGTTGTAATGTACAAGCAATGGATTTGTGTTGATGAACATGGGAATAGACCAGAAACAGCTCCACATCTGAATAAATAGCCAGTGCTGTTGAATAAGGCCAGAAATTTTGCATAGTAGCAGAATGATTTCCCAATCTCTGAGGCTGGATCAACACTGATATATAATACTATTTAACTGTATTGAAAGAGTTTTTTATACTTTTCTTGATATTTATTTATTCAGTTGGATAAGAAGTCTGTAAAAGAATAGTATGATCTCTCTGTTTTGACAAGATGGCTCTCACAGTAAAAAGAACTATTATTGATGTAAAATTGTTTTGGTAAATGCTATTTTAGGACATGATCAGACAAGACATTGAGGAAGGTGGGTTCAGAGGACTCCCTTGTTTATGATTTTTCAAAGGCTTGGTTGTTTGTAATCCAGCATACCTATGCAATTTTTAAGAATGTTTTAAAAATAAAAAACTAATTTTATTTCTTAACCAGTGAATTATTGAAGCAACGAATGCCACAAAGAAAAATGGACATTTTCTGTGAGCCTTTTAGTCTGTCACAAGCATGCTTATCCTTAGTTGATCTACAGGTATATTTTATATTACAGTTTACCTTCAGTCAATAGTGGAGGAGAAGAGATTACAACAACCACAGCCAACCCAAGCAGTATTACCTGATGAAACTGAGGATTGGGAAATAGGTATGTTTTGTTAGAGCTTCAATTTTAGACTACAGTCTGGAGCTTTGCTGTCAATTACTCAATTGAATGTCTTGCTTTCTGCAACCAATTAAGTGTCACAGATCTATTATACCTTAGTAGTAGAGAATTCAAAGCTCCAATTCTTTCAGCATGAAATTAGAATCTCTTTTTTTAAGTACATGTATGCTTGTGTCAGTTACAGGGAAAACATCCTTGCTCTTGATTATTAGACTTGCATTAGATGATCTTCATTTCCATCTAGTGATAACTGCGTTTGAAAAAAGTGAGTAAGTTGTATTGTAGGATAGGTTCTGCAAGATAGCAGCATAAGAGGGGAGCATAAGTTTCCATGTAAGCTGTACAATGGTGGAATCTATCTTACATTGCCTTCGTCTGTTTGAAGGATTATTCTGTCAGACGTGTGACAAATCATCATCAAGTTATCTCACTGACTTTATTTTGTCTAAAGTGACATTTTAGTCTTAGTAGTGTTAATTTCATGTGGGGAATGTGCTGAATAAAGTTCTTGAATCTCATTGGCTGACATAGAGTGTGCTAACTGCTTTGCTTTCATGTACGTGTCCTTTGACCCATCCTTAAAATTTGTTTGAATGTTAAAAAAATAAATGGAAATTTTATTTTGACTAATATTGTCTTATGTATGTTAATCATCTTATGTGAACATTTAAAAAAACAATTTGTATGCATGATTTTTCAACAGACTTATTTTATTTCACTCAAAACTCATAATTTTATCTCTACAAATTTCTTATTTTGAAAGAGTGGTGTAATGATTAGTCATGCAGGCTGTAGAAGAAAGAGAAATGAAATTCACTTCTACCTTGTTTTGTTGATTTCAGAGGCTGATAGGCAACCATTTTCAATCCTTGCTCCTGAGCCACAAGCTGACTCTACTGATGGATATGACGTTTTGCAGGTGATTCAAGTTGTACAAGCCCAGGCTCATGCTAAACCTAAACTTATGGAGACCTCAGGGTAAGAGAATTAAATGAAATTTTTATAAACCAGCTCAGCTTCTCCAACTATCATTTGAGAAAACAGATAAGAAAAACTGGTTGGGGATTCACTAAAAAGGAAGAAATTGGAGTGCCCCTTAGGCAGTGTGTGAAGTAACATACTCTGGTATGCATTGCAGTTGAATAACTTTCATTTGCAGTTAACATCAGAAACTAACATGCCATAGAGTCAAACCATTTTCCACCAGAAGGAGGTTATTTTCTTACAAGTAGTAGTTTTATAAAGTCCTGAAATGTTTTGCTATTTTTAATGCAGTATGATATGCTACCCATTGTTGTGAAGAGTTAAATTTTGGTACCTTGCCTTGTGTATTTCAGTGAGAAATTAGGTATGAATGATTGAACTTAGAGAAATTGAAGGGGCCCCTGAAAAAAGCCCCAAGCGACATCAGATGGATTGCTGGATTCTCCTTACAAGTTTTCTCAAATTTAACTGTGATAGATAGGGAGAAGTTGCTTCAAAAGTAACATGGGGCTTTATTCAATGCACCTTTTCCACCTGTTACTGAAATGAAATGGGAGATTGGTGAGGAGTATGAATGATTGTCTTCTAATTATCTTTTAACACATCACTGCAGCATGACAGCCGCACAGAAGAAAAACTTTAAAAGAGCACAGAAAAGACATGAACGACGAGAAGCTGAAAGGTGCATAAATAACATAGATTGAATGAAACTTTTGTAGGTATTTCTTGTAACAGTGAGTGGTAAAAGTTATATCTTCAAGGACTGAAACTATAGTAAAAACTGTCTTTTGGCTCTTTGTTTCTCCAACTGGGAGCCATTTTGTGGCTCTGTTACAATCTTGGTAAGTCTTAAATAGAGTTAAATGACAAAATAGAATTACTAATAACTTCTTAAAGGGTTAGATTTGAGCTTTAAAGCATTCTACTTTTTACCAGTATAATAAGCTGTATATTTTGAAAAATTGAATTTTTGTTCATTTATTTTTTCACTGTTTACATCCTGAAATAGTAGAATAGTCAACACCCAACTTGCCAAGTGTCCAATAGGCTGATTTTTAAGTCGAGTATTTCTTCAAAATATATCATATAACTCACAACTTCTAAGTTGCTCAGGTCATGAAAACTAGACATTTAGTCAACCCTTTTAACTCCCAAAATCTGATTGTTGATTCTCCCCTCTTGCTGCTACACATTTCCTATTAAATTGGTCATAGGAATTTGGTGTTAGATCAAGATAACAACTTCTACCTGATAAGTTTGAGTATTCTCATTACCTGTTTACAAAATTCTGCATGAATATAATAGATAGAAGTTACATGTTAATAAACTCTGGGGGTTATAGGGTTAACTTTCTTTAGGTAGCTTTTTCTGTGGAATGGGTTTTCAAACATGCTATATGATATCTTTTTTTAGGGTCAATCAAGAACCTGAAATGACAAATGAAGAGAGGGTACAGGCCTTAGCAAAACAGTACAGTTTACTTAGCACTTCAGGTGAGCCTGCTGTTTGGGAAAGTGAAGACTTGAAGTTGGCAACTTATGTCTAAGATGAGCTTTACAAAGTAAGTTCTTCCTTCTGTGTTTCTTATTTTTTCCAGGTAGTTTCATTGACTTCGTCAGTATCCTGAATCTATACTGTCAAAAAAACAAAATCAATCTACCCAAATACAGTGAAGCACCTGGAGTTGATGGAGGCTTTGGGGCACAATGTTTTGTGAAGGGTCAGATATTTAAATCCATGAAGTACTGTTCAACTAAGAAAGAAGCACGTCATGATGCTGCCATGCATGCTGTGCTGGGTCTCAACATTCCTGTGGGTAAGAGACCTTGGTCAATGTCTTGTGTAGCTTCTGCTTTAAAGTTTCATCATAATGTCATTTTGGATTGTGCTGCCTTAATTTTTCAAATAAAGGTAAAAGAGGCCATGTATGGTAAATGGGAAAATCAGTTCTGAACCAACAGTTGAAACACTTAAATTTGTGTCTTTATTGTTAACTTAGATTTTTGTCAGAAGATAAAGGGAGTAAGTTTTTAAAGAAACTGTATTGCAGTGTCAGGGAAGAGTATAAGAGGGTAATTTAGTGTTATCAACTGAGTTGGAAATGTAAATTGGCCACCACCATAAAGAGTTTAAAGGCTGACATTTCAAGTGTTAGCTAATGCTTGAAACACTCAAAACGTCAGCCTTTAAAATCTTTACGGGGGCCAATTTAATTTTTCATCTCTTGATAACACTAAATTACTTTTTATTTGTATTTTTGGTTTTTTAGTAGGTTACTCTAAAATAATGCTATTGCCTTCTTGTGTCAAGTTAAATTTAAGTTGTACCTCAAGCATTGGCAACTAAAGGTGACACGAGTAATGAAGAAAAACTGTTGTGCACAATGAGTAGTTGAACAAACTTCTAATAATTTTGTGTCAAATGAAAAGTGTTGGATACAATAACATGTTTTGGGTCTAATTGCATGTCATGAATAAATTTTGATTACCCCATAATGGTTTAATTTTGTTATGATCATGACAATGGCAATATGTCTATCATCTTCAATTTTGTCACTTCGTGATTCTTAAAAAAGAACAAAATAATGCACAGATGGTATCAAAAAGAACTGTAACCCTTGGTTATGGAAATATTATGGGTTGAATGATTGCTTTTCAACTATATTTGGGTCAATAACTTGAAATGTGGATTACAAGAATTTGGGCTCTAACTGCATAACTGCTTGGTGGTTTTCTGATAGCTGCAATCATTTTTCTGATACGGATAAATTTAAATATTGATTATTTCACATTGAAAGCCACTTTCTATTAACTTTTTAACCAGTTGACCCAACACCCAACAAACCGATGGCTGTAAGAAGTGCCACTGACCATCAGAAGCTCAGAGAAACTCATGAGTTACAGCTTCTAAAAGAGGCAGGGCAGTCACCACCCAAAGGGAGGGGCAGACCAACTGTGCAGCAGTCTGTGCATTCCTTTTCCACCCAAGCTACTGGTCCACCAATGTCACAGCAACCACCACAGAATATGGCAGCTAATAGGTTTACTGAGGTAACACAATTGCGGTTGCCAGTTGTTTGGAAAGGAGTTCCCATACTAGCTTCTTACTACCATTTTGCGACATGCCATGATGTTTTACAACTTTTGTGACAGTCATTGATATAATAATTATTAATTATTTATCTTTCTTCATTTTACAAGTGAGTGGAATATATATAAATTATGTTTCAAAAAACCTGGGCTAAAAATGGCCTAGCTTACCAATGCATTCTATGCCCCTCAGTTAATTGTGTCAGGCTGCTCAATATGAATGTCTAAGGTTCTATTTTTTCATAGGGAACTCCTTTTTTTGGTTTTGTTTTTTGTTTGTTTTTTGTTTTTTGTTTTGTTTTTTTTTGCTTTTCTCATGTCTGTGACAAAAAGGTAACTTCCTTAAGTAAAAAACCAGTATTGCATCATTTCCTCAGTTATTGCTTCTTGGTCACTCATAAGACCTCTTGCTGTTATGAAAATAATAATTTGGAAATTTTTAGGTTACTGGGCTAACAGAAGGAACAGAAAATGATAATTGGACAACCATAGGTGGGAAAGGTAGGTCAACTCTTGGACCTCTAAGAGTGATTAGCATCTAATTTCTCCATACAATATCACCCCTGAATCACACATTAAGGTAACAAGAATGAAGGAAATGATCACCTGGTAAAGAAACTCTTGATTGTTAAACAAATCCTCCTCATCATCACCTTAGATAATATGTGATAACAGTCTGGAGAATATACATACTGATGTTAGGGTGTAAAGGGTTAACACAGTTACTCTTTTGTTGATAGATTAATAGACATCGGAAAATTTACTTAACAAAAATAGCCAGTGAGAGAAGGCCATCATTAACAATAAGAAATCAGCAAGCTTCAAGGTTGGAATTGGATCACACAGCTTAGGCTTGGCCCAGGTTTTGGAATATGTAGTGACTGTTTCTCATCAGATCTACTCTCCCCATGAGAGAATGCAGCCAAGTTACCTGGAAAGTTTACCACTCCTCGTTTTACTCCAGGGGCTTATAGTTCAGACATGAGTGAGCTGTTATCCTGGAATAAGAGACAAGTGAAAACTTAATTCTTCATTTTGTCTTTATTCAGGAATTGTCATTGATCTACTGAACTTCGAATGACTTTTACTCTTTATGGTTTTGTTTATTTTTTTCATTCATCTGTTTATGGCAGGGTTGAAGAATCCAGTCTATCAGCACTCCCTTAAAATGGCAGGGCGTGGAAGGGGTATGTCAAGGCGGTGACAAATATCAACTATGGCATCTCATTGGCAGAGACTGAAATCCTGACCAACGGATTCTTCTGTGTCCTCCCTTCAATAACTGTTGTTTTCGACTAGGGAGTAAGGTTGTAGTTCCTTGATCTGTCATGCATTATTCCCACAATTCTCTTAAGGTGGGTGTGCTAGACCTTTGTTCCACTAGAAAGATTGAGAGATTCCCCAGCGATAAGTTAGGGCAAGCTGTGTTAAAAGCCCTTCTGTTGTGTTATTTAAATAAGATAGTTGCCAATAAGTACTGAAGTTGGTAATCTCTGAGGCATATAAGGTTAGAACAGTTTTTAGCATTTTTTTCTCGAGTATGGAAAATTTTTGATTTTAGGGTATATAAAGATTTGACAATGATAATTTTTAAGCATTAAGTAATGGGACAAAGGGCAAAATTTGTTTTCTGTTTAAACAAAAGAAAGAAAACTAATTTTTAAGGGGGAAAATCTTTTTATGTCAGATATGTAAGAAAGCAGGACTGAAGGTCTACAGGTTTTTCCAAAAGTAATTTGAAAAGAGTTTAATCATAGAATAGTCCAGTTCAATTCAGAAAATTGTCCAAATGCCCATATTCATAAATACTGATATGCCAACAGCTTGGGGGTCATTTAGTTTCATTCAGATCAATTTATGAAATAATTTCAGTTTAATTTTATACTTATTGAGTTTGAGTATTGATAAACAATGAGAGTATCCTTTATTTAGTATTTTAGCAATTGAACAAATAACCGCAGTGTTTGTAAATAAAATTTTTTTTAATGCTTGTTATTTCTGAATTTTGTTTAAAATCGTTGTTTATTGAAGGGAAACCATCAAGGGATAAATGATGCAGATTTCAAGGGGAAAAGAAAAAAAAGTAGGAAAGGAACAAGGACAGAAAGGGATTGAAAAGATAAGCACTGATTGGGAAACAAAAACAAACAAAAACATTTATCCTGAAATACACACACACTTTCAAGTGTGCAGAAATTTTAGGGAAGAGTCTAATATGGATACACAGCTCCACAAACACTTCACATCCAAACAAGGAATTACTTTGTTTTAATTGTCAAAACAAATCTACTTATTGATGATAGCAACATGACAATTTTATCATATCAAAAAGATTCCCAAACATGGCTTTCCTATAGGGATTGATCCTCTCTTCTGACACAAAGCCACTTGCTCCCATCACTACTTGGAAAGTGCCAAGTATCTCCTGTTGTTTGAACATGTACACGGCGGTCAAATCTCCTCACACTCTACAAGAATAAGATAGGATGAACAATTGTGCCACTATACAAAACTGGAGAATGTGACACTGTTAGGGCTGTGATAATTGGGTTACATGCATTTAATCATCAACAAGATAAGTTTTGTCTCCAATGATATCTGGAAAAACTTAGCTGTACTAAGCAGCACACAGAAATTGTGAGTTTCATTTTTATTAACCCTTTAACCCCTAAGAGTGACTGCCATTTAATTTCTCCTTATAATACCAGCCCTGAATCAAACATTGGGGTCATGAGAATAAGGGAAATGATCAACAACCAAAGAACTCTTGACTGTTAAACAAATTCTCCTTTTCAGACCCTTAAAAAATGTATAGAGAACAGTGTCAGGGTGAAAAGGGTTGCATTACAGTATAAAATGACCAATTATTTGGTAATCAGTTTGAAAAGGCCAGATATGAAAGATTCACAATTAGTTTGTCTAGTCAACTTGAGGTTCACAACTTAATTAACCCTTATTGAGCAGAGATCCTTTTTTAAGCAGGTACTGATGTGAATTCTGCAACTGTCAGATTAAAACAAGGTTCACTGTAGACCCCTCTAAAACTAGTACATACCTCAAACAAGGGTTGTTCACCCACAAAACTGGCCAACTTCACTTGATACAGCTCTTGCCATCTGGTGAACTGGGCTTTCATCAGTGACTCCATACCTTGCAGATGGTTGGAGAACATGTCTGAGGAGACAAGTAGGGTGCCTGGGCCACACTGCATAGCAGCACTAAGAAGATAGACATCATCTAATGCCCTGAAGATTGAATTGTGTATGATTACAAAAACAATCTTAAAAGTGTTAAATATATGTGTATTTACATGACTGTTGCTCTGCTCATCAGCATTACAACATGTCCTTGCTAGATGCTTCTGAAGACTATACCCTTGATTCTCAGTTCTGAAAAATCAACTTGAAACTCAAGCTTTGAAACTTGAGACTTTCGAGGAATCTAGGCTCAAATTTCAAGTCAAGGATGTCAATTTACATTTGAGTGACAGTGTTTATCTTGGTACTGTTTCTTTATAGAGCCTCCTTAAACATTTTCAAGATGACCGAGGAGACCTGAAAGAGCATATGGAAACCACAATCAAGTAATCAAAATCATTGGGATATACTGCAGGTATTTCCCACAAGTACTATAATTGAAGAACAACAAAAGTAGGAGATGTGTTACCTTGCCGCCAAACAGAAAACACCACAGTGTACTCTCAGAAAATCCATTACTGAAGGGAGTGAATTTTGGTCATGTCTTCTAATGTGACCCAGTGAAATTGGCCATGAACCCACAACCAAAACCCTCTTTTTCTGCTTCAGAAAATGTTCAGCCACAGCTTTCAACTGCATAAATAAGGACAAATCAATATAAGTACCCATCCAAAGTAAAAATAAAGAGACATGATAGCCCTATGGTTAACACACAAAAGGAAACATTTTTTCTTTCCCATCAGTCTACTGTGTTTTGCTACCAAGATTAGGAGACAAGGGCACAGGAACACTGTGAGGAATGCCAGAAATGCTAACCATCCCCTTCCCTCACTACAAGGCAACCAAAACAACCTACTAACAGGCACATTACAGGTAAAAAATACATTGAATGTACCTTTTTAGCATCAAAATGATGATAGTAATAAGCTAAATTGAGTCCATCCAAAACTACGTCATAGTGTCCTGTTGTCTCTATAAACCTGACCACACTGTTAGGAAATCTGTTAGAATGTCCTGGTCGGATGTAATCCACATACTTTCCAGCGGTAGTGTGGCAACGCACTTCTGAGAGAACTTTGCGATTCCTCAACACATGCGAGATAAGTGGGTCCTTCAACTCATGCAGTTCTTCTTCAGTAAAGTTCCCAGTTTCTAGTTTTTGCTTGCAGGCTTGGCAGTGGTATCTGGCAAAGAAACAAACCAAAAATAAGCCATTGAATGCCAAAGGTTCAAAAAACTTTACACTGACCTAACTTTTGACATTTGTTGAAAAATAATCGGCACATGTCCATGATCAATGAAATGAAACATGCACATTTTGTATGGGACAGTTTTACAAGTATATTATAGTGTAGCCACATTTGATAAATACATTGGCAAAACAGGAAGATGACTGGGTGACCAATTTCAAGAACACCTTTGTTATGTAGAAAGAAATGACAAGGATGCATCCAAACCAGTTGCTAGACTCTGTAATATCTCTAATCATTCCAAGCAGCATATGGCAGTTTGTGGCCTTTCCTACATCTAGGCAGTCTATGCTCATAGTATCAACGAGGGCTTTTCATTCAACTAATTTATTACTGTTTTCTTGTCACCATATTTCCCCCAATAGCATAGCTCCACTGTCTGCATATAAACACACACACAAACTCACAATCCCTACAATCACTCTGACAAAGGGTTATCATCAAAACATCAGCTTTTAAACTCTTTATGGTGACCAATTTATGTTATCAACTCAGTTGATAATACTAAATTATCCTGAAAAATACAGAGTTGCTCAATTTAAACTTCAGACTTGTAAATTTTATTTCCCTTTGACTTTAGGTATAATAATGAATGACAAGGTCCTCAAAATAATAGAAAACAAAGTTTACACCACAAAAAAATATTATGAAAATTTACTTACGTTGCTGATGGAGAAGACCAAGCTGTCACCCATTTTGGGTCCTTTAGACTGAAAAGTGTTATGGAAAGGTTAAAGGTTAATTAAGAACTATCACCCTTTGACCTCTAGGATTAACCAACATCTAATTTTTTCCTTACAATATCGACCCAGAATCACTTGAGCTCACAAGAGTAGAAGAAAAGATCTGCTGCATAAATTTCTTGTTAGCACTCGAAGAAATACATAGAGAACAGTAGGGATCCAAGGATAACCATGTTATAAATGATCCCGTCATTGACCCTTTACACCCTAAGATCAGTATCCATATTCTCTACACTCTTCTCTACATGTTTCGTTTGGTACTACAAGGAGAATTCATTTGAGGATCAAAACATCTTTAGGTTGGCAATCATTTCCTTTATTCTCATTATGGATGGTTAAGTGGTATCACTATAAGGAGAAATAAGATCCTGGCCACTCTTAGGGTTTAACAGGTTAACAATTTATCCAAAACAGAAGAATTAAGTCTCCTATTCTTCCACCCAAATTAAATACCTAGTGAGCTCAAAATCAGTGAATAACCTACCCCTCCACCCCCAATCTTTTAGTGTATCTGACAATTAACCCTTAAACTCCTGTGAGTGACCAAGACAGAATTTCTCCTTACCGCATCTATACAATACAAGCAGACAAGTGATGATAATAATGAAAAATATAAATTATGGGATTACTAATTGATTTGATACCGAATTCTCCAAACTAACAAAATGAGAATCATTTAGCAGACAGTAAGGAGAATTTCTAATGAGATCTTGGGAGTTAAAGGGTTAACCTTTTCACTACTCTATTAAAAAGGGAAGATTATTTTCTGAGGGGTTATGATTTACAGAACAGTGGACTTCATTGGGCTGGAATGGTATATCAGTTTATTAGGGATATGACTGTTCACTTATTTTTGAATGAATTCTTGGACTTGATGATTCCTGAGCCAATGAAATGCCTGCCTATTTCTACCATTTTTGTATGTAAAAACTCTGTCATTTCTTGCAAAATGCCCCAATAAAGTAAAGATGGGTCACTAAGTCTGGGGGGCAAACCAGCTAAGTTGGGGGCAAACTCTTTTTATGTTTGAATGCAATCTCGCAAAGGTGATTGGGGGCAAACTCTTTTTATGTTTGAATGCAATCTCGCAAAGGTGATTGGGGGCAAACTAAGGAGGCAAATTTACCAGTTACAACTAAGTTCACACGAATGACATTGCTCTGTCTTTCTTTACCTGTCAAACCATAGTTTGATTGTCTCCAGAGCCTCAATGCTCAGCAAGTCTCGATATCTTCGAATGTCGTAAAACAATTCCAACACTTTATTCTTTAACTGCTTACTCACTTTGCCCACACAAGCTCGAACAACTGTTATATAGATATCCACGATTCGTTCATGAAGTACCCCAGAGTGACGCAAATCATCCAAACATCGAAATGCATCCATTGGATCTCCTTTGTTGGCTTCCATCTCCACAAAAGGTTTAAAATGGCGAGCTCTGGGAGTTAGACCGTCCTTTAGCATTTCATCAAACAAGCTTTTCATAGAATGTTTGGGATGATTGGACTTCGAGTACAAATTGGCAAGAACAGAATAAGTTGAGTGACTTTTCGGGATATTAAGTTGTTCCATGAGAGTTTTCAGTTCAAAAGCTGCGTCGATTTTGTCATAATGAACCAGACAGTTTAGTGAATAATCTAGAGCTTTTATCATATGCTGTTCAGGAAGAATAATAAATTGATTAAACATCTCTAAAACTTCATTTGGTGCACTCAATGTCTCACAAAACGGTCGAATGTTCTTTACGCGCTCTGGAAAAGGAAGACTTGGATGAAAATCCTCACGAGCGTCCCTAACAGTTGAACACAAATATCTTACGCCAGGTATTATGTAGCGTCTACAGTCAGTTGGACACAAAATGAGTGTTCCTACTCTACCCTGAAGAACTTTCCTCAAAACTCTGGTCGCCATATTAGTCGCCACGCTGGTATATCGAGATTCATCATGTAACATACACAATATGTCTCCAGGAAAGTGACCTCGGCCGTTCGAGGACCTCTTTGATAACATGTCAGTGAAAATAAAGATAGCAAAGGCTGCTTGATCCTTTTTTTTCTCTATCTGCAAGAGTATTTTAAAATCTCGATGACAAAAACCAGCGATGTTTTGTCATGACCCAGTAACTTTGTGACGATCATCGCTGGCAAGCGAAAAGGTGTGGTCCTCCATTCTTGTCAAAATTCACGTTTTCATTTTGAATTTCTAGCTTTGTATTTCACCCTTTAGCAACAGAATTGAGCATCGCTGTTCTCTAAAAATCATGTCTCTAACAAATGAGCAAATTCTATTTCTTGACGTCAAAATCAGTGTTTTTCGTTTCCTGGCTTTCTTTAGCATTCTTTGAAGCAGTTTAATGATATAATCACAAAGGGTCAACACAGGTATTCCCCTACTGAGGAAGTTAATAGCAACTGCCAAGAGAACATGATATTCTCTTGTGAAAGCTCATTAAAAATAATATTCATTTTAAAAGGAATAAGTATTAAAAAAAACCTTACAATTTCCTCGAGAAGACAAAAACTTTACGTTACTGAGGCAACAGACTGAAAGCTTGGCTGAAAAAGTAAGTTTTCAGATTACGCTTAAATCAAGAGTTAAGCAGGCCCTGTGGTGATTCCAAAGGTAAGGGGCTGCAGAGGACAAAGCCCTTGCTCTTAGTGTAGGTAACACCTTACCTCTTAGGGCCATCAGGAGAAGCTTCCGAGCAGACCTTAGTTGGTATTTAATAGGAACCCTAAAACTAATAAGCTTACAAATATAATCAGGCGCTATACGATGTACTACTTTAAGGCGAAGGAAAAGAATCTTGAATTCTATGTTGTACATAACCGGTAGTTGATAGACCTTTTAAATGTGCTCTTTCCAGATGACTTTCTACAACAGTAGAACCAGGAAGTGACACTGTTATGTTGATTTATTGGTTTATAAACCATTTCAATTTTTAAAGAGTACTTTTCTGCTCTGATAAGGATTAAATATTTTTTATTGATGCTCGCGCGTGTTTGTTCGAAATGAAATAGTTTCCCGAAAAGGTGCGAAATCTTTCAACCACCTACTAACATTAGAAATAATGCAGAACATTTTATCAAAACGGCCTTAAGGTAGCAGAGGCTACTCGGTAGATATTATGATTTGCACTGCTGAACAGTGCGTGCTGATTGGCCAGTTTAAAAGTGATTAGCAAGTACTACTTACCTCCGAGCTGCCGAAGGGACAAAATCGCGCGTGATATTTGGTTTTTGTGTGGTATATTCGAAAAACAATTACTCGCCTTCGCCGCTTCGCAGTTCGGTAAATATCCTCCACTATTCACCTCCACCTCACTGAGTAATTATTAGGTATTCACTATATTGCCTTGGGATAAATTCGATGTAATAAAAATTGCCAATGGTGATAGTTGTGTTCTGTCTGGATGGAATAACTTTGTTAAGATCAGTGTAAGCAAGCGAAAAGTGTGTGAACGAAAATCGTTGCTTTTCTGACCGCCCGGTTAACGCATCTTTTTTCGCGCGCCTTCTTTTTCGCCCGTTTTCGCTGATCAGGCGTCAGGAAAAGGTTTCGAAATAACAAGTGATCCTGTAGCAACCTGGAAGGGCTACAATGACAGACTGGTACTATGTATAACAGTGACGTTAGGTTTAAGCATTTTTACAGAAAGGTATCCGTAAAATAGTTTATTAGCTTTACTTTGTGTTGCGTGGTTCTTTGAATTTGAAAGTGCGTTTCTATGACTGGCCTTCAAAAGAAAGAAGCGGATGAGTTTTACCTTAAGTTGTGTGTTTCTCAGCATTCAAATGTTCCTCTATGGCTGGTGCTCTGAAGACTCTTCACTTTGGTCCTTTGACTCCAGTCAAATCAAAGTCATCCCCACCATAGTAGCCTTCGCAACCATTCTTTGAAATCTCAATGACCCCCAACACCCTCCCACCACACTGTATGGGGAAGCGTGACCAAAGTGGTAACGCCATCGCCGACATGTAACTAACCAAATTAAGAAAAAAAAAGAAACATATCTTGGGTGGTTTAATTCCAAGGTGCAACAGCTCTCTCACATTTTAGCATCAACAAAAGCGATGATATAAATTCGCAGTATTTTTAATTTTTCTCGGCTTAGATGATATTTCGTGCAAAATTTATCGTCATTGATATATGTTGCGACATAACCTATTTATAAACTAATGACATCTCTTAAAAGCAAAAACCTTAAGTAAATGTTATGCCTAGAAACGGGTGATGCGGTTTGGTGTGGGACGATAAAACGAAAATTGTGTAATACTGCCTTATCTATCACTAGCCATTTTAAGTTACAATCCTTGCAGTTTTCCTTTGCTGAAAAATGCGTCACTTTTTTAAGACGAGAAAATGCGACCAAATCACTGGCACTCATTTCCATACTGAGATATTAAGCAGCTTTTGACAAAATTAACAGAATTTCCAAATTGAATTATTTAACAACGTGATTGGTTTACGTCGTTGAGTTTAATAACAGCCACCTGTTAACCACACCGAGTGCCCTTGGCTCTGCTTGCACAATGAAGGTATTTAAAACTATTTCATGCATTTTAAGCTCTAAATCGGCGATGTATTGCTTGAAAATTTGCGAGGAGCTCCAGACACTCCTTTTTTTGACGCCTTGATTCCACCCCTAAAAGACAGAGAAATCTTGCGAAACTATGAAATGTATGAAATTATTCAGTTTTGGATATTTTTAATCGTGACGAAAGCTTGGTTTCGGGCCTCGATGCTGCAAAAAGAGATGGCAGATGGCTTTCGCCCCCCTTCCGAGAGCAAGTCGTAAAGATAGAAGTGCGTGGGTTATTGACACTACACTATCTCATTGCCGCCTCTTCTGTTCATCAAGATGATGCAAAAGTTATCAATAGCGCTTGCGACTTCCCCTGCTAACGCATAAATTATTCACAGTTATTACCACTTACTGCCTCTAAAGTAATACACAGCATTTTCATATTAAATTAATCAGCAAGGTAGCCATTTCATAATACGATTTAACGAGAGAACCGTCAAGTTTTGGCAATTTCCAAAGCTGAAAGTTATTTTTGTATTGCAGTTGTTCAGCATGAGGTGAGAAACTCGCTTTCAAGATATCGCCACGATTGAAGACATGTTTTCCCTTAGTATCTGTCTCTATGGCTGCAGAGTGAAAAACTAATATTTTAGATTGTAGTTCAAAATTTAATTGCTTTAGCCCGGTTTGAAGCACAACGCCGTCACGATGAGACGTTGGAAAACCTGGGAAAGTATAGCCGTTGAAGATTATTTCGACGATATTACGCAGCCAAATCGCTGGAATTCTCTCGAAAAGCTGGACAAAATTCACATGACAAGTAATGGTATCATTCCTGACGGATCCAAAGTTTCACAATTATCGCCGAAGAATGGAAATGCTTTAAACGATCCTTCCCTATTGTGTACAGTGTGCAAACAACTTTTCCGTCGGCCGAAATTTCTGCGATGTCTTCATAGCTTTTGTAAAAGTTGCATTGAGAGTCTGGTTTGTAATGAATATGGTAAAGAAGGACTTGTTGTTTGCCCTTTATGTTCTTTACCGAGCGAATTGGGTAGTAAAGGAATTGACGCGTTGCCAGTAAATTTCCTCATCGGCGCAACACTCAAAAAAAGAAATTTTGTCGTGGAAGAGAAAAAAGCGCCGGTCAGGTGCGGAAATTGCGAAGACAACGCTGAAGTTACAGGACAGTGTAGCGATTGCTCGGAATTCCTATGTGACAGGTGCACGGCTGCTCATAGACGGGTACGTGTTACAAGAGAACATCAAATTATCTCGCTAAATGAGCTGGCAACCGAGGACGAAGAAAACAATAATTCACAGTGCAGCGCTGATAGCTGCTCGGACCATGGCCGCGAAGAGCTCACGTATTTTTGCCAGACATGTGAAAAGCTGATCTGTAGAGAGTGCACTATTGTGAATCACCCCAAAACAACACATACGTTTGAACCGCTGAGGGAGGCTTCGAGCAAACACAGACAAGAAATATCCGAGCTTCTCGGTACGATAAAAATGAGGAGTCCTTTTGTGAAAAGGGCTTTGTTGGAGATCGAAGAAGCGTGCGGGGATATTCCACAGCACGCCCTTGCGATTGAGGAGCAAATCAAGAGCTCGACAACGCGCTATATCAGGGCTTTAAAGGAACGAGAGGCGCGGCTGTTGGACGATTTGGGCGCCATGAGAGAATACAAAGTTACATTGCTAGAGCAACAAAAGGAGCGGTTGTACAAAGGAATTGGAGATATTGAAAGCAATTGTGGACTCATCGAGATGATGTTACGAGAAGGAAGTGCTGCTGAAGTAACAAGGGTAAAAGATTTTATGACGGGGCGATTGCAAAGCTTAATGAATCTGATTCAGGACATGTCACCAACCGAAGGACCTGAATTAGACTACGTCACTGAAGAAGACCTGCTATTCGACGTCATAAATAGAGGTGGAAAACTTGAAAGCAGCACCATGCTTCCTGCGGTTCGACTCATTGGAGAGGGATTGTATAACGCTGCAGTTGGAAAAACCTCAAGTTTTGCTTTAGCCGTGCGAGAAGGCGCGGAGATGGCTAAACATGACATAGACGTTCGCATCGAAACTCCCGACTTGATTATCCTCACCTGCAACATAACAGAGAACAGTTCACGCCTTTACACAATCAGTTATAAGCCAAGAATTCATGGAGAACATGTAATCACGGTTTTAACACGTGGAGAGCATGCGGAAGAGAGTCCTTACACGGTGGACGTGAAGAAAGGTCACATGTGCTTCGCCACAAAGTCTCCTCCCGTTTGTTTACGGTTTGGTTACAAGGGAAAAGGGAGAGGCGAGCTGACTGGTCCGAGTGATGTAGCTGCGGCTTGCAATGGTATCATAGCTGTGGCAGACACGCTGAATGATAGAATTCAACTGTTTACCAGCAAGGGAGGATTTCTACGACAGTTTGGAAGTTCGGGGGAAGATGTCGGCAAGTTTAAATCCCCAACCGGCCTGTGCTTTTCTCAAGCTGGACAAATAGTCGTCGCTGACCAACAGAATAACCGTATCCAAGTGTTTAGTATGGATGGGGTCCTGTCCAAAGTAATATCATGCAAAGGACGGAGTGCGGGGGATTTAAAAAATCCCACGGGTGTAGCTGTGGATGAGGAGGGCCAGCTACTAGTCACAGACCAACAGAACCACAGAATTGTTGTCTTCGACAACAATGGAGTCTACTGCAATCAGTTTGGGTCCTTAGGAACAAAAGACGGAGAATTCAACAACCCTTCCTACATCACTGTTTCGCAAGACGGAGAAATTTTCGTCACAGATACTTCGAACCATCGAGTACAAATTTTCGATCCGATGGGAAAATTTCAACGGAGGTTTGGAAGACCTGGCACCGGAGATGGAGAGTTCCACTATCCGACGGGAATAACAGTCGATTCATCCGGGTACATCTTTGTCTCTGATCGCACCAATCGCGTGCAAGTGTTTAACTCGCACTTGCGTTTCGTCACAAAGTTTGGCGGGAAAATCAGTGGTGATGGGCAATTGAATGGGCCGCTAGGACTTGATTACACTCCTGAAGGCCGGGTCGCTGTTACCGATGCCGGTAATAACTCTGTTAAGGTTTTCTACTTTCCCAACGAGTAATCACGCACCAGTTAATCGAAGAAACTACGAATACAATTCTTCCGCATTTGTAAGTCTTTAAGTAGGAGAACACTCTAGAGATAATCATGGAATTTTAGTTTTGTGTCGAAAATAATGTAGAACTAAATTGGTTTTGCCGGCTTTTTTACTCTGCTTACCGATTGATCTAGAAGATTCACTCCTTGTTTTTCTCGACCAATCAGATGCAAACCTTAAACCAATTCCGACATCTTGCCTGGCGTTTTCCGGCGCTTATAAACTGGTTTGTGAAGCTTTTCACTTTTAAGTTTCATGCTCACTTGTTTCTCTAACTTTTCCAAGAAAAAATAATCCCTTTTTTATCTTGGTGTTCTCCACCAGTCTGGTCGGCTTTCATAATTACTCTAGAAACCCAATTTTAAAAGTCTTTAAAAAATTACATCAAGGAATAAAGCTGAGTAGGGACGGAAAAGGTTAAACTCTCAAGTAGTAATTTTTCAAATCTTCCAGGAATATCACCATTAAACATAAGCTATACGATCGGATTAACGTAAATCAAGTTTCGACTGACGCCAATCAACAGATCTTGACAAAATGATAAAGTACCAGGGGTTTCCATATTATATCCAGGATATCTTAAGCATTAGTAAATTGATTACAGTCTGTTAAGTAATTCTCATTGATTAACTCGCTTTCAAGAGTTTTTTTTAGTATGACGAGATTCGTTTTCTCTTACTTACGAAGTGTTTTTGACTAAGTTAAATTTCAGTCTATAGAGGTATATCTTTACATAATCATTCGCCGTATATCTAATAATTAGAGAGTGAAAATATTGTAATAATTTCAAAAATACTTTTTATAAGAACTAACATAAAGGTTAGTTTCCTCCGAGAGTGATAGAGTTCTAATACTGTATCCAAACCGACCAATCACGACTGACCTACGCCACTTGAGTCTTACAGCCAATAACATCACGGCAAAACTGACCAATCAGTGAACACAAACTGGACTAAGTACATTCGACTGACAACAACCTTTCACTTGACTCTGATGATGACTTCCGCTCAGGTTGTCGAAACGTCAGTCACCACTACCGACAACAGTCCTTCCCAGGACTACACTCACCTGGACGATCATACTACACTAATACATGTTAACCCCGGGTTCAAACCATTCACTGTATTACTTTAATATTCTGTCACTTGATAGCTGTAGGAGACATGCACAATGATAAGTTGCAATATGTTTTAGTTTCATCTTATCTATTAAGATATATGCTTTAGTAGTCTCCTACCCAGATCTTCCACGGCCAAGCGGTTGTTCGGTTGTTCAGTTACAATTCAAAGATAGGATCTGAGTACGAGATTAGTATAATTAGTTTATGACGTTTCCAATAAAAAGAGGCATATGGTTTAAAACGATATTAAAGCCCTCGCCCCTGGAAAACAGATATATTGTAAAAATTAGTGCACTCCAATGAAACACCAGTATGATGTGTCGATATTTAGTCACAAAACTGGTTTTAAAATCAAATATCAATCAGAAAATAAATTTTTCTTTAAGCCTTGGACGATCATTTAGTTGTTGGTACTGTGATAACTTCATATGTTACAAAGCGAGAAGAGCATCAACGGCCAATAGAGCGATTTTAAACCCCAATCGCAGGCGTACATTCTAAATAAATTTTCTATTCCTTTTTCATTCCTAAGTTGGTTTCATTGAGACCGTTTTCCACGTCAGAGTTGTGCCTTTAGAAAACTTGAGCAGTCTGATTGGTTGATTCAGAGGACGTTTTGTAATTGTGTGTGCATAGAATCATGGGATGGGCATATTAGCACTTGTGCACTTGTACCCAGCTGTCCTTTCTGGGTTGGGCTTATATAAAGAGAGAATCAACAAAGTGATCAGCGTGCCGGGTGAGTCGAGAGAGCAGAATAGGACGCGCTTTCCATTGGCCGTCACTTTTCATCAACACCAAGCGGAGCGTGCTCGCAGTTTAGCAGATGTTCGATGTACCTTGAAAATTTTCAACGCTTCTTTAAGTGAACAGTGAAATCGCTATCACTTGTTTCTTCCGGCATATCTAATTTACTTGATGTACATGCAAGAGCTCATGTGCTTCTGATACGAGTGAATATATAACAAGTTATTTGTGATCGGAACAATTTATCGCTAAAGGAGATTCTGCTGTTCCTAGGAATCAAAGACTTAAAAAGGGCTGTGAGATCCCTCAATTGATTTCCTCGCTTAAGCTTCCTTGGGATTTTATTTTGTTCTAAATTTAACAATCATACTTGCAAACAGGCAACCATCCCTTGAAAATATTAAAATATGTAGTTTCTAGCGTGATTGTTTCTGCAAATGGTCAACGACTTATGAAACAGGCAAAACCGTGCACCAAACTGATTTTTCCTCGTGTTTCAAAATATAAGTAAGGTTGCATTCCGTTCTGAGACTGATTTTAACTCGGAAGTCTCGAAAAGGAGAAAACCAACGGGGAAGAATAATGGATGAATTGTCACGCTAATGACCATCGTGACAGATTAGACTGTCACGCCTCTGACTGACCAACTTGTTGTAAATTCATATCGGGATTCGGAACTTTCTTGCCGTCCTTAACTTGAATCAGGCCGGGAGTGACGTGCCATTTTATCAAGCACAAAGTCTTACAAATCAGTGTCAACTCCTCGCCTTTTAACCCAGTGAAAGAACCGTAAAAATTCAAGATGCGTCTGCCATGCTTGATATGTTTACTGGACAAGCTCACGAACAAATTGTGCTCGCCTGGAGTCCGTGGACAGTAGAATATCGAATAAGTTCCATTTTTGTTGTCGAGGACTTTAGCAGAAATGACACTTCCGTCTGGAGACTCGAGCTGTATTCCGACTTCCCTGGGACGTCCTCGGCTGTCAGTCGTAGGAATTAGGAATTCCGTCGGGGCCAGCTTTCCGACAGGTTCACTTGACTTTTTACCAATTGTCAAAGCTGGGAAGCTGAATCGACGACCTTTCGCCTTTTTGGTAGACTTTGGATCTTGGTTAAGCGCAAGCGAACTCGAAGAAGAACCTATACCTGTTTCAGGCTTTTGCGAGTCTGAAGAGAGAGTACTGGGACTGGATTCTTCATCATCTGCTGAAGCAAATGATACAGAACTCCCTCCATTAGGTAGTGAACTCGCTAGTTGCGATTTCTCAGTTAGTTCATCAGCTTTCTTATCGTTAGCTTGCTCTTTGGGTTCATGACCGACACTTATTGAGCCAAATGTTTCTTTTATAGCTTCAAGAATCGGCCTCTCATCTGGATCAAACTCTACTTTGACAGTATTCAACCCCCCGTCTGTCTGATTTTCCTGCAATTCGCACAGTCGTTTACAAATTAAGCTATTTACTGCTAGAATGTCCGCATCTTTTCCATGTTTGATAATCTCCTCGGAGAAATCGCAACCATCGATGGTACAGACCAAGTTTCTTTCAATTTCGTCCTTTTGGTTCACTAATACAGAGGCGCGATTATCTCTGATGGTGTTCAGTTCCTTTAGCAACTGATGCTCTTTCTCTTTAATGGCTTGAATAAGGCGACGCGAAGTCCTCCGAATTTGCCACGACACATCATCGATTTTATTCTGCCACCGACCGTAAACCTTGATAATCTCGTACACCGACTTTTGTAAGACAGGAATATTTTTCTGCGTAGAATCCAGCAACGATAAAAGTGTCGGTTTGAGCGAGTCAACAGCGCTCTTTATTGAAACAATATCATGTCCCTCGTGATCAGTACTTCTTCTACATTCCTTGCACGTTAATAAATCGCAAGTTTTGCAATACATGTCCACACTGTCGCTACAATGTGCAACACAAGGTATTGATGTTGAGTGCTCTATTGGATTTGTTCTATCCACGAATTCTTCAAGAGACAAAATGTCGTGTTCGCGCGTGAATTTTACTCTTCGATGAGCTAGCGTGCAGTCACCGCAAAGAAATTCTTGGCACTCCATGCACCTATGTGAAGCCAGATTTTGGCCGTTTTCACAACCGCTACAATCCTCCTCCCGCTGTCGTAGTTTTTGTCTCTCAAACTCTTCGAGTTTCCTGATAACAATAACATTGGGCTGTAAATCATCCAGATTTCTCGAGGGTAAGTTCACATCTGAATGACAAATCGGACAAAACAGATAATTTTCATTTTCTCCCGTAATTAAACCAATACACTGCTTGCAAAACGTATGTAAACATGGTAGGACTTTTGGCTCTTCGTAAATCTTACTACAATATTTACACCAGATTTCTTGCGGGATTTCCTCTCTGAAAGCTACGGATTTTCGCGGACCGCGTTTTGAAGCCATTTTTTCTGTAAGAAGTGTTCTAGGCAGACTGCTATTAATGATTGTGAGTATTTCTTCCGTTCATCTCCCGTCGCTCTTGGACTCGTGCGACACTTGCCAAGCTCGCGGTGCACACCAGTTAAGTTTCGCAATTGCGGTCACCAAATCCTTGCCGCCAGACCGCTTCTAAAGTGGCTTTTTCGGCGATGCATGCAGCTAAAACGCATTGCTTACACGGATGAACCAAACCTGGTAGTCACCTTGCAAAAATATCAAATTTGTGGAGTTTTGAAGAACATCAGGTGTGGTAGCTATTTGTTTTGGTAAGATAGAGTGTCGCTTCAAGGCTAATTCAACTCCGCTTGGCTTTGAATAATTCAAGAAGCGTTTATCATGAGCGACAGGTACTTCAAGCCAGAAACATAACCAGTCAAACAAAACCAACCAGCCATCGGACGACTATTACCGTTTATGTGTGTCAAATCATGGTTGTGGCTAATCTTCAGATTTGCCGCAGTTGCGTTCACTGGTACATCAAAAGTGCCGTGTCGTGTTTTAGGGCGTCGACATATAGTCTATACTCTCGGGAGATTACGTAGCTGTCCACCGCTCTAATTTTGCGTTGTATTAACTTTTATAACTTAGAATTAATTGTTAAGACAATGATGATTGTGCTAAGCTCTTTGTGAGCTAAACCAAAATAAAGCAACAATTTAGTTGTGGTAAGGTGGATTGTTTCCAGTAAACATTCTAATTATGAACATTGGCACATCTATTAAAAACTATTAAATGTAATACAGCAACGACCCGACAAATGCCGATAAAACAACGGAAAGAAAGAATCGTGTGGCTTAGGTATGATTTGGGAACAATCAACTCATTTCCGACAAGCGCGAGTGGAATGATTGTTTTATTTAAGAACGTTAATAAAAATAAAAAAAAAGTCGGTGAGTTTTGATAAAAAAAAAACCCAACCAACCAACCAAAATGATGATGCACATGCGAGTTCTGATTTAGTCTGTATGATCGTTGCCGTGGTGGTTCAACCAATCAACAATCTGCAGTTAATATGATTATCCATTGACTCGATAGTTTTTAGCCTGTGCCTGGCTTTCAATTTCTTAAGGCGAGCGAAAACGCCGGCGCATTATAAAAAATGGCGAGTAAGCGGGCGCGGTAGTTGGGGTCGTCGTACGTTAAGTTTTTCGCTCGCCTCCTGACTAAATGCCTGAAACAGGCCGAGCAGTTTTTGATAACGATTGACTGGCCAAATTCATTCCTTGTAGAAGGGAGTTAATCCTACTGGGATCTTTTGCCTTTTTTCACATTATAATTGTACTGGAGGTTGTCCCCATCTGCCATGTGCCCAGTTGTCTCTGCTAATAAACTGTAGGCGCATAAGGAAGGTAGGGAATCCTCTCCTTCCATGGTCTTCAGCGCGTTCTGTTCTTTCTTCCCTGTAGCTGTATCTGTCTGAGTGAACACAATGACTATTAATTGCGAACAACTTATTAAGTAATTGTTTTTGTTCGTAGCTATCTTTATTTGCTTGGCTTAGTTTTCGCGTCCTCGTAATTTTTGCTACCTTTTTGTTAGTTAGTCATACATTGTGAGCAAGACTTTTTCCTGACCTTATAAAGTATTGGTAGCAGATTATTAAAGTGTTTTCCGAAGGATCTCGACATTAGGTTTTTTTTTTTTGGTTTGGTAATTCGTCCGACCAGTATCCGTGATCATCATACCGGTCGTGTTGTCGTACAGATGGCATCCAATCCCTCACTCAGCGCTTCTTCAGTTTCTTCGTTAGTCCCGAAAGCGTGTTTACTTCTCAATATCCCTTTTCCTCCCAAGATCTAAAACCTTATTCTTCTAGCAGATGACCACATATTTCTTTGTTAGCCAGTACTGAGAATATGGTGTTATATCCGAACAAGGATCCCAAGTTTGATACTTTGCTTAATTCCTACTATATGCCTCCTCAATGGTATTTTAGGATTGTGAGAAGAATTCACATTCCGATCATGGAAGGGTCAAGGGTGGGAGGGTCAAGGGTGGGAGGGTCAAGGGTGGGAGGGTCAAGGGTGGGAGGGTCAAGGGTGGGAGGGTCAAGCGAGAGAGCCTTAGTAAGAGAAAATGAACTATCGAATACAGGTTCTGCTTTTTCGAAATTTGCGTCTTACAAAACATCTTATACAAATTTAACTCAGACGTCCGTATCCTTGGCTATGATTACTGTCATAAGATTTATGACGCTCGGTTGCGTCTAATATCCAGCAGAGGGTTTTACTAATTTCCATTCTCTTAGTCAGAGAAGACGAACGGATGAGTTTGGGAAAGAAAATCGGCGAATTGTATAGGAAGAAGCAAATCAGCCCCTCATTTCCTCTGTAGCCTGCTCCACTTTTACGCTCGTGCCCACACCGACGTCCTTTCAAGCTAGCAGAGTTCGGCTGACTACGAACTTCTGTGCGGAATGTCCTTTCAATGGCATGCTAAGACTCTGGCCTGCTCGCCGGCTCTTCTGATGAGCGCTGCGAAACGAGCAGTAAAGCGTGAGCGTTTCGAACCGGCGAGAATGCGAGCACGCAAGAGGTCCTCGAGGGCTCTACCCGGAAAAATCACTATTGCCAGACCGCTTACAGACCTCTCACGTGCAACGCAGAGGTCAAACGTCGGGCATGCGCGAGGGGATCAATTCTGGCCGGCTGTGTGCCAATTTCCCGCTCAAAATTACACACAAATCTGTGAAAGGAGACAGAAGTAAGAAGAAGGAAAAGAAGAAGGAAAATTCGAGACTTTCCGAATACAAAGCTCATTCCAGTATGGGTATCCTGTTTATTTACCTCTCTATTTTGAGCTTTACCGAAAAGGTACACGCTCTTGTGAGGAAACTTGGTTCTGACAGCGTGAAAGCACACCACTTACAACGATTGCATATACGCAGATTTTTGACCGCTGTGTTCTCACTCGCTCGCTTCATTTACCGGCTGGGCCCACGCGGGCTTCACGCGTGCGCCCAAGTTAAATATGAAAATAAAAACTAAAAACAAAACAAAACAAAAAATAAATAAAAAAAGAGTTATAATATTAATTTATGTTAATCATGTGAAGTGGAGGCAAAACAATTCGGCTCAGTTTAGACGTAAATCTACTTATGCGCTAAACTTAATATTTCTATTGATTTTCCTTCATCTTCTGCTGCTGGGAGAGAAAACGGAAAATGACTTCCAGTCAAGGTTTCAGTCATTCCTAAAGCAAAACGAATTTGTCATCCCCAAATAAGAAAAAACGCCAAATACAAATCCCCTGATATCATTACGCTACACAGCATACATGATACTTTGAAAGGAGGTTGGTCCGATCATATCGTCGATCGTCCACCGAAAGGCTCTGAATTCTCTGTAAAATACCGGGACCTGTTTTAGAATAAACTTTGGAAGCTGTGTGAAGTCGCGTTAATAAGCTGTCGTTAAAAATAGCTTGGTCGCGCATGAGTAGTTTTCTTTCGTTGACTGATGAATATGGCACCAGTTTGAGGAGTAGCACATGATCAGTTGTCTTGTGCGTAACGCAACCGTGAATTTCCCTCACATGCAAATTTTGACTGAAGACGGCGACGTCGCTGTGAATTTTAATTGTTCTGATTTGAATATAACAACGCCAGCGCGCGACTTTTGAACCGATTGATTCGCACAAAAAACACAATAACGCTGTCTTAATAACTTTCAAGTATCGATGGCTCGCCTTAACCGAGAAGATCGAAATTTTACAGGATCGCTGCCAGATTTAAAAGCCTCTGTTAAGGCTACCGAACACCAAACGAAAGTGGTCGACAGAAAAATATTTATTGTTGAAACACATTTTCCCAAGGTGGCAGCGATGCTTCAGCGCTACGCAGTAGGAACAGCCAAATTACGAAACAAGGGCGACGAGCTGGCCAAAACAATAGCGGCCTATGCGGAAGTAGAATCTCCTTCATTGAAGCAAGCCCTTACAACTATGTCTGAATGTTTGTCCGCCATTCAGGATCAACGAGACGCAGAGGTTAGTAAAATAGAAGAGAAACTCGTTCAAGGACTCAGCGTGTACGACACGAAATGCAAGCAGGCTAGGAACGACGTGAGGGTTAGTTCGTCTCTGTCTACAAGGGAGGTGAAGTCATTCGAGAACCTCGAAAAAGCGCAGATGAAATCCACTGATCGAACGCGGACCGCCAGGGCTCAGGCTGAATTTCAGAAGGCGTCTGGCGAAGCGAACCGATCACTGAGGGTTTTACGCGAGCAGATGAACGAGTTCGAAAGTCAAAAAAATGCGGGACGTGAAGCAGATTTTCTCGGGGTTTGTGGTGTGCGAGATGGAGCTGTTAGCCCGGTCAATGGAGCTGTATACCCGCGCGTATCAAGGTTTGATGAATATTATCGAAGAGGAAGATTTAGAGGAGTTTAACAAATCCATGACTTTAAAGCCAACCCAGTGGGGTTCAGCACCAGCTCTGTCTAATGCCGGAAGATATGTAAATCCAGGAAATGGTAGAGAAAATGTTTTGGAAGAAGTTGAGGACGAAAGCGACGAACTCAATCGTACAATGTAAACACTGAGATTCAACGGTTCGAAGAAAATTTCCATTTAACTGCGCATAAATTAACCTTAAAGATATGACTTCAAAAGATACACGTTGCCATATGAAGAAAAAAATATAATTCATGATCGTAGGTTTTACTCAGAAAAAGGAGAGTGTTTACACACTTTTTTACACACTTTTTTACACACTTTATTTTTCTTTTTCTTACAAAATAATTTAGATTATGTTGACCCGCAGATAGCAAATTTGCTATTCGAGGCGGGTCAATCATCAACAAACATTATTTACAATATATAAAGAAAATTAAAAACTAAATAGTTAGATATTGTTAAATTATAAAGAGAAGCATAACTGGTAAATACATCAATAGTTGTTCAATAAAGTATAGAAGCAAATAAATTAGTACTGAAAGCAATCGGATCAACTTGTTTTAATTATGCAGTCCTTAAGTTTAGAGGAGATCTTTTCAACATCAAGATAAGAATCTTCATTATCTAGTATCTGAAATAAAGACGTTTTTATTTGTTTATTAAAGGAATGTTTTGATAACGTTTTGAATTCTTTCGGTATCTTATTCCAAATTTTGACACCAACACGCGAGAAAGCCTTTTTTTGTAGGTTAAGTCTAGAGTACTTTGTACTAAAGAGCTGCGATTTGGATGATCGAGTATTGTAGGTATGAATATGAGATGTTTTAGTAAATAGTTTCAAAATATTAATGGGAGCCCTCTGGTTGTGCACGTCAAACATAAGTTTACTTACGGCTTCATAATATAGGAACGTAACAGGCAGAATTTTTGCTTTGGCAAATAAAGGGATGGCATGCTCTCTTCGATCGGTGAAATAGATTAAGCGCAAAACTCGCTTTTGAAGAACTAAAATCTTGTTTAAATAAGCATTTGACGCATTGCCCCAGGCAAGGAGTCCATAAGTTATATAAGGTAGAATTAATGAATTGTAAATATTTACAAGGACAGTAGAGGGAACGAAGTACCTCAGCTTTGCAATCATCCCTATTGTTTTACTTATTTTTACGATAACAGAGTCAACATGGTTTTTCCATGACAAATTTTGATCAATTAAAACGCCTAGATATTTGATATAACTTTTTTGCTCTAAACTAACTCTTCGGTTTGTCTCACAATCTAAAATACCTATTTGTGGAGAAAAATGCATTTTTTTCTGACGAGGACGAAAAATTAAGAAATTTGATTTTTTTGTATTCAATGTCAACCTATTTGTAGTTAACCAGTCATGTACGTTATTCAACTCTACATTAACCGTTTGCTCGATCGCCTTAAGATTCTTATCAGCATAAAGTATATTAGTATCATCCGCAAAGAGATAAAATTTTAGTTTATCAGAACAAAGGTGAATGTCATTTATGTAAAGTAAAAATAGAAGAGGTCCAAGGACTGATCCCTGGGGGACACCACAGGGGGAGATAAGTTTTGTTGATAAGTGCTCTCCAATCTGAATTGTTTGTGTTCTATTTTTTAAATATGATTGAAACCAGTCATTTATCAATCCACGGAAACCGTAAAAGTTCAATTTATCGAGTAATATTTCATGATTGACCGTATCAAATGCCTTTTTCAGTTCAATGAAGACACCGCATGAGAAGTACCGTTTATCCATATTACGTAGTATATCTTCGACAATATCAAGTACTGCATGCTCTGTGGAATGTGACTTGCGAAAGCCATACTGTGAGGAGTACAATAGGTTGTTTTTGTCAATAAATTCCTTCATCCGGTAGTACAAAAGTTTTTCAAAAATCCTATTAAAATTAGACAAAAGATTGGTCGATAGTTTGAAGGGTCGGTCTCGTCGTCACTTTTATATATTGGCGTTATTTTAGAAATCTTAAGTTTTGAAGGATAGACACCAAGGATAACAGATAAATTGAAAATATGAGAAAGAACTGGAGATATGATATTGCAAGAAGATTTAAGCAGTTGTGTAGGGCAGGAGTATAAGCCACAGGATTTACTATTTGGTAGGGATAATATTTCCTGTTTAACTTCTTCTGGTGTAATGGGTTTGAAAAAGAACGAAGAATCAGGTGATTTCAATTTACCAAGATAACTCATATAGTTATCTTTCTTTGGCAATTTACTTGCTAGTAAATTACCAACATTTGCAAAATGCTTATTTAGAATATTTGGTAATCTGAAAGGATTTTGTGTTATTTGATTGTTATTGCTTGGGTCTTTCAGCTTCGTTAACACTCTGCTTTTTGTCCTTTGGTTATTTATTAATTCATTTATTACTTTCCACGTCTTTTTCATATTATTTGTATTTTTCTCAAAGAAATCATAGTAATAACGTTTTTTACTCAAACGAATAAGGTTTGTAATTTTATTTCTATAATATTTATATTTGCTGTGTATTCCATTTACATATAGCTTGTTCTTTATTTTTATTGATGTCCTTATTCCTTTTGATATCCACGGTTTTGCAAGTTGTTTAATTTTACATTTGGATAAAATTTTAACAGGCGCATGGTTATTCACGACTTAATTTAATTTTCTGTAGAAAGATGAGAATAGTTCATTAATATTATTTGTTTTTGAGGCAATAATAGCATCCCAGTCGATCGCGGACAAATCATTATTAAATTCCTCAGAGGAGAATTGAGAGAAGTCGCGTTTTTTAATTGTTTTCTTGACATGTTTGTCTCGCTTAGATTTCAAAATACAAAATTGAGAAAAATGATCAGAGACATCTTCTAGCAGATGACCACATATTTCTTTGTTAGCCAGTACTGAGAATATGGTGTTATATCCGAACAAGGATCCCAAGTTTGATACTTTGCTTAATTCCTACGATATGCCTCCTCAAAGGTATATTAGGATTGTGAGAAGAATTCACATTCCGATCATGGAAGGGTCAAGGGTGGGAGGGTCAAGCGAGAGAGCCTTAGTAAGAGAAAATGAACTATCGAATACAGGTTCTGCTTTTTCGAAATTTGCGTCTTACAAAACATCTTATACAAATTTAACTCAGACGTCCGTATCCGTGACTATGATTACTGTCATAAGATTTATGACGCTCGGTTGCGTCTAATATCCGGCAGAGAGCTTTACTAATTTCCAGGCTCTTAGTCAGAGAAGACGAACGGATGAGTTTGGGAAAGAAAATCGGCGAATTGTATAGGAAGAAGCAAATCAGCTCCTCATTTCCTCTGTAGCCTGCTCCACTTTTACGCTCGTGCCCACACCGACGTCCTTTCAAGCTAGCAGAGTTCGGCTGACTACGAACTTCTGTGCGGAATGTCCTTTCAATGGCATGCTAAGACTCTGGCCTGCTCGCCGGCTTTTCTGATGAGTGCTGCGAAACGAGCAGTAAAGCGTGAGCGTTTCGAACCAAGAGGTCCTCGAGGGCTCTACCAGGAAAAATCACTATTGCCAGACCGCTTACAGACCTCTCACGTGCAACGCAGAGGCCAAACGTCGGGCATGCGCGAGGGGATCAATTCTGGCCGGCTGAGTGCCAATTTCCCGCTCAAAATTACACACAAATCTGTGAAAGGAGACAGAAGTAAGAAGAAGGAAAAGAAGAAGGAAAATTCGAGACTTTCCGAATACAAAGCTCATTCCAGTATGGGTATCCTGTTTATTTACCTCTCTATTTTGAGCTTTACCGAAAAGGTACACGCTCTTGTGAGGAAACTTGGTTCTGACAGCGTGAAAGCACACCACTTACAACGATTGCATATACGCAGATTTTTGACCGCTGTGTTCTCACTCGCTCGCTTCATTTACCGGCTGGGCCCACGCGGGCTCCACGCGTGCGCCCACGTTAAATATGAAAATAAAAACTAAAAACAAAACAAAACAAAAAATAAATAAAAAAGAGTTATCATATTAATTTATGTTAATCATGTGAAGTGGAGGCAAAATAATTCGGCTCAGTTTAGACGTAAAACTACTTATGCGCTAAACTTAATATTTCTATTGATTTTCCTTCATCTTCTGCTGCTGGGAGAGAAAACGGAAAATGACTTCCAGTCAAGGTTTCAGTCATTCCTAAAGCAAAACGAATTTGTCATCCCCAAATAAGAAAAAACTCCAAATACAAATCCCCTGATATCATTACGCTACACAGCATACATGATACTTTGAAAGGAGGTTGGTCCGATCATATCGTCGATCGTCCACCGAAAGGCTCTGAATTCTCTGTAAAATACCGGGACCTGTTTTAGAATAAACTTTGGAAGCTGTGTGAAGTCGCGTGATTAAGCTGTCGTTAAAAATAGCTTGGTCGCGCATGAGTAGTTTTCTTTCGTTGACTGATGAATATGGCACCAGTTTGAGGAGTAGCACATGATCAGTTGTCTTGTGCGTAACGCAACCGTAAATTTCCCTCACATGCAAATTTTGACTGAAGACGTCGACGTCGCTGTGAATTTTAATTGTTCTGATTTGAATATACCAACGCCAGCACGCGACTTTTGAACCGATTGATTCGCACAAAAAACACAATAACGCTGTCTTAATAACTTTCAAGTATCGATGGCTCGCCTTAACCGAGAAGATCGAAATTTTACAGGATCGCTGCCAGATTTAAAAGCCTCTGTTAAGGCTACCGAACACCAAACGAAAGTGATCGACAGAAAAATATTTATTGTTGAAACACATTTTCCCAAGGTGGCAGCGATGCTTCAACGCTACGCAGTAGGAACAGCCAAATTACGAAACAAGGGCGACGAGCTGGCCAAAACAATAGCGACCTATGCGGAAGAAGAATCTCCTTCATTGAAGCAAGCCCTTACAACTATGTCTGAATGTTTGTCCGCCATTCAGGATCAACGAGACGCAGAGGTTAGTAAAATAGAAGAGAAACTCGTTCAAGGACTCAGCGTGTACGACACGAAATGCAAGCAGGCTAGGAACGACGTGAGGGTTAGTTCGTCTCTGTCTACAAGGGAGGTGAAGTCATTCGAGAACCTCGAAAAAGCGCAGATGAAATCCACTGATCGAACGCGGATCGCCAGGGCTCAGGCTGAATTTCAGAAGGCGTCTGGCGAAGCGAACCGATCACTGAGGGTTTTACGCGAGCAGATGAACGAGTTCGAAAGTCAAAAAATGCGGGACGTGAAGCAGATTTTCTCGGGGTTTGTGGTGTGCGAGATGGAGCTGTTAGCCCGGTCAATGGAGCTGTATACCCGCGCGTATCAAGGTTTGATGAATATTATCGAAGAGGAAGATTTAGAGGAGTTTAACAAATCCATGACTTTAAAGCCAACCCAGTGGGGTTCAGCACCAGCTCTGTCTAATGCCGGAAGATATGTAAATCCAGGAAATGGTAGAGAAAATGTTTTGGAAGAAGTTGAGGACGAAAGCGACGAACTCAATCGTACAATGTAAACACTGAGATTCAACGGTTCGAAGAAAATTTCCATTTAACTGCGCATAAATTAACCTTAAAGATATGACTTCAAAAGATACACGTTGCCATATGAAGAAAAAAATATAATTCATGATCATAGGTTTTACTCAGAAAAAGGAGAGTACACTTATTCTTTGGTAGAAACTTTTGGATTATATTGAATAGAACGATGCTATGCTGTAAAATTATTTACACCTCGAAAAAAGGAAAATGATACGCTAAAAGAAAAGTTAATATAAACGACCGAATTATTTATACAAGGAGCAACTATTGGAACAAGAAAAGAAAAGTTAGCTTTACGCAATCGTGAAGAAACAGCGAAAGTTTCTAGAAGAAATATTTATTTGTTGTAAGTATCATTATGGAATCTTTCAAAGACAAAGAACAGGAAATAACGATATGGAGGAGTTATAACCACTTTTGCCTTTTGAAGTCATATAAATAACGGCGCCAGCGGTACACCGAGAAGGAGGGAAATTTTCGCGCGCTCTCGCGCAACTGCGACTCACTCACTTGTCCGACTAACTATAAGGTGAGAGTGATGAGGCCCAAGCCGAAATTTTTGCGCTCCCTTTTTCTAAGCTTAAATCGAGAAATTTCTTAGGCCTTTTATCCAAACTGCACGACAATTTCTTCCAGCTTGCTCAATCATAGGACATAATAGTATCACATCCTATTTAGCTTGGGTGTCAGGTATCGGTTGTCGGGCCGTCACCTCAGATTGTTTGTTCAGAGAAATATAGGAATTCACGCCAATACACTACCACCACCCTACTGAGGATTATTTTGCCCTTCATCTCACCAAGTAACACGGCAAAAATAAAGATTTTAGGGCAAAAGTGGCCGGGAGGGAACAATTTTTCTTATTAAATCCCTCAATGGCTCACACTTTGTTTCCTTACCTACAATATAAAAATAGAAGTACACATACAAGAAAACGTACACACACAACTACAATATAAAATTAAATACAACGAAATTATGGTCAAACCCCTATTAAGAGGTCATTTAACTCTCCCCAAGTGGAGCGGCCACTTGATCAGTTTGGCGATTTACACTGACAGCAGGATAAAAGCAAAAATTTAAAACTGATTACAAGTTTTACGCTCATTAAATTTACAAAAACCCTCTTCTTAGCCAGAGAGTGGAGTGTAAAAGCTTCTTCAATATCTTTCCTCTTTTCCTCTAACTTTTTCGTACAAAAGGGAAAAAAATTATATTTGAAATTCGCCGATTGGTTCTTGGTAGTTCTTTCTGTAAAAAACTGTTACCATGGAGAGTACTTGAAAAGCTTGTGAACTGAAAGCACGAGATGTTTTTTCACGCGCTATTTTTTAGTGATTAAAACCACAACTCAAGGGAACAAAACAGTCAGAAAAATGGATATACAGCTCAGTACAAAGGAAAACTAACATTTTCATTATCAACGAAATCAGTATGCTGTAAATAATTAATGAAAGTGATATCTAATAAAAGAAACAGTAGCCTATCATTTTCCACGGGCGAACTGTAAGGCAAGATGCTTTAGTAACGGGTCATTACAAACAACGTTCCGGAAATATACTTCAGCCCTCAGTTCTTACGTTCGATCAAAAATTTGAATCTTGCCCTCCCCGTTCACGGTTTGTATATCAACTTCGGCCTAAATTTTAAAAGTTTTCCATCTGCAATTCTTGTTTGTTTTATTTATCCTTTGCCGGCGTTGATCCGTGTTGGGGTTTTATTATCTCTCTAGTGTTTTCATAATTTTATCTGAAATTTTAAGTATTACTTAAATAGTTTGGCTATTGGAAAAAAGGATACCCGGATTATCATGACGTATTATGCAACTTTCTCTCTACAGTCTCACAAAATTTTGCTAAAACTAAAATGGATCCAGAAACTTTGGCGGTTAGTTTCGACCCAGATACAGCAAATAGCATGGACGATATTGACAAAGAAATTTTGCAGCTGGCTTTGAAACAAGTGGAGAAAACTTTGCAAGAACTTGGTGTAAGAGTATCACAAGGATACAAGCTTGGATATGAACTGGGGTACATCAAAGGAGTATTAGAACACGTTCTGAAGACAGTACCAGAGTCAGAGGATAAGGAGGCTTACATGAATGGGTACGTGAATGGTTATCTGCAAGGAATGCTTCATTCTTTCAAGCAAGGAGAACTTCAGCGTGGAAATTGTTCTGATAATAACCGTCACTAGAAACCATACGTTGATTCCTATATATACCACCTGTCACTGTATTTCAAAACAAAAAAAAATTATAGTTTAACGTCCGTGTTTTTGAATTTTTTCATGGACAAGCGCAATGTTGGACATATAATCAGTGTTGTTTTAGATCGATTAATCTTTCAGATTAGTATGCTATGCAACGATGGAAGTTGGCTGTCGGTATTTCACTGAGGAATCGTTCCAACCCCTTCTCTATCTAATACAGCTCGTTCTAGAAAGGATGAAAATTTACAGAATTCATATTCTAGACATAAATCGTAGTAATAAACATTTGCCACTTTCAAACCAACCGAACCATTTTCTAGGTTCACTACTCCTAAGAGGAGTTGTACAGGAAGAAATGCATAACTCGCTAAAATGGCCTCGTTGTAACAAAGTAAGCAGTCACAAAACAAGCAATGCACTGTGAAAGTAAAGTGAGGTATTTCTATTGAGAATTTGACTGTATTTTTTTATTCCTAAGATTTCCATACAAACTCTTATATTTTCAACATAACTATTATTACGCAAGGTGATCATCTCACAGCTGGAGCTTAGGCTGCCTGTAGACTACATAGGTGTCAGAAATGAACGTCGTTAGACATATTTGAAGGTCATTATTTTAACGCTGAGACTCGGCCATCTGTAGTTCAAAAAACCACCACTAAAAACTTGTAAAGTGCTGATGATCTATGAAGCAGAATGAACTAAAACACTATTTCGTCTAAAGAAACTCAATCACTCTATCGCAATTTTCAAAAGAGTACTATTACATATATTGTACTCAAAACATAAACGATAACATAGTTCATTAGTTTTCCTTGATCGTGAATCCATGGTACTGTTTGAAAATAAGTAAAACATGGCTAATGATACATCTCTACAGCGCCTTTATTTGAACTGTCTTACTTCCAAAACTTCAACTTCGAGCCGCTTGCGCCAAATATGAACGTTGCATCATATCTTCCTCTATGCATTGTGCCTACAGTGTTCGTTTCTCGTCCAGCAGCATAAACTTTCGGATGAAACCAAACAAATTCGCATTCGTGGAAATGAATAGACGGGAAGCTGTTTAACAATCTATGTTTCTTAGATGGATAGAACGATTCGATTCTACTTAAACTCTCGTCCATTCTGTCGTTTCTCGTCTGATCCGCTCAATTCCAGACCTCCATAAAGAGTCATTGATGAAAGTAAAGACAATCCAAGGGCAGAGATGTCATATATTACATAAACATTTATGTCTGTAGATGAAAAACAACCACGTTTTTCTCCTTGTATGTTCACTTGTAAAGCTTCCTATGCGCGATTAGGTTAGTGTCCCTTTTGAAGATAATAGTCAGCACGTGTCTCGTTTTAAAATGCCGCATCTACACATTTGTACCCTGTATGTGTCCATAGTTATGTTACCGTAGAGTGATAGAGGCAGGCTCTCCTTTTATGACAGGTGGATATACTCCATGATAAAGATCGTACTCTCGTCGCAGAAAGGCGAAAAAAACATCAGAAGTCAGTAGAATCTGCGATTAAAAGATAAAACAGCGTTGGTTGCATTTCTGACAGAGTTAGACGAGTTGGATGCTGAAAACCAGAAGGGTAAAAATATTTTTTGTTGTTGATTAGGAAAACTGCACAAAAGGACATGACAATCAAACCCTTTAGATGAATAAATGGGGTAAATAGCTGAAGAAATTGTGGTGCTGCGTCGGTGGGAGAGTATAAGAAGTCTTTCGCTCTGATGAAGGGCTAACGCTCGAAACGTCAGCTTTAAAACTCTTTACGATGGCCGATTTACGTTATCAACTCAGTTGATAATATTTATAAACCCTTCAGATGGTCTTATTATATCCCACAACAAAGGAAGCTCGAACGTTCGAAATATCTACAAATTCAAGTCGCTCTAACTCAGTCTGTTCTGTTTCTTATGGCTGATGTATGTTTCTATAACTTGAGGATTTAGATACACTAATGATCACAGAAGCTTTTCTGGAGGTTTTCGATTGAGGGTTAAAAAACTAAAACCAAAGTAGTTACAGAACCAAAATTTGCATCCTCGTGCGTGAAAAACGCGAATGACCAAGTAGCCATAGGTTTTGGATTTGCATATGATTGTGAGAGAGAGGATAGCGCAAATTTGCAAGACCAATCGCGGAATGGGCAAAAACCAGTCTTCTTTCGTTACTCGGGTGAAAGATGTTCCCCGACGACCTCTTGCTCACATGTTCTCGAATAATAATAAATACCTGGGCAGTGGAGTAAGCCAGCGTAATGGCGAAAAAGAAGTTGGCATTTGCACTACCGGCGTAAATCCACAACTGCCAGAAGACTGGAGCCAAGAACGAACTACAAATTAACATGCACATCACCAGAAGTGCGTTACGAAGATCTACAAGAAGAATAATAGAATTGCAAAATACTCATCCAGAAGCCTGAATTACGGTATGATATTCAGGAGGGCAGAGGGTGTTTTTGTTTCAATCACTTAACCCCTTAACTCCCAGGATCTGATTCTTAATTTACCTCTCTGGCTGCTGCACAATTCTTGGTAAAATAGTTACAAGAATTTGGTGTTAGATCAAGTTAAAAACTTCTACCTGATAAGTCTGAGTATTCTCATTACCTGTTTGCTGGATAATGTACGGATAGTGTTGGGAGAAGTTACATGTTTAATCACTTGTGGGAGTTAAAGGGTTAAACCATATAGCAAAGAAGTATCTTGGGTTTTACGAACCGGTCACATCAACGTTGATTTGATAAAGGAAAAGGTTCAACTAAGAGCAGAACAATACGCTTACATGGAAATATGTGAACCCACAGTGCCAAGAGGGCCAATGGTAAAGCAGCATCACCCAGCGCTGGATAAGACTTCATAATAGCCATCACGGAACAAAGCATACAGGCAAGAAATGTTGGGTTGCCCCTGAAGAAAAAACATATAGATTAATTTTTAAGAATTATCTCAGGAACATACCCACACAGGAGTGACAAAGCTTTGGGAATGAGCTAGATAAGAAATGGGGATCTTGCGAAAATAAAGATGACATGAGCAAGGTCAAATCAATATGCTGCATAAAATTGGTCACGAATCCATGACACAATTTATCAAGCACCGTGCAAAAACAAATTGGTAGCAGCTGTTGTTGTTCTCAAAACAAGAGCCAAACTGGTTTCTAATGAAAGTCTACACTAATCTTTTTCACAATTTTTTTCAAACTGTTACCTTAATTTGATGGTCAAAGGGATGCAGTAGAAAAAGGCATTCAGTTGAAACACCCACAAAAAGAAAATCCTAAAATGTTCAAACATCTCAGTGAAGAAGTACCAGAAGAGACCCATGTTAGGTGTGAGATCAGACACCTGTAAACTGACAGTGAAATAAAACAAATTAAAATTTTGTTGGATAAATGTTTAATGGGAAATACAGCAGCCTAGTGGTCAGTATGCTGGACTCTGAGGTGAGAGATCTGTGTTGGAGACCAGGCTGGGTCAATGTGTTGTATCCTTGGACAAAACACTTAATATCATTGTGCCTCTCTCTCTCTCTCTCTCTCAAGCCAGGAGTATAGGAAAGTACTGGTAAATTGTCAGAGAAGTCTGATGAAATGCTGGGGGGTAACCTTAGGATGAACTAGCATCTCATCCAGGGGGGGAGTAGTAACACTTCTAGTTCCTGTATGCTATGGAAAACAGAATAAGCTCTGGCTGGGTGGGCCTCTTGGCTCAAGTACCATGAAACTCTACCTTACCTCTACCTAAAGGTTTTAGAGAAATCTTATCCTTTTATGTGCTTGTTCAAAAGCCGCTTAAGGCTAATCTAAGGTATGAGTTTTTGAAAAATGTCAATATTGCTTTTTGACCCTCAAAGACTATAAAAGCCAATCTGAAGCTCTTCAAACTTAATCGTAAGGTAGTCAATTTACCAAGCCTTGTTACTACAGAATTTAATGCATAAACAGTGATGAAAGATATAAAAACTTAGAATAAACTCACATAAAGCCATGTGTAGCCAGAAGGAAATCCCAAGATTTAAACACTTGATATGACATGCCAATCAGGAGCAATGTCCACACAAGAAAAGAACCAATAACTTGACTAACAAATACAACAGTCTTCTTCGTAAATTGAATATCAAAAGAATGGACCTAGGGACAAAAATGCAGACCTTGGGTTAATTATAAATTTTGTGGTTAAAATTGCTTGCTTTTAGAGGTAAGATCTAAGAATTTTTGATAGGAGGTCCAAACGTCAATTCTGGAAACACAGAGCTAAAATAAATGGGAAATATTTCAAGTTGGGCACATTTAACCTTCTCACTTTCAAAATCTCATTACTGTCTGCCATACAATTCTTATTATGTTAGTTTGGAGAAGTTGGTTTTAGATCAACTAAGAATAATCCCCTAATTAACAATTTTCATCACTTATCTGCTCTATCTGTATTGATAGTGTAAGGAGAAATTCTGTATTGCTCACTTATGGGAGTTAAAGAGTCAACTACTTTCAAGTTGAGTAGTAACATGCAGTCCTGTTGTGAGAGGAAATTGGGTTTTACACAGCTGGCAAAAATACCCACAGGTCTGATGAGGGGGAAGGTACTGGGTCCCCTAGACCCTCCTCCTGAATCCAATGCTTTTGTTTACAAATAACAAGGTCTTTGATTTTTACATTTTTTTACCTTCATCAATGTGAGGACTACTGGTGCGAACAATGTGACTGGATACAAGGAATGACATGTTCCAGCTGCAACACCAAGTGTACTAAGTAAAATATTCCCTGAGTAGAAAATAAGTACAACTTTAGCATACAGCAAAAAACAAACAAACTAACTAACTAACTCAGAACCAAAGGTTATCAATCTTTAACTCCTGAGATGCGATTGTTTTGTAATTCTCCCCTTAGGCTGCTATGTATGTCCTTGTTAATCTATATGAGAATTTGTCATTTCATCAAGTGTTACTAAGCTATTTGCTACATGATAGATTGAAGTTTGAAGCTGAGGTTAAAAGATGAACACCAGGTTTCTTTTCAATTTCAAATGAAATGTATGAATGAAGAAGGGAAGAAAATCCCCCAACAACCATTTCCCAGGTTCCTGTCTTGTTTGAGAAGTTATGTACCCAACAGATCCTAAATTTCTTGTTAAAAAAAAAAAAACTAGAAAAATCTAATGGAAAATCAAACAATATACCCAAGACAGTATTTTTCTTCCTCTTACAACCTTTAGGAGTAAAGATGTATTGATTTGACCAAAAAATTATTTATCAAGTTATAATTTCTAAATATTTGCCCTAACGAAGGGCTAGCACTTGAAATGTCAGCTTTGAAACTCTTAACTATGGCCAATTTACATTATCAACTCAGTTGATAAAACCAAATTATCTTGTTAAATTCCTTATTACTTTCACTTGGGAGTGAACAGTCTCAGTCTAAACCAGAATGAACATACCTCTGAGGGAGAACAAAAGTGCTGTGCCAACTGCCAAGTTAGTGAACACTACAGTTGAATGTGCCACACAGGAACCTATACTATATGGATTCAACAAATATCTGCAAGAAAGGAAGAATAGCAAAGCTGACATGAGAAAGTCTCTAAATACAGCACATGAGAATCTGATCAAACAGAAACGGCTTCTAGTTTGCTAGATCTATCAAACAAAAAAGAGACAAAACTCACATGGATGAAACTAGTAAAGGCACATTGTGTAGAGCTTCCTCTTTGAGTAGAATTGGTTCCACAGATTTTGCATAAGATTTAAGATTCAATGCTTGCTCTTTAAGCTAAATACAGAAAACAATACAAAAACCAAAATTAAACATGGAGACCAAAAACCAACTTGATCAAAGCTCTAAATTAGTATTCAAAAGGGTTTCACCAACTGATACTTCAGATATCACCTCAATAATTCAACTTAAATCAACTGTAAAACCTACAGTCCTTCAATATTAACTCATCAGCAACATCTGTCTGTTTCAAGTATCAAAGGAGAAAAAAACATGTAGTAGGAAGAGTACTTGATACCATGGCTGTGACCTGGGTTTGACTTATGTCCTGCCATTACATGTGGGCTAAGTTTGTAGTTAATTTTTAAAGTTATAATTTAATCATATATTGTCATTATATGTGCTTTTATGATTTTAAACAAGTTTGACAAGTATTTTCCTTTATTCTTTTCTCAGTTCGTGAGTGGGTGGTATTCTAGAAATCCTGCAATCTGATTGGTTCCAAGAGTCGGCAGTATTCTCCCCATCCAGCCTGCTCACAGTGGGCGTTTCTTTTCGCAACCATTTATTAGGTTTTAGAAAAAAATAAAAATATTATTCACCAGCCAAGGTCAGTCTATATTGGGAAAAACTGTGCCCTCTGTCTTGCGGTATCCAAGACCTTGGGCACAGTTTTTCCCAATATGGACCTCCTGTCTGGTGAATAACATATATTTCTTTAAGGGTATGGTAACATAACTGAAATAAAAGAAAAAAAATGGTCAAATTTTTTAAAATCATTTTGAACTACACTTTATTTCAAACTACAACATGTATTCAACTACAAATAGGCTATATTTGTGTCACAATACCAGCATTTGGCAGTGAAGACTAGCAAGTTTGTAAAGGAGCCATCCAACCAGCAGATCACCCACCTGAAAAAAGTTATACACCATATGTAAACGGAAATTCTCAAATAAAGAATGAATTTCAACTTCCATAAATACCATTAACATTCAACTCTCATGAATGACCAACACAGAATTTCTCCTTACAAATCAGTATCAAGCTAACAGGTAATGAGAATATATAAATATATAAATGATGGGATTATTAGTACTGGTAGATCCAATATCAAATTATCCATACTAACATCATACGATTGTATAGCAGACAATTAGGAGAATTACTAATGAGATCTTAAATATAAATGAGCTTGTGGGAGGTGTTCAGACCTAATGATTACCAAGATTAACCCTTTACCTCCCAATACACTATCCTACAAACAGTTAATGGGGAAAGAGAGTCTTATGAGCCTCTGGGTATTATCTACAGATATACAAAACCATTTTGTCTCATGCACAAGGAGTGTATTAAAGGAGACATACCATCTGGATTTTGGGAAGTTAAGGATTTGAGTTTCATAAACACTTCAAATACATACCACAAACAGAAGAGGAAATAGGACCTCTGATATCTGCTGCAATCCAAGGAATATTGCCAACACTAGAGGCGTCTTCATGAAAAAACAATCATCTTCTGTAATTAGTCAGTTAACTAAGTTTACTGTTTGGGGCCATTATTGGTGGATCTGAATTTCATTCTTTTGAAGGAAAGAAAAGCTACACACAGCCTGGAGAGTATGGAAGGTGCAAGTAAAAGTTTTTTCCTGCTGATTGTTCCGTTCACTTTGGTTTAAGTCCGTTCTGTAAGCAATGCACCTCACTAAGTGCTACCTTTCTCTGCAGACAGAAGGCAAACAATATGACTACCCATTGAATTTTCATGCAACCTAATAATGAAGCCAGCTGTTCTAAAACATACGTCTCTGCCAAAATCTTGTGGCAAGATTCGCCTCCGTACTATAGCTTCGTATGGGGTTATATGGAAATCTTTCCAGATCTTACATTGAGCATATTTAGCAAAAAGATCTAGAGCCCCTGCACACTAGCCTAACCCTAACCCTACACACCTCAAATTTGGTTACAATAATGATAATTCAATATTTGAAAATTTTACCTCATGCACAACATCCCCGGAATAAGGTGAAACCCCATGGTTTATCAGAGAAAGGCCTTCTTGAACTGAAAAAATAAAGAATTTATTGAGATGTTAAAAAAGATAAATAAACAATAAAGTTTTTAATTTAAATAAACTTTCGTATTAATTATCGATCGTCACATCACAGTTCCATATTAAACGCTGAAATGAAACACAGGTTTCTTTTAGGAACCGAACATACCTCTGTTCCAGGCAGTTAGTGGTGTAGATAACTCTATTCGGTTAGTAAACCAATCTTTAACGGGGCTATAGATTAGGAAAAGCCGGGAAACAAAAGCTAGACAGAATAGAGAAGAAACCCATATGGCATCTGCCATCTTGAACTTGCACTAGTACTTAGGCTGAAACGATCTGGACATTTGGCGCGGTCTCTCAGTCTCGAGTCACATGGGCTATCACATTGTCACATTGTAACTTTTTAAATGGGACGGGAAAGCACTTAGTAATGCAGCAGAGACGAGCATTTCGTTCGGCCTTCAGCAGGTTGAAGAGAGTTTGTTTCATTCAATCGAAAATTTAGCTTTACGAATATGTAGTATACTTATCAGTGTATAACTTAAGCGTTTTTTGCCGGTATTTTGGAAGCCATTTAAAGTTGACTTGAGTGCACGTGTGTAGCGGTCAACAAGCCACAGAGCCAGCTTGAGCTTGAGCTTCCACTGGGTAAGTCGTAACTTTTAGATTGTATTGTTTTTCAATGCGTTCGCTTCGTTTTTGAACACCTACATCTAGAAAAGCGGCTTATTTAATGACAAGGACGCCCAAATATAAGGCCAGAAATCGAGGACAACATGCCGTTCAAGCTTGCACTCAACGTTCCTTACTTGGATTTTAAAAGGGGAAATTCCTCGCATGCGAACGTCTGAAGCTTCACGAGGAGATAAAAATGTAAAATCGAGTCCATTTGTAGCATCACTAAAGCATACATGGGCAGAAATGTAGGACATCATGGCGGCCAAGCACGCGCAGAGTTTTACTAATGCCGTTTAAAAAATGTTAGAAGCTTCTCGGGATTTGTATGGAAAAGATCTAATGTTAAAAAAAATTTCAACAAAATGAAAATAATTTTCGTACCTGCGAGCATCGGTGTGTTATCGTGTCAGTGATTTGTTACTTTGGACGAAATTTCGAGGTTTTGCACGTTTCGTCTTTGCTCCCCAACAAATTGCGCAAATCCCATATAAGAGTCATATTACACTTCCATACAAACACAGTAAATTGGCTGAAATAGCCAAACTTTGACCCGGCAAATCAGCGAAAGAAGATGCTGTTGGTAGGTTGCGAGCATCGTGCTACGAACAGGGGTCTCTTATCTTTCATTTTGTGCCACTTTTTTGGATGAATGTGGCATTCTCTTTGCTCCCCGAAAAGATGAAGATTTGTAGAATTGGTCGCGAACAGAACTTTTGCCTTGATATAAATGAAGAAAACTGATTGGTTCAAGGGTGATGTTAATAAATAATGGTGGTTTGCTGTAACGCTATCCATTCCGTGACTTGGTTGCGTGACTTCCAATTTGAGCACAAACGTGTGGCAAGTTTCTCATTTCTTTCTGGTCTTAATCTGCTATTTTGCAATAAAATAATATCACATCTTACCTCTCCAGTTTTGTAATCACTTGAAGCATTCAGGCTGGGTCAGCTTTCAGCAATATTTGGTCATGCTATGTCAGTAAATCCCACTATCTGGACCATTGGCCATGTTGTGGCTGCTCATGCCAGGTAGGTCTATGATAAATATGGTTAAGGTCTTTTAACTGTAACAATGGAGGGTAGAGAAGCCAACATATAGCTTTACAGAAGTTAAGTGCAAACACTACATACCAATAATCGATGGGCTGAAATTTTCAGGCATGAATTTATTATGTTGGTTTGGTTACATGAACAGCATCACAAACCTTGTTCTTACACTCCTAGTAAAATGTTATCATTCCTCAAAGGGTTTTTAATGACAGTAACTACTGCTACTGTGGACTACATAAAGCTGATCTTACTGATGAGAGCTGCTGTTTATTAGATAAGACTTTGTCTATTTCATCGAGAGATTTATCCTAGAAAGGCGAGCATCCTCGTAAGAGAATGATAGAAACATGTGCAAAGTATAGCTTGTTACAAGTGGCTCGCGCCAGGCACCTATCGGGCAAATCATAACTAGTGTCCAGATCTCTCATCTAATGTTGCGTTGTGCTCTATCTCTCCCCAAGTCTTTAGTGTTCCTCATGCTTGCATATGGGGGATAGTGAAGACTGATAAGAACACAAATGTTAATTTGAATTAAAGAACAAAACTAAGTATGGAATAGTGTCATTTGACTGTCTCATGGAGTGACATGTACTCCCGAAGAGTGCACTGATAGAAGGACGGCCGCGAGCGCGTCTGTAACTTCCTCTGTCTCGTAGGTGCATTCGGGGAATGGGCATTTGTATTTCTTCGACATTGCGTACTATTGTAGTCCGGGAAGAAAACAAAGATGGCGGTCGATCGGCGATCGATGGCCGCGTTCTCCTCTGTTCGACGTATTACTGGGTAGTCCGCTTGCACGGTGTCTCGCTTAAGCCAGATCAATCCGTGTTGAAGTATGTTTCTATCATAGATAAGACTTTGTCTATTTCATCGAGAGATTTATCCTAGAAAGGCGAGCATCCTCGTAAGAGAATGATAGAAGCATGTGCAAAGTATAGCTTGTTACAAGTGGCTCGCGCCAGGCACCTATCGGGCAAATCATAACTAGTGTCCAGATCTCTCATCTAATGTTGCGTTGTGCTCTATTTATGTAGTGATCATCTCATGGCACTAATTCATGAAAGTGTGAAAGAAGGAAAAATTGTTGCAGGATTATACTAGTTTCAGAAAGTGTTAATACAATCAAACAAAGGTGAAGTGACATGAATTGTTAAATGAAGTCACCACATCAGTGCTCTTAGAGCATGCAATCACTGTAATTAGCTGTTGTTTCCTTTTTTAGTTCACAGGAAAATCAGCATTCTATTCATTAAATCAGTTAAATAACAAATGACTGCAAAAAAATGAATTTATGTAATTTTGCCTTGATTTAACAGAAGACACAAATGACTTTTATAAAGCACCAATCATACCTTACAAAAGGGGTAAATCTCTAAAAGACATGCCTGTAATAGGAAAACTATAATTTGAAGGCTTTGATATTGTGACACAACCACAAAAACCACATTGGAAGTCTGTGCAGGCCTGTTTTTGACTTCCTTTTAACTTAACAGCAATACACTTGTAATTGCTTTAAGGAAAATGATAACAGTGTTACTATGAAAACAGTGAACACCTACATGTAATTATAAAAGACATTGAAAGGTTTTGTGCAGCGATCAATTCAATCCCTAGTTGAGCCACAGGAGAAAGGCTGCACAAAACTAATTTTGTTGAGGTTTACATTCTCTTCAACTTCCATGTGACTGGTGTTCTTTCCAACAAATAGCTATTAAAAGTTTCTATAATTTCACTGTCAAATAGCATAACAATGCAGTAACATAGCCATTGTCTTACATAGTTAATGTCTAGGAAATAACAGATTCCAAGTGCCTTCAGTTACTGCATGTTATTAGAATATTACTAAAATATGATTGACATTAGAAAGCAGTGGGGAATTTGTGTTACTACATTCTATCACTAAATGTTAACAGTATACGACTCCTTCAGCCCTAAAGTAATAGACTTATAACTTCTCAAAGAAGAAAAAAAGAAAACTTGTATCAGCTTGCTCCAGGTGCTCTATAGTATATTTAGTTTTTAATTGGGAAAACAGGGATTACAGGAGTGCTACAACAGGTCCAATTGACTGAACATCAAGTACATCAGCTATAATCTAATTGTATCAAAACACTTAAAACTAGTTTGTGTATTTCACAACAACATCAAAAAGAGAAGGTAATTTGATGCCTTATATTTATTACTACCCATGAAAACTGTAACCAAACTCATTTCAACAGCCATAATTGCAAGCAAGAGTTACCTACTTTTGCTTGTGATTATAGGCTAGTACAAGATGCTTCTCCCTGCTCACAAGCACCTCTGTCTTAAAGCCTTTATGGTTCCCCCCAAATGTTTTGTTGAGCTTCCCCGCAACTTCACTCCTAGGTAGGCCAGAAAACTTTGAAAAATCATGGAGGAGACAATTTCTATAAGTGTATTTTATCATATTTTCCTCCACTGATACTCCAAATGTCGAAGGTGCCCCTTGCACAGACTTCATTATAATTTCAAACATCTCTTGAGGGAGGTCACGCTTTACCTCTATGGTCCAGGGATTTGAAGCCCTTAGGTTTGTGGACATTCGCCTTCTTATCCTATTTAGCCACATCAGAACTTCTGATGTGATCATGGTCCAAGCTGGGATGGAAGACATTAGAGCCTTATCCATACCATGGACTCCATCTTCGTGCCGTGGGTAGACATTCGTTAGCAACTGATGGGCTGCCTCCTTGAAATCCGAAAAATTCGAAATGGAAGGCCGTAGAACGTTAAATTCAGTTATCGACCTCTCCAACACATCTGTGAAACTAGCCTCTAAGCCTTCATCTTCCTCGATTTCCACACTTTCCGCAGAAACTTGTTCAATAATTTGTTCGTGAGAGAAGCGTTCTCTTCTAGCCACCATTTTGTTTTGGGAAAGTCCGTTGATTTGATCACTGCAGACTTTTTCGAGACAGCTGACCTGGCGTGTTTACAATGTCAGACACACCACCTCCCAACTACATCACAGTCAATGGCAGAAAATGTAGCATTTACCTTCGACTTACCTTACCCTATGCTTAAAGTTTTGAATGACTTCCTTGATAAACCAGAAAATGAAGGGGTAGAGGAGGAAGAACATGTGGATGATGAACTGACACAAGGTCCGGTCATGTTGGAAGCATTTCAGAAACATAGGAGGAAAAAATGTAAAACTTGCACTGACTTGTTTGAACTTATTATCTGTGGCAACTTGTTTTCTATCAAAAAATCCAAAGAAGTGAGAAAAGAGTTGAATGAATCCCTGTGAAAATAAGCTTCTTCTGTGAAAATAAGCTTCTTCTGTGAAAATAAGCTTCTTCTGTGAAAATAAGCTTCTTCTGTGAAGTCTCAATACAAGCAGATCAGGGGGAGAAAGGGCCTTGCCCTGAACTCAAAAAATAAAAATGTTCCATGTGTTTGAGAGGCATGTTCAATCAGTGGCAGAGCTGGAGAGGGAAAATAAACAGCTAAAGGAGTTGAACTCTTCCCTACAAGAAGATATAAAAGAGTGGAAATCAATCATCTTTTTTGTCCCATTGTAGTACATCCTCCCATAAATTGTTTAGTAATACATACATACTGTATTTATTCTAGAAGCAAACTATATATACAGATTAAAAACTAAGGGGAAAAAAGATACTTTTAGAAAAGGAAGTTTGGGGGTTAACCCTATGTAAAAACTCCCTTAAAATAAAATAAATAAAAATAAAATAAAAATCAAGATCTATACAATTAAATATTGAGATACAATTTAAGTTTAGATTTAAGTAAAAGGTGCAATTCATCTAAAATTACATGGTCGAACTCAATATTTAGTAGAGGCTCCTGATCATAGCAAAAATTGTCTTAGTTCCTTTTTTGAGAATCCCTTTAATTCTTCTAGGGTTCTATGTAATGGCGGCTTATTGTAATAATCTTCCTTGTGGTTCATATCCCATCTTTTATCTTTATGAACTTTGCACCAGGCACAAGCATAGAATGAGGTGGCACCTTTAAGTCTTGACATGATTAAAATGAATTTATATTCTCCCCCCAAAAAGAATTCAAATGTTATTTCTTTCCCATTAATTGTGATTTTGTTCATTGAATTTAGAGCAGCAGAGAAAAAGAATGATAAAGCTTGTATTGCAAGTCATCCTTGCCCCATCCCCTGATAATTTAACCTTTTACACTTTCATTTTCAATATCAAATTCTGGATTTTGGTTAATAAATCTTGCACTCTTTCCTTGAGAAGTTCCTGGAATGAAACTTCTACACCCTTGGCTCTTCCAGGTGTGGATATAATATGACACATGTCATTTAGCTGTGTTTGCCGTTGCTTGATCAGATATGATTTTGGAAGATCATTAAACATAGAGAGCTCATGATAAGACGAGTCTCCTACACAAAATATGTCTAAAAGAAATAAAATGTGATCTACTTTTTCCTTTTCCTGTTTTGAAAGGGAGTTGAACCCTGTGGCAGTGTTTTCTTGTTGCTCATCACTGGTCATTTTTGCATTGTGTTTGCTTCCAGTCTTGACTTCTTTCATGGCAATAGACTCGACTTCTTGTCCAAAGGACTTAGCAAACCACAGTGCTGTCTGAGCTCTTGTCATGACAGTCCTCAAAGTCCTTGACTTTTTCTTTACTTTACTTTACCTTTCCCTTGTAGTCTTGCGGAGCTCTCTGCAGGTGTTCAGTGTAATGAATTAATTCTTTATTTGTGGTCTTAGCTTTTTCTACATCATTTTGAAGTGTTCTTATCTCAGCTTGCATTTCATAAAACATCTCTCGCTTTTCTTCCTCCTAATTTGCATACAGTACTGCTCGTGTATATATTAACTGTGCAGACCAATTTCATACGCTCAGGCACAGGGTATTCAGATGGGTATATACAGTTTTTTTGCACACATGGTTGGAAAAAATGCAGGACTCAAGTGCCTTTGTTATTCAGTGTTACAAGTTTCATTCGTATTACGTTGTTGTGTAAAACAAAACTTTTAGGTTTGAAAAAGCAGTGAGTTGACTCTGAAAAATTTACAATCTCCTCCAATTTATTCATTGCTATCAGTACTCCCTTGGATGTTTATGCAGTGGAATGTAAACAATTGGTGTTTGCATTGTAGGTGATGATTTCTTTGAAACTTTGAACTTACCTCAATCACCTTTGATGGGGATCAGAAGGAAAATAATTATTCTATTTAAGATTGTGAATGATGTTTTATTCTATTCATTGTTGAAGGTTTTTTCACTTTCTGCAAGAGTTGCTGAAATGAAAATGCACAGCAGGCTGTCAGGAGGTTGATTGGATGTAATATGCTTGTTTTTATCAAGGATACATTCCAAAGGAAGCTTAATCTTTGTGTTATTCCCTCACTTAAACTTGTTGTTAATGTTAAAATTTTTAAGGGAAATACTCAACAACTGTGAATCTATATAGGTGTTTTGACTTGTAAACTTGGGTGTGAAGTATGACATCAAAAGTTTGATAAAGGTCTGGAAATTTTGTGGTGGTGGATATTTAGTATGAGTAGGAGGACTCCTTGAATGTTTTCTCAATCAATCTTGCTATGGAGTGGGCTCTGAGGAGAAGTTTTGCTGAAGCCATGAACAACACTTTTTGCATTTGGTGATTTCGGTGGTGAGGCTAATGGTGCAATGTTTTTTGGATATAAATTTGAACTTGATTATGTAGAAAGTATACATTTGAACCTTAATTATCAGGACTGGACTGAATAGTTTGGATAATTTAGAATCTTGATTATCAATAATGTGAATATTTAATGAGCCTGAAGAGAAAATCTTCCAAAGTAATACATGTCATTTAATCAATACAATGCATGAAATAAAGCACATTCTCTAATAATTGTGCATATACTGTCAATATTTGCCAAAAGTATTAATAAAAATGTGTTACAGTAATTAAAAGCTAACTAACAACATGAACAAGTTGGGTCTTGAAAAGCAAGTCCAGATAATCTAAAAATGTAAATAGCTGAGGTTTGACTACAGTTAACAGGATCTGCCAAAGTACACAGTCAAATTGTAAATTCTAGTTGACTTAACTCAAACCATCAGGGGAAAGTGAAAAACATAGAGGATATAGGGGTTGATAACAATTACGAAAAATGATAAAAATTGGTATTAACTGTATTTCTATTCCAGCAAAGTTGAGTGCAAATAGGGTATTTTGGATGAAAGGGTGAGCATCAAAGCTTAATGAAAGTTTGATGTGCTGTGGTTGATTGTACCTTAACCTTGGCTGCACTTACTGAGGTGATCATAAGGCATCTGGATATTAAAAAAATTCCATTGCTACCATGCAGAATTGTCTGAACTATGTTGTTTTTTGTTTGAGTTGTGAATAATAGTCCGTTTCTCCATTTTTCTAATGAAAATCCTGACAAACTTATCACGTATTGTGAAGAAATGAATTAAATAAGACAAAAGACTTTATGTCTGCCTTGACATGATTCAGGGGGTCTTAACCAGGATGTTACTCTTTTTGGTCTTTCTAAGTTTCGCTTCCTCTTCCTTGTGTAAAACCACATTTACATCAGGATGTAATTGTCTTGTGCTCTAAAAGAGTTCATTTTTTTCCCTTTTTGGGTCATAGATGTCATTTTAAGACTAGAAGCATATGAAAAATTCTGCTAACCTGAATTGAAATCTTTATTTTAACACAATGAGGTTTGTCAGCATAGCTGATGGGTTTATGTATTTCAAATATTCACATTCGTTTGAAACTATGTACAGCTAATTAAAAATGCAATGAATATGAAACTTAAAAAATATGGTTGATATAATAACATATATCTATATTTATATTGTAGGAGGAAAAAGACAAACTACTAGTGTTAGTCTTAAGTGTTATTAATGCGTCTTTATCGGTTGTAGTGTCTACTCTGTCGTCTATTCCCAGTTTCGTCGCGATGTCTTTGTTTTCTTTATGGATTGCTTGCGTCGTCTCAGGTAGTGCTTTCTTGTAGGATTTTGTGATGTTTTTTTTCTAGCAGATTGTTGTATGTAGATGGCTCAAGTTTGTAGAAGTTGGTTGTTTTGTCGGCGGCGATTAGTAGCTTGGGTTCATTTTTGATATGGTCGGTGTTTTCTTTTAGCCTATTGAGGAAGGGGTTGTTTACTTGCTTGAATTTTACAGACTGGATCATCTTTAACATGTCGTCCTAAAAATCTTTTAATTCTTCAATGGGAAGGCGGGTTCTTGGTTGATTTGAAGCCGTACGTTTCCTTGGTGAACGAGGTCGTGTCGGGGTTGAGAAAGGAGTGGGCTTTCCAGCGCATTCTGTATAAAAACTGCTCGGTCCTTTCGATGAGTCGTTGAAGATAGTCGTTGTGTTATGGTAAAGGAATATTCTTGGTTGAGTAGCTGATGTTGAATTTTTCCATTGCGAATTATCGTAGAGTGCTCGACAAGCCTAAACTTAGAGCGGGTACAAAGTGTAAAATTTTGACTTTCGTAGACTTTTCGTAAATCCCCTGAGGACTGGGCAACCACGAAACAGGCTTGAAATCACGATCTGGACTTTCATCTGTTGACTTTTTATGGTACCATACGGCCATGACAGCATTTTACGTGCAATCAATGTCATGGGTGTTTTGTCTGATTGCTTTGCCATAGTAAACTTCCAGTTTATTAATCAATTTGTCTGTCAGCCTCCCGTTTCCGCCAATGCCTTTTCCATCATCTAAATTCCTAACGGTTTTTTTTTTTTAGTGACCGTAACCTTGAGCCCAGGCATTTCTGAACAGGGCTGACACATTCAAGCTGAGTAATTTCTACGTCCAAGGGGGGTCTGGGGGAAAATCTTGAAATTCTAGACTCTTGGAAATGCCCAAGCAGTTTGCGGTGCAAAATGGGATATTTCAGATACCAAAAAACACTGACATTTTTATTAGTTTCTAATAACTCAAGCCATAACACTACACTCCTTTCGTTCAAACAAGAGTTTAAGAAAGTAATTGCAATTTTGACAGAGCAAAATAATTTTAATGCATTTGTTAAATAATAAATGAAATGAAAGTAAACTGGGTAATCTTTAACTCGGCTGGATGGTTTAATTTGCTTGGTTTATGATATCGTTTATGTCCTTTGAATGGATCTGGGCCTTGAAGTACGCAAGAACCTAAACAACGTGTATATGTAGTTTATCACAAGTTTGGAAAGGCTCTAAGTATTTACTTTCTTATACGTTCATCTTTAATTTCGAACATCAAAATACAGTTACGGGGGAGAGTTAACTACACACTTAATGAATCAGTGTCAATAAAACTACACCTTCATCTGAGATCTGAGCCTAATTTGTGTCTATTGTTAAAAACACAGTCTAGTCTACTCTCATTCAGAAAAGTAGTCTTCATTATCGTCATCGTCCTCCAATCCGCTGTCATCCCTTCAACTGTCAGATTCTTCATTTTTCTCGTCAAAACAGGAAACTTTTATTGCCACTTCTTGTTTTTTTCTCTGACACCACAAGTTCAACAAACTCCTTTTCTGTTTGTGTACCTGCTTCTGATTTGGTAATTGACTTGGTTGGTTCATTCTGGCCTGCTTGTAGTGCTACAGCCCCATCATTTTGCCCTGCTTGTGACCCTCCTGCTCCTCTACTTGTTATGTAGGCAATCTTCTTCCCTTTTTTCACCTTCATCCATAGCTTTGCTGCTCTTCTGATTACTTTGTCGTTCTCCTTGGAGAGGACATCAGGGCCATTTATCGAAGGCCTACTTTGGGATAGCTAGCGGTGATGTTTCTTAGACCAGACAAAAGAGAACGACAGTTACCTGACACCTCTTTCAAGTAATTCAGGAAGAGTCTGTGTGTTTGTTCTTCCCGCTGTCTTTGGTTGGTCGCTTCGTCGGAAAAAAATCTCTGACTGGTTGCCCTTTAAAGAAAACTTCGACGTCCCAGTTATAGGGATTCTAATCTTTTTCGAAGATCTTTCTCTACTGTTGATCGGATCAGCAGGACCTTCCAAGCATTCACTTGTTTCTTCCCCGCAGTGTTTCACCTGAAAAAAGTTAAACAAGTTTTATTTTTGGCTTAGTGGCAGTATTACAGGTTTAAAAGCATTCATCGTTACTTTACAATTGTCCAGAAACTAACGAGTCACAACGGAATTCTACAAACTGACAACTGATTCTCCCAGTAACCTTTTCGCCGCTAACTAGTTTCCATGCTTCAACGTGAGGAGCGGGACACTTGGAGGGTTTCTCTTCCTTCAGCCCGTACCGCGTAAATTCGAGCTCTCTCGCCAAGTACGCCCCTACTATCTGCTCTTACCGAAAAATTTCCATTATTTTACCTCACTGTCACTAGTAGGATTTTTCTTTCCGCAATACAAGCAGGTAACCAGTTAATAGACACAAGGCGGACTTTTTCTGTGGGTGTGGATTGGAAAGAATTAAGACATGAATAGCAGATGTTGCAGGAACTACTGCATTTGACCACTGCGAAGTGTGCTTGCAGACATAATTATGAAGCAGTGGGTAAACTTGGTAAGACAATTAATTTGAAGATACCTTGGAGATACGAGAATATAGTGATCCGAGGGCAGATTGCATCTTCAATATTCTGGACAAACAGCACTTGGTTGGGGTT